ATATAATATAAAATTTAATAAACTAGCTAAGGATACCAGCAACAAGGTATTATTAGCAGATATAAACTTAGATAACCTAATAAATAAATATATAATATAGGCTAAGAAAACGGCCTGGTCACTAGAGAAAGTATCTTTTTATTTTCTCTTATTATACCAGCTAGTAAGGCTAGCTTTAAAAGGCTATTTAATAGCCCGCGCCAGCTTTTATATACTACTAGTCTTAATATACTTCTTTTATTTATATAAAAATATTAGTAATATAATAGCTAGGGCGCCCGGCTGCCTTAATACTATTATTAGGGTAGATATCTTAGAGGACTAAGTAATAAATATAAAAATATTTTTATTTAACTAGCTGTAAAAAGCCTATAATAAGTATTAAAAAACCCTGATCTTAAGCATAAAATATATAGTAAGAGCTAATCTAATAATTCTAACTATTTTTATTATTACTAATACTTTTTCTAGCATAGCCTATCTACAGGATATCTTTTATTAAATAAATTTTAATACTTTCTAAAAGCTATATTACCTAGTATTCTTACCCTGCCTTAAGCAGGTATTATATCTAATATATAATAAAGTAAATACTTAGAAAATTACTGAGTTTCTATTATATAAGAACTTGGGATTTGTACTATATTTTATTAATATTATATAGGACCTATATTGCTTCTCTCCTTTAATATATACTAGTGTAGTTTTTTATTTTAGTATAGATTTACCTAAACTCTAGTATTTAGCTAAAATTTTTTAAGATAAAGGCGCCTGGGATATAATCTACTTTTAGTAATTTATTATTTTTATCTAGTGACTATTCGTGCTCTAATTTATTAAAATATTTATTAATACTTTTAGTCTCCCCTTAATAATAGTCTATATTATTATAACTAGTAATTAATATTTAGCTGCTGTGTAAATATTTACTAGTACAGATTTAAATATATAAGTTTTCTTAATTATTTATAGCTATAAAATATTAGGCCTTAATCTATATAAGTAATATACCCGGGCAGTATTCCTAGAGCCCTCTCCTAATTTAAGATAAAAATTCTAAATTATTAGCTGGATTTACCAGCTCAGGTAGTAAAAAATATAAAAAGTCTAGACTTTAATAATACCCTATATCTTTAATATAGCAGTAAAATTTAATAATATATAAAAAATTATATTTTAGATTACGGCAAATCTCCATGCGGCCGGATATACCTAGGTTGCCTAGTTATATAATAAGGGTTAGACTAAGAAATATAATATAAATTAAAAGGATCGCGTCCTCTAATTATAGGCTAATAATAAACTTAATTACTTACTCGGATAATAATAGATTTATTTAAAATAAAATAAACTGACCTTCTTATACACTGATAAAAGGAACTAGTTTATAGTTAAGTAATATTATAAAAAAAATATACTAAAAATACTGTACTACCTAATTATTCTTAAAATATATAACTCCTTTTCTTTATAACTGGACTTCTAACTATAGTTAGAAAAAAAAAATTTTACTTTTTATTCCCCTTAGACTTCAGATAAATAAAATAACTAATACAGGTATAATAAGTAATAAATAAATTATAAAGCCTGCTAATATTAGCTCTATTATATTATTTAAACTATAGAAAAAAAAAATAGATTTTTAAAAATTTTTTTTTTTTTTTAATTTTTAAAGTTTTAACTATAATTAAAAAACTAAGATAGTTTTTTTCTAGGAAGGCCTGCTAACAGATAGTCTTATATAAAAATAAAATATTAATAAAAATTTAGAAGCCTGTTCTTTAAAAAAAACTAGTTCCCGCGTAATTATATCTTTTTTAATATTTCTGCCTCTGCCTCGTGTTAGTAATCCGGTTAATCATCTAAATAAAAAGCAGGTAATTTTACCGCTTTTATTACTTAGGCCTAAGCATAATAAGCCGGACAACTAGCAGATATAAAAATAAAATATATAAAATAAGCCCGGTGATTTTAATAAAAATAAAAAAAAAATATAAATAAATAAAATAATCTACCTCTGCCTCTAATAATACTTATTTTATTTTTAGTAACACTTACTCCGCCCCTAGTAACGCCTTCCCGCCCCCCCGGCTTAAATAATACTAGTAAGGGTGATAATAATATTAGTAGCTGCCGGGATAACAGTAATAATAATAAAAAAAATATTTATATTATCTGAGTTAAGTCTTATCCCTAAGAATAATAAAAATAGTAAAGAGATTCTAAAAAAAAAAAAATAAAGTAATTTATAAACCTTATTTTTCTAACTTTAACTATAATCAGAAATCTAGCTAATTATCCCTTACTAGATAATAAGATTCCAGACTAGATTAGTTTATAAATTATTAAAAATAGACCCCTCTGCCCCCCCTAGTCCTGCTAAGGCTTATATAATATCTTATATCTAAATTATACTAAGCAGGACTAATATATTTATAATAGGTATTAAATAATTACTTAGATTAGAGATAAGCTAGTTATTTTTATTTATTTTTTTTTTTTATTTTTTATTTTTTTTCTTTTTATTATAACAGCTATAATTTTACGCGGGTTAGTTTAGGATTCTACGCGGCTTATTATAACTTATTTACTAAAACTAGATTTCATAAATAATATCTTTTATTTATTACTCTTTTTTTTTTTTTTTTTTTTATAAGATAGTTAAAGATTAGTTAATAGTAGGTGTATATATCACTGTACTATAGTAGCAGCCCTAGTATAGATATAGTTAAGATTAAGAGAGTTATTTATAATTTTAATATAATATTAATTAATAATTAAAGAGAAGAAAAGGGTTAGTTAACAGGTAAAAGTATAAAAAAAAGAATCTAGGTAAAATAGGTAAATAAATAAATAAAATATAAACAGATCAGTAGGGGTAAAAAGAAAGATTAATAAAAATATATATATATATTTTAATCCTTCTCTCGCTCGTGCGAACCAACCAGAAAGGCCGACCTAACCTCTCCCGGTCAGAATTAGAATCTTGTACCCCATTAAAATCTAAATAAGACAAACTGACTGACTTTACTATGTTATAGCCTAACCCCCCTACAACCGTAATAGCTGAGATTTAATCAAATAGGAGATCTATAACTTATTTATTTATCTACTAAGTTTGAGCCCGACCGGGCCAGGGGATCTAAATAGGATACACCCGCGAAGATATATGGGATGTACATTAGGGTAGGGTTTGGGCCGGCCAATCAGCGCGCCCGCCTGCGGACCCGCACCGATGGGACGGGGGTGCGTCCCATTTGGCCCGGTGGGGTAGGATAAAGCCCTTATTAATCTATATATTATAAAATACTTTATATATTAGTACTCGGGCCACAGCAATTATCTAGCTAATTATAAACTTATATATAATTATTTTCTTATTTTAGGCCTATTAGATCTACACTGTAAAAAATATTAAAACTATTATATTAGTTATCCAGCCAGAACCTGTTTGCGCGGGAATTACAGGCTGTTATATCTAATATATAATATTAGGCTGGCTGGTGCGGTCCTGGAATAAATATACTAACTTATATATATATTTTATATACTATTATAGTACAGGCTCTAGCTAGAGCAGTAATATGGCTATTAATAATATTATCTATATATAAATATAATTTAATTATTTTAATTATTATAGTTCTGGCCGGAAGTTCTGCTGCTTATTTAATATTATATAATATTTATTAATTATAATCTAGTCTATGTCACGGTGCAACCTGGCACTGTGCAGCTGTGTTCTGTTCTGTTCTGTTCCTGCCAGTTTCTCCCGTACCTGTTCTTCCCGCACCTGGGGTTTATATATGCAAGCGCAGTGCAAAGTCTTTAGCTTTATATACTAGTCTTTTGTTTAGTATAATAATTTAGCTTTTAAATGCGCCTAAAGGCAACACCATGATATTATATAAAGCCTATTTATATAGTTACGCGTTTAAACCTGTCCCGGGTCAAGTTAGGATTTTATTCACGATGGCTAACACGTTTCCACACATGGGGGCTAATATATATATATCTACCTGCCTGCCTGCCTGGCCCACCGCCTACTGTATTAAGGGACTAATATAATAAAAGGGGGGCGTACTGTTATAGTATAATCTGGTACTGTGTAGCTATATTCTGTTCTATTCTATTCCTACCAGTTTCTCCTGTACCTATTCTTCCCGTACCTGGGGTTTATATATGCGAGCGCAGTATAAAGCCTTTGGCTTTGTATACTAGTCTTTTGTTTAGTGCAGTGGTTTAGCTTTTGAATGCGCCCAAAGGCAACACCATGACAATTATTTATATTATTTTGGAGAATATTTTTATTTAATATAAGTTAATTTTACTTCCTTTTCTGATACTTTTTAGTATTTATGTGGCTATCTAATATAGTCCTTTATTTAATATTTTGATAAATTGGGTTACATTTCTGTTAAACTGCTATAAAATTGTTTTAAGGTGGAATTTAGATAGGTTTAATAAAAATAATAATAAAATTATTTAATTCTTGGGTGTAACCAGGCTTATAATTATAATAAAAATTTGGGAAGATTATATTTTGCTATAGAAATAATTAATTTAATAAAATATTTTAATTTACAATAAATAATTTTATTGGCTATAAAAGAGTGACAATTTTGTGTGTTATTTTTGATAATTATTTTGTTTATTTTATGTGTGTTTTTTATCTTTTAATTAAAGTGATTTTTAAGGCTATTTATATTATTTTTTTAGGGGTTAAATCGATGAAAAGATTGTTAATTTATGATATCATTTTATGATGTGTTAAATTGTATGATTTCGAGCGAGGTGATGATTTGACTAATTGATCGCTCCACTACCTGAACTGCAACAGGGAGGAGTCATCGGTCAGGTGGTCCATCCACCGCCTACCCCTTACACGTCCACCCCTTGTGGGATAGGTATGAGTCATAATCAGAAAACCGGTTTTTATGGCCTTGGTAACCCTGCGGACCTCTGGCGGTCCGGTTGCTCCGTGTTCCCGCGCTGCGGTAAGCGCCGGTGACACCAATGGACATAGGTTACCATTAGCCCAGTAGGTTAGGGCTCAATTGTCCACCGCTTGTGGGATAGGCTGACGCCTCCGACACCAATGCCAGCAAGGCCGGCACTATCCATCTGAATGACAGTACTGTGCTCCCGGTCTACCTGGTCGTGTTGGGTATCGGCGTGCGTCCGGCCACTGATTCCTGCACAGCAACAGCAGGTCATACTGCGCCGAGCAATGGCACAAAGTCAGGCAATTTGTCTTACAGCAGCCCTCGCCATAGCTCAAGGCACCGAGATGAATTCTCCGGGTATCAATGCCGACATGATTAGTATGGCCGGTCACCAAATGACATGAAAACGCATGGCTCAAGCTCCACCCCACTGGGTGAGTGTGTGGAAATCAAATAAGTCACTTTCCCCAGACGAGCCTTCTTGAACCAATAAAACCTTATAGGCATCGCAAGAGGGGCGGTAAGTTCGACCTACTCTAGTGCCTTAGTGAGACTTGTTTGGGATGCCTTGGATAAAGGACACATGAAATAGTTCAAGTGAATCTGAGCTGTGTGTCGTGCATACATTGCGCCATCTATGCATGTTCAATGCGTGCCAAGGTGGTAGATAACATGAACTTACCGCAAAACGCAGGAGATATATCAGTACATGTGGCAACTAAATGATTGTAACGCAAGGGGATTAGATGACGTAGTATACTATATGCGACCGCTAGATTATTCCAAGGAAGAGGGGGTATATGACCAAGCCTAACCGCAAAACGCAGAGGTTATACTAGTACAGTCCACCGCTAAAACACCAAGGCAAGGAAGAATTCGGTTCGAACTGACCAACTAGGGATCCTCTCCTGTCGGTGAATTTCAAACCGGACTTTGTACACGTAGATTCGTTTCTTCTTCCTCGCCCCGGCCTAGGGATAAGGGCTTCCTTATTAATATCTTCCAAAGACCTAACCGGCTATAGGGCCATAGACCATATTCTTACCAGCTCCTGTTGCCGATATAAAAACAACATGATTTATACTGCGCTTGTTCTAGCAATCAGTGCTTGCTTTTATAAATTTTTCATCAGAACCATGTAAGCGCGGATAAATGAAATACTTTAGGCCTCTTACTTAATTTGCGTAATTACACTATCATTCTATCCTGGGGAAGATACTCCTCGGCCCCTATGTTAAGATCTTAAGAGTTTCACGTTAATAACTGGAAATACTATCAGTAAGCATCAAAACCCTGGCCTTCACTGCAAAAGATAATAGAAAGACAATTCCCGGCCCCTCTCTCTAGATCGAGGAAGTTGTGTCACAATTTTTTAACTTAAGGGTGTCCCTTAAGTTTACAGTTGCTATTGCTATCAGACATGGCTTTCCCGACTATTTCTCTTCGGTGCTTTTCTGACTGGGGTTACCAGTAAGTGGATAAGTAGGGAAATTTCGCCATGAACGCTTGGAGTTGAAGCTAACAGGTGTTGCCTTCCTAGTAATGACGGCTGGGCATATCTCTCGCTGTATTTCACCAGGGGTGCCAGGGGAGCTAGGACCTTACGTCGTTCAATACATGTGCATTCTCCTACCCCCCTCCGTATACGCCGCCGCGATCTACATGATGTGTGGCAGCATAGTTCTCCTCGTAGGCAAAACAGAACTATCCCTCGTCGCACCACAAAGAGTTGCTAAATAAAGTCTTCGTCTTGGCTGACGCCCTGGCTTTCCTAACCCAGCATTGGGGTAGAAGTATAACAAGGAGGGAAACGGGCGAAAGGATACTTATCGGCGGTCTTCTTTTCCAACTACTTGCTTCTGGGCTATTCTTTACTACATCAATCATATTCGCCCAAAACGAATTTCATTCCGGCAGTCGACTGACTGGTGGATCCGTCTTTACTTTGTTTTCGCCTCAGTTGCGCTGATTATATTCCGATGTATTTATCTCCTGATCAAACCTGACCAATGTGCATATGGTTACGTTGCATTACAGAATGCTTATATCTACGCCTGTCACTCATTTACAATGTTTGTGGTCCAGATTAAGTTCCAATTTTTGTACTCCTCGGAAGTCTTTAAAGGGGTTAAACGATGAAGCGAAGACCGTATACGTAGAGATAGAATCTAGTAGGGACGTTTGAGAATACGGGACTGGATCTGGGTCTCAAAGAAGTCTGACAACAGCCTTTCCAATGCCAAGCTTAGAATTGCCGAGGACCGTCTTATACACTAGTTGATTGGTTGCTTACAGTCAGGCTCCATGGTTGTTGGTTATTCATGATAGCGTTTCCCGAATAGTTGAGTCATGATATACATTTAATTGACGTATGCTCTCTTCTGCTACATATTCGACAAGGACTTACTGTATTGGCTGAAATACCGAAATCTGGTTCAGTGCTAGGCATATTTGGTAACAGTTTTGTTCTCATTAACTTGGCGCTCTATAGAAAGTTTATCAATAGCACATTGTCACAGTTTCATTGTCACAGTTTCATTGGTAAATAAATGGTCTTTCTCCATTTATTTTGCTGTTTTTTTCCTGTTTGTTTGGTTCATTCATTCATTCATTCATTCACTCATTTCCTTTTCCTTTTGTTTCCCTGTTCTTTCGAGGGTAGAATTCCAGCGTCCACCTAGTTTTGGTTGGACCATTTGTACAAGTTTCAATCCGCGAAAAGGTAATTATGGTTTATATTTGCAGCACGCCGGTGACGTGGGTCTTTCAGAGCTTCCTCCAAGGTCTTAATGACTTCTTCCCTTACTTTATTGCGGCCCTTGCGGTCTGCAGGGGTACAGCTTCCCGGGCGAATATAGACTGTCACAACCAGACCGTATGGACCAGTTCTGTCATTAGGCACCGATTTCAAATCATCATACACGTTATGACTGTGCCCATCCCCCTTGGGCTTCTTAGGATCAAGGATCTCGAGGGCTTGTCTCATCTCATCTTCGAAAGACTTTGCAGCATCAGGAAGGGCAATGAAGACGTACCATACCCACCACTTAGGGAGGTGTGATACGTCCCATATTCTTTCTCTTTGCTCTGTCATGGCTTTTATTCCACGAATATGGTTACCAACTCTTTGGCTTGGTAGTTATGCGAGATAAAGCGGCAGGTGGATAAGAATGATGTTGCTTGGAATCAGTGAAACGAGAAAGCCCAAATGGAGTAGTTATGCCGTATTATATACTTGCAACTATTCCAGCCAAGTAGCGGAACTATCCAACTTCTCATGGCGATTTGCACGCGACATTTCACCAGTACGTGGGTGTATCCAGACCTCAACAATGGGAGATTTGACCATGTTTGCCAGATAGGGGCAACATCCGGCGGGACAGGGATGGACAAAATCATGATTTTAGATAGCATACTAAAAGTCTTGTCTCCGTAAGACGTCCTTTGGACTGCCGTGCAATATTTCAGCTTTTGACCGTCTCGATGTCGGTGAGGTTTGTTACCTACTAACAGCTGATGGTGGGTCATGATGCCACATCACGAAGGGACACTCGTTGCTCCCTCGACCTATTAGTACTTCCTCTGTTTACCCACAACAGGGTAGATGTCCACATTAGGGTAGCAACTCGAATGCCAACCCCACGCCATTCTGATAGACAGTTTGAGAAGGAACGCTATGCCTGGACCACATTGGGGAGGTGTGACGAGAAGTTCAGGGGGGCTTTACTGGCCGAAGGAGTAGTTACCTACCAATGAGCCATACAGTCCCACCACGGCAGGATTCAACCGGCGAATCAGACTAGTCAGAAGGGCATAGTAGGACAATGGCGTCAAGGGCATGGACCAATCATTTCTGCAAGCGATGGCGGGATTCCCTGTCGATCTTGCTGCCATTATTAATTCTCAATCGCATTAATAATGCTCTCGGTTTGAATGTACTATTTATTGATCCTGCAATTGCGCTGTTCGAATCTCTGATCTGTCTCCCATCAGTCGACTCTTGAACATGGTCCAGCCAACGATCGATATTGTTGCCGCCAAAGGCATTTCCTACTACACGCCAGCTCAGGATCCCCCGGCTGGTACGCAAATCGAGGGATCGACCAAGCTGTTCAGCCCAATAACCATCCGCGGCGTGACGTTCCCAAACCGCCTGTTTCTAGCTCCACTCTGTCAGTACTCTTCGCAGAACGGTTATGCGAATGATTGGCATTTGACGCATCTGGGCGGAATAATCCAGCGTGGGCCAGGCCTGGCAATCATGGAGGCGACCGCCGTGCAGAATGTCGGCCGCATCACGCCGCAAGACCTGGGTCTATACGAGGACGGCCATATCGAGCCGCTGAAACGCATCACGGAATTTGCCCACGGGCAGGGCCAGAAGATCGCCATTCAGCTGGCCCACGCCGGTCGGAAAGCGAGCGCTGTGGCCCCTTGGTTGAGCGGCAACGCCATGGCGCTGAAGGAAGTCGGGGGCTGGCCGGACGAGCTTGTCGCCCCGTCGGCAATTCCCCAGGAAGATGGCGTCAATCCGGTGCCCACAGCTCTGTCCTTGCAAGACATTGAGTTGTTGAAGAGTGACTACGTCCGGGCTGCACAGCGGGCACTCAAGTCCAACTTCGACGCCATTGAAATTCACGCCGCCCACGGATATTTACTGCATCAATTTCTGAGCCCCGTCAGCAATCGACGAACGGATCAGTATGGAGGCAGCTTTGAGAACAGGGCTAGGCTACTATTAGAGGTGTGCGATGTCGTTCGGGCTACGATCCCGACATCTATGCCTCTACTGGTCCGCATTAGCGCGACTGATTGGTTCGAGTTTGACGATGATTTGAGACTGGAATTCCCCGACAGTTGGACTCTTGCCCAGTCGCTGCGGCTGGCGCCTCTCCTGGCAGACCACGGCGTTGACCTGGTAGACGTCAGCTCCGGGGGTGTCCACGCCAAATCAGCCATCGCCATCCGGTCCGGTCCGGCCTATCAGGCGCATTTCGCCCAGGAAATCAAGAAAGCCGTGGGGGACAAGCTCCTGGTATCGGCGGTCGGTGGCATCAAGACAGGTTCTTTGGCCGAGGAGGTGGTACAATCGGGCGTTGATGTCGTCCAGGCAGGACGCTGGTTCCAGCAGAACCCGGGTCTGGTGCGCGCATTTGCCACTGAATTAGGCGTGAAGGTGCGGATGCCTCACCAGATTGACTGGAGCTTCGAAGGCCGTGGGAAGAAGACAAAGCAGAGCTCATTATAGACTTCTCATGGCTACATTATAGGACTATCTCCACTAGCTCAATTCGCACATTGTGTCAGGGCACTCCACTCATTCTGTGCGCTCATATCTAGGCACATTTTGCCTTCGTGAAATATCATCCTCCCTGCCACCAGTCTTATTGTGACGATCCCCAGGTCGCTGTATAAAGGAAGTAACAGCACTCCTACCAGCAACTAAAATCACTCCTTCTGTTCCTTAGGCACGGCCACGATCACTGACAGATTCTGCGGATCGTATTCCAGTAGATCAAGCATCTGCAATCCGGCGCGATCAAGCAACACCACCCAATCCCCTCTACTGCGCTCTGAGCCTCCAGACGTGGCAAGCATAGCAGTATCCATGACGGCAGCCCAATGCGACATCCCAAGGTCTGAGGGAATCAATTCATCTAAGATTATGCGGGACTCTGGGGCCATGGCAGGAATAATGCTTTGCAGGATCTTGACGCACATCTCGTCGGGCCAGTCGTGCAGCACGAAGCGAAGATAGTAGAACTTGGCGCCGCGGATAGGCTGAGGCTGAAGGAAGTCGTGCACCATGAACTCAACTCCATCAATGTCGGCGACATTTTCAATAACCTCCGCTCTATCTTGCACAATGATGCGACCCGGTACGCTGGGAAATCTTTGCCTGAACACCCTGGCCTGCTGTCCATGTGCGCCGCCTATGTCGACGAGTACCGGCCGCTCGTTGCTGTCAGTAACAAACTGGCTGAGCTCCTTTTCCACGGGGAATCGATCAATCCATTGGTTCCCGTAGGACAGCTGCATGCTTTTGTGCAGATTATGTAGATGCTCGGGATGCTGCTTCAAAAACTCCGGAAAGGTCAGATTCGTGCGATGCCCCACTTGGAATGCCGTATCGTCCTCGGACACGACCTGCTGATAGTTTCGGGCTCGTAGAAAGTCCGGAAGTGCTTGATAAGCAGGTCCGAAGACTGGCTGTCTAAAAACCGTAAGCCTTCTACTCGGAGCCGGCTTACTGTGGAATGCCCGACTTACTGGAACAGCAGCAGCGAGGTCAGGGCAGAATTGGCGAGAAATCCTGTTAGCCGATTGGATTGGAATGAATCTGCGCCAACTTGGTCAATCAGGCCCAGTGCTGCCTGTGTACGGAGAATCCGCCCTGCTCTGTTTTAGCATCTGCCGGTTTTCGATCCTGCATCACTTCCTCGCGGGCTTACTTATAAGTTCCGGGGCCGCAGCTGTTCGTTCTGCCAGCTTCGACCCCGTGAGAGGCTCGTCGCCCTCGTGGAGTGCCTCGAAGATATGGAGGTCGACCCCAATCTTGGTCATCGAGTACTTGACCGGCTGCCCTTGCATCAGCTAGATGTCGTGCGCAGGATGTGACGTGACTCACGCCATTGGCGGCCAAATCAATCATAAATTCCATTTCTGAATACAAGGACCCTTGCAGTCTGCGGATGTCACGGTGTATTCTTTCGCGACCCTCGGGGTCTGATTCAGCGTAGAGCTCTTTGATCTGCCGGACGATTGACTCCATTGTTGTGGCACTAGAATCAAAACCAGGAACAATGCCAGGAATTGGGGGAGGGGGGTATTTCTGGATTTGAGGACCTTGCGCTGAGAGCGGACCACGGTCTATTTATCCCTTGTCAAACCACCTTTCTTGATAGCCCAATGGAGGACAAAGCTCCCGGCAATCTCGTCCCGTGTTCACTTTCGGAGTCATTAGCACACCCAGGTTCATACAAGGTAGGATTCATTCAAGCAGGCCGCTCTCAAAAGCGTCCTTTTCTCAACAGGCTATAGCTGTCTAAGGCAATACACCTGTCCCACCATGACCCATCTTCCGTCCTCCAATCCACGATAGCTCCAGGCGCACTGTACGGCATGCTCTGGCGAGACATCCGTTGCACAAGGCCGTATTGCCGTACGACCTGCCTGTTTAGTCGGACCCCAAAGAGGGTGGATTGGCTCAGGGAATGGGCATGGATGGTGCTTGAAGCCTTCTCACATCCTGGGTTCCGACTTTTGATTTTCGTGGGTCTTCGTGTCCATAAGCTCGGACTGGGAGGTCTCAATTTCCGTGTCAAATCAGCCGGACCGTGTAATTCAGAATGTGATTCGCCCCAGTAGCGCAGACTTCAAGCTGAGGACCAGAATCATAGTACGGGGGCTGTGCGGCACTTCACCGTCATAATTCTGACAACGTGGACAGAGAACCTTGCAGATCGATACTTAATTAACTCTCAGATCGCGGATGGACATCATCGGGTGACCCTCCAATGTTGCCCATTTTCTGCTTGAAATGAAGACGTCAGCAACTGCGTAAATGTAAGCAGGGGCCCCCCGGCACCCTCTTCGACGCAAGATTCTTAATGATCTACAAGTCATACTTCCGGAGTAAGCCATAGTATAATCATCACGGAGCTTGCGACTGTGTGCTGTACCGGGACTTTCAGCATGGTCACCCCAAGATCACGGATCCTTCCTCCAGCAGTACAGTAGAATTCCATCAGCTATCGGCTTCCTCCGTATACCCCTGCATGCCCTGTGAGATATATAATGCACTCTCCAAAAAGGGTCATTGCCACCAGATAGTAACTGTACATCCGTGAACATACTCTACTGTATGCAGCGAATTTACTCTGCCTTTATGGGCTGTCAACCCTCTCACACTGTCCCAACCACCAGTTACAATGAATCGGAATGCCGTTTGGCGACGACTCGAGGCCTGGGTCTGGATTGGCTGCCATGCCACATACTCAAATCCCCTCGAGAAGTATACTCTCGTTCTGGATAATATGCAGGGGGGGATGTTTCATGTGTGTTATAGCAGACCCCGGGTCAACCTTGATGAGGGTGTGTTGATACAAGTTAGAGGCATGGTTGAGTCCGGAAAGGAGCTCAAATTCTGTCGCAGAACTGCTCTACAAACAGTAACTGGTTTGTACAACCACGAACTCGCTCGTCAGCCCATGTCCCAGAAAGGCAGATGATTTGGCGCGTAAGACATTCGACTGACCGAGAGGCCCGTGACGACTACATGCATCCTAGCGCCGACAAAGTATGTCCCAGCCCGAAGCAGTGTTCAGAATCCGCCTGGGACAAATAATCATGTCTTATGCTTAATCGCCGGCAAGTAAAGTGCACGGCTTTCAGTACTAAACTCTCCACGCCCCCGAACACACTACATCTCAGAATGGACCCTACACCTAGATCCTTTTTTCAACACAACCTTGTTGTGACAATGCCAGTTTACCCTTTGTCTTCTTTACCCGTATTCGTATTTTCCTTTATTGCCTTTTTCTTCTTTTCTTTTTTTGGCCACCCACCTTTCGTCTTCACGCTGGGTGAAGCGCCCCCCTTGATTGCTAATCTGCTATGCCACAAGGACAGACCGTCATCTCGGCTACTGAGTGACCAAAGTGGGGCACGTCTCAGGGGCTCCATTGTTGAGAGGTCGCTAAGTTCCCATCGCCAGGGATTGGTCAATAATGTCGTCGGGCAAGGCCTATACATTTGTGCAAGGGAACTTGTTTGTTCCCTTGGTTTTTGGTGCTCAGTTCATTGTTTGGAACTAGAGAACCCCTGTCACACTTGTGCGAGGGGTATTTCACCAGGGAGGTAGCTTCCACACAATCCTGTATAGCATCCTTGGGCGCATTGACAACGCGCACACGGGATACGAGAAATTAACTCGGTGTACGGGGTGAGACCTTGGGTGTTCAGCTTGTGACAGGCAAAATGGGATTGATCCTAGTAGGCCGCCGGCACTACCCAGAAATGCTTTCCTCAGTGAAAGAGGTTACACACCGACATTGGGACCAGCAGGGATCTTCACCATACCGGCACTTCGCCTCTCATGCCTTGCCACCAGGCGCTTTGCTGCCACAGGTCACTCTGCGGTCCGTCAACCAGTAACCGCCACTTTCGAAGAAACCACGGGGCGGCCTCCCAGCTGCGTTTATCCCATGGTTGGTCATTTCCTCCCCGCCGGGCAGCCCAGCAGATGAGGCCCCCATCGACGACGTCCTTTTTGAAGTCGAAGGCATCCAGCAAGAAGGGCGCCGTGGCCGCCAGCATGATGGCGCGAGCTCGCAGCCCGGGCAGCGGCAGAAGGTCGAGGATCGGATGGTGGGGAAACAGCACCTGCGGCAACGTGGGCTGCAGATGAGGCGGGATAGCAGGCCGCGAGACCGCCGCCAGCAAACCTTGTGGATCATCGGTCATCGTGACGGGACGGTAGAAGGGGGAGCAGAAGGATAGGCAGGAGTAGCTGGCGAATTCCTCGGGGCCGATGCCTAAGCAGCGTGCGTTGAAGGCAAAGGCTTGAAGGAGCGACGTCTTGGGCAATTGAAGACGATTGAGATAGAGATCTGCGAGCGCCGGTCGTGTTACCCCATCCTCGGGGGCAGGCAATGCTGCCTGGTTCAGTTCCACATCCGATTCCGCTATCCCCTCGATAAGCAATGGCTCCCCAGAGAACAGGTCCTGCCGGTTGGGGTCGCTATTCTGGCTATCCCCCGGAACACCCAACTCGAATGTACAAAAGGGATCCGTCGCCACATTCAATAGGCCATCACTCGACTCCACATCGGGGCCAGAAACGCCTGGCATGTTTGACACAGCCCGCGCGACATTGTCGATTCGGTCGGGCATGCCGGGATCGCTGTTCCAATCCAGGTCGGCCGCAAGACCGGCAATTGGGTCGCTCAAATTGGTGGAGCCTCGGGGAATAGGACCGTGCGAAGGGGGGTTTTGTAGCGGTGGGAGTGGCCGCAGCGTGGGATATCGCTGTGTTCTCGGTGGCTGCGCATTCTTCAGTCGTTCCTCTCTCTGTCGGCGACCTTGCACATCGAGTCAGCTGCAGGCAGTGGGATTCATGCCCATCGAATCACATACGGTAAGCCCGCTGCGCCATCCGGTTCTGCTCCTTGCGCGCCTCCGTCACCACGCGCTTACGTCGGCTGGGGATACGTTCCCTCTGTGCGGTCGCTTCCGGTGGACTCCACATGCTGGAGGATGGAGGAGCGATGGCTGGTGCATTCGGAACTCGTCTGGCGGACGCATTCGGCGTTCGTCTGGAGGGCCTTGCTGCCTTGGCACGTGGCTTACCTTCGGCCAGCCAATCACGGGCGGGCTTGGCGAGTAAGCCCCGCTGACTCAGCACCGGTTTACGGCCGTCTGCCAATGACACCTGAGAAATCCGGCATCCGGTCGGTCGAGGATGCGTCGAAGATGTGGCCGCAACCCCTTTATAAAGCCTCTCTGGGACCAGACTTGTCAATGTTTCCAATCACTTTCTCATGGTTCAAATTCGCTTCCTGGTTGCTTGGTTCCTTCAAGCGCTCCCTGCAACCGTGATATATCCGAAGCCCGCTTATTTGCTACCGTTCATACTGCCATGTCTACCTCGCGCAAGTTGCTGGTGGTCGTCGGGGCTACGGGCAATCAGGGCTCCTCCGTGGCCAAAACCTTTCTGAAATTAGATCACTGGGACGTACGCTGCGTCACGCGCAATGCGTCTTCTGCGGCAGCCAGGAAACTGGCATCGCTCGGTGCCGGTGTGGTAGAGGCCAACCTTGCCGATCTCGAATCGCTTCGCCATGCTTTTGCCAATGCCCATGCGATTTTTGTCAACACGGATTTCTGGGCTCTTTATCTAAGCTCCCCAGTCCGGGGAGCCCAGCCGAAGTCCAGCGAGGAGGCTTTTCAAGAGGAGGTGCTGCATGGGCAGAACGCTGCCATTGCTGCGGCGGAGATTCCGACGCTGGAGCGCTTCGTCTATTCAGCGTTGGGCCCGATGAAGAAGCATTCGCACGGGAAATACCCCCACTCATACCACTGGGACTCCAAGGCGACGATTGTGGAATACATCGAGCGAGAACAACCATCCTTAGCCCGCAAGGCTTCGTTTATTTACCCGGCCGTCTATGCCACCAATCCCCTCTTCATGCCAACCCTGAATCCCTCGACTGGCCAATACCAGTTCTTGCTACCTCTTCCCAAGGACTTGGAGATTCCAATTATCGATCCCTCCCACTCCACAGGTCCCTTTGTCCGCGCCCTGGTGGAGAACGAGCGCCCGGGCGTCAAGCTCCTCGCATGTGACGCCTCCCTGACAATCGACGCCATTGTGAAAGCATGGAATCGGGCAACTGGAAGGCCGGCGGAGTTAGTTGAGGTCAGCACGGACTACATGCATCGCGAGCTAGGAATTCCTCGCGAAGTGCTGGATGCGCCCCCCTATATCGCGGAGTTTGGATACATGGGAGGTTTGGACAATGTCCTCTACCCAAAGGATCTGGCCGTCAAAGTCCAGACTCCTTCCTTTACGGACTGGCTTGAAGCACAGAACTGGCAGCAAATTCTTGACGGAGGAAGGTCCGAGCTGACCTCGGTACTGGAGAATGCCGTCTGACGTTTTGAAGCTGGGATGGTTGGAAGTTGGTATCTCCTGAAGCCCATGGGAGCTGTTTCCTTGAGCATTTGTCTTGTAACTTAGCATCTGCGCATGGCACAAAGTGACTCTGACTATAATCGAATAAAACCCTGCAGTCATTGTTAATCTCGCATACGCAGTACCGCGGGCATTATCCTTTACATTTGCTTTCTGGAGTTCCAGAAATGCTCATACTGAGCTCTGTGAGGCAATAAGGAGGCCAATTACTTTTGTGAGAATGGATTGCAGTAGCTTTGTCCAGTACATCTAAAAACATAAAATGATTACATTCCACCCTCGTCTCTTGTTTTGTGTTCAGTATGAACGAAGAATGCTGACTCAGAATTATTAATCTCACAATTTATAACCATTGAGATCTCATGCGTTCGGGCGATGCAGTCCTTTCTACTAGCTGACATTCGGGTGAATTGTAACTTGTCTCGTCAGTTGAGTATAATTCCTTCAGTGAGATTTCGAGCACCTGCAACCCGCTCCGGGCTTGTCAGTCGTAGCTAAACACTAAGTAGAACCACTTACTCCATACGCTTGCCCAATACAGTGATTAGTGACTAGTTATACATGATTCATGGTTCCATTCAGGGCCTAACCAAAGGTCTTCCTGGTTTTATGTAAAATTTCTTCAAGTACCAACCAGTAGATTGTGGCTCAATAGGACTCAAGCATGCCATGTTCAGATCTAAGAACCTGGAAAATCCCCCGTTGTCTGCGGTTGGGAAAACCCGGTTCCCAGCTTGTGATATAGTTTAGCTACGTCATGTCAGATTATATATCGAACACTGCGGACGTTACATGCCTAATGCAAGGAGAATGTCTAGTTGGCACATCACTTCGAGACCCGTTGCATTATTCCAGTGCAGGCACATGTGTTTAAGCTCCTCTGCCCCATGTCCGGGGATAAATGTTCCTGATCTCTTCCGGCGAGTAATGGATGAATATCTGAGAAGGGGGTCTTTTTGACTTCGGCTCGGCTGGATTTAGCGTGTAGGCGGATAAAACCCAAAACGGGAAACACCCAAAGGAGACCAGGAAAGATTTGGCTATAGATCAGGTCAGGTTGAGACGCCCACACAAGTGCAGTCACGAATACATGCGACCCGGGCTCTGCTAGTGGATTAAAGCAGGAATTTCATTATGCAGCAGGACACGGAACTTTAAAGCCTGTCTCGCCAGAAACTAATTGATCAAGGCAAATTTGATAATGACGCATTAGATACGCACCGATACTGAGGTCTTCCGCTAATTTTCTACGGTGTCTCAATATCGATAGGGCACCCCGCCCATAGTATATTAATCGCACCGGTCCACCTGTTTGCGAAAGCTCGGTATATTACTCTTCTGACTTTCCAGCCGATGCGGACAGCTACCACTTGATAATCAAGCGTATATTCACAGCCAGAGGCGCAAATCACAACAATGCCATCTCATATCATCTCCTTCGACCTCGATTTTGCGGAGAATGTAACTCTGGAGCGAGTGGCCATGGTCTTATCTAGATACAAAGAATGCGAGCATTATGCGTACGAGCGAGCAGATACGTGGAGTTTGGGACTTGGAACTCACGCCTCGTTCATGATTGACGCCAAAGGAGAAATCGCGACAATTACCACCGGGGCACGGCGAGAAGAACATCCGGTTGGCGACTCCCTTGCTCAGGCCGCACGAGACTTTCTTTCCCAGCATGCGCAACCGGATCATAAAGTCTTTGGCCAGGTTGGATTCAACTACGCCGCACATACCCAAGGGATGCCATTTAAGCCGGGCAGTTGTCCTCTTTTAAGCCTGCTGGTCCCGCGTGTAGAGGTTCTGTTTCACCGAGACCAAATCACATTGACCGGGCCCCACGACACGGAATTAAAGGAGCTGTCCACCCTCATCATGGGCGACGCCGCTCTGGAACCGCATCCAGGATCAACAATCGATACGGGGGACCCTGCAGGAGAATACGTGAGTCAGGTTCAGCGAGCACAGGCAGATATTGCGGGAGGCAAATATACCAAGGTCGTTCCGTCACGTGCCGTCAGGCTGTCAACCCGAGTGGACATGGCAGCAACGCTTCTGTGCGGTCGACAGGCCAATGACCCTGCTCGCAGTTTCTCATTGAGCCAGGGTGGATTCCAGGCGACGGGGTTTAGTCCGGAACTGGTGATGTCCGTTCGGGAAGGCATCGTGGCCACCGAACCGCTGGCGGGAACGCGCTCGCGGCTCGGCTCGGCGGCGGAGGTCGAGAAATTAACGCAGGAATTAACACACGATCCGAAAGAAATAATGGAGCACGTTATGTCTGTCAAGGAAGCGATGGAGGAGCTAAATCGACTCTGTGTTTCCGGCACAGTCACGACCGATGACTTCATGTCCGTTCGCCCCCGCGGCAGCGTGCAGCATTTGGGATCTCGCGTCTCGGGCACACTGACAGCGGACAAGGACCCATGGGATGCGTTAGGTGTCACCTTTCCCTCAATTACCGCCTCGGGGATTCCGAAAAGGGCAGCCTTGGAAGGAATCCAGCGTCTAGAGAATCGTCCCCGGGAGCTGTATTCCGGCGCCGTCTTGATGCTAGACGGTCCCGATTCCTTCGAGGCGTCGCTTGTTCTGCGCACTGTATTCCAAGATCCACATCGCGCATGGATCCAGGCTGGGGCTGGAGTTATCGCGCAGTCCAGTCCTGACCGAGAACTCACCGAAACCCGCGAAAAGCTGGCCAGTATTGCCCCTTTTGTGGTCACAGAAGCTACGCCGGTGGGACTGTGCAGCTGTGGGGAGGGTGAATGAGAGACATGTTCGCTACTGGAGGCTCCGCTGTACGTATTTTGTTAGTCAGTACTCAGGTCCAACAGTCGATTTTGGCTCCATCAAGCTCCGTTGAGACCCGAGAGAGGGCCAAGGAGATTGTTGCTCCACAGCATCTGCATGCCTATTGCGTAGTGCGTATTAGGTACGGCATAGGATAATTAAAGACCCACATGCCGAGGGCACGCCAGAGAAGGAACCGAGCATCCTGATCGGGGCCAAACAATGGCAGTGTTGGAAGGCTAAATAGCGCTAGCCTGATGTCAGGACAGAAGCCAACGAACCAACACACTTCGAGCTCATCGAGGCAAATTATTGGTAATCGAGGCAAGTAGTCTTTTGCCCTATTGATGACAATGGATCCTGTCTGCAGTCCGGCTGAGACTCGTGGTTACCCGAACAGAAAGGGGCGAAAGGTGGGTGACATTGGCCGACTTGACAAGTACTCTGGATTAGAGCATTGGAGGATGAACATGATAACATCCAAACGGCCAATAATTTAGTCCCTTCAGACGGGCCGCCCTGTTATCTCGCAGTGTGGAGAAGAATCCAACTGTGACCCAATTGACAGTCTATGAGACTATAAGAGGCGAGAAAAAGCCAGTTTCCCAGTTTCGGTAAAAGATCTTCGAGTTTGCACTCTGTTGTTTTGACCGTATAATGTTCACTTTCGCGTCGTTGCTAGCCCTCGCGCTCGCAGGCCAGTCCCTGGCAAAAGCGCCGTATTGTCTCCCCGGCGATGCCACCTGCTTTCCGTCTACCGAGGAGCTCTCACGCTTCAATGTCTCCATTGGCGGGAAATTGCTGGCTCCCCCTCCATACGGCCGAGTTTGCTATGCCGACCATTTCGACGCGGCAGCCTGTGCGGAGCTCGTGGCCAACAAGGGGAATGGCACGTACCGCGAAGCCATTCCAGCGGCCATGATGTATACCAACATGGAGTTCACCTCCAACGGCACCGGCTGTCCGGTTCCCGCGGCCGCGCCGGAGAAAGGACTGGATGGGTCGTGTGAATTGGGAGCACTCGGTTCCTACTTTGTGCAAGCGACCAGTGCAGACGACATTAGCCAGGCCGTGAAGTTTGCCGCCAAACACAACCTTCGGCTGCGAGTGAAGAATGTGAGTCTCCCCAGGAAAGGATGATTCGGATGGGTGGCGTCATTTCTAATATGTGCTTCAGACCGGGCATGACTATACGGGGCGCAGCACCGATGCCGGTTCCTTTGTGATCCTAACTCAGGCGTTTCAAGAGGTCGAGCTCAAATCGGACTTTGTTCCTACTGGATGCAGCTCTTCCAGGTCGCAGGACGTTCTTCGCCTAGGCGCCGGTGTTGTAGCGCAGGATCTGTACGCCGAGGCAGCCAAGCTGGGAGTCGTCACCACGGGTGGTTTCTGTCCCACCGTTGGGATTGCCGGGGGATTTGCCCTAGGCGGAGGCGCGGCAGGGCCTTTCCAGCCCGTCATTGGCATGGGTGCCGATAGTGGGTGTCTTCTGTCTTGTCATCCTAGCAGGCATAGCGGACTAATGACCAACACCATGCAGATGTGGTTCAATACGATATTGTGACCGTCGACGGCACAATCACGGTCGCCAACGAGTGCGAGAACAAGGATCTTTTCTGGGCGATGCGTGGCGGAGGCGGCGTCTTCGCCGTCAGCACGGCCACCTACGTGAAAGCGCATCCGGCCTTCAAGGCCGTCAATGTCGTCGCGGGTCAGGTCTCGGCCGCCAACGAGAAAGCATATCGAAACCTCATCTCAGAATTTGTGCAGCGCGATCCGGAGTATGCCTCGGGCTTTAGCTCGGGGATCTGGGAGACCACCTACCCAAACCTAACGATCGTATTCCAAAAGGGATTCCAGGCAAACGAGACCCTCGTGTCGGGTGAAAAGTCAGCGAGCGCGTTTGACTTCCTCAATTCGCTTGACGACGTCACGGTAAGTCTGCAAGGCTTGCAGTTCGAGTCCTGGAGCCAGGCGTTCGAAGCTGTAGTCGGTCCCATCATGGAGGAAGGTAGTGCGGTTGGGGTCAACATCTTGGACATCAGTCGGGTCGTGTCGAACGACATGTTGGGCTCGAAGGATGGCCGACAGTCTATCGCGGAGTTCGTTACGGGTTTACCCCAAACCCAGCCTTTCATATTCCAACGAGGCAAGTGAACCCGGTTATGAAAGACATGAAACGAGACTGACCGAATTCTCAGTGGGAGGTGGCGCGGTGAACACGCCAGCAGCCGACGCAGTGAGTTTCCCATGAAGCCCCCTATCATGATAACGGCTCTTCTGACATGGATTTTCTCCAGACATCGGTCAATCCGGCCTTCCGTAAGTCGGCAGCTTACTTCGACATTCCCGTATTTGCCTCATCGACCGGCGGAACAACCTCGGTGCAACAATCCACAGCGCAGTCTCTCATGCCCCAGGCGGACCAAGTCTTCGGTCGCGACGCCTATTACAACGAGGGAAATCGACTGGAGTCGGACTACCAGGAACGGTTCTGGGGCAGCAATTACGAGGCTCTCTTGTCGCTCAAGAAGAAGATCGACCCGAACTGTGTTCTCACGGGCGCATTAACGGTAGGCGAGACCGAGATTTGCGGTAGTCGCTAATCAGTAAGCATTAAAACAATAATACCAGGGCAATCCATTCCAAGCTCCCGTTGCTTCGTGGTAGACCGTAGCCGTTCTAATGGATGTAGGTGGTCCGTGAAGTCAGAGGCTCGCCCGTGGACAGCGAGCAGCACCCGGGATCTATTCCCTGGATGCAAATACACAGGAAAGTGTCACCAGCGTTGTCTTCAAAGGGCCAGGGCTCATCATGTAGTCTCCTTGAGGATTTCCTGGCGAGCTGCATCGACATCGGTTCTCCCGATGCGGCCACTGTGACGTCGGAGATGACGTCAACCCTGGCTTGTGCCCGGTCGATCTTCTTTCTGCTGGGTCGAGGCTCGCACCATCCTCGCCAGGCTTCCAGTGCATCAATTCTCTTGAGTCAAATCAATATGCCCGAGGAACACGGTCGCAGGAAGAAAGTAGCCATCATTGGTGCTGGGGCGGCAGGAATGGCAAGCATAGACTCTTCAATGGCCTCCGGTCCTCGTGATACGTCGCCCACTAACGCAGCGCCTAGTCCTGCGCCTCCACTTTGGCGAACCATCCCGATCGCTTTGAGATCTCGCTATTTGACATTGCGGACTATACAGGGGGCCAGGCGACCTCCATCCCGTTGGACAGCTCCCGCCACGGCGCTGAATGGCTGAATGACGGAGTGCAGGGCGGCTCGCCTATTTTCCGACACACGTTCAACTTCTTTCGTCGATATGGATACGAGCCTCAGCCGGTCAAGCTGCAGGTGTCCTTTGGCAAAGGCACGGATAGCTTCTGGACCAACGTCTTCCCAAGCCCCCTGGTTGATCGCTACTCGGACGAGATCCGGAAGCTAGGTCGCGCGCTGAAATGGATCAAACGCTTGATGCCAATCCTCGGCGTGATGCCCGTTAAGGTGATCTTGCGGCTGTTCCGGTTCAGCCGCGACTTCTCCAATAAGATGGTGTTGCCGCTGATGGCACTCTTTCTAGGGACAGGCAATCAGACGCCTAACGTATCGAGCGTGCTGCTGGAGCGATTGTTCGACGATCCGCAGATGCGACTCTGGGATTACGATCCGGACACGCTGCTGCCCAACCAGCCCGGGATGTCGACGTTCCCCAATCTAAGCGACTTCTATCGTGACTGGGCGGCCGACGTGGCCGCGCGCGGCGTCGATCTGCGCCTGAACACGACCGTCGACATCCTACGGCGCGATAAACACGGCGTTTCCCTGCAATCGCGACCCGCCGACTTCCAGCCCGGCTCAAGCACGAGCTCCGCGGAGGAATTCGACGAGCTAGTGCTTTGCGTGCCTGCCGACGAGGCCAAGTCCCTGCTGGGGAGCAATGCCACTTGGCGCGAGAATTTCGTCCTAGGTGGTGTCAAATTCTACAATGATTTGACCATCACGCACTCGGACTCGCAGTACTTTTCCAGCATTTTTCAAACCCGATATGCATCCGATGTCTGCGCGCCCGCCAGTAACGAGTCGCGAAAGAAGCAGATCGACTTTGCCCGGAAGGAGGCGCGAACTCGCAGCGACGGGTGGGAGGGCTTTGCGCCGATGTACTACATCCATTCGTATGTTTCGGATCCGGCCAAGATCGAAATGGGGTTCGACTGCACGCATTATCAGCACCAGTTCCGCGAAACCTTCGGCCACGATGTCCCAGCTCCCGAACCCGACCGACACGTCTATCAGACCATCTTCCTCGACGATCGACAGAAGCACCTGTGGACGTGCGAGGGAATCCAGAAGGACAAGATCATTGCGCGCAAGGACTGGCATCAATTTGGCCACCGCTGGCAGCATTACCTACGCGTGGTACCGGGCATGATGTTTATCAACGGGAATAACCACACGGTATACGCCGGAAGCTGGACGATGGTAGTAAGTCGCACCCGGTGGCGGTCGCATGAATAGAAGCTGACGAGAGACAGAACATGCACGAAATCGCCTGTATCTCCGGCATTGCGGCGGCGTACCGACTGGGCGCCACGTACGAGGCGTTCGATGATTTTGCCGAGGACTGTTTCGGTAAATACTTGCTCGTGTGCCATGGCATTCGATACAAGCGAGCCACCTGTGGGAATGGCGAGTCCAGTTAAATTTGAGGTCTCATTTCAGGTCTCTTTGAGAGCAAGGTAATAATAATAAGGCATCAACGGCTCCGTATGAGCAAGCTTGCAGGCTGATTGATAACCATGTCATCTAAGAGGGGGTAGCCACATCTCTCCTGTTGCAAAGGCAGTGCACAAATGCACCCCATGCCTGCAGATGTGGAAGCGCATGCACCGGATGAGCTACCTACCTTATGATTACCAATCCCGTCTCCATCGCTGTCGCGGGAAGCAAGCGGTGGTGCTCGTCGCCCAATCATGACCAAGGCAAGTCCCGATATAAAAGGTGCAAAAACTGGTGATCATGTCCACACTAGCAATTTCGACATAATTATACTTCTACTCTAGCAAAGCTTCATAGACGTGTCTTTTGTCCACGGTGCATGGATGTCTCGAGTTCTTTCTGGTCCCCATCTGGGTGCTATTCCCACAACACATAATCGGGGAAGTACCGGTCGTGAATTCTCCTCGCGTAGTCGACTACGGCTGGAAAGCTTCGGATGATCTGTTGAGTCTCCGGGGCCCTTCAACAGCGCGGTCACGTTAGTTCGGCACCTGTATTAGGGGGGCAAGTAACGTACGCATAGCATATTAGGCCGGAGGTGACGAATCCGAACAGCACCGCGTCAGCCTCGGTGGGCGTCTCGCCGGCCCAGATCCAAAATGGACCATTGCCATCGCTACTCCGTGACCGAGCGGCCACGACGGCGGCATTGATACTCTCCCAGATTTCGTGTCGGAAGGTGGCAATCTCGTCGTCCGAGAGGGTCAGCGTACCTTGACCTTGCAAGGTGCGGGTATTTTTGCGGTGAATCAGATGGCCCACGAGGACCTGCATGGGCCATGGCAGTCCGGCCAGGATCTTGCCGCGCATGGTATAGAAGTTCTGAATCCATTTTTCGTAGGACTAAGTAGTCGAAGGTCAGCGCCCGAGACGAGAGAACGACATGGTCCACTGAGATTCTACCTGGTAGAAATACAGTTTGTCCTCCAGCAGCGCCTTGAGCGCAAGATCATTGAGCTTCTCTGTCGGCGGCAGGCCGGCATCCAGGTCCGCCACCAACCCGCTGCGTACCAGTGTTTTCGTGATCAGAGTTGAGTCGCCGATGATCTGGGGCGTGCTGCCGCCCGAGGGATTGTGGCTCTCCGCAAGCGCCACGTACGGGATCTTCCCTCGAGGCGCAAGGCGCACAGAGCCTTGCTCGACGGAATATGGCAACCCGGAGAAACGCAAGCGGGCTTCCAACTTGGTGACAAAAGGAGACCAGGTGTAGCATCCGGTCTCTGGAAACCCGCGAAAGAGCGTGAGGGATGGGGATTTGGAGGATTCCATGGTCTGTCTGAGCGTGTGGCACGGTACCCAAGAATCAAGCGATCGCTTCATCCTGGAGACAGAACACCGGTATCACATTATGTACTGTATCTCGTCGGCCTTCGGGGACTCCGCGTCCGATCGGGACCCGATGAAAGGCGAAGAGGATTTGGGGCCGTTGACAGCCACCGAGTCCGAACGGCTTCATGTTTACTCCGTGCGCTTCACCAACGGACGCGTCGAGGTGATCAGCAACCACCCGCTGGGATGCACGGAGGTCGGGGCAATCCTTCGCAGCCACGAGTCATCTGAACCCTCGAGGTTAATGACATCTCCGTTATACACGGGAGGAAGGTTGCTGGGAAGAGACCGACGATGTCCAGGCGAGAGGGTAATCTAGACGCGCTACTCGCCGCCTATTGGCTGGCTCCGCGGCAGGTGCCCCACATGTCCCAACTAAGGTTCCCCTTTGGGACAGGGCGCTGACTCATCGGGCAAACCCGTCAAACCATCCAAACCGACCAAACCAACCAAATCGTCCAAACCACCCATCCATCGACAGCAAATCGCCTGGGAAATCCTCCGAGTGGCTTGCTGCCAGACATGATGTGAATCATCCCATTTGCTCTGCACTCCGACCAGTCGATTCAATACAGCCATGTCGTCATCCATGGAGCTATTTACCATCCACCATATAAGTCAATGGCCGCGACATCGTCTCTCCCCGACTAGATTTGGCAGTCCATCCCCCTTCTGATCAGCCTGCACTATGGCCAGTGACCCCGTTCGTGAATATGGCCTCAGCGCCGTGCCGTCTTCGGCAGAGAAGCTGATCGCACCCGCCGTGCAGCGTCGCGGCACTCCCCCGGCGGCCCTGGTGTCCACGACGCCCGTCCCTCGGGTTGACTAACGGGGCGCAGACAATACCGGCATGCATTCGCAGCTGGTGCATCCCGACACCGTGCGCGACGTCAATCACCGGTTCCCCCGACTGCGCTGGAGCGGTTGCTTTGTCGACACCCTGCGCCAGGAGATCCGACTGAAGCCCTGGGCCCATAGCACCACTCTCGGCGAAGAAGAATTCCCGGCCAAGATCTTGGGCAACCCCTACGCGGTGGAGTATGAGTAGGAGATCCTGTGTAGGGTGGACAATGTGTCTGACAGGAATTTAACTTCTCGTAATCCAACTGTTTACCAATGGCTTCGTCTCCCAATTGAGAATTACCCGTCATAATCCTTTGCGAATAAATCTTGGCAGTAAGTGTGCATGAGTGGTTGAAGTTGATGGGTGACAACTATATATATTGCTTGAGAGTAGTCTCCTACCCGACGGCGGCGGAATTTCCTTGCGCACCCCGAGTTCAAGGAAATACAAAGGACACCGAAAATGGCCCAGACAACCAGCTAGGTAGTACTCGGCATGCCTCCGTGTCGGGGGGCCGTTCCCGACCGGGAAAATGGTCGGCGGCGTCATCGGGTTGGATGCCTGCCAAACCGCGTCATTCGGGGATGCCTGCTAACGCGGCACTACAAATACGACCCTCCAGGACAGCCAACATTCCCTTCCGACCATCGACTCAAAACCATCTTTGCTTTTGATTGTGAACCGGAACCATGGCGATTACGGAGTTGGCCCTCGTGCGTCTCAAGTCGCCCGACGACTCCACTACGCGGGCAGGAATGCTGGCCGCCATCGAAGCGCAGGCCGCCTACTCGACCTTCCCCGTTTATCTCCTCACTCAGATCGAAGACCCGTCCTACGTCTACATCGTGGGCGGATGGGCGTCAACGGCGACGCACATGCAGGACTGGATCGCCAGCGAGATCAACCAGAAGGTCCTGACGGCGCTGCAGGACCACGTCGAGGTGTGCTGGATGATGCACGTCGACATCGACCCCGGCGAGCCTGACGGGCGCCTGCCACTGGACGCGCCGGTGCTGGCGATCGGGCGCCACTTCATCGCCGACGGTCGGAAGGAGGACTTTGGCCGCACGTTTGACGCGACGAAGAGTCACCTGCAGCGCTTCGCGGCGCCGCACGGGGTCCGGGGCGGATGGCGGATCGAGCCTCAAGAGACGACGGCGGAAGGGGTGACGAAGGAGGAGTTTGTCCTATTCAGCGGCTGGACGGAGGTGGCGCAGCATGATGGATTTGCCGAGACGGCGGGATTCCAGGAGTTCGCACGCATCAAGGAGTGGCTGGAGGGGGCGGAGATCAAGCACGCGAGGGTGTGGGAGAGGAGCGACGGGAAATAGACGAGGGATGGAGGGATGGCGGAGAGAGATGCAGCGATGAAGCGATAAAGAAAGGAGAGAGAGAGAGAGAGAGAGAAGGTCCGCCGGAGGGCAGGTGGGCCGAGGCGGGTGAGTCAGCCGCCGCCTGGGGCATCCCGGAAGTTTGTTTGGTTTGCCTGCTTTGCTTGCTTTGCCTTTTGTGTCAATTTGTTTTCCTGTTAGACTTTCTTATACTTGCGACTGTCAAAGTGACTTCCATCTTCCATCTTCCTCTCTGGCAGACTTCCGTCAACATCTTCATCCACCTCCCACCCTCAATCTCATCCACTCCGTATGATCCATGGCCCCGTCCGATGAAGACACGAGGTTCACCGCTGCCCTGCACCGCCAATGAGCGATCGTCGGGCTCCACTCGCGCTCTGTTTTTCTCATTTCCTCCCCCGCAGATTCCATCCGTCATCCCATCCCACAGTCTGATCATTCGATTTATCAGATTGCTTCTCCTTCTCCTTCCGTCCTTCCCCTCTCCCGGTTTTCTCTCTTCTCCCTCTCCCTCCCTCCCTCTCTCTCTCCATCCCCCTCCCCTCGCCGGTCCATATGTCCTCGAACAGCACGGCCAGTCCTGGACATTGGATCACCGGCAGCTACACCGGCGACAGCGATGGGGTGCGCATCGCCATCGCCACCTTTGTGGCCGTCGCCTGGTATAACGTGATCGAACTGATCAACTTGATCTTCCTGACCTTCAAACGCTACCAGGGGCCCTACTTCTGGAGTATGCTGGTGTCCGCCATCGGCGTCCTGCCCTACTCCGTCGGCTACCTCATGAAGTTCTTCGCCCTGACCACCGCCACCTGGCTGCCCATCACCCTGCTGACCGTCGGCTGGTGGATGATGGTTACCGGCCAGTCCTTCGTCCTGTACTCGCGCCTGCATCTGGTCCTGCGCGACCTGCGCTTGCTGCGGGTCGTGCGCACCATGATCATCCTGAACGTCTTCTTCCTGCACGTTCCCACTACCGTTCTGACCTACATGGCCAACTTCAACACCTCGCCCACCACCGTGCGCGGCTACGACATCATGGAGAAGGTGCAGCTGACCGGCTTCTGCGTGCAGGAGGTCATCCTGTCCGGCCTGTACATGTGGGAGACCAACCGCATGCTGCAGCTGAATCCCGACCGCGCCACCCAGAAGACCATCCTGCAGCTGTTCGCCGTGAACCTGGTCTGTATCCTGATGGATATCGCCCTGATGATCATCGAGTTCCGCAACTTTTACATCTACCAGACCACCCTGAAGGCCACCATCTACAGCATCAAGCTCAAGCTAGAGATCGCCGTCCTGGGAAAGCTGGTCTTCATGGCCCATCAGCACGTCTGGCGCTCGCCCTTCGCCGCCGGCACCGGTCGCACGCCTTCCTTCGTCGACGCCGCCCGCGTCGCGTCCGATCTGCATCATCCCACCCCTTCGCCCAAGTCCGGTCCCGCGCAGCTCGACGATCTGCACGTCGACGTGCGATGAGGCCTGGTTTCTTTCCGGTTTCTCCCGATCCTTCGTGCCGCCCGCCTCGCAGGACGGCCTGCGATGACGCCGTTCGATCCAGCGTGCATGTCCCGATCCTTTTCCTGCCCCCAACCCACGCCCCCTCGGGGACGAAAGGTCGACCGGGTCGACGTCCGTGCGAATGGAACGTATCACAGTCCCCCAAATTCGATTGCCAAGCATTGGCCCTCCCCCTTGCAGCCAAGGGATCGTATGCCGCCGAGTCCGTGCGACTCCCAGACAGCTATGGTTGGCACGGCACCCTCCCCTGGGGAAGAGCTCTCGGGGCAATACCTGTGCAGGCAATGCCAGGGGGATGGGGGTGGGGGGAACCCCGTCAAGATAATGAGACGCACTTCATGATGTTTACGACATACATAGAGTTCCTACGATAATAGACTAATTCCAATGTCGGTCGCATGGACCGCAACGCCTGATGATCTCATCTCCAATCCCCGCTCCGGCATCTCTAGCATGATCTCTAGTAAACAAAAATAAAATCCTCGTTCTTCAAGTCCGTCGTATCCAGGAACCCCTTGTCCTCGGCGGGCGGCGGCGTCACGTCCTCCAGCTCGACAGCCTTGCCGGCCTCCCGCTTGTCTTGCGTCATCATCGACTGGTCGACGATCTGCGCCGATTTGCCCAGCGCCTCGCGTTTCTTGGCATGCTGCTTGTTCAGGAGGACGAGATACAGGTTCGTAATTCTGTGACGGTGAGCGTCCGACTGGATGGCTGATCGGGTCAACGAGTGCTTACATGGCGATCCCGGCGACGACCACGAACAGGATCAAGTTCGAGATGAGTCCTGGCCGATACAAGGGGGCTTGCGAGGTGGAATAGAGTTGGGGGCCGATGACCTGCGTTGTCAGTTTCTGATCTCGATTGGGTTCGAGGCGATGCCTACATTGCCCGTACACATGCCAATCAGCACCACCGCCGAGGTGCATTTTCGCTTCGTGTCACCAGCGGTGTTCTGCGCCTCCCATGCATAGACCAAAGGCGTGACGGCCGCCAGGCAGGAAACCTATCTCATTAGAGGGATTCTGTGACTGCGAGGGAAGCACGTACCAAATAATATCCGAACAGCAGCACTCCCTTCTGCTCTCGCGGCACCACGATCATCAGCAAGGTGCCGACGGCGGCGATGAGGGAAAAGCCGACGATGACCAGTCCTTTGCGTTGGAACCGCGTCGCCAGCCAGCCTCCGCCTAGAACCGCCACCACCTGGATGACGCCGAAGGGAATGTTGAAGAGGATGGTTTGAAAGGCATCGTACCCGAACGACTTGATGATAAGATTGCCAAAGGTTCCGATACCACCGCTGGGGATCCTGGATACCATCAGCATTATTCTTTGGGCACTATGGAGGGACGTACGAGATGGCGACGATCAGGAAAAACCAGCACCACGTCTTGAGATCATACAACGTTTCCCAGACGTGATCCCAGCGCCATTGTCGCGAGATGATTCCCATTTGATTGGCCCGCAGCCGCTCGACCGCGATGATCTTCTCGCGTTCGTTCAGGCACTTTGCTTCCATGGGGGAATCGGGCATGAGAAACAGCACGACGAAAGAGTATGCCACCGTCAGTAGACCGCAGAACATGAAGATGATCTGATAGGAGAAGAGAGTGTCGCTGTGGATGTGCCCGAGCCCGTAGGTGAAGAGGCTGCCGACCTGCAGTCGAGGTATTAATGTCGCCCAAATTCGGGATTAGGGACGCATACGTACAATGAAGGTGACTCCGTTCATCATGTTCCACGAGGCCGTCCGCATCGTTTGCTCACTTCGGCGCCACCACATTTGCGTGACGGCAACGCAAGACGGGGCTGCAGGTCAGCCAAGCAAGTCTGAATAATCGAGGTGGGAACGTACCGATCATCGCCTCGAATGCCCCCAAGGCGAACCGAAGCCCCAAGAGGCTTTTGAAATCGGTGCAAGCGGCCATGATGGCCAGGGAGCTGCCCCAGAATAAAATGGCGGATCCGATCAATTTACCCGTCGGTGCTTTGACGAGCAGAAAGGCCGCTAGAGGCTGCATCACCAGCTGGGCCAAGTACAGGATGGACCCCAGCCAGGAATACTCCTGGCCCTGGAGATTGGCGTCCTCCACGATGCCGAAGATTGAGACATAGGAGAGGGAGGATTTATCGAGCTGTTGGAAGAAATAAGCACCGAGGATCAAAGGAAGAATACGTCGATCGATGCGTTTCAGTACGGCCTTTTCCTCCTCGACCGTGAAGGTATGATGCTCTCCAACGCTGGCGAGGAACTGAGCCGCCTTCTCTGCGGTGGCATCCCTGCCATTCTCGACGGGCTCGACCGTGATGGCGTCCTGCGAGGGAGGATGGGCCATGCTGGACTGATCAGGAATTAAGAAGGGATTGCAATTACGTGGTCTTCCACCTCCACCCCTGCCGGCCTACCCCCGGTTATATAGAAGCCTCCGGATTGAAATCCCCCGACCATCAACTTGGGCGAGAATAGGCTGTAGGGTAAATAGAAGCGGCATCCATCTGCTTCTGATCGGCACGTATCTCTGGGGTTTACCCCCACGTCCCCCAGATTCCCCCGCATTGAGAGTCCTCGTTGTGATTGATGGAAAAACGGCGACACTTGGCTGTCATCCGTCAAGGATGCGATCTGCATCTCGGGCCAAAGCAGCCCGACCACGCTTATATACACGCCACGGAGCTTGTCGTGCCTGGCGTTGCCGTGCTTCTTGGGTGAGCCGATCCGCTTCCTGTTCGCAGTCAACATGAAGAAATACGCCATCGTCGGCACCGGCGGCCGCGCCATCTTCTTCTACTCGGCTCTCGTCAGCGACTTTGCCTCCACGGCACAGCTGGTGGCTTTTTGCGACAGCAATTCCACTCGCATGGCCTATGCAAACTCGCGCCTAGAGGTACTTGGTCACTCCGTCGTTCCGACATATCTCGCGGGCGATTTCGACCGCATGATCCGGGAGACTAAACCGGATGAGATTATTGTCACTACCATCGATCGCACCCACAACGACTACATCGTGCGAGCCCTGGACCTAGGATGTAATGTCATCACCGAGAAGCCGATGACTATCGACGCTGCGCGATGCCGACAGATTCTCGACGCCGTCGACCGGACCGGAGGGCGCGTGCGCGTCACCTTTAACTATCGTTACGCGCCGCACAACACCAAGATCTACGAGCTGCTCTCGTCGGGCGCGATCGGCCAGGTGAACTCGGTGCATTTCGAATGGATGCTCAACACGTCGCATGGCGCCGATTACTTCCGGCGCTGGCATCGGGACAAACGGAACAGCGGCGGCCTCCTGGTGCACAAGTCCACGCATCACTTCGACCTGATCAACTTCTGGCTGCAGAGCCACCCCGAGACGGTCGTCGCCATGGGGGACCTGCGGTTCTATGGGAAGGAGAACGCCGAGAAGCGCGGAGTCACAAAATTCTACTCGCGCGCCCACGGCAGCCAAAACGCCCGCGACGATCCGTTCGCTTTGCACCTGGACCAGAATGAACAACTGAAGGCTATGTACCTGGACGCCGAGAGGGATGACGAATACTACCGGGACCAGAGCGTGTTCGGCGACGGCATCAGCATTGAGGACACGATGGGCGTCATGGTGCGGTATCGGTCGGGTGCCGTGCTGACCTATAGTCTGACCGCGTATGCCCCTTGGGAGGGCTTCCGGGTCTGCTTCAACGGCAGCCAGGGACGCCTAGAGGTGGAGGTGGTTGAGCAGTCGTATGTCAACTCGGGGGGCGAGCAGTCGCTAGAAGGCGCCCTCGAGAGTCGGACCATCCTGCTTCGTCCTATGTTTGGGAAGCCGGTCGAGATCGAGGTACCGCACGGCTCGGGAGGTCATGGCGGAGGCGATCCGCAGCTGTTGAATGATCTGTTTGGCGATGCACCGGTGGATCAGTGGCGTCGAGCTGCAACGCATATTGACGGGGCGCGTTCGATCCTGACCGGCATCGCGGCGAACCTCTCGATGCAGAGAGGAGATGTTGTTCGGGTGGACGATGTCTTGAAGATTTAGATCACATATCGAATGTAATTCTCAAATGCAGAGCATCAATTCGATTCCGTATACGTTTGATAGGTCAGGTGCCGATGAGACATGGAACCTGCCCTGCATCCAGAATACAACGCCACCAAACACATGGAGCTCAACCAAGAGGCGTCGATCTCTCGGAAGACAGCATCACCACCTCGTGGACGAGTTGTCTCTTCTGTCCAACGTCATTCCAGCGGGAGCATCGAATCCGACTTTGCGTAGGGGCTTCCGACGACACAAGAGAGAAGTCGACAACGCGACTTTCCTCCGATGGAATGCATCCTGGGCGGGACAATAAATCCGTCGTGTGGATTTCACCCGACGAGTTCCCCGTCTCCTCCAGCGCGATGACGGCAGCGAGCAGCTGAGCGGCTGAGGCACCCACATAGAGACTTTGTCGCGGAGGTCCACGAAGCTGGAATTCTAGAGCTTGTCGGCGCAGCAACGGGTTCCGACACTTTAACGTCGTCACAAACAGGGACATCCCAACGCCCATGTCAAAAACAAACGGGGGCTGATGCCCATCCTCGCGAGCAGTGGCGGCCAGCGCCACCGGAGCATGGGCGACGATCTGGGCAAATTCCTGATCGTAAGCATCATACACCGACTCGGTCAGACTGAGGCACGTTTGAGTGGAAAGTAGGAATGTCGTGTATGTCACCAGTAACGACGCGATGATCCCGTCGTGGATACTAGGATCAGACTTTGAGCCAGATGTGCTGATGTATCGAGCCACCTCCTCCATGGACTCGAATCGGTGATACCATGCGACGAATTCACGCTCCAGGGAATTTTGGCGTCTGTGGAGCGTTTCTCTGACGCTAGGAACCTCTCTTGTATTGGGGTGATGACGAACCGCTTTCCAGTCGTCGTCGAGAATTTTCCACTTTGTCACTAGGCCGTAAAGGCTGCCTCGGGCAACATCCAAAGATGCATGCATATTCTGGACACTCACGAGGGTGTCGCCGTGATCGAGATGGTCGGGGAAGTAAGCGATTCCTCCCATCATCCGAGCCAACGGGCCCAAACGCTCAAAGACGCGTGCTGCCATGTTAATTGGGAACAGATGCATCAATTGTTCGGCCGGTGCAGCCCGCATCAGCTGCATGCCCTGCCGATATAGGACCATGGCGGCTTGCATGTTTCCCTGCAGGATTTCAATACAGGCGAAGAGAATGCAACTAACGAGGGCGACAGCCAGACCGGCTTTCCCTCGCAGAATCCGGGTTTGGATGCTCTCGAGAGATCGGGAATACCAACCCAGGCCCTCCTGCTGGGATCGACTCCGCGAGACAGAAGGTTGGTTCAGACCAACCTGTAGGCTGCGCGGGAAGCGATAGAAGGTGCTCAGCGCCACCACGGCGTCCCAGACTGCCGGCTCCGAGCGCGAGATCTGAAGCACCGCGCCTCGCCAAAAAGACAGGTCCAGAGCATCTGAGAGGGCGGGGGCGGCATGATAAAAGTAATACTCGAATGCGCGTCGTTCTCGCTGCACGGGGGAGATCTCGACGGGAGACGCTCGCGGTCCTGGGGAGCGAACCACCAGGGCGAGGTAGTCGCACTTGCGACCAGTGCTTGCGCATCGACGGCATTCTGGTCGTTCCTCTCCACATTTAACACGACGAGTCCTTGCGGTTTGGGGTGTTGTTAGTTGGGCAATAGGGGTAGGGGATGGTACGGGATAGTGGGTCAGAGAAGCGTTTACCTGCATGTTCGACAGCCGGATTTCGATCTCATTCTCTCTATGGAGCCGACAGAGGGAGTGCCAACCTTCATCGTAGCGGTTGATCAGTGTCAATGCTGCTGGCGGCGAGAACGAGGCCGGGATGACAACCGGCGTTGAGGCCATCGCGAGAACGCAGACGAAGAGAAGAGACCCAAACAAAGGCGCTGATTGGCTGCCTCGGTTAATGACGTCATGCTCCCAATGCGGGCTGGCGTCAGTGCCTGAGGTGTTCCTGTCATGGCTGTCGACTGGCCGGATATACAACTATAACTACGCAGTAGGTGGATCCACTGGGACTGCTGGCTGCAGGAACTGCATTCTATTTCATTGTATAGCAAATCTTTGACCCTTTTCGTTTCCGGTCTACTCCCTATCACGAATGGAAGAACAAGCAAGCACGCAGTCTAGACAGGCTAACAAATGGTCTCCGCATCCATACTTAAAGCAATCACTCCACATTTGCGGATAGTACATTGCATCAAACCATACTTTTAGTCGATGGCTTATTATACCCCCTTGCTAACAGTCCAACGAGAACTAGTGTCAACGTTGCCACGGCCTCTGGCCCGAAGAACAGCCCGAAGCGGAACGGTAGTGTCTGGCTGGCCAAATCAATCTCCGGAACTGGGGCAAAGACTAGGCAGATCATGGAGACCAGGCGAATGGTGACGCACAGCCCGGCAATCGTGCAGCCGACCAGGAGCTATGATCGAGTCAGCAAAAACCTCAGGCTAAAGTCCCGCAACTTTGTGTCCTTACTTTCGAGCCAGCATGAGAGGACGGAGCCGGTGTGGAGCCCTCCAGAGAACTTAGAGCCCAAGTCATTTGAAACCCACATGTGATTGTATTCGAGACTAACCCTACCCCGACCAGAGCAGCATCTCTCCTGTAGATCCCGGTCCCGGCGATCACAGTTGAAGTGCCGATTAAAATGTATAAGCCACAAACGGGAAACCAGAGACAGCAGTTATCCCGGACCGGGTGTCGAAACAGGCGACTGGAGCAAATAAAGATATCATCAGATCAAGAGATCAATTTCAAAGGCTGGGGACACTCACCCTTCCTGTACCAATCCGACGGTCGCCATCATTAGAGCAGATATGACTGTGACTTCCACTAGATTTGCGCTGCTGCTGGTGCTTTGATTTGTGCCCAGGGCTCCCCCAATAACGTGGACCAGACAGAAGATGGACAAGCCAAGCCATCCCAGGAATCCGTTAGGCCAGTGGCACCGGGCCACGAAGAGGACGACGAGAAAGAGTGGCGGGTAGAGTATGAGTTCCGCTAGAAAGAAGAAATCCATAGTGAATGTTGGACCACGATGACCTGATTCTGTTGGATGTAGAGCTGCAAACTCAAGCAATTCAGAAGAAAAGAAAGCAGTGAAGATTTTCTGGCGGTGGGCAAGCTCGACATCAGACATCGTCATGATGAGGGTTGGATTACCGCATCACCACGTCTCTGCAATGACGAAGAACCGACGGGTTTCAGCATCATCCGTACCGTACAGAGGAAGGGCCAGAGAATAATTCTCCCACAGGACTTTGTAGACCAGATCAGGCAGGTCAAGGGCCGATCCTGATCGACTCCACCGGTTAAGCGTTGGGGCCAAATCCTGCCACTTGTCCCAGTGCAGTTAGCAGTTCCTCACCCCCAGCAAAATGGCTGTGTCTTTATTTCTCTTGCACGGCTTTGCCTGACTGATCGGACTTTTATGCCCGTTTCTCGCCGAACTCTAGTGCGTCCTCAACAAGGTCACCTTCTCGGTGCTCTGTAATGGTCTATCGAGGCCGGCCCAGCGCTGGGTGCAGCCGGTGCCGGACTCGCCGGTTGAAAGTGGGATTTCCCTTGTGCCCCTGGATTGCATCCTGAGTGCTAACTGATTGTCGAGTGCGATTTAAAACGACCATCCTGCTCCCAGTGTGTACGCGCTGGCTGTCAATGCGCCGGATATCGCAACCCGGCAATGATTCGCTTTCATGATGAGAGCCAGCAGATTATGGAAAGAGCTCGTCCCGGCGAGAGGAATGAAGATGTGACTCTCACGTCGCGGAATCTCAGCATCGCGACTGTGGATATACCTATTAACGACCGTGCTGCCGGCTTTATCATCACGCACTACGGGCGCGGGGGCTCAGGCCAGTCGGCAGGTAGTCTGGCCTTTTTGATCGACCTACTGCCGACAGACCGAGGCTGCTTGTTGACGCCGGCCGTTCATGCCCTAGGACTGGCATCCCTGGCTAACATCTATCGATCGCCACGACTCGTGCTGGCCGCCCGGGCAGAGTATAGCGTTGCCCTGGCGGCGACGAACGCAGCACTGCAGGACCCGGGGCGCTGCCGAGCCGACGCGACGGTCGCCGCCGTGATGCTGCTGGCCATGTATGGCGTCGTGACGTGTCAGAGCACGTCGATCATCAATCGCTGGCTGAGCCATGTTGACGGCGCGATGAAGCTGCTGGAGCTGCGCGGATCCGCGCAATTGGCGGGTCCGGTTGGCCTGGAGATGTTCAGCCAGCTCCGTCTTCAGATCGTACGTGCCATCTCTAAACAGCGAGAGAACAGATGAATGCTAACGACATTGCAAAAAGCTCTTGAGCAGCCTCTATCGCCGGCGATACACGCCGGAGTGGCTTCTAAATCTCTCACACGAGGCCCTATCGTACCGCACCCCGGAGGATCGTGTGCAGGATGTGTTTTTCGGTCTCTTTGCGCGCGTGGGGAATCTTTGCGCCGCCTTGCGTGACGGTTCGCTGCGAGATCCGGGCGAGGTATTACAGACGGCGCAACAGATCGACGGCGAGCTCGTGGAATGGACGCGAACAGTACATCCGAGCTGCAGATTTACGCTGTGTGATTTGTCCAACGGCGAGCAGGGTCCCAGTTTGCCGCCCGACGTGATGCAGTATCATATCTATCCCGACATTGGCGCCCATCATCTGTGGAGCACCTATCGCATTGTGCGCATCGTGGTGCACGAGCTAATCATAAAGTTCTGTCAGCAACTCCAGGCTTATTTGGGCAGCTTGCACCCCCAACACGCATCAATATGCACGCACAGCATTGCCATCTCACGAGGCTTGGTCGCGGAGATCTGCGCCAGTGCGCCGTATGTTCTCGGCGTCGGGAACAATGACAAAGACTCTTCTGCAGCCGGCATGTACCGTCTTATGTGGCCATTTTTCATCGCAGCCAACTCGGTGGTCTGCAGCCCCGAGACGAGGGCGTGGATCGTGCAGGGCCTGGACCAGATCGGTCACCGCGTCGGGATTTATCAATCGTTGACTCTGGCACAGGTCCTCCGTAATGGACAGCGCGATCGCCAGGCCAATGAGCCCGACCCGGAAGACATCATGCTACATGAGCAGTCCATGCGACGGGGTCGCAGAATTGGAGTGGAAGTGCAGGAGGGAGCCACGGCTTGGGGTGAATAAGTCTAAATTGATCGCTCTTGACTGTCTAGGCATATAATATAAATCATGGCAGCAATCGAATTGCCATGCATCACACCCCTTCCTCGCTCTACGTCGTGGTCATACTCTCCCTCCGCTAGCCTGACTCAATACACTTTTCCACTCCAGCTCGTCGGGGCTATCCGCGTGGATGAATATCTTTAAGTTCAGCGCATTCTTCAACTGCTCATTCGTGCTCGCGTACAACATGCACAGCTGCTTTTATGTCAGCTTGTGACTCCATGTAATGAGGGCAATTGCCATGCTTACCTTCAGGGGCGTATTTTGAGGCACCCATGTGAAGAAGACCGTTTTCGCCCTATGTATCTGATCAGTAACCATGCAGCCTAATTGCCGGACAAAATCTGACCTTTTGCCGTCTTCTCCAAGATCGTATTCCACGTCGTATACTCCGTATCTCGGAAGTGGTCGCCCGTTGCTGTCTACGGCCGAGGACAGCTTTTGACGAAACGTCTCATAATCATGCTCGGACGAAGAGTCTTCAACCACCACGGATGCTTCGTCGTCGGCGATTTTGAAGATCACGTATTGAAGTTTATTGCGGCCGCGTCCACTGTGTAGGGCTCGGAATGCGTCAAGACATTCGTCGGTGATGGTCACGCTGTGTGAATGATTAACATCTTGTGACGATAATTCGAGAGACTTTCGACGTACCCAGAAGGAATCTAGTCGAGCCCGTAATTAGCTCCATTTTCGTGCCTTTCGACTCCGAGAACATGAAAAACCTACCGACATCCTTTCACTTCTTTGATAGCACTGTCGGCTGAATTATGGAGACGGCAGTAAGTAATGCTGGTGAGGCAGGTGCTAGCACTGTGGTACGTCGGGGTCGGACAGGATATTAAGGTGAAATTTGGGCAAGGCAGCTATGTTTTGGTCGTGCGATCAGAGAGGACAAACTGAATGAAAGTGTGAAAAGAACTCCAACGTTGCGCACAGGGAGAGCAAGCCGCGTCATGGCTGTCAGTCAACCACCTTCTGTACTTTTCATCGTCGCATCGTGTCTTTGCCTCGGGCCCGCGGGTCCGCGCCGCGCGACGCACCGACGGAGGCACGGATCCACCTGGATTTCTCTTCAACCCTTCAAGGCAACTCGCGGGTACGATCTCCCAAATCCTTAGTTTTGTGGCAAAAGGTCGACGACGATTTACTATGAATAGACCACGTCGAACCAGTGCGCCGCCGTTCCGAGTAGAAATTCGATTAGTATGTTCCAGGTTCTATTTTAACATGGCCAGAGCCCATTTAATGGATCTGAAGCGTCTACTCGCTAAGGCCAAAAAGGTCCATTGCTAAGGGCTGTCCGCTTGCCCAATTACCCAGAATGGATGTCATGTCGTCCGCCTCTGCAGCGGTCAAATAATCGAGCGTCTCAGTGCCAAAGACACCCTGGATTGACTCGGGATCGAAGGTCGACATTTGACCGGCGCCGTTGAAGAACCGGAGAGTGTCATCCCCGTCGGTGTATGTCCCAAAATGTGATGTGTGAGTTTGCATAAGGCCTCTTGCCAGCCGCGCAAATGTTGCGCATATTTGATAGAGCCGCTCACACGCCCGGGACACTGATTGAATGCGCTCTAACGAGGAAACGACTTGATCAAGGAGCTCCAGGTCTTCCCAGCTAGTTGCGGAAGCGGCATGCAGGAAGATCACCAGAAAAGGCGTGAAAGATGACGATACCAGCACCCTACGGGGATTAGTCGATAGGTTGATCTAATAGCGGCTCGCGAAAGAACTCACCAATTTGCATACTCAACGCTCGAAAGAAATCCACTCTCGTCATAAGCAGGCATGCAATCGAGGTGTCCCTGCAGGGCTAGGCGAGCTGCTTTGAAGCAATCTGAAGTAATCTCTGATCCAAACCCAGAGGTCGATGACGCTCGCAAGGTAGAGGTCAAGCTAGAATAGTACAGAATATCCCAGGTCTTTCGGGACAACTGATAAATTTGAGGGTAGTTCACTTGGGTGCCATCGATCTGAGCGCGGTGTTATTTCCTGAGAGCGCCTCTGAGATCTGAGAAACTGGTGCCTACCTGCTTCAACTCGGAATGCCATTGGTGCAAATCGGTCGCCAAGTTTCTGACATGCTGTGATCGTCCGGCCGGGTCTATTGCCACTGCAGCCGTAGAGTATAGCTGACTGTATATTTGGCCTTGCAGCCGAGCCATCCTGATGCCCATGATAAAGGACTCATCCCACGGCCTGACAGAGGGATTCGAGGACACCTCCGGATAGCGTGTATCTATTTCGATATCTTGCAGACACGAGGCGCGTCCCATCAGTAAGGAGACATTCCGTTCAAATGTATAAACTGTCCAGAACAATCGGCGCCTGTTTTCGGCGTTGCCCGCGTGGGTGTTCTGGTACATGACTTCGCGATGATACCCCAGCATTTGAAGGTTCCTTGCGGCCGCCCCAAACATGGTGGAGCATAGACATGGATTCCCTTCATCCTGGGCTTTGATTCCCTGTATAAAGTCAGTCCACGTGTCTCGACGGATTCGGGGACTGCAAGCACCACCAACCCCTAGAGTTAACGAGAAAATATTCTCAAAGCTCGGTACGACCAGAAGCTCGTATGTCTCGATTCCAAGATTGAAGTTATTTTGGCACGTCTCCACGTGCAATTTGAGATCGAACGCGTCACCTAGAGGGTTTTTGAGGAGAATGAATTCGCGTAAGAAGATGTATAGAATGCCGTGCATACTAGTAAGTTCGCCCAACGACACGGGCTCGGTAGGGAAGTAAACCTTTTGGCAGAGCCTCTCCACCCAGTCTACATCATTCAAGACATAGGACGAGAGGAAAACAGGTGGTTGCACTGCCGAGATTGTTACTCAAACCATTTCCAAGAAAGTCTTTCTCGCCGAGCTTCCTCGACATTATACGCGGTTCATTACCTTTCACCTTCCGCAAAATAGCTAGGATGAGCTCCGCTGGTAAAAGGGTCATGTGCGGCACTGGTTGGGGCCTGGCATTGCGAGAGAATCGATAGTCGTTAAAGGTAGTGGATGGTCGGAGAAGATCTTGAAGATGGCGAAAAGAAGCATCCAGGGTGGATCCATTGGCAGTATCGTCCGAGTACGTTGCTTTTTGGAAGGCTTCGGTCGCTTCGATGGACTGATTTGCAAAAGACGACGATCCCTCATACACCGCAACCGTATCTGCTCGGGATTCCGAGTGAGCCCGTGGTTCCGGCGGTGCTCTCGGGCTTGTTCGACTATGCAGGGTTTCCTCAACTACGCGAAGGCGCTCCTCTAGCTGCTGTATGTGCTGCTGTCTGGAGACATATCAGACTGGCTGCACCAAAAGGAACGCAATGCTTACAGTTGCGGCATTCGGTCCGGCTTCGGACGACTGGCCGGGCTATCACCGGGTCTCTGGCACGCGATCCCTAGCGAACGGCAGTTGGCGCAGGGATAGGACCTGTCACAGCGAATCTGCACCCATTAGTTGCAGCTGCCTAGGTTTACATGGCTCCTCACAGGTACCTTGCGGAGTCTACATCCTTCACACTGTCGCCACCCGTTAGCCGACGGAGGGAGATGCGTCACAATGGGCTGAGGGGGAAGGCTCACAGCTCGCGGAACCAATGACAGTCGCTGTTTCCTCGCATGAATGGTTTCTTCTTGATCCGAATCGGCCATGTCAGAATACATCTGCAATGCTGGTGGGAAAGGAGAAAAAGCCCAAGACTTTCCGACGACAAACGCCGGAAAAGCCGCGGGTCCACGTGCCCTCGCGTCGGCGGGCCCGCGGCTTCCGCGTCTCCGAGTGGATTCATCCTTCGTCCTTCTCTCGCTGCTGCTCCCTCTCGATGGCAAACTGCGTGGTTCCCGGGGCTCTACCCCTGGATCTCCTATCGTTGGCTCACGGTTCTGGTCCCCATGCCAGCCTAATATACCCCCGGCTAGAATGCAGCGTCTTTCTCACCATGATTTCTAGCACGGTGAGACGCTGGTCCTCAAATCCGTGGGCCACGGAGCAATATGGGAATATCTGAGTCGGCATACGAACTTACGGAAGATCAGAAGCTCATCCATGATGATCCGGAGGGCGATCAAGGGGCCAACACCCGGGATGGTGCGGGTTTTGCCGGCTATTGGGTACGCCCTGGATCAAGAAAGCGTCCCTTACAGGTCATAGCTGATCAGATAACAGAGGATTTTCCACTATGCCGATCGTCTCGATTGGACACTGAATGGCATCGCATTGGCCTGCTCCATCGCAAGCGGCGCTGCTATGCCTCTGATGACGATTATCTTCGGCCAATTTACCACCAAGTTCAGCAACTTTGCCGGGGCTTCTGGCGACCGCGATAGCTTCAAGGATGACGTGGACCACTTTGTGCTCTGGTTCATTTATCTGTTTGTGGGAAAGTTTCTCTGCACCTATATAGCGACCATGGCGATCAGCGTTGCCGGAATCCGAACGACACGAGCCCTGCGACAAGCGTTTTTGAGCCACCTACTGCGCACCGAGATCTGGTATTTCGACACGGCCCGAACCGGCTCGCCTGCGACGCAGATCACGACAAATGCGACTCGTGTCAACCAGGGAATCGCCGAAAAACTAGCTCTTCTCGTGCAAGGGCTCGCGATGTTCTTCTCAGCCTTCATCGTTGCGCTGTCTGCGCAATGGAAACTGGCTCTGATCGCCATGAGTGTCATTCCCCTGATGTTCTTAGTATTCGCTGTCTGCATGGGGTTCAGTGCCGGGATTGAAGCCAATATTACTCGAACTTATTCGGACGGCGCAGCCCTGGCACAAGAAGTGCTCTCCTCCGTTCGAACGATTCACGCATTCTGGGCTCAATCCCGTATGACATCCAACTACGATCGATACTTAACCCTCGCCCACAACCACGGCAAGAGGAAAACGGTTGCCACGGGGGTTCTCGCATCGACAACCTACTTCTGCGTCTACTCCGGCAACGCCCTGGCTTTCTGGCAGGGCAATCGCATGTTTCAAAACGGTGAGATCGAAACCGCCGGCAAGGTGATAACGTATGAAAACTTTGCATCGAAAGGACCTGGCAACATACGTTACGGGACTAACTATGGTCTAGGGTTGTCCTTACCATTCTGATGGCCTCTTCGGCTATGGGTCTCGTTTTCCCCCAGTTAGAATCTATTACTCACGCCGCAGCCGCCGCATCAGAGCTCTTCCAAATCATGGACAAACCGTCGGATCTCGACCCACTGTCGGAGGATGGACTTCGGCCTGATAGTTGCATGGGAAACATCGCCTTCCATGACGTCAATTTCTCCTACCCTTCGCGTCCGACGGCCAGGATTTTGCAAGGTCTCAACTTGTCTATTCCCTCGGGCAGGTCCACGGCTCTGATCGGGGCCAGTGGATCGGGGAAGAGCACCGTCGTTGGGCTCCTAGAGCGTTGGTATAAACCACTCAGCGGGCAGATTACTGTTGATGGAATCGATATTGCACACCTGAACACCAAGTGGCTTCGAAATCAGATTGCACTGGTTCAACAGGTAGGTCCGACGTCCTATGAGACGTTTATCCAAACTGACTATGACCAGGAGCCTATTTTGTTTCAAGGAACCGTCTTTGAAAATGTTGCAAAAGGCTTTGTCGAGTCGCAGAAAATCCTGAGTCATGCGGAGCAATTGGTCCTCGTGCAAAGCGCCTGCCGCGACTCCTATGCTGATGAGTTCATCCAGGGTCTTCCTCAGGTAAAATTTCATCGAATGCTATAGTAATTGCAGCGGTCGCTAATCACCAGGTTCAGGGCTATGACACTTATCTTGGTGAACGCGGAGGAACCTTGAGTGGTGGGCAGAGACAGCGGATCGCCATTGCAAGGAGCATCGTTTCCAACCCTCGAATACTGTTACTCGATGAGGCGACAAGCGCCCTAGATCCTCGGGCCGAAGGGATTGTGCAGAAGGCCTTGGATCGCGTTTCCAAGTCGCGCACAACGCTTGTGATAGCTCATCGTCTTTCCACCGTCAAAAATGCCGACAACATTGTGGTGGTTTCCAACGGCCAAGTCGTCGAGCAGGGGACCCACGAAGAACTAATTGCAAGGGATGGTGCCTACGCACGCTTGATACGAGCCCAGAATCTTAACACAACCCATTCAGAAGAGAACATGGGTAAGCCAGAAGATGACGCGAAGGATGGTTCAGACACAATCTTGACGAAGCCCACAACAAACCTTCCTGGGAATAACAACACAGCGGACACGGCGTCCGGCAAGGAATCAAATTCCAGGTCACTTTTGTCTGCCTTGCTTCTCATCACTCGAGAACAGAGACAGCTTTATCCCTTCATCGCTCTTGGGATCCTATTCTCCTTTGTTGCGGCGGGAACCTGGCCTGTGCAGTCCTTTCTCTTCTCGAAATTAATCGATCTCTTCGCTCATGCTGCATCGGCTTCCGGCGAATCTGACTTTTATGCCTTGATGTTCTTTGTCCTGGCGCTAGCCAGTCTACTGTCGTATTTCATAATTGGATTTGTCGCCAATATAATCTCTCAGACTGTCACCCACCGATACCGGCTAGAGCTCTTCGAGCGCATCCTGAGCATGGATATCGAGTTCTTCGACCGGGCCCAAAACACATCCGGTGCATTGGCGTCCCAGCTGTCTACTGTTCCGGACAATCTGCAGGAGCTTATCTCAGTGAATGTATTCGTTATGCTGATTATGGTGATTAACCTAATTGCCAGCAGTTGTCTGGCGCTTGGCTACGGGTGGAAGCTGGCACTGGTCATGGTGTTCGGGGGGCTGCCTCCGTTGATCGGGTCGGGATATGTTCGAATACGCCTGGAATTGGCTCTAAATGAGCGAAACGATCTACGCTTTTCACAAAGTGCGAGTCTCGCCGTGGAAGCCGTCAGCTCACTGAGAACGGTCGCCTCACTCACATTGGAGAGTGATATCCTGCAGCAGTATGCGGCTATCCTTCACGGCATCACCCGGCAGTCAATCCTGTTTTTAGGCGTTGCCATGATCCCTTATGCAGTGTCCCAATCGATTGAGTTTCTTGTCATGGCGCTCGGATTCTGGTATGGCTCCCGTCTTATGGCTTCGGGTGAGTACACCACGTACCAATTCTTCATCATATTCATGAGCGTACTATTTGCCGGTCAAGCGGCTTCGCAACTCTTCGGTGCAGCTGGAAGTATGACGCGAGCCAAGGGCGCCGTAGACTATCTTCTCTCATTGCGAAGCCAGCAGTCAGTTATCAAGGAGACCGTCGATAACCGCGGCGAAGGGCCGTCCGGAGACCACTCCATATCACTGAGCGATGTTCATTTCCGCTATCCCGGCCGTGCGGAATCGGTCTTGAAGGGAATTTCTATGACGGTGAGCTCATCGACTTTCCCTCCGTCAAATGAAAGCGGAGTGCTGATGTTTACAGATTCCAACCGGAAGCTTTGTTGCCTGCGTAGGCCATAGTGGCAGCGGGAAAAGCACCTTGATTTCTTTATTAGAGAGGTATTACGATCCCACCGCAGGATTGATCCGACTGGGAAACGATGATATCAAGCGCTTCTCCCCGAAGCTGTATCGGGCTCACTTGTCTCTAGTGCAACAAGAACCTAGATTATATCCGGGGAGCGTGAAAGAGAATATCCTTCTGGGAATGGAGTCGGATGCCTCTGAGGATTATCTAGTGGGCGCCGCGAAGCAAGCGAATTTGCTTGATTTTATCATGTCCTTGCCAGATGGGTTTGAGACGTCCTGCGGCTCGCAAGGCTCATCCTTCTCCGGGGGTCAGAAGCAGCGCATTGCCATTGCTCGGGCTCTCATCCGGAATCCCAGGGTTCTCTTGCTGGACGAGGCAACGTCGGCCTTGGATACCGAGTCTGAACGGCTGGTTCAGGAAGCATTGGATCGGGCGGACCAAAGCAGCGGTCGCACCACCATTGCCGTGGCCCATCGTCTGTCCACGATTCGGAATGCGGATATCATCTTTGTCTTTTCCAATGGAAAGATTGTTGAGGCGGGAAACCACGAAGAGTTGCAGCGACGGCGAGGGGTCTACCACGAGCTGTGTATGGCGCAATCTTTGGATAAAACTGTATAATTCCTGTTTTGATGTTCACTACTTGTATAATTAAAAGGACTTTCTATGTTGGGACTGTTGCAGTGCCTCGATAATGCATTGTCAGTGGGTACTTTCTTCCGGGAAAAGAAATCAAACCAGGAAAGTCATCTAGTAGTTGATTTCATTTGATAAAATGAAGCTATTTTGCCCGCCCCGTCTACAGGGGAGTAGAGATTGGAAACTCTAGACGACGATGAAGTCGCGAAACGATTTCCAGGAAGTCAGGTTCGTTCTCGGGGGTCAGGATCCCATGTCGCATGAAGAAGTCAATCAAGACAATGGCACTGTTGGGCTTAAATTCGCCTTTTCTCAATGCATTTCCAACGTCATCAACCGACCACAGGTTAAATTGTTCCACCTCTGAGTCGCCAGGTTGAGGCGTCGTGTTCGGGTCTAGCTTTAGCTCGTAAACGTATTCCACCTCGGGCTGCAGCAAACCATCTGCGGCGCCGGAATGAGACCCTTGAATATAATAATAGGACAGACAGCCCGCGGACTGCAGTCCTTCTGTCAGAACTGACGTCGGCAAAGAGGCCTCCTCGACTGCTTCCTGGATGACTGCGCGACCGGGTAAACGACCTGTTCCAAGTCCGCCAGCCGCCGTGTTATCGAGCATGCCGGGATAGGTCTGTTTAGACCTCGACCGTCTGCCGATCCAGACGCGAAGACCATGCTCGTCTTCCACATAACAAGTCAATTGGACTCCGTACGTGACGATGCCGAAGAGGGCACTGCCCGACCGCTCGATTTCCAGGAGAACATCCCCACCTGGTCCATAGACAGGGAAGGTTTCATTCCGCCAGCCTCTGAGAATGGGAAAATCGTTCATTTGCGCCATCTGGTGCATGGTGGTGGCTAGCAGCCTCGTTCGCACCGCGGCTGTGTCGGGGGATCCTGATCCCAGCGTGGCCGTCTTTTTCGAATGATCAATTATCCAGCATTCCGGCCATTGGACCTTGTCGATGACGGAGGTGGGAATGTGTCCCAAGAGGCGGTCACAATCGCTGACTCGGAACTCATAGAAATGTTTCTTGGTGTCATGGTACAGTTGGGGGCTGTCCTCGTAGTAGGGAAAGCTAACAGCGTGTTAGTTGTAGGGAGGATGGCTTGGAAAGGACAACTTGCTTGTCGCATTGGCGAACCAGGTCAAGATAGGACGGCGACATGATGATGACCGGAGTGCTGTGGAGAGATCCACATCCACCAGCCGCCGTGCAGCGCAGGATTCTAGTCGAATAAATACTAGTATTATCAGTACTAGCATAAAGGATGCGCACAAAGGAATAAATTTTGTGCAGCGGATTAACTCCGGCCGATGCTATCGTCTGACGTCATCCATAAAGGCTTCATCTTTTCTATGTACACACACACACACAAATACACAATACAACGTTCAATCGTGCCGCAAAACAAAAACTGCAGGCTGAGTCCATCATCTCCGTCGGTTCTCCATTACCGCGTTTTCTTCTCCTCGCCATCCGTTGTGTTGCCCCCGCTGGAAGCGCCGTCCACAACAACCGCGTCCTCATCCGGGTCGTACTCGGCCTTGACGCGTGCGCGGCCACGCTCTTGCATAGAATCGCGGATGCGGCGGTTGACCTCGCCCAGGTCCTCCTTGGACCCGATCGTCAAGGGCTTGAGCAGGCTCTCCTGCAGGCGGAAGGTGCCGCTCTGGGATCGGCTGTGGCCGCTGCCGGGGCGACTGCGGCTGCGACTTTCGGGCTCGCTGGGCGGCATGCTCTTCAGACGCGACCGGTACGCGCCGTCGTCCTGCGGGTGGCCGTGCGGCACGAGCTTCTCCGCCTCGAAGTCGGGGAATATCTCGGGGGCGAAGGTGTCGATGGTGTCAACCACGCGCGCGGACAGTTCCTGCCGCTGGGCGCGCAGTTGCGCCAGATTGTTGGAGGAACGCGGGCTCAGAGCCACCAGTAGCGGTGGCAAGGATTTCAACACGTCGATGCCGATCTCGCCGATTCGCAGTCCGGCGAAGGAGACCGAGATCATCAAGCCGAAGAAGAAGACGGCGAAGGCGGACAAGGGAATCCAGTCGGGCACGTAAGTGACGGCGTTGATCCACCAGGGCACGACCGTCGCGTAATGGCCGCCTTTGCGGCAGTACGACAGCCAGATCGTCCCGATCGCGGTGTACCAGGTGTACAGGGTGGGCGCCAATCCCATGGCGACGAGAATCTTCCAGGTGCCGACCACGTCGCGGCCCTCCAGCTTGACAACGGAGCCAGCCAGGGCCTTCCGTTGCTTCTTGACAGATATGATTTTAGTCGTCACAAAGACGGGCCAGAAGAGCGCGACGGACGGCAAGGTGCCCACGGCGACGGTCAACAGCTCGCCAATGCGATAGAGCAGCGTGCCGAACACCAACCACCACGGTCGGTGCTGCACATCACCCCATTCAACCTGGTGATCCCGAATGCCCAGCGCGCGCAGCCGTCGGTTGTAGTCAGTGACGGCCTTTTTCAGCTGCACCACCTTGCGTTCGTCCTTGAACTGCGTGTAGCCCTTGAGGAGTCGCCGGTTCAGTTCGATGACCAGGGGCAAGGGGAGCTTCATGCGCAGCGGTTTGTAGAGCCGTCGGGTGGCTTGGATCAGGGCGAGAGTCTCGTGGTCGGGCGCCTGCTGCGTCACGGCCGTCAGGGCTTCTTGGATAGTTTCCAACAACGATCCGACGGCATTGCGCTTGGAATTCCCCCCGGCCTTGAACGCCTCGATCTGGTCGGGGTGCACCTGCACGGGGTTGCCAAACTCGACGACGGCGCGAGAGCGGAACTTGTTGGGATGGAAGTAGTTCATGCCGCAGGGAATGATGGACAGGCCACAATCGGGTTCCCGTGCCAACGCACCCAAGGCGATGATGGCAGCGCCGGCTTTCAACGGAAGCAAACTCGGGCGATCGTGACTGCCACCCTCGGGGAAGATGCCGATGCAGCCGCCGGCGCAGAGTTCCTTGTAGACGGCGTCGAACATCTTGCTCTGGTCAATGTGCGGCGCCACCTTGAAGGAGGTGCCCTCGCGCAGTCCCTTGTACAGGGGATGGTCCGGGGGAAATTCCTTGAAAGGCTTGCGCAGCCGCAGCTCATGAGGGCCCAAGATGTCGGCAATGGCCTGCTGCTCCGGGCTCACCTTACCGACGCGAGGCAAGATGATCGCACCGCCCTCCATGAACTGATCGGTGGTGAAATCGGTGTCGCGACCGCGCAGCAGTGTCGGATCGCCCTCCGGGTCGGGCAAGTAGATCGTCCCCGAGCCAGGCTTCACGTTGTCCATGGCGCGCACGACGGGCAAGGCACCCATGCAGCCGGCCATGGTACCGATGTACGGCTCGCGCATGGACTTCTCGGCGATGAGAAACGACGTGCGGCGGTCAGCATGATGCTTCAGAATTCGCATCAACAAGATGGAGTCGACGAATTGATTGGCATGGGGAGCGGCGACGATAATCACGGGGCCGCGCTTGGGGATGCGCCAGGCTCCGCGCGAGTAGACCTCGCGAAAGAAAATGTCCAGACATAGCGTGAAGATCCAGATTCCCAGGTCATAGAGCCAGGGGATCATGTACCGCTGGGCCATGGTGGGCAGGGGGTGATGGAGCGAGGAGAAGACGGCCGACGCGAGAAAAAAAGCGGCGACCTCGAAAAATCCCAATCGGGAAAACATGAGGTCAAACCGCCGGATGCGGCCTGTTCCGGGCCAATCAGAGCGCGTCTCGGACCCCCGTCGGTCCGGTATCGGTACCGTATTCTGCGCGTCATGACATCCTCGGACTAGACTTTCTCCGGTACGGCGTTACCATACGCCGCACACCTGAGGCCACAGCCTGCAACAGATTCCTCCATGTCTTGGGCTCATCAATGCGAATTTTGTCAATGCTATAGAGAATACCGGGCTAAACATGTTAGCCAGCATACGAGGATTACAGCGAATACCTCGTTGTGCTTCGGACCGGGCGCGGCGAAAAGGTGTTCGTTCCTGCGCCAGACACGGCTACTGTTATATATATCGAGGAGGCTGCTGTCAGGGGATATTTCTTGCGAGGGACTGTCTCAGCCACCATCCATGGAATTGCCAGCATGATACTCTGCACTTCCACTACATAGTCTCTGCTGTATAGTGCAAGATAGGGAAAAAATAGCAGATGGCATCGCTAGGAATATGATTTATGTCAGTGCAGTTTCATCGTGCTACATGAGTATACAGAAAAAACCATATTAAGCTGAACTACCATAGTACACATGACCAGAGCTCTGAGAACTCGACAGTCAAGGTGAACAGTCAGGACCACTTGCCCATCACGTTCCACCGTCTTTACTACCCTGACCCGCATTTAACTTCACAGTGTTCATCCGTAGTTGACGGAGATGACCCATCGGAAATCCTGAGGTCCAGACAGGCCAGAAATTCTCCGACGTCTGTAGCTTCAAACATCTCATGAATGACGCGTCACGAACAATTACGCTTCTTACTACTACGGTGGGCATTCCAGAGCCCCCTTGATCCCCACCAAGCATTACCCTTGCGTTGATCAAGAACGCTCGGTAGCCGTGGGTCGAGCACATCAGAGTACAGTCTGATGACAAATGGTTTCCTGGCCTGGTTAGATCGAGAGTGCGGAGAATGTATGCACGTTGGAGTGCAGGCTGATGACCAGAATGGATATGGATTCCATACGCCTTGGGCCAATCCGACAATCAGGGTTGCCATTGCTGTCCGTATGGGAAGGGGCAGCTGCCGCGTTAGTTTGATGACGAACGATGCTGATAGACCTACCGCTGAGAGAAACAGGCGCGCCTCGCCGAAGGGACGGACGGGCGTTTTACTGCAGGTTTCGTCTGGAGCTAAGGTGGAGTTCGGGTTACCTGCCTAAGCATTCAGATCCTTCCTCCCGGTAGCTTGTTGGATCCTGTCTTGAGTTCGGGCCGCTGAAGCTTCTCTTGCTCCGCCGGTATTGTATGTGCTAAATTTCTAGACCTAGGAAGACAGACGCCGGCCATGTCAGGACACTGGATGGCAACCTGAAACTTGTAAAGTCACGCATCAGATAGCCAAGGAAGCATCGATCGCCGTTTCGCATCTTTGTGACGGCGACAAGCTTGCTGCCATGTGTCGATCTCCCTAAGAACCGATACACGGCTTGCTGGAGAGGGCTGCGTGTCGTCATACCGGAAGTGTTGGGCCCCGTGTTAGCCACCCCTGCACTTGAGCAAGGAAGTAGGATCCATGGACCCAACCGTTAGATAGTAGACTGGAATGTGGACGGCGCGGATGATTCTTCACACCGAGACTTTCGGCGTATGAGTGGAGTGATAGCACCAATGGTGCGGAATGCGACTCGCCTGCTCATCTGCAAGGGACCAAGCGACCCTGTGACGCATTCCTGGCCAAGGTGCTGGCGAGTGTCCGGATTCAACACTCACTTTCAGCCCTGGAAGACGAAGCCTGGCAAGTTCGATACTATGAATGGCAGCCACGGACGTAGGCTCCGCCGATCGACCGCAAGGGGGAATCCTGAACGTATAATCGTTGATGATCCCCAGAAAGTCCACGGGCATGCCATCATCTCATGGTAACATATAATGCGTGGCATGGCAATGAGCGGAAGGAATTCTGCAACCAATGTCTCAGTTCTTGATTCAAGAATAGATGGAAACCATCCGCCGTCGAGATGAACCACGCCGACCCGAAGAGCGAGGAAAAGCCCTCCACAGCTGTCCACGATGTCTCGCTTCAGACCTACCTGACGCAGTACGAGCTGGAATTGACGGCCGACGGGCAGTATATTCGATGGGGGTCCAAGAACCCTCATCATCCTCGCAATTGGGGAACGGCCCGGAAGGTGTATGACTTGATGGTCATCACACTGATGGATCTTTTCGTGTATGTGAAGATGCTCAGTGAAAGAAGATTCGAGGCTGACAAGTTCTGTTCGTTGTAGGACCGCAGTGAGCACTGCCGGCGTGAGTACCTACTTCCTCGTTTCCATGAGCCAATGCAGCTAATGCCTTGCTAGACGGCCGCAGCCAAAGCAGCAGACGAGGAATACCAAATCAGCCAAACCCTTTCGATATTCCTGTTCGTATCGGTGTCGTTGTTCGGACAGTTGGTAGGGTCTCTTGTGTTTGCCCCTTATTCCGAAACCTTTGGCCGCAAGAAGCTGTACATTGGCAGCGGAGTGCTGTTCAGCTTGGGGTGCGTTCTGATTGCTTCGGTCGAGTCGCTCGTTGGGGTGGTGTTTGGACGCGCCATTACCGGATTCCTGTCAGCCATCCCGGCCAATATCCTGGGAGGGAGTATCGAGGATCTGTACAGTAGTCGGAAACAGGCATGGTGGATCTGCATCTGGTCCGCCGCGTCAGGGCTGGGCTTGTCCTTGGGGCCGATCATGAGCGTGTATATCACGAATTCCCTTGGCTGGTAAGACGTCCTGCAACCCCTGCATGGATATCCAACTGACTCACACAGGCGATGGGTGTTTTACGTCTATGCCATCATCGTCGCCGCGGTGACCGGGCTGACTCTCTTTATGCGTGAGTCTCGACCGTCTCTGCTGCTGGGCCGCCAGGTGGCCACGCTGCGGAAGGTGACGGACATGAACACACCCCCGGCGTTGAATCCGGACCATGTTCCCGATATGCAAACCTTCGTGCAGGTCGTCCTCGTGCGACCGATGCAGCTCTTTGCCGAGCCCATCGTCATGGCGGTGGGTATGATGGCCGGCGGCGCATTCGGGCTTATCTATCTCTTCACCGAAGCCCTACAGCCTATTTATGAGTCCCTGGGCTTTTCGCCGGAGCAGGCCTCGCTGTCATTCGTGGCCATTGGGATTGGCATTTTGATCAGCCCTCTGACGCGTCTCCTAGATGACCACATCTTCGATATGAGGGTGCGTGCGGGACTTCCTCTCTTGCCAGAACATAAGCTGGCAGGCATCTGCATCGGCGCGCCCGCCATGGCAATTGGGCTGTGGTGGTTCGCGTGGACAATCCCTCCTTATGCCTCAGATCTCCCGTGGATCGTTCCAACGGTGCCACTGGTGCTGATCGGGTACGCCTTGAACGAGTATCCCACGGTGTGTCTGGGGTATCTGGCGGACAGTTATCTGAGCTTCTCGGCCAGCGCCGTGGCTGTAGTGACCTGCATTCGGGCGGTTCTCTCAGCTACCTTCCCACTGTTCACGGCACAGATGTTCTCATCGCTGGGGGCAAACGTCGCCTCGTCTATTCTGGCCATCCTGGCGACGGTGTTTTGTTTTATTCCACCGTTATTCGTGCGGTATGGGACGCGAATCCGAGCTAAAAGCCGGTTTGCGAGGTACAGTCTGCAAACCTACAAGGAGAATTGCATCCACCCGGACGAGTTTATTCAGGATGGCGATTAGGCAATGATCGACATCGACTGGGGTTATAATGACGGCATGAGGTTGTGAATTGGGGAACCAAAAAAATCATATTTTGAGTGGGATAGAGAGACGGGGGAATCCGGTCGGAAACTTACGGAATGGGATAATCGGATGTGTGCAATAAGACCAGAATAGATTAATGCCAAGTTGATACGTTCCATTTAATAATAAGAATGACCTTCTGAGTGCGGACCTGGACCGGCGCTGCCCGGCGACATCAACAAACGAACCTGTCAGTGGCAACGGTGATCGCAGTCAAAAATAGCCTTAGTCTGGCCAACCAGCAGGCCGGGGCCACTGGGATATTGGAATCTACGCCAATCATTGCCAGCCACCGACCCACTTGCCAGGGACATCCGATGCTGCGATGGTCGACAGGGGGAGAGATCCGATGTGATGGCGGACGATTCCCACCAAGGGTCAGGCAGAGATGCAGTTGTTATGGTAGCACTCGAAATACATGTTTCACACGCAAAGTGTCCTATCGGATCCTGTTTCTGGGAGCACAGATGACGAAAGAGGTAGCCAGGATGGTTCCGCGTGGGTCGATTAGCGTCCTGGCCATGTCTTAAACTCCACTGAATGGAGAAATTGCTGGTCCCAACAGAGACAACCGAGGCTGGATCCGAGGAAAAGCTTGTCTGACCACATTGTGCGGAGGATCGCTCTGCGAATCCCACGGCTTTGACTGCGATTTAGCCTCTCGTTCATAGCTGGCCAGGCCATGGGAATGGGCAAGATCGCGTCCCGACAACATGGCAGAAGAGATCCCTCTCGAAACTCGTCACCGCCGTGAAGATAGTACCGCCACGTATCACAGACGGACCTGGTCGGAACGAGATGTTGCCAACGAGGCAGATGGCCTGATTTTGAACACCCCATCTCCGCCGCCTGACTTGACTTCCCAGGATGGCTTTGCACAGCGAGTTCGACGCGCGGCATCGAGGGTTGGAGCACGACTGGGCCGTGATCCTGACGGTGGGGACGCGTTGAATGCTAGTCTTCACCCCGAGGGGTACGGTGCCATCGACGATATCCAGCTGGCCGAGCTGATGGAGGCGGATCTACACGACGATACGTTTCGGTTGAAGCTTCGGAATGCGTTGGATTCTGAGGCGCACACCCTGGCACAAGGACTGGGGCTAAGAAACCTTCATCCCGTGGGACAGACCGTTGGGAACGGCGAAGAAGTCAATGGCGGAGTGCTGTCGCATCTGGTGCAGAGCTATACCGGCCACCGACGCCAATTCAGCGAAAGTACCCTGTCTGTTGCCTCCGTTGCCTCTGTCGAGTCCACCGCTTCTCAAGATTCGCAGACCGGCAAAACGAAAAAGCCTCGCAAACAGAAATGGTACGACGAGGGCGAAGATGAATCTCGGGTGAACGGGAAGGCGAAGGGAAAGGGGAAAGAGAAAGCAAAGTTGAGGGGGAAAGGAAAGAAACGTCAGGTCCAGCTGACCGAGAAAATCGGCGCCATTCTCGCTCGCCAGCAGTATATGATGCGTCTCTGTCGCGCGTTGATGAAATACGGGGCCCCTACGCATCGTCTGGAGGAATACATGCAGATGACCGCCAACGTGCTGACCGTGCAGGGCCAGTTCATGTATCTTCCAGGCTGCATGATCATGTCCTTCGACGACCCCCTGACGCATACGGCTGAGGTGAAAGTCGTCAGCGTGGTCCCGGGGCTGGACTTGGGACGCTTGGCCATGACCCACAACGTCTATAAAAATGTGATGCATGGCAAATTAGACGTCGACCAGGCGATCTCGGACTTGGATGAGCTGATGAAGCGCAAGAATCGGTATCACAAACCCTGGGTCATGGTGATTCTGTCTGGTCTGGCCAGCGTGGCCGTTGGGCCCTGGGGCTTCGACGCTCGGCCAATCGACATGCCCGTTATCTTTCTTCTGGGCTGTTTGCTGGGTATCTTACAGCATGTACTTGCCCCAGCGTCGGCCATGTACTCGAACGTATTCGAGGTTAGCGTGGCGATCCTGGTCTCTTTTCTGGCCCGCGCATTTGGAAGCATTCGCGTCGACGGGCAACCGGTATTTTGCTTTCCTGCCATGGCCCAAGCCTCGATTGCTTTAATTCTTCCGGGATACTCCGTGCTGTGCAGCAGCCTGGAATTACAGTCTCATCAAATCGTGGCCGGATCTATCCGACTGGTGTACACTATCATCTACTGCCTGTTCTTGGGCTACGGAGTCACGGTAGGAATCACCATCTATGGCCTGATGGACAGCCACGCGACGACGGAGGCCTCGTGCCCTGCCGAGAGTCTGCTCGTTTATGGAAACGACTACATCCACCGCTTCGTGTTTGTGGCAATCTACTGCGCCATAGCCGGTGTCATCAACCAAGCCAAGTGGAAACAAATCCCCATGATGGTCTTCCTCGGTCTGAGTGGATATGTCACCAACTACTTCGCCAACAAGGCGCTTGACGGAAGATTGGCGAGCACGATCGGGGCTTTTACGATCGGACTGCTTGCTAATCTCTATTCCCGAGTGTGGCATGGCCATGCAGCAGCTGTGATTGTGCCGGGAATGTTCACATTGGTCTCTTCAGGATTGGCAACCAGTGGATCCATCATGTCGGGGTTGGCTTATGCTGCCGCCGTGAAGAACAACACAGCCGCCGACGATGATTCTTCTAGCGGATCGTTGCAGGACTCTCTGTCTGGATTGGGGTACAGCATGGTGCAGACGGCGTTGGGTATTACTGTAGGGCTCTTTCTCTCCGCGTTGGTGGTTTATCCATACGGAAAAAGGAGGAGTGGCCTATTTAATCTATGATGCTATCTACGATATTGGCGACTATTGCCTCGTGGACTGAGAATCAGATTGTCTGCTGTAGACTGCTCTTCTTAAGTGAAATGGATCTTGTGCTTATTCACCAGAAAAAGGGGTAACCGAGTAACCAAAGCTAGACAACTGCGATGATCGACAGGCCTTGCGGAGGGTATCCCAATGAGAGTGCCCATGGCCTCGTATCTCACGAATCTGACCCCCTGAGAGGGCCAAAATCCCCGTGGCCAAGACAGCCCTGCATATGAACCTCGTATTGCCGGTGGTTGCCACCAGGTTTAAAGAATCCTGTGCCACTTCCAAATATAATGCAGTGGTACAAAATCTGGAAATGGTAGCACCGAGATGATTAAAGGTGTCAGAGGTAGAGCGCACGACGTAAGAGAAACAAATTATCCCGATGATTAATGTATACAAAATCGAAATTGTCTCAAAAGTTTGGATCCTCTAACACTATGCTGACATTCTGGAGATGTTTAGCCTCGTGTTTTCATTCAGTGTCCCGTGAGATTGGATGAGGTAGGATCCTTTGCCACGCACAGCAGCGATCATTGGGGCCAAGGGGCGAATTTGAATTTAATGCGAACAGAGCTTTCTATCGGACATTCTCACGTCCCTCGAGAGTTGAACTCGAAAAGGGAGATTCATGAATCTACGCCAAACTATACCCATAGGACAAACAATGGCTATGATACTTACCCCCCACATGTCGTTAATTCACATATTTTTCATGATATTCTCCCCAGTGGAAAGCTGGGTCTTTGGATGGACCAATTCATCTGGCGAGACGCAGTTCGAATCTGGGGTTGAAACGGAGTATCGACCCTGCACACAAATCCACCAGGCCAAGGGCGAATTGGTCGACTGGGACTCGGAGGAGCAGCCAGTATGCTGGCAGATATACCGAGACGTGGACTGCAAGAACAGTGGAGGACATGCCTGCCACATGCTGTCTAAAAATGCCAGCGATGACTTTGCTGCCTTCTCGGTGTATCCGAGAGATCCTTCAGCTACGGCGACCTCAACGTTCACAACGACAAGAACAGCCGCTGCTAGTACAACAAATGAACAAGCTTATACCACATCACCCACCTCTAGTACGGCGAATTCTTCAGCAAAAGGCCCCGGGCCGTCAAAACGATTGTCGGGAGGAGCTATTGCGGGGGTGGTCATTGGAGGGCTGATAGGCGTGGCCATTGTTGCTGCATTAGTTTATCGCTTGGCCAGACGCCGGAAATTATCCGTGACAGTGAACGAGACCATGAAGCCTCACTCCGATCCATCGAGTGCTACCTCTGAAACATCCGAGCCGTACATCGAGCCGTCAACTCCAGCAGCAAGCCCCGTTATTCACAGCACTCAGCCAACAGTGGAGCTGGAAGCAGACTCGCCTCCAGTGGAGATGAGTGATAGCCATCGTGTAGTCGAGCTGGAGACACCGGGAACACTAAAAACAAACCTTCGCTGACGTTCTGTCAGATCTATTGAGAAACGTGGAGTGTGTAGTTGCGGGTATTCGATCTCTCTGGCCAACAGAAAATGGAATTATAGGCATAAATACACCACGATCATTCTGCTGGAGTTGCGATAATGTACTTTATTCATTCAAACGAATGGAGAGCACTTGACATGCCAGTCTAATATCTCGCTACTTCAGTCCCATGTGCACTTAGCAGGAAGCAACAGGCTCCGAGTATTTACAAGCACTACTAGGTCCAGATCCGGTCTCGGGGGGCTGTCCTTCACATCAGCCATGGTGGTCTAGTTATCAAGGGTCCCACTTACCTCTTCACCCGAGTCATTGCCATCGTACTCCTGACAGATAGTGTCGACCGTCGATGCACAAGTATCGCCCTTGATAGTGGCCGTGTCGCCATAATTGCTGTTGATGCCGGCAAGAACGCTTCCCTCGATAGCCGTCACGCCGGAGATAGTGACCCCTCTCTTAGACATAGTGTCGCAGTTTCCGCACGAGTGGTAGAGCTTGCCGAAGTTATAGACGGTGAAGTCCTCGATGTTCACGGCTCCGGCGGAGTTGTGTTGGATGACCTTCCTGATATCAATGATGGCCCCGGAGCCCTTATACCTGCTGCCATAGCTTGTCCTGAGCACCCTGAGCTCCACCACCTCTGACATTGTAGGGACCACTGCCTTCCTTGAGAGACAAAGCATCTGAAGTAGCCGTCCATGGTCAGAAGTTACTCGGCATGTATGAAGGTAGAAAAAGGCAAATGAAGCAACGTACCCTCACAAACAGCTTCCCACCAGACATTCTCCACTGTGCAGGGGCTGGCACAATGCACACCCTCGACCTGATCCTTACCGATGATGGCGTTCTTCAGCGTGCCACCCGACTGAATGATGAAGACGGCATCGCTATCGCCACCCTCGCCCTCGGTGCACTCGACTCCGCGACCGTAGGTCTTCATTCCGCCATCGAAAGTGATATTTCCATTAATAATCTTAGGCTCGTCAAAGGTAACGCTTCCCTTGGACGCGGGCAGAGGGAAACCGTCTCGCTTCATGACGCCAGTGCCTGACTCCGTGGGAGGCGGCCAGCACTGAGGAACAGAGAGCGAGCAGACTGAGCTTTTGAAAGAGCATTGTTGCAAACGGATGGTCAAAGGTTGATTGAAATTCTGGAAGGAATTTTGATGGGCTATGAAAGGGGCTGGAATGACATGATAGTGCTGGGAATTACAGCCATCGCCACGCCATTTAAATACCCTGGAAATCGCGAAATTTCACAACGAAAAGGAGATAACACCTTTGACATGTTTCGTTGAGCCCTTTGGATTCCTCGGGTAGTATATCCAGAACTGGAACTTGGAGAGTCGTCGACTCCCATCTGCCTCACGGTTGATTTGTGCATGAAATGATATCGACTCCGCCGGAGAATTCTGGACCAGACTCAACTGACGCTGATCGTCCCCAGAAATGCCATTCTCCCGGGGACCAGCAACATAATTATGTGCAGAATACGGTAAGATATAATCAATCCTTGACAGAATTCTGCGCCAGAATAAGACTCAACCTGCTTGGCAGACGCACTGGGAGAATCGCGAGCCGCTCCGTGACAACACAGCCACGCGGAAGCCCGGATGAAGCGGTGATCGACGGCATTGGCACTGTTTGGGCCTGTTGATCGCTATAAAGCTGTCTTGGTAGCAGGATACGTGGACCTGGATTGATGGTTAATTGGGCTCCGCACAGTGATACGCTGGGCGTTGGTATGTCCTTCATTTCAGGGCATGTTTCGAGGTGAACAGCGGTACCTGGGCAACATGTAAACTGTGTATAGTATTGCGGCATGCAGTGCACCATTGGAACGGAATACTGGAGAATAGTGCTGGGTTCAAACAAAATGAACATTAGGAATACTGTCATTTGCAGGCACTGATAACCTGACATTGAGGAAACGCTATCTACCAATTCACACTGAGATCACAACACAAAGGCATCGCTGGCAAAAGACAATGAACAAAACTGTCATCCGGTCATCACAAAACATGCTTCAATGGCTTCTGCAGCTCCGGAATGACCGAGAGCCCATCCGCACGCATTCGGCTTTCCTGGGGATCATACAACGGCTCCCGCGTAACAGTTGCCTTGATACGCCGCCCAAAGTACTCAATTTCGATCTTCTCGCCCTCAGAAGCGTCGCCAGGGAGCCAGGCATATACGGCCGGTTTGCGAACTGTATAGGCGAACGTGGCGGTGGTGACATACCCTACGGGCTTGCCATGGCGATACACGGGCTCCTTCCCCAGGACCACAGAACGACCGTCGTCAACGGTTAGGCAACGCAGTCGACGAGTCGAGGCCTGTATGGAACGGCGGGCCAATGCGGCCTTGCCAGTATAGTCCTCCTTCTTGTTCACCGCGACGGCATGGCTAACACCTGCTTCGAAGGGATCGTGCTCAGTCGTCATGTCCGTGCCGTAGGTTCGGTATCCTTTTTCGAGGCGCAGAGCATCGAGAGCGCCACGACCTGCAGCGATCAGCCCATGCGGCTTGCCGGCCTGGAAGATGGCGTCCCAGAGTCGGAGCCCGTACTCGGCGCTCGTCTGGATCTCCCAGCCCAGCTCTCCGACGTACGACTTGCGGAATGCGGTGACAGGGATGCCGGCAACGAGGGCCTTTTTGACGCCGTAGTAGGGCAAGCCCTTGTTTGAGAAGTCGTCGGGGCTGATCATCCGGATCACATCGCGGGCGCGAGGGCCCCAAAGGCCGATGCAGCAGGTTCCCCCGGTGATGTCACGAACTTGCACCCATTGGCCCCGGGATTGGCGACGGGCCTCTCGTTCCAAGCTGTCGAGATCAATGGCCGTGTTGGCGCCGACTTGGAAGGAATTCTCCTCGAGCCGAGAAATGAAGAGGTCGCTGCGAATGCCGCCTTGCTCGTCCAGCAGGAGGGCGTAGGTGATGGTGCCCGGATTCTTCGTGACGTCGCCGGTCGTTAGTCTTTGAAGGAGGGAGACTGCTCCAGGCCCTGACACCTCGAAGCGGTGGAAGGCCGTCATATCATACATAGCCACCGCGTTGCGCGTCTTCCAGGCTTCGACAGCAGTGATGGGTGAATAGTATCGGGCCGACCAGGCGTCTCGCTCGACGGGCTGGAATTCCGGTGGAAGGTAGTTGACCAGGGCAGCATTGGCCTCATACCAGTAGGGGCGCTCCCATGCTGCGGCTTCGAGGAAGAAGGCGCCCAGCTCGCGTTGTCGGTGGTAGAAAGGGCTGACGCGGAGGTTTCTAGGGGATTCCCGCGGCTGCAGCGGGTGCAAGATATCGTAGACTTCAACAAAGTTCTGCTGCGAGGTCTCGTTCACATACTCCGGAGTCAACTGGATATTCTCAAAGCGAGACAGCTGGCACTCGGTCACGTCGATCTCGGAATGGCCCTTCGTGAGCAACTCCGCCACTGCGCGAGCCACGCCGGCTGAATGCGTCACCCACACGGCTTCAGCAACATAGAAGCCATCTAGACCGGGAGCTTCTCCAATTACCGGTCCTCCGTCGGGCGTGAAGGAGAAGATGCCGTTAAATCCGTCATCGATCTGACTCTCTCGAAGGGCTGGTAGCAGCTCAAGGGACCGATTCCAGGCTGGGACAAAGTCTTCCGCGGTGAAGTCCAAGCGCGAAGGCATATTCTTCTCACTAACATCCTTGGAAGTCAAGCCCAGGGATGCCGCATCCACCGGCATGGGCCTGTGACCGTAGAAGCCGATGCCACATTGCTGGCCATGTTCACGATAGTACAGGTTCTGATCCTGATGGCGGAGAATGGGCATACTGGCATTTTGACCGTTGGGTTTATCATTCACGTCGCGGCCAGCGAGAGCCGGAACTGCCGTCGTCTTGACATACTGATGGGCGATGGGCAGCAGAGGGATCGAAACGCCGGCCATGGCGCCCACATGAACCCCCCAGAACCCGGCACAGGAGACGACGAGATCCGCGGAAATGATACCGCCGGGGGTCCTGACACCGGTGACTCGACGATTCGTCTGCTCGATAGCAGTGACAGGCGTGGATTCTAGATAGCGCACGCCGGCCTTCTGCGTGCGTTCAATCAGCAGCTGGGTGGCGCGAGCGGCGAGTGCGATGCCGTCGCTGGTGACATGAAAACCACCAAGCACAATGTCGGGGTTGAGCAGAGGATATTTGGCAATGCATTCCTCCTTGCTGAGCAGACGGGACTCAATACCCCACGACGAGGCATATCCATGTTTGCGTTTAAGATCTTCCAAACGCGCTGGCGTAGTGGCCACCTCCAGACTGCCCACCGAGTTGAAACAATCGAGAGACAGCAGCTTCTGCACTGTGTAATGGGCCAACCTGGTCATCGTCTTCGAAGCATTGGTCTGGAACACATTCCCCGGGGCATGCGAGGTCGAACCCCCGGGCATGTGTAGGGGACCCTGCTCGACGACGGTGATATCGCTCCACCCACGCGAGACTAGCTCGTCGGCTAAGTTGGTGCCGACAATTCCGGCACCGATGATGACGACTCGGGGAGGCATGATTAAAGAATAGAATGAGTTGATTCGTTCGTCTAGTCAGGGCGACGAGAACCCTATAAGTACGGCGACGTCGAGACACGAGAGCCCCGGACTTGCCATGGTAGATAAGAGCAACCAAGACGGAACACGGTCCGGGTCGGTTTCCCCTCACCGATCTCTCCGCATGAAATGACGTTCTTTATTTTATTTGATTTTTGTAATTTAGTTTCGGGTTATTTTGTCTTACTTCTTTTACCCAGAAGAGATCGGGCCGGTGGGGAAGTCCCAGGGATGGCATATCCGTTTTGGGGCATGATTGCTGCATCGCGGCGCCACGATGGATTCCATAACCCCATGGGGTGTCTTTGGCTTATCTCCTTGGGTCTGGATGTTGTTCTCGTCAGGATGATCTTGTAATTGCCGCTAATTCCTACTAAAAATATCCACACCGTAAGTTTCTCTATCGGTTCAGCGATAAATTGATGCTTATCTTGATCATCATCATCATCCTCGGACAAAGGAATTCAAGGCCAAAAAGAATCCCTTTTCCTTGGTCTCTTTTCTTTGTATTTCTGTTTACTCTATTTCCTTTTATTTTATTTTTCCTGTTCTCTTTTCTTCGTAATACGCAGTGATGGTTCAGCCGGCGCAAGGGATGGTTACTGTAGCCATAGAAATGAAAGCATTATTTGAGATCGAGAACCTGTCTTTCATGTGCAACAAAACATGTACATTGGCTTGAGTATGCAAAGAACTCCCAGGATCCTTCTTCCAAACGCCTTTCTTTTCTATCGAGAGCCTCATCCTTTACAAGTTCCCAAAATCCCACCACGTAGAGAACCCTTCGATATCACCCATCGCCGGCTCTGACTCCTGATATCCCATGCCGTCCATGTCCACCAGCTGCCCCGGATCTGTCCATAGCCACGGCGTGTTGAACATCAGGCTGTCAGCCGGAGCGACCAGCCGATCGGTCAGGGGAATATCCTGGCGCGATGTCGGAGCGGACGAGATGTACACCATGTGCGGGGCCATGTGGGCGGCTTGGCCTCCGTCCGCCGTGTTGACGGTCACTTCGGGCGACATCGCTACGATCACCTCCAGCGTGGGTGTCGAGTCTTCGTCAATGTCCTCGCGAGAGGGCGCCAGAGAGGGATGCAGGACGCCGTCGGTGGATAGGCCCCGGGGGATACACCCGTCCACCTGCAACACTGCCCACATAAAGGGGATACTCAGGTGGATTTTGGAGGGCGCCCAGTTGGAATCGATTGACTCTGCTCCGGCAATGCGCGTGATTCGGCGGAGGATTTGATTCTAGCAATGTTAGACCTTGGAAGGAGGATGTTAGGATGGTGGCAATCAATACATACCAGGGCACTGCAGGCCGGGGAGAACCAGACGAAGCGCTGCAGAAATCGTCGGCACTTGGCCAGATCCACTTTCGACTTTTGCTTTAGTCTAGGGTCAGCAGCACAACAATAGTAGAGGTGAACGGTGGCTGCGATCAGCGCTGCCTGGCCGAAGAAGGGATCCACGAGCTGCAGCTTCTTGTCGGTGACCATGTCGATCAGCCGCACAACCCAGGTGGCATGCAGCAGCACGAGCTCGGAGGATCGGCGCCAGAAGGTGTTCGGAATAGTGAGGTTGTCGTTGTACTGCGACGCCGCGATGTAGAGGAAGGGGTGGTTGAGCACGGTGAGAATGGAGTGGTATGTGAACTGTAGCTTCAACCATGGCACCCAGTAGTCGCGATTGACTCGCAGTTCGTCGGGGCGGCGCTCGTAGAACTTGACCGACTCGTATCGATGGCAATGCGAATGCTTGTTCTCCATTTCCGTCAGATCGGACTGGATCATCGCGTACATCGAGTCGTGTCGCCACGGCTCCTTCAGTCGGTTCTGCGCCACGTCGGACACGTACGTGCGGACTCGACTCCAGACCCAGCCAAAATGCGCCGTCAGGTTCCAGATCCCCATGTCGTCGGAGCCGGCACAGCCGATCTCGTCGCGAGGCAGAGACGGCAGTCTGGAATCTCCCTGGTCGCCGACCGCAGACACGTAGAACGGTCGCAGACTTTCCCCCGAGTGGCTGAGAATGCCATTCTGCTGCCCGTACGACTGCTCGAGCGTCTGCAACGTCCAGAACAGTCTCTTTTTGCGGTCGGCAGACTGCGTACCCATGTTATACGTGGACTCGAGGTCCAGTTGGGCGGAGCGACAGAGCTGGAACGCCATGCCGAGATGGAATCGAGCGAGCTGGAGGTTTCCGTCTGCAAATTGAAGGTGAGCATTTGAAGATGTAGAAGAGGCAACAGAACATTGCAGACATACCCATAAAAGCACAGTACGAGAGCAGGCAGAGACTCTCCATGGTCTCCAACTCCACCGTCCCGCTGGCCACGCGCAGCATCACCAGATGTCGGGCATAGTCGCCATAGCGCTGCAGCTGATCGCGCTCTCGCGAGAACCGAGAGGTTAGCGCGATGATGCTGCAGACGAGTTCCTCGGACAGGCAACTCAGATCCTCGACATCCTCACGGCCGAAGCACCAGATGGGCTGGCGATGACAATAATCAAAGTAGAGATCGACTGCTTTCACGATGGCGGACGAGCAGGGGTGTAGATTGACATTCTCGAAGTTAAAACCGGGCGAGATCGAGTCATGGATGGCATGGTTCAACTCGGCTGGCGCCGCCTGCGTGGTCGTCGACGACTGGGGAGAAATATCACTTGGTTCATCGGCCGGTTCTTCCGGAATGCCGGACTGGATGGGTCTAGGAACTGCGTCAGCCACCCATTGGGATCGCAGGGACGGTAGGATGCTCTCTACCTGGAGCCACTCAAGAGGAGATTTACTTTCTCTTCGAGGAATGCTAGCCTGTCGTCCTGCGCGAATTCATCGTCAATACTTGCCCCTGAGACGGGAGGTGGCCTTGACAACGCCCTACCGAATAGTCGCCCCGGGATGTCCTGCGGGCGGACGCGTAGAGACACGCCTGATTGAGGCGAACGCAGCTGGAGCACGACGGCTTCTCGGCGGGACACCGGACCTTCTTCCTCCTGTCGTCCCATCGGGTCAGTATAAGACGAGGGATCGAGTGGCGAGGAGCTTACCGGCAGTTCAGACAAGCTTCGTGGGATCGTAATCGCCCGCGACTGCCTTCGCGCGGCATTATCTTTGCGCAGGAAAAAAGCACCCAAATCGACGAAGAGCGGACGATTCTTCCCTTGGAATGCAGAAGTCTAATTTAACAGCGTCGCCGGAGCAGTGTCTAGGTGGCTAGGAACAGGCCCATACCGGCGGACGGCCATAACAGATGACGTTCGGGGAGCTGGAAAGCGGGTTATTCGAGGAGGGGGAAAGAATGGCCTCTTTCCGGCTTACGGGCGGCAAGATATGTCGGTCCAGGGTCTGGTTTTCTGGGTCTGGTCCGGGCTGCTGTAGGGAATGACGGAGGATGTGCGAGAGTCACCGGAGAGCAGCAGGCAAACCCCCCGTTGAGAGACGAGAGGCTTTGCCTGTTCGGGTTAACAGTTCCAGAGTGCCTGGCCCTAATCCTGCCAATTATGCACGACACGACGCTAGTGACTTAGTGCTTGCTGTCCGACAAAGAACCGTCGTGGCCGGACTCTTCTCTCGTCCTACACTCTGGCCAGAGTTTCTTCCTGAGCTCTGACCGTCGAGTCATGGGATGTGCGTGTTTCCCGGATCTTCTTCCACGTCGGCTGCCATCCTATTGGGTTCCATAGAGGGCTCGGTTCTGGTTGCCATGGAATCCGGATATTTGGCTACAGTCCAGATCAGGTGCCAGCTGTTTGAGTTCGTACGATCCATGGGAAGGTTGTTGATATCGATTAAGTTTCGTGTATTGGGAAATAGCAAGGGATGCATCTAGATACACTGGGAGACACTAAAAAGACAGGCAATCTTATCGCAAACCCAGGACAACGATCGGCTAAATGGAAACATGAAACGCATAGGTAGAAATAATAGTAATCGTAACTCGTAAAGATGCACAGAATTAGTAGGCCAGAGCCGCGTTTGGCGTCTGGCAGATGCCACCGCAGCAGCCATCGGCCTCGCGCGCCATCGAGTCGCCGCAGCTCTCGTTGTTGGCTTGACTCGTGCGTGTCACCTTCGCGGCGAAGTCCTCGTCCTCGCGACTGACCTCCGCCTTTCCGGGCAACGTTTGACGAGCAGGCCAGATCTCCTGCCCCACAAGTTCCTCGCGCTTGTGGTGGGCCTGCACGATGTCGCGCACCGCCGCCTGGAAGAAGAGAGGTCCCTTCTCCATCTTGGGATGCAGTTCCCCGTTGACGAACACGCCCGTGTTGAGGTTCTTCTGCGTCTCGACGCACAGGTACTTGTCCTCGGACATCACCCGCTTGTAGATCTGGTTGATGCGGTCGAAGTCCTCGTCGCTGGAGCTCTTGTTGCGGTAGACCTCGTATCGCATCTCGCAGGTGGTGGGGCTGCTGGGCACGAAGCGCTGCATGAAGAAGAAGTGTGGACTAGTGCGGGTTAGTATTGGCTCGACGGTATTGCAGTCATTCATAGGAACTTACGAGACGGTCATGGAGGCGTTGGGGAAGTAATAGGTGCTGGCAATCTTCAGTCCGGCGGCGATCTGCTCCGGCTTGGAGTTGGCATAGTGGACGATGCTGTTGCCTTTGGGGTCGACCGCGTATGTGCTAAGATCCGCGATGGAGGGAACGTCGGGGTGCGTCGTCGCGCAGTGGTAGCATTCGTTGTAGTTGTCGGCCAGGATCTTCCAGTTGTACTGGCCCTCCATCTCCCAGTGGTGATCGAACTGGTAGTCCTCGAAGTTGAACTCCTTCAAGCGCGGCTGCAGGTCGATTTCGCGGAAGTCGTCTTCCCAGGAGATCTCGGGCTTGTCACCGCCGTCCAGGTTCACCCAGATGAAACCGTTGGTGTCGACGTGCACGTGGATGGGCAGAAGGCCGTTCTTGCTCTTGTCGAAGCCCTCAAGGTCTTGGTAGCCGGGCGCCTTGGCCAGCTTGCCGTTGAGGCCGTACGACCAGCCGTGGTACTTGCAGGAGAAGATGCGCGAAGTACCGCCCTCCTCGGTCACGACAGGGAAGGCCCGGTGGCGGCAAACGTTATGGAAGGCGTTAATGTTGCCCTCACGATCGCGTACGAGGATGAAGCCGTAGCCAGCAATGGTGTACTTCAGCCAGTCGCCGGTGTTGGGGAGGCGCAGCTTGTGGGTGGTGAGGAGCCATTTCTTGGAGAAGATCGCGCGTCGCTCGAGCTCATACATCTCCTGGGAGGTGTACCATGAAGCAGGAAGAGCACGGATGGCATTGCTGTCGTCATCGGCGGAGACTTCGGTGGTGGTGACCTTGCCCAGGCCGAAGTAGTTCTTGAACATGGATGTCATGGTGACGGTGGTCAAAGACAAAAGACAAGTCTTTGTCGGGGTGAGAAGAATGATATTAGAGTAGAATTGGATTGATGGACTTGCTTGTTGTTCTAATCTCCATCAGAGCGAGACACGGAGGGTTCTATATAGTCGATGCTTATCAGCAACGACGCTCCCTTGGAAGCTTCACGGCATACCAGACACGAGCAAGACTAGGGTTGGATCCGATCATGGGATCGGCTCCACGGTCCCAACCGTGTGGCTGCCGATGGCCTGGCGCAATGATGACCTCTGCCAGGTCGATCTGGATTCTTATCACGGCATGGTCGGTTTCACGACCGTGTGTATCAGGCCTGATGATCTCCACCGAGCCGATAGTGGCGACAACTGCCGTTTTGCCCCGAAAAAGGCAAGATTTCCACTACTCAACCGGCCAGGACCCGCGCCAACGAGACTGCTTGTGATTTGATTCCCCTGCTTCGTTTCAGATTTGGCCTTTTCCGCTCTTCGGAACTTTTCTGGCCCTTCTCCGATAACGTAGGGTTCAACAACAGAACGGCTGTATAGTAGGAACAGTATGGAGATCGTCACGTATAGCCTTTACTTCTTTTGTTTCATTGTTTCTCTTGCTTTCTGCGGTTTTTAATCGAGCCTGCATTGGATGCCATTCACAGCTTGCAGTGTAGACTCGGAAGCCAAAGGATTTCCCTGTTGGTACATCGCTCTTCGCGACCATTGGAGAGGCGCTCAGTAAATCAAACCCGTGCAATCCCTTCTAATCTTTACAACCAACAGTTCGAATATCTCTTGTCTGCCACAATACCGCGGTCAAAATCACCACCAACATGACCAGGACAGTGTATTCAACTGTGTAGCCAATCTCTTAGTTGCTGACAGCCTGGCATTCATATAGTCGGAGCTGTTTGGTCTACTGATGTCTCCAGATATCCTCTGAATCACCACCGTCAGTCTCCTCCTGACTATCTGGCGTAATGGTATTCCTCCTGCGGCCGTATGCATGAGGACAGACCTTTGTTTAGTTCCCGCCCTTGGCTGCTCTGCGACTGCATGCTACGCTTTACTCCGTTCGATATTGATATGTTGGCTTAAGTATCCTAACGGCAAGTCCGACCGTTGGATATCCGGTGATTTCCATAAATAGCGTCAGGGTCCAAGTACTGCTCCAGCCGTTCAATGCTCTCTTGATCGAGCACAACGTCATGTGCGGACGCATGGAGTTTCGCCCTATTGCAACCATGGTCCTGCTGATTCGGGCTCGTATTTAGATGGCCATCGTTGAGTTTGTCGAGTTCTTTATCTACTTGACCATGGTTTTGTTCAAAATAGAGCTAGCGTAGTATATCCATTCATGCGTGTTGATAAGAATAGACCGGTTAAGTTCACCGTGACACAGTACAGATCCCACAGTTGATCACATCGTAACCAACCAATATATAATTTCAATGATTACTAGAGTACGACTCTGTACCAACCTGACGGGCTGGCCTCAGACAACTGGCTTCAAGGATCATCACAGGAGTCTCCCCCTTGCAGAGTCGTTATCTGTCCCTTCCCGGCCGTTCCTTCATTCCACTGGACATGTTGGACCAAATTCTCCGAATCTTTCTTATCACGGGATCTTATCAAACGAGGCAAACCAACGGCCCGATCACGTGAGCGGAAGGCGCGTCCCAAAGAGGCAAGGCGGTCCCTCAGGCCGCCAACGGGTTCTTCTGCAGACGCCGTGAAGTCTCTCGTGTCTTTCCCCCCGGACTCGTCGGGCTCGAGAGGATCTGGCATTATCCAGCCAATAGAATGCCCTCGCCGGGCGATAACTACGCCATCCACAAGGTCTCTGTCCGACGTGCCCGTCAGGCCTGCGGTCCCTGCCGGTAGGTGCACTCCGGCCCTCTTCAATCTCCCGTGCAGGACCCGCAATGGACGCACGGATTACCCGATTCGGAAATATTTAGAATGCTGACCATCCTGCCCCTGGCGCATCCCCAGTCGCAAGAAGGCGCGCTGCCCGGGCGAAAAACCGACCTGTTCGTTATGTCAGCGCTTGGGACAACGCTGCTCCTACGGCTCGCAGGCGGCTTCGGCGCCCGGTCCTGCCACCGGTTCGGCACGTCGGTTGGAGGAGCCGTGCGACGAGGGCCAGCCGGAGGGGGCCAGTTCGCAGCGGCTGCAGCGCATCGAGAGGAGGCTGGATGAGATGGCGGGCATTCTCCAGTAGGTTCCATGTAGGATTCCGTTTTACTTGTTGAAGTTACTCAGAACGATTGCCCCAGAGAGAGCCTGTCAAGAGGCCGTGGACTGCCCGGCACCGATCTACAGTCTTCCCGTGGCTCTGGCCGGCTCGAAACCGACGGATTAACTGGCCCCTTTGCTAGTCAGAGTGAGGACCGGGGTGTGCAAGGGTATGCCTGCGCCAGTTGTACATATCCCCTTCAGGAGTTGTGTTAGTAACGTCATCAAGGACCTTCTCTCTCGTTGACTTTGTCAAGTCCCAAGTCGAAGTGTATCTCCTCTACTTCCATGACCAACCCTATTGTGTCTTCTCCAAAGACTGGTTGCTGAGTAGAGCCTCGTCATTACCTGCCGAAATTGCATTCCCATTGGTCGCCTTGACATCTCGTCTTTCTCTGCACCCCCGTGGAATCTTTGCCAGCAATGTTCCGACCGCAGAGTACTGGGCCGAAAAGGCCTGGGATACTTTGTCAACTCAGTACAGGGACAGCCAGATGGGACTATCCTTTCTCCAGGGCACCTGTCTGATGGCGCAGGTGGACTTCGCCGACGGTCGAGCCCATCGCGCGTATGCCTCGTGTGCACTGGGTATCCGAACCCTCCAGTCCGCTGGACTCAACAGGGATCTTTTTTCGTCGTCCCTGGATGGTTCCAGTCTGGAGGAGCGCCGACGTATAACGTGGGCCTTCTTCATGCTTGATCGTACCTACAATGCGTCTCGCAGTTATTCACTATGTCTGGCAGACAAGCAGTTCAGCCTCCCTTTCCCTTCGCCTGATCCGGAAGAGTCTAGCCCTGGCTCGATGCACGACGAACCCGAACACGGAGGCGAGATGGTGGAAAACAGCATTTTGGCTTGTCTGATCCGACTGTTCGGACTCTGGGGCAAGGCCACCGAGTATGTCTTCGAAGCCCCCGATGAAAAGGCACACTCGCCGTGGCAATCCGGATCGGCCTTTGCCGTTCTTGAGTCCGAGTGGATGCAGTTCGAGACCCAGTTCCCCAACGCACACCGTTACCTGAACGTCGAGTCCGAGTTACGGGCCGGCAAAGAATCCCGGAATGGAGCCTACCTGCCCACCTGGCTGTGCGTGCAATTCCTCCTTCATTCGATCCAATGCCTGCTACATCATCCGTTCGTGATCATGATCAAGCTGCGACATATCAGCGGGAACCTCTCTTCAACGTTCCTGCAAAAGTCTTTTGAAAGCTCTCTTCTCCATTCGCGATGGATTGCACGATTAATCAAGGAAATGTCAACGGCCGACTCCCGACCTTACGATCCCTTTCTGGCATACCTCGCTGCCATCGCCGCCACGATCCAGCTGGAACACACGGCCAGTAGTAACCCAGACGTGGCTCGACTAGTGAACAAGGAATTCCAGGTCCTCATCAATTTCATGACGAAGGTTTCTACGCATTGGGCAAACATCAGGGTCTTGGTATGTACGACGTCCGCACATTCGAATGCCCACTGCTAATTCCTGGCTAGGTGGACCGAGTCAGTGAATTGGCGCATCGACGCCGGAACTTCGGGTCGCTCTACTATAATCAGGACGGATTTTCTGGGGCTCTACCTAGAATGCCGACTCCGACCAACATTCCAAAAATGTCGGCGGAAGACGAATCACTCATGTGGGATATCCTGGACATTAGCTCTTCCTCTGGATCGGGGAGGCTGGCGCAACTCAGTGACCTAGTTCCCTCGCCACATCGACAAACTGGAGTGCGCCTAGAGCAAGCACCTTCGCGGGTATCTCAGGAGATATTCGATCGTTCCAACCGGGAGCAGAGCGAATCCATGCAAGCGGAGCTTTCTGCGCCGGAGATGTCACTTCTCGACGGACGCGTACTGGCCTTGATGGCGGAGGACCCGGCCGGATGGTCATTCCCAAGAAGCAATAACGACGAGTTTGGCAACGCCATCCCCGACTTGCCAGACTGGATGATGTCGAGCGGACACATGCCCGAGCATCTATGATCAGGTCGTGATGCGACGGAAATTCCAACGTCATGCGGTATGCGGAACGATTCACGATCCATTGAACAAATTGAATGAAATTGGCTCTCTGTGCATCTCTAATAAACTCCGTTGAAAACCCTCCCTTTGTACATAAAGTCTCATCGCTGCGTATCTGATGTAAGCCTCTTTTCCCTTTCCTGCTCTCTATAGCTTGCTCTGTTTGGCGATCGGCGTGGCATTCTTGAGCGCCGAACCAAAGCTGGTTTGCTCGTGCGACAGAAGCTCTCTTCTCTCCGGACCTCCACGACTTCCATCTCCCTTGAACGCATCCTGGCGACCCCTGAAGTCCAACGGGAACTTGAACTTGTCCAGCAGATCGGCGGAGAGCTTCCGCTCGAAACAGCCGACGGCGTACTTTCCGATGTTGGGAAGGAATTTGAAAGCACTATGACCTGTCAGTTACGCGTTTCATGTGCAACCGGGCACCAAAAGGGTACTTACTGTCCGCTGCCTCCAGTGGCAATAAACAGGTTCTTGTGCTCGGGGTGATAATCCAGGATGAAATCACCGGTGGGGGTATCGTTGTACCAGCAGAGACCGACTTTCTCGAAGCCCCGCGACGCGAACTGCGGCATCATATCCCGCATACCCGCCGTCAGTCTCTGGACGCCGTCCTCGGGGATGAAGTTGGCGCGCGACGAGGGCGGCAGCTTGGGCGGCGCCGAGATGCCCTGCTCGGAGGAGTTGGTGTAGCCGTACGAGTGGCAGGCCACCTTTAGATAGCCCGTGGGCTGGTGCGCCGGGAAGCAGAAGAAGCCGGTCGAGAAATTGAAGTAGATGGGCATGTCCTTCAGCTGAATCATCTCCTCGGGCGTCAGGCGCATATATCCGACGATCTGGGCCGCCGCGACCATGGAGTTCCAAGCGGGCACCAGACTGGCCGTCCAGGCGCCGGTAGCCACGATGAACCTGTCGCCAGTTACTCGAGCACCAGTGGCCGTACGAACGGCTGTCACCGTGCCGTCGGCCGCCTTCTCGAACTCCTCAACCTGCCCATTCTTTCCCGTGATGAAGCCCACGCCGGCCGAGGCACACCGCGCCGCCAACCGGGCGATGGCCAGCGCAGCATCTGCCCATCCAGCCGCCTCGTTGACGAAGGCGTCAAATCCGGGCACGGCCAACTTGCCCGTCAGCATGGGGAACCGCTCCTTGGCGGCCTCGGGGGTCGGAACATGCGTCCAGGGCTCACCCATGTCGGTCAGGATCTGCCTCGTCTTGACGGAGTACTCGTGGGCGGCGGGTTGCACGATCTGATCCTCACTCGATTCCTGCGTCAACCACATACACGGGGTCTGGTGGAAGGCCTCGCTGTACTCGGGGGTCTTCCAGAGATCGAAGGCCTCCTTGCCCATGCGCGCGTAGACGGCATCGCCGTAGTCGAACCGAATGACGCGGGAGATGTCAACGCTGGATCCGTCGGGCACCGGGGGCACGGCGCGGTCGAGGACGGTTACTGAGGTGTATCCTTCCTGAATTAAACGCAGGGCAGTCGAGAGGCCGAAGACACCGGCGCCGATGATGATGATTTGTTGGTGCTTGTCCATGGTGTTTCTAGTCTATATTGGGGATGCAGAATGACAAAAAAAAGAATGATATGAATTAAACCAAAGCCACGCGATCAGCACACTGAATGCAAGGGGCAATTGAACTAGAAATGTGGGATTCCGAGTGGACAAGAGGCATGATTTAAAAGACGGAGTATATCCCAAATCCTCATGGCAAACGGTCCGTCCGCGTGGGGATCCGCCGGGCCGGAATGGGCCGTGCACCCGGTCCGCCTCACGGTCCGTTTTGTTTCTCGGACATGCAGGGAAACATACGCAGTAGCCCAGGTGAACTCGAGTCGAGTCTGTCTGGACTCGTGATTCATTAGAGGTATTATTCTTCGCTGTTCAGTCGGCCGCCCCACGTGGTGTGGATGCCTGAGGCTCTCAGTCTCGTTCTGTCGGCCTTGTTCATTTTCTGCAAAGTCTGGGCCACCAACCATGACCCAACAATCAGAAAACGAAAAAAAAAAAATAAAATAAAATAAAAAATAAATAAGTTTCTCCCTAATTGTCCCCGTTCTTCTTTAGCGACATTGTGTGCAGCCGAAGAGGTCGAATGTTCTGTCATTCTTGAACTCGAGAATCTGTATTCCCGAAAGGGTAATTGGATCCCGTGCCAAGAATAGCATCGCCAACCATCTGAAGGCCTCTCCGTGTTGTCTATTGAATGTATGAAGATAGCTGATAATATTCGATTGTGGCTTCGTTGCGGTGGCTTCCAGGATGAATAGAATCAAGAAAACTGGACTGTTAACTCTCACTTTCCAAGTTCACTATCTCGCGAAATGTATATTGTCGAAAGGCCCTATGCACTATATCATGAGTGACGAGGTACACAATTCTACCTCTACCACAACTCGGAAATAATACCTGTCTGGCAGAATTGAGAAGCATTAACATCTTTAACAAATTCTTGCCAATAAAGAGAACCAACTGTCAACCGTTGAACAGCTGTACACTATGGGTAGGATCAACTAATTGCGCGTGCAACAAGGGATGAAGCAGAAGACAATTGATTACTTCTAAAACAATCCCACTAGGATCCGATCATTTCAACTTAGTGGTCAATTAATTCTAAGCTCATTCACGTTCAGCCAACCGTCTCTCGCGCTCGATCTTCTTGTCTTCCCCAGACACTCCAAACTCCCGAACGATCATCCACGCCGGCACGACGGAAAGTGCCCACAGCCCGAAGTTGAGATAGATTCCTCCCACCGATGCCATGACGGTGACACTGCTGAGACCATACTGCGCTTGTTAGCCTGGGATCACTGAGAGACACAATCAACTCACCGAAACAGCCTGCACCGCCGACTCGGTTCCACGCAGCAGACCGGCCACACGAACGATTTCCTCCTCGTCGTCCGCCAGATTTCCGATAATGAAGTACCTGGCGCAGTGTTAGCATCGTCGATGCCTGTCTATGACGGACAAACATACAGAAACATATAATTCAATTGGAAGCCCATCACCCAGAACAGATACACCGCAAAGCCCCGTCCGAACCCCTCATCCACCCAGTCATACGTCGGCGACGTGCGACGATACTCCGTGACGATAATCGTTCCCCAGATCCACCACGCGCCCTGCAGTGTCAGGATCACCGCAAATGCGGCGCGACTGCGAATCTTCAGCGAGATGCGATTGCGATCGAGAAAGGCGCCCAGGAGATTGCCGACCGTCAGGGCCGTGATGCCGGAGAGGAACGAGCCGAGGGCACGCGCGCGCACGGAGAACCACAGGGACAGGTACGTGAACATGACGGCTTCGCTGTAGGCGGCCTGCGCGATGAGAGGCACGAGCAGCAGGAAGTTGCGACTGACGAAGAGCTTGGCCGTCGCTTTGATTTCGAACCAGGGGCTCTTCGCGACGCGCAGACGCACGGGGAGGCCGTCGCTGCGCTGCACGCGCTCCGGAGAGTTGAGGAGCAGGCCGGCGAAGGGGCCGAGAGCCTGCAGGGCGATGAAGATGATAAAGACGGTGAACGAGACGCTGCCGGCCTCGCTGCGATTGGCGTTGATGCCGAGGTTGATGGCGCCGCCGAGGATCTGTCCGCCCACGCGGAAGCTCAGCCAGAATCCGAGGAATCGGCCCTGGTTGTAAGGCTCCGGGTAGGAGAGGGCGATGGCGCTTTCGGCCATCCAGAAGATGCCTGCGAAGAGACCGCAGAGAGCGGCGCCGAAGATGGTGAGCCACTCACTCTGGAAGCGGTTGTTGGTGTAGAGACCGGCCGCGTAGGGAGCGTAGCCCATGGTGCCGACGATCAGGGTCCATTTGATGCCGATGAAGCGCACGACGACGCTGCCGAAGAAGCACGAAACGACCATCAGACAGAAGGTCAGCGCATTAGCCGTGTTGACCAGGTAGGGCTCCTGTGCACCGCCGCCGCCCAGCGAGTTCATGGCACCCCAGATGCCGGGGGCCAAGAAGTTGCATAGACCGAGGATGAGGGCATTATAGAAGGTCGAGCGGTACCATTTCACTGATCTTATTAGCCATGCTGGGGAATGGAAAGCTGATTGTCGAGACTTACCCTCGTGCTTGCCCGGCTGCGGTACCGACTGGTCGGCCAGCTCTTCATCACTGTGCTGGAATTCTTTTTCTGCGACCATGGTAGAAGGAATATCTTGCTATGGCACCAAGTCAAGAGCCGACACTGTCAAAATAGGCCCATTGTGGCGAGCCTGCGAGATGTATATTTATATGGCCCTCCACACGAACGGAGCTGCATGATGGAATCCCCTTGCTCATCATAGATCAAACAGGCTAGTCTGACGCATGGGAGAACGCGATGACAATTCCATATCCACATCTGCCGTGCAGGACGCTGACATCGAACACAGTTGAGACAATGTTCCAGAGGCCAAGGCTACGATGTTGCGGTTGGAGGGCGCGATTACGTGCTCGCACGGCATTTTAGTAGGAATTGCCAATCGCGCGGCACATCGGTGACCTTCGAACCGTCAGATAAGCCTACCGACTAAGATAATGATTCTTGATCTGAAAATTACCCTCGTCCGACCGTCGTTGGGGTCGTGAAAGTGGGCTCCTGCACGGCCTGGGCTGTTTACTGTCTCCACTGGCTTTGACGCCATGAGATGGAACCCTGAGAGACAATTCCTGCAGCAAAGTTTATTCCGACTAATCAAAATAGGTGCATTCGCTATCAATCAACTAATAATATCATGTCATGAAATACTATGGCAGCGTCATTCTGTATGCTGACTGGCAAGTCTTCTCGTCTCTCATCATAGGCCACAATCCTCTAGTCGCGATCCTCCGGATGGAAGACCAGCGTGCGCACCTCAATACTCTGCCTCGGCTCCTCGTTGACGGTGTCTGGGTTCACAAACGCCGTGTGAGGAACCCGCCTCGCGCGACCGTCGGTCTTCGAATCGGCACACTTGATCAAAGTGACGAGGTCGGGGGTTTGCCCGTAGCGGTAGTACCACTTGATGTCGGGATTCGGTCGAACAGAACAAGTCTCGCCCTCCCGGTTGGGATAAATCAGGGGAACAGGAATAATGTCGCTGTCGGGCACGGAGTGCGCATCGGCCACGGCCAGAGGATCCTTCAGGATGGTCTTGATGGGACGCCAGACGTTGATGATCTGGAACCGCCCTTTGAGCAGCTCGGGCGCCTCATCTGGAAGATGATACGTGACGCGGTTCTTGGATGCGTTGTAGGACTGATCGATGTGAACGCGCTGAACGGGTCCACGGAGCTGCGCAGCCGGAGTATTAGGGTCTTCGGCCGGACGACGGATGGTATGGTCGAAGATGAAGACTTTGGATGCGCCAGTTCTGGGAACGTTAGGAAGGAAGACTATGGACGAAGACAGGGAGCCAGTCTTACGCGTCTTTTAGGAGCTGCTCCACCTCAGGGTAGTACTCTCTCTTGATCTTCTCGTCGTCCACGAAGTCTTTCTCCTTGCTCTCATGGTAATAGAACTGGAAACCATTCCCGTCAAGCGTGTAGTCCAGCTCACGGCCGCTCACGTCGTGCACAGTTACTGAGAGCTCCGCCGAGGGACGTTCGTAGCTCTCGGGCTTCCCGACATAGCTGGGAGCCAGATGCGAGCCGTCCGGAAGCTCCTTGATGAAGTACAAGTTCGTCTTGACGTGGTGAGGTTTGTCAGAGGTCTGGATGGGAGGTTGGGGCTTTTGGGTGAGCAGAGAAGAGTCAGGACCGGTAGGAAGCTGGACTGCTGCAGAGGCCATTGCGATGCGTTGGTGGATAATCGACACTGGACTAAGAGTTTATGATGAGTTGGATGATTCTGATATACCTCATTCTGCTGTCCAAGCTGGACTTTATATCCAAGAGGCGGGGAACAGCAATGCATTTGTCAGGCTAGCACGCCATCTTCCAGGGTGTACAGTCAATCACAAACTCAGGCAACGCTGATAAATCCGAATCAGCATCATTGGATGCATGGATTCGCAACGGTCATGCACATGCGTGGCGGTCATGGGAGCGAATCATACGAGGCAGTGGCATTAATAATGAAGGTGGTTATGGGATGCAGGCTGAATAATGTTGATTCATAATACGTTCTATTGCTAATTCATCTATTTGACCACTAGTAATCTGGGTACTACAGATTTATTCATGATTCATACGAGCGTACCAGCTTGGTGATGCTGGTGCCATCATCCAATACGTCGACCTCTTCTTCTAGCTTGTAGCCTCCCCAGCGGGGGAGCAGTCTTGTCCATACGTACCAGTAGAGAATGCCAAAAAGAACCCTGTCGCAATTAGTACTATGACCGGCTGATAGGGGCAATACATACACCGAAGCTCCTACAATAGCATAGGTCGCGTAAAAGAAGTGCACATCACCCTTTCGATCGGGCGGAGGGATGAACGGAGCGACCAGCAAAGCCAGACAGACGGCAATCCGGAGCCACACGGCTGGTAACCAAGCCTTGAACGGTCGCAGTCGAAAGGGCTCGCGTCGGCGAACGAGCAATAAGCCGACTGTGACTGCCAAGGCAAAGATCTGACCCGGATATCCTTCAACGTCGAGGATAAAGTTGTATACATCGCCCTGTGGCGGAAGCGAGATCACTAGAAGTGAGGGCACATAGTGCACAATTAATCCCCCGAGAGGAGTGTGGAATGGTCGAGACGATGAGAGCACTTTAGACCAGGGTAGGAACCCCTGTCGAGCAATCTCCTGGTTTACTCGTGCCTGCGTCCGATGTTAACGCATCATCTTGCAACTAGGAGAACAGGCCTTACCAAAGCAAAGGTCACCACCATCACATTGCCCGCGGCAGATATAGCGATTGCCAGCGGAAACAGCGTCCTTCCAATGTGATCACCGAAAAGACGCTCAAAGAGAAGAGCCCCCACTAGCTCACCGCTGTTCTTAATCTCCTCCAGCGGCACGACCAGAAAGTAAGACACGTTGGCCACCAAGTACAGTCCGCATGCGGTAAACAGTGCCGCCGGGCAGACGGTCTTCAACGTCCGTACGGGGTTCTGCACCTCATTGAGGACATTGTTGACGTTATTCAAACCCGCATACGAGTAGAGCACCTTGAAGAGGGAGGTGGAAAGCAGACTCCAGCTCCAATTTGAGCCCTCCCATACCGTGTCCCACGCGAAAGGATGATCAGTTCCTGTTCGCGACGCTCCGATCGAGTCTCCGGATGGCCTGAATAGAATCACCCATAACCCGGTCAAAGACATGGCCGCAATCAGGAAGATCTTCACCCAACCAAGCACATTCTGGATCCATATGCCCGTCTTGAGAAAGCACCCGTGCACGATGGTGATGGCGGTCAACAGTCCCACGGCCAGAGCTTTGTGTTGCGCCTCGGTCGGTTCGATATCAAAGGCGAATAAAGTGTATTTCGCGAAGATGATGCAGTTGCTCGCCGTAAAACCCAGTACCACGGCCTGCACGGCAACGAGGGTTGAGGCGAGAAATCGGGGACGACGGTAGGTATATTCGAGATAGACCTGTGGATGACATCAATCCTGCACTTCATACACACCCGGAATGCCAATGGATATATCTACCTTTTCTCCGCCCGAACGGGGCAACATGCAACCGTATTCCATCGACACGGCGAGTCCGCAGGCTGCCAGAATGGTGCCGACCAGCCATACCAACAGCGTCAATCCGACGCTCCCGACTGATTTCACGATTGACCCGGGCGTTGCAAACACGCCGCTACCGATAACCCGCGACACAACAAGGATATAGGCACTGGACCAGGTGAGGGTCTTCCCTTCAGGTGCCGATCCGGGCAGTGTGCTCTGGACGCTGAGACCCAATTCATCCGGTGGAAAGTTAAGATAGGGATCATGGAGCGAGTCATATTGTCGTGACGCGGCTTCGAGCAGTGGCTGATGTTCGGTGTCGGCCATTTTGCGTATTCGACGGTCGAGATTGATGTACAAGAGCAGCCCAGTCTTCTCGTACCTTATGCTAGCATCATATACTATCTCCGAGCATTGTGGAATGAGGATTAGCCATTACCAAGCAAGGTAGCAGGAGACTGGTCAGCTCAGTAATCGCCATGATTGCCAGGCACGTCATCCCGGCCTGAAGTTATGCGTGCATCACGGTACTTATGAATGGAGAGTTGCCATTGGCACGGCGAGTTAAATCCGATTGGAAGGGTCAGATGAGCTGTTCACGTTTATCTGGTGGCCTGGAGGATCGAGGTCATATTCATATGTTGGGATGGGATGTAGCCCCTGATTGAACATCGGGGATTCGCCCGAACGAACCAGCGACCGACTTATTGCACGTAGTAGATAGGCGGTTGTTTTGATTTCAGGGCCAGCAAAGCAATGGGCAACACATAGTCACGGAGGCAGTCACGGCTGGAACCTTGGATCACCCGAGGGATTGAGTGCCTGATAACCAATATCACACCATCGTGTCCGTTAAGCCGATTTGCATCCTGGAAAGCTTCTCGCTCCCCAACCACGAAGTTCAATCCTACCCATGGCTCTTAACTCCCAAATATTTGCATTCTCATATCCGAGATAGATCTTCCCGTTCCAAACGATACGACAAATCGCCAAAGCCCTGACGCAAGGGACTTTCTTTGGAACGACAATCCCCATCACGTCATTCCAGCCCCGCCATTCGCAATGAAGGCGACTTCCGACAGCAGAGAATCGCAAATTACACTTTGCAAATTACACGGGAGACCGGGTTATCGTCAGTGGACGATTTGTAATGGTTCTTGTGGCGCTTGAGCGGAGGGCGTATCCATTGGCGATGCAGGCACATCGACTGAAATATACTCCATGCCCATCTGGAGTGACCTATTTCTGTTGAATATCACCAGCATATCTCGTTGAACTGCAGTAACCATGACCACGATATCGACTACGTATGCTCCAGCATCGCTGGACGAAAAGCACCACGCCGTCTTCCACCACGAACTGGTAATCGAGCAACGACCGGAGTATACTTATAATCCCACCTTTATACATTCCCGTCCAGTCGAGACCATCATACCACCGCAGCCCCCGACCACTCAGAATGCACTGCTACTCAAGGCCGCGCGCGAGCAATATACGCTGGTCACCGATCATGCCATTCCATCCACACGGACCAAGGATGAGATCCTAGTCAAGGTATGCTTGTCCTGTTCTGCCTGACCAGAAGCCTCGCTAATATCATGCAGATTGTAGCGATCGGCCTGAACCCGATCGACTGGAAGGGCCCGTAAGAAGTCTATCCCATCTTGTCTGTGGTCTATGCTTTGCTGACACATACGGCGTACAGGGCGTTCAACTTCGGTATCCCCAGTCTTCCCTGGGTCAATGGACGAGACCTTGCCGGCGTGGTTGTACAAGCAGACGAATCGGCCCGTGTGAAGCAGGGCGACCTCGTCCTCGTCCCATCCACCGACTATCGCGACATCCGCAAAGCTGCCTTCCAAGAGTATGCCGTGGCGACCCATTTCAACGCGGCACGGATCCCCTCCACGGGATGTGTCCATGCCTCGGCGTCGCTAGGAGTTGCCTTTGTGGCCTCGGTGCTGGCATTGGGCGTGTCCCTGGGTCTTGATCTGTCGCGGGCCTCACCATCTCCCGGACCCAACTTGGTGGACGTGGTACATCAAATCAACAGAGAGGAGATCCCGTCGGACATCCAGGAGCAGTGTTTTAAATCCTCGAATAAGGTTGAGCAACCGCAGAAGGGCGACTGGATTGCCATCTGGGGAGGTGAGTAACCCCATCCGCACGATCGTGCAGTCTTTCACTAACTAATCTAGCATCCACCACGACGGGGTACATCACCCTCCAACTGGCACGGATGGCCGGTCTCAGAGTCGTCTGTGTCGCCGATATTGCCCGTCACGGCGCAAAGCTCATTGAACTGGGCGCCGATGCCCTTGTCGACCGTCACGACTCACAACGCGCCGTGGAAATCATCCGCGGCATCACCAAAGGGAAGCTCCGATACGCCATTGACATTGTCGGCAAGGATACGGCCACAATCCTACAACAAGCACTGGATGACTCGCCAAGGGAGGACGGATCTCATGCTCATCTCCTCGGACTGACGGGTCTGCCCAAGGAGAAGGGTGAGAACATCACGCACCACACCGTTCCTATTAAATTGTTTCATTCGTCCCCTGCCGTCGGCGAGGCAATGGTATCCTGGCTAGAGCGACTACTCGGCTCGCATACTCTACAATTGCCGGAAATTGTTCGGGCAGAGGGCGGATTGGCTGGAATCAATGACTCGCTGGAGATTCTACGGCAGGGAACGGCATCTGGAAAACGCATCGTCGTCGATCTGGGGGCAGAGTAAAATTGCTTGCGGTTTTCTTCTGGTTCATGTTGATACGCTATTATTATGACTATGTAGATAGACAATTTACGGGATAGATGGGAGACAAAAACCCATAAATGACGGCGATAAATCAGCTCCATCACCACTACTACGGAGAGGCACGGGATGGCCTTGCCCTAAGAAGTCCGATATCGATGTCTCCCTGAAGCGCCCGCATAAAACCATTTCTAATGCGTTTATGTCGACAAGCATGAAATGATAAGGGATCCTGGCTCGATCAGGATGCATTGACGAGTTGGAGTACCCCAACTCTGGTGTCACCATCGCGGGGGAGTCTCACGCCATCAATCTGGTCGCGCACGCCTTCAGTCTCGCTGATTCGCCTTGCCCCAGGAGGGGCACTCTTCCCTGCCCGTGCTTCCCATGGAGATTATCCCGATGAGGGGTTACGATGAGCAATGGCGTCGTCGGTTGCTACCGGCCTCATTATGTCTTTTGTTGTGTCAACACGAACAGGCCTCCTTTCTCTAACCGAGGCCAATCTGTCGCATCCATACATGCTATTTAATCCTCAACGAAGCTGCCCTCTATCCGTATTTACACCCATTTCACATCAAGGACCCCACCAGTCTCATTCCCCACCCTCTAGTCGCACAAGATGGGCTCCGACGCGCCCAAGAAACAGCTCATCCTCAATGCCTTCGCCATGCAATCGCCCTCCCACCTGAACCCGGGCTTGCACCGCTATCCCGGCGACCAGGGACACAACTACAAATCGCTACAGAACTGGGTACAACTGGCGCAGAAGCTCGAGGCCGCCAAGTTCCACGCCATCTTCTTCGCCGACGTGCTGGGCGGCTACGACGTCTACAAGGGCCCGGCGAACCTGGACCCGACGATCCCCGCGGGCGCGCAATTCCCCATCAACGATCCGCTCTACAGCATCCCGGCGATGGCCGCCGCCACGCAGAGCATCGGCTTCGGGGTGACCGCGTCGACGACCTACGACGCGCCGTACGCGCTGGCTCGACGGTTCTCGACGGTCGACCATCTCAGCAACGGTCGCGTGGGGTGGAACATCGTGACGTCGTACCTGGACTCGGCGGCGCGGAACTTCGGGCTGAACACGCAGGTGGAACACGACGAGCGGTATCGCATCGCCGACGAGTACCTCGACGTCACCTACAAGCTGTGGGAGGCGTCCTGGCGCGACGACGCCGTCAATGTGCGCGACGGCGTGGCCGGATATGCCGACCCCAAGGCCGTTCGCCAGATCAACCACCAGGGCAAGTATTTCACCGTGCCGGGCCCGCATCTCTGCGAACCGAGTCCCCAGCGCACGCCGTTCCTGCTGCAGGCGGGCACTTCGACGGCCGGCAAGGCGTTTGCGGCGAAGCACGCGGAGGCGATCTTCCTGCACGGCCAGAAGCCGGAGCTGGTGCGGCCGTCGGTGGACAACGTGCGACAGCAGGCGAAGGAACTCGGCCGTGATCCATCGGCGATCAAAGTGGTCGCGGGTCTGCTGGTGCTCGTGGCCGAGACGGACGAGGCGGCGTATGCCAAGTTCGCGGAGCTGGCCAAATACGGGGATCGTGAGGGTGCGCTGGCTCTGTTCGGCGGCTGGTCGGGATACGATCTGTCGAAATGGGACGACGACCAGGACTTCCGCTTCGTCGAGCAGCCGGCGGTGCGCAGCATGGTCAACCACTGGGCCAGCACGGTGCCGGGCACGGAGGGCAAGAAATGGGACAAGAAGACCATCGCGGAGTATCTCATCATGGGAGGCAACGGGGCCAAGATCGTCGGCAGCGTGAAGACGGTGGCGGACGAGCTGGAGCGCTGGGTCGAGGTGGGAGACGTGGATGGCTTCAATCTGAGCTATGCCAGTCTGCCGGACACCTTTGACGATATCATCAAGTATCTGATCCCTGAGCTGCAGGCACGAGGCATCTTCCACACGGACTACTCGGTGCCAGGAGGTACTTTCCGTGAGAACATGTACGCGACCAAGGGCCATACTCGATTGCCCGAGTCGCATCCTGGGGCCAAGTATTTCTGGAAGCAGGGCGAGGAGAAGCCAAAGTATGCGGTCGATGAATAAGAATGTAAAAGAAAGCTTCATGTCATTCATGTACCGTCAATCAGTCTAGGCATAGCCAATGAATCAAATCTTCGTGCAACAGAAACAGAGTATCTACACATCCCACCAGCCCTCCATGTAGGATCTCAAATCAACGGTCTCCGGTCGGACAACGTGCGGCGTCAAGTCCGCATCCTTCGTCTTCTCTCGCGTGCGCCATCCATTTCCAAAGTACGCAAATCGGTTACCGCTGGGGTTGGTGTACTCGTACTCCCAGTCCTCCCAGCGCGGGTCTCGGCGCAAGTAGTTCAAACTAGCGGCGCTACCAGGGAACAATCCGTGAATTCGGCCTCCGGGACGTCCACCATTATACCACGACCGGCAGTTCTTCTGGCCAGGAGTCGAGTCATCGTTGCCAGTCCACACGGTGCGCGGATAGAAGGTGTCGCAGTATTCCACGAAGTCGTCGGCCGCCGCTTTCGAGGGTGCCAGGGCCTTGATTCCCTGGCTGCGGATCTTGCGCACGATCTTCGCGATGTAGGTAATCTGGTTCTCCAGGCTGTTGGGCACGCTACCACCGTGGCCTGTGGAATGAGGACCTCCGATCCAGAGCAGATTGGGGAAGCCGGGAGTGGCGACGCCGAGGTAGTTGTAAGGGAACCCCCAGAGGCCGTCGTGCTTCCACGCCGTCTTAAGGTCGATGCCATCGGCAATCACAGAGAAGGGAGGCGCGTGGTCAACATTGGCGCCGGTAGCACAGATCACCACGTCCACCGGTCGCTCTTCGCCGTCGGCAGTCACGATTCCCGTGGGAGTGAACTTCTGGATGGGTGTTTGGATGTAGCTCACATTGGGCTTGGTCAAGGCCTCAAGATAGCCCGGACCCGGCGTGGCACGGCGACAGTTCGGTGGGAATTCTGGAATAAGCTTATCTCCCAGCTCGGGCTTGTCGCCAATGCGTCCCAGCATCAACTGCGTCCACTTGTCGCGAAGCTCCTGGTTCTCCTCCGAGTTCTTGAACACGGCCCCAAAGCGGGAGAAGTACCCCTGCTCGATCGACTTGCGGTATTCGATGTATTTCTCCGGGTCCTTGAAGGACTCCAGCTGCTCGGGGGTGAACAGATTGGGTTCCAGACGGCGCACGCCAGTGGTGCCGAAAGAGTCGGCCACCCAGGTGCGGTTGCGTGCGTAATGGTCGACATGCTCGGCGATGGGCTGGATCGATGGCAGGACCTGTAGACCGGAGGCACCGTTGCCAATGAGGGCAATGCGCTTGCCGGTCAACTCGACGTCGTGTTGCCAATGGGAGGAATGGAACAGGGGTCCTTGGAACTGGCCGATGCCTTCGTAGTTGGGCAGTTGCCAGGCATTAAAGTGGCCGATCGCGTTGATGACCACGTCCAGCTCCTCTACGTAGGTCTATGGACATTAGAATCGTTCGATCGTTTAGTGAGAGCGCACCATACCTTGTTCTCCTTCAGATCCTGCAGGGTAACACGCCATTTGCCCAGCTGGGGAATCCACTCGGCCTTCTCGACTTGTTGCTGAAAGCGCAGATATTTGTAGACATCGTACTTGCGCGCCACGCTCTGCCAGTAGTTGCGGATCTCCGCGCCCTGAGCGAACTCCTCCGTCCACTGCGTGTTGGGCGAGAAGCCAGACTGATAGACGTGGGCTGGAATGTCGCATCGAACCCCGGGGTAGGTGTTCTCGAACCAGGTGCCGCCCTGATATCGTCCGTCAATTCCCGTATGCATTGAGGTTCATGGCTTAACCTACCACATCTGCATTCTTATCGTATATCCTCAAGTCCAGCCCAGGCAACTTGGCAGGAAGCAGAATCCCGGCATTGACACCAGCCAGACCCGCACCAATTACGCCGACTTTGATCGGTCGCACTTGGTCAATGGGATGCTCCTCGATCTCAAAGGCCGGTCGGCTCTCGGGCGTTGGTTTCGTCGCCGTCGTCTCCGTCGGACTATGCTCAGAGGCCGGAGGACTATACACATGGGCATTTCCATGCGACAGGGGAAGAGGCGTCGTCGCCACGACGGGTCCTTTAACGGCAGCCATATCGATCAATTCTACCTGGAGTGCCAGTTACCCATCGAGCCAGACCTGCGATTCCGCGTATTAATATCTCCGTGCCCATACGATATGGCGTCGTCCATGGCGTATCGCTCGCCAATGCGGGGATACGGCGTGTCAGGCCGATCGTCTCTGCACGCCATCGGGCGTGCATCTGAGGTCTTCGCCGAGACCCCAAAGTTGGGGCCTTTGGAGCTGCCGGATAATCGGCGTCACACCATCGCGCGCACCGATTGTGTCAGAGCCAGAGGATTTTGCAATTCTGTAGATGAAGTGGTATTTTTCATTCTGCGTCTACACTCCTTCTCTGGCTTCTCCAACGACACTCGGCCGATATCTGCAGCCTGCTGGCTGTCTGTCGATCCATGCGATGTCGGCTTCCGACAGCTGTGTCTAGATCTTGGGGCCATTTGCGCTGCAGTCGGCACATTCCATATCTGAGTACGTCATTGGCTCATTGGCTTGGTTCTGGGATGCATTGCGAGTGGGATCATGTTCATGTTCAAGTGCATTGAGAAAGTGCATTGAAACGTGGCGATCGACGACCGCGGTATAAGCCCTATCTATTTACTTTGCGCGGCGTCAAATCTCTTCCACATGCCCTCAATCGCCTCGTGCCGCTTCAGGGCCCATTCGAAAGTGGGATACCATTCATCCTTGCGGTAGGCCTCGTATAGTCGGGCAATATTCTGCGCCATGGTGGGCAGAGCATCCCACTCATCCTGGTCGGCCACGATCTCCTCCGTCTGGCCGGTCTCGTTGCGGTAGATCTCAACCTTCGTCTCGGGGTGTCCAACGTTCAAGAACAGGAACGGCGAGGTCACTCGGATCCAGCCCTTCTCGCCCTGAATACGCCAGTCCAGGCGCGGCGTGCCGGGGAACTCCTTGCCCGCATGCAGGGTGAGCTGGACGGGAGCATTGGACTCGCCGGCGGTTCCGTACATCAAGATGTTATCTGGAACGGTGTTGACGACGTCTTTTTCAAACACCTTGCCGTTACTCTCGGGGCGCATATCCACGACGTCTACTGTCGGTCGGGTGATGGCGATCGAGCTATTGAAGGAGTTGAACTCGCCCAAAACTATCCCGGAATCAGATCAGCCAGCGCCTTTCGCCACGGTCGCAAATCAGAAACTCACCCGTAGTCACACTCTCGATGCCATGACCGACATGGATACTCATCAGGCTGCCGCCTACCTCTCTATCGAGGAAATATCTCACGTTGTGGCTCTCCTTGTCGAGATCGTTGCCGCAGGATCCCAGGTACCAGCTCGAGACGACTCTGCCGATCGCACCACTCTTCACGACGTCGCGGACCTTGCGAAGAATGGGTGACAGGCTGCTCTGCAGTCCCACGATCGTCTTCGCATTCTGTGTGGCGGCCAGCGCCGTCATTTCGCGCGCCACCTCGGCGTTGCGATCGAGCGGCCACTCGACGTATACGGCCTTGCCGGCGATCAGACTGGGCTTGACGGTTTGGAAATGACGATCGACGCGAACGCTGCAGACGACCAGGTCGACTTCGGGGTCGTTGGCCAGATCTAGACGATTCCGGATTCGCGTCAGTGAACGAGACGATACTGAAGAGGAGAATGATAGTCCACTTACCGGCCGGATCGCCATACGTCCTCGTCTCGCTGGGCAGGTTATATTTCTGCACGGCGGCTCGAGCACTCTCGGCGGAGCTGTTCAGCAGCGCGACGATCTCATAATCCGGAGTCTTGGTCAAGTAGGGCAGGTGTCCCAGGGAGGTCCAATTGGTGCCCTCGTACTTGTCGGCCGGGGCACCGGACAGTCCGATCAAACCCACGCGGATGGGCGCCATTGTGGTATGCGAGATAAGACGAGTCAAGTACTTCATTGCAGGAGATCTGATCGGACCTAGAGGATTGGTGCGATTATATAGTAGTTAGTGCTGGTGATAGAGCGAGTCTCCGCATGGTCGGGCGGTGCTTAGAAATCAAGGCTTGTCCTGCTGCTGATAAATCCAGAATGCACCGGACGCAGTGGAAAGTCCTGCCCGCGACGAATGAGATTCGCAGCCCGGCCAATTTGCAGGATTGATGGAAATTGGCCTTGTCCTGCTGGTCGCATGGGCTGATCAGGGAGCCACCGATCTCCCCGGTCGGTCGGGGTGAAGATGCAGTATAATCTGTCATTTCGGACGGAAGACTGGCACGGCAGAAACACATATGATTATACCAGCACGCCGTATCAACCTGGGAAGGGGAGAATCCGGAGTAGACGCCATGGCGAAGAGTCCAGCAGGAGAGAAGGAGAGAAGGAGGAAGAAGAAGAAATGAAGCATCAACAAACCGGGCGGTGAGGATGCTGCCTCAGGCATCAGCTGTAGTCACTCTGGCAGCCCAGTTGATCAAGACTTTAGATTCAGAGACATTCACCGGCAGAAGGTCTTTTAAAGGCAGGGAGAAACAGTTCTTCATGTCCTCGATTCAGCAGCGGTATGTTTGGTTGAAGCGTGAGGACTCAAGGCAGCTGCTCTACTCGCGACGAGGAACTATATATCCCTACCACTACTATTGGGACAACAGAACTTATCCTTCAATTTCCTTCCCATTGACGATCACTGGCCATTACAGGGCTCAGCCGATGCACTTCGTGAAATGCAGTAAGCCTCCCCTCAAAGTAAAGTGTCAGGCAACGAACCCATCCAGCCAGCAGCGTTTCCGTCCCAAGGTGATGATGTCACCGACCTGACCCAGATCCACCAACTCTCTCGCCAGGGAAGAATCGTGTCCGATCGACCGTCCGGGCTGGAAAGGATATTCACTGCATGGCGCATGACGCAAGCTACGGGCAGGGCGGGTGAGCTGGCGACCGACTGAGATTGCCGTGATGTTTCTGCACCTGCGCTGAATCCCGACTCAAGATGAAGCTCTTGAACATCTGGAAAGCCGCCTGGGCGCTGTCTGGATTGCAATTGATCCGGACGGGTCTTTGCGCAGAGGACGCCAGCAGCGACTCCGATTCACCCTCTGCCGTGGTCCTGAACGTGCAGAAGGATGGTGGCAATGAATCCAGCCCCCTTTTGTACGGGATCATGTTTGAGGTGAGAGATTTCCCAGCAATCCCAAGGCTGTCGCTGACTGTTGGATTCCTAGGAAATGGACCACTCCGGTATAATCCCTCGCAGCGTTTGATCCAACCTCCCGACTAACGCATGGCAGGCGACGGCGGAATCCACGGGCAACTGTTGCAGAACAACGGCTTCCAAGGCACCAAGGCGGGATTGACGGCCTACTGGGCCATCGGAGAGGTGGATATCCTGCAGGACGAAGCCAATCCTCTCAGCGACGCCATCACATCCACGCTGCAGGTGCAGGTGATGCCGGAGGAGACGGACTTTGTCGGGTTCGCCAACGGAGGCTACCAGGGCGTGCCGGTGATGAACGCGACCTACCGATGCGAATTCTGGATGAAGGGTGAATACTCCGGCCCCGTCACGCTGCAGCTGGTGGGAACGTCCAGCGGGACTGTCTATGCGTCGCATGAGATGGCAGCGAACAGCACCTGGCGACGATTCACCCGATACGAGACGACCTTCAATGCCACCGCGTCCCCGGACGGCGACAATGACTTTCGGCTATTGTTTGACGGCTCGAAGGTACCGGGCATGTCGCTGAATTTTGGGCTGGTGCAGTTGTTTCCGCCGACGTATCATTCGAGGTAAGGTCTTAGGATTTCTGTGGAGTTCGTAGTTAACGGTTTCAGAATCAATGGGCTGCGAAATGACCTGGCGACGGTCCTGGAGGCTATCAGACCTTCGTTTCTGAGATTTCCCGGAGGCAACAACCTGTATGTGTCATGTTCTATCACGGTGAGAAGGAACGTACTGACAGGACCAGCGAGGGACTTGAGATTGACAGCCGATGGGCCTGGAATCGCACGATTGGGCCGGTGGTGGATCGACCAGGAAGAGACAGTAAGTGCATGCGACACTCTACTGTGGACAGGCTACTAACGCACGCAGGCGACTGGTTCTATCCCAACACCGATGCACTAGGTGAGTGGCACCTGCACCATAACCCAGAGGCAAATCTCTAACCGCACAGGCCTCGATGAGTATCTCTGGTGGTGTGAAGACATGGGAATGGAGCCCGTGCTGGCTGTCTGGGACGGCAAATCCTACGGGGGCATCTTGGTCGGGTCCGACCTTCAACCGTACGTGGACGATATCATGAACGAGCTCGAGGTGGGTGTCATGCAGCCTTCATTGGAGGAGCACAGCTGATTGTGCCAGTATCTGCTCGGTCCGTCAAACAGCACGTATGGGAGAATGCGCGCGCAGAACGGACGAGAGGAGCCCTGGTCCGTTCGATATATCGAGATCGGCAACGAGGACGATTACACCGGGGGATGCGAGTCCTACCCCGATCGCTTCACGCAGATCTACGATGCAATCATCCGAAAGTATCCACACCTCACCATCATCGCCTCGACCATCGACAAGGTCTGCCTGCCACTGAGCCCGCCGCCGGGGATCCTGTACGACTACCACTACTATCGCAAACCGGACGAGTTGGCGGCCATGTTCAACGAATGGGATAACCAGCCGCGATCCGAGCCAGTGATTATCGGGGAATGGGGATGTCGCAATACCACGGCAGAGCGTGGAGTATTCTGGTCCTTCGTGCAATGCAGCTGCAGCGAAGCAGTGCATATGATCGGGATGGAGCGCAACAGCGACGTGGTCAAGATGTCGGCCTACACGCCACTGTTGCAGCACTTTGGCTTCACCCAGTGGTCGGTGAGTTTCCCCAGGAGGGAATTTAAGTTCCCAACGATACTGACCATGCCTAGCCTACGCTGTACGGGTTTGATTCCAGCCCCGGATCCATCACGCCGTCGACATCGTACTACGTGCAGAAGATGTTCTCCACCAACCGGGGAACAACCGTGCTGCCCGTCAACACCACGGCGAATTTCGGACCTTTGTACTGGGTGGCATCGAGGGACAATGGCACGTACTACGTGAAGTTGGCCAACTACGGCGAGGAAAAGCAGACCGTCCATATCAACGTGCCAGCCACTCGCTCGGGGAGGTTGGAGATGCTGTCGGGCCCTCGCGATGCCAGTAATCAGCCACACAACGTCACCATCCAGCCCACGCTGCATAATGTAACAAACCCGGCGGGGAATTACACGGTGGATTTAGCGGCGTGGGGGGTCGCCGTATTGGCTGTCTCGTAGCGAGTCGTTGAGAGCCTTTTCTGGATGCGCAATGACCCGATTATGCATGATATCTAAGATTCGAATACCGGCGATCGTGACTGGAATGTCGCCCTACTGTAACCTTAATGAAACGGTACAAGAGATTCCATAGATTATAAATCCCTCAGCCATTCACGCTGGCTGACGCCGGCAGTTCCGTCCCAACGGCCGCCGTAGTTCCTCCATCGACAGGCAAGATAACCCCGGTCATCCACCTGGCCTGGTCACTGGCTAAGAAGCGCACAGCGGCACCGACATCCCACCCGTTGCCTTCGGTTTTAAGTAGACTGCGATTTTTGCGCGCCTGTCGGGCTTCGTCGCTCATGCCTTTGGCGTACATCATGGGCGTATAGACCATGCCGGGACACACGCAGTTCACGCGAATGCCGTCCCTCGCATGATGCGCCGCCATGGCTCGGGTCATATTGACAATCGCTCCTTTGCTCGTGGGATACAGTAGATGCGGCGTGCCCCCCTTGAGGCCGGCCACGCTGCCCATGTTCACAATGCTCCCTCGATATCCCGGCGTCGCCTCGTTCCGGCGCATTTCGGGCACCACGTACTTGACCATCATGACCATGCTGGAGATGTTCAGATGCAGGCCTTGCGTCCACGCCTCCATGTCGACGGACTCGGCTGTTCCGGACGCCCCGCTGACGCCGACGCAGTTGAATAGGATATCTACGCGGCCGAAGTGGTCAATGGCGGTTTGAACGACTCTCTGGCAGTCGGCCGCAACGGTGACATCGGCTTGGACTGCGATCGCCGTGCCATTTCGCTCGTCGGTGATCATCTGGACGGTATACTCTGCCAATGACAATTGAATGTCAACGCAGACGACGGCGCAATCGTCCTCGGCCAGGAGAATCGCCGCCGCTCGGCCGTTGCCAATGCCATCCCCTGCAGCGCCGGCGCCGGTGACGATGGCGACACGACCTGCGAGGGAGCGTTGAGGACGGAGGATGGATGGATCCGGGACTTTTTGTTCGGTCATTGCTGGGAGATATTAGCTCGATTACTGAATTCCAAGGCACTGCCTCTGCCATGTTTAAGTATCCCCGCGTGGCGTGAAGTCAACCGAGGCGCATTCGGTTGTCGGCATCACAACTGCGCTGGCCTTCGTTGCAACAGCGACGCCCTCCGAATGGGGTTTACCGAGCACAATGGGGTCATCCCACGTCGTAGACGGTATTCTGGTTGCTCTCGCCGTGAACCTGCAGCGGGCACCCGATCAGGTCAAGTCCATCAGCTTTTAGTGTCTCCATCCTGGCGCTAAAAACGTCGTATAAACCCCACGCCCCCCTCCCTGTGCCGTGTAACACGCCTACATTATTCTACCAGTCAATCCAACCTGTCCGTTGCACAGGATGTCTCGACTCAGTGACTACCGACTGCTCACCTTCGACGTCTACGGCACGCTGGTCGACTGGGAAGGGGGGATTCTGGCCGCCATCCAGCCCATCATGACCCAACATCAAGCCACCTTCTCCAACGCCCACATCCTGCACATCTTCCACGAGTTGGAACGCGACCAGCAAGCCAAAACACCCGATCTGATCTACTCGGACCTCCTCGCGACCGTGCACCCTACGCTCGTGACGCAACTCGGCCTACCGGCGCCGACGCCCGCGGAAAGCAAAGCCTTTGGCGAATCGGTGGGCAACTGGCCGGCGTTCCCCGACACCGTGGACGCCCTGAAGCGACTATCCAAGCACTACAAGCTGGTCGTGCTCTCGAACGTCGATCGCAGCTCGTTCGCGAAGACCAACGCGGGCAGTCTACAAGGAGTGCCGTTCGACCTGGTGCTGACGGCGCAGGATATCGGGTCCTACAAGCCGGACCTGCGCAACTTCGACTACATGCTGTCGGCAGTGAAGCAGCATTTCGGCGTCGAGCCCGACCAGGTGCTGCAGACGGCGCAGAGTCAATTCCACGACCATCAGCCGGCCAAGAAAGCTGGCATCAAGTCGGTGTGGATCGTGCGACCGGGGGCCATCATGGGCAACGTGGAGGAGGAAGTATACGACTGGAAGTTCGATACGCTGGGACAGATGGCCGACGCGCTGGAGCAGGAGAACCAAGTATGATGCGATCGCGACTAGATAGAAATAAGACCTCGGGATTGCTTCGTCCGCAGCTGCACGGCGCAACACAGGTTGTACAGCATAGTCAACGTAGGCGTCTGTATGCCGATGGCGTCGGCTTCGCGCACGACCTCCCCGAGGAGGTTTTCATGTTCGATGAGATTGCCCTGGAGAGAGGATCAGTATGCCATGCGCTGCGAAACCAGACGGCACTCACCTTGCGTAAATCCACCAGCATACTGGGCGAGATCCTTTTTTCCACGGGATTGCTGGCGATCGTTGTCTCGATGACATCCTCTGGAAGGCGATGCCCCAGGGCCGCGGCCACTTGAATCACCTCGCGCATGGCCGGCCTCACCAACGTCTCCATGCTTTGGCGATCCAGCTGCAGCGTCCCAGTATCCAGGCCTGTCAGGGCACAAATGGGATTCAGACAGGCATTGTAGACGAGCTTTTGCCATCGGCTGAGCGCAACGTGGCCGTCGTATCGGCAGTTTGTCTTGCCGCCGGCGGAGTAGATGCGAACGAACTCCCTGGCGACATTCTCCTGCCGGGCGAGCGGAATCGAAGGGTGAGGGAAGGCTCCGACGTCCAGGGAATCGGGCTGTTTATGCTGAATCGTGCCCGGGGTGATCTCGTGCGCGTCGGTCCGACTGACGCCGGACAGCACGAGGTTGTCGGGGAACCGGGCGATGAAGGGTCGTTCGATGTTGACTCCGTTCTGGATCAACACGATGGACGTCTGTCCCGGGGCCACGGCTGGCGCAATCAGATCGCAGAGGGAAGGGGGCGCGTCGGGGATGTTCTTGGTGCAGCAGACGATGTAATCGAACGGCGGCGACGGATGACTGGGAACTGCATCCAGCACTGTCTGCAGTTAGCACGACATCCGGGGGACGTTGACCTGGGATTTGCAGGATGGATACCCTGCGTAGGCCGCCAATGGGCCACGCTGCCATGGTCGCACGACTCAATGGCGAACCCTTTCTGCAACACAGCAGCATGGTTCGACCGCAGGACGCAGGTTACTTCTGCACGGTTACCTGCCTCCAGGTTGAGAGCAGCCACGGTACCGATGCCTCCACAGCCGACAAGCAGAATCCGGGATTTGGCCATGTTACACGAGAATAGGGGGCAATGCGAGACGGCAGGTTGGCCTTCATGTCTCGGAGCATCCGGCGGAATTCCCAGCCTCATCGGTCTCCACGTTCGGTTATCGATCGGGCACTAATCCTGAAAGCGTTGGCAGTGGGGACACGCTCTGCTGGATCTCACTGGATCTGTATCCGGGGGAATTGTGGAGACATGATTTGCTATCCCATCAGGGCTGCAAGATGCCGCTCGCCGCAGGGACCCGTGGATGACGACTTTGGTCTCTTTGACTTCTGGATACAAACACCGCACCCAGCTGGCAAACCTTCATCGATCTGCCAGGCCGTCTGTTTCTGGCCTGGATTCTGCGACCTGTCCACTCGCAAGATTGAGTTCACGATTGGATGCTGGGCATGTCGGACCTGGTATTCCTGATGGCGCGTTTCTTCTTCACCGCTGCCATGTCTCAACGGTCATCCGGAAAGGTCTCAATTGCTGGCAGCTGCGCCATGATCGTATTCATTCCCGCCTGTAGGGTCCCGTTTGTCTCATGCGGCAGGTTCCTAACGGCTCCGATCTAGAGTCTGGTGGATCCTATACGCCCTGTTCCGATGAAGCCTCTCGCGGCCATCCTCATCGGCCTTCCATCCTTTGTCCTCCGTTCGCCGAATCGTCTAGAATCCTATCTGGGCGTTGCGCCTTGGTCATTTGCGCTCTGATTGCCAGCATCGTCAGAGGCGCTTCCAGATCTGTTCGCTGCCAGCCCTTGCGCGATGTCTTGCGGTGAAGTTTGCAGCCCGCCATGTCTCGCCTTTCCTTGTTCCCTGTCGCAATTGCTACCTTCTAGAAGGGCCGTTGGTCGTTCGATCGGTTTTCCGTAATGCGCAGAGCGACGGGTGAGCTTTGTATGGCCAGATGGTCAACAAGCATAGAAGCCATCTGGTTCAGGTCTGCTTCAATCGCATGCCCCGGAGCAGCATATAAGGGCCCAAGGAAGCACCTGCATTCTTCAGTATTCGTCCTTCCCAACTATCCTTTTCTCCGTCTCCATCTTCGGCTCTCATCCTTGCCTGTCATCCTTTCTTGTCGTCTTTGCCTCTCTCACTATCGCCTTTTGTCTCTACCGCTTGCTTTCCTCTGTCTCCATATCCTCCTTCCTTCCGTTATGTCGGACTTAGCCCGGCTCACCCGCGTCGCCCAGCAATTTATTACCATCTTGCGAACCTCTCCATTCCTAAGGCAGATTGACGGCTTCGATAATGCAAGAATCATGATAATTGGGCTTTCGCCATTATGAGTCATGACAACTTCCGCGAGACAAAGGTACCAGTTATCTGGAATATCTTGGAGCTTTCTTGCTGATTTAGCCTTCACAGGACCTCGACGTGGCTATCTCGCCCGGTCATCTGGCTCGCACAGTCCGCGAGGCCCTCCTTGCCAACCACGGGGACTCTTTTATCACATTTACGGATCCGATGGTTTTCGTAACGGCCGATGGTCAAACACAAGTGGACATTGTCTCAGTCGATAACGTAAGTTTTCTACATCCTCATCCTGAGTAGACCTGTTGCTGACAACGCCCACGTCAACAGCTGGAGTATCCGCTCGCCGGGATGCCCCTGATATCGGGGGTCCTTCCCCAGCAACTCCAGATCGCGACAGCTGCTGAGCTGGCCGTCCTGAAAGCGTACTCGTGCGGCTCTCGGTATTCCCTCGACAAAAATGTCAAAGATGCCAGGGATGTGGCTTCTATGTTGCAGTGGCTTGCTGCCCATGGACAAGCCCTGAACGCCGACCAGCGACGGCGCGTGAGATTCCAGGGCCGCTGGCTAAGAAAATACGCTACGGATGTCAATTGGGACGCCGCCCTCCCATGATTGCGAGACCTGGAGTCTGGTTCTGTTCTGTGCTTTCTTTGCTTGTGCTGATAGTCCTCTGCGAGTTGGGGGAGAGTGTTCTGAAGATCTTAGACTGAATGTTAAAGGATAGATTGCCCTAGAACTTCTGGCTCAAAACGATACGTATTGACTCCCGTGCATCTTGCGCCCGGCGGAAGAACTGCGAAAGCCGGCACATCCCAAAGCCTGCAGAATGCGCGGACGAGAAAAGAGCTACACTCAAGCCAGGTCGACCGGAAGATCGCACTCCCGCAGGCGGTCTTCCAGCGGTCTCCAGATGAATGTATTCAGCGGGCCCTCTGGGGGTGGAAGCAGATTCTTTCTCTTCATCTCGACGTAGGTCCTGTGTCTCCATCTATAGGCCACCACGTCCCCGATTCGCTCGCCATACTGTGCGTCCAGCATGATCTTGGCCCATTCCCGGAACGGCTCGTCAAGTTCGTCGACGTCGAGGTTTCGGTCGCCGTCTTTCTGATCATCCCAGCCGAGCATATACCCGCTTTCAATTTCCCAATGCATTAAGGCATGTGTTCCAACAAGATCCCGAAGCGTAAGTAAGAGCATGGCCTCCGTGTATCGCGCCGGGGTCGGCATTTTGACGGGATAGACGGCCGGATCCGCCGACTGTGGCCCTCTGGATATGGGGTTCAGCCTCCTGATGCGCGGATCGGACGTGAGCATATAGAACCGATCTCCGGGGGGCGGACGACCGATGGGAGGCTCGGGAAACGTCCAGAACAGCCGGGATTTCCGGTAGAGAAACACGCCGGTCGTGAAGGTCGGTGGCTCGGTGGGATACCGATGGTCGGTGTGCCAATGATAGTCCGGGTATGGATGGGTGCTCATTGAGTTGAAGACCCTACAGTGCTCGCGCCCCTGAGTACACGGGGGGAACTTGGCGTCGTCGAGCACCTTCGCGGCGGTGTCGATGAGAGAATCTGGGATCGCCCATGAGGAGGACTTGCGCATACGTTAGCTGCAGCCAAACAAACGAAAGGGACAAGCAGGAGGAGCATACGGTGATCTGGGTGGGGACCCCCAGGATCGAGATGATCGCCTCGCCCCAGATGAAATTGGGAACGCCGGCCTCGTCCAGAAGTCTTGCCACGTAGGACTCGAGCTCTGGACAATCATCGGTTGGGAATTTGACCTCGGCCATGCTGACCTGTGGCTCGATACGGGTTGCTTGGGATGCTGAAGATGATGCGGACGATAGACGAGGGAGGTCGTCCCCTTGATATAGATCCTCGGAGCTGTCGTCAGGATCCACGAGTCCTTGTGACAGAATCCAGGCGAAGCGATCCTAACAGGGAGGCCTGCTGGGTGAATGCCCTGCCATCCGACCACGGTTCCAGTCATGCGTTGCTTTCATCCGAAGGGCGATGTCGACCCTCGATTTGTGGAATGCACGCGGTCTTTCATGCCACATTCTTTGTGTCGCGGTCGTATTCGCCTCGACTTGGACCCCCTGGACCGGAATGGGCGACGTGCGTCAAAGCCAGAGTGGGAAGCTCTTTTGTCCTTGGTGTTGCACGCTAAACAGCGACAATGCGTGCCCAAGGTGCGCCTTCGTTCCTTGACCAGTGTTTCTAAAAGTGGGCGACGAAGCACGAAGAGCGCTTTGTCCAGGACGATACTATCAGATCGCAGTCTACTCGCCACTCGGGCCGACGCTGGACCGAACGGTCCATTCCATGGATCGATCAACAGACGACATCCCTTGTCATTGACATGTCCAACCGTCAAAGGATGCGCCCGCCAAAGCCACCGGCGTGGCTGGACCACTCCAATGCCGCTTGTCCGCTGCTGGATCGCTGCTTGGATCGCGTCGCTGCTGCTGTTCATCGGTCCGGTCTTGGAGAGACTCGGAATTGCCACCTTCTTCGCCGCTCTGGTGCTGTTTATCGTGCCCCCCGGGGGCATCGTCTTCGTGTACCTGCTGGCCTCGCTGTCCCTCCTCCTTGGGATGTGCCTTGCCTGGGCCTGGGGCTTGCTAACCATGAAGGCTGCCTTTGCAGCACGACCGGACTCGCAGACTCAGGCTCGTCTACAGGCGTTGCAGCAGCAGGTGGCCGCCGACTCCCAACAGACCGGCCTCGAGGCGACATTCCTCGCCCAAAAGTCCATCTACGACGGCTTCATGCTGGATGCACGGGTGACCGTTGTCTTCTACGTCATGATCTGTCTCTTCGTGTATGCTGTCTCGCGACTGCGCGTTGCCAACCCGAAGTTCGCTCTGGTCCAGATCTTCGGCATCATCATCGCCGACCTCTTCTTGCTGTTTGGTCCGGTCCTGCCGTCTTTCTCGGCGTTGTTGCCCCGAGTTCTGGTCGAACCAGGGGCCATTGGCGTGGGTCTCGGCGTCGTCTGCAACGTCATCTTCTTCGCGCAGTCGGCATCGAGCGCAATCCTGGCGAAGATGGAACAGCTCGTTGAAATGGGCGAGAAGCCCCTGCAATGCACGCGGTCGCGTTTCTCGGGGAGCCCAGCAGACCTGGGCGAGCTCGAAGCATCCAAGGCGAAGACCATTGCCGTCTTCAAAGCGATGGAACCAGCCCTCGCCTTTCTGCCGCTGGACGTGTCTTGGGGTCGATGGAGCCCCGAGGACGTCGGATCCCTGCATGAACCCCTTCAGCGCGCCATGATTGCCAATATGTCCTTGCTCGACTTCCATATTTCGCATGTGAGAAGCGATAAACAGCTGGAGCAGATTCCCATGTCTTCCGGAGAGGGTAATGGGGTTGATCTGGCTGAAAGGCCCCCTCGAGTTGGTGGCCATCAGCTGCAGGAGAGCGCCGATCTCATGCACGCCTTGCGAAGTCCGGAAGAAGTTTTGATGCGCGCTCAGACTCGCGAGGCCCTGAGAGCCTCGACTACGGAGCTACTGCATCTGGCATCGGAGTCGCTCAGCATGGTAGCACAATCGATCCACACCGTGAACTCGGGTGCTTGGTTTTGCCGGACGCCATTTGAAGATATTAGCAAGCTGATCACTCGAGGCGAGATTCTTCGGACGAGCATCGACTCTGCACGAGCAGCATGCAAGACCGAAACCACGACGCGTCTGCTGGAGAGCCATGCGGAGATCTTCGACGCCGATGGGCAGCTGAAGAGCCGCGATCAACTTGGACCTCATTCGCTTCGGGGCCTTGTCCTCGGCATGGTTGTCGAGGAACGCATTCTCGGCGCAGCCGGAGCCATCGAGGAACTCCTGAACCGCGTCACGCACCTGCTACGCCATCGTAGCAAGGTCCGACTCTGGCTGCCGTCGCGTGTGCGATATGCCTTCTCCTGGCTGGTCAATGGCCATCAGACAACCCCGACACCGCACCTGGCGGCCAACGGAGGGCGCGATCCAGACGTCGTGGCCGAGCAGACGAAGGAAGCGCATCGTCGACTGCGTATCAGTCGCGGTCACGGACGGCCGGTCCGACGCAGTCTTCTCACGCGCGCCATAGTTGCAGTCTATCACTGGCTGACCGACGCCGGCGGGATGTACGCCCTGCGCATGGTGATCGTGACCATCGCCACCGCGATCCCAGGGTCTCTCCCATCCACCGCGGGCTTCTACTACCGCGAAAAGGGCATCTGGGGCCTCATCACGGCGCAGACCACGCTGCTCGTCTACATGGCCGACTTCACCGTCTCCCTGGTCGGTCGCACCGTCGGAACGGTCGTCGGCGGCGTCATGGGCATGCTGGCCTGGTATGTCGGGTCGGGCCACGGACCGGGCAATGCATACGGACTGGCTGCCATCACGGCGGTCATGACGCTGATCCTCATGTGGTGGCGCCTCTTCCTGCCGCCGGCGTTCACGATGGCGGCCATCATGAGCGGAGCGACGTTCATGCTGGTCATCGGCTTCAGCTACGACGACACTCACCTGTCGCAGTACGGGCTGCCCGGACACGGCTACGAGGCCTTCTACAAGCGACTGGTCACGGTGCTGCTGGGCTTCGTGGCGGCGTTCATCGTGCAGATCTTCCCTCGTCCGCCGTCGGCCACGCGGCATACCTGCAAGACGCTGTCGAACACCGTGCGCACCCTGTCGGATCATTACGCGCTCTTGCTATCGCATTGGGGACGCACACATCCCGGGACTCGCGCCGACCGATCCAGCCCCGTAGGCGTCGTCGCGGAGAAGATCTCGCTCGACGTCGCCGAAACCCTGCTGTCGGCGCAGCAGAGCATCGCGCTGCTCAAATTCGAAATGACACTAGGGCCGTTCGACTCGCAGACGCTCTCCGACGCCGTCCGTCTCTGTCAGGACATGAACCAAGCGCTCGGGCGACTCCTCTTGCTGTCGGACAGCCTTCCCGGTCCTCTTCAGGATCGATTGTCTCATAGCGTCGGGATCCTCGATGACCACCACATCGGGGATATTATGGGAGTTCTCGGTATCGTTGAGCAGGCGTTCAGACTGGGGCTTCCTCTGCCGGAACGGCTCCCGACACCGTTGATCAAGCGATGCTACGAGTCATGGCACGACCAACATCGGGCGGCGCAGTTGAGCACCGAGCTGGTTCGAGACGAGAACTATCGGCGGTATTGCGTGGGACTGAGCGCGTATCTGAAGTTTCTTGCAGCGATCGATGAGCTGGTCCTGGTGTTGAAGGGCGCCTTGGGGGAGTCGCATGTCGTTCGACGATGGGATGGTGACGAGCAGGTTTGAGTCCTCGGTCACTTCTATAGGTGTAATCTCGGAGGGTCTGGGTAGACTGGAGAGTGATAGATTAGAAATTCAGTTTCATTTCTTGTAGGAAGACACGCATTATATAATCTGCATCGTTTGAGAAGTAACCCGCCATGCAATGGTGAAGTAGTCTATGAATTGATTGTCTATGAACACAGACCATAACGCCATAATCAAAGATCTCACAATACAAATACAAGGGTCAACGCAATAACATAACAGATTGTACAACAGAAAAGGAACCCTTCCCCGGTTTCTATCCCCAGTCTTCTTATCAACACCACTACACTTGCTCATTCTTGATCTTGGCATATCCGTTTGTCTCCCAGAACGGAGGCTCGCCTTTCTTCGAGTCCAGCCATCCGAACGGATCCATCAGGGTGACCACGAACGGTCGGTTGTCCTTCCAGCCGGGGCCCTCCAGCTCGGTGACTCCATCCTGAGCCAGGTATACGTTGCAGTGCTGGGGGATATAGCGTCTCGGGTGGCTGACATTCCACAGGAGCGTATTAACCAGCATCAGCGTTGCCTCGAAGACGTAGAAAAACCACTCATGTCGCAAGATAGGACTCAGATCCTCCAGCCTGGCATTCGACCGATCGATGGACGAGATGCCAAAGTGCTCGATAATGCGATAGATGCAGCGGACCATGATCAGCAGCGTACTGGCATACAAGGTCACGAGCGGGACGGAGATCTTCTTTGACCGGATGTTCCCCCGGGCGCAGCGACGCTGGAACAGGGCGGTCAGGACGCAGAAGAGCAGCAGCACGACGACCTGGATGATCAGGGAGGTTTTCATCAGGACGTGGCCCAGCTTCTGGCGGCTTTCGGGCAGCCGATTGTTGGCGACGTTGGAGACACCCAGGGCATTCATGACTTCGAGGGTGAACATGAGACAGCAGAGCAGGTGCAGCCACATTGTCTTGAAACTGCGGTACCATGGAGAGTCCAAGATGGAAGTTTTCAGCGCTGTGGCCCCGTTTCAGGAGGATTCTATCTACGTGATGCTCGTATAGATCGACGCCATCGTGAAGAACTTCTGTCGCGTTATGACCCGATCGGGCAGGTCGACACCTCAGGCTGTCAGCCCCAAATAGGCTAAGCGCCTGCCAAGAACCGCCAAGAAACAAGGCCAACGTTTGACGCCTTGGGCATCCACTCCACGATGACGCTGAACGATCCTTGCGGCGTCTGGATGATTGGAGAGACGATGGCTTGGCCTCTCCGCTGTCCAACTCAAGCACCGTCAAGGGTCAAATGGAGCGCTGCCGACAAGGCTGATTCCAGCAGGTTTGGTCGCCCGGTGCAGCCAGAGTGGGTTAGACAGGGTCTTGTTGATTGTGAGGGTAGTCGGGATGTCAGGGTTTGGTATATCACGGGAGTGTAGATGGGCTGATGCTGCATGGAATTCTCTTCCACTTTCTCCAAGAACAAGCCTCGTTCAGTTTCCAAGTGCAGGATCAGCCACAATCTGACGTGGGCCGCGGGCAGAATATAACCCCCGCCGTTCCTGGCCCGTCTGATGCTTCTTATCTCCCCTAATCTTGAACTCCTTTCGGTACTCCTCGACTCTCTGCTCACATTCTGTCTGCAACTATGGATCCATCGGAGTACGGATTCCCACTAGTGACCGGTCAGCACGACAGGCCGGCATTCAGCCAAGCACCTCCTCCCTACACGGCATCCAATGAGTCCGGCGAGGATGCCTTTTCCGCGCATCACGGCTTCTCTAGTGCACCCAGTCGATTCCCTGCAACGCTGAACGGCTACTTTCAGTGGAAGTTCACCTCCACCTTCCATCTGGGCCCGAGTGGCGACGACAAGCGGTTCGCCGTCTCCACGCAGACCCCCTTCCTGCGCAGCAAGCAGACCACGATCCTGCACGCCGGCCCCTCGGACCAGGACCCGCCCTTGGCCTGCGTCGAGGGCGACCAATCGATGCGCGACCGAGCATGTCCGATCACGATCGCCGGTCAGCCGCCGGGGATCGAGGCTCTGCACCACGCGACGCCGTACACGCGCACGCCGCCCACCTTCGCCGTCGACGTCCGGGGGCCCGAGAAGCGGCCGCAGCGCGAGCAGTTCGAATGGCGCACCAGTCGCGGCAACGAGGTCCGCCAGCTGACGGGCCACTCGGTCTCCGGCTGGAAGCTGGTGCGCCTGGCACGAACCGTGGGACCCGGCGGCGACCATCGCCCGCATCGCGCGTTCGGCTGTGCCAGCGACGGGCGGGAAGTGGTGGCGGTTCTGGCGCGCAACGTGTCGGCCAGCATGACGAAGGCGCTGAAGTTTCAGTTTCTGGGCAGCGGGCTGGACGGCAGCATGGGCGAGACGTGGGAGATCATGGCGGTCATAACAGCCTTGCAGCTGTGGTATTACGACATGCTGAGTGCCACGATGGCCTCGACGACAGCTGCCGTGTCGACATAAAGGGCGGAACCGACGGTGACGGGGTATGTTCCAGGTCGACTCCGGCCACTTTGGTTATTTGGGTTGGGGTGGTGTTGGTTACGAGCTGCAGGGGATGCAGGCAGTCTGAGTGAGCGAGGCAGACGGATGTCTTGGTGTATCGCCATCTGTCCTTCACGACTATCTTTAACCCTTCAGACAGTACACACACTAGAGTGCACAATCGACGAGAGAATAAACATGAAAATCAATATCAAATTCAAAATTAAATAAATATAGACGATCGACACGCGCTAGTCCCAATGCGGGCATATGCGGCGCTCTCCCACGCGGTGGATTCCTCAGGCCCCCCACCTGCGGCGTCAGAAATTAGCGACTTTCCAATGGCATCACGGAAGTCAGAGCCAGGAACCCGGGCATTCGTGCCCCCTTAAAAAGGGCCGACGACCGTGCCGTGGGGTTTGTCCCTCTGCACCTGCTTACTCGATGGGGACAAAGCGATGGCCAAGCCCTGACCTGCTGTCCTCTGGTGCATCTGCAATCCGCCAGGATCTCCGAGATCAGGCTGCCTGGCGATACCGTGGGTGCCAGCGACGAAAGTCCGCCTTGTGGTCGTCCATCTAAATATCCTCCCCCCGCTGTCAGTCGTGCGGAGCCGCAGAATATCAACCGACGCCATGCCGCCTGCAACGACGACTGCGACTGCGCCAGGCGAGCGGCGGCAGTGCTGGGAATGTCGACGCCGCCGCCTCGTCTGCGACTCTGCACGACCAGCCTGCAATAAGTGCCGTGCCGCCGGGACCGAATGCCCGGGATACAGTGGGAATAAACCGCTGAAGTGGATTACCCCGGGCAAAGTAAAATCTCGCAATCGGGGAAGACCGAAGGGTCGGGCTGCTGCAGATCCGGCGACTTCCCCTTCGCCTGCATTATCACCTTCTTCTTCTTCCTCCTCTTCCTCTGCGTGTTCTGCTTCTTCTTCTGCTACTCTCACTACGAGTTCTAATTCCAATCCTCATGGTCATAATTATAATGCCCCTGTCCCTACGCGGGCGCCTGAGGTCATGCCGCATCCCATGGGACCGGCCATGCCTGCCGCTAGTACGGCCAGCTTTGATAGCAGCGGTTCTAGTGCAACGTGGAGCCCGAGAACCGACAGTCTGGATGAGCCAATCGGTAGTCCAAATGACGGCTTCCTGGAGGACCCTAGCGTAGGGATCTTCCAACAGCTGCAAACCGGGAACCTGGTGGACCCGATGCTGTTTACCAAGGACCTGGGATCGGAAACGCGCGACTTTGTCAACGCCGTCATCTATTGTAGGTTGCCAGTCCTGCGCCACCAGAAGGCTTCTCCTGCTCACGGCCCTTGCAGTCAACACCTGCATTTACCCCGACGTGGCGGTGATGCATGACCTGCCGCCGAACCCGTATCTCGACCAGTTCCCGCCGGTGGCGCTCCACCAGATGCCTGTCTCTGTCTGCCACACTATCGCTTACTTGGTCCTGGGCCATCGCCTGCAACGGCGTGGCTCCAACGAGGCTGACGAGGCGTTGACCCAGGAGCGATCGCGGCTGTATCATCATCGCGGTGAAGCCATGCGGTGTCTCGGCGAGGACATCGCCAACGCTACGACGCAGTGCAACGACGCCACCATCCTCAGCGTGCTGATGTTCCTGTTCGCAGACGTAAGTGTATAGATTTATGAGCTCTTGCTGCTCACCTCAGCGGCTGACCATCCGTGCATAGGTGCGCCAATTCGCTGCTCCCTACTGGCGGTACCATCTCACCGGCGCCACGCAACTGATCCTCTTGCGAGGGGGTCTGCGAAAGCTCATGCGCTCGTCCACGGCTCTTCGACCTTCACTGCTCTACTTCATGATGTATGCATGGCCCTGACTCCTTCTCTGCGTTCAGACCTGACCTCTCCAGCATCGGCGTCATGGGCAACACCACCAGTCCCGCAACCGACCAAATCCCCGCCACCTCCAGCTTAGATCTCATCGACCTGATGGCCGAGTCCTACGGCGAAGGCCTCTCGCCGTCCCTCTTCTGTCCACCCACTCTCATGCTCGACATCATTCGCATCAACCACTTGCGACTGCAAGGCTCGTGCAACCCATCCGACGAATTCGTCCACCTCAGCGCCACCACCCTCCTCGAACAGATCCAAGCCTTCTCCCCGGAACAATGGATCGTCACCAGCACGTTCCCGCGCGAAGAATGGGATCTACTGGGGCGTATCTATCAATCCGCCATCCTCGTCTACTGCATCTCATCGCTGCAGAGTGTCGGCGTGCTGCCGTACGCCGCCGACCTGGTCTCCGTGCGTGCCGCCCACGGTAGCCGTCTCTGCCTGCTGCTGCGCAAGGCCCTCGCCTCGCCCATGATCCGGAAATGCATGACCTGGCCGCTCATCGTGGCCGGCGTGCACGCGGCCAGCAGCAGCCCCGGCATGCGCACCTTCGTCGACACGTCCCTGACCGAGATGAGTCGGGACCTGGCGACGCCGATTCCTGCCACTGCGCGCGACGTGCTTCACACGTTCTGGACTTCGGGGAAGGACGGTTGGGATGCGTGTTTTGATCAGTCGTATGCTTTTGTATCATAGTATATTTTCTATCGGTTCAATTGCGTTTGTGGGGTAACTTTTGGTTTTCGTGAGGCCACTTTCTGAAGAGTGATGGATGGAGTCGGAGTTTAGGGCAGCAGATGGGAAGCTTGGGTTCTGGGTTATTTTGTATCAAGACACCTCGTTCTGGTTTAATTTCAGATTAATCATAGTCTCAACTACATGATTGGTTTTTTTCTCTCCGGTGTCATGCCCTTGTGAATAGCAAGTGGTCTTCAACGTCATTGTATGACAGGCGAGCCATGGTCTCTGCAGCTGACATGCGCATTCTCTAATGCAGCACTAGCCTGTCCACGATCGTGTCAGACGTTAAAATTCAATCAATCAAGGGTGAGAGCCAGACTTGCTCTTTCTGGCCACAGGAACTCCGGCACCTCGGACAAATAAGATTCAGCCCTCGATCATTGCTTCGTATTCCCCCAATAGATTCAATGACGTTACTCATATTTTCTGCAAGAAATAGAGGAACGCCATGGGTCACTGTCGTCTCAGTAGGGAATGGCTCGTGTTCGGTCGAATGAGGTGGCTTTAGACTTGTCTCGGCTCTTCTGGTTGGGAGGCTTCAACGCCACAGCCAGAGATCGAGCCTGAATGATCGGTTCAGAGTATGAGCACAGACTTCCGGATTTGCCTCTCTGAAAGACATGCAAACCCAAACATATCCAAAGCCTGAGGCCCACATCGTGGTCATAGCATTCGAGTGTTTCAAAAGTACGGTACTTGTGGTCGGTTCAGGCCTAAAAATAGCGTCCAACCATGGACGAAGTATTGGCAAGGATATATATTGCTGTGGTATTTCTAGCCAGTTTCCCCTCTGTATATGACAGCCCATGACAGCGATGAGAGCGGGGAATGTGCATCGACGTCGCAGTGCTAAAACCACACCGTCAAGATAATCTCACAAGCAACACCCGCTTCCGATCCACGAGAGAATGCGACGCCGCGGGGACTTACAGCGCATGCATACACTAGTGCTAGTGTCGAGGCCTAGTGCCATATCGATACACGGTGATTTGTCACGACTCTCGGAGGTGTTGCCCATATATTGGCCCGTAGATTAACGGCCCTCAGTTGGGAACGGCCAAGCCGACAGCTGCAGCACTCAATCGTGTGATGGAGGGGTGATAGAGCTTGCATGATAAACTTGCCTGTAGAATGCCGATCGCAATTTCGACCGCAAGGCCAGCATATAAATCTGTGCTCGTTCTAACAGCTAACTTGCTGCGACATGTCACAATAACGACTCCGGGTGCGCTGCCGCAAGCGTTAGAATGCTTTATAGCCAACTGATTGAATGAATATCGTGAAAGAAGTCTAGAATTCCTGTTCCTTATCATAATGCAGCTCTCCATATCCTCTCTCTGGGCATTCCTGGGGCTTTTGACCCTCTACCTCGTCGTGCGGAGTATCTATCGTCTCTACTTCGACCCCCTCAGCCATATCCCCGGACCCAAGCTGTCGATTCTCACCGATCTCTATGAATTCTACTATGATTTAGTCTTAGGCGGAAGGTTCCTCTTCCATATGGAAAAATGGCACGAACAATACGGTAGATATTCCCCCAAAGCCACCGTAGACAAGGCTCATCGCATAGGCCCAATCGTCCGCATCAACTATCGCGAGGTGCACATTATCGACCCCGAGTTCTATGACGAGATATACGCCGGCGGCATTCGCCGACGAGACAAGGACCCGAAGTTCATCACCGGGTTCGGTCTGCCCACATCGATGGTGGCCACGGTAGGCCACGATCACCACCGGTTCCGACGCAACATCCTCAACAACTTCTTCTCCCGACGCTCCGTGCAGGAGCTATCGCCGATGATCGAGCTTCGCGTGCAGCAGCTCGTGCAGCGCCTAGAAGAATTCCACCACGACCAGACGCCGGTTTGCCTGGACGATGCCTATGCCGCGCTCACCTCGGACATCATCACGCACTACTGCTACGGCCGCAGCTGGGGCTATTTAGAAACCAAGAACTTCCACAGCGACGTGCGCGAAGTGCTCAAGGACGTGACTGGCTTCGTACATATCAATCGATGCTTTCCGTGGTTCACGGGGCTAATGCGCATGGTCCCCGAACGGTTGATGCGTTTCATGCAGCCCGGCAAGCGGGTGATGTTCGATATCCAGAGGGCCATCTATCAGCATGCTCTAGAGGAAGGGACCGAGCCTCTGACGAAGGGAGAGAAGCCGCAGCGAGCCAATATGTTTGAGCAGCTGAACGACCCGAGCCTTCCGGCAGAGGAACGCACGCTCCAGCGGCTACAGGAAGAGGGCATCACGCTGCTGTCGGCGGGCACAGAGACCACAGCTCGAGCGCTGACGGTGGCTACGTATCACCTTGCTCGTGATAACGAGATTGTGCAGAAGTTGCGCTCGGAGCTGAAGACAGTACTCCCGACTCCCACGAGCCGGGCGACGTGGACTGAGCTGGAGAAGCTGCCCTACCTGGTACGTCTACTGCCTTCCTCCATGTTTTGTCTTCCGATTCAGGATGTACTGAGAGCCAAACTAGACAGCTGTCGTCCATGAGGCCCTCCGCACTGCATTCGGGCTTGTTATTCGACTGCCTCGCGTAGCGCCCACGGAGGTCCTCCAGTATAAAGACTATACAATCCCACCCGGAGTGAGTCCAGTGCCATCGGTGCCCTAGACTTTGACTAACCAACCCCAGACGCCCGTCAGCTCATCTGCATACTTCATCCACCGTGATCCCAACATCTTCCCTGAGCCGGAGAAATTCAAGCCGGAGCGATGGATCCGCAACGGGGAGTTTGATCGAGGCCTGACGCGGTATATCGTCTCGTTCACCAAAGGCAGTAGGATATGCCTTGGTACCAAATACGACTTCCTCTCCGACCTACTAAGTGTCTACTAACGGAACAGTCTCGCTTATTTGGAACTCTACATGGCGTTCGCGTACCTGTTGCGACGATTCGACTTTGATTTGCACGAGACGGGGCCAGCGAATGTGCGAATCACGAGGAACATGGGGGTGGGATTTACCGATAACTATGACTTCAAGGTTAGTGCCAAGGTGGTGGGGATGGTGCAGGATTGAGCTCTGGTAGGTTTATTCATATTGTAAGGATACGGCTCTTGGAGCTCTGTATACTTGCATCTGCCGTAGTGTCTGTAATGATCTGCTATAGTAAGGATAAGGTGACGCCGCTTTACCGGAATATACAGTTATGTCTCTTGTCTCTAGGAATCCAGACTCTCCGAGAGTTTGTATAGCGGTTTGACAATGAAATTAGAATCCAATTCAGTACGGGGTATATTCCAGCTAAGTGGGCGTCTTCAGCCCAAAATCAAACATTACATTAATAATCTGGCCATCTCCCACTAGCCACAACCATCCTATCGAAACTTCCTGTCCAACCTAGTGCACTCGTGGCTGGTACATCGGCGGAGCTGGCGCCTGCAGGTCAAACCGCGGAGCGTAGCTGCCATGCAGATCCGCCGTGCTGCCGACCAGCAGGGTACTCAGGAACGCGCAGGTGTAGAAGAAGTATCGCAGGAAAAGCTGTGCCTCGTACGACTGCTCAAGATACCTTGTGGAACGGTAGGACGAAAAGCTACCGTACGTGTTGTGAATGTATCCGCCCAGGTCGAGAAGGGTCATGGCGAGGGAGGATAGGATGAGTAGGGGGATTCCAATGCGCAGAGACTAGACCGTCAGTAACTGGTGTCCAAAGGCAAAAGTAAAAGGGCAGGAGAAAAGAGAACTTACACCTCGTCTGAAATTCGGGTTGCGCACCAACGCGAACAACATCGTCGCAGCGGCCACCAGCATGCAAATGACACCCATTGCGTAGCAAGCCACCCAGATTCTGCGCTGATGGATGGCCAAGTCTGCGATATCAGACCCGAGACCGTACCGGTAACCAGACGAATACAGCGCATCCACGACCCTCGTGGTAATGCTGAGCGAGACGATCAGAAGGATGGCAAAGAGGCCAAGCGTGACGGAGTGCGCGATCCGAACCAAGCCGCCCATGCCTTTGTTTCCGTGATGGAGACGTTGAGAGATTGGGAACATGATGGCGAGGATGACCAGCAGAGTGGCCGTGGTGCCGAGCCAGTCGATGGAGATGCTGGCGCGGTATGCGTCATTTCCTACGAAGATGCCGCATTCCGAGAGGGTGTTGAAGATGATGCTCAGGGCAGTCGATCTGGATAGATTTGTTAAAGACTCACGACGAAAATGAACTATAGTTTCAGGCAGCGGGACATACATGATCGAGAAAATGATTGAGAAGTAGAGACAAAACCACAGTAAGGGTGCCTTGGCGACTCGCTTGGTGCGCTTGTGTTTTGCGACCAGGATAAAGAAGACGGTAACGAATACGAGGAAGAACAGCGCATGGAAGGCGATATAAATCCGGGCAAAGGTCGTCGCAAAGGCATCGTAGTCGGAGCACTGGTTACTAGATCCGGACGAATAACCACCAGAGGAGCCTCCACCGCGTCGGGGAGCCATCGTGAATCAGCAGGAATGCGCTATCTCATAAATAGTACCCAATACACTTGGGCGCTGCAGGTCGCGAAAGAGTCGACATTTCCACATGGGAAGGCGCCCCATTATGTAGACCTCCTGCTGATGCGCTGGCTCCGTGATCTGGGGAATTATACGACGCCCAGACGGCGGGCAACGTGAAGAGTCACAGTCTTAATCCGAGGACCTGGATTATCGGGGGATCTGGTTGGTCAGTCGCACAGATGGCTGAGGCTCAGGGACCGGAATACGAGTTATTTTTGTGAAGGGGGCCGTCCAGGGCAAGGCTGGCCACTCAGCCTGGCTTGAGCTATCCGAGGCCAAGAGTCGATGACCTCCTAATTCGAGGGTCTGTTTGGTGATCGTGTTCCTGTTCTCTGCTGCCATTTGACCGGGCGCTCACCAGTGCTGATTGGGTTAGTTATATGAAGCCAAAGGGTGTCCGGGCACTTTGTGGGCGTGACCCTGTCGGCTGGTCTGCTCGATGTCATGTCTCAAGGCAGAATTAACCTTGATTGCTGCGATGGATGTAGGGCATGGCTTTAAAGGCAGCTAAGATCGCCTACCCCAGATTAGATCTCAATGGTCGCTTGACAATATTTCTGCGTAGACCAAGTCGCGCGAATCTCGATATTTGCCATAACTTTTGTGGCTTCTTCTTTCTTTGAGCATTAGCGCGGCCCTAGATGGGCCCCTGATCTTACGGAGTACGGAGTAGACCGTGAACAATCTTGTGGGAACGATGATCTGAAATCCAAACGTAGGAGCAGTGGAATAGTAGGGCATAACTGATATAATGAATCAATGGATTGTCTGTAAAGTGGGCATATGAACAATGATCAATTTTTATTTCTATCCCAAAATGTTGATGCCGTCTCTCGCCATCAGATCTCGTTTTAAACCAACGGCTTCAGCACTTTTTGTCCTGTTGATCGTGCATCCATAACATTTTTATCTCATGAAAGTCGGTGAGGTTTGGTTCAGGTACCAAGTGCTTGGACGCTGGATTCGGCTCGTATTCGACGGGTGGCTTTCAAGGATTTCAGTTTACTTAAGGAAGCTTGTGGACGGTCATATAAAATGGTCTTGATGCTAAGGCAGTAGTGGGTTTATACCACTTTTCTTGATCCGAATCCGAACTGGAGAGAGTTCAGCGACTCCAGCAGTCTAAATGCCACCGGGTGAATCATACTAGATTGATGGTTTTTATCTGTCTTGTTCATGAATTATGAGCTTTATGGGCTCCAATATGTCTCTTGCATTTGTTTACAAAGCGCAGCCACATCGTATAATATCTTTTGTGGTCTAGGCGTTCAACGCAGCAACTGACAGTATTAAAACGGATATATATATGTCATTGCACTGCCCACTCTACAACGGAATCAGGATACTTTTTACATGTATAATTCGCTCCATATTGTCGAAGAGTGTCTTATATTCTAATCTTGGACACACGAGGTAGAGTACCCCAAGCAATGAAGAGATCGAATTCTGACCGACTTTGTGAAGAGCAAGCTATCTCGGTCCTTGGAAATTAACCAGGGATCACCATATTGCAGTTTCGACGGCGAAACAACGACTCTGCTGCGTTGAACAAATTTCCACACAATTGGAAAATATCCGAAATTCCAACTGTAGAAGCTGAAATTAATTGATCTTGTTAGTGGATGTCAAATCCGGAATGTCCAAAGTCCCTTGCTGCCATCGGCAACATCCGTGGGTCTCCGGGGAAGCACCGCCACTGCCAATACATTTCGACCTTTGGACAAATTACTGCGCATCGCCACATTATACTGCGTACAGGGGCTTTGATGATGAAATTATGTATTCTGCATGTAGTTACACCGATCGCTGTCATGATGTCATCTCACAAAGAAAAGAATCACGAGGTGAAAGGAAATGGTTGATTATAAACTCACCCACCACGAAGCCTAGAGTTCCCGTGAACAGGACCAAAATTGAAAGAAATGCGCCCGAATAAACCCATCCCAAAAAAAGACTCAAGTCCGTCCCAGTCCGGTGGCGACACGGAGTTGGGACTCCCCTGACTCAAAAAGCAGCCCCTGCGCAGCATCTGATCCTGAGACACGACGGTTTCACTCTATTTTCTTGGCTGGCGTCACCCTCGCAACAGATCAAGTCAGCGGCCAGCAGGATCTTTGTCAGATTTAGGGGCTGCGAAAACAGGACCTCGAATGCCGAGCAGCCACACTGTCCAACGTTGGATCAGAATTGGATCCCCGATGTGAGTTCATGTTCGACGAGGCTGCAAGGGGGCAGCATTCCTTCTGGAAGACTCAATCGACGTGGAGATTAACCGAGGATTCCACGCTGCGACGGCGGATCCATTTTTACGGAGTTCGATCAAGGGGTTCTTTCCATGGCTCGACCGTTCCTGCGAAGGGGTCCAGGGGGATATTTTTGGTTCCGGTAAAAAGGAAAAAAAAGAACCATCTCCTTGAATTATGAATATCACTCCGTATGCGTTGAATGTTCAGGAGAAAGACGGATTAATCTATCGTGGACTCCTAACATTGCAGTGGCTCTCGGCTCCAGCACGGAGATTTACCGAGGCAGGGAAAGGACGCGACGATCGCTCGACGAAATCTCCGGGGAGTTCCAGGTGACGCTGCGGTTGTCGGACTGTTGGTTTAGAGTTCTGAAGCCATGCAACAGGCTGACACTGCGGTTGTACCACGGTGGCACCGAGTAAGGCTGAGAGAATGGCATACTTTTCCACGCCGATGACCAAGAATGGCGTTATTCGCCACGGCGTGATATCCCACCCTCGTCCTGAAGACCCAGACTATCCGAATGTTGCTATTTGCAGACCATGACGCACATTTGACGGCGCCATGTGAGATCTACAGTGGTCGGCTTCAATCCGCAATAACCGAACGATCGTCCAGCCGTTCATATGAAGGCGTCGACGGGTGTAGATCAATGGGGCTGGTCCATCCGGTCAATTACGGAGAATATACTGCTTTGTACCTTACTTCGTGACAGAATTAGATCAAGACATACGTATTTTGTGAAACAGGGATAGAGCAGCAAACACAGAAACGAAGGAACTGTTCATGCAAGATATACGCCCAAGGCCGAACCATCGGCGGGAGATACAATCAACGCAAAGAAACCATTACCAATTAAATCCATCAAGTCATTTCAGAGCCACCAGCGAGCAGTAGCGGGAGTAGGAGTAGTATTCACATCAAAGCACAACCTAACGTATTTACAGCGCCAGACCAACACCAGCAACCCAGGCGAGCATCCAAGGAGCCCACTTCATGTCGGCGAACGCGGCAGCACTCGAGTCAGACTCGGTGGGAGAGGCAGTCCCCGAAGCAGTGCCCGAGGCGGACTCGTCGTCGGTCGACGAGGGAGTGGAGGAGCCGGAGGCCGTGGCGGAGGAGTCGGAGTTGGTGGCCGACGCGCTGCCAGACTGGCTAGCGGTGCCGGTAGCAGAGGCGCTGCCAGTCTGCGAGCCAGTCGACGCAGCAGTCGAGCCAGAGACGACGGAGGTCGCGGTGCTGACGGCCGTCGAGCCGGTGGCCACGGGGGAGGTCTCGGTGGCGGTTTCGCTGGCAGTCGCGGTCGCAGTCTCGCCGGTGGCCGTCTCAGTAGCAGTGGCAGTGGCACCGGTCTCGGTAGGAACGTCGGTGACTTCAGTCAGAGTAACGCCGGTGGGAGGAGTGGCCGAGTCGGTGAAGGGCAGGCTGAAGTTGGGCTCGCCGTTCTCAGTGGGAGCAGCCACGTCGGTGCCCTCAGTGTTCTGAGCGTAGACAGCAGTGGCCAGAGCGGCGGCCAGGAGGGCCGTGGACTTGAGCTGAAGCTGCATTGTGTAGAGGATTTTATATATTCGAGAGAGAAACAATGGCTATTATGGTAGAGGGTATATGAAGAGCGAAGGAAGGAAAAAAGGGAAGCTCCAAGCAGCAGCAGGGAGAAGCGACCTTTTTATAGCAGCTCCACCGCCACCCCCAAGCAAACAACAAACAACGAGACCTCCGTGGGCCTCCGTCAGCACACCAGACAAAGCCACCCAAAGAACGAAAGACCCAGAGAACAGCGCTTTGTCCGGGGAAACGCCAAAAGCACCAACGCAAAGCGGGGCAAGGCTGATTCTCCGCCGCGCCGCCAAGTCGCATCGTCGTCTTGGATCGGCGGGCTCCATTGGCCACGATGCGACGCCCGAGAGACAGCCGAGTGGATCTGCAATCCTGTGGCCGCTTCTGGCGCCGTCGTTCCCGGCCTTTGTAGGCTGATGCATTTCGCTCTGCTCGTTGCTGGTCGGCTGGAAGCGCCGCCGTCCTGGCGCCGTCGTGCCATTCGACCGCATTACATCATGAGATTAGGGCATTGCGCAAGCCCGGCCTGCATTCCAGGTCGATTTGCGATTGAGTATTTGATTCTTCCCTTCGGAGAGATGCATTTTAGGCAGAAATACACCGGCCTGCAGGCTTGGGTCTCTTGTCTGTCATCACGGACTTAACGCTTACCCCCCCTGGCACCCTGTCGTCGTCATCAGAAACCCTAACGCAGCTCTGGTCGTCGCCATGAACCACTGGAATTCCTCCGTCAATGCACTGTCCTGCGTCCATAATCACGCCGACCAATCCGTCGTGGCCCCCAGCTCCTCTCCCGACTCCGGCAGCAGGAAATCACTAGCCTCAATGGTCCCGTCGGCCTTCCGATCCCCCTGCACCAGACTCACGTCGACACTGACGAAGCTGCCGTTACCCCAGCTACCACTGCCGTCCCACGAGTTCCCCTCGGACACCTGGTTGTCGTTCAGCGACGTGGGATTGTCACCGTTGGCGGCGGCGATGTTGCCCGTCAGCGTGGACACGGCGGTGCGCGAGCGGAAGCCCACGGCGGCATTGTTCCAGGCGGTGTTGCGCTTGATGGTGAAGTCGCCGGGCTGCGAGTTGTCGGTGAATCCGTCGTGCGAGTTGCCAAAGGCGATGCAGTTGGTGACGACGTGGTTGGCCGGCGCCTTGTCGGCCTCGTCGCCGCCGCCCAGCTTGAAGCCGTTGCCGTCGCCCTCGAAGGGCTCGAAGTCCCATCTGCACCGCGCGTGTCAGGTCAGTTCACCCGGTCGGTTGCTATTTATGGCACACTGTCTTGCTCGGACTGCACGGTGCAGCATGCGACATGCAGGGGCGGACGTATGTCTTACCTGTTATACCCGTTGCCCCAAGAAATGGTATCCTCGATGGTTACGCCGGATTTGAATTCCCTGCCTCCGTCAGCTCGGTCCAGGCCATTGTGCTACACGGATGCATGCATACCACAGATCCAGTCCGTCGTCGACGTTGTTCCAGAGTCGGGCGCCGCGCAGCACGTTGCCCTCGCCCTCGCCCTCCTTGCAGGCGAACCCGTCGGCGCTCTCGCCGTTCTTGCGAGGATCGCGGTTCAGATACGAATCGAGGTACAGGACGGTGTTGTTAGCGGAGGCGCCCTCCAGCTGGAAGCCTGCGAGGTGTCAGCGAGCTCCTGTGCAACGGTGGAAAAGCTGCCCTACCAGTCTCATAGTTCTCGCGGGTGATGATGCGCTCGTAGTGGTTGTTCGACGCGTCTCTGGCATACACGCCGTAGGGGCCGTTGATGAACTCGAGGTCGTAAAACTCCCAGTACTCGGCATCCTGGATGTGGAAGATGCCTCGATCCTTGTTGGCCAGGGAGCCGCCGACTTCCGCAGGGGTGCTGGTAGCGACATGACGCCGTGTCAGACCACTTTATAACACTGGGTGGATTGTAAACTAGACACATACCCCGGGAGGTCCTCCCCGTCGATGATGACTTTCTCGCCCTCGTAGGCACGCACGACATATGCCGATCCCGGAGAACCGCTCTTGCCGATCTGGATGTTGGACGAGGGCGAATAGGTGCCCTTGCGCAGGTAGATGGTCGTGCCGGCAGTCGCTGCATCGACTGCAGCTTGAATGGACTTCAGCGGCGAGTCGATGTCCCCTGATGCGTCGTCGGACCCGGACGGCGAGACATACAGGTCGGCAGCAAGGCTGGGAGCGGCCAGCAGGAGGCTGTAGAGGAGGTACCGCATCGTGAGGTGTGTCTGGACTGATTACGTGGACTATGGAATCGCCTACAGTACAAGAGAAATTCTTGTTAAATATCTAGTGAGCTATGCTGGCTTAAATACTTGCTCCAATGCCACATCCATCGCCCCAATCCCATATCCAACTCCCACACCTCGCTTATCCGAGGACTCCGTATGCCGGAGAATCTTCTGCAGACGGAGTATTTCCCTCCAGCCAAGGCTTTTAGATGAGCGTTATGCAGGGAAAGGAAGTGCAGAACTGCCCAAGTGCCGCCGGCGTTTCAGACTCCCCTCCCCTGCCAAGTGCCATGACAGGCGAGAAGAAATTGATTCGTGAAGATCACTATCTTAACGCAATCTACATGGAGATTAATCCGTGCCCCGACTTGCCTAACCCGGACTCTACTCCCTCGACGAGCTACTTCTTCTCATACTCGCCCAGCGCCCACGCCAACACCTCGGGATACCATTTCCTCCCGACATCCTGATGGCTCATCACGCGATGGATGAACGTGCCCTCGCCAAACCGCCCGCGAAACATCGTATTGAACGTGGCCTCCGCGTCGGACCGAACCTTCTCGTCCTTAATCAGCTCCTTAATATGCTCAGGGATCCTCAGCGAGACGTGATCGGCGGATAAATCCAACCCCATGCCGCGGAACACCGGGATGGAGAAGCGCGGCCCCAGCGCAACGCCCTCCGCATCGACGAAGTTCTTCGCAGCCAGACTGACGCGGTGGGTGGTGGCGGTGCACACGCCGCCAGTGAGGGCCTCCAGGGCGCGACCGATATTAACGACCAGGGAGTCCTGGATCGGCGGCGCGGGGATCCAGTGGCCGGCTTTATTCTGCACCTCCAGGCCGGGATGAGGCGTGGCTTGCAGCAGGAAAGTGAGAAACTCCGAGTCCTTGTGGGCGCCCACGCCTTGGGTTTCGGTTTCGGACTCGGGGGTCGAGTCCGGCGGCGGCGGATACCTGATCAGCTTCAGTTTCTGCTGCGACGGCGTCTCGAAGTACGGTTGCAGCGCTGTCGGTGGTAAATCGAGGGCCTCTGCGATGAAGGCCTGGAATTCGTCTGCTACGGGGGCTACTTCTCCCAGGTACGCCTCGACGGCGTGGCGGAATCCGGGGATAGCAGCTTCGTCGGGCCACTGGTTGGGGCCTCGAATGTTGCGATACAGAGGCTCGTCGGGGCCCGGGGCCGGTAATTCGGTCGCGAACTGTGCGTCGTTAATCTACAGGGTCGAAAGGCTGGTGATTATGAGCAGAGTACGCACATCGAACTGCTCGCGATAGTCGGGGGTCCTGGCCGTGAGCTCTGCGCCGAGTCGCGAATACCCCAGGAAATGCTTATTATTGACCATCTCAATCTCCAGCTTCTTCTTCAGAGGCAGATCAAACAGCTTGAATGTTTGGTTCACCAGTTCGTCTCTCACCCGCGGCGCGACAGGCGGGTTGGTGAGATAGAAGAACCCCACGTTGATGAGCGCATCCCGCAGTTCCGCCAGGAAGGTCGCTTTGGTTTCTGGCGAGGTGGACAGCGTGTAGTCCAGCACCGGAATGGCCGTGAAGGTATCGGTCGAGGAAGCCATGGCAGGTGGGAGGTGGTATCGGGAAAATGCGAAGCGCACCGATGACGAGGCGATTCCGGTGGGGTTTGCTGGTTTAGTGGCTCGTCGTTGGTGGATCTTCGTGCAGCACGCCATTCCGGAGGTTTGGATCATCACCCTCAACTATTCATTAACATGACCAATATCTTTAATTCAGCTGAGATTGGGGTAATACACTGTCTTGAGGTGGTGATTCAACTATCATTGCATCCAGTCGACGGGTTCACCATTGCTTAGATGTCTATTCTATGTCTATCATCCTCATGCAGATTGACTGCTTATACTCCGATGCAGCCAGTCTCTCCACTGCTGGTCGCTCAAAATCGATCTGACTCGTGCCTCGAGCCATTCCGTGTTCCCCCAGAATCCCCAGGAGGCCTGGAATCTACACCAGTCAACCAGGGCTGTCTCCCAGTGTCGCTTCAATGTCTCCCAGTCGTACCGATCTGATGCCTCGTCCCGAAGGAGGCTCGACCGGTAGCGCTGGAGTAGTTCCTGCTCGCCATTCTGCATCTCAAGTTGCTCAGGCAACAGTTCGTCTGCATCATCAACCAGGAGGTCCAGGGGCACCGAGCAGGTAAACAGTTTGGCGAGGTCACAGACTCCCAGACCTAGGCCGACGTACTGGAAGTCGAAGAACGCCACCTTGTCGCCATCATTGGTCGTGAAGAGATTCTCTGACTTCACATCGCCATGGATGTACGACTCAACCGACCTCCCACACGGCGTCAGGAACAAGGCGACCATCTCAGCGACAGAGAGTGAGGATCCTTCTGGCACTCCACACAAGGCACCAGACCACTCCGAATCCGTATCTTCTACCAAACTGGCGTACTCTTTCCGTCGCGTCGCAAGATACGTATAACCTCCGTTCAGCCACAGTCCCCTACCACCTGTCTTGCCGGTAGATTGCCGTCTCCGAGATTCTTCAAGCGGCGGCAACACACACTGATCGAGGTCCTTGGGCAACCAGTCCCATGAACGACCATGGAACCCAGCCAACCAATCCAGCGCCCCATACACCTGCCTGCGACTCAACACACTCCTCTTTTCGCCAGCAACGGGGAACTTAGGTCGTAGATCGACCATGATCGTAGCCATGAGCCCGTCCAGCTCCTCATCCTGCACATCACGCGTCGAAACAAGACAATTAGCCACGGCAGGCTCACCACCTAGTAGCGGAACGACTTCACTGTAGAAATACTGCTCCACCTCGTAGCTCAGGATTTTGCGCAAATGGCCCTCATCCTCATTGGCGCCGCGCTTGGCAGGCGGCGAGATGAGCTTCAGGATAAGCGGGTACACCGACCCGGCAGCGCCCTTGGGTGCCAGCCCGCAGACTTTGCTGAGATGCTCTGCTGCACTGTCTGTAGTGGCTCGCGCGCTGATGGCGCAGATCTGTCCGTATCCTGCCCAGAGTCTCTGGAGGGTGGTGCAGGAGACGAGCTCGAGCGAGTGTCGCGACAGCAGGATGCTGGCGACGCGCTGCGGGTCGCTGGCAAGTGATGTAGCCATGGCTAAAGAGCTTCTCAAGGGGATGGGCTGTGATAACAAGGAGCTCGAGGCGGTTTGTGGAGAATTTGACCTGTTGTTGACCAGTGCAGATGGCGGGAGGGCAGGAATTCCGAAAATCCCTGCCGAAGGTCTGCCGAGAGCCACGTGATCTCTATAGATCAAATGCACCACAAATCATCTGAAAGGCCAGATTGTAACATTTATTGATGATACGGAGGCTCATAAGAATGGGTTGAATTGGGTCAGAAATTGGGAGGGATGCTTGCTGAATATTGGCCGTTCAAAAAACATATATTCCGGGCCAGTGGACTGGTATCACCCTGGGAGTGAATATGAACATCTACAGACCGAACAAAACCAAATAGCAGCAAGAGCACACTGGTAACAAGGGTAAAAGGTCAATAGATCTTATATTATCTGGGAGCAATCAGCCTATATTCGACAAAGTTTTAAAAATATAATGTGAAAGGTGAGTCCGGATAGGTCTCCGAGGTAGAGGAAAGCCTAGTGCTCTTGAAACCCCCTGGAAAGCTATGGGATACTACAATTTTCACGACCTAATCGAACCCTCTCAGCCACAACTCCACTCCGTCCCTCCAACACGCTCTTGTTTGATCACCGTAGCTCATTGGCCGGGGAGTATCAGCAGTGTTGAAGCCTAGAAAGAGTGGATGGGTTACCTTGACAACGAGTGGAAACCCGCTTTCGGTGAAATTTGATCCAGTAAATCTATGAATGGTATCTTTCATTCCTATGTGGATGGCTAGAACATTCAGAGAATGAAAGGTTGACCATAAAATTGCGCAAAGGCAAGGCTACCCGCAGTCTCCCTTGACACTATAAGACGGTTGTCACTGTCCAGTATCGGTGCCAGGTAACCCAGCAAAATGTAATTCCGCATAGTCCAGTTCCTAAAAACAGCATCCTCTGCTGGATTTCAGCCATCTCCTCAAGAAACCCCGCAGTAGTCGGTTAAGGATGCCGAGTCGGATCGGCTAACGGACTTGTCTGCCGATCCTTGATAACAGGTCGATGCACATATGAACAGCGACCATGCATCTCTCCCTGCCTAGTGGACACTATCTGACTCTCTGCACCACCTGGTACTCACCTGCACTTATTCAAAAAAAGTCGCAATGACTTCTGAAATCCGCCAATATCACCTACCACCCACGGATCTGATCCCGAACTCGCCCCGACCTCTTCTACACTACAAGAACGTCCTACGCAAGAAGCCCAACACCTCACACTGCGATCCCGCTGAAGTATGGGACCTATTCACCAAGAACGAATGGAATGTGCACTGGATCTTCCGCTACAGCCACACCCAAGTATCGCACTACCACTCGCAAGCGCACGAATGCATGGCCGTACTTTCCGGCACCGCCAGCATCCGATTCGGCGTCGGCGACACCTCCGCCGACATGAAAGAGAACACTGACGGATCTGCCTGGGACAAGGGGGGTGTTCTGCTAGAAGCCAATGCCGGTGATGTGTTTATCATCCCGGCAGGCGTGGCGCACAAGACGCACAACACCAAGCCTGAAGCCGAGTTCGCGCTCTTGTCGCCGGGAACGGGGCACGGGATTGAAGCCGAGGATCCAAAGAAGGCGCTTTCTGAGGTTAAGCTAGATGGGTTTACCATGATGGGAGCTTACAGTGGAGGAGATTGGGACTTTGTGGCGACTGGGGGGGATTTTGAGAAGGTGTGGGCTGTTCCCAAGCCCAGGTTCGATCCCGTTCTTGGGGATTCGGACCGAGGACTCTGCAAGGCATGGAGAGGAAGTGGTACGGAGGCTAAGGCTCATCTTTAGAATGGGTGATTCAACTTGAGTATGACTAAAGGGTTGAGAGCACTGTGAACAGGGCCTGCTATCGATGATTTCTGACAAGCAAAAAACAATTTACTTAATTGTTGCCTTCCTTTCCTTCGCGCTGATTAGAGCAAATGCATTATTCCAAACATCAACCCTCTGCTAAGCGACCTACTTACTCACTATTCCTGCGGTGCTCTCGACTTAAGTAGAACCGGCAATTCCGGCTTATTCCAGAGAACAAAGTTCTGCTGGTCTTCCCATATCAGACTGGGGTCATACAACTTCATGTCAAAGTTGAATACCATGCGAGCCAAGATGCTGCGCATTTCAACGTACGCGAGGCTATTGCAGGTTAGCATCCGAATATTCCACAAAAGAGCAAAAGGTTGCATACTTCCGTCCGATGCAATTCCGAGGCCCAAAGCTGAACGGCTGCAGGACAGTCTTGCTATCATTCTCAAATCGAGGGTCACCGAGGAATCGCTCCGGAATGAAACTCTCGGGCTCGGTGAAATTGGCTGGAGAATGATACGCCGCCATTTGGGATACAGAGACAATCGTCTGCAAGCTCCGTTAGCAGGATATTCTGTCTCTCATCTATCGAAGCACTTACACCTGGTGGAACCCATTGCCCGGCAATCATGTCGCCCTGCGCATCCACAATTCGGGGCAATCCCACTGCGACCGGAGGATACATGCGCAAGGCCTCGTTAATCACGGCATGGATATACGTAAGCTGGTTGCACGAGGCAAGAGTGATCTCGCTGTCGGATTTGAATGCACTCCGCACTTCCTCCTCCAGTTTGGCCAGCACACGAGGAGATTTGAGAAGGTAATAAGTAGCACCCGCCAGTAAGGTCGCGGTGGTCTCTGACCCAGCGACGACAAGGGTACTGGCGTTCGACTCCAGCTCGCCGACGGTCATGCCCTTCTCGGTCTCGTGGTGCTTCAGGATATGACTGAAGAAATCGGGCCTCTCGTTCGAACTTGTTAGTCTACCATTCACCTTCTCCTGGGTAATTGCATAATGCCACTTTCTCCGGTCCATTACTTCCTTCGGAATGAACATTTGCAATATGGTCTTGAGCGACGGGAACCGCCGATATACGTTTGAATAAGCGCCGAATTGAATATGGCCGAAAATGATCGACACCCATGGATGATACCTCGAGTTCTGGAGACAATCGAACGGCGTCCCGAAAGTCAAGTCCCCGATGATATCGAAAGTGGTGAAGTTATACCACGCGACCATGTCGACTGGCTCGGTCTCGCTGGCATTCTCATGAAGCCTCTGGATCAGGAGATCGATGTACTGTTTGATGATAGGTTCTTGTCCGCGCAACGAGGCCTCCGAGAACGCATGGGACAGAAGGCGTCGAAAGCGAGAATGGTCGGCATCGTTGGACTGGATGATTGTCGGATGGCCGTTGGCAGGAGGCGCGAAGACCCGCATATCCTTGGGCTTCTGGCTGTGCCCAATGCGCGTGCCATAGATGGGCTTCCATGCCTCCCCGTTGGTGAAGGCCAGCTCGTCGGGCGCTATGCGGACTACCTCGCCGTACTCATTGTGCAGGGTTTCTAGGACCTGGGCCAGTCGGCCTCCAACGACGGCTCGTAGGTATGGAATGCGAGAAGCTGCGAAGAGCTTGGGACCGGGGAATCGCGCGAGAGGGTGCAAATAGATGTTATATACGGGTTGCCCAACGAGGTATAGGATTCCCTGGCTCATAGTCAGTCATAGACCGCCATCACAGCGTTTAACACGGCAGGCATTACCAATGCAAAGGCCAACACGGGCACCATAACAACGGCGCGCCATCCACCAGACAAAACCTCTTGCAGAATATGGGTCATCTCGACAGCGAACTAAGGGGAATGGCAGAGGAACTGGGCCTTGTACGACATTCAACCCAGATCTGCTTCTTCACCACGTACTTATACCACACGGTCGCACGTAACCCCCCCCAGCATCGATTCTGCACAACGCACCAATGTCATGTTGCGCGAACATAAGCCATTGAAACCAAGTGGGCCGTGATCAACATGCCTGGTTTACCCCGCAGACCGAGCGAGAGCATCCAGTCGGTCTATCGCACTCCAAGCGCCAGAACCAGGCGGGTTGTGAGTGTGACGAGCAACATGCATAACTGATGCATCACAGACGCACGAAGATGCCGACTCTGCCGTGTATTGGTCCAGGCCTTGTGAAGAAACTCTCTGCACAAGTTTCATAAGCCACATGTTCCACTGAGACTGTCACCCTTGGTGTTGAATTCATTAATCACAAACCGACCCCTCAGTGACACATGGTCTGCTCTATGAAGATCATGCCAAAGCTTACCCCGAGCAGAAAAGTCAAGACCGAGGTGAGAGCAGAGAAGTCACTGGCCTGCATCTGTCCGGTCAGAGAAAAGAAAAAGGCCGAGTCCTCGATCTCGGAGGTGTCCGGTCATCATCCTTCAAAGCTTGGCCTTAGAGTCCATCCAATCATTGGTGGAGTCTGCCAATGTTCATTCTCGCGCAGAAGAGAAGGAAGACTTGTTTACGGACTCCAAATGGAACACCTCCAAGGGATAACTCGGCCTGAAGTGTCAATAAGAACAAGGCATTCCCAACTTAACCAAGTCCCGTAATGTGGCGTTATTGCATGAGAATATGACACCTCGATTTCCTCCGTAGTGACACACGGATGCTAATAGACCACTGGGAGGATGAAGAATATCCAAAAGTACGATCGGGTAGCATTGACGTTTGGCGTCGCGTCAAATTCATCCTGCCAATCAACCGCGCTAGCCCTTTTTACTTATTTTATTCTATTTACTTTTTTCTTTTTGTCTCTCTCCCCCAGAATATTCTTATAATCATAATTCTTGTGAAAAAAAAAAAAAAAAAAAAAAAAAAAAAAAAGCTACGTTCAAACCGTTTGTATGGCCGTTGGAACAAGCTGTTTTTACCGTCGGTGAGACTTCACAGGCGGAATATATCTCTCTGATCACGATCTAAAATGAACGTTTATCTCGCCTTATTAATTTCCCTGTTATCTCTATTATTACTGCCGCACATGGCTGCCATTTTGGATACATGTCAGTTGAGCACTGGTCCCTCTATCTCCAAAACCGAACGACGCCGACTGCTCATCCCTACCTTAATGAGTGACTATGGAGCATCGATGGCGCTGAAGCGGCCACAAACCAGAATCCTTACCTAGTTGTACCCGGACGATGAACAATGGTGTTTCGATAAGAGAAGAGGTAGAAATGGCTCAACACTCATGAGTCATGCAAACATACACATCTACATCTGCGGCAGGTTTAAAGGAAAAGTATAAAATTCTACTGTATATACAACGAATGAAAGGTGTCTAGAAAAGGTAAATTCAAGTACATAGAAGAAAGATAAAGGACCGGCCAGCCAACCAAAAGAGTTCCAGCCAATGCCCTACATCGTCATAAAGAAGAGCATGGCCAGGGCAATCACCGCGGCAGTGCGGTTCATCTCCTGGCGCGTGGCCGCCGACTCAGACGACTCGATCTGCAGCTCGGGCTTATAGTCCTTGGGGGTCGAGCTATCGACGGTGCCGTTCCAGCAGTAGCTCTTGAAGCAGGTGTTGCAGATCTCGGGCAGCTTGGTGTTGGTGCGCTCGGCGGAGCGAGAGAGAATGGCGCACCCGACACAGGACGGCCAGTCGGCGTCGACGCTGGAGTTGCCGCGGGTGACGACGTTGTAGCCGTTCAGGATGATGTTGTCGCGCTCCTCGTCGCTGTACTCCATCTTGTAGGTGGAGGCGTTGGAGGCGTAGTTGTAGGGGGAGTTGGGCAGGTAGACGACCAGGGGCGCCGGACCCGTCATGTTCTTGGAGTCGCAGCCGAAGAAGGTCGGGCGCTTGTTCAGGCCGAGGTTGATGAAGGTGTTCTTGTCCGGCACGGCAGGGAAGACGGTGCCGTTGCCAATGCCGGTGCTGTTGAGGCTGCGCTCGTAGGTGTGGCCGAGCGACGAGCCGTCAGGCCAGCTGTTGGTGTCCGCGGAGGAGTCGACGGCGAAGATGACGTCCACCTGGCGCGTGGGCTGGATCAAGGGGTGCAGGGGGATGTTCTGGCCGTCCTCGCCGCCGTCGACGACGTCCAGCTCGCGGCTCTTTGAGTAGGCGTGGGTGGCGTTGCGGTAGCGGTAGAAGGGGTTGGGCGAGTAGACGGCGATGTCCTCGTCGTTGCGGTCGAGTTTCTTGAGGATCTTCATGACGGTTTCCTTGACGAAGTCGGGGGCGTCGGTGTTGTTGAGACGCAGCAGGCCCTGGTTGAAGAGCGAGGACGAAGTGCCCATGACAAAGCCGGCGTTGTCGAATCCACGCACGCACTTCTCGGTCTTGGGCAGCTCGCCGTTCTCGAAGCGCGATCCAAGGAATTCCAGGGGCGCGAAACCGTAGATGGAGGGATCGAAGGTGCCGAATTCCCAAGGGTTGAATTCGTAGACGGTCGAGTTGGTGCCGACGACAAGTTCGCCGGGGTTGCGGCCATCGGCGACGACGATGGGCATGGGCATCTGGCCCTTCTGGAAGGTTTCAGTTAGGGCGATAGAGGACCAGGTGTAGTCCAGGCCGCCGTCGTCAGTAGTCGAGTTGATGAACTGGTAGGCGAGCGCACGACCCCAGTAGTCCGTCAGCGAGGTGTCGTATCCAGCATCTTCCTTGTTGTCGACGGCCTTGAACAAGTCCTTCCAGTATTTGGCGGTGCTCAGGATCCGAAGACCCTTGGCGTTGGGGCCCTCGAGAATGTTCTTGGAGAAGTCCCAGACACGCTCATCGGTCTGCAGAGCACCGACGGTGGTGAAGTTGTTGATGACGATAGAACCCAGCAGCCACGAGCCTCCACTCAGACCAGACACGTATGTGGCGGACTGCAACAGGCCTCCCAGCTGGCCTTCTGCCGTAGCATTGTCCGTTCGACTATCGAAGGCCTTGATAGCGCCAGCACCGTTGGTCAGGGCGCGATATCCACCACCGGAGACGGCGATACCGATGTTGGGGATGTTGGAGATGTTCTTCGCATGGCGGTCGATGTAAGATTTGGCATCAAAGGAGGTAAGGTTCAGTCGGCCCAACAAGTCCTTCATGGGCTTGAGGGTTTCCTCGCGACGAAGCTTCAGCCAGTCGGTCTCGTTGGCGGACAGTTCGCCAGCGGATCGAATGCTCGGCCGGGTGGACGGGCAGGTAACGTTATCGGGGGCGTAGCCATCAGGGGCATTCGCAAAGGCACGCGGTACGAGCGAGATCGAGGCGGCGTCAGCCAAGCCAGCCGCCAGGGTAATCAGGGGGATCTTCATGATGGCGGAAGGTGGATGTTACGGACAAGGAGACAAGGGACGGAGACCCCCGTTTTGGCATCCTGGGTATATGTATTCAGCAGATTATTTATTTTTGTGTGAAGGCGATTCAGCCCAAGACCGGCGAGGCTTGGACTTCATGAGCCTCGTTCGACTAACGGTCAATAGTGTGGGATCGCGTGGACCAACCGGAAGGAAAGGGATCGTGGAGTCTCAGCCCGGTGGAGCGTTGGAGAGAAACGGAGTTCGGCAGTGGCATAAGGCTAGCCAGGCAGCATCGTTTTTCACAGAAAAACTCACATAAGATGCTCGTGGTTTAGGAAGTTCGGTCGTACTTCGTATTGAGGCCCATGAAAAGGGTGTGGCTGCGCTGGACAGCGACAGGGGTTTAGGGCTAGCGTCTAGGCACCAATCTGCGCCCCTTACGTTCCTCAGATTATTATGATCGTTTTGCTATTACAGAGCAGTCTTGTTTATTTTTCTTAGACAGCGTGACCGTGTGGCTGCACCTGAAACATCCCCCAGTAATAGCTAGTCCGTGTGACAATGCAACCACTGGCTCAGATCTCCGCCCCAAAAGCCCCCAAGGCCCAAGTTTGGCGGTGGATTCGTTTGATCCTTGGCCTTGTTTGGCCCGTTTTTGGGCTGGAAACGACATGAGAATTAGTGCCGGGTCTTTATGCAGAGACATGTCTCATTATGCATCGATCTCGTGCAGATCGAGTGCCTCATCTTCCCAACTTCTTCACCAGCCGTAAAGTCAAATACAGACAACAGAATTGTTCAAGAAATCGCCATCCAGATCAAGCCATGTCGGACCACATGAACCACCCGTCAAGTTCCAGATCCAACTGTGGACCCGCCAAAATTTTCGACCCGAATATGCTGTCGCCTAGCCGGTCCGAGAAACGAGTACGATAAACGAATAAGAAGGCTCGAAAGGAGCAATCGAGGAACCCTTCGGCTCCCGCGGGAATCCGCTAAGCCATGTCAATCCTGGCTCTATTCCTCCTTCTCCGGAGCGCTCCATAAGGCGCCATTAGGAACCCTGATGAGCGAGGAAGTTTGGCTCACCGGGCGATCCGGTGTGGCGGTGTCCTGATCTATGATGTCACCTATTTGTGGCCGAGGCTATACATTGAATTCGTTCAATCGGTTGGTCGGCTTCATTCGCTTTGAATATACAAAGTATTGTTGTTGTTGCTCTGTCTACAACCCCTGACCAGGTAGCCTCAGGTGTCCAACTTAAGTCTGGCCAATCACAGCGCGTAACCAGATTACTAACCCGATGACATCACAACATTCCATACCGCATCGGCAGCAATGGAGAATGCACAGTGACAATCCAGAGAATTGTAGCGATATGAATAGGAAACAGTTACAGAACATTCTGCTGCTCCTTTCTGGTCCCAGGGAACAGTGGCCCAGCAGAAGAAAGCGAAGGGAGTGGTCGTTGAGATCATAGACTCCTGTCAATAGGGACCTGAACTCAATATAGATCGGTTACATCATGACTCTAGGTCTATATATCACAGCCCGCTCTCCATACATCGTAAATCTCCATAGTATCCGATCATCGATAATTCACAATATCTCTTTAGAACCATAACTATGGACAAGCTCAGCGGTCTAGCCTCTAAACTCGGTGGCAAACACAAGGACGAGTCGAAAGGCAGCGGCGAAGCCGGAGGAAGCGGTGGAAGCAACGACCAAAAGGACTATCTTGACAAGGGTAAGTCATTTCACCCAGCATCCAAACCTCAGGCATGTGCTCAACTGGATAGGCCTGGATTCCGTCGAGCGAAAATTCGGCGGTGGAAAGATCGACCCCGACAAGATGCGCGACACCAACGAGAAGATCACGGACACCGCGCGCGAGAAGTTCGAGGGCGCTACAGGGTATGTTCCTGGAATGGCCCTTTGCAGAGAGGAATATGAAGCTAACCCGACGGCACAGGAAGAAAGTACCAGAGAAATTTTCCAATTAGCTCGTTGCGCAAGTAGGGATTACGTTTATAATCAGATAGCTTAATTCAATCAATTTTACTCGACCTATTACATACCCCATCGTACCGCATTATCGCTGGAATGACTTCAACAACCCCTGCAATCCCGAGCTCCTCTGCGGTTGCAGATACCGCGTGTTCAACCGACAGATCTCGATCATGTTGAGCACAGTCTGGGGCAGCTGGGCGCCCGTCTTCTCACAAGCAGCCACCAGTCTTTCGAAATACCTCTGCGCCTCCACATACTGCTGCTTTGACATGTACATGGTCCCTAGTAGACTCAGGGTCGCGTGAATGTCCGGATTGCTTGACCCAAGGCGTTGCTCCGCCCAGTCGAGGTATCGCCGGAGCCAGGGCACCGCCATTTCGGCGTTGCTGCCATTCGAGCTGTACGCAACCGTGCCTAGACTGTTCTGCGTGGCATACATGGTGCCCAGGTGGGCGACAATATTAAGAGTCTCGGGATGATCATGCCCGAGATACTCCTCGGCATTAGTGAGGGCACGGCGGAGCGTTTCAGACGGCTCGGTGATGCTATCACTCGCGTTCATTTGGCTGGCGCCGAGAATGCGTAGGCTCCAGATTGACAGGGGATGACGAGGCCCGAGCATGCTGGTCAGCTCGCGCGAGATTTTCGCAATACCTTTGGAGGTCTCCTCTGTGCGTGGGTTAAACCGCGCCGCGAATCGATCCGCGTCGGATTGCGTGTGGTTCGAGACGAGGAGCTCAGCCGCGCAGAGCACCGACGCAAACACCTGGATATGATTCTCGCCTAGCAAACTCTGTAGACTGGCGGTGCGCCTTTCAGCCGTGGACACAGCTTCTTCCCTGCGACTGAGACAGCCATAGGCGACCGCAAGTCGACCGCGGGTTTCCAGAGTGTCGAGATCCTCCTCGCCGATGGTCATCTGCTGTCTCGCAAGGACGTTGGCACAGACAGACTCGCCCTCTTGGTACTTGCCCTGGTGGCAGAGAATCTCGCCCATGAGACTTTCGGCTTTCATCGTCAGCGGGTGTCGTCGGTCGAATACGCGCGCGCTGTTGTTCGACACCCACTCGCACCATTCGGCCGCTTTGCTCAGGTACTCCGATCGTAGGTCAATCTCTGCCAGGTTGTACCCAATCTGTAAGGTGCTGTGGTGGTCTGGGCCCAGTGTTCGCAGGTGTTCCTGAAAAATAGCATACTCCAGATCGCGCGCCTTATCCCACTGCCAGTTATTCTTGTGCTCTGCAGCCTGCACCGACCGGGGATCGTTGTCTTGCGGCGCAAACAACGTCCCTATGACCCGTTGGGCCGGGACAGGGGACCGACTGGGTGGGTAAGAAGCGCTGCTATTGAGATGCATGCGCGGTGGGACTGGCGGAGGGACGCGCGATGCTGGCGACGGCTGAGGAATATAGCCCTGCTCCGCGACGAGGACCTGGTCGGCAATCTGCTTGATGTTGCCCTTGATCAGCTTATACATAGGTCCGCGCGAGGCGACTTTGCACATCTGCGAGTGGTCTGCGTCGAGCTTGAGACGGGTCTCTCGCTGGCCAGGCAGGCCTAAAACGGCGGATTCTTCGTCGACAACCAGCTGTGTCTGTTAGTCTTCAATGTCTAGTGCAAATGCACGCAGGGATATACAAACATGACTGATAGACGCCGGCCCAGCACCACCCAGGAGCACCTCCTTGCCCTCGATGAAGCTCACAACCTTGTAATCCTCCAGCTGGTGCGAGAACCGCGCACTCATCTGTCTGGTAAACAACGAGTTGTGCTCCAGACAGTCCAGCAGGTCATTACTAGCATGACCCTTGGAGACGAAGCGTGCGACCTTGGCTGCGATCTTGCCCAGTTCAACGCCCTTAGTGCCGTGGTGAGGACAACCGAAGAAGACGAGGCCGGAAGTGCCAGTTCGAATGGAGGTATACTTCGGGTCTTCCTGGGCGTTGAGGAGTGCCTTCCAGCCCTTAGTCTCTCGTCGCCCTCAACATAATAGCGGAACTGACCTGTTTAATCACCAACCCGCCCAGACTGTGTCCGATGAAGATGATTTTGGGCAGGCGAGCATTCTAATCCTGCTTAGCGGCATTCTCCCATTTGACGAAGGATGCATACCAACTGCGGACTTCGCTCCATATCCAACAAATTCAGGAGAGTATTGGCATGATCCCTCACGCTCGCCGTGGACATTGCCTGAGGGTTCGTGATGTTGGAGTTATACCCGTAGACAAAGATGCGCGCCTGGGGTATATCGTAAGGAAGGAGGTCTCTCGGCCAGAACATGCCATTCTGATGAGTCCATGTTTCGAAGGGATGATCATTCCGACCGCGAGGGTTCAGGCCATGAACGAAGACGAAGCTATCAAGGTCAGCTACGCATCGGAACCAGGCGGGAAGACACTGACTCGATTTTAGGCTGTTCGGCAGGCGTATGGACCTCCTCTAGGAAGGGGAACTCATGCTCTCCGGCATCCTGACCCACTTAGGACATTTCCTTGATGAAAAGGACCAGATACATACCATGGTTGATACTTGAGGCATCGCGATGCCGACGATGAGTAGCGGAAATATTTGTGCTCCCAGCGAAGATAAGGAGTTCAAACGATACCATCAGCCGCAAGTGTCTCTAGCCTCGTACACATCATGTGATGGAGTAATGTGAGCAACATGAGAAACAGTTTCACTTCCAATCGGTTGGCATCTCCTGTCGAGTTCGAAGGAAAGAGTGATAGAGGATACGACGGGGCGAGGCGTCGATACGAGGCCGGTGGCTTGGACGGCCTATGTGGATTGGCTGTTGAAGCGATTATGCAGGTCTTAGTCCTTTCTGCGACGCGTGTGCCAGATAGCCCCTGGCTTGTGTAGCTGAGGTATAAGGTGATTGGGTGATCAAATCCGGAGTTATGTAGGTAAGATAGGAGATGCTTGCATGCGACCAGCCGGGATTCGGTAGGCAAATTCCTCATTTGCCCGGACATGCTTGCTCACTATTTCGACTATTAACGGTGGTATATCGTAATACTTGCACGCGAGGTACGACGAGTTTGCAGTGGCTTATGAAATAGATAATTTCTGATCGGCAATTTTATGGCCGTTTGTCAAGTCATGGAGGGTCTGAGTATGACATTCTTAGGTTTCTGACAACGCCAGTAGAAAGAACATCGGACGGAGGCAAAAATATTGCCTATATCCTTAATGGCTCCTGTTCATTCCGATATCCATGGAACAGGCTATAAACAAAAGGCTTGACTGGATGACATCTCCTCCATATCTGGCGGACACAAAGTTCCGTGGTTACCTCACTCCCAGGTCAGGGCAAGCAGATAGCTGCTATTCAACCATGGTTCAGAAAGCCTGGGCGAAGAACATTCAGCTTTATATACCTCCTCATGCCGGCCTGTCTCCATTATCCCTCGTCAAACGACCCAACCCGAGTATCAAAATTCACAATGCAATACGCTATCATGGACATTTTGCGCCTCCTATTCATGCTCTTGACCTTCAGAGTCATGCATGCTCTCGCAGATAGCGTTACAGTATGGTAACATTCGTCCTACACTCATTACTATATTAACACGAACTGCAGGTCAAACTCGACCTCATTGAGGCGCCAGACTGGACATATGTCATCCCCGACGGATACTGCGTGCACCAAACCAAAAGCCGCACAGGGTAAGTATTAACCCGTTATGATGGGAAACACAACCTAATTACTCGAAGACGATGCAGAGGATATGAAGTGCGGTCGTCTAGCTTCTATTGCTACAGCTGGCCGTAAGTGGCGTCGCGTGTTTAACTAGAACAATAGATCTAACGCGCCTCAGGACCGATCTATGCCAGGGCGAGCCCAACCCCCAGGAAATGCGAGGAAAAGGAACGTTTTCGCCGGCTGTGAGGGCTATGTCGGTTGCGTGTTGGAGGGACGGGAAAATTGACGGTGGCAGGGGAATAGTGATACAACCTGCGGAATGAGATCCTGAAAGGGTCCTTTGGTGCCGGATATGCGAGGGTAAATTGTATCTCGTCATGATCAAGCTCGACTTAATATTCAAGCTTTGCAGCCGTCAGACTTTTAACAGTCTATTTTCTAGTAGTCATCGTATAGGTCAAGGACTCTGGTTTGCGACATCGTCCTCCGACTTTGACTTCAGGTTTTGCAAACACGGTGCATGGAATAGACTCCCATGCCAGGCTCCTTTCGCGGTCCTGCACGCTACCACAAGCCACAAAAGTCCCACCGCAGCACTTAGAACCTAGTGACATTACTATGAGTCCATAAACTGTGGAAAGATCACCTACCGTCCCACAAACTTTAAAGAACATGAGGTTCATCTCCGTCCCAAGCAGAATTGTATTCGCCGCATACACACCCAGCGGGAACGTGAATCCCCACCAGCCCATATTAAACGGGAAGGGCGAGCTATAATAGATAGTAGCCAGGGCGAAGACCAACCAAATCAATCCAAAAGACCACATGAGCAATGAAATGAATAGCCCAAAAACATATGCCATGTGTCCGAGGATTGGATCCAACGAGTTTGACTCTCCAATTAGATTTCGGGCAACCTTTCCGAGGTAGAGTATACTGTCATGTAGTTAGCAGATATACGACAACAATGTCAGGAGAAGAAAAGAAATACCCAAATCCACCAAACCCCAGAGGCCCAAGGGGTAGAAAGCAGCTCACGATCGTCGTCCGAGACGGAAGCTTATGCACAGCAAGACGCTGGTAATAAATAACTAGAATCATCATAGCCATGGGGATACCCATTCCCCAGAGAATATATGAGACAACTAAAGTCGCCCTGGCACGGGATGGGTTAGGAAGAAGGTCTGCGATCTCGGCGCCCACGCCGGCTGCAACGATGGTGGCGGCGATGGGAAGAAGCTGGAGGGCTGTGATGCGCTCGAGCGATGTGACGTAGCTTTGAGATATTCTAGACTCTCATGAGCATTTTATGCCTTCAATGTAGGTACTCAAGAGAAGGAACAAACAGAATAAACGAAAGCGAAGCCGTCACCGATGCAGCAGCAACGGCATCGACGATCCACAAGGCCCATGCAACGAGGCGAGCCCAGTCACCCCAGATGGGCACACAGATAAGCAACCACAGTTCAATCAGGGTCGCAAAACCCATAGGACATGTCGCGAGAAACAGCGAGTTGACTGGATCCTGGGTCAACACGGTCCAGATCTCGGGGAAGAGGATATATCGAAGCGCGGACATGGCGAACACGGTCGCGAAGAGGATGGTGTTCAATATGAAGAAAATGATTGCAAGGTAGTTAAATGCCACCACGTCAAATGGCAGAAGATGAAATAAAATACCAACAATCCCCGTGCCCATGGTGATTGAGAACCATCTATTTCGAGAGTTAGATATGCCTGGGACGCGATAGGAGACACCTACGACGGGCTGAAATTGCTGATGACTCGTCGCCATCCTGCAGTGTACTTGCGGGATATTTCTGGCTTCTGCTCCCTCTGCGAGGAATCTGTTGCATGCATATGGGCGAATATCTACAGGAAAGAAAGAGCAGGACAGAACAGAAGGTGAAGTCATCGACGGATCCGCCCGAGATCCAACGTTTTGCTCGGCCGAGAGAAGTCGGCGCTACGAGGGAAATCATCATGAAAATCATAAAACGCACAATTCTACCAGGCTCCCACAATTCCGGCCACAGGAATATCGATTCCCGTTGTATATGAGCTTCCATCGCTCAGCAAATACACATACGCACCGCCCAGCTCGCGAGGATCCGCCAGCCGCGGCATGCCTCCGTAGTACTGCATCTTGAGATCCCAGTCTGGCGAATGCTCGACATAGTAGGTCATGGCTGTTCGGACGAAGCCGGGAGAAACACTATTTACGCGAATGCCATGCTGGCTCCATTCCATGGCTAGCGTGTGGCACATGTTCCGCACTGTGTGGTCGTTAGAGCCAGTCAGATTAAGGGATGCAGGGGACTTACCAGCTGCCTTGGTGGCACCGTAAGGAGCAGATGGTGCAGCCTGAATGGTTAGCATTGGCCTGTCTATCAATAGTAGGAAAGGACATACCCTGTTAGGACGATACGAAGTCATACTCGAGGTCATCACAATCGACCCCTTGATGCCCAGCTCGATGAACTTGCGCGCGACAATCTGCGCACAGAAATACGCTCCAAACACCTATTTCATGTTAATCAGTCTTTGTCACAGTGAGTCCTATAGCCTAACTTACATTTAAATTAAACAACTTATCCAGCTCGGCGCGATCGAAATTCAAGGCCGGCTGATGTTTCGTCATTCCAGCATTTGCCACCAGCCCGTCGATTCTCCCCGCCTCCTGGACGATCTGATCGATCGCCTTTTCGACACTCTCTTCAGACGTCACATCCGTCTGAATATATCGGATGTTGGGGTGTCGCTTCTGCAGCGCATGGAAGTCTTCCCCGGGGTCCATGAGATCAAGTGAGTAGATGATACTCGCCGAGTTGGCCAAGCACACTTCTGCGATCCCCAGACCGATCCCTCGATTAGCTCCCGTGATCGCGATGACTTTGTTTGCTAATGTGATCTGCCAAGAGAAGTCGGACGAGGGCATTGTGCTGAGAGGAGGTTGCGTTGCGCCATTGGCTTTGGGGGCTGTCGTGGGGATTTCGTCCGCGGAGGGAGGCATGGCGAGGATTTACTTGGTCTGTAGAAAGAGATTTTCAAAAGGAAAATATAAAAGCAGACAATAAGCAGATGTAAAAATGATGGGTATAAGAGAAGTGAAAGGCGATTGTCAGGAGCCAACACAGACAAAGTCGATAGCGAACAGGCAGCCTTCTTATACTCCACGACAACTGTCACCAACACGAGGAATGGAGAACCACGGTGACATCAATTTAATAGACAGTCGCACAGTCCGTCTCTCCCCGCATCGAGACCACTGTCCGATCGCGTTCCGGGTGGAACTGCCTCGACTCGAGGCAGCCCGACAGATATGAAGGCGGAGATGTGCCGATCTGGTGGGTAACAGGCCATGGGGCGTGCAGATTGATGCATGGACGCACATTGAGGCTCATGGGGCTACTTTGGCTTAGTCTACTGTTGGTCCCAACCGACCAGCCGGGCTGAAAAGTGAGACAATACATGGTTAGGAGACATGCAATGTGGTCTCCACCGAGTTGGTCTCCAGTGATAAATCAAATGGGTATCCGTATGCAGTATCTGAACAGCTATTTACACAATTTACACCCTCGAGTCTATCCATTAAACCCGGGCAGTCCGTCTTTCTGGAAGTCCAGTTCCAAGTCTCGCCGAAGGGAATTACTCGGCCATCGCACCCTCTGCTGGAACATATCCATCAAGTCGAGAAGAATCGCTCGCTCGTTGGGCGTGTGGACGCACATTCCAGCTAGATTGCGTGTTAGAATGAGCGCCTATAGGAGTCTGCGGAAAGACTCACCTCCGTATAACGAATTCAGCGACACCAAAGAGGCCGCATGATTATTTTCATCCACCGTCTGCGCAATCCCGCAGATCGTACTGACAGACGCCGTCAACAGGTGCTGGCCCGCCCGATAATCCTGCAACCCCCCTACAGATGGCCGATGCAGTAGAACAAGAATACGCGCCAGGCTGTGAAGCTGCAGTGCAGCCGCATAAAACGGGGGGTGTACCCAAATCGGAGGAAAGAGACCAGAATTAGGCGCAGTGGGCAGGGGTCGGAACTCATTGGGCAGGTAATCATGCCACTCTTGCAGCATGCAGAGCAGCTCGCTGCCTCGGTCCAGCCGCTGTTGAAGATCCTTCGACTCGGATTCTTCTTTGGACGCGTAATTAATGCATTGCGCGAGGAGGTAATGCGAGTGGCAGGCCATTTCTGCCGGTGTCAGCGTCGAATAATGCCTTTTCGGTTTCCAGAAGGTGAAGACTCGTCGACGCTCTCGCATGGCGACCCACGCGTCCTGTCGCAACCAGGCCCACCAGACGGCCTGTCGGATTCCGCCGCACTCGCCGTCGTTGTTCTGGTATCGCTGGATCCAGAAGACGCCTTTTAGATGCCGCTCCCAGTCGCGGTTGGAGCCGTCGACCATTTCGTATGTGCTGATGAGCAGGGCGGTAGCGATGAGCTCGTGGCTCGACGCGTAGCTGGAATACTTCATGGCTTTGTTAAGATAGGCCAGAGTTTCGTAGTAATACTGGACAGCGAAGTTACGGTCAATTTCGGAGAGATTCCAGGCTTCCTTCATATCGCTGTTCGATTTCCCAGTCTCGGGGGTCATTCCCGACGGATAGTTGGCATTCCACAGCGAGAGATGTCGCGCAGAGAGTGCCATAAGCGCTTTCATCAAGCCCGTATTCCGCAGTGCGAGGTGCGGAACAACGGTAGAGAATTGCAGAGACGGATCAAAGAAGTCCAGCCAGGAGCCGAGGGATTTGACAAAATGGTTGAAGATGCGATACTCCTTCGGGGATAGTTGGATTGGGGATGGCGTCGTCCAGCACGAAGGATCATCAGCCACCACGCTCGAAGGATCACCGGTCTGTACTGGCGCCAGGCCTGTCTGCATCTCCGGGTCATTTCCGAAGGAAGCCGCCTTGAAGCTCTCGCGCTGCCGAGGCGTGCGAGGATGGAAGCCGGGATTCGAATCCGGGAGGAACGGCGACGACGAGAGGGCTGGGGTCGACGGCGTTCGCAGTTGAGGCGAGAGATAGAAGTTTCCATCTGCATTGACCGCATCAGTCGCTAATAACTCAAACCAGCTTCTCGGAGCAGCTGTTCGGTTCGAGGTTGTCGATTCGGTAGCCGGCGAAGGCACATTATCATGACCTGTCGCGATCGGTTCGGGCGCGAGCGACGAGCGACCATGAGGCCGTTCCTGCGACACGGGCCGTTCTTGCTGGCAGGCATCGACTAGGATCTGTAAGGGCTGATGGACTTGAACCTTGGGCGTCGTAACGGGGGGTTCCTCCCGGGGCGTTGAGGGCGTTGCAGCAGCATCGAGCGAATGACCCCCAACCCCTGAGTCGGCGTCAGTGTAGACGCAGGCGCGCTGGCCTTTCGCGCAGGGGCCACACTGGGGATGCACCTGAACAGATCATATTAGATTAACAGGCATTCCTGACGGGACGTGTTTCACCGCGAGGACTCGACTTGCCTCGTCGCATTTCACATGCCGCCGTTTGCAGATCAAACTAGACCAGTCAATCAGGACACTCCGAGGCAATCAACGGCCGACTTCAGCTCATCCACAAAGACTCACCAGCCAGTGGTGGCGCGCAATCCTCGACCACGCGATTTCCGGGGCTTACGGATGCCACGTGATGGCGCTGCAGTAACGTCGGGCATGGCGCATCCCTTCGCTGCAAAGACCGACTCAGAATGACCTGGAAAAATGGAAGGAAAATTAACGTCGGTCGGTTGGGGATCGCGTCGAGGTTGTCGGTGGAGCCACTAAGTCGGTGGGGTTTTTTTTTCTCGCTTTTCGCCTCGTATCGAGTCACTTGGATGTCTCTCATTGGGAGATGCCCGGTGGGGATGGTTGGGAATGTTGGTTTATAGAGTAGCATCGAGAGCTGGATATTGGATTTAATTTAGTGGTCTGATTCCTTTAGATCTGATCAATTAAAAGATAAGAAGTAAATTTCTTTGATTCACTGGATTTCTGGTGGTTGGACTGAATGCCCCGGATAGTTCGGAGATATATACGTTCAACGGCTACAATGCCGGTCTTCTTGCTCGGGACTATTTCAATGGTCCACATGGGCTCAATTTACCTTCAATACAATTGGTATATATAGATCTTTCCAAACTCGAGTCCTGAAAATTTTAGACACTGGTATATTTTTGTGCCCATGATGCGTGTTTCCCATAATCTTGCCGTCAGCCTTCATGCAAAATTTCCAATCAAACAGAGGCAACACACATCAAATGATTTGCTATTCCACCAGCTTAAAAAAATCCCGACAAACGTCTACTGGCCTTTTCTGAATAAATACCAGACAAAAAATATTGTCTTCTATCAACCTTTTCACATTCAATCCACACTCATATGTACACTTCCTTTTGCCTATATCATGCTAGTCATCTATTCAATAAAGCAAACGTTGCTCTTTTAACCCCGAAATGCCTTCTTCTCAGTCAGGTTCCTTCAAAAATGGAAATCTATTCCCCCGAAGGTCCTTCCAGAACAGCCGACAGGTCCGGGGCCTCTCCCAAACTCGGGGTTCCATCCTCGTTCCACTTGACCTCGAGGGCCATGGCGTAGCGGTTTCCGTCGCAAGCACCCTCGCTAGCCGAAGTAGCATGGAAGACGTTCCATACCTGAGAGCCGTCAGGGCTGGTGAAGAATCTATCGAGGTTATTAGTATCTGACATGTGCAGTCAAACCAGACACACATGAAAGTAAAAACATACCCATTGTGTCCCGTGCCATAGTTTCCATTGGCAGAGGTAAACAGCGGACCGGCCGACTTGGTCCACGAACCCTGGTCCAACGGATCCCCAGCGCCGTCGTAGGTCAGGAGAGCCAGCGAGTAGTTGGCAGTCCAGCAGTAAGAAGCCGAGTAGGCAACCCAGACCTTTCCGTCATGGTACAGGGGAGCCGCGCCCTCGTTGACCGGGGCCTCGACGCGTTCCCAGTCCTCGAGAGGCTGCGACAGAATGTGCTTCTCGCCGATGGTCGAGGGGGTGTCGAGCGTGGCGATGCAGTTGGACTGGATGCCGTCTTCCATGCAGGACCAGATGAAGTAGTTCTGCGAGTCGATGACCAGGACGGTTCCGTCAATACCCCATTCGGGGGTGAGTTGGCCGAGGTACTCGTATGTGTCCCAGGGGTTGGAGCCACCTTTTGAACGTTAGTAGTGGATCAGCATGGGAAGAAGAATGGTTCATACCCTTCAGAACGTGCGCGCGCTGGTTGTCGAGAGAGTCGGAGCTTCCGGCAGTGTAGTAGAGGTACCATCTGCATACATTAGGACTAAACCACACCAGCAGTCAACACCCTAGACTACTCACGTTCCGTCGATTTCGTGGATCTCAGGCGCCCACACGCTGCAGCAGCGGTTCGGGTTGCTGTCCTTCCAGACAACCTTGTTCTCACCGTCCTTCAAGCCCTCCAGAGTGGGAGACCGAGTCAACTGGACATCGGTCCACGTAGTCGTGGTCAGGTAGTAGTAGCCGTCGACGTAAACAATGAACGGATCACTGCCATTCGGGTCCTTCAAGGGGTTGGAGAAGGTGTCTGCCACTGCTGACTGGACCAGCAAGGCAGACAGGAAGAACTGCAGCACGGCTCGCAAAGAGAACATGTTTTTGATTGCACAGACACACACACACACACATGTGATATTCTCCGATTCGCCAGGGAAACACCGAGCTGTATATACCTGGTCTGCGTGCTGACGATGACGTCGCACAACGACTGCAATTGGTGGAAAAGCCCATCGTGAAGCAGAACCGCCACGATGCTTGTCCCTGTGGGGGAAAGGCGAGAATCGTACGAGCCAAGCCCGTGGAGGAGAGACTCCGAGACGTGGTCGGTTAAAACTGCAGGGAGGAAGTATTAACCGACTGACGAGTGCAGGCGGAGCACATGTCGATGCCTAAAATCAGGGAATCCCCGCAATTTCTCCGCATTTTTGGCGGTTCTGCAGCTTCGGCTGACTTGGATGTGGGGGACGAATGTCGGCAGTCTCGCTGCAGCCGGGATATTGCCGGATTGGGGGCGACGTGAGGATGAAGCTGGAAAATGAGGTTGTTGACGACGCAGCACGCGTGCTCCAAGTTAATAGCAGACTAACAGGTGCAGAGCACACACTCTGAAGCACCGCCACCTATTTTAAGAACTGCTCGGAGCAAGTGAGACACGCGCACTAGCCAACTCTGTGGCCGAGCTATTTGCAACGGTTTCACGATTAGAATTTCGCCAAACGATCCACCAGCCAAACAGACTCGTTAGCGCGCCCTGCGGCCGCCGGGACTTGGAAATTCTCTCATCGCCGCCCTGGCCATCTCCGTGTCGGATCTGGCTGTCGCTGACAGGGACTTGTCTCAGCCACACCAGGCTAACATCACCCTTATCCCAGCCTCATTTAATTATCGGACCTGGGGTATGATCAGATTTTCCTAGAGGGGAAACTGAATGCTCGTAGAAATGTTGTCATGGAATTAAATGGGATCATCGGTGTTCTCGCGAATCACTGCTGATCTCGAGTGGAGACCCGACGACTAGGCCGCATTATGGAGTTGATCAGAAGAACACTTGCATTTGTTATCTTCGGGGCTCGGACGGTGCTCCGTTTCTGCATTGATGGCTCATATGACCTTTGCAGAGTGTGCGCATTGTGCTTGCCTTCATCGAAGTCATTTTCTCGTGTCAGAATCGAGGAAATCGAGTCATGGCATGTGGCTACGGGGAATACATGAAACGACGGCAGCCCCTGTCAAAGAGATGGAAAGACATACCCACAATAAACCGTCACAGAAGCAGCTCACTGACACTCTTAAGGGAGAGGGATATACCCACAATAACTGTCACAGACGCTACTTGCTACCGTGCGAAACGAGAAGACCCATCGCAGTCACGGAGCCCACCTTCATGCAATGTACGCCGTAGATAAATGTGATAGCAGGCACCATGCAACTAGATAGCACTTCAGACCTGCTCTAAATTGCACCATAGCTCTCCACTCCGTCAAAAGATTACTCTCCTGGCCCCATCACACTGTAGTCCCATCCTGAGGAAACTATATTCCCCTCCACTATTCAAACAGCCGAGCCATAGCCAGCCCAGCCATCCAGACTATGTAACCTCGCATGAATCGTATGCAGGTTCCGTGAGAAAACATCTCCACCGGAAACGCCAGGTCCAAATTCCAGGAATGCCAAATTTCCCTTCGCCAGCCACCATCGACTGCCGGACAGGGGGAGCTTATTCCACAAATGGCATTTTCAAGGCCGAAGCACGTCCCTCCGAGGCAGTGACCACTGACATATAAGAAGTCCGGGTGAAGGAAGGAAAGAAAAAGGCTCTCCTGTCGAAACCAGATCTGTCTCATCTTTTTCTCACCATGTACACTTCCCTGTCACTGCTACCTCTCCTCTATGCTCTGGCCCATGGCTACGCCAACCCTGGCGCCTGCTCTGGGGCTTGCAACATCCATGACCCGGGCCTGATCCAACGAGCGTCCGACGGGAAATATTTCCGCTTCTCCACTGGAAACAAGATCTCGTATGCCTCTGCCTCGTCGATCGAGGGTCCATGGGAGGCAATCGGATCTGTCCTTCCTGGCGGTTCGTCCATCGACCTGGAAGGAAAAGATGACCTCTGGGTAAGTTCATGTAGCTAGAGCCATTCATCCCATACCATCCTCCTCACGCCACCAAGCCCTAACATCTCTCCTCTTTCATGAATAGGCCCCCGACATCCAAAAGGTCGGCGACCTCTACCACCTCTACTACTCCGTCTCGACCTTCGGGTCTCAAAACTCCGCCATCGGTCTCGCCACCTCCTCCAGCATGGACGCAAACTCCTGGACAGACCGCGGCGCCACAGGCGTGCGCTCCGACTCGTCCAAGAACTACAACGCCATCGACGCAAACCTCTTCAACGACGGCGGCACATACTACATGAACTTCGGCTCATTCTGGGGAGACCTGTACCAGGCGCCGTTCAACGCCGCCGCCACGAAGGTGTCCTCGTCGTCGTACAACATCGCGTATGATCCGGCTGGCGATCATGCGGTGGAGGCGGCCTACCTGTACAAGAATGGGAATTACTACTACTTGTTCTTCTCGACTGGAAAGTGCTGCAGCTATGATACCGACCGGCCGGCGACAGGCGAGGAGTATAAGATTAAGGTGTGCCGGTCGAGTACGGCCACGGGCAACTTTGTGAGTTTTCCTTTGTTTGTTTAATTATTTATGGCGTGCCGGGACTTGGGCTTTGACTGACGGTACAACAGGTCGATGCCAACGGCGTTTCCTGCCGAGAGGGCGGCGGAACCGTGGTCCTGGAGAGCCATGGAAACGTGTACGGACCCGGCGGACAGTATGTTCTTCACATCTATCCTATTTGTTTTAAGAATTTCGCTAATATTTATATCCAGGGGCGTCTTCACCGACTCCGAGAACGGTCCTGTTCTCTACTACCACTACGTGGACACCACCATTGGCTACGGCGACGGCCAGAAGCTGTTTGGCTGGAACAAGATTGACTTCTCCAGTGGATGGCCGGTTGTGTAATTGATTGCTTTTATCCTTTTTAGTTCTAGTACATAGGTTTGGATAGTTAGTTAAGTTTGAATTCACACTGATAATTCTATTCATCATGGACATGTAAATATTTTCCATGGCCATGGCCACTCATGGCGAACGGGCTCAAAGTAGTCCAGCCATGACTCTCGTCAACGCTTCGTCCTCCGCATTAAACGCGTCGAATCCTTCACCCACTGTATCGGTGATTAAATCCTCGTGTTCTCCCACCCGCGGATCAAAGTACAGCCCGCCTGCCATCTCAAAGAAGCTCGTCAGGTCCTCGCAGGTAGTATCCTGCCTCGTCGAGGTATCCGGGACCGTCCTCGGAGGCGAAAAAGACCACATGGACGAGGGAACCTGCGGAGTAGATGTCCCAGACGTTGGCGGAGGGCGGTAATGCGTCTGAGAAGAGGGCGTGTCAAACGCGGTGACCATCGTCGGAGGCGCAGAGTCGACATTTCTGTGACCGATATGAGAGCCTCGTCGATTGGTGGGATTCTGAGACCCTCGCGCCGACCGGCCGGGCAGATTCAATCGGATCAGTTTCAAACTGCGGATGATCTTCTGCAGACGTCGCGAGGTACGCGCCCTCGTCGACGATTTCCGCACCATGTCGACGGCTGCGTAGAACTCCGGACGACAGAGCTGGCTGAATCTCGACGGAGAATGCAAGACAGCCAGGAAAAGGGCCGCCAGCGCCGATATAAGGAAATAGTTGAAGGGCTCCGGGCGCTGGAAGTAGATGTCGGACACGCGGGAGAAGAAATCCAACATGTGGACGGTACTTTTGGCTATCTCAACGGCGGTGGTGGCGCCGGAGACGTTCGTTTCGATGCTTTCGTTCGTGAGCAGATTCTGTCGGTAAACTAGAATCCGCAACTGGTTGGCTTGCAGGGCCAGTAACACCTGGAGCATCATCATATTATCCGCCTGCGGATCGGTATCAGACTTCCGCTGGGACGGATCGAATCGCAACTCGCGCGGAATAGACTGAATCCATTGCTGGACTTGGAAGTCGAGATATGAGCAGTAGTCCGACGTGGCGGAGCGAGGACGACTGCGCCAGCCAACGACCAGGCCCCATATCTTCGTGCTCAATCGCGCATAGTTGATCATGCAGGTGAGATAGGGTGTAGATGTACCCGGTTCAGGTAGGTTGGTATCCATGTCGGAGTCTTGAATGGCGAAGGGCAAGCCGGTGCCAAACGACCATTTGCGATCCAGCACATAAATACACCAGAAGAGCCGACTGGCCCAGGTCCATTGCAGTTCACCAGGGAAGACGCCCCCCGTTTGCTGCCAGGTCTCCTGGCAATGGAGGCCGAGCTGCATGGAGCCTCGAACAGCCATGCCGATGGTACGCCAGGAGATGACCTCGTCGTCGCGGTAGGAGTGGAAGATGGACTGATCAGCAGTCAGCGACTATCGTTCCTCACAGCAGGATAGAATCGACTCACCAGTAGCGTCAAAATCAGCAATTCCTTCATATCCACCTCCGCGATCTTCACCCGTCCTGCAAACCGATCCTCCACACTATCAGCCAGAAACGCCGCCCTCTCGCTGCGTCCATGCGACTCCGCCAACAGCGCAGTCGCCAGAATGACCTTCAGCACCTCGACATCGCGCGCAAAGAACCAATCCTGATCCATCGTCGCCGGAGAATTCGGTCCCGGCCGTCCCTCGGTGCGATAATACTCAGCCACATAAGCCCGGACACTATCCAGATCCACACACGGATACATCAAGCCGACCGTATTCTCATAAACAGTAACCAACCGCAACGCTTCCGTAAGCCCCAAACACCCCAGCGGATCCGCCGACATGGCTTCGGTATCAGACGCCGGGGCCGGGCTCGCCGCAGCCGTAGACGCAAGGTCATCGCCATCGCTATCATCCGTGGACTTCTGGCGCCCCGTGAGCCCGAACTCCGCGCTCGTCGGGCCCACAAACGAAGGACTCTGCGGCCTGTTCATAATGCGCTGCAACCCGGCAGTATTCGACGCCGAGGAGACAGTCGACCCGGAGGTCGGGATGACGCTGGGCGCCGCACTCCCCGCGACAGAGGAGGACTCGATCTGGCGCATTCGCGCGGCCATGGCGCGCATTTCCCTCTGCAGGGATTGGATCTGAGAATCGACGGAGCGGAAGCGAGTCGATAACCTGAGCCGTCAATCAGAGCCTACACGGGCGGAAATGTCCGACATCGAACTGGCAGACTTACCCATCGTCTTTCGTCTCTTCGGGCGCATAACCGACGTGGTTCAGTGCGGGCGCATTCCCCGAATAAATACACTCGACTTCATCGCGGGCGCAGCGCGTGCAGACCGAATCGCCGCTGCACTTCAGCTTTCGACGCTTGCACTCATTACTAGTCGGATTAGCTGCCAGCCCTACAACGCGACCGAGGAAGATGGAACCCACCAGGCTACTTGGGTGTATTTAGCCCGTTTCTTGCTCCGAGGCGGTTCCGGGGTATCGCCAGGGCGTTTGGGGGACAGAGGGTCCATGCAGGACAGGGTGCAAGTTCGTCGGAATGTGAGAGATCAAGTATTGAATTAGGTTCTCGCTGGGAGCGTTCCGAGCTCGCTGGGCAGGACGAGGAATGAGAGAAAGTGGAAGAGCAGAAGCTGCGTTCCGAGCATCCGAGACGGACGGATGGCGGAATTCCCCCGTGGCTTATCGCTTCATTATCTAATCGATCTGAATCTTGTCTGGAAATCATTGTGGATTGTCTACATCACGCCGGATAATTTATCAATGTACATACATATGGTCATAATTCATGTTTCGAGGCCCCTATCGTCATCTAGATATGGGCGTTCCGGCAGCAGTCGCCACCCACTACGACTGAGGATCCGTTCTTATCCGACGGCACGTCCAGCGCTGGGTTGGCCGTGAAGAAGTCCGACGGTCGGATCATCAGCTGGAAGGTCTCGACGGGCCTGGGGAGGTATTAGTATGTGGAGAATGAGGTTCATTGAGAGACTTACATCACGGGCCAGTCCTCCACTCGGGGGTTGTGCGTAATGCCAAAGCAACTCCAGACCACGACGTCAGTGTCAGCGACCAAGTCACCCCGGCGAACGGCGTCAGCAACGCCATCTACTTCTTGCTGACTCTGCAAGGTATACCGACCGCCGGCGTAAAGTTCCCCGTCACGGTACTTGGTCACCCAGACATGGTGCTGGGCAAATTGAGCGCGCTTGGCCTGGATCGAGTTGGGGTCAGCCAGCAACTTTTGCGTGGCCAAGGGGATGAATTTGTACGCGACTGGCTTGCCGCTGATCGCATTCTTGCGATGAGGATTGACGATCTTGACTGTTCGGTTCAGATCGGGGGCAGCGTCTAGCCAGCCAGCCCGCTCGATCGTCTCGTTGGTCACTTGGTAGAAGTTACCGTTGGGGTTGGTAGCCTCATTCATGGGCACCGGATGCGATTCTTCAACGACGACCGAGTTGTCAGCGCCATCCACGGCAGGGTCCATTCGAACGCAGAAGATATGCTGATGGTTCTGGGCCAGGACACCTCCGCTGACCACGTTGCCGTAATCGCTGGTCTTGCCGGCATCGATGTTGACGACGTTTAGGATGCCCGTTGCGCGCGACTCGACCGTAATGCCACCCGCCTGGTCAAACTTGTAGGCGAAAATGTACTCGTAGTTCGCGAGCGTGATGATAAACTGGACAACCAACTCCCGGTTGCGAGTCACCACTGCTCGTCCGGTGCGCCAGTTGGAGTGTTTCCAGCCAATACCGCCATCTTGTTCGTGCAAACAGATGGCATTGGGAAGCTTCTTAGCCGATCCATCCGGCTCGGTGAGCACCGCGTCAAAGTACTTGATAACACCCAGGCAGTCGCAGCCAATGGACAGGTTGTTGGCCATGTTTCCGCCGCCGCCGTCACCGAAATCGAAAGCTTGTTTGCGGTGGAATGGAGGCCGAGGGTCGGCGTAGGGAACGGTCTAGGACGATCAGCAAGCAGCACTACGACACAGACAAGACAAACTCACCATCTCACTAATCGCCAGTCGATACATAACACTACGTCCGTCATACCACACGTCATGGATAGTGGCTCCCTCGCGAGGGTTAAAAGCGACACGGAAGCGCCACTTCTGCCATTCCACCAGGGACTCGTTGGTAATTCGGAAGGACGGCCCCTCCGGCTGCACCAGATTCAACGGCTTCAGATCCTTCCGAGTACCCTCGGGCAGCAGCTCCGGTACGTAGTCTGAGCTCTTGCAGTGGCCGATAATGTCTCTCTTGAATGTTTGGTCGCGCAGGCCTTCCCCTTTACCTCCGGTGGCCGGACGATCAACGCGGATGATTTCCTGGGTGTGCGCGTCCATGACGGGGATGAGAGGGAGGGGGTATGAATAGAAATTGGCATCGGCATTCTTCTTGGTTGTGTCGCGAGCAAAGCAAAGACCCTGGAAGAATCGGCGGTTCTCATCGGTATGGTCCAGTCCACCGTATGGCCAAGGCTCGATCACAACCTCGAAGCCTTCGGGGAGGTCGAATTCAGCGAGGGCATCCTTGAACAGCGGAGAGGCGAAGCAGCGTTCGACAAGAACATCGAACTCGTTCCTGTGGAAATTAGCAAGGTCGCCCTGTAGGACAGAAACGAATTTACATACACAGTGAGAGCTGCATGGTGCTGCTTTCCAATGACCTGGTGTTTGACACGCTTGCGCGACCCCACGTCCACAGTTGACTCCTGGTACGAGGGAATCCGGTCGGTGCCAATCACATCGTACTGACACAGGGCCATACGAGGCGGACGAGGTGTCGTCGGACTCAACCGTCCTGCATGTTCCAAGGCGAGGAACTCCCGCAGCTGAGCCTTGGGAGGTTCTAACAGGTAGATCTCACGGAAATCGATGACCGTGTCAGGGTGGGAGGCAACCACAACATCGCGGGCGATGTTGGTCTCCTCCTCTGAGAGGATAGCAAGCGGGTGAGGAGCCATGGTAGAGGTGAGATGGTGGAAAGGTACAATATCCGCCAGGAATCAGGAATTGTGCCTCCGCGGAGACCTTTTGTACTCGAGGCTGGCGATAGTCCTTCCCGATGCGGAGAGTCCAAGCGACGGGAAGCGCTCGGAAGGTCGGAAAGATCCGGCCACGGAATGCATTCCGTTGGCGAATCGCGTTTATCTCCGCAGCGCATCGTCTGATCCAGACCCTACAAGATATCTAGAGAGGTGCAGGGTGAAGTATACAACTTCCGCAAGAAGCATGGCTCCAGCTGATTGCGGCCTCACATGTGGAGAACCCTCCTCACGTCGAATCCTGAGCTCGCATCCGTGGAATTATGCCAAGGGAGCACATATCCCCGCTGATTGCTAACGACTCTCACCCCCTCTTCCTGGAATCCGGTGGAATAATGCGTGTGTCCAAACATCCATGTATCGACCCCAGCGGACAGATGCGGGAGAACATCCGTCCCAAAAGCACAACTCCACGGACTCCCTTCGTACTGAGGCTTCGACGTTCCACGAGTCAAGGGAGCATGGTGAGTGACGACAAGAACAAATCTTGTCTCATTCTGCGATCTCCCCTCATTGGCTCGTTTGATTGACTCTATCTCCTTCACCAACCAAGAATGATCAGATTTGTGGTTTGCATTATGATCATCGACCGTCCAACCTTCAATTCTCTGAAAATCCTTGACTTTCGCCCGGACAATATCCTTCGACTGGTCTGGAACGTCGGACCACAGGGTACATCCTAGAACCGAGACTCGAGTTCCCGGGATATCAAATTGCCTCCGGTGAAGAACCACCAGCCGTCCGTTCAGGGAGGGGTCGCGTTCCAAGGCTTCGGCTTTTCTCAGCCCTTCTGCGAAGGTTCCGTTGTAGAATTCATGGTTTCCAAGAACCAGGAAGACCAACTCAAATCGGGCGGTCAGCTGCTGGATGAAGTCGCGATACGCGTCGTAGTCTGCGAGGCGTCCGACGTCACCGGCGAGGATGAGGAATTTGGCGCACGCAGGGATCTCGAAGGAGGAATACTGTTGGTTGATCTCGAGATGTAGATCGGAGATTATCTGAAACCCGGTCGATTCAGTAGACATGTTGGAGCAGTCGTAGATTTCGAAGCGTCGTGTTGATGCGACAGAAAGTTGAAGATGGCAAAACGCGTCGGAGAAACACCCCACGTGTTCCTGTTTATGCGGTTTGCATCTTTTGGCCATTACGACTTACATTCGACTGTACACTGCGGTTTGAATAGTTGGGGATTCGATTGATTTGATAAGATACTTTTTGGGCATAACGATGGGTCTAAAAGCTGAGTTATTTAGGTTAGAATTATATATCCTGTAGGGCAGAGGTTAATCCCACGCAGTACTAACGCCCGACACTCAAAGTGAGAAAAAGAAAATAGTGAATGAAAGAAACAATAGAAGAAAGGAAAAAAAAAAAAAAATGCAACGCTGCAATTGGACAACGTTAGACCCTGTTGTTTTCAATCGCCAGATTCTGGTATGCCAGATGATGCTGGGAAATAAACTCGGTAGAGTACTTAAGGGACTGAACTAGATCAGAGCGTATTATGGTGGGAGAAACAGTCTGCTTGATCGATTATGCAACAAAAGTGTCCAGTATAGAATACAAAGAAATCATACATAAACAACCCTAAAAACCTCTCCTCCTAACCTCCACCTTCGCCATCGGATCGCTCAACATCTCAAACCCATGATGTAAAACGCGAGGCTCATACCCGTCTGTCAACCGAATATCATAATCCAGCAGCAATCTGGCGATCAGAATTTTGATCTCACTGGCAGCCATGAACCGTCCCGGACAAAGAGACCGCCCAATACCAAACGCGACATGTTTCTGATTAGTCGCCGACAAAACGGCCGTGTTGTCCCCGGCCTCGCGCATTCGCAGGAATCGATATCCGTCGAATTTCTCCGGAGATGGATACGTCTCGGCGTCGGACCACATGTTGCATTCGACTCCGACACAGGTTCCTGCGGGCAGAGTGACCCCGTTGGGAAGGGTGACGTCGTCGGTGGTCATGCGTTCGAGATTCGCTGGTTGGTTAGCCGATAGGGACGAAATGGAGACTTGAGAAACGAACCTAACAGACCCGGCTTGAGGCGCTGGGTTTCTTTGATCACGCTATCCAACAACTTCATCTTGAACAGTCCAGCAGCAGTCCATCCGTTCTCTTGAACTGCATTCGTTATTTCTTCCCTCAAAGGCTCGATCAGGTCCTGATGCACAGCAAGATCCAAGATAGCCTGTCTTGCCAATTGCGTTGTAGTGTGGAAGGCACCCATAGCCAGGCCAAGCTGAATAGCCACCGGATCATAGGGACGGCCTTTGGCAACCTCATGCACCCATTCGATTGTATCATCGAACTTCAAGACCCGTCCCTCGGCCTCTGCAGCCTTCTTCATGGCAGCTCGCTCTTCTAGAATTGGCGTTAGGATCTGACGACCAAGTCGAACCTTGTCGCGTGCCTTTTGGCAGTCCGGTAGGATCCACTGGACGAGTGGATGAAGAGCCTTCGGCCAATCGCGTAGGGCGCGAACGCTATTGAAGAAGACCAACGTGTAGGTGGTGATCAGGGTCTGCCATTCCTGGTTACGGGCGAGCGTAGGGCCGACGAAGATGAATGACGCCACACGGGCTATAAATGTGAGGATGTCCTGGTCAAAGTCCACCAGGTGCCATTCTGGATGGTATTAGTAGAGATCCAGCTTTTGATCGGGGGTTATGTACCTGTCTCCTTGGTCCATGTTTCCGCCAAAATCTCCGCGCTGTGATCATGCATGACCTGGCATTCTAGGGAGCTTAGCAGAGCCACCTCGAAGGGAAAAGTCGAACTCACGAGTACTCTGATTTAATTTTGTTTTAATAACATCGATCAAAATATGATTCGGATCGAGAAAGGCTGTAAGCCCTTCTAGCCCCGCGACATCCCCGAAATACTCCTATCACAGCATCAGCGAGAATCCGACAAGTTGCCATTGTCGATACTCACCGCACGAACAAGTGCCAGATGATCTAGCTCCTTGCAGCCTTTGACAAAAGAGGTCCAAGACTCAGGCAGAATGACACGCGACCCTGGCGTGGTGATAATGCGGAACGGGCCATTGAACTATGACGGAATTAGCTTTCAATTCCACAAGAATCGCATCAACGGTACCTTTCGGGCTCCCTCGGCCAGCAAGGCCTGCGCGTTTGACAGGAATGCCTCGCGGGCTTTCTTCTTCGTGAAATCTCCCGGGTAGGCATTGACTGTGGGCAGACTCGGTTCCCTAAGCCAGCGGAATAAGAAATTCAGAAGGATCGCTAGAATCGCCGTGGATACGACGAAATAGCCAGGCATGGCGCTGGAGAGGATGCCAAAGAAATGATGGTTAAAGAGCTTCAATAACCTGGTTCTGATAGTGTCCTGCGCACTGAGTCCAAGTGTAGGACGGTTGTGAATGTCTGGCAAGACTAACGATTAGACTGGGAGGACAGCAGTTCTTATATTTCCTACAAGACCAGCGTCGTCCGGGAAGAAAAGACGGTTTATTGCCCTCGCGAACGAAATGGAGTTAAATAATGACACACTATTGAAGGGATACATCCCACCCGCTAAGCCCGATCGGGTGCCCGTGGAAAGCGCTTTCTGCATAAGGGTTTATGCCGCATGCATTTACGGATTATCATTGGCTATTATTATTTTAATTCTATTGTAGGCATCGTTGAACGTACTTACATTTCAACGTTGGCGAGATAAGTCCTTGAAAAACGGAGCCCATTACTCTGATGTATAGACGCCGTACATCCAATCCGGAGCTCTTACCGTCTCCCAATGACGAAAGTGAGAGAAAAATTAATGGATAAGCTCGACATCTGCATAACAAATACATCCCCATCGGGAACTCAATATGGCAATAATATCACCGACCAGGATCTTCCCTCAAATGCCAACCTAAACGGCGATCGCGATCATCTGCCGCCGCCACACCATCTGACCTCGCAACGCGGATGACGCCCGCAGATGACAGGGAAGCAGCCGTGCAGAATCCGAGACCATATATCAAGTCCTTTCCCAGAAAGATCCAAACGCAGTTAGACATTCATGAAACATCCGAATATCACCCCCACTATGAAACCAGTCTACTTTATAGCCCTGTCCTTGCCCTTGGTATCGGGATTCATGCCAGACTACAGTCGGACTACGTGTATGGCCCTCTCCGAAATTGAGAAAGAAACGAAAGAATATATGAATAACCATGATACAGCGAGAGCGACATCGCCTAAACAGGACCCCGCCGTACTCGGCATGGATCAGGGTGTTCTCGGGGTTAATGAGAATCGTACGTCCCGTTGCTCCGACCGCATAACAGAAAAGAACCTAACAGTGCGACATCAGGATGCTATACATGCTCTTCGCCCTGCTCGCGAGCCGTCTGCTGCCACGGGGACTATCCGCAGTGTTGTTCCGATGGGAGGTATTGCTATTGCTGCGCGGATTGAATTTCGATTTGGTAGAGTACATAGAACGTGCAGGTTGTTAAGAGTTACACATGGAGATAATATCCTCCGGGATGAACGGCCTCAGAATGTCCAGTAGCCTAGAAAGAGGAATCCAATCTAATGTCCCGTGAATGGTTTTGACGGCGTGTCCACTGTACAGGACTCGGACGTAGAGGTCGGATGTCGATTTTTCCCTATTATTTGTTAGTACATTCCCTAAACCCGAACCGAAAGAATAATATGAACATACCAAACCTCAATGGCCACATTCGACGCCATCCCAGGCCATCTGAGCGCCTTGATCCCCAACGCACCCAACACGGGACCGATATCCCCATCATGAAGGAATGTATGGCTGTAGGCAATTTCCGACTGGCCTTTCTGCACAGCTTCGAGTTTCTTCACGATCTCGCCGATAAACAGGCCCTCGACGAGCTGGATGTACCGCGTCGCGTCGTCGTTGTACCGCCACCAGTAATTCCACTCCCAGTCGCCCGCCCGGAAGACAGTGTTAGCTTCATCGATAGTCACGCACTCCGATCCATCCTTCTTACACGGGAGCTCGTAGCCATTACATAGCCGACCCTGGAAGTTATCCGCGAAGTGATCAAACGTCGACATCCAGCTGGACTCGTTGGCGTCGAAGGCCGCGGCAAGACGGTCGCGCAGGGACGCAGTCACGCTTAGGTGCTCGTTCCAGACCGAAGTCGACTGGATGGACGAGAGGAGGGAGTCGCGCGCCGAGCAGGGGAAGCCACGATCGAGCGTATCTATGCCCGAGGCCTGCTGGTGCAGCGGGATGGGGCCATCGTGGTCTGGCCAGAGACCGTGCAGGACACCGCCGGCCGAGCTCTGCGTGAGCGTAGATGAAGTCGAGCGCAGCCAGACGTTGGCGTCGCCGGCTTCTTGGTCCGGGGAGGACGGCAGCAAGCCGAGCTTGTCGCCGTAGACGGCGCGGAGGTCACGGCCGTGTTGGAAGCCGTCGAGAAGACCGCCGATGGTTAGCTGGGGGTACTGGCATGATCCGTTGACATACGAGGCCAGGAAGGGATTGGCCGGGTCGGAGTAGGCCTGGCCGTAGACCAAGGCAGGGGATGCCCCTTGCTCTGGGGCAGCGTAGAGATGAGGATGGATGTTGTCGCAGCTGAAAGGTTTGTTCTGCAGCAGTTAGTGAGAGCTTAATATACGACCAGCGCTCAGCTAGACTTACTTCTCCGCCGGGAAGAATGTTGTACGGCGTGCGGCGTTGATGGCGCTGCATGTACTCCACGTAGACTAAGCGCGCCGAGACGGTGTTGTTTGCGACCGGGGGAGGCAGCACGTAGGTGTCTGCGCGGGGATGAGGCATAGAGCAGTAATTGTAGACATCGTCTTTCGAAGGAGGGCTGGTCTGATCGGCAGGCGCAGCGTAGATGCCACCGTACGGCCCTAGCGAGGTGTCGGTGATGTACGTCGTGTGGTTCAGGGGCGGATAAAAGGAATCTCGAGCCAGCGACGGCGTCCCGGAGGACAGCAAGGCGAGAAAGAGAGAAAACATGTCTACTAGACCTTCGTAGATTGAGGTCATGGCCGGTTGGCAGTTTAAATGGGGAGGATGGAAGTCTGAATGATGCAGGGGAAGACGCGAGCAAAGAGACTAACGATTGATCGCCGCCACTCGATAGGGAAACTCAGCCCACGTGGGGAGCAGCCAGTCGGTGATTTGGAATGCGAACTGCCATGGCTGTTAAGCGAAGCACTTGTCTTGTATTAATTTGGAGTATATTAAGATGGATATTTGGATTTTGGTAATTTCCGACCGGGGCATTTGACTGTTGACAGCTACCAGAGATCAGCCACGTACCCGAGAAACTCCCGCCGATCATCGCAGACTCGCGCATACTCCAGCAGAAGTCGATACACGTAGATCTGCATGTCCTCTTTGCGAAGAACTTTCTCGGCCCAGCGTTTGCCGTTCAGTGCTATCCTCTCTGCTGTCGAATCATGACCCTCGTCATCGCCATATCCAAGGAGGTACTCCATAATCCCGTAAACGTCCATATAAGTGGAATCCATGGGAATGAAATGCGCCCAGGGAACCAGACGCGAATCGTGCCATTCACTGTACACCGTCGACTTAATGGGAAGGGACGTGGAGAGCAGGAGTTGGCGAAGCCGGTCACTGCTGGAGTCGCCATCGAGATCGGCTAGGAATTTGTGGTTGGACTGTTTGGCCAGCGGAACGTCTTCGGCTAGTGAGAAATAGTCATCCGTGTATGAACAATGCGGGTCTGAGATGTCGACGCCGTCGCAAGCAAGATGTGTAAACGCGACATCGGTGTGGTTGGCCAGGTATTCGGGAAGCTCGCCTTCGATGCCAGCAGCGAGGCGGTAATGCTGATAGCTTGGGAGTCTGAAGTTCAAGTAGGATCTGCCCATATCTGCCTGCTCGACCGTTGATGCGTTCATCATCGAAACGAAGCGATGTCGGTGAAATCCCGTCCAATTCTCCTCGCGATTGCGGCCACCAGTTGCTGGTCCGCGCCAGAAGACCGTTCCCTTCTTCAGATTCCAGTCCAGCTCGCTTCCTTGTCTGGAGGGGAAGACATCCTCACTTGCCCAATCGTTGGATGAGGGAAGTAGGATCTCATTGCCGACCGACAGCTTTGAGCCACCAAATAGAGGGAAGAGCTCCTGGGTAACCGAGGCGGCGTTCGGTTCAATAAACGTACCATGCAGCACCTGTAGCTCAGGCCGGGCGCATGGGTCTTTGGACCGAGGCCAGTTACTGACATAGCCGTCTTGTAGCATTTGAAGATAATTGTTGAGCTCTGAGGGAGGGTTGGAGAAGTCAATCTGGGGAAGCGAACCACTCCGGGGCTGGCTATCGGACGGGCAGCCAAGCCGCACCACCTCCCAGAAGCTGATAGGCGTTATGTCAACGATTGGAGGATAATACGGTTTTGGCTGCATTATGCTTGGGTTGGGCAGTGGCATGTACTCCGAGATGACATTCTCGGTGCTCCAAACTCGCTGACTTTCGTAATCCTTCAGCACGTAGCGTGGCTTTGTCTCCCAGGGTATGATTACCCGAGGCTCATCCATAGTATTGACTGGAATATCCATGTCCGGCAGGTAGTCTTGGAGAGTGGAGATCAGGCTGTGCCATGAATATAGTCGGTCGCTGTTTTCAACATCTGCAGTGGTGCTGGACACATGGTCCCGAACAGTGATACGCGGAGCAAAGCCACTCGCCTGACGACGCATGTCGGCCGGTTCGACTCCCCAGTATGGACTCAGATCACCATAGATCTGGTCGAAAAATTCCTCTATAACGACAGCATTGTGGGCCTGTGCGAATTCAAACCATTGGTCAAAGCCAGGCGGAGGATGACGGCCGCGACGAAGGCGATAGCGGTCGGCTGCACTGGTGACATTGTGACTCTGCCGAGAAAGAAGGTAATGGAGTCGGTTCTGGGCAGCGAACACCAGTCGATCAATTGGGTGAAAATGCTGCCCGGAGAGTCCTAGATATTCAGGACCCGACGGACGTCCATTAAGTGTATCGGGTGTAATCAGTCGGAAGATGGATAGACAGATGAATATTGACAATCCTGTAATTAGGAAAGAGTGCCATCGTGTGCTTGAAGCTGCTTCGGAATATGGCATGTTTTGCGCCCGGAGAGCCTCCAAAGATATTGAGCTTGGTTCAAGCTGATAATCTTGCTATCATCGTGTTTTGCCGCACATGCGAAGCCAGAGGCCGAAGTCTGAAAAAATTTCCCAGGTCGGACAAGGAACTGCTTTTATGAAAATAGGGGCCCTTCGATCTTCGCGGCTTCATTAAGCGGTGGACCTAACTAGGCCATACCGCAGACAGATTCGTCAGCCCTTGGTCCCAGGATCTTTAAGGCACGGGCGAGGCAACCATTCTGTGACATGTTGGAGCCTCTTGATGTGAACGAAGCTTTCAAGGGCCAATTACGGTTGGTCCATCGCATGATCGGCAAGTTATTTCTGGATCGATGGGTCAGCCGTCGGGCGAATTCACGAGTTTGACGATGATCTCTGACAGGAGGGTTTCAGCGAACGACTGGTGTTTCGCTCGCGCGATCTTGTTTCATATAGAAGGACTGTCTGGATGACGTCGAGCGAAAAGAACATCACTCCGCTGATCAGCCGGATTATTAGACGAAGATGAAGACGAGAAATTCGGCTTCAGAATCCGAAATGCCAAGACACATTATTAATCATACTGCCTGAGGCAGAGACTCACCGCTGCTCGGATTCCCCGCCCGAACGTCCACTCTTTATAAACAACATTCCATAGACTAACAATCGATGATATTGGACTAACAACTACCTTACTCTCTCCCTCTCACGATGTCTACAACAATGCTTTCTCGCTCTCTACTCCGTCCCATCCCCCTCTGCAAGAAGCCCTTGTCTCAATCCCTGGCACCATCCCTAACCCTGGTTACCAGTCGCCGTAGTATGGCCTCCAAAGCAAAGAAGGAGTTTCTCTGCATTCTTCCCGACAAGCCCAACTCTTTGGAGCGTCGATTGCAAGTCCGACCGTGAGTATTGACGGCACCATGCTATCCAGAACTCTGTAACACGTCATAGTACACATTACGAGGATGTCAAGGGGCTGGTTTCATCGGGGGCACTGGTAGCTGGTGGTATGCTCTCTTTTCAACCACATTTGGTTTGGCGACGTATATCTAACTGTATTTAGGAGCGATGCTTGAGTCCCATGCCGGGGAGGGTGAAACGCCGGCATTCAAGGGTAGCATGATTGTGTACACCGCCGCCAATGCCGAGGAAGTGAAGGAGCTTATCAAGAGTGACATCTATGCCAGAAGTGGGGTCTGGGATGTTGAAAAGGCACAGATCATTCCGGTATGCTACCAGATTGCAGTACCTGGTTTCAACTTTTATCAGATACACTGACCACAAGAACAGTATGTCTCGGCTGTCCGTGAGCCACTGCCTTAAGGTCTTTTATGGCAGACTGTGATGGGGGATGTGCCTGTTTTCAGTGGTTTCCTCACTATAAATATTATAGCCAGTCAAACAAGCAAACCATTCACAGGATACCATTTTATTATTATAGAGTAACAACAGTCCATATATTACTTGCAGAGCTCCCGTTGACAAAGGAATTAAAAAGAGCGAATTTTAGATATATATTGCTGAGGCTTGTTCCTATATTTATCAACCTATGTGACAATGTGGATTTGGATAATCATCAAGAGACTACTACCAACGACCCAATTTCACCATAATAAACCAGCACAATCACAGATTAGGCGACATGGTCACAGCAATGAAATCAACCTGAATATCCACCCCCGCCGGCAAACTCGACACCTCCACCATCGATCGCGCAGGCTTATGCGGAAATGCAGGGTCGTAGACTGCCGCAAACTCAGGCATGACTTTCGCGTCTTTGACATATACCTTCGAGGCATCAATATATCTCTGATTCAGATCAAGGGAGCCGCCGTCCACCTACCACGACTTTGACCACGTATTCGAGCGATGACCCGGCTTCTAACAAGATGGCTTCGGTATTCTTGATAATTGCCTGAGCCTGCTCGGTCATTGATCCCTTGATCAGGTTTCCCTCAGCGTCGGCTGGGATTTGACCAGAGAGCCAGACATGACCGGGGGATTTGATGGCTTGAGACTGGGTAAATCTTAGCAACATAAGCGTAGGAAGATAGGTCAACGAGACTTGCATAATGGGCAAAGGCTGTTTGAAATCCGTTCAGTCAGCATAGTCCAAATCAACCAAAGCATTGACGGCTAAAGTGAAATCCACGAACGCTTGTAAGCCTTATCTGTGTGCACCGATGCCACACTCGTCTTGGATCGTGCAGGTGGCGAAGACATAACGCGAACTGGAGATGGAAATGCACCCCGGCGAAAGGATTGAAGATGAAGCCGGCTACCAGCAATGACACGAGCACCACGTTGAAACATTTTGATCAAGAAAACTGCAGCATTGCTGACATGCGACCGGCGACCAGCGCAATCTATAGTCCAACGGCATCTCCATCTCGGGTTGTGGGACCGAGATTCGGGTGGCGATCCCGAAGGCACGGAAATTTCCTCTCACATAAAAGACGCCTCAATGTCCAGCTACAAGTCCAGAATACCACAAATCAATTCCCTGCAATGTCTCGCTCACTCAGCCCCGTCTTTAAATTAGCCAGCCTATCCCGGCAGTAAGTCCCCTGGTCTCTTCCATGAAGCATTGCTAACATGAATGCGCAGACAAATCTCATCGCCATCATCCCTAGCTGCACTGCGCAGGGCACCAACAAGTCTAAGAATGAGTTCCACCGCAGCAACAGCAGCAGCACCCCAAGCACAATCCAACTACAAGATTGTCGAGAAGGTGGAAAACTTCGAAAAAACGCAAGCCAGCCGGCCAGACTTCAACCACTCGGCGCCCATCGAGGTGACCAAATCGCCCGATCCAAAGTGGCAATATGGCGACGGCGTGAACGACCAGAACGCAAGTCTCAACAAAACCCATCGCCAGATCGATCCCTACGCGCCAGACCGCGCGACGGTGCATAACTACCGCCTGCTCATCTCAGGCGTTGCACCTCGCCCGGTGGGGTTCCTGAGCACCGTGTCCGGCGACGGCAAGACCAAGAACCTCTCCCCCTTCAGCTACTTCCAAGTAATAGACCACGACCCGCCGATGTTCATTGTCGGGTTCTCGTCGCGCCCGGGCCGCGTCAAGGACACGTACCGCAATCTGAAAGAGACAGGCGAGTGCGTGATCAACACGGTATCAGAGAAGATGATCGAGGCCGTGAACGCGTCGTCGATCGATGCGCCGTACGGGGTGTCGGAATGGGACGTGTCGGGACTTCACGAAGCGCCCTCGTCGACCGTCAAGGCGTCGCGGGTCCAGGAGTCCGTGTTCTCAGTCGAGGGCAAGGTGGTGGATATCAAGGAGTTCGAAGACCACGTGCAGCCCGGGATGAGCATTGCCTCGTTGGTGCTGATCAAGGCGACGAGGTTCTGGGTGCAGGAAGACGCGGTCAACGAGGAGGGCAGTCATATTGATCTGGAGAAGCTGCGTCCGCTGGGCCAGTTGGGCGGGATGTCGTATGGCCGGGTCTCATCGACGTTTGAGCTGCCGCGGAAGCGGTGGCAGGATGATCAGCCGAATAGCGAGCTGTTGACGAGGTTGGAGGCATCTAAGCCTGAGTAGATCGATATCTGATACTTCCTAGAGCATGCACGGATGGGCGAGAATAGGCGTTGGTTGTTAGCGTTGTGATTATGATGTCTCTTTAGCTAGAATCTTTTGGGTTTTTCGTTAGAGGAAGATGATCTACAGGAATAAATAGCAAAATTAAACATAGCCACTACCAAAGGAGTTCTTAGGCCAGGAATTTAGAACATACTCCGTACCACTCTATACAGAATAAGCACTCTATCAGATTGGGAGGTGGGGGCGGGAGGGCCGCATCTGATGCCCCGCATGCGATCTGAGACAGCTATTTGGCTCCGACAATTGTAGATAAGCAAAACTGACTGCTGAGAAACTACACTTCTGACGTAGGAAGAGAAGAGAAACCAAACTAGACATTTAGCGTTAGGAGCTTGGTCTCCAATCCCGTCCACTCCGCGCCGTTCAGTGCTTTTTGGATATATAAACAGTGCGGTGTGTTGAACCATCAATAGACTGCACGAAAATGAAGATCATATGCTCATGGATGTAGAGGACAATCGTGGAAACCGGTTCCATGCCCAAGCCATGACGCCATGGCAACTCCACCTCGGCACCCAATGCTATGACCCCGGACAGAACGAGAGCGTGTGATCGTCCATCGGTGAGGCCCAGACCGCTTGTCTGTAAATGCCTCACTAGAATGCAGTCATAGGTTCTCTTACCAGAGCATAAATTAACATAAAATAGCGACAGCAGAGGGATGATCCCAAAAGGGCAGTTTTCTCTATCGGACGAAACCCAGAAATGTCTGTAAAAAGAAACGAAAAGAAAGATCGCCGGCCAGAAAAAATCAGCAAAGGTCTGGACCGGCAGAACCCACGTCATGCCGAGAAATCGGCCGTCGTAACCGCGGATTTTCCTTCGATTTCAATTGGGATCAGCATCGCCGTGGCCTCAGGCAGCCGCCTGTACGACATGCCATGGCAGGCGGCAACAATGACAACCGCGATCTGAGCCCTCGAAGGCAGCTTGAAAAACACTGTGGTCGAGTCCATCTGCCCTCAGCCGGACTGCAGCGCATTTGTTGGCTGTTTGTCGCCGGAATGACGAATGCGCCGTGGACGAGCCAATGGGATGCCTCAGGAAGCGACGGCAATTGGCTGCCGGCGGAGGTGGACCGAGTGGGACAGCAGGCGATGATGGCCAATTGTGTCTGCAGCATGCATGGCGATCCTTCGTGCGGCCGGGATTAACGAGGATTTATTGTCCAGACAAGAAGGTTTTCATTCTGGCTGCATCAGATGAAAGGATGAAAGTCTTGTTGGTTGCAACCAGGAAGAACGGGACTGGAGCAATCAAGATACTTTCTAGGTCAGGTCTATCCCTGAACCCTTCCCCTCAACGGGGTGGACCAACCGGAGAAGATCGAAAGGAACGGCACAGAATCTTCAAGTCATGAACGGTGCCATGGTTCATGTGGCCCAGGACCCAGACCAAGGCGCTAATGGCCCTGTTTAGCCGTCGATGGCGTGGATGGCAGCATCCTGGCGGTAGTTTCCCCTCTGCAATCCCCACGCAACTTAGACTTTTATCGTTGTTATCTCTATCCCCCGATCCTTGTTTCTTTCCTCTCCTGCTTCCAGTACACCTTCTTTGCTCCTAGTCAGGGCATGGTATCTGTTCTGTTGACATACACTGGATTAAAGTGCATAGCAAGTGGCGATGTGGTGAACGTCACCAGGACTAGGAATTCTATTGCCTCCACAGCCACTTCTGGCTCGTTCTTTTGCTTATAACTTTTAATATTGTTCCATCACAACTTCACATCTTTGCGAAAATGGGCGCCATAATGTCGCACAAGACAACAAACGTCCTATATGTTGTTCTGCTCCTTGTTATTGCCGCCTCTGTTCTAGACCTCCAACTAGGGACTCAGTCTCTCGACTCGACCTCACTATATCACCGGCGCCCCAACAAGCACGACTACGAACCCGACTACTGGACATGGGAGACAACCACCCGCTTCAAACAGCCTGATACCCGCTCAAGATTTACCATCGACGACGACGCCATCTGCGACTCCTTCCCCACCCACCTCCTCTCGCGCGTCCAGGTCGTCTTGAAAATCGGCTCCTCCGAAGCCAAAGACCGCCTCAACGCGCAGCTGGCCACCGTCACCCGGTGCATCTCTAATCTCCTCATCGTGTCGGACCGCGAGTCCGAGCTGAACGGTCACCAGGTATACGACATTCTCGGGTCCCTACCGGCGTCATTCCGCAACAACACGCCAGACTTCGACGCATACGATGCCCTTCAACAAGGGAAGACGGTGGATCCCGCGCAAGGGTGGCGACTCGATCGATTCAAGTTTCTGCCCATGGTCGAGGCCGCGTACGAAACAAACCCGACAGCCGAGTGGTTCGTCTTCCTCGAATCCGACACCTACTATGTATGGGACAACCTGTTCCGTCTCTTGGATCAATTCAACCCGTCGGTTCCGTTGTATTTCGGATCTCCAACTCCAGGACGAGGAGCCGGAGAGGAGAGGACATTTTTCGCATACGGAGGAGCAGGATTCGTGCTTTCAAAAGGCGCGGTGGAGCGACTAGTCGCGCGCGGGACCGGTTCTCACGGAGAATACATCGAGCCGTCATTGAGCGTACGATACGAGGATGTCGTCAAGGGCGATTGCTGTGGGGATTCGGTGCTCGGATGGGCGCTGTATGACCACGGTGTGAAACTCTCGGGGATGTGGCCGATGTTCAATCCGCATCCGCTGCATGGGATCCCGTTCGACAATGCATACTGGTGTCAGCCCGTCATCAGCATGCACAAGTCGTTTCTGAACGACATGGAAGACTTGGTGAAATGGGAGAATAGACGGGATCGATCGGTAGGCCGGACTTCCATTCTTGAACCTTATGTATTGTCCGAGATGCTAATTTTATGTAGACACCACTCCTCTATTCCGACCTCTTCTCATACCTCAAACTCGGTGTTCTTACACAAAAGTCCGAGTGGGACAACGGCGACTGGGGCGGGTTCTTGGAGCCTCCGGACTCGCCCGCGCATAGATCATTTGACGACTGTCGCGAGGCATGCCACGAGCATGGCGAATGCCTCTCCTACACATACGACTTTGCAGGACACTGCGTGTTCGTGCGAACCATGCGCCTTGGCTCTAGAAAGCCTCACACGCCGGAGGTCAAACTATCGGCTGGCTGGGACGTGCAGAAAATCAAGACCTGGCGGGCAAACCACCAGTGCGAGAAACCGCTGTGGATGAAGCCGAGCATTACGCGCATTTTCTAGATAGTTTACTGCGACTTATAATTGGTTTTGCGGGCGTTTGGGATTTGGATATCACTCATACGGGACTAATGACGGTTGCTGTACATACACATGCTATGATATCAACGATAGATCGCGATTTCTAGAGACATAATAAGACCGATGTGCTTTTATCTAGCGGGGCTCATGTGAAGTTCTAGAAAGGAGGGTAAAGTTCAGTCAGAGCTCGGTCCGATTCTACTATGAACTCGTGTCGGCTTCTTTTAGCACAGTCATGGAGCACAAGTTTTGGACTGCCTTCAAACATCGACTGCCAAAAGCTTGACCTGGCAGTCTGCCGGAGTATAGTGATACCGGACGGTCTCTATCTCCATGAACTTCACACGCAGGGCGGCGGTCTTTATTAGTATTATTTTCAATGAAGCCCGGTTTGAAATTGGGCATGTTCCAAATGGTTGAAATTGTGGGTCTCTTGAATTGCAGAGATCTATTGATGTTTACGTACTGGTTAGTTCTGCCTATAGATGTTTACGACGAATTTCTTTAGTGACTCAACCTCGTTATTTTATTTCCGCTCGAGATGTAAGAACCTTTTGCTTGGTTCCTGGTTTTAAGTCCTCGGAACCGGAACCTTATACATCCCTTGCATAGTATGCAGAATGGGAAATTGGATATTAAAGGATGTGCGCAATGGATTCAGTGCCACACCAAGGCGACGGTAATACAAATATGGATAGGAAATAACCACTGCTTCTAGATGAGCATCCGTACTTCAATTTCCCCCACTGCATTCTCGAACCATGAAGACAAGCAGCGGAGAAGACCTTGCCAAAGACACTGTCGTAACAGCAAGCGAACTAAATCCCGAAACCCCCAAACCGCATACGATTTTGTCTGAAAGGGCGAAAATATGCACGATACTAGTTGGGGCTACGATGGCCTTTTTAGCGCCTGTGTCGGCTGATATTTACTATCCTGCTCTTGGCCAGTTGTCGCATGATCTCCATGTTTCGACAAGCACGATCAATTTCACCATTCACCTCTTATCGAGTAAGCATCACCACGGTCCTCGGCAAAGACGACACTAAGCCTGTCGGTTAGCTAGTCCAAGGCATCATCCCGCTCTTCACTGCCACCTTTTCCGATCAATATGGTCGTCGACCAATTGCCCTAGCGGGTCTGATAATCTACGTCGGCATTAACATCGGCCTAGCCCTACAAAAGAGCTTTCCAGCCCTACTCGTCCTCCGATGCTTCCAGAGCTTCGGCGGCAGTGGAGTTTCCATCGTCGCCATGGGGCTGACCACCGATGTCGTTACCAGAGCAGAGCGAGGGAAATACCTGGTTTATTCCAGCATGGGATTTACCTTAGGCCCGGCTCTGGGACCTCTCCTGGGGGGTCTCTTCACTCAGTTCCTCGGATGGCGCAGTATCTTCTGGTTTCTGGCCATATTCGCCAGTCTGACCATCGCTCTACTCGTCGGTTTCCTCCCAGAGACATGTCGCTGTCTAGTAGGTAACGGCAGCGTGCCCGCGCAGCCATGGAACAGATCCCTACTACAGATCGCCAACCGGGATTCCCAGCCCTTGCCAGACACCGACACCGTAGTCGGTTTGAAATCGCGCCCAGGCCCATTAAGCACGCTCAAGCTCGCACTAGAAAAAGAAGCCGGCAGCTTGATTCTCTTCACCGCAGTCCTCGACTGCGGATACTCCGCCATCCTAAGCAGTCTACCATCCCTACTCGAGACCCGATACGGATACAACTCGCTCCAAATCGGCCTCTGCTACTTCCCCTACGGCCTCGGCGCGCTCTCCTGCCGCTGGACCGTAGGCAAACTAGCCGACTGGAACTTTCGAGGCCACGGGCGCCTCGCAGGTCAACAAATCGCAGGGAACATCCAGCCCCGGCTGCAGGAGATCCCGGTCGAGAAGGCGCGGTTACAGATTGCGCTGCCACTAGTGTATGCCAGCTGCGCGATGATCGTCATCTACAGCTGGGTGATGAATTACAATGTTCACGTTGCCGGGCCACTAGTCATGTTATTCTTCATCGCGCTGTCGGTGTCAGGGGCGATCACGACGCTGAACGCGTTGAATGTCGACTGTCATGCCGACAGGGCGGCGTCGACCATGGCGGCGATCAATGTCTTTCGGTCCACGTTCAGTGCGGGTGCCATTGCGGCTGTCGTGCCGCTGATTGAGAGGATCGGGCTGGGCTGGACGGGGACTTTGGTAGCGGCGATATGGTTGGTGTGTAGTTTTCTTCTGTGGGTGGTTTATGTGTATGGGTTTTTGTGGAGGGTAGGGGATGATGAAGAGGTAAAGGCTTGAATGTGGGGTGGCATGCCTTGGAGGGCGTTTTCGAAGGCACTTACTGGATCTATTTCGAGCAGCTAGAGAGTAATTCGATTCCTCGATCTGATGTGTCCGTCAGTCCGGGATAAGGCAAAAAGGCACCCATCGAGGCAGCTGACCAGGAGAACCCTACTTCCGGACATCAGAACGAGCTTTTCGAATCCTCAAGCACAGCCAACAGTTCAATTCAACCCTTGATCGTGAAGAACCCTTCTCCAGAGATCCAGTGAGACACTCCACCCGATCCGCGGAATCCGAAAAAGGCCGACAACAAGCCTGAAACCGCGGACCTCAACCAACCAGCGCCTCTCGTGGACGCAGCTTAACTCTAAATTTTAAATCGGATCCCACGACGACGTGACGAAAGGACAAAAGAAAAAAAAGGGGCAAGCGACCCACCGCCAGGGACCAGCGACTAAACCCGGAGAAGAATAGGGGAGGCGGTGACGTACTCGAATGGCGCGCAGTTCCGATGAAACAAGCCTCCAATCAACCATTCATCTCGGGTTGACGTGTCGTGTTGCCGATCCGTTGCCCGTGGCTATTCTTTTGGCTCTGTTATAAAATTGAAAACGCCCGCGCGTCTTATCTCGATTCGATTTCTTGTTTTCTTCCACCCTCAATCGCCTCCATCCCCGCCTTTGCAGCCCCCAAGTCGCGCCAACATGAGCTCGTCCAAGGATGACCGCAAACTCGAGAGCGGAACGGCTGCTGCTCCGCCCGCTGGCACCGGCCTGCACCCCGCGTTCTACATTGTGTGCGTACATTGAATCCATTGCAGGAGTTGGTATGCTGATCGGGAATCCAGGCTGTGGATCGGGTTGAGTTCGAGTGTCATTCTCTTCAACAAGTGGGTTCTGGCGTCCGCCAAATTCGGTGAGTTTCAATTGATCGATCGCGTTTGTTTGGACTCCGGTCGCTAACCTGGTCGCTTTCTCTGCAGATTTCCGTGAGTTTTCCTCGATATCATCTATTCTCTCGCGATCGATAATTAATACCCTCCAGCGCTGTTCCTTACATCATGGCACATGACGTTTGCGACCGCCATGACCCAGATCCTGGCCCATTTCACCGACAAGCTGGATTCGCGACACAAGGTCCCCATGACCCCGGGGACTTATACGTGAGTTGGGACAATTGAATGGAATCGCATCGGAGGCTGACTGTGGAAAACAGCAAGGCGATCGTGCCCATTGGAATCATGTTCAGTTTGAGTCTGATCTGCGGTAACCTGGCGTATCTCTACCTGAGTGTGTCTTTCATCCAGATGCTCAAGGTGAGTTGTCTCCCATCTCAACAGGAAAGGCCTCTCTAACTCTGCCAGGCCACCAATGCCGTTGCTACTCTCCTTGCGACCTGGGCGTTCGGCATTGCCCCGGCCAACATGCGCACTCTCGGCAACGTCATGCTGATCGTCGTGGGTGTGGTCATCGCGTCTTTCGGCGAGATCAAGTTCGACATGGTCGGCTTCCTGAGTACGTCACCCATTGAACAGTATTACATTGAATGCGACTAACGCGAGTAGTCCAAATCGGCGGTATCATCTTCGAGGCCCTGCGTCTGGTCATGGTGCAGCGTCTTCTCAGCTCGTCTGAATTCAAAATGGACCCTCTGGTGTCGCTGTACTACTTTGCGCCCGCCTGCGCCGTCACCAACGGCGTCGTCACCTTCTTCTATGAGCTGCCTCGTCTCACGATGGGCGATATCAACAACCTCGGAATCTCGACCCTCGTCGCTAATGCCCTGGTCGCGTTCCTGCTGAACGTCTCTGTTGTTCTTCTGGTAAACCCTACTCAACTCCATCTCCTACCCTCCACCAAACATAACTAACCCCTCTAGATCGGCAAAACCTCCGCCGTCGTCCTCACCATGGCCGGTATCCTCAAGGACATCCTCCTCGTCGTCGCCTCCATGGTCATCTTCCTGGACCCCGTCACCCTGCAGCAGTTCTTCGGCTACTCGATTGCCCTCGGTGGCCTGGTTTACTACAAGCTGGGCGCCGACAAGATGCGCACCCTGACCACGGATGTGCGGCTGCAGGTGGGCGAATACCGCCGCGACCACCCCGCCCGCGTCAAGGGCATTGTTCTGGGCGGCGTGGTGGCTGTGGTCTTGTTCGTGCTGTATGCGAGTAAGCTGCAGACGGCTACGGCGGTTGTTGCGTCTGGGGTGGCCTCGACGTAAGTTTTTCTCAATTGAGATTGGGGATTCAATTTGAATGCTGTATGATGGGTATGATGGTCTCTGAATATAGAGGGTTTGATGGGCTAGATGGTATGAATGGATGGTGGATGTGTATTTCACGCTTTCGTGTATATGTCGCGTCGATGTATCATATATCTGGATGTGTCAGTTAGGGCAGGTGGAGTTTGGGCAGGTTTGCTTATAGATCAAAAATTTGTTTGATGTTCATTGTGCAGGGTACTTCTTTCGTCGGGGTTTTCAATAAGGTTGCACGGGTAGGCGCAAAAGGTCTTCTACTGACAAAGAATGGAAGTCTATGGTCTCCCTCGCCGGTTCATCGTCAAAGGAACTTTCTCTAGCGTATTCCGCTATACCGGTACCATCCATTCAATGTCAATCCCTGCGGTATATAAAGTTAATAGACGCCCAGCTAGCCCCAAGCAACTTGAACCCGCAAGACCTACTCCGGAGTATTCCGCACAATCAAACGCTTTTTACATTCTAACCCCATCAGCACCGCACCAAAAACCCAGCATGGGCAACCCAATTCCCACCGAAGATAAAGCCCGCCGGGATCGCCTCGAGGCCAAAGGCCTAGAGTTTCGAGACCGCGGCGAGCCGTATGAAATCAAGTTCATGTTCGACATTCCCACCCGAATCGCCCACACCGGCTTCAGCGAGACTTGCATGTTGATGCTTAGCAGAATCACCCGCGCTCATCGCCGTGGCCGCATATTGAATCCGTCAACGGCGCCGGATGATCGAACGGTGCGTGTAGTCCTGCTGTATCATCTGTGGGACCTTGATTCGTTGATCGGCAAGGACGAACACACAGCTGATATGGTCTTCCAGAGAATCATACGTATTCTCACGGTGAGAGAGTTCTCTGAAAGGATCTGGGTGGCTGGTGCTCATAGATGTTTGGAGCCTGTGGCGCTCCAGGCTGTGACTGTTCATCTAGTTCAATCAGTATGACTTATGGCTAGAGTTGATGTAGGTCCATGATAGCTTAATTGAACTTGATACTCTTGACAACCGAAATAAAGTATTTGATTCATCGGACATATTTAGTTCTATCAATAAACAGCATCTAATAAATTTGGAAGCCCTATATGGTCTGTTCTACCCCATGTGGTTGGAGACGAATCGTAGGATACCAGTAAGCAATTTAACATGTAGGTTCATGGGCTATGGCTTCTCGACAGGCACAAGATACCCTAGACCCATGTTTCATAATGCATCTGAAGTGAGCCCTTTGATTGGACGTTCTCTCAACCTGGCACCGATCGGATTCAGTGAATATGAAGTCTAGCGGCCGCAAGAGGGACTTCCCACCTAAGACCTAGAAGCACCCGCTCCTCGATTTGATCACTATACCTCTTCCTAATCGGAGAGTTCCTCATTCGACTCGATATGTGTGTGTATAAAAGTAATCACGATCAATCGACGATACACTTGCTCCCCACTCTCCAGTCGTCTGTCTCTGTCTACCTCATCCTCTATCCCATATAAACCCATACAATCCCCCCCAAAGCAAAGCCACAATGGAAACTCCAGGGGACCTCGAATACGCGAACTTCAAGCCCACGCCCACAGACCTAGAACGCCGAGCGATTCTAGAAAGCCACGGCTTCGAATTCGAACCCGCACAACCCTTCATCGCAAGCCTATACGGCTACATACACGACGCCGTCCTCTCAGCAGGAATCGAAGAGACCTGCAAAGAACTAAGCCAGCAAGTATTCCTCGCCTCACTGAGCCGCGACGCTATGATTCCGCCCCCGGTCCAGGATACCCACATGTACCACCGGGTCAAGGTCTCGTTTAACATTGCAACGGCGACGCTGGGGCAGAAGGCGCAGGAAGCAGACGTGAGAGTCGTGTTCACAGCGATGATGTGGCACTTAGGAACCCCGAATGATTTGGTGGCTGTGCGCGACACTTACGAGAAACGGGGCAAGTGTCGAGGGCAGAAGGTCGTGGTGCTGAAGCTTAAGGTCATTCATGATGGTACGAAAGCTCGGGCTTCTTGCTGGGTTGCTCTGGACTGCGGACAGGACGTCGACTTTGAGGCGGCGGGCGTGTTTGACCCTAAGCCTGATTATTCGAGTGATGAGTATGAGGCTAATTCTGAGGGGTGGTTGATTGTTCATGACGAGCCTGTCTAGTGTCGCTGGGTCTTGGTTTGGTATGTTTTCCTTTTCTACTTTACGGTTGGTTTCTTTTTGCTTTGTAGTTTCTAGTGATAAATGATTTTATAGCTGGGATGCTGTGGTCTCCAACGGCGATATCTAACGTTCTGGTTTGTATGTATTTTGGGAGTTGGCAGTTTTTAACAAAACAATTTGCACACGAGCTAAAACCACAAATTAGGAGATAGATGCATTTGCATTTGATTACCGATGATTACAGTACTGATTCTTGAAGTGTATGTAGTGTGTTTTCGTTGCTTATTCCTGCCGTCAATTTCCAGTGAACTAATTGTGCTTTTAATAAGGATTTAACGGGTTTGATATCGTATGACGTAGAATCCGTTCAATAAGAAACCATGCGCGTTAGACAGTGGACGATAATTCCAGCTCTTGGTCTGTCTTATGTGTATCTTGAATCTTTTCTTACCACTTACTTGCTAAAGGGTGGGCAAGAATTCCACCAAAGTCGTACAGATTTATCTAATGTTCGATGACAACTACGGTTTTGTTTCAGGTCTTTATTCGGTAAATAGTTCAATTCTCGAAAAGCTAAAAAAGTACTCTACAGATTCTAGAATCAAGTGGGTACTCGGAGTAGGTGAGCCCCGTGTAGGGAAAGACCGCGATGTAGGGAATCGCCGTGCAGACCCACCGCCCCTTGACCGGATAGCAGCAGCTCCGTGTGGGTTGTCTTCAGGCCTGGCGCCATGTAGGGATTCCCCGTGCCGAACATAGCGATTGTCGGTAGGGATTCGCCATGTAGGGAATTCCCATGTAGGGATTTCCCACGCATAAATGGCAGCTGCGCTCCACTCCACTTGACTTGGGAAACCAGCCAACTTCTCTCCATTCGTCCAATTTACTTTCTTTCCATCGACACCATGGATGTCTTCCTTGACGTTCTGGACACCTTCGTCTTCGATCGGATGTATGCGGCGATCTTGCCGGCGTCCAGTTTAGAGTCGGGAGCTCCGGCGGGTTCAGCGCTCTACAATCAGCATGTCAATTTGTACTACCCTCTTGAGCCATCGCAATGGGTCGATGCGAGTTCCTGGAAACGGGATAATATGGCTAGACAGGCTGTCTCGCTGTTTCTCATTACATGGTGAGTTCATTGTCATATTGTCCCGGTCATGCCGATTCAAGGCATAGAACTAAATCGCATCCAGGATCTTCGGTATAGCCATGTACCTCATCGGCAGCACCGTCATCTACCATACCCTGTTCGACAAGAACATGCTGCGCCATCCGCGCTGCCTGCCCAACCAAATCCGACAAGAGATCAGCCAAGCCCTAACGACCATGCCTACCATGGCCATTCTCACCGTGCCGTTCTTCCTCGCCGAGATCCGCGGATACTCGAAACTCTACGACTTCAGCGACGGGGCCCCCTTCCCGGGCTACCAGTGGCTGCAGTATCCGCTCTTCATCTGCTTCACCGACTGCGGCATCTACTGGATCCATCGCGGAGAGCACCACCCGTCGGTTTACAGCTGGCTGCACAAACCGCACCATAAATGGATCATGCCGACGCCGTTTGCCAGCTATGCGTTCCACCCGCTCGACGGATGGGGCCAGAGTCTCCCGTACCATATTTTCCCGTTCATCTTCCCGCTCCAGAAGTGTGCTTATATCGGGCTGTTCGTGTTTGTGACAATGTGGACGTTGTTGATTCGTGAGTTTTCCCTGTGCTTTCTCCGCTGCATTATGTTGAGTGATTGTGCTAATCATGTCCAGATGACGCCGAGTATTTGTCAAACTCAAAGGTCGTGAACGGCGCAGCATGCCATACCATGCACCATCTGTACTTCAACTATAACTATGGTCAGTACACGACGTTCTGGGATCGGTTTACGGGCACGTACCGGGAGCCGAAGCGTGATGGGTTCGGGGAGACTCAATATTGTGCGAAAAACGCTCTTTCGAAGAGTAACTGAACTTGCAGGGGATGTCTGATGAAAGGATGCGCTTGTGTAAATAGTATGTATAAATTAATGTATAATTATCATGTTAACAGTGTAACGGTTTCGTAGAGTTCAAACCATGATGATCCCTGGTTGGCGGAGTGCCGAGGCAAGTGTTCTCTGGGAAGTCTTGTTCATCCTCAGTCATGTGCATAAAAGCCAAGTAATATGCTCTAATAAATGACTTCTCTGGTGAGAGCTCGGCCACAAGATATTAGGGTTAGTTTGAATCTCTTTTCAATCGATCCCGATAATGCAGGCTCTGCGTATTGGAACTTTTATGCGCTCAAGGAATACAAGGATGGCTATCCTCCCCAGTCGCAAATTATGAGGTTGCATTTTCATCAATGGGGATCTGCGATGTCTGTTGTCTGGAACGAATGTCCTAAAACACCAGCATGTTCCACTCATCCACCCGCTGGACCACACCGCTCAATGAATTCATGCAGGTCTTCCAGATCATCCGTTGCCGCGCTATCCAAGTACCGAATCGATGTCTGCTGTTTGTTGGACACGTTCAATGTGGCGGTCAGTAGACACCAGAGCTCTTCAGCATGCTGAGGATAGCCCAGCAGCAAATACCGCTCCTTGCCCAACCGAGCTATCGTAGAATCCCAAATCCCTTTCCAGTTTCGAGCGGCGTTCTCTATGCTTTTGGATGGGAGATATCCAAGAAAGCCAGCTCGGGCTTGGAATGCAAGCGTGTTCATGGCTGGTTGAAGTTAGTCGGTTGGGAGAAAAAGGTATAATTCTACGCAAAAGAAAAATAAAAAAAAAGAAGAAGAATGAAAGAAAGAAAGAAACAGAAAGGGGGTCATGACATACCATATATCAGTATCAATAGGTGCTCCACTGATGGCGAGCGATGCCACGTTATCGGATCACCGGGGTTGGAGTGACTGAGCAATTGACCTAGAGCTTCACGGAGCGGTGGTATTGGCGGTGCATTGGCATGAGACGCAACGCTCGTATTGAAGGCAGACGCCCCGTCCGCCTCCCATAATTCAGTAGGCCACGGGAAGTCGCAGTTCATCTCGAAACTGGACAAGGAGGGATGGTTCTTGAAACAGACAGTAAGGAATCCATCTGCGAGGAAGACCCAGGAGGCGACTCTTCATGATTGTTAATCGGAGAATATGAAAAGTATAAGCGGCAGAACATACCGTATACAAGCCTCCTCTGCTACCATATCCCTCCACGTAGAGTCGTCACAGACACTGGGAGTCATGCTTCGCCTGAGCTGGAAGAATCCTAGCGATCGCAGTACAGACACTAGGCATGGATGACGAATGATCCGAATACGTCGCCTCGTGTCCGTTTGGTCTTGTCCGAACTGCAGCATTTCCATGATTAAAGCGCTTTGAATCAACTGCACGGTGGGCAGCAGCTGCGTCGGATTCTTCAGGGAGACGGGTGGCAGAGTGGAAAGGCTGGTTATTTGTCGGAAGATAAGCTCCTCGGCGACATCCAGGAGCCGCGGTGGTAAAGTTGTTCCACCAATCGGTGAAGTGTATGTTGCGCCAGTCAGGCAGATAGAGAGTAGGAGAAAGGTAGAAACGTTGCCTGGATCAAACGTGGGGAAATGAACTACTGGGAGATGCCAGTGCAGTGAATGAAAGAAAACCGAGATGAAGGCAAACAGATTTGTGGCTGTGAAAAGGGAGGTTAGTTCCAGCATATCAAGCGGTCTATGCTGCCCTCCGTCGATGGGACTCATTGACTTGGAAATTTCAACCAGCTCTCTGAGAATATCATTGAGCTGTTTCAACAGCTTCGGCGAGAAGGAGTCGTCAGACCAGAGTCCAACAGGTAAGAAATCACTAGGAAACGGAATATCTCCTATGGAATTCGGAGGAGGGTTGACAGGTATCAACTCGCTTTCGAGGTGGGTGTAGAGCCCTTCCAGGTTTCTGCGAATAGAGTACTCTGCAGTCTTGCCGATGGCAAGCCTATCCATTCCCGCAGAAGGATCCGTGAAGTACCTAAGAAACGAGAATGGATCATCCCGTCTGGACGAGTAGGAAATGGAACTAGTTAACGATAGCGAGGACGGCGCAGGCGATGCAGTCATTGTTCTCAGAGAAGACAACGGCGACGAGACATCGGTCGAACGGTCCTCTACCGGAGAAGCTGCCTCTTGGCCCGCATAGGTACAACCTCGTTTCAAAGATTCGCAACGAGAACACGGATGCTTTCGATCACACGCTGTCTTGGAAGCTGAGCAAGCGTCGCAAGACAGGCGTTTTCTACCAGGCTTGCTCGCCGCCGGCAAAGGCTGGTTGTATTTCTTTGCACATGTTTTGCTGTGTCTTCGAGCAACCTCCCTACCAATCAACTAGTTACAAAGGATACATGGACCGGTGGCACATGGTCTACTTACGACTTGGAAAAGGCTTTGCTGCAAACCGGACAGCTGAAGGAGAGCTGACGCGTATCTGGAAGGAACCTGTCAGCAGTCATCAGAATGAAGGATCGTCTCGGACTTTACGTGTCTCCTCGTGGCGCGAGAGATGCGACTTCCTCTGATAGGACTTGCCACACTCTGCACATTGAAACATGGTGGTAGGACCGACTCAAAACCGTCAACATTCCATGATAGCGATCGTTGAAGAAGTCTAGAAGTGGCCAAGCACCGCCGCATTTCCGCTGCCTCCCCTTGATGCCATGACTAAGCCGGCCGGATCGGAGGGTCAATTGCATAAATATGCCTGCTGAGTCATTTATGAATGCACAAATGTCTGGTCTTTTGGATGAATTGTCCCAACCGTAGATCAGAGTTAATTTTGAGACTGCATTTTAATTCCTGGGGCTCACTGGAGCAATTAGGAAGACTTCGTTCCATTTCAAAGCAATTGGTCTCAAGCGGTGATGTTCACACTCTGTTTTACCACCGACTCACCTGGAATATATTTTGTTCGCTTACTTCCTCAAAACACAGTAGCTACGCCTGCCAGTAAGCTGAGCAAGTTTATAATTCCTATTCTAGCCTCAAACGATTCAGACTTTTTATTGAATCTTCTTTACATCAAAGCTCTCAAATAAATGAGATTGAATATCCTGAATATTGAAGGAAAAGTACTCTGAACCAACCGCCCGGGATAGCAAGATTCAAAAAATAATGTTTATTTTATCCGATGACGCCCAAGCTTCAGTTTGCAGTTCCATGACAATTGTGGCTTCCAGAAAGATTATATAGAATACATCCCTATCCCCGACAGCAAGATCCGAAGCACTGGTCTCCTAATTATATGAGCATGCAATTCCTGAAAACAAGAACTTTTCGACCTACCATTGTATGGCACAGGAGCTGAATTTCTGCAGGTAATACACTGCGTCGTGTCGATGGTTTGGGGAGGTTTTGGCTGGGGCCTGGGTCAGGTCAGCTAGATGTACATACAATCCTAAACCGTGCAGTCATACTCAGACAACGGAAACAATGTGACCTCGGAGTCAGTATCTGATAACTTCCCGGGCTTCTGACCACCTTTGCGGAAGAAAGACTGAAACTTGGTCTGCAAGTTGTTCATAATATCCTTGCCCGTCATGGCTGTCACAGAAGGCAAGAAAATGGTGAATAGAGCACCATTTCCACAGCTTCGGGAATATATAGACCGCATGAGTACACAATGGTCCAGGATGCCACATGACGAAAGGCATGCTGCCGTTGTAGCCCTTGCGGAATCACCATACCAGAACGGAGATTTTCGGCGAAGTGCCGCTTCAATTGGCTAACAGCTGGTTGGAATGTTCGCCGAACGGCTCCCTTGCTGGTGCGAAGTTGCCAGGCGAATGAACATGTGCTAAGTGCACAGCCCTGCATGAGTTGTGTGGTCATATTACTGGTAGTGTCGAGGATCAGCGAAAACCGATCGTTGAGTAATGGCACTGCAATGTGACACAGAATTTGTCCCCTTGCGGAGGAGGGTTGGTACTTGACTTTCCTAACGGTAGATGCTTTTTTCCGATTTAATGTGACCGCTAGCGAATAATTATTAAATGGTTATTAGTGAAGCTTATTGTAGGACAGCGGACGCTCGAAATGACTCCAACCCGCATCACTGGAGAAGTCAATAGTACCTGAGACTAAGCAACTTATGACTTATCTTCGATTAATCCATCCTTTCTCTACTCTATGTGCTTTTGGTCTAAAACCTGGTCCTCAAGCCCCATCCCGAGCAAATAATCCGTGCAACGATGAACGCAACAGTGGCTGCGAAGTAAAGCACACCTCCGAAAATGATAAGACCGTCGTAGCCACCATTATCGGTCTGCTGAATCGCACCAGCAATTGGAATCCCAGTCAGAGTTCCAACACTAACGATCGTGAATGTCGTCCCGGTTCTCTTCCCGTAGTCTTCGGTACTGCAAACTTGGGAAATGCAGACTGGAGTTAAACTAATGGCTGCTCCACTCCAGAAACCGAAGAAAACTGCATAGCAAGTAATCGCTGCCAAACTCTTTTCGGCCGCCAGCCATAAGGCTAAAGTGAGGATAGAACATATCAACGACGTGATGATCATGACATTGAACCTGCCCAGCCTGTCCGCTACCAAACCCGGTAGATATCGACCAGGGATAGCACCTAGATTGAGAAATATGATTTGGGCATAGGCAAGGGTATCGTTGACACCGACATATATGGCGTATGAGGCAATGTAAGTAATTGGAATGAACACTGCAAATTCAACCAGGAACACAGCGACCGTTGTAGAAGCGTATCTTATATCTTTGAGCGCTTTGAAGTCGATAGATGCTCCTGCTTTCTCGTTTGGCGGGAGTCTAGTTTTTAAAAGCAGACAGGCCAACAAGCATAGGACGGCGGAGAGGACGGCAATGATCCGTACTGCCCATGGGAACCCGATTTTAGGGGCAGCGAAGAGGATTATCAATGGGAAGATAACACCCCCTAGTCCACCCGCTGTGCAGGCGATTCCCGTTGCAAGACCTCGACGAACGTTAAACCAATGCCCAACGCATGACACGGCGGGCGTGAAAAGCGTGCATGCCGAGAGGCCTCCTAAAACACTGAACGCAAGAAATATCTGGTAGTACTCTGTGTTTGGTCAGAACTAAACCCGTCTAGCAAATATTTCTGAAGGCCATACCATAGCTAAAACTCAAACACACCAAAGAGACAACCATGCCAATAGATCCCGGGACGACCACGTAAAAAGGACCGTAGGCGTCAAATATAGGCCCTATAAAGCATTATGAGACATGCAAACTATTGGGCTTCTGGATGGTGAAATCTCTTACCAGCTTGAGCTCCAGCAAAATATAGAAAGAACCCGTAAGCGCCGAAGATCCACCCAATACTCGACTCGGAATAATCCTTGAGTTGATGGGAGCTAGTCCAAGCATGTAGAATTCCTAGGGAATTGAGAAGACCCATGGACGGAATCATGGCGCACCATGATCCTAAAACAACCAGCCATGCTCGCAATCCTCCTTCGGGATAACTCTTCTCTCCAGACACTTCTTGCTCAAGACAGTGCTCGGGATTGATTTGATTTTCTCCGCTTGCCATATCGCAATTGTCCGACATTGCTTGAACGGTGGTTGCCAGGTGTCGAAGAAAGTAAGTAAGCAAAAATGTATTGTATGAAAAAGGTCGCAGTTAATGAAGCGCGAATATTATGGAAATCTGTTGACCATTCCTTTTAAAGACATTCGAACGAAATGTGGAAGTAATTCAATCTTAAACCTAGAGAACAAGGGGGAACATGGAGCGGGAAAGTGTTCTCCGTCTGGCGCACATGGTTCACGCCAGGAACAATCGGTGACCAAGTTGCAAATTTTCTTCAATACTCCGTTTTGCTGTGGTGTACTTGAAGCTGTTGTCTAAATGTTGATGTGGGTCTGAAGACATCACTCGGCCATCTCGAGCGGTTATTGGACATCAATGTCGGCCCACTTGAAAGCCTGCATGGGTTTCGGCGGACAGAAGACAGACCATGCCGGATAGAATATCTTATTCGAATATCCACTCTTGTGCGATGAAATATTGTAGGCGACACAGGACCTGTCTTACCCATGGCCCGCTGGCTCGATCATACAGATATCAACTTACAAAAACAACATGTCCTTCTAGAAAGTAGATATCTGTATCTCAAACCCCAAAATGGGAAAAGTCATAGACTTGACAAAGTGTGTGTGCGTCTCTTTTTCAGCTTTGTAAAAAAATATTATCTTATGATGTTGTACAAATTCGTGATTTGACGCTGTAGAAACATAATCCCGAGCAACGGCACTCGACCACTAAAACATGCCCTTTTCCAGTAATAGATCAATTGGAGATGCACGTGTGTGCTATGATTTTCACTGCCGATTGTTCTATTGCCAAAATCAGCCCCTGATTAGAAATGTGCATTCAACCTCGAGGGCAACGTCTGATTGAAATGTGGGTCGTTCCGAGCGCGCCCTCTGGGAACATCGGCGAACCGTCATCGATGGCGAATCAGACTTTTAGTTCACCGATGAAGACATCCGACATTTGATAGCGTGACGGACCCCCAATCAATTATCTACCAATACGCCGGCGCAGACCGGCGAATCTGAAATGCTCGCTGAATTGCTCAGCAATAATGGATTTGACAGCACATGGCGCCTGGAGAGGAAGTAATGCCCGTCCATATCGATCCAAACGACGTCCACCTTGTGATCAGTGCCGTCGCAAGAAGCTCCGATGTCAAGGACCTGCAGAGGGAGGGTGTGAGCGGTGTCGGTCTGGAGGTGCTCGGTGCTCATTCCTTGGGATTGGTAGGTCTGAAGCGGTAGGACAGTTGGCACCGAATCGATCGCCGAGAGAGAATAGTCCCATGCCTGATCACGAGCAAGGAGGCATTACCATTGATACTACCTCCAATTTACCTGGACCTACAGAGTCCAACGTTGCAAGTGGGTCTTTTCTGAACGCTTCTTTTCTAGACGCGCCGGTGGACGACCATTTCACACCCCCCATATATCGGCTTCCTGGAAGGTCAACGGCCCAGGCAATCCAATCCTTAGATCTCCTTGATGGCTTCTCCTCCCAACTGATCGGTGCATCGGGAGAGTCCGATCCATGGCTACTTCGACATGGGAAGTTCGACGATCGAGGGTATATGCTTTTTCATCAGGTGCATTTTCGCAACGCAGGCGGGGTTCCTCTAGAGGAGAAAATCCCAGTACACTTTTTAGTGAGTGCCGATGCAGTATACGAATCCGCAAAGGGAACGACGAGTTACGGGAAAGGAGGTAGGCGGGAGGAGTTGAACAGTCTAGTGCCGCTTGAATGTGGTCAAAGACTGGTTTCTCTGTACATGGCCCTTTCATTCTACTATCGTTCCTGATCTCACTAACGCGACCATTGTGTAGATTTGTCAAATTCGTATTTCCAGCCCTACCTATCATATCCCGATCGCACTTCGGTCTCTCCGCCTCTCGATTAATGCCAGACCAACAAACACTCCAGTCCATTCCTGTCCATCTTCTAGCAGCGATTTATGCAACCTCATATCAATTCACCCAATTCGATGACTATTTAAGTGTGGCCAACGCGTACACTACCCCGCCCACTCAGGAGCTATGGCGCATTGTGCTTGAACTCATTATGTCGGACATCCACACATCGCATCTGTCTTCTCTACAAGCGGGGATTCTCTATCTTCACAGATGTCCACAAGGTCCTGAAAATGCCGTTGCGGATAGTCCTTTCCACTGGTCCTTTCTTGGCCTCTTAGTAGGCATCGCTACATCTCTCGGCCTCCAGTTAGAGTGCCGACCGATGGGTCTCCCTGCTTGGGAAAAGCGCCTCCGACGTCGGCTCTGGTGGGCACTGTATGCAGAGGATAAATGGCGGAGCCTGTTAATGGGGAAACCACCCTATATTAGGAATGATGAATGGGATGTAACTGAGCTTGACGATGAGGATTTCCGATTGGATGGGATGCCGGTCGAACTATTGCTCTCTGGATCAGCGGAAAACCAACATCAGCAGGATGTCTTTTATGGAAGAGTGTTCAGGCACTTTGTTCGTCTGGCGAGAATTGCAGACGACGTTCAACACTCGTTATAGTAGGTCGACTGCCTTAGTCCCGGGGTATCAACTGTTTATGCTAACCCTAATTTACCAGTTCCCTTCGCGCAGCTCAGCGACTCTCATCCAATTTCTCAGAGGCTTTACAGGCATCTCATCTACTCCTCCGAGGGCTTAAAGAATGGTACTCGCAACTCCCGCCAACTCTTAAACTCCAACACCGCGCGTTCCCGGTCACCAGCGCCACAGATTTTCATTCATGCCAACATAACAACGCTCTTCATTTTGCCTACATCCTTCTAGAAGTATTCATTTTCAGGTCTCTACTGCGCCCTATGGTTCGGTCCGCCACACCACCGCGTTTATTCGAAGAAACAGACGTCCATGATGCCCCAACAGACCCGGTAGATGACTACATTGCACAACTCATTGATTGCGATGAAGTCGAGCCTACGCCTGCAATTGACTTGTCCAACGGAGACAGCAGTGGCAGCGCCGCACTCACAGCCGCAGAGAACTGTGCGGCACGCATGCTTCGTTTTGTAATGCGCATGCCCTGCAGTGAGGGAAGTGGTGGGTTTTGGTACTCTTGTATGTCTTCTTCCCACAACTGTTCTGCCCGATCAGGTCAACGCTCATAGAAAATAGGGTGTCGTATTGGCTTCGCTACAGCATCGAACTTCATGATTCTATTGCTAGTTCAAGCTCCCTCTGCAAATCACGCGATGCGTGCCCATAGAATCCTGCGTATGTGGCGGCAAACTATCCGAAGTCAGAGCCAGGGAAATGAATGGATGAAACTGGCGCTTGTGAGACTGGATGGTCCGCATTGGAAAGGATTGGATCAGACCTATTATCTGCCTAAACATGTGAGGGAGGTGCTTGAAGCCACGGGGTAGTGATCCTAATATGCTTCTTGGGCATCAATGGGTACATGAATGACCACTTTGGCCCGTAACTAAGGATTGAACGACACAGTGGTACTACTTTCATACGGGTATGTTGAAATAAAGTCTTCCTGTAATCTGGAGAGAAGCAATCAGAGGTAGTCATGAGTCACCAGGAAAAATATATATCGTCGGAATGTGAACAGGTGCCTAATCCAACCTGAATAATAAATTCACTACCATCAATCACAATCTATCAAAACGTAATAACCATAAGTCTGAGAAAACACAGCATCACAGAAAGAGAGTGTTGACCAACATTCATACCGAATAAAGCCCGATAATCACTGGATGCCTCAGGCACCAAAACACATACCCCAAACAGGAAGCCGCGACCGCCGTCCACTTCCGCGTCGCTTCTTGACCTTGACTCTCCTTCATTCCATCAACACCGCAAGCTTTCATCACCACGCATCATTCTTCTAACCCAAGACCATCCTATATGGTTCTGAATAAATGCAGATCCAATGCCAACTACCCAGCCAGCTTCTGCGCGAACCACCCAACCATATGACCAACTGTCGGGTGATTCCACATCAGAGTCGGCGGAACATTCAAATTGAACTCCTTCTGGAGCTGTCGCCGTAAAACAGTATTCATCACCGAGTCCATTCCGAGATCCGCAAGTGCAATCGTGGGGTCAACGTCTGACGGAGGAAGATGCAGAACATCGCCGACACAGGCGCGAATGTGTTCATCCAGATAGGTCTTTAATTCGGGCCCAGATGATGGCACTGTGGAAACACGAGGCGCAGTAGTAGGCTCGCCAGACTTGGGGGCAGAGCTTGTGGATCGCCGAACCACCGCAATGTCAGTGAGAAGAGGATTCACAATGCCTTGTCCCTCGTCGATCGGTAAGGCTCGCACGACCACACCATGGTCGATATCGTACCGTGCAAGATGCAGCCAGGCTTCAAAGGCTTCTTGACGGCTGATTTCTGTGATACCCTTGTTCTCGATTTCTGAAATCAGCAAGTCGTTACCGTTCCCGAGACCCATGTCCGTCCATGAGCTCCACAAAAACGAGACCGCATTATCTCCGAGATTGCGCCGATGAGTAGCCACAGAGTCAAGGAAAGCATTGGCAGGAGCATACGCGCCCTGGCCTGGGAACCCAACCAGATGACCACACGAACCGAAGAGGACAAAAAAGTCAAGAGTGCCGGGAGGGAATGCCTCGTGCAGAGCCAATGTGCCGGTGACTTTGGGCGAAAGAACACGGTGGAAGGCTTCCTGTGTGGTGTTAAGGATAAGCTGGTCCTCCAGAACACCGGCTGCGTGAACAACGCCCTGAACTGGTGGTAGACCCAGCCGGTCCAACTCTTGGATAAGTGTCTCGGCGGAGTTGCTAGAACCAATGTCAAGAGAAAGCACGAAGACACAAAGGCCTCTTTTTTCCAACTCGAGTATCCGCGATGCAGCTGCTTGATCGCTGCCGGTTAGATTGCCCCATAGCCTGCGAGGTGGTAATTGTCGGCGAGATAGCAGAACCAACCGCTTTGCTCCGTGATCTGCGAAGAACTCGGCAGTTGCAAGCCCAAGATCACCAAGCCCTCCGGTGATTAGATACGTTCCCTCAGGTCGAGGCAACATCTGAGACACTGGTTGAGTACGGCGATCGAGTGGAAGATCACGGAGCTTAGCCGTCCGGGCTACTCCGTCAAGGATTCGAATGATGTCGGCCCCTTGAATGTATTTCATAGTGGAAAGTGGCACAGCTCGATACTCGTCATCGATATGACCGCCCCAAATGTCCGGGTGCTCACTAAAAATTAGTCGACTAATTCCGAGGAGGGGACCGTGAGCGAGCGCTGTTGGTGTCTTGCCCTCGAATGCGTTCGTCGTGTGAACAAAGAGTTTGCTCGGCACCCCTGACTGGATTAAATACTTTGCAATGGTAAGAAGCCCCGCTAAGAAATGTTCAACCGATTGTGGGATCTTCTCAAATGATGAGACTTGATTTGGGACATAGACAACAATCAGCTCTTTGCGGTATGCAATACCCGCTCCATTTCGGACAAGGTCATCTGGTGTCGAAAAGTGAGTAAGGCCAAGACGACGAGGTACCTCCTTTGTATAAATGGCTTTCGCGTCCTCGTCGCTGGTGATTAGAACAATCTCTTGAATGTTAAGAGGCTCCTCGGTGAGTCTTGCCGGCGGCCATGCCACTCGGTGCACAAGTTTCGAGACGCCGTCACCTTCGTCAGAGTTGCTCTCAAGCTCCGCAAAACGCATAGTGGTTATTCGTACGAATGGTCGTCCCTTTTCATCGGTGATATCGACGTTGCAGGTACAGTCGCTGCCCTCGTTCCTCTGCACGCGAATCCAGCCATTCCTGGGTGGGTCCTGTTCTGTCAACACCTCGATTTCTCCTAGACCAGCTGTCATTCGCAGTTTAGGCCGGTCATGGAAGACTGTGGCGGCAATAGAAGTTGCTGCATCCAAGAACGGAGCCCACGACGAGGGGTCCCATTGGAGACGTTCATTGTCTGGGTCTACTTCAACATGCACCATCATCTTTTGAGCATCTCCGTGGTGCTCTAGAACTGCCCAAGGGAACCCCATGCCGTCGACACCAGTTCCCGTGAGATAGTCCATGGTGAACGATTTGCCCAGGTCCTTTCCGGGACGGGTGATCTCGATCGCCTTATGGAGATCGGCATCTGTGGCCTCTGGACGAGGGTCAATCCTCGCCGTTGTATGAGTCGTCCAAGGGCTATCTAACAATTGATCCTTCTGCACGATTTGTGACATGATCTTCACTTCATCACCTTGAATGACAACCTGGACGGATCGCTGAGACTCGGTTTCCAAGGGTGCAATTAGGTTGACATTCTGCAAAACGAAGCCACTGGTTGCTTTGATAAACGTGTTAAGAAGACACGCCGCGGGTATGATCTCCGTTCCCATGACGGGGTGACTCCCAGGGAAAGGCTTCGATTCCTTGCTCAGGGTGGTGGTGTACAGGACAGTTTCGCTGCCTGCCACAGGTATCTTCTGGCCGAGCAAACTGTGGCCAAGTGTATCATGCAGAGCGAGAGCTGCAGCAGAAGGCTTCCGCCAGAAGGAACGATGCGCCCATGGTGCTGTTGGTACACCATGCAACCAGGGGCCTGAAATTCGATTCTCCCAGTCAATCTCAACTCCGCTGCAGTGCAGACGACCTATGGCACGAAGAATACTTTTCTCCGTGGGCTGATCACGACGAAGGGTGGGTATCACCACATGTTCCCCGGCGTCACTATCCACGAGCGTCTCTTCAACGGAGTGTGTGACGAGCGGATGGCTCGAGACCTCGAGAAAGATTCGAAAGCCATCATCTTTGGCAGCCTGAACGGCAGACGTCAATCGGACTGGGCTAATCATATTGTCGATCCAGTACTTGACACCTCGGGGCTTCTCGCTTCGTGGGTCCGCTAACGTGGTAGAATAGAGCTTGATGGACGGCTGTTTGGGCCAAATGACATCTCCAAGTGAGACGGACAGAGGGTTTGCAAGTTGGTCCAGCATCGGGGAGTGAAACGCAATGTCCGTCTTGACAGTGAAGTTTTCAATTTCCTGGTTATTGTATGACTCTTGAATGTCCTTGACGGCATCTTTCGCTCCGGCGATGACGCATGAGGAAGGTGACGAGTCAATCGCGACACTGACGCGGTCGTTTCCTTCAAGCTCTTTGGAAACCTGATCGTATGGTCGGCGTACCAGGGCCATGGCGCCTTGACCGATAACCCGACGATATAGGACGGCTCTGCGCGTCACTAGAAGCGTTCCTTCCTCGGGCGAGAGAGCGCCTGCGACAACTGATGCGGCAATCTCCCCAACAGAGTGACCGATAACTGCATTTGGGACAACCCCCTGGCTCTGCAGGATCGCACTGATGCCTATCTGCATCAAGTAGGTCAAGATCTGGACACGATCAGACGACGTAAAGTCGCCCAACTGGAGCCATTCAATTGGGGATGACTCGATTTCCTTACGCACAATGGCATCAAGCGGCTTCACTGCATCGAGGAAGACCTCGTTCGTCAGTAACTCCTTTCCCATGCTTGGCCACTGCGCTCCGTGTCCAGAAAAGACCCAGACGACATCTCTTGTCGGGGCCGACTTCAGCACCCGACCTTGAACGGTCCAGACTGCATTAGCCTTATTGGCCAGACTATCCAATGCACCTGCTGCGCTGGCCGTATCCTCCACTATCGCCGCCGCTCGAATGTCATGATGGGTACGTCTTGCAGCCAAGGTCTTGCAGATGGAATCCAATGAAAGATCCTCCGGGCGCTGATTGAGCCAGTTCCTCAATGATCCCGCAGTTGCCGCTAGTCGCTGCTCTTGAGGGGCCGAAACCAAAAGCACTCGTGGACGCGCAGCCTCTTTGACAAAGGGCACCTCTGACTGAGCTACCTCAGATGCAGAGGGAGCCGCTTCAATAATAGCATGGGTGACGGCTCCCCCGTAACCATATGAACACACTGCTGCTCGTCGTTTTCCTTCGGCTTCCGGCCATTTCGTCTCCTCTTTCATGACTCGCAGGCCGGCGTTCTTCCAATCGATCTTACTGTTCAATGTATGAAGGTTGGCCTGGGGAGGTATCACCCCGTGCTGAATGGCCAATATCGCTTTGATCAATCCCATAACACCTGCACCTGCCTCCAAATGACCAATATTTGGCTTGATCGATCCCACGTAACATGGATCGCCGGCCGGCCTTCTTTTACCATACACCTCCGCGATTGCAGAGATTTCTGTGGGATCTCCGAGTGATGTCGACGTAGCATGGGCCTCAACGTACTGAACGGTTGTTGGATCGACGCTGGCGGCCCGCAGGGCTCTCAACGCCACTCGCTGCTGGGATTCAGAATTCGGAGCCATGATGCCGTTTGATCGACCGTTGTGTGCCACGGCACTTCCCTTGATCACTGCAAGAATGTGATCTCCATCATTGATTGCCTCGGGAAGGGCCTTCAGGACCACAGCTCCAGCACCTTCCCCACGCCCGTACCCGCAAGCGCTATCGTCGAAAGACCGACAACGTCCATCGGGAGCCAATACTCCAGCCTTGTCCATCACTTTGGTCAGGGCAGGGCCACACATGGCGTGTACACCACCAGCGATCACGACCGTCGAATCACCTTCTAGGATCGCCTGCACGCCATTATGTACCGCTACAAGAGATGAGGCACACGCGGCGTCGACCGAGACACTTGGGCCGGTGAGGTTCATATGATATGAAATGCGGTTTGGAACACCACAGAACCCAGTCCCAAGACCCATCCATGCCTCGACACCGGCGAGGTCCTCGAGGATGAGTCTGGAATAATCATCGGTGTTGATACCCCAGAAGACACCCGCGTCACTGCCATTGAGCTTCTTCGCGGGAATGCCGGCATTCTCTATCGCTTCCCAGGCTACTTCGAGAGAGATTCTCTGCTGGGGATCCATTAATTCCGCCTCTTTAGGCGAAATACCAAAGAACTGGCAGTCAAAGTCTTCAATATTCTCCACGAAGTAACCGCGGTTGGTGGTTTGATCGAGTGCGCTTTCAAAGCGAGGGTTTCTCTGCCGATACGTCTCCCAACGAGACGCAGGAATCTCCCCGCTGGCGTCTAGCTTGTCCAGCAGAGACTTCCATAGCTGCTCAGGATCATTAATCCCACCAGGCGCGCGGCAGGCCATGCCCACCACGGCAACACCTCGAGATACATCCTAGTTACTGTTAACCAAGAGACAGTGACGCAATACGCTCGTGGTCAGACTTACTCTTTGGCTGTATTCAGTGCCCGAGGTGCTCTTGTCCCGCTCTGAGCTTGACGGGGAAGGATTCAAGAAAGGCATAGTGTACTTGAGTCGTTTTTCGCAACCGCACAATGAGATGATAACCAGAGTGCTGCTCAACCGCTGTTGTACGGGGATTGTGAAGGATTATATAGGGACTGACACCACTCCAGAAGAGCCCTGCTTGCCACTTTGGTAATTCCAGGCGACACGCATATTGGATAAACTCAAATCTTCGACGGATTTTCAAACTGTTCTATCTTTAGTTCCCCCATTAAACAGACAATAATGCCGCAATCTGCTGCCATGGCGCCACCTCGGGCATTTGCACTGGACCGGCAAGCCAGACGATGTTACATTACACCTTTTGGCATTTCGTGCAGTATCTGATGGCAGATATGTGCTATACATAGGCCAGCTTATTGGTTTAACACTCTTATCCGTCAGCCAACACCTCTAGTACCCCTGATCTGTCTAACAGGCACCCGGATCCTTCTGACTGGCTGACGTGTCTCGGTGCAAGGTGCCTTTTCGTGCTGCATGTTGGTTTGAATCTGTCGTGGTATCGGTTCTGGAATGGCGCCACAACTTCCCCTCTAATCTGTGGCAAGAACATCAATGCGACTCTTCATCCTATCGTTCTGGCTGCCATGCACCAGATTAGTGTCTGCTCTCCAGTGCTTGAACCCATTTTCGTGGAGTAGGTGGATCGTCGACGATGGTGATCCTCTTGCTATGCTTTCCTATGACGTTATAGGTACCCCATACGGTCCTGCGTTAAGTTAAACCTAACTTTATTTGTGACAGATGTCTGTCGCTCGCTAAAATCAGGTACCTTTCATATTCTTTCGGTTATGCACAACTCAAGAGGGAAGGATCGGCTTCATTGTTGCTAGAGTTACTTCATTTCCTTTTTGGGAGGTCGACAACTATTCCAAGTGGGCCTCTTACTTCGGAGTCGAACATCGCTAAATTAGGCTAAAATGGATACCTGCTGATAATATGCAAGCTAAGCACTAACGTTATTGCTTGATAGGGGGATGTGACCCTACTGGATGTCGGTATCTCCGGCATGGCCTGTTGAGAAGGATCAATCAATCAATCTATCTATCAATCACTCAGGGACCAGCGCAGGGCCTGATCCGCCTCGGCCCCACCCCGAAGAGCCGAGCTTGCACATCCATAGCCAAGCTTCGATGACCGGCGAATCTTGCCTGTAAGCACGATAAGCCATCCGTCAGAGCTTATTCGCAATACCCGCCACTTATCAAACTTTCTCAGCAAAATAAAATGCCACCGCGAGTCCCAAGTGTGGGTTTTGAGAAACTGGCCCGAGCACAGCACGGCTTACTCTCCCAAAGGATTCCTGCATTCTGGTGAAACCATCTCGGCGAGCCGTGTTCTAAACGCAGTAAGATTTTAATCCATGGCGTGCCAACGGCCGTTGAATTGTTTTGGCACTCAACGGTCCTCTACTAATCATTTTCTTCAAAGTCTCCGACCACACTAAATCCTGGCTCGGCCCGTAGCCGGATTTCCGAGCTCTAGCATTATATCACTACCAGAGTCATGAAGGATTCACTCCGTCCCTCAAAGGATTGTACAGCATGACGCCAGCCTGTTGGCTTCATCTTTGATTCGCACGGGGCGGCGGAAAGTTACTCACCCCGACTCAGTCAGATATGTCTCCGAGTGTGGATCACAGGAAGTGTGGCGATGTCCATTGCTGATGAACGTTGAAACTATGGAGGCTCAAACTCTCACGATTCTCATGTTGTTGATCAGCCGGTTTATTCCGTTCCTTTGTCGTTATATCCATCGCCACATTCTGTGGGGGGGAACGTTCGGGACATTCAACACCCCCCTGCCCTGTCGCCAATTCCGAAGCTCGCGTGGCAATACAGGAAGAGTCTTTACGATTTTGAAGATACCATGATCGATATGCCATAGCGTCGGGCAACGGTTTTACAGGACTCCCGGTGTGTATGCTCTTGAAGCTCGCTGTCTCATCTTATCTCTTAGGTTAGAATGGAGCAAGGCAAAGAGATGATATTCCGGCAAGAGATGCATTTATAACTAGTTCAATCAAGCGCCCCTTCATCCATAATACACATGTTCACGCACAGCCTAGGTATATTATCCTAAAGCCAGCGCATCTCATCCGCTCCTAACGGCTTCGGCATCAAATCCCACCCAACCTGCACGTTCTCAATACTAGCCGAATGCCTAACCGCCGTCAAAACTCCGAACCCCGTCTCCCTAGTCTCCAGATACTCATCCGGCACATCAGCAGTGCACGTATAATCTCTGCACTGGAATCCAGTCCGTCCCTCCCACTGCCCCAAGGACCTCAGGTACTTCATCACACCCGCCAACGACACATCCACCGACCAGGATCCACCCTCTGTCGCCTGCTTATACAGCGCCGCCTCGATTCCCGCTGCAAGGAAGTACCCACCCGCATGGTCCAACGCCTGGCACGGCGTCGGGCGCGCCGGCTCCCCGGCCCCGAAATGCTCCGCTTCCGACACATTCATGCCACTGCATGTCTGGATCAGCGAGTCGAAGCCCCTCCGTCCAGCCCAGGGCCCGTCCGGTCCATATGCCGACATATTCGCGCAGATGATGCCGCGACCGGCGTACCGAGCTGCCAGCGCGGCGGGGGCGAAACCCCGCGCCGCTAGGCTCTCGGGACGGAAGCCCTGGATAAAGACGTGCGCACCGTCTAGGAGTGGCCACAGGTCGTCCGGGCGCTGTGTTAAATCGACCTGGATGGTGCGTTTGCCACGCCCGAAGTCGCGGTCCATCGTGGGGAGGTTCGGCAAGTTAGGACTGGTTACCCACAGAACGTCGGCGCCGTGTGCGGCTAGCGTTTTGCCTGCGAGTGGTGCAGCGATGACGCGCGAGAGCTCTAGCACGCGCAGGCCACGTAGGCATTTATCTGCCGAGCTCGCCTGCATGGATGAAGGGAGACCTGCCGGGGCGTCGCCGATCTTACGCAGGAGGATGGGGAAGTCGGCGATGGCGCGGGCTTGAGGGAGCATGTCCCACTGGGAGTAGCTGCGCAGAGCAGATATGACGATTTTGGCATCGAAGGCGGCTGATTCGAGGTCGACGGCGCGCCAGGAGGCGATTTGAGCGGCCACGTCCTGGCGGTTCGCATCTGCGAAGCAGCCTAGGAGAGCTTTGGCGCCGTCACGGTGGTTGGGGAACGAGTCGTGGAGACGCACGTATCCGTCTGAGGCACGGTGTAGGCCGCCGATAGGACCCCAGGGAGACGGGGCGGGTTTGTTGGCTAGGGTGTAGAGACGTTCGGATTTGAATTCGATGGCGGCATGTTGGAGCGGCACCGTAACAGTGGGCACGGGGGTGTTGTTACGCAGGGCTTGTATCTGCGCTGCTAGCAATGCTGATAGTCCGATCGAGGTCTGTGCCAGGTGCGCAATTTTGAAGGAGGAAGGAAGACCAAATCCATGGCCAGGGAGGTGCAGCGAGTTGAGAGTCGCCGGGGGCAATCCAAGGCCACCCCAGATGTGGGCAACGCTATCTTTGGCCCTGAAGTGCGAGCGATCTTGAAAGGGGGTACGCGAAGCGATGGCCGTGGGCAGCTTGGATGCTGAGCTGCTGGTAGGGACAGTAATCGTGAGCAAAGGTCCATGTTGCTGAGTGCCCAGGGTGTCGCGCTCGCCCACGGTTCCCTGCTGCCAGGGTCTACGGATGGTACACTTCCAAGCCAGAGCGGGCTCGAAGAACATGTTTGTGATGATGTCCTTCGGCTGCAAGTGATACAGGCCCATAATACGCTCGCTGGTCAGGATGTCAGCGTCTTTCACGCGTTCGTATGCCTCGCGAGTGTCGAACATGATATCAAATGTCAGCTCGAATGGTCCTGAGTTCTTGGATCGAATGATCTTGGCAATCTCCAGCATCTGACATTCGCCCTGCGGCAATGGCTTGAAGGAGAGTGGCTCTAACGTCTCCGACTCTATCTGAGCCCTCTGCACATCCGTCAGTCCGGGGATGGGACAATCCGGTCGCCGGGGACAATGGATGGCGGCGAATTGCACCGGGAACAATGCCGCCTCCTCGCCCAACGTCAGGTTCACCAAATGATAGACGTTGAAGCGAAAGACAGGCCCAGCAGCCGTCTCGTGCGGTGACAGAGGTGAGGCAAAGTTGCCCGTGGTTGCCACCTGGTTTTCGTAGGGCATGTGCAGGATGGAGGCGCGCGCATTGTTGGCGATGGTGTAGGACAGCTCCTGCGACGGCGCCACGACCTCTCCGAGAATTCCCAGCTCGTGCGCCGGGGTCGGCGTCGGCTCGATGGGTCCCATTGTCCCATTGCGGCCGTAGAAGTGGAATAGAAGCTGGCATTGGGGCGACTGGTCGAGTTGGGGGAAGAGGTTCTGGGTATAGGCGCGCACTTCGGCCAGGAAGCGGTCGATTTGGCTTATCAAAATAGGGTCACGGATGCCTCCAATGAAGATGGTGCGGTATCCCAACTGCTCGACGCCCTCGAGTTTGACCTGATAGACTGGACTGCGGACAAAGCGAGCTCCACGCACACGCACCGTCTTCTCGGTCAGTTGCTCGTAGGACGCGTTGTCCAGCTCCAGCACGCCACCGGGCCCGGGCAGACGATCGGGTCGGGTCTTTTCGTAGAGTGTGTGGGCGGCCACGGAGAGTGGTGTGCATCTTTCTCGCGGTGACAGTGGCGTCAGGTCAAAGGAATCCTCGCGCAGAGTGGCGATCATCGACCGGCCCTTGGGCACGGCGCAAATCCCGCCGCACTCCATGATCTTGCCCATATGCCACGCCACGCCGGGCTGGACGCCATGAAACATCGAGAATGCAGCAAACGGGGCAGGGTCGTAGGATCGACCACCCAAGATGATATCTGGTTGTGACTCCAGCGCTTTCAAATATGGCTCAGCGCCCATTTGCGCGACGATATCGATGGCGCGGTTGGCGCTGTCCAGCGTCAGCTCCTCCACGGGGCCGCAGGGACTGACTTGGTGAGCTTCGATGCGCTGATTCAGGAGATCGCGATTGAAGCCGGCCGAGATGGTTGCCACCTTGAAGGAGAAACCCTCTTTGGCGGAGATTTCACGGATGATGTCGAACATCTCCTTGACGTGCAGATCGCTCCCATCGCCGCCCACCGACCCGATCAGCACCTGGATCTTGCGATGGAAGCAGGCCTGCAGGATAGGGGTCAGGTCACGAATGTACGAGTCTCGCCCACAGGTCATCTTGTTCAATCCCAGCTTGTAGGGTCCGCCGTCGGTGGAGCCACTGTCCACGATGATGGCCTTGGGGGCGAACCGCTCGATGCCATACCAGAAATGCTCGCTGCGATACCCATACCCGAGCATCGCATTAGGCGTGAGGATGCTGAATTCAGACATGGTGATAATGAATGCCAAGAAAAAGAAGGACGTGGGTTGATGCAGCCAAATCCAACCTTCGCGGTTCATATAAACACGCGGTCGTTGTCGGCATCATCCCGAGGATCTCCACCCCGCCGGCATCATCCCGACTGGCGAGTATCCCTTGCGTCTGATCCAACGAGTTCGGAGGAATAAAGATGCGCATGGATGTCTTTGCTCCAATACTCCTGTACCTTCACGGCCACGGTCACAATGTCCTTGATCAACTTGCTGCCATTTTCCTGGCTTTGGCGTCGAGACGAACCTGACCCGGCGGTCACACCGGTCGCGCGACCCCCATTCGACGAACTGCCCTTGAATCCTAGCGATCCCAAGGGGTCGGCATGGGGCCTTTGGGGTCACGACGACGAGCTGGGCTGCTTGAATCTGATCACGCCGGAAGTGGTTCGCGCCGCGGTGTCGGAAGTCGAGCATGGCCGGGTGATCAATCTCAAGTACGTATCCATACCTTCCAGCCCCAACTTTCTTCGCAAGTAAGTAAAAGCGATAGATATGGACACTAACCTCTTGTAGCCTCCCGCTAAATGTCCCACGCAAACCCATGAATCCGCGCCGAAAGCCATGTGTGCACACGTTGATTGCTAAGGGCCATGCGAATGATGACGAGGTGAGTCGATCAGCTACTACTCTAGCATTGCTGAATGCATTGACATCAGATGCTGTGTAGTTGAACATGAACACTCAGAGTTCCAGTCATTGGGACGGTCTTCGGCATTTTCCCTACTCCCAGACGAAACAATTCTACAACGGCGTGAACCAGGATGACATCGCTTCGACCGACAAGATCGGGATTCAGAGTATCTCCTCTCTCTCCAGAAAATACTTGCCAACGCGCTAGATATCTGATGGTTCTTGGGATTTAGACATTGCTACAAATCCTATTACTACGCGGGGCGTCCTACTCGACTGGTCCTCGTACGCGCAGCAGGAAAGACTTCCACATTCCCCATTCACCAACCAAGCCATCCCCTTAGGTCAGCTGCAGGAGATTGCCCGCCGACAAGGAGTTCGCTTTCGTCGAGGGGACATCCTCATCATCCGCACCGGGTGGACTGCGGCGTACAGGCAGCTCAGCGACGAGGAGCAAGACCGGCTCGGGGGGCGCGACGATCGGGCATCGTGCGGTGTCGAGGCGACGGAGGAGGCGATCCGCTGGCATTGGGACCAGGGCTTTGCGGCAGTCGCCAGTGACACCGTGGCGTACGAGGCGTGGCCGTCGCCGAAGCCATGGGGAGTGACCATGCATGAGGTCTTCCTCAGCGGATGGGGAATGCCGATCGGCGAGTGCTGGGACCTGGAAGAGCTGGCAGAGACGTGCCGGAAACTGGGCCGTTGGACCTTTCTCTTGACGAGTCAGCCTCTATATATACCGGGGGGAGTGGCTAGTCCCGCCAATGCTACGGCGGTGTTTTGATCGATTAAGTAGACTACTGAGTCGGCTGTCACGATTGTGATCTATTTGTCCGTATCCTTCCTTCCTTTCTATGAGCTTTATATCGGGTCTTCATAAGTTAGAAATCCACAACGTAGCATCAAGCCGTCCTCTTTCATCGTACTAACAGCGGGAGCCCAACTTATCGGAATTTCTTAACATGCTGAGTATTTTCAGCTTTTCATTGTACGGGTGTTGGTATACCCCACCCGTATTTTAATTGGACTTTTAGATAATAAAAATGGAAATGAACATACAAACATCATAATCATCCACGTCGGGGGGGGCTGTGGTGAAAGTAAAAATCCCGAGAGCCAAGCCGGCATCATAGCGAGCTGCCAGTCTCTTCCCCAGGATTATACCCCGGACTATCTTTCCCCATGTTTCCAAGAGTGAAGGGATGCGATGCGCTTTTAAAAGCCCTGGGGTTGCTGGACCGTTTCTGCATTTTCGCACATCGCAAGGACCCATTGCCCCTCTCTTCCAACCACCTCCTTTCTTGCTGTTGCTGCTCTCCCACGCTTTGACAGAATGGACCGCACTCAAGATGATTGCAAGATAGATCAGGTAGAGCTGGCAGATACTGTCAAGCATACTGAGGGCCTCTCCACGGGAGACATGTTGGCGACTTATTCCCCTGCGGAGCAGAAGAAGGCGTTGCGCAAGCTGGATTGGAACATGATTTCTCTGTAAGATGACCGATTCCCTGCCAATTCGAGACATCCTAACCTAGTCCTGATAGACTGGGTGTTCTCTACATGCTGTCCTACATTGATCGCGGGAATTTGGGAAATGCCTACACTGCGGGAATGGGGTCAGATTGGGGGATTACCTCCGACCAGTACTCCTGGATCATAACGGCCTACTACCTAGCTTATATTGCCTTCCACTGGTTTGTTCTCCTTTGGAAGCTGGTATCTCTGCCTGTATGCTCCCCAATCTTCACCTGAGGTCCATAATCTGATTTGAAACAGATGTGGGTTGCTCTCATGGCGTTTGGCTGGGGCGCCGCCAGCATTCTTCAAGCTGCCACGACAAATTTCGCTGGTATTATCGTGCTCCGGTGCCTGATCGGAGCCTTCGAGGCCGGTTTCGCCCCCGGAGTGGCCTTGTTCCTATCCTTCTTTTATCACCGCTCTGAGATGGGACTGCGCTATGGCCTCTTTATCTCTTTCTCTCCCATTGCCAATTGTTTTGCGTCGGCTTTGGCCTATGGGATTGTACAGGCCGATGCGGGTCTGGCGCAATGGCAACTCTTGTTCATCATAGGTAAGTCATTGTCACTCGTTCCTCGACTAGCCAAATCGTATACATCCTTCCCGCCACTAACTCAGTGGCCGCTCTAGAGGGAATCCCCACTATCCTGATAGCCCCCCTTGCATACATGTTTCTTCCACGGGGCCCCGGGGAATGTCGACTTCTCACGGACCGCGAGAACGAGATCGTGCGCCTGCGCGCGCTCAAGGCCCGAGGACACGAAACCAAGGGCGAGCTGAACCTGAAGCAGGTCGTTGCCGCCTTCACAGACTATAAGAACTACTTCCAGGCTGTGATCATCTTTTGTCTCAATGTACGATACGAACATCTCTCCCCGCCAGGAGAATCCACTAACCCTCTCACTCCGCCAGGCTGCCTTCGCTGCCCTTCCTGCCTTCCTCCCCACCATCATCGAAGATATCGGCTACACCTCCATCCAGGCTCAAGGTTTCTCCGCTCCCCCTTACCTCGCCTCCTACTTTGTTTGCCTCGCCGCTTCCTTCCTCTCAGACCGAGTCGGCAACCGATCCTACTTCCTCAGCGCCCTCAGCTGCGTTGGTGCCGTCGGATATCTCCTGCAAGCACTGCTAAAGACCGGCGGTGTACGTTACTTCGCAACCTACCTCATCTGCGGGTGTGTTTTTCCCGCCGTTGCGCTGACCTTCACCTGGGTCACCGACAACCAAGGATCTGCGTCGAAGCGAGGCGCCAGGCTAGTCATCTTTGGAATGCTAGGACAGACCGGGTCGATTGCCGGGTCGCGATTCTTTCCGAAGGAAGAGGGCCCGTTCTATGTAAAGGGGATGGCGATCAGTGCGAGTCTGTTGTTCTTTGCGGCGATTGTGGCCCAAGCATTGCGGTTTTTGATGTGGAGGGAGAACAAGCGGCGGGATGCTCTCCATGGGGTGGTGGATACTGATGAGATGCCAGAGGATGTGGTTAACTCTGGGGATGATCACCCCAGCTTTCGATTTATTCTGTAGAGGGGTTGTGACGGTGTTTAGTTCAGCTGTGAGATTCATGACGCCGGAAATGTCGGCATCTATTTAGGGCTAAGCAGTCATGTGAGCGGCCGGTACTGCTGGAAGCTTGTTGGATATGCGTCTTATCCTGAGAATGAATGGATGATCAATTCAATGATTGAAATCAATAAATTTGCAGACTCTCGTCTGCTATCTATAGCAGGGTGAAGAATGACATTAACCATCTAAGGTCATGGAACAGCACCGGGGAGTAAGCTATGAAACCACTGGAAACCTCCAACATAGCGGGAGGCTCTAATATCCTTCTATGAGAGAGGAATAACGCCCCAGAAATAAAATAGGATTGAATCACCGGATGTATGAAACAGGAATACGCGTATGAGACCCTTCTCCAGACGTCGAGCCGAACCCAACGCCACTAAAATCGCCCGCCCCACCGCAAGAACCAAAGATCTCGTCTTCTCCATCCCCACGTCCCGGACAACGAAACGCACCATCCTTCGCGAATATTTCCCTAGTCTCATATACCCGACGGCCTTGACTGTCTCTCTCGAGACATGGATGGTCGTCGCCCTGGCAAAGGCCGCAGATACGGCTTCGCCTGCCTAGTATGCCGTCGGCGGAAGATCAAATGCGACGGGCGCAAACCGGCATGTGTCAACTGCACGCGGGGGAAAGAGACATGCGTGTACAAAGAGAGCTCGGCATTTACATCCTACCTAGCAGATGAGCTCCGACGGCAGCAGACACGCGTACTAGAGCTGGAAAGCTTCGTGCGGGAACTTGCCGTGGCAGACCCCGGGACGAGGGATCGTCGACTTGCAGAGACCGTCGAGAGCTGGGATCGCCCTGCGACGCAAAGCGCAGACGGAGACGAGGAGCACAGAATGTCCTCGGTATCACCGTGGCCTGTTGCAGCGGGCCCGGACGAGCAGGGCACCGCTGAGGATGTTTCGTACGACGGAGGCGCGCAGTTTAGCGTGGATCCGGAGGGAGCGGTACAATATGCCTTGCTTAATGACTGCTCCCATGCCATTCAAGCTGCTAACAGGCCCCCAGCATCATTACTTCGGCGCCACATCGCGGTTTCACGGCCTCGCGGAGGACGGGGACCTGGTGGCTCCCGATGAGAGCCAGCTGCCCGAGGCGCGACAGATGGAGGACTATCACCGTAAATGGCTAACGTCTAATGCGCGGTTCCAGGATTCGTGGGAGAGAATGGCGTACGCGAATCTGCCGCATTATACAGATGTCGACCCGTCCATCTGCTCCAGCTTATTGGAGATTTATTGGGCTTGGCAGGCTCCCTTGCACAATTGTGTCTATCGACGATGTAAGTTATTAGTTACAAATTGAGGATCCAGACAGGCGAAAAAAGGACTGAAAGATTTGATCAGGCTTTTTCCGCGACATGGCCCTTGGAGGGCCGTATTTCTCCCTGTTCCTCCTGAACGTAATCTTCGCCCATGCGTGTCGACACATGCCAGACGACGACCCCAGATTTGCGCCCTTTGACAGGGGAGACCTATTTCTGAAAAAGGCCCTACTACTGCTCATTGATGAGATGGAGGAGCCAAAGCCGAGGATTCCCACCATCCAGGGGTTATTGATTTTGGGCGGCCGGCAGTGTGCCGTGGGCAAGAGTAGTCAGGGGTGGCTATATACGGGAATGGTATGTATATTTGCATGCGGATACGTCTCCCTTCCTTTTGTTTTTAACATTCTCTCTGCTGATTTGTTCAGGCAATTCGCATGGTTATAGATCTAGGGCTTCATCTGAAACGCCCTGCAACTGTATTGATGAAGGACTACGAGCCCGATGATCTAGAGGTGCGAAAGCGCCTATACCTATCCGTGTACGCATGGGATAAGTGAGTATACGCTTTTAGTCTTAACTGGTGATCGACGCTCGTTGGCAACTGACCGTTGCAAATAGGTCCATAAGCCTCTGCTTGGGACGGCCGCCATCACTTCCCACCTTGCCACACCCGGCCTCGACACTGTGTATGTAGACCCCCACTGACTTATTCTAGTACTACCTGGACTAATCCGCAACCTTCACCAGTTGATCTATCAGACGATAGAGATATCTGGCAACCGCCTCGGGTCCTCCATACAGACAAGACTTACCCAGAGACCAGATGCTACAGCACGCTGACATTAAAGCACTTCTGCGAACTCGCCGAGGTAACGTACCCTGGAAATACTACTCGCTCGAATACAGAATTACTTGGACGAGGAAATGCTAACCAGAATTGGGAAAGGTCATTAACGAGAGCTACAGCACAGTCTACAGTGGAACCGCTCGCAACATCACTCCAGCTTCCATATTCGGGTTGGAGCGAAAGCTACACGCATTTCACCGGCGGCTTCCCGATGCACTGCGTATTGAGGATCCATCCAACCTCCAATCTTGCGTTCCACCGCATATTCTCCTCTGTTTGAAGTGAGCTTGACAGATCTAAGGCCGAGAGCCATGGCAGTGGAAGAGAAAGTAGACGACCTGGCTAACGGCACACAGTATCCTCTACCACACGACGCTAATCCTGATCTTCCGGCCCTTCTTCATCTGGCGATGGCATGCTAACCTACGCCAACGCCCTCTAGCCCTCCGCGCCGAAACCGTCTGCACGGAGCAGGCAGCGGACGTAAACGAGCTGTTCCGGGCCTACGGACGACTCTTCAACTTCCAATACCAGAGCTATCTTGTCTCCTACTGCGTGTACACTGCCGCCACCATCGACGTACGCCTCATGCGTCACGAAGACCGGACCATAGCCGACACAGCTGCCGACCGACTAACCGTGACCTTGCGAATGCTCGAAACCGAAGTCAAACAAACCCCGGGCATCCGACGCAGCACCGAGATCATTCGCTCGCACTTGGATAATCCCGCTAACGACATGGGGCCCCAGCCCGAAGGCAGAGGAGACCCGTGCCACAGTCCCTCAGCTGTTCAGGACCAGAGTGTCGACACTGTCACGGATCCGTCAGACCTGTCAGTCATGGACGGACTGCCTTTTATTATGGACGCGCCTATGGAGATGACGCCTGCCATGATGGATTGGGGCGTGGATGACTCTGGGGGCGGCTTCGTTCCGAACATGGCGTACTGGACGCCGTTCAGCCAGCCATTCTAGGTGAAGTCCGAGCCAGTGAGTGTATCGTTCGTTCTGGTGGGATGCCAGCTAATTCGCCCCCCCCCCCCACGATAAATGGGGCATGGAGGCGGGGAGGTGGAGATGCTCGGCATCATCCCGACGTCTCCACCGTCAGTAAGTGATTGCCATTGAATCGCCGTCACCCCGGATTCTTGGGGTCCCCAGAGAGCACAGGGGAAGAAAAGGATCAATATATCATTCTCACGATCGTCATGAACAAGGACACATCTCAAATGGACAGTGTCAACTATGTTGAGAACATCAGCGTCGTGAAGCTGCAATCGCGGCCGCGGGAGGCGTGGACCAAGGAAAAGGAGAACGAAGTCCTCGGGAGGCTTGATTGGCATAGGATTCCTGTATAAGCTGGGTTAAGCCTTGTCGTTTGTCTTGGTACTGTTTGGTATTTATTGCAAGCTCTCAGCTACAAATGAGTGGACTAACCTGTATACCGTGTCAGCCCGCTATATTTATACTCGTCCATAGATCGCGCTAATATCGGCAATGCGTACCCAGATTGCATGTATCTGCTTTCATTCGATTTACCTTAGAATCTCTACTAGGATTCTGACTTTCATGCCAACATATTCTACAGCTTAGTCTCTGGGTCCAGACTGATAACCAACTTCCCAGTCTGCCTCCCAGAACGCATGATATCAAACAGCTCCTCAATCGCGTCCAGATTGTCGATGCCATGCACGACTCGACCAATAACTGGCACGACACGCTTCTCCCTAACAAAGTCCATCATCTGTGCAAACTCTCTCCGGGACCCCAACGCCGACCCACGAATATCGAGATTCTTCAACACGGCTCGCATCGGAAAAGACATGGACGGTGCGCTCGTCATTCCATAGATGACGACTACGCCTCCCGCCTGCAATCCCATTAGCCCAGCGCACCTAGATCAGATCGTATGCCTCACCCACCTTAAGCAACTTGACCGCTCTATCAATGATATTACCTCCAGCACCATCCACCACGGCATCAAACACCCTCCTCTCTTTCGGCAGCAGCTCCAATATCCTCTCCTCCCATTTCTCTTCTCTATAGTTCACAACCCCCATCGCCCCCAGTCTAACCGCCTCCTCGACCTTCTCCCTCCTGGAACTAGTAACCCAAACCCTGGCTCCCATCTTCACAGCAAACAACAACACCATCAGCGCAACTCCGCCCCCAATCCCAGTCACCAGGATCTGACTTCCAGGTCTACAATTCCCCACCCCAGCCTTTACCATAAGTGCCCGCCAGGCCGTCAACCCAGCCACAGGGAGCGCCGCAGCCTGTAGCGCAGACAAATGCCCCGGAACAGGTTCCACCTCACCCTGATCCACAACCATATAGTCACTCAGCGTTCCTGCCGGGTTATACTTCGTCCCGCCTATAATCCACACATACCCAGCCTCATCCTCCGGTCCCTCAAGCGAAGAAGGCCACGACCAGCCCGCACCAGGGTATATGACGACGCGCTTACCCAGCCAGCCGGGCGAGGCCTGCGGGCCTATGTCGACGACGGTACCGGCTCCGTCGGCGAGGAGGGGCACGCCGAAGGTCGTTCCGGGGTAGAGATGTTGGCGGAGGAAAAGGTCGCGGTGGTTGAGAGCGGCAGCGGAGATTTTGATCAGGAGGGAGTGCGACTGGAGAGGTGGGATGGGGGCGGTGCGCAACGTAAGTGGGTAGAAGACTTGGCCGCGGAGGCCGGGGGTGGGGGAAATGGTGATGTATTGGGTTTTCATTTCTCTTTTGGTGGTTTGCGAGGTTGATTGTGGAGTTCGGGGAATGGAATGAGGAGGGATTAAAGTGATTGAGTGTCGGGAGGTAGAGGTATACCATGGGTCTGGAAAGGTTGTTATCTGGTATTAGGGCTATGTCTACGTGTTATAGATCGAAATCAAGTCTTTATAAACTTAGAATCCGAGCAGAAAGCTCTGAACTTAGATATGATGGCTTTCTACTACTTGGTTCCCAGCCCTATATAAATTTAACAAATCATCGCCATATACCTACTGAAGCACCTTCCCTCCCGACTCCTCCACGCTCAGCTCAAATTCCGGCTGAAACTCGAGATAGAAATTATGCTGCGACAAATTAGCATCTTCCACAGCTCAGGAACGGAACTACACACAGGATCCTGAACCGACTCCGCCGTGAATTGAGCCACATTATCAGGAATGATCTTCTTCGCCACTCCATTCGCAGCCGCAGCCTCAGCCATCAACTGCGAATGACAAGCCTTATCGAGACTGTAGAAGAGGAAAGCCGCCTCGTCAACAGTCGAGCCAACGGTGATCAATCTATCGTGTCTTAGTGACCATCCACCAGGTGCATAGACGAGACAACAAACCCATGATTCTGCAAAATAGCCGCAATATTCTCTTTACCCAGAGCCTTTGCAATCGCTCGTCCCTCGTCCTGCGCAAGCGCAATCCCACCATGCTCTTCATACACGCTCAACTTGCCGTAGAAGTTACAAGCATCTGTCATCAATCAGCATTCTCCACCCATACCATCAAGTAGAAGTAACAAAATACCAACCCTGAGTAATCATCTCGACCGGCTTCCCGAACGCGCTCCAAGTTTTGCCATACACGCCATGCGTATGCGCGACGGCCATAACATCCGGTCTAGCACGGTGCACCTCGGAATGAATGATGAAGCCGGCCTCGTTGATGACAGCTTGATTGCCGCCCTCGACGACGTACCCGTTGGCGTCAACAAGAACGAGATCGGACGCTTTCATCAGCGAGAAGTGTTTGGCGAACGGGTTCATCCAGAAATGCTCGGGCAGGACGGGATCTATATCGGATACCGGACACATTGACTGGTTAGTATGATCACATATGGTATACCACCGTCCGCTAGATGGTGAATATATCTCGAAATGGTCCCGACATTTTCTATCCAAAAATAAAGAAAGGGTGAATGGGTAGATACACACCTCTCACAGAAATGTGCCCGGAGATACCCTCGCCGTAGCCCTGTCTTCCAAAGAAGCGGAACGCAGCAGCCATGTGTTCGCGCACCCACTGGCGCTTAGCAAGGGGGTCTGCGAACGAGGGTATTCCTCGCAGCTTTAGTTTGCCATTGCGATCGCCGCGAGCGAGGGCTTGGAAGGCGGCGCTGGATTCGGCGGGCGGGATGGAGTCCTGCGCGACGACTGTGCGGTGGGGAAGGGCTTGAGTCGTGGTGGTGGTACTGGTGGTGGACATTGTGGTTTCTGTCTTCTTTGGCGTCTAATGTTCCGTTGATTGAGTACAATAAACACATGCACGATGGAGTAATCTGGTCTGAGATGTCGGGCGGGGAATTTATGCGGCTCGATGCGGGGAGAAGTGGGGATGTCGTCGGAGGGCGTCGATAACGAGGGTCTAATGAGATAATGAGATAATGAGATAATCGGGATGATATCATCCTGTCTGGCCACTCACGATGTCTTGAATACTCATTTCCCCAGATATAGATTTTGATATCTGGTAATAAGGCCATGGTCAATTTGGATCTCGTCGGTGTCATTATTATATGTACAACTTCTATACACCTATCATACATAGACTGTGTTTACAGAAGGAACTCTAACTTCCTGCGAAGTAAAAGAACAGTGAGGTATGCCCTTCTCTTGACTCTCACTCTCATCTCCTATACATCCCATCGTAGGAATAATCTCGCCCCACACAACATTCCCGTACGCAGCATACGAATCTCCCATCGGCGGATGACAAGCCGCGCTGATAGCAACACTACAACTAGCTGCTAGAGGAATTCGCGACCGAAACCGTCTCATTCCCATCAGGAACGGCATTAAGAACATTAAGCCGCCGAGCGCCAATGCGAAGATAATAGCCATAGGCGACCAGCCACAAGCATTGACGTCCGCCGACTCGACATAGCGCCCATGGACGTCATAGAGGCAGACACGGATGTAGAACAGGCTCTGAGACACTAGCCAGTGAAGCACAGTGTAGCAGATCATCAACGGTAAGCTATACTGGGAGGGAAGTCCCAGGAAAAAGGACCTGCGTTGAGCACCCTCCGCAACGCCAGTCACCCGCAGCGGCTTGTTCGGTCTCAGGGTGGGATTCCCGGCACTGTCGACTCCCGGGGAACCGAGCGCGTAGCTGTCATATTCGGCGGATACTATCATGGAAGTCATGAGGGCGTTGTAGAAGTAGTAGGAAATGGACACGATGAGCTGTGGGACGTTGGCTAGAAGGACGTTGGCTAGCATGGTGGACTGGATTTGAGCGATTATGGTGGCGAAGCTCACGCTCCCTAATCCGAGTGCCCATAATGATTTGAGGCCTGTACCACCGGCCATTTCCAATCTTGGCTCCTTCAGTCCTTGGTGAAGAAGATAGCCCGCCACACCAATCGTCACAGAGCAACTAATGCAGGGTTAGTTGAGAAAAGGCCTGGAGAGGGTGGACAGAACTCACAGGCAGATGGTCATGGTCCATAAAAACCCGCTGCCCGCTTGCCACCACCATTTTCGTTGCTTCGATAGCACCTGCGGTTGTGTCGCGATTTCCCAACACGAAGAACCGGTGTTGCAGCCACTCTTCGAGATCAGACACCGCTGGGTCGTGTGCGGATCAGGCCTGGTCAGAAACGAGGCAATTGCATCCCCGACTGTCAACAGCTTGTTGGCCGATGCACCATGGGCTATAAAAGCGATGCACGAGAGCTTAATGATGCCACAGCCGATGACTATTAGAGCAAATGGCGGAATGAAAAGCAGCTGACACCGCTCTTCCACGCGCATACTCAGGCAGCTATCAACTGTGTAACTATCACCCACATAACCTACCTCTATCCACCCATAAGACGAGCGACGACAGGTAGTGTTTGCCTGCTCAAAATGCACATCTGCCGCCCAGCTGTCGTGCCACCGCGAAGGGTCATGTATTGTAGTGTTAAATTTATGGGCAGAACTACCTCCGTATTCCCACCCCAATAGTGCAAGATAGTCAAGGTCCAAACAGTAATCCTCACTGCCCCAGTCTGGACAGCCCGTATAATTGTTTTTTTGATAAGTCAATGTCTGGCCATTTCTGGCCGGGACAGTCACTCTCCATTCCGAAACCACCCATGGCATCGCATACACTGACCAATGATCAATATCTTCTTTTATCTTCGGGATGGGGCAGCCATCTGGCGTGAGGTTAGGGCACATCCACTGATAGGAGGGCAAACCAGCGGATACTTGTTCTATCTCATTTCCGAATCCCACCGACGCGAGCGGAATTTGCTCCCCTGCGGTGAGATTCTTGGATAGAATCATGACTGTCCCTTGATCGGATGGAAAGTTCACAGCTAGCTTGTCTAGACACTGCCGTTTGGTCAAGATTTCGAATTTCCCCGTATTCATTTCCTCGTTGAACTGGCTGTAGGACTGTCTCAATCTGTCAGGAAAGCAAGATGCCACTTCATCGCTAACGTTCAGCGGCTTAGACGCGTTGTAGTCGCTGGGTCCCACAATCACTCCGTATTCATTGGTGGACTTCGAGTTCAGAATCACCGAGTTGTATCTGTTCAATATCCATCAGACTTGCGACTAATGCAATCTTGGTGATCAGGGGGAAACCAACATTAAATGATTCGGCAGCGACGTAACCATCAAGACCAGCCACAGAATCTTATACTTCCACTTCATTCTCCAGATATTGGTCACGCTCGGAATGCCAATATTCATCCATGATCCACGCGAATGCGCCTTGTCAACATCCTCCCTAGTCGGAGCGGCAAGATACTGCGCGCAATAATTGCTAGCAGCCAACATGGCCGTCCCCAGCGCGTTTATCAACACGTGCAACCCAATCGACCAGTGCTTCGAAACCGAGCAGCTCCCCGTGTATAACGGCACAGTGACGAACCCATTCGGACTGTATTTCGAGTATCCGATGCCGAATGCGACAAGCGTGAGGACAATGTTGAGGCCGACAACTATGGACGCGGTCGTTATGCAGATTTTCGGAGGACCCAGAGTCGGTCGTTTCTTGGCCCAGAGGGTGAATGATTTCGCAAGGGATACATCGTCGAGACTGCCGCTGTGCGCACAATTGAGTTAGCTATGTGTTGGAATATTCGTTCGCGCGTCATGCGTACCTTGTTGCATTGAATGATTTGAAGTCTGTCTGGTCCCGCAGCATAAACTGACCCCATCCGTTGTCGTTCGGTTTGCGATTCAGGAAATGACGAGGGTTCAACCAGTTGCGAGGCATTTTGCGTCTGCTCCCAGTCGTGCCACGCTCGTCGCCATGGATATGTTGAGCGTTAGGGGAAGACGAGTCCCGGTACTAAACGACTTGTGAATGCAATGACCGACGTGAGCATGTCCTACACGAATAAGACTGCGACGGAATCTTGAAGTTCCATGCGATCGACTGCCATTTTGAATTGAGTTGAGGAGAAGATGACTTTCAAAATCGAAACGCGCCGTTGGTCGCGGACCGTGGGGTCCAAAACAAAGTCGACCCACGGTGGATCGTGATTCGCGAGATGCGGATATTAGCGTGGACATGGTGGCCGACTAGTGCCAGCAATGTCATTTGCAGCTCAAAGACGTGAGAGCTCTTGGTGGTCAGTATTCCTCCGTGGACTCAAGTCCGAGGATTCCAAATTCGACTATCAAGGTGATGTGTGGTGTTTCAATTTCGTGCAATTTCTCCAACACTGGTGACCTCTCCACAGACACAGCACTAAATCACCACTGCATCTCCTATGAAATGGAGCCTAATCGCCTGTTTGAATTGGGTGATCTAAGAGTCTTTCAGATCTCTGACCGAAAATCGCATAAAGACAACTGCGCCAAATTCCAAGAGCCAACCGGCTGGAGTAAAGATACATCAAACACGATACTGTTCAGTGACCGAAAGTCCGCCTTTCTTCCTCTTCTCAATCATCAAATGAAACCTATAACAAGCCATCTTCAGGGGGAATTTGGTATACCTGGCTATCATTCTGTCATAATGTTCCTTAATGCGGTGCTCGACGGAATGCATTTTGACCAGAGACCCATCTAGACAGATCCGGATATTGCCAACGTGTTCCATCAAGAATTTTCCAAAGTTATGCGAGAACATGTTCATGTCCAGCGAGTACCCAATGTAATCGCTGATGAGGCTGACCAGCCACTCGGGTCGCATCATAAGCGTCTCGACTGTGTTGTATGGCCACGTATATGAGGTACGAGGGTCCTTGTTGCCGTGGCCTTCTAGCCAGTTATCATATTCTAAGCTCGAAGGGGCCATCAATCCAGTAGGTGTCTTGAAGTCCAGTGTCAGATTTTTGATGGTAAACCGGTCTCGACTTTCGGCCTGTGGCTCGGATTGCCGGTGCTCCGCAAGGGGACCACATTCGACAAATGTCTCGAGGAGATGAAAGAAACACCAGATGATTCGCGGTGGCTCATCCTGGCCTGAGGTAAACCGAAACTTTCGGCCGTCTAGTGTTGGGCTGGTGCCAGTGATACGAAAGGTCGCTGTAAGTGTGTCGACCTGTTCACACGGGGGTGTGAGAAAGGTCCACGTCGGCCAAAGCTCCATTTCGTTCACGAGCATCACGTCAAGAGCATAATGGCTGGATTTGGAGAGTTGTCCCAGTCTCCATCGTGTGACTTCAGCCAACTGGCGATTAACAAGAAGGAGGCTGGCCGAAGCAGATGTCCAATTGTGGTAAAGTGGCTCTTGATTTGCGTAGTATTTGACATTACCATAACCGTATGATTTGTCATAATCGTTCCTTCCAGTGGGAAGCGGTCGTAACACTAAGATCCGATCTCCAAATGTATGAAGTCGATCGCTAGTCGAGGGCGGGGAATCCCGATGCGTCAATACAAGTCCGACGATGCGGTCGAGGAGCTCGCTGGGAAGATCTAAAATATTCAACGGCATGTTGCGTTGTCGGCCCAGGTCTGGTGTCAGTCTGAAAAGACGTCAAGAGATGAAATGTGGTATGCGCATGGATTGAGGGGTCCAGCCTGGTGACATGGCAACCCCTATGCCCCGCAGTGGCTGACGCAACCCAGATCTAACCGGTAGCTTGTCCATTCTTTGTTCCGGCTGTTGGTTCTCCCTCACCTAGAAGCTCTGTTCGCGCGGTATCACTGTCGAACTGTCAGAATTCAGGGCAATCCGCGCGGAAGTCAAAGACTATTGGCAAATGCCACGTTCAACTGTCCCATGGTATCAGCAGAGAGTCCGTGAATTCAAATAATTCCATTTGATTTATCTCGTCGATAGACAGCGGTGGCCACATCGATGTGGCGTATTCCGGAACGTCCATCGATGGCTCCATGCTTTGCACTGCTCCAAGGCCTGGGATAGTCGAATCAAACCCAGGATTCAGTGCTTCCGTGGGATTATGTATAGGCTGGTTGTGGTCGAGGGATAGAGACTCTTTGTCAACGGTTTGCATGAACAGGCGGTGGAGATATGAAGCAATCTGTTGTAGTGTTCGTATAGCATCTGCTACAGATGAGGCATCCGTCGCTCCGAGTTCCACTCTTTCATCTAAGATAGTGGCATGTTTGGACAATAGACCAATACCCAGGCAAATGAGAGGTGCCAAGTTAGGAACATTTGTTACAGCTCGAGGCGGTCGGGTCAGATCCTGAAACCACCGATCGTACAAGAGTGTCAGTCCACTCTGAAAGATCAAGTGATATCCCAGGGGCCATAAGCGCGTAATCAGGTACTCCTCCCGTGCAATGTCGAAAGCTGAAATCAGGTGCGTTGCTGCCTCCACGCATGATTGTAGACTGTCAACAAACTGTGGCTCACGAGGGCCAAATGTCAACGCAGGTCGATGTATTAACATCACAGCCAGCTCGCCCAGCATAAAGAGCCACAGTGAGCTGAAATCAGGATGCTGTGCGGGTAAAATCGCACTATTATTGTTATTGATGTTATCCAGTTTTGTCTGAATTCTCTGCTTGACGAGCGCCACTCCTGGTAAATCTGACTGCACATTCTGTTTCCAGACTTCTATTTCTCGTTGAAGCCGATGAATCTTTGCAACTCCACCTCGACGGTTTGTAGTTGTATACATCTGCTCCAGGCACCGAGATAGAATTTGTGTCAGAAGAACGTGATGAAGAAAGGGTTCAACATTGGTAGTTTCGCCGGGTAAAGGATAGGAAAGCTGATCGCAGCATAGGTCGTCATAATCCGTGTTAATTGGAAGATCGGTATCAGTGTCTGCCAGTTGAATTGTCCTAGGAAGACCGTAAAGGATGCACGCATGTCTATCCGGAAAATTAGAATTTTTCAATGTCACAAACATAGAAGGAAAGGTCCGTACATGTCAAGGGCAAACACAGCCCACCATAGGCGCTTTCGCAGTTCGGCTTCACCGGGTGAATGTTTGAACCGCCTAGAATGGCGATGGAGTCCAAGGGATTGGGCCAACCTGACCGCCGTTCCACAAACACGAATCGCCAGTGAGTGTTGCGATGTTGTCTGGAGATAAAGAAGATATAGAATGAGACCCTGGAGACTATTCAGGTCTCCTCGACACGGCATGCGACCATACAAACTGCTCAAAACGGCATTGTCGTCCACTGGATTTGGACATAAAGAAGCCGACCCAAGTGATGAATCTCTGCTGCTTTTGGCAGAATCAAGTGCCATCAAAGCATAAACTTGAAATATAAACGGCACAGCTCGGTACTGATCCAATAGAAGAGACGAGCCAGTCATTATCTCCTCCAAATTTTCAAAGAACTGCTTTGCCAATAGAACAGGATACAGAGATCCCCAATTCTGAATGTACTTCTCGAATGCCCCACGAATCACGTTCGCTCCCAACTTGCGAATGTGACTACATTCAGCCTCGCAGCTATTGGACCCGAAATCAGTAGCCGCATCACTTGTCCGATCAGGAATAATGTTCCCAGACGAGGTGCCCCGCAAATGAGTAGGTTGAAGGACATGAAGTCGAAACATGCATTCAGGGAAATGCTCACGCGAAGAAAATGCCACTTGATACTGCTGCTGTGCCGATAGGACAAAATGGACGCCGGTCGTAGAGCCCGCAAAGAATTCCGCATTATCATCCCCTAGAACCAGTCGTCCGAGATGTCCCACCACCGGACCTGTAGCTGGAACTGAGGTAGGGTCATTTGCTTGACCAGAAAGCCCACTGGTGTCTCGCGATGTCCCATTGAGCTCTCTCAGATGTTCAATCTCTTGATTCCGGGACGCTACAGTGGCACTCAGCTCTCGCTCGCGCGCAAAAGCGCGTTGTAGCTGGTTTCGGGCCGCCTCTAGCTCCTGCTGAAGTTGTTGAATAACTTCATCGGTTGGCTCTACATAGCTGTACCTATGTTAGTATGACACACCTCGGGATAGGAATTCATCATACCCTCGAGGAGTAGTCCTTCTTCTTAAGCGAACGGACACAGAACACTCGCTTCCCGCCCTCTCGCATTTTCCACACTAGCCAATTAGCAAAATGAAAAGATGACAGATGGGAGCGGGAAGAGGCTCGTACTCTAGGCTGACGTCCGTCGCATTTGATTCTCTTACTAGTCTCGTTAGAATTTGCGCCCGATGCTCAAAACTCGACTCATTGCTCTTACATGCGACAACGATCGCTATCAAGGTGAGGTCAGTTTTCATCGCCAGTGCAGTCCCTTGCAGATGCTCCACTTACCAAACCTGGGCCGATCGCCTCTCTGTCATAATCGGCCATAAATGACAGCGCTCATTAACATGGATGCTGCAGTGGGCAGTGACGGCGGAACAGTTTGGCCGGCATGAATAGATCGTCGTCCGACGGTGGAGGAAAGGGAAAGCGCTAGTCCCATTTGGGCAGTGGGTCACTGACTTGTGGAGCCCGGAATAGCCGACTATTCCGGCAGGCCTCAGGCATGGCCTGATCCTGGGGTTGACATCACAAACACTACAAGAATTTTCAGAATGCTCACTGTGCGACTAGCATATTGCTCTTATTTCTCGGTGTAAACCTCATAGTTGTAAAATTTCTCGATATATACCACTCATTGCCTTGTCCCTCATTCCCCCACTTCAGCTCATTATATTTCCCCCCTATACATTTTCCTCATGCTTAATGTCCGCTTTTTCTTCCACAAAACTCTCTTCAATCGTAAGGTGGGGGTTCTTCTTTGCGTATTTGACTGTGGAAAACACCGAAGGGCTTTTGCGGAATACCAAATCGATTTCTTCGAGACTTCGACCCATTGTCTAGCTCTTGTTAGCGTGTTGGTCGAACTTTAAACTGGGAGGCATTTACCTCTGGGTAGAAGAAGTACACGGACAGAGGAATGCAGAATCCAATGCACGTAAAAACGATGTAATATTGATATCCGATCATGTCAATCGCCACGGGGGTAATCATAGTCACGGCGAAATTCCTATTACGTTGTCAATATATATCCGAACCATCAGGCCTAGGAAAACTGTATAACTTACCACAACCAATGATTGGCAGTCGAAATACTAGCCATTGCAACTCTTAACCGTGTAGGAGCAACCTCCGTACAATACAAGAAGTTCGCACCGAGGAAGCCAATAGGAATGAAAAAGTTGAACAGAAACACGAACAACACACTGACAACCGAGGCCGCATAGTTGGAATGCGGGAAAGAAGTCGCGATGGCCAGTCCCATCATGCAAGTTGCCATTCCAGTGCCACTAACCGTGAGGACAAATCGACGGCCGAACCTGTCAATGGTAAAGAAGGCGACAAAGCAGGACAGAAACTTCCATGTCAACGTGCCGCCTGATAAAATTCGAGACGTCTGAGATCCCATGTCAAGGCCATCTTCGAATATAACCGTCGAATATACCGAGATGAGATTTCCGCCGGACATTTGCTGGTAGAATTGCAAGAGGATACAGAGACCAAACCGGTAGAGAAGTCGATCTTCGCCCATATTCAGCAAGTCTCCCAACGATGCCGTCTTCCCTGTCTGCTCCAACGAGATCTCCATTGCTGACACCTCGCCATGGATTGTAGAGTCGTCTTCGGGAAGGTTTTTTAAGGCGGCAAGTGTGGTTTGTGCTTCGTGGACGCGGCCCTGTCGGATGAGCCATCGAGGCGACTCGGGCATGAAGAGAATGGCGACGGCAAGGACGAGAGAAAAGAAGATCGGGATCGCAATTGGAGCTCGCCATGACGCGGGGCCGGTTTTGATTTGGTAAAATCCAAGATTGATCCACGCTTGCAGGACATATCCCAAAGAGATAAAAAGGCCATCCAGGACGACGTGCTTTCCTCGGTTCTTAGAGCTGGAACATTCACTCTGCCAGGTTGGTACCGTGCCACTTAGCATACCTACTCCAGCACCCAGGATCGTTCGACCAACAATCAGCTGGGCTAACTGAAAGGCAGATGCTTCCAAGACCTCTCCGACGATGGTGAGTATGGCACCCGCAAGGATGACCAGACGACGGCCGAATTTATCGGCCGTATACGAGCAAGACAGACATCCGATGAGAGCGCCTAATGTAAATGTAGCAATGACCACTCCCTGGATTGTAGCGTTCGAGCTCTTCTGGTCGCCTTCCGTCGTCTTCGTATCAATTCTCGGAAAGTGTTGAACAAAGTCTGAAACTGACACAAGGCCACCCAAATTGGACTGATTATAACCAAACAAAATAAATGAAGGGCAAACCACGGTAATTAATTGTACCAGTGTTAGGGCACTACCTCGAAGGCCCATGAATGCGCGTGGAGAAGCCATCCTGATGGCAGAATGTTAAGCAATTAAAGTGATAAAGAGGGGTTTGAGTGACAGTTCTTGAATGGGCGCCGAGACTTTTATACTGCATTTGACACCTGTCGCTGTCTGGGGTAGACACATTGGCTGATCCGGGGTACAGAATTCCTGGGGTCGGGATTAGGGCTTAATCCGGGGAATGGACGACCGGGGTGGGATAACGTCTTATCCCTGTCAGCCCTAACTGGTCTTATTCCAACCGAGGTGGATCTGGAGGGGTTTGAGCGAGTGGTGCAGTCTTCAATTGACTGTCTTGAATGCTTTACTCAGGCATCAGGCCACGGATTCTATACTGCAAGCTGCTTGTGGCCAAAATGTCACTTGCTAACTTACTATTCAGTTATTTAAATATACATCTTCCATGGTCGAAGAACGATTGGAATAAAATACAAACTTAATTCAAATGATCCTATGTAACCTAGTGCCCATTCACATTCCCATTCAAAGATGCCTTGAGAGCAGTGGCCTTATTCAAAACATCATCCACCATCAATTGACCCGACCCCAAATAGTTCAAAGGATCACACAGCTGCGCCAATCTCTGCTCATCCAAATGCACCGTAACCTCTGAATTGACCTTAAGGACATCTAACAGGATTTTGTCATGTTCAATGGCCGACTTGCAGGCTTCATACACCACGTCATGTGCTCGCTGCCTACCAACAAACGGCGCCAGGCCCATCATGACAGCTTCACCCACGATCAAACCCCCAGTCGAATGAAGATTCCTCTTCATTGACCCCTCCTTCACGCATAGACCTTGCAAAGCAAAGTTCGTCTGATGCAAGGCTCCCACCACGTACGTGAAAGACTCTGGAATAGCAACCCACTCCAGATGCCACGGCCCCGACGCACGTTCAAAGTCGACAACCATCGAATCCAGTCCCAAGGACGCATTGGCCCGCAGGAGCTTAGACGCGGCCAAGATTACCTCACTCGAAATCGGATTCCGCTTCTGTGGCATTGTCGAGGATGCGCCGCGATGAGGCACGAAAGGCTCCGACACCTCGTCCAGCTCATTCGACGACATGACGATGATATCCAGAGCAATCTTTCCCAAAGTCCCACCGATGAGAGCAAGGAAGCTGAGAATCTCCGCGATATTGTCGCGCGCCACATGCCATGTTATCATGGGGTCTTGCAGGTCCAGTTCTTTGGCCAGCTGTGCTCGCACGCGAATGCCCGTGTCGTCGCTACCCAGCGAAGCAAGAGTTCCTGCTGCGCCGCCGAATTGCACCAGGAAGCATCTCTGCTCGATTTCGGATAGTCGCTCTCGATGTCTGATGATGCTGGAAAGGTATACGGCGCATTTGTAGCCAAAGGTACAGGGGAGGGCATGTTGCAGGTGCGTACGACCGGCCATTGGACTAGATAGGCCGTGAGTTCCCAGCCTTTGAAAAGCCTGAGGTAGTGAACTTACGTATCCCGATACTTTTCAGACATTGTCCGCAAAATGCCAATCAATGTGTCAAGGTCCCGCTTCACCAGTTGCACGCCCCTCTTGATCTGAAGAATACTCGCATCATCCATGATATCTTGAGTCGTCGCACCCCAGTGGATGTACTTTGCGATCTCCTCGGGAGTGTTCTCCACCAGTTGCATCACCAACGGCAGAACGGGGTATCCGACGATCTCCGTTTCTCGCGCAAGTCGATCAAAGCTGTTTCATTGTATCAGCTTCTGGCATATAAATTAGCGGACGATTCATCCGTGCATACTCCAGTTTGACCTTTCCCAGCACCTCCGTGATGGCATCTCCGACGTCCGCCGGAATGGCACCTACTTTGGACTCTGCGCGAGCCAAAGCGGCCTCAGTCTCGACGAGGAATTTCACATAAGCCTCATCGGTGAAAATGTCGCGAATCTCTTCGGTGCCGAAGAGGTTTCGAAAGATGCGCGAGTCTAGGGCCGAGATCGACATGGTAGCGGGTGGTTGGGGTGATCTTCCAGGGGATGCGTTTGAAGCAAGTTCTCCAGCTGAGGAGCAGGGATGTTTAACGGGCGCAGTCCCTTATAACTGGGGATATGCGCTCATAAATGGAAATATGGCCGTGGATGGACCCAGAATGAGGCACACCGGAATAGCGTCTTATTCCGAACAGAACGACTCCGGAGTATCAGCGCAGATTAGAAATGGGTCCAATCATGTTACACCGGGCTGATGTCGATTTTCAACTAGTTGAATTTCTTCCACTGACTTAGGCCTTTTTCACCATGTGGCCTTTACCATTTCTATTATTTGTTAGGATTATTAAAACCAGGAAACGTCATGACGAATAATGTTGCCTCAGGCCACCAGGCAAAAATGAGGCCTGGATGCCTGGCCCCCAAGCCTCTTGCCAAGGCTGACTCACAGCCTTCGACAGCTGAGGCTATAAATCGCCTTTCATAGCCCGGTCTTGATCCGACTGGTCGAGAATAGCTGGTTCTATTCTCTTTCATACGGTTGAGACGCTCCGCTCGATATGGCGATCTCCAAGCTCCCCAATGAGCTGCTGCAAGCCATCTTGGAGGAACTGAATCTAGAGCGAGACATCAACGCCTTCATTCGGACAAACCGCCATATTTATCAAAATTTCAACAGCTTTCTCTATCAACACCATGTTCAACATTTTCAAGCTGCGGCATTAGCATGGGCTGCATTACGAAATCGGGAAGAAACGGTCCGGAAACTGCTAGATGAAGGAGCAGCCAACGTTATCCAGACCCAAAACAAATCCAACTCGCCATTATTCCTATCCGCTATATCCGGTCATTTAGGCATAGTCAAACTGCTACTAGATCGAGGATTTGATGCCGATGCTAAGAACGAGACCGGTCGGACGCTGCTCTCGTGGGCAGCGCAAAACGGTCATATAGAAATTGTCAAGCTTTTTTTGGAGAAAGGTGCCAACATGGATTCGCAAGATGACGAGGGCCGCACGCCTCTTTTCTTTACGGCGGAGCGTGGCCATGAACCAATTGCTCGGATTCTCCTAGAGGGCGGTGTTCGACCAGACTTGAGAGATTCCACTTTCCAGCGCACTCCACTTTTCTGCGCCGCGGAGCACGGGAGTTTGTCTATTGCCAAGCTTCTTCTAGAAAAAGGTGCGGACCCAGATCCCAAAGATATACATGGTCGAACACCGCTGTCATTTGCAACGCAGCATGGGCAGCTGTCGGTCGTCCAACTATTGTTGGACCGTGGTGCCGAAGTGGACTCCGCAACCATCCGTGGTCGAACCCCCTTATCGTGGGCAACGCACAATGCCCACGAATCCATCGTCAGACTTCTCCTCGATCGGGGTGCAGACCCGAATTCTTCAGCCCATTCGGGAGAAACCCCGTTGTCCTGGGCGGCGGAGAGAGAGCACATGTCAATCGTTGACATCCTGCGAGAGCACGGGGCACATGTAAATGGTAAGGGGGCAGATGGCCAAACCGTTTTGGCGGCGGCGACGCAAGACGGAAGCATGGCCAAAGTACGGCTCTGGTTAAGACACGGTGCCTTCGTAGACGCGCAGGACCAGTACCAACGAACGCCTCTGTTTCTTGCCACCCTTTTGGGGCGAAGCGACCTTGTTCGGATCCTTCTCGAGCATGGCAGTACCGCGGTGGAAACACCAACTTGTGCGAACCGTACTCCGTTGTCCATTGCTCGTGATTACAACCTAGGAAAGATCCTCAAGCTCCTATCCGATGCGTCAGGTACTCATGTGGAAGCAGAAGAAACAGAAAAGAAGCCGACTGTGGTTAGTTCGGAAGACGAAATCTGTTGCGACAGTTGTGGAATTGACCTACCCATCTATGATGACTATCTTCACTGCAATCGGTGCACTGACGACGGCTTTGACTTATGTCTTGAATGTTCTTCTTTTGGACAATCGTGCGGCGAGCAAGGCCATATTATGGAGAGGCAGAATTTAGTTGCTATAATAACAGCGGGTAATTCGGGGTAGATATCATATATTTGGGGGGATTGGCGCCCTATGAGGTGATAGAGTTAGCAAATTCCAGGAAAATAGCATGAAACTTAGTGTCAATCCCCAACTGCCAACATAACAAGGTGCCCAAGTGGATCTGCCCCATTGGCGTGGATTACCTTATCTTAACGCTGATTATAAATGCTGCCGTGTTTATTTCCCTTAAATCCGGCATCCACTCCCATTTCCTGCCAACAAGCACGCCGGATCCCCCTCCTCGCACATCATCGTCATTCATCTACCCAATGGATCCGAAAGGTCCGTTTCTTTTGGTCCGACACATCCTGGTTATACATCACTTTTATCATGGCCGAAGACCAGCAACATAGAGAACAATCGCCTTCGGAGGAGACGCCGCTCATCACGCGTGCATCTCCGACGTTGGAAAGTCGCATTCATGTCTCCTACATCCGAGGATCAATTATCGTTCTATCGATGGGGCTGCTGTTGTTTATCCAGAGTACGCTTCGATAATTATCTGACAAGAGGCGATGAACCCAATACTGAACGCCATCATAGCTACGAACATGTCGATGATGACCACGGCACAGTCGGATATCGCTGCAGATCTAGATGCTTTTTCGGAAACCACCTGGTTCAACTCGGCCTATCTGGTATACTCTACTCGATTTCGCATTCCAGCGTGAGTTCAGACACTGATTTATTTGCCGTGTCTAGATTGCCGTGTCCAGCGTTACTCCCGTTGCAGGCCGACTCTCTCAGATCTTCAGGCCCCGATTATACATTCTCTTCTCTTGTGTTCTACTGGCTATCGGGCTTTTCATCACAGCAGTTGCGCATAACCTCACGATCTTCCTTCTTGGGCGCGCAGTATCTGGATGCGGAGGTGGTGGTCTCATGATTACTGCTATCATCTTAACTCTTGACCTAGCAAGCAAAAAGCGAAGAGGTCTTTTCATCGGCTTGATCAATGTTGGAATGACGACGGGTATCGCGACCGGTGCGGTGCTGGCAGGCATACTGACGCCAACTTACGGATGGGTATGTTATATCATTACTGCGCGTCATTGACTTGACTTTACTGATAGAATAGCGTGTGATATTCTGGATCCAAGCACCTCTTGCCTTGATTCTAGGCCCGATTCAGTTTTTTGCTATCCCGCACGACCTTGGCGAGGAAAGTTCACGATCGCAGGATCGGACGCTGTTACAGAAGCTGGCCAAGGTCGACTATCTTGGAGCTTTGACTTTGGTAAGTCCAACTCTGGAGATAGCTGGTTTAAACTAATGAAATACAGGCAACATCCGTTTTCCTACTTCTGTATAGCCTTGCATCACCTGAGATTGCTATCACGCCCATAATTCTGTTTCCCATCGCCTTTGCCGGGTTCCTACTGATCGAAGCAAAGTTCGCGTCGGAACCAATCATCCCGGTGGAATTGCTCAAGATGAGAAGTGTCCTGTTGACATGTCTAGCAGGCCTTGTATCAATGATGGCGCGCTGGTCTGTTCTCTTCTTCTCGCCGACGTATGCATTGGTGGTCCGCAATTGGTCTCCGGCGTCGGCCGGTTTGATCCTGGTTCCCACAAATGCAGGTTTTGGCCTTGGTGGCGTCTTGGTTGGATGGATCCATATCCGTAAAACCGGAAGTTACTACATGTGAGTTTGGTTTTGCATTCTGTTATACTCCAGGGGCGTCGACCCCTTACTGACCGAGCTAGTTCCTGTCTGGTCATGTTCCTTCTTTTCGGGTTGTCAGAGCTTGTTTTGGCAGCACTTTCGACGCCCGACTCGCCCACCGCGGCCTATATATTCTTTACTTTCTTGAACGGCCTCTCCATCGGCGCGCTGATGAATTACAGCCTGTCGCACCTCCTGCACCTTACCCGCCCGGACGTGCATTACTTTGTAACCGCTCTACTCGGCATGTCAAGGGGATTCGCAGGGAGTTTCGGATCAGCAATCGGCGGAGGCTTCTTCCAACGGGAATTGAAGCGAGGGCTGGAAACGGGCTTTGCTGACCATGGGTTGGAGAGAAACGATGAGCTCATCCGAAAGCTTCTGGGTAGCCCTGCGCTGGTAAAAAGCTTGACTGGTGTGGAACGCGCCGTTGCCGTGCAGAGTTACGAGCGGTCTGTACAGACGTTGCTGCTGGGGAGCTTTGTGATCACTCTCGTGGCGGTGGCTGCTCAGGCTGGTACAGGCTGGACTCCGTTTCACGATAAGGGGGAGAGGAGGGATGATCTAGAGAGTGTAGATCGGGAGGACTAGACGTTGTAGCACATGTTTATACATAGCGTCCGAGACTGCCCTTGGAGTATTTCTTCTGGTTTATTCATAAGCTCAGAAACTGCGCCAAACCCTTTTTATTGTTTTTGTTTCAAAACCAAAAGTCCCTGATGTTAGACAGACCTTCAACGTTGTTGCCTTGTCGCCTTACTGTACTGCCTTGTTGCCTTACGGTCTTCAGTCTTGGCGTTTCCTCGGCCTCCACAACTTCATCGACGCCTTTCAGGACCAGCTGCATCTCGGAGATCATCCCTAGCAACACCAACACAACATTTATCCTCCGCGCACGAATATTCCTCCTACTCAACCGATCAAAATGCCCCGCGCAGTGAGAGGTACGCTAACACCCAACTTTACCCGCCTTCAATCCACTCACCAAAGCACCAATACAGGAGTCCTTATCGAATGCGATCCCTCCGTCAAAGCGATCATCCTGAAATACGACGAAGAAAGACACGACTATATCGTGGAAGATCTCGACGATGACAGACACCTCGTCATCAAGGAGAGTCAGCTCGAGAATCTGAAATATCGGCTTGGAAAGGTAAAGCACACGACGCGACAACTTCTTGTCGCTCTCGCTCGAATCGTTTTATGCTAATATTCGGGTGAATAGGAACTCGATGATAAGGTCATGCAGCCAAATGAATCGGAATCGGAATAATTTGTCCGTGAGCTATGCGCGTCGGATATGTCCCTCTTCCTCCATCGTCGTCTCTGTCTCTTCGTGCGCAACTCTCCGCTTCCTGCGATAGTACCTCGATCGGAGTTTTTGATGGATATGAACAACTCGAGATCTTCAAGTGATATGATGAGGTCCGATTCCAACCCCGACGATCGAGGTTCGAACTCGCGACCGATATGGCACGCAGCATCGCGCCCACGCGAATCGCAAGACATCGGACGACTTCTCCGGGTCTAGCAGCGCAGATAACCAGTTGGAATTTGGCCCCCGAATAGAGCTTCCTTGATCCAGGGAAGGTGGGCGAATTATCGGGGCGCGATTCGGTTCAACATGGGAACGGAGACAACCTGTCTGGCTACTCGTTTGACATGATTTCGCTTCTCGGATGCGTCCTTTCATGACATGATATTGTACCTCGTGCGCTTGGTCATTATCAACTTCATCAGAATTTGCTTACAAAATACGCCAGCAACCGGGTATAATAGCGACCGTCAAGCGCAGGGTATTGGATTACTCGCATTTCCAATCGCGAGCTTTTCGAGACGCTCTTAGATTAGCTACAGTAGCAGAGGCCCAATACATCAAAACACTTCTAAACATTACTTAAACATTGCACTCAGTAGATCGATAGTGCAACCTTAATAGGGCATTACTTTCTCTAGAAAGCTGGACAATTCACGTCGCGATTCCGATGATTTTGGTTGCTTCATTTTCTAAATATATATATTTGCAGTCAACATATGCCTCCAGATGATCCAAAAGTTTGTACAAAGAAGCCTTGCCCTCTAGCATACCTACAATATACCATCGTAGCCAGCAGTAGTCCTGAAAAATATCCATAAGTGCTCCTGCCAACGCAAATGCCATCCAAGTAAATCCGGTAAACAACGGCTTCATCCCAGTTTGCCCGGGAACAACGGCGCCAAGCCATGTGCGGCAGATTGCGTACGCCTGATTGGACGACTGACAGCGGCGGCGGCTGAGTCATCCGCATTGTCATTGATCGCGTCGAAGGGCCGAGAACTTTCCCGTCCTCCCCAGAAAGTTCCCCCGCGCAGCCACCTCCATTGCCTGATCGTTCCAGTGCCTTCAGGAACAAGGAAATCCTGGATATCCAATGCAATCTGGCATCATCTGCAACCTCCTCGCGCATTCTGGAATCATGCGGTGCGGGTATATAGGGGGCCTGGAGGTCCGTCCAACGAGTCCTCATCATCATCAACGAAGCATCCACAAGTCTCAAGGATAACAAGCAATCCTCCAAACAAACCACAATCGCAATCATTCTGTCTCATCTGAGCAAATATCTCCTTCCAACTACATCCAAAATGTCTCTCTTCCGTACCATCCCCTCCGGAAACGACTTCGGCGCTCTCTTCCGCCTCCTGGACGACTATGACGTCCACCGCTCCTCTCGCAGTCAAACCTCCGTGCGCTCATTCGCACCTCGCTTCGACATCCGCGAGTCCTCCGATGCCTACCACTTGGACGGCGAGCTGCCGGGCATCGCCCAGAAAGACGTCGACATTGAATTCTCCGACCCGCAGACCCTCGTGATCAAGGGCCGCTCCGAGCGCGAATACCACACCCCCGAAGCCGGCGAGGGCACCAACGAATCCGCCCAGGGCGAGAGAAGCGAAGTCGCCCAGACTGGCGAGAAGCAGGTCACCAAATCCGAGGGCAAGCCCCGCTTCTGGGTCAGCGAGCGCTCTGTCGGCGAATTCCACCGCACCTTCTCCTTCCCCAGCCACGTGGACCAGGAGAAGGTCAAGGCCAGCCTGAAGAACGGCATCTTGTCCGTGGTTGTTCCCAAGGCTTCGGCTCCCTCTTCCAAGAAGATTGTGGTTGAGTAAATGACTCGACTACTTGAGTACGTCGGTTGACGATTACGAGAATGAGAATACGATACTTTGCTGTTTTGTTTTTGCTCGATTGCTGAGTTGCATGAGCTTGCTGAGTTGAGGGTTGAGATTGTGATACTGCTTTCCTTTGTATAAATAGTCTAATTAATCAATTGTTTTTGAATTTTTAACCGTTCTTTTTCTTCATCTCGTAGAAAACCATGGACATTAGCATGTAGACCAGCTCCTTGAGTTACGACCAAACCCCTCGCATTAGTATGCGGTATGACGTCATTTATATAGACTTCTGGTCTACTTGAGAATCTTCTATCTTCAGATAGTAAGGTTCCTTGAAACGGCCATTCCGACTAGGTAGATCTAGTCTAGTCATCCAGGATACTTTTACGGAACTGGAATACCTAGAGTCAATGTTCATCTACTAATCAGTAATGTTTACTCTCCACAACCGAGCCGAGGCACGTGAACAACTACAATGCCATACAAATATAGGGATCCTTGCCCTGCTCAGTTCCTCTGGAAAAGCACATGGTTCGCCCTCTATAGCCTCCCATCTACAAACCGACCTGATCAACCCCCAAGAAGACCCCAGACCCCACAGTCGCTCCACCCTCCTTCCGGACGGAGCAGGACTGATAAAGTCAATCTTATCAGTTGCCGAGGTCCGTCGGCCACTCGACAATTAAAGGGACAACTTATCCCCAACTTCCTCCTACATACACCCACCTACCTTCACATCCTTTTCACACCAAAAAAGCAACAATGGCGACCAAATACTCCTACAAGTACTTCCAGGTGCACTTCCCAGCCGACCATGCCTACGTCGCGCACGTGGAAATCAACCGCGCGGACAAAATGAATGCATTTTTCGAAGCGTAGGCACCATACCATCCCATGTTCCCCAATCAACCCAGGAACCTAACTAACAGACAAACAAAACCAAAACAGCATGTGGCTCGAACTAGCGCAACTCTTCAACCAACTCTCCACCGACCCTTCCGTCCGCGCAATCCTCCTCACCGGCGCCGGCGAGAAAGCCTTCACAGCCGGCCTCGACGTCCACGCCGCCTCGCAAGGTCTCCTCTCCCCAGACTCCAACGACTCCGCCGACTCCGCGCGTAAAGCCTCCCACCTCCGTCGCCACATCTCCTCCTTCCAAGACTGTATCAGCGCGGTGGAGCGGTGCGAAAAACCCGTGATCAGCGCGATGCACGGATTCGCGCTGGGACTCGCCATTGATCTCAGCACGGCGACCGACGTACGGATCTGTGCGCGCAACACGAAGTTCGCTGTCAAGGAGGTGGACATCGGGCTGGCGGCGGATATTGGGACGCTGAGCCGGCTGCCCAAGGTGGTGGGAAATAACGGGTGGGTGAAGGAGGTAGCGTTGACGGCGAGGGTGTTTGGGGCCGAGGAGGCAGAGAAGGTCGGGTTCGTGAATGCCGTGTATGAGGATAAGAAGAGGACGGTCGAGGCGGGACTTGCGTTGGCGAAGGTGATGGCGGAGAAGAGCCCCGTGGCGGTGCAGGGGACGAAGGAGATTCTGAATTGGTCGAGGGACCATTCGGTTCAGGATGGTAAGTTCTTCCTTTTTCTTTTTTCTTGGGCGCTGGGGAGATCGGCTAATTGGTGATGATAGGGCTTCGATATACGACTGTGTGGAATAGTGCTGCGTTGCAGACCAAGGATGTGTCGGATGCGTTGCTTTCGGGAATTCAGAAAAGGAAGCCGACTTTTGAGAAGCTGTGATTGTGTCAAAGAAGGGTTGGGTTGGTCTGTACACTATACTCATTATCTGATATAGATGCTGGAAATTCTAGTAAACGGAACATCTGTTGCCCTTTGGCATACGTTGTATCTGTCTCGGTATGGCAATTTTATTCAAAAGCTATCACCAAGGAAATATCATGCCGGAAGAAAAGAAGAGATGAAATTCATTAAACATATAGAAAACCCTATCTAAGCAATAGCTTTACTTTTCAAGTTCCGATGGACACCGACCCAAGAAGATGGAAAAGCAAATCAAGTAGATCCATTGAACTACAAGGCGAAAACACGAACCAGGGTTGTTACCTAGTACATCCCCAGAATCCACTCCTCGCACTTCTACTATAAACAGCGAGCAAAAATAAGAACGCTTTGACATTCTTACCGTGGCCTCTACCCCGCAGTTCATCTACCGCGATTTTCTTAGGATAGCCAAAGCTGCCACAACCTCGGTTCAATTAATTGCCTACCCAGTTCACCTAATTCCTCACATGCACCGCCTTTATTAAAACCATATTATTCTCTTGGCGAATGTGTATCGAAATTCCTTTTCCGCCAAACAATCATGTCCGAACAAAGTAACGAGCCCATCATCTCGTCCCAGAATCAAGCACCTGATACGCGAAAAACTCAAGATGAAATCGAGAAGGCCCTGGAAGAAGCAAGGCTGAAGAAATTCGAGGAAGACAAAGCACGAAAGGAGAAGGATAAAGGCTCCTGTTCTCGCTGGGCCCCTGGAGCCTGGGACGCAGCTCGCGCAGATTTTGCAGCCGGAAAGATACCGCCAGAGCCATGGTTCCCTATAATAATAAACGATTACATGACGCCGGAGAAGATACGGGAGATTTGTGGCCTTCCATCACCGCCGACAATTGAATGGACGACTACCGCGCCGTTTGAAACAGACTATACCAGCACAACAAAGAGGGTTCAGTACTGCACTGTCCACGGCTGGGAGGCATCTTGTTTAATCCGTGAAGCGTCTCATGGAGAGAGTGTGCTAGTTTGGTTCAAGGACGAAAGACGTTCTGCTTGGCAGGCAGCCGCAGAGGCGTTAGAAAGCGAAGACGAGCGTTGAGACGGGAGAGAAGGAGGGAGGATTAGGGTAAATTGTTCATTCAAAGTACCTTTACGATCGGAACTTGATTCGACTGTATATTTATTGCGAAAATATCGTGCGGAGTTGGAAGCCGTGGGAAGCTATCAGTGAGAATGTCAGAGAAAAGAAGAGAGAGACAGGAAATAGTGTTTATTTTCAAGTCGGTACGTCTGGATCATTGTATCATGACACAAGGCGTCTTGTAATCCAAGATATTCTTTTATCATATCCAATTGGCAAGTTCAAATGCTTGAGCAATAACAATCCGACGATAGTATTTGCCTTTGGTTAGTAAGAAAAGATGATTGTAGAGACATAGTATTCTTCATTCAACCCAATTATCAATTAATCAATCGAAATCCAATTAAAACGATGGAGCCTATCTACTGGAACAACAAGCTATTCGCCCAAGAAAGACCGAGGAAAAGAGGCGATTTTGTGCGACGATACAGACAGGATGGGAAGACTAACTAGATGGTGATCTGGAGTTACACCTGGGATTCATAGCATTAAACTTTGAATGTGCCCCTTTTAACCGCCTGTAATAGCACCTCTGAAAACCTCAACAGGCTTGTACTCGGGGAGTTTAAAGTCTTCACTTCTAAACGCAGAGTCCCAGGCTACCACATCGAGAGGCTTTCTGGGCATATAATCGGCCTGAAAGCGAACGAATTGAACAATTATGCCTACTTCCTCGAGTAGTTCATTAGATGTACGATCCACATCCTGTTGAATAACAAGAGTACGATGCTGCCATGGGTGGCCCCAGACAACTCGGAACAGGGCCCTGTCATATTCACCACGTCCAGCATAATGTTGAATCATATCGTATAAGAGACCCATATAAAGACCGGTTTGGGACATCGGAAGCGGTGTGGATTGAGAAGGGTTTTCATCCATAATTCCTTTCGAAACAACTTCGTTGTGATCTGAAGATTCATACCACACATACCCTAGTGCTAGAGGGGCCGGTTGAGACACCAACATCCGGCGCCAGCTGGCGCCGGATCGAGTGAAAGCCTTCTGCCGTGGCAAAAGCTCGACTGGCAAGTTCAGCTCGTCGCAGCTTTGGCTACTACCGTGATCGTCCGCCCACCATGGCATATCCATGGCAAACTGATAGGGCTTACAGAATTTGCTCCAACAACTTATATCGAAGAAGAGAGAGCCAAAATGTTTGAAAAGCAAAGGGTTGAGAAAGGCCATAAGCTCGTTCTGGCTTTCACGGCTGTGAAACCAATCGAGAAACCAAGGGTTATCCTTCATCCAAGGTCCATTCTTCAACCAACGATCATCTTTAGTTATATACGCAGATGGTGGTTTGCTATAGGATGGAACTGGCTTGAAATATAAGGCCTGTTGTAGCCGGATAGAAGCAGATATGAGGCCAAACCAATATCGATCCACACGCTGAGCTGAAACTAGAAGGGTGGCCATGTCTAGCTCCAGGAGGATGGCTTCCAAGAGCTCCGGTGTGGACAAGGCTGTTTCAGCGGCAGTGCTTGGCATGGCTGGTGCTGAATCGTGTCCCGTGGTGGATTAGGGATTGTTTGAGGATGGAATAGGCACAGGCAGGCAGGGGCGTAGATCGATGGAATTGTTGACAGTTGACAACCAACGATGGAGAGTCGATGGGGTGCCTGACGGTGCCTGAGTCATGTGTCCTGCCGCGTGACGGTGGAGACGCCCAACAGCCCACCGGAACTTTCTCTCATCTCCATCATCCCATCCTCGCCGCCCTCGACATCATCAACATCAAACCCGAACTATCTCCGCCTCTTCTGCTTCCAAGATCCAGGTTAGGAATCCTTCCGACATGGCGAGTCCAAGAGGTGGAAAAACCCAAGACAGAAAACCAACCATCCAGCAATCCTGACGCACGCCATGCGGGGAAGAAAAAAGCCCATCACGTCGCAGTCACATAGACGCCAATTGATTGTCCTGAGCATTTCCTCATCTAGGGCCCGATCGTCCACTGCTTTCCTTTCCTCCGTTCAGATCCGTCGGAGATTTTCTTCTTTCCTGACGGAGAATCCACCTAGATTATCTGACTAGGTTAGGTTATTTTTAACTGCATTTCGGAGTGCCACTTGTCGGTGTCAATGCCAATGCCACTGTCAGTGTCATCATGGCGGGTCCCTCCCGTCCAACCCGTCCGGAGAAGCTGCTGCGACAAAGTGGCTGAAGTCTGAAACTCCGCTTGTCCGAGGTCCAAGAAACCCGCATCAGCCTGTTTAGATGCGCTCGGCACTTGATCGTCCGAAACGGGGAATTTTCCCACGTATGTTGAATGGCGGAGGGTATTGTTCACGGCAGCGTCTTGCCCAAGCTTAGCTTAGCTTGTATGTATGCACTCCATGTTCGTGCTCGGGTCTCTGGGATTTAATTTATTTTCCTCTGCCAACTCTCCTCCTGTGGGGGAGCAGATGCATCTCCTCTGTACCTGCCAAGTTATTTGCCCTCGGGGCACAGGAAGAGGTAGGGAAGGGGGAGGTATAAATATGGGCCCAAGGAACTCTCTTGTCGATTATACTCCAAGTCTTCCTCGCACTTGCACAGTTGAGCCGGACTCGAACCATACTCCCTACAATCACAATGCGGTCGTTCATCCTCCCTCTTTCTCTCCTCCCCGGCGCCCTCGCCGCGACGGTCTACCTGGCCGGGGATTCTACCATGGCATCCACCAACGGTGGCACCACTGATGGTATTTACACACCCATCCCGTTCTCTCTGTCACTCTCTCGACAAATTAGACTAACGTAATAAGGCTGGGGCGACTATATCACTGAGTACGTCTCCGGCACTGTCAGCAACAAAGCGATTGGCGGACGCAGCGCGCGCTCCTACACGCGGGAAGGTCGGTTTGACGACATCGCCTCAGTAGTCCAATCTGGCGACTACGTGGTGATCGAGTTCGGGCACAACGATGGCGGCTCCCTAGGCAACGACAACGGGCGCACCGACTGCCCAGGGACCGGCGACGAGACCTGCGAAACGACGTACGACGGCCAGCAGGAAACCGTGCTCACGTTCCCCGCATACATCCAGAACGCCGCGAAGACGTTCACCGCCAAAGGCGCAACCGTGCTGATCTCTAGCCAAACACCCAACAATGTCTGGGAGACTGGCGAGTATGCCTACACGCCATCGCGCTTCGTCGAGTACGCCCAGCTCGCGGCGGAAAATGCAGGCGTGGAATACGTGGACCACGGGGCTTATGTAGCCAGCCGGTATGAGAGCTTGGGAGGGGACACGGTGAACAGATACTATCCTAGTGACCACACGCACACGAGCCCCGATGGAGCGGCTGTTGTTGCGGAGGCGTTTTTGAAGGCTGTTGTGTGCAGCGATGTTGCGCTGAAGGAGGTGTTGTCGACGGAGGACTTTGAGGGAGAGTGTTTGTAGTCATCTTTGTGTTGTTCCTTTATACCAGTGAGGATAGTTAATTGATATTTTCCAAGTTATGATATCTCTTGGTTCGCATTGGTAATAGTAGACCATTATTCCTTTGAAGATTTATCTTTTTGTTTATCAGTTCTTGGTACTAGAGGTCAGGACGGGGACTAGGAACTAGAAGCGACCAGGGTCCACATGTCCAAAGGCGTAATGAAGTAAATGTAAATTCGAGTTGGCATATTTAGTACATGAACTTGATTACTGAAAGCCTTCTTGATTCCAAAAAAAAGAACTCATTTACTTAACTTCCAAACAATCTCTTACCGATAACTCGCTCAGACATGTTAGTCGGCGATTTCAATGCATTATTTGGGTTTAGCCAAACCAGACGACTAGGATCCTCCTGGAAGATATCCAGTTGCTTCATAGTCCTCTTACTATGCATCGGATTGGTAAGAAGAACCTTGACTGTAGGATAGAGCGTCGCGTTATCGACAAGGCTGTGTAAGCATTCCATCACGATCCGAAGATCACCAAAGGTTCTCGGCGTGTCTAAGCGGGAGATAGAATCAATGACCAAGCAGACCGTCACGTCTTCAGGGAATTGTTCAACAAGGCAGTACAGTAGCTCGCAGAGTGCGTCAAGGTTGTGCTCTTCGAGGTCCTTGACTTGGTCCCACTGATTAAGGAAGTCCAAATTGGGCCTGCTTAGCTCCATGAGCTTCATGAGAAGCTGCATTGTAATGAGCCGAACCAGCCCATTCGGCCCATACCAGGGATCCTGGGGGCGAGAATGGCGACCGCAGAAGTAGTGGACGACCACATCCTCGGGGCGAGCTGTGATCATGCTAGTGATGAAGGTGGCACTGAAGACGGAGATGACGGAGGTTTTGGACATGCCTGGGTTCCGGATATTGGCATCAACCATGATGAGATCTGAGGCACTGTTTTCAAGCCACTGGAGAAACCGGTCCTGTATGAGAAGTGCTGCTTGCACTTGTCGCTGGCTGTCCTGGCGCAACTTTCCCTTGTACGTGAGCGTAGCTTCTAAGTCCCTATTGGGTTCTTGGAGAATATTGCTTAGGTCTGAGAGCTCATAATCCTCTGGCTGCGCCCCTAGGGAGAGTATCTGGAATAGCTGAGCTTCTCCGACTATGGCGGTTGGTTTGTGTGCTCGTAACTGTTGCCTCCGAAGTCTCTTGATCTCCATTTGCTGTTCTGATGCGACTTGAGATCAGCACATCCATGGTTGCTGTCAGGGGGGCGTCAGGTGACCTCACTCTTGGACTCGCGCAGCACGTGCACCAGATCCGTTCGCGCCTCGATTTGGCAGGCGCGGAGATTCTGTTCGCGTTCGGCCAGGCGACGCGTGTATCGCACAACCTCACTCAGCATGCTGTGCATCTCCTCATACCCCCGTCTATAATCCTGATCTCGAATATCCTGCTTACGGTCCATGTGTTGTATCCGACTGTCTGCTATGAGAACATCGTCGTGAATCACTGGCAGACTCTGCGCCATGAACTGCGTCATGAACCCGGTGGCTTCAATGGCATTGTCTCGTGCAAGATCTACCGCCTCCTCGAACTCCTTGGTCGAGTTCGCGAGCTTTTCGAGAATTGCATCGGCATCCGGGGGAGGTGCCCGGTCTTCTTTCTTGTGATGACGGGTGAACTTCGGGCGCCACGATTTATCCTTTTTCATGGTCAAGAGGATCATATCTTCGATGCACTCGACAATGGTCTTTGTGAGATGATCCGCCTGCTGACCGACCTCCTTGTTTGAGAGGAAACTTCGTCGCTCGGGATCAGCTCGCGCGAGAGCATCTCGAATCCCGGCAAACGCGTTGAAGATTTTCTCTCGTCGCGCACTCGAGCGTTCGGCAAGCTGCAAGGATGGATTCTGTTAGGGAGGGCTACCTTCCGTCTACAAACGAGCGAAGAGGAATTTTCACCTTGAACACAACGGCGAGGCCCGTTTTGACAACGGCCAGGCCATATTCGTTGGGTATGAGCGCAACCCAAGGGTCAATCATATCCTTCCCCTCACCGATGCTGTACCAGATTGAATGCCAGCGACCATTTTTCCGCTCCTTGTATTGATCCTCGGCGCCGGCCAACCTTTCTGACAGCTCTTCGAGCTTTGCGGCATTTTCGGGAAGCTCCAGTTCAAGTTTCGTCAACAGCGTACGCCTCAGGACCTCTTCCAGAGATCTGTTCCGTCGGGTTTAGTCTCATTTTTAGGTTCGGTATAGGCCGGCGCTAGAAGACGTTGGAACTCACTTATGTACATCCACAGCAAGGTAACGGTCCTTTTCTACGTTGTGTTGGGACGTGCCAGCCAGACTTAAGTGGATGTCTGGGCCCTGGGAACCGACGAACGTGACGGCGGGAGAGGTGTATTGGCCCCCACCGCGATGCTTTGTGGACAGAGACATCGTCGAAAGTCTGAAAGTCTGGAGTTATGCTACCAGCACTGCCCAAAGGAAGGCTTTCGAAGACGGTTGGCAGTGGCACGTGGAGTGTGTGTGGAATTGGCAGCAGACACCGGTGCTCATCACCAGAGGGAATAATGGCATTACGAATACTTTGCCGTTGACAGGAGAAAGGATTCCGATCTTCTTTTTCAGTGTCAGCTTTCAAAAGTCCCGCCCTCGCATATCATTTCCCCACCAAGACGCGGACCCCACCCATTTCTTCAGAGCAGTTCGGACACTTTGAGTCGGCAATGCACAGTGGTGGGACTGCGGCTGAATCCGGCTGAGCCTACGTGTACAGCGTCGATTGGATTGAGTCACAGTTGTTTGTGCGGCGAGGCTGGAGGATGCCTTTCATTCCCCTCCTGCTGACTTTGGTTCAGGGAGGCCAAGGTGTACGGGCCAATGAGGGCCAGGGCCACAATGGAGGATTGTAAACTAGGCATGCAGGTAAGATTGTTGATGCTGTGACCTCCCACACTACGCGCTGGGCGATCGCGTACCCCCTGATGGCCCACATTGGGTTGGGTCGAGTCTGTCACCGATATATCAGATATCGGCCACAGTGACCCCAGTGGATGCCACGCCAACTCCTCCCAGACCAGACCGACCCAGCAGCTATAAGGACTGAATAACGTTCTCCAACCGTGCAAGCTTTATTTTATCCCTACTTGATATTCTGATGAATTCGTTGTCCTGTACTTGACCTGGAGACACGGCGGCAAGATGGAACGCATGGAGAGCCCGGGTAGGGAGGTTAAGAGCGAAGCTGCCGACCAAGACGCCTTCCACATAAAGCTTATGGCTCCTCCCGTTGGAACGATAGGCGAGGAGTTTGATGAAGCAAAAAAGAAGGCCTGGGAGGAGAATCGCCAGAAGATGGCGTTGAAAGCGGTCGTGGAGTACCTCGACTACAGCCACTTCAAGAATCGCTTTGCGGAAGACGAGGGCCTGGCGGTCATCGAGGTTCTCTTGGGCCATCACACACTGGCACAGCAGATTTGGCAGGAGTCAAACCAGCGCCACATGCAAGGCTGGGGAATCCGAATTAATCGGGTCCCATCGCGGACCAAGGAAGATGGCGACACTTGGATCCAACGCGTGAGGGTTCAATCGCCTCAGCTTCTTCTCCTGCTGTCCCGCTTGACTGGCCATCAGGAACAGTGGGCTAACGCTGGCGCCCGAGTCTTCTACCGACCGTTTCTTTCTTTTCATTATTATCTTCCGCAGATGAAGAAATGCCTAGAGATTTTAGAAAAGAACTGGTCGGCAGCAGATAAGATGGAGGGCTCTAATCTAGCTATTCCATCAAACGTCACCCCAAGGGCCCAGGACCGCCGTGGAGACGCTAAAGATGAATCCAGTCACGCAAGTGATGAATTCAGGCCCATGACGCCCGAGGAATCCGTGGTAGGGCCGATCGCAGATTCGGTTACAGCACTGCGCCATGTTCGGACTTATGTACAGTTCATGGAGACGGAAATCACTCCTCTCTGGGAGCGTGCAGCAGGAACAACGCAGCGCAAGGTCTCCTTCTTAGACTTGTGGATGTTCTTCCAGCCGGGCGAGCTAATTTACGTTCCTTCGCTGTCCGAATCGTCCTCGGGACAGATCTGGCCGGGGCCAGCCAATATCTCTCAAAAGGTTTGGAGGCTTCACACGATTGGTCGTGACTCGTTTTCGGAGTATACTGCTCAATGTGATATCCCCTCCAAGTCGAGCCAGGAGCTCGATCTCTGGTGCTATTTTATCGACTTTAACGGGGTCTCCTACGAGCCTTTTGTCGAGAGATTCTCCATCCGCTCCTACGAGGGTCTGCGGGATATCACCACGCTGAAGGTGTACCCCCTCCGTTTCTTCAAGGACAAGGACAAAGTCCTGGACGCTCAGCGAAAGCAGGGGCAGGAGTTTCAAAAGGCTCTGGATCAGAAATATTTATACTATGAAGGTTGGACGCTCGCCTTTGAGCCCACAGACCACCAGAGGTTGTCCGAAGGGGGGAACACGGAGCACATAGATAGTCCGGTGATGATTGACTTTGTTGAAGCCCATAAATCGGATGAAGGCCTCGCATCAAAGTCGAACTTCACACTGGGATGGTCTGAGGGCAGTTGGTCGGCAAAAGAAGATCCGATGGCGATCAGGCATTGGGACGACAGCGGATACCATGTGCTGGGAGAGTTCACGGAAACCAGACAGTTGGAGGAGAGATTCGAGGAGACTTTCAGCAAGTATGATCTCGAACACAACACATTCCTCCGAGAATCCCGCGAAGGAAGCGTAACACAAGTTGGAGATGATGATTTGGTTCTTCTACCTCGACGCGTTGTCGGATATACTTTTCACGAGCGGAGATTCGTTCGGTTCGATACGCGCTGGCTGCGGCCAATTTCGAAAACCGAGAATGTCTTCAAAGACTTGAGAATCGACGAAAGCCACAAGCGCATGGTTCGGGCGCTAGTCAAGACTCATTTCCAACGTCAAAGGCTGAATTTGGACTTGATTCGGGGCAAAGGCTCCGGGCTCGTCATTCTCCTGCACGGTGTCCCCGGGGTGGGCAAAACGGCAACGGCGGAGGCTGTCGCTCAGGCGAACAATAAGCCTCTGTTTGCCATTACTTGCGGTGATCTGGGATTTACGCCTGAATCCGTAGATACCCATCTGAAGGAGATCTTCCGTCTCGCACATCGCTGGGGTTGTGTGCTACTCTTAGACGAAGCAGACGTGTTTTTGACGCGCCGAGATATAAGCGATTTGAATCGGAATGCTTTGGTATCAGGTACGTGACCAGGTATTTCGTGGTGTATATGATCATTATTTTAACACCGTCTACATGCTAGTCTTTCTCCGAGTACTTGAATATTACAGTGGGATTCTGTTTCTCACCACCAACCGGGTCGGCATCCTTGACGAAGCCTTCAAGTCACGCATTCACCTGACCTTGCATTACCGAAATCTCAGTAGGGATCAGACTCTAGGAATCTTTGAGACTAACATCCGCCGGTTGCGACGAGCAGAAGAGGATAAACGGAAACGACTTGCCGCTGACCCTGATCTGCCACCCGCACCCACACTGAGGATCGATGACATCAGTATTCTAGACTATGCTGCATGGCACTACGACAACAACGAGGACCACCGTTGGAATGGAAGACAGATCCGGAATGCCTTCCAAGTTGCATATTCGTTCGCTCAGTTCGACATGCAGTCCGGTGCGCTGGATGCATGGGATGAAAATGCCGAAGAAAACGACGAAGAAACCACCCCGAGCCCTGAGGAAGATAAACCAGTTCCATCAGTGAATGTCAATCATGTAATGGACTACCAACAGTTCGAACTCATCGCGAACACCATTCGCCGGTTTGACAACTACCTATTTGAAACCATCGGGGAGACCGAATCCGAGCAAGCCTTCAACTATAGTCTCCGGGCCGACTATCATGACCCTGACGAGTTAGACGATGGTCTAGTCTATACCCCGCAACCGCCTTCCCAGAGAGCACGCCGGGGACGACAATACAACTATCCCCCTCGAGGCTCATCTCGAGGTAGAGGACAGGCCCGAGGCGGTCCGTCCAGAGGTGGAAATGGAATGCCCCGGCCTGCGCGCCAGAATCTTCCACGAGAGGCTTCTCCGACCCCAGCTTACAAGCCGCCGTCTAAAGATGTCATCGGTCAGCAGCAGGCTCGAATGGCACCCCCCAGAGGCAGAGGGCCACAAGGAACGCCAAGGTCCTCTGCCAGCCCCAGGTCTGCTGCCCCCAGAGCTCGCGGTACCGGCGCCCCGAGACGACCCCCTGGGCAACGGTCTGCTGGGTATCAGCCTGGTTATGCTGACAGTGGTTCCCGGGATATGGAACGCTCCGACTACGATGATTACTTGGATGCCGAGGGATACGAGGATGAGGCTTACGAAGGATACGACCTCGCGGAAGATGACCAAGATGATTACGATAATGGTTACTATGGACATTAGATAGTCTAATAGAGCCAACCGAAGTAGATCGATTTGCAATTCAGCCAAAAGAACAATGTGTATGTTCCAATCGTCCTATCTAACTCGTCAGAATTATATGTATAAATAAGTATATAGATAAAAAATACCAAAAAGTACCAAAAAGAACCATCATGTCACCGAAGACAAACTGAGAGAAAAATCCGCCCCGAGAAGGATATCACCAAAAAGAAAGCAAGCCCAAAATCATCAAATGCTAAATTCAATCTAAAAGTCCATCAATGCAAGGATCATCGCATGCGCTGTGCTGCATCTTCCATATTCCGACAAGAAGAAGCGGGTGGGTATAAAAAAATAGAAATATAAAAAAAGGCATAGTCAGTTCAAAATAATCATTTCAATTTCAACTCCTCTAGTGTCTTTCGAACAACACCCCGTTTCTCCAGTCTAGTGTAATAAAGGGCCAGATTGGGATGGACTTTATTAGACAGCGGGTCGCTGCCGAGCACGATCTCTCTGAGAACGGGCCAGAAGGCGCAGTCGTCGATTCCGAAGGTCGCGCCGCTGAGGTAGACGCTCTCGTCGAGGACATCTTCCCATGTGTCTAGTGCTTTGAGAACTTCGGGTTGGCTTTGGGATTTGTACGCCCGCCAGCTGGCGAGGAGTTTTTCGATCTCGGACAGGTGGCTGCCGCCGCGGAGGATCTCAACTCCAGGGCGAGTGAGTTCGGATGACCGCTGGGCGAGATAAGTCATGATGTTGACGTCGCCGGCGATTTTGGTGCCGTCAGCGCCGATGTAGAGAGGTTCTTGGGTGGCATCTTTGCCGCTTTGTTCTGGGATTTGCCCTTCGTCTATATCGTAACGAATGCCGTTCTCGCCGAGATAGATCAGGACACGAAGATTGGCCACAATATCCGAGCCCAGTACGATTTTGACCGTTGACGTGGTGACGAAATTGACCACGTCGAACCCGTCGCCGTACACGGCATCCCAGTCGAACTCGGTGGTCTGATTCTCTGCCCCGAACGCGTGGATCAGCCGTTCTGTCTCGGCGGAATCGCCGTGAATGACGGGGTTTGCTTGTTCTTGATTTTTCGAAATAGCACCCTGTCCCCAGATGGTGTCGCCAGATGGGTTTAAGAACGTGCCGATGTGTCGGAAGGTGAGTGAGATGCGCTTGCCTCCGTAGGCGCGCTCTTCCATCGATCTCTCGGTGTCTGGACGCTTATCGGGTCGGATGCCGTGGAGCCAGCGCATGTTGGTCTGCTCACCGAGTATAAACAGCGATTCGTGCGGCATCGGGACGCGTTGGGAAAGTCGGCTAGATTCCCCTTCATTCGTCTGGGACTTGTTGCGGAGAACCATGACTCGTTGGGCACCGAGACTGACATTGCAGATGGACGACCCGCGGACAATATCCAGAGTCTTGTCCGAATGTTCGGAAATGCGATCCTGCCCATCTCGGTAAAGCTGGATGAGAACATGATTTAGGGGATGCCCAAGTATTCGTTCTACATTAGCGCGTACACGATCCACCGCGGGAGTGAAGGGTTGTAATTGTGGCGATTCATCGGCTGGATGGCGATATATAGGAATCGATCCGTCGTCTAAAGGACGGCCTTGAACGGCAACAAGACGTGGAACCTGTCCAGACAAGTGGTACATCTTCTGCCAGGTAACCTCATTGCGGATCTGTTCGAAAGCATCGGCGGCGAGATCGAGATCATAGATGATGCGCGAGTCACCCTCGCCGATGCGATCGCCCGGTTTGAGGAAACCCGGCGACCGTTTGGGCTGCTTGCCGCTTCGTCGAGCCTCCGGCCGCGGAGCCGACTCAGTCTTCGGGTCAGTCTTCGGGTCTGAACGTCTCGGTCGGCGTACGCGTGGGCGCGCAGTCTTCTCAGCCGATTGTGGCGAGCTCGCTTGCGATGCGGCTCGCGAGTAGCGAGAACTGCCGCGAGTCAGTTTTGCCAGCTCCAACAAGTCTCCGTCCTCGTCATCGGAATACTCTGCCAAGATATCCTCCAAATTACGACGCGAGCTGCCCCTGCCCGACGACCTCGAAGGGTCTTTCGGAGGGCCCAAATGACGCGTTCGGCGAAAGTCGAGGCCATCCATGAATCCCTCGATGCCGGCGGGAGTTGCCGACCGTGCCGGTCGGGGCGCACCTTTGCGAGCGATCGCATCGGTCTCCTGCCAATCCAGCTCCTCCATCAGCTCCTGCGAAGTGATCCCGTTCGCTCCAAAAATATCCGCCATCCGTCGCATGGCTTCCTCGTGGCGGGGGAAGCTCCGGAAGCCCAGACAGTCCTCGATCAGGTTGACGGAGAAGCCGTGTCGCACGGCGTCGAGGGCGGTGGCGTAGACGGAGATGTTGGACAAGGAACCGCACAGGTAGAGCTCGGTAACGAAGCGCGTGCGCAGGGAGAGAATGAGGCCCTGGTCCTGCAAGGCAGAGTAGTCGGACTTCTCGATCAGCGTGTCGTCGGAGTCGATGGCGGCCAGGATGGGAGCCGGGAACTGCACCCCCGCGGACTGCGGGAGACAACATTGAGGGGTTTCGGTCGACAGAAAGGCCTCTTCGTCCACGGGGCCCTTCGGTTCCAGCGTTTCACTATCCAGCGATTCGCTCGACACCGATCCTTTCCTCGACGCATCCTCCGCGCGACCTAGCACCACCAGTTCTTGTAGATCCATCCCGACCAGCGGTCGGCGCGACTCGTAGTGGGAACGCACCCAAACGACCTCGCCATTGCGACGGAAGGCACTGACGAGCTGGGGCAGGGTCTCGAGGAATTCGGAGGTGTTGGGGACGTGAAGGGCGCCGGACTCTCGCATGAAATCATTTTCGAAATCCAGCAGAAGAAGGGCCTTTCGGGTCTGAATGGTGGGCAGATCACCGAATTGGGAAAAGAAACTCATTGTATGCACATGGTAAGGGACACGGCGACGGCGATGACGAGGGAAATGGCTCGAGGAGGGTGAGAACCGAATGTCAGTCGACGGCGCAAGGAAGGAATACGGGGGAGCGGACGGTGGGCAGGACGAAGTCGATCATGGGAAGGTGGAAGGACGAAGAAGTGAAGAAACGATGCACTGCGAAGTCCGTCGTGGTTTTGGGGGATCGGCTGGACACCTCAGGCACCGACAGCTACAAGACACTCCCATTACGGAGAACTATGATTGAATCTCTTCTCAGTTCCTAATCGATTCTCGTATCTACTCCCGTACTTTAGCAGGATCCTTCCCTATCCTCTGCGTCGCTCTCTCCACAAATCCCACGATCTGGTCAAACCCCTCAGGCTCCTTGATCCAATGGCCATCGCCCTCGGCGCCCTCAAACTCATGCCATTCAACATCAACCGAGATCTGTCGCAAGATGCGACCTGCCTGCCGACCCAGTTGCACAGGCACCCACGCGTCGTCAGTGCCGTGACTCAGAAACACGGGAATTGACAGCAAGGTGGTGTCACCGGACTCGTCTCCCTGTGGCACCTCGGGTTTGCCGATGGTATCGGCGAACAAATGAGACACGAGAGACTGAATCCGAGCTCCCTTCGGATGAGGAATGAGTGATTTGGCCTCGTTAGACGGAAGAAGCAAGTCTTCGAGCTGGTGGGCAAAAGGCAACCAGCCGCAGAAACCCAGGAATCCGCCCAGCTGTCCTGGAAGGCGCCCATCCGCGCAAATCAGTGTCCACAAGGCAGTCGCCATTCCCTGGCTGATGCCTCCGAGGTAGAGATGACTGATCTTGCCATCGAGCAATTCGATCTCGCTTTCAAGCAGAGTCAGAATATACGAGACAGACTCTCTTAGGCCTTCGATTTGCAGCTCCTGTAGCTCTTGGATGTCGGTCAAGGAGTAGGCCTCAAACCAGGCACACATGTCTTCCTGGAACCGAGAATCCCATCGCTCACGAGATGTTGGAAATACCCAGCGCCAAGTTGGAAGGCAGTCAGCCAGGTTCTGGCTGTTCGAGGTCGTAGATGAGAAAAAGTCTTCGGCGAATTCCGAACCATCGCTGCCGCGACCGTGCAGCAGAATTGCGGTATGCGTGTGAGAGCCCTGCGGGGGTTGAATATGTGGTTCTGGAAAATTCATATTATTCGGAGGATTCTAAGAATCGGGTTATTATCGTTCGTCTATCAGGGCTTGCAGGAATGGTAGTTGAATGATCTAAATGATGGGAGTGCCGATGAAGACAAGAAGTTGTTCTACCGCTTGATATATCCCTGTCAAGTATGCCAATCCTCAGCCGTGGTTCTCCGTGAGATCACAAAAAAAATAAAATAGAAATAAAATAGAATAGAGATTTTGGACACTACTCCGTAAACCACATCAGTCATACCTGCTTTTCATTTGTGGTCCATGTTATCCGTGCCACCTCGAAAGCATTAAATCCACCGCATGTTCTCTAGGCCAGACACCGATGCTATGAGGCAGGTAGGCCCACCAGTCATCGCAGCCAGTCCCCGGAGAAATGGTATGCAGGGCCTTCACGTATTCCCAATATTCGGGGTACAGCCCACACATCTCCCAGTCGAGAAGAGCTGTGATTGAGACCTTCGAGACGGAACTGTCAGGAGAGTCTGCCTGTGGATTGAGAGCCACCATGATATTCCGAGGATGGAGATCGCCATGAGTCATCATCGATTTGTGATCGGTTTCCAGATGCGATCTTATCATCCCTATGGTACAGGTCTCGGACCGTTGCGGGTTGAACGTGAGAAATCGGTTAAATCCATGCTCGTCGCTAACGGGCTCTGATGCAACCCGCATCTGTGTTCTGGCATCTTTACAGCGACGGGGCTTGCCATTACCAAGCACTGCATCCCCGTCCATGCTTGGTGGGAGGCGTATAGACCTGAGGTCGCGCATCATAGAATCCAGCTGCATTTGAACGGAAGGCTTCTGTGCCTTGTCCAGAGAGTCCCATCTCGAATCCAAAGGCTCACCAGGGGCCCGGGACATGAACAAGAATCTGCGTTTGCTATCTTTCTCTTGGAGAATTCCGTATATTTCGGGAATTGGAATTCCTCTCGGAAGTCTGTTGGCTTGGGCGCATTTTCCTTGACCGAGGAGTCCATCGAAGAGTTCGCCAACTTCATAGCCGATTCATATGATACTTTTCGAAGGGCAGGATATGTTTTTAACTGATGCTGTAGTAAGTCGGTGATGTCCATCGATGGATGTTTGTTGATCATTCTGGTTATATTCTGGAGAACAAATTCGTTCACTTGTGCAAGAGCGTTTTGGCCTGCTTCTGCGGCCTTTTTTGATGGAGTAATTATGTTTGACGACCTCTCTGCCCCCATTTTGATTGAAACAAGCGCAGAACGTCGAGTCTCAGTGACGGAAAGTTCAATAGATAAATGGAAGAAAAGGGGAAAATTGCAAGATTGAGCGACCATTAGCTGAAAACCCCTGGAGGCCTTGTGACTACCAGTGGCCAATCAGAGTTCTAGGAATCATGAAAGGGTGCAAGTTACTGTCCTTCGGTTCTTATAAATGATCATTCCTTTCAGCTATGAGAACGAGCCACTAGAGAATACAACATTGAATGGGAAGAAATTCCCAGGACAGCCTTGGAGAACTGGGGGCTCGGCTACGGCGTTTCCAAAGCCTTTGGCGTATAAGACCCACCATCGTGGGAAATACAGTATGCTTCGACATTGACAGTGATGACGATGGTGATATCTTTTCTTGGTGTATTTAGCTACTCTTTTACCTCTTCCTGGAAGCCTCTTGGAATTTGATATCTGTCTGAGGGATCAACTGAGATCTTTGTTAACCTTTAGCACATTGATGGGTTTCATTTCTTCTTTATCCGACGATATCACTCCCCCTTTGCTCATGGGACATAACAGATCTATTCGACATCCTGAGAGGTGCCCATCACCTCATCCAGGCGCTTGTCGGCAGCCTCCCACTCCCTGCGAATGACATCCAACACCCACTCCCCTCGAGGCTTCAGCCGAAACCTCAACTCCTTGGGCATAGTCATGAACCCAACCACCACCATCTCCCACGGATCCACCGCTCCTCCATCCATCAACTCGACATCAAACGCCCACAGCAAACTGGCAACCTGCATGAAGGTACCATCCGTGGCGACCCTCTTGCCCTGGCAGATTCGTCGGCCTTGTCCGAAGACCGGCAGCGGGAGATCCGTTCGCAGCTTGGATTCTCCATCACTAGCACCCTGTCGCAACCATCTTTCGGGCCTGAAGTCTTGGAGATCACCGAGTGACTGGTCGAAGACTTTCTCGTCGCGACCGATGGCCCACGCGTTGGCCATGACGGTGACGCCCTTGCCGATCTTGACTCCGTTAAATTCGTCGGCCTGTTCGGCCCTTCGAGGAATCGATCCTGGCGAGATCGGTCGCCAGCGGAAGAGTTCGTGAGCGACAGCATCGATATACGTGAGTTGCGAGCGATCCGAGAAGCGAGGGAGGCGACCCCTTCCAACGACTTCGTCGAGAACAGCATGTGCCCGTGCCATGAAATCCGGCTGATGCAGCGCCGCGACGAACAGCCATAGAAGCTGACGCGGAGACGTCTCCATTCCTCCCTGAATCGACGTTGCGAGAGTAAAAGCGAGGTCGAGATCAGAGACCGGAGAATCGGCTGGGGCATGTTTCTCGGCCGTTGCGATCGCCTGCTTCGTGGCGTTCCAGCCCGCAGAGTCCTTGCCATGGCGGAACAGACGCATGTAAAGGTCGACTTGAGCAGCGAAGAGCTTGTCAGCACTGCGCTTCCAAGGCGACAGGAAGGCCGGAAGATGGCGCAGGGGTGGGATGATATCCGGCAGGCCCGGGTTGGCGGCGAGATGGGTCACTTGCGTTTGAGCGTCGATGACTTCGTGCAGAATGGGTTCCTCAAACTGCGGGATGCGCATTCCATAATGAAGTGCCAGGATGACGCTAGATTGGGTGCGTTCTAGGAGCGGATAGATGGTATCGGTGCTGATCACAGGAGTCTTCCGCACCGCATTGGAAAGGTCGAACAACAACTGCTTGGCTTCCAACTCCATCAAGGGCTGGTATTTCGGAGCCGCTGGAGCACCAAGACTAGGAGACAGAATGCGATGATGCAGTTTAAGGTGATCATCATAGTCATGCATCAGAGTGAATCGGGACTTCCCCGGATCAGCGCCTGTGATCATCTCCATGCTCACAGACGCAGGGCGGTTACTGTACCATTGACTGCGGCGACTGAAAAGCTCAGTCACGGCCTCATACGAGTTCAAAACGACAATAGGAATGATCCCGAACAGCTTGGGCACGGCGATGGGACCGTTCTGTTTGGCCCATGCATCCCAGTTCGCCAGTGGCTTCTCGATAGGGGAGCTATGGAGATCGCCGATGAGGGGGAGTTTCAGAAGTGGTTTCTGGCCATCTCCACTATCCTTCGTGCTTTTTTGGGTTCTTTTGATGCCAAAATATAATAGTGTCAACACGCCAACAGCGAGGACAACGACAACGGGCGAGATGGCAGCCATAGCTGGCAGTGGGCGAATATCCGCAACTTCCGGCAAAAGCGACGATGGATGCGATTTTTATTTTGATCATGGAAAGGAGAAAGCAGTTCATGGCCCACGTCGCACCTCGGCCAATTGGTGCCCCGAACAAATAGTCGAAACAACCGTGCATGGCAGTTGTATCATTGTGGGCCCAGTAGCTCCAAGACCAGCGACAGGCAACCAATCCTTACCGGTTGATTCCATACGCCAATAGCCGAATCGTCCAAGTGCCAAAGACCAAGAAGAACTAACTCGACCCGCCAATAGAACTGCTGCTCAGCGCATGAAGGATTCAACGGTCCGGATAGGCCAAGCCCAGCGCAAGACGCTAAACCGCCAATGCCATTGTTGCCGAGTTGGGGCGTGCTCATCCCTGCTCATTCCAGTCTAGCAGTGCTAATTTTTGACATGACATTCCAGGCAGACCCCGAAGGATTGCAGCCCATGTTACCGGCGCAGGGCAGCCGCTGCTCAGCGTTGGAGAATTTTTGGGTTTTCCCCTGTCAATTCCCCGAGATGTGACGTGCGGGAATTATTTAAATAATCCACCTCCAGCATGTCTATTGAGCCTGCCAAGGACGTGAAATGCCAGTTATCTTCCCTATCGAAACCCGTGCGCAGAGGGAGGTGCTGGGAGTGGCCATCACCTTCTCCATCCTAGCCGTCGTCGCAGTTTGCCTGCGCCTGCTAGCCCACCACCTGGCGCAGAAGAAATGGAGTCCGAGCGACTATTTTATTATAGCCGCCTGCGTAAGCCAACCGGCCGAAATGCATCCCTTAAGCTAAGACTTTGTTGAATCAGATCTTCGCTGTCGGTCTCCAGTCCATCAGCATCACCGGCGTCTTCCAGGCCGGCATAGGATATGACCATGTCACGACTATCGCGGCGGCCTACGGCCTGGAGCCCATCACAAAACTGCTGCAATTGATCATTCCACTGCAATTTCTCTGGGTGCTCAGTCTTAGCTGCACAAAGATCTCCATCCTATTGCTTTATCTCCGGATCTTTCCCGTCACTTGGGTCGTGATAACCGCCTGGACAACGGTAGGCGTGATCGTGGCCTGGGCCATCGCGACCATTCTAGCTGGATGTCTGATCTGCCGACCTTTCGCCTTCAACTGGGACCAGACAATTCCCGGCGGATCATGCGGAAACCAAGTCACTTCTTTCACCGCGACGGGAGTCATCAACCTGGTCACCGACGTCGCCGTGCTAGTGATTCCCATGCCACTGCTATACCGACTCCAGATGGCCACTTACAAGAAAGTAACCCTAATCACAGTCTTTGGACTAGGTGTCGTGTAAGTCATGCTCTCGCTTCACAATTCATCATTGATGCTCACTAATTATCAACCCAGAACCTGTATCATCAGCGCCCTCCGCATCTCCGTCCTATCAACAATGGACTTCAACGACATCACCTTCACGCTCCCCCGTGCCAACATCTTCAGCGGCGTCGAGCCCTGCCTCGCTGTCGTTCTCGCCTCAATACCCCTCATGCGCCCACTCCTCGGACGATCAACATACACGCCTGAAGTCACCGCCCGACGACCAACAAAATCATCGTCTCCGTCGACCGGGCCGAAACCCGCAACAGACGACGGTTTCCACCCCTTGCAGGATAATTCGAGCCAGTTGTGCTTAAGGCCCATGGGACCGAAGAACCAAGCGAGCGTCGCGGTACAGAATTCAGCGTCGACGGGTGCGTTGAGTGCTGGGAGCGAAGAGTCGTTAGGGACAAGAGAGACCAGGATGGATCCGCGAGGCGGGAATGGTGGGATCAGCGTGAGGCAGGAGTGGGCTGTGATTGAAGACAGGCATCCGTAAATCATGGTAGTCGCTTTTACGTTGACATGCTGAGTTGGTCACGATCCGCAGTGTCGCGGGTATTAAAAGATATTAGATTAAAAGCCCTAATCAGAGACCCTCCAAAAGTCACTCAAGGGAGATATATATACAACAGGAAAACCAAAAGCCTATCCCAGTCTAAATCCCCCACTCGTCCTCTTCTGGAAGAACATATCGGGATCATAAATCTCCCTCACTTCCCTCGCATGCTGGGTCGACTCCGACCTCCCCCAATAATCCTGCGCATAGTTTGCATCATTCAGGAAAATCGGCCGTCTCACATCAGGCAGAACTCCCTGATCCACGAATTCTGAAATATGCTCATCAAACCCATTAAACAGTCTCCTGTTGGCCTCGTCGATCCGTTTATCGCTGGCAGGAAACAAGTAGGAGAAATCCAGCTCGAGGACGATGTAGTTGGTGTCGGTGGGGAAGTTGTATAGATCCTTTGCTCTCTCGGTTATTCGGGGGTCTCTAATGGGATTGGATGTGGAATGCAATGGTTTGGGGAGAGGGAGAGAGGGAAACTTACGCCGCCTTTGGCTTTGGCCTTTTTGGTGATTGCGCCGGGCATGGGCTGGAAGGCCAGCGAGCCGATGACGCCAGGAACGTCGATCACGGACTTAGTCACGTTGAACCAGTGGTCGTAGTAGGTTTGCATTACCTCTTTTCCGGCGGATTTGTCGGGGACGGGCGTGGTTTCGGTGGCGATGGTGTAGCGCTGGCCCCTGTTTTGGGTTAGTACACATCATAGTCAGGGCAAAGGTTTGTAGAAGGGGGGCGTACTTCAAAATGAAGAAGTCGTTGTTTTTCAACTGTGATTCATGATTAGCTTTGATTCAGCTCGTACTGAAAGGAAGGAAACGAACCAAGTCATAATAACTATCCCAAGTCTTGGTCGTATCCGTCGGCTTCAAGGCCTTGAACTTATCAAAAACGCCATTCGGAGGCTCCGGCCCGTCATAGAACAGGAACATAATCCACGTGTTCAAAAGCGCAGCATGCTCAGCTGTCACGATGACAGCTGCCTTGTCGTCGGGATAGTTGTCGGTGAAGTCGCGCACGGCCTCGAGCACCTCGGCCGTCTGGGAGGCTTTGAAGATGTAATTCCCACCCCAGACCTTGCCGATAGGGTGTGTTTCCAAGGTATACGCGGTGACGATGCCGAAGTTGCTGCCGCCTCCTTTGAGGACGCCGAAGAGGTCTGACCGGAATGTTAGTTATTCGGCATGCGGTAGAGGAGTTGAGCTTCATACCCTCATTCTCGTCTTTATTGGCATTGACAATCGTGCCATTAGCAAGCACGACCTCGAAATTGACAACGTTGTTGGCGGCCCATCCGTATTGCGAGCTGAGGAAGCTCAATCCGCCTGTTCTTGTCAGATGTGTTGGTGGCACGGGGACAAGAAGCCCTAACCTCCGAGCATGTAACCTCCAACACCCACACCTCCCAGACGACCTCCCACGAGCGCTCTTCCGGCATCTACATCGTCAAGTCCCTTCTGCGCCTCCTCCCACGACAGACCCGGTCCGATAATCGCCGTCCGGTCATCAGGGTTATATACCACGTCATTCAAGTTCTTGGTCGACACGAGAAGCCCGTCCTGGATACTGGCAAAGCCGTTGTTGGGCATGTGGCCGCCGGATTTAACCGCGAAGGATGTATTGAAGTTATGCAGCTCCTTGACGATCTGAGACATTTCGAAGGCGCTGGACGGCGCAGCGATGCATGTTGGTCTGAGGTCGCCACACGCGGTGGACCAGTAGTCCTTGAGGTCCTGGTGGTAGTCGATTGTGAGGCGCTTGTCGATTGGGATGCCCTCGGCCTCCAGCTTAGAGCAAACATCTGCTGTTGCGAAGGCTGCGAGGCATGCTGCGATGGCGGTCCGCCATACTGAGGTGCGGGTCATGGTGGAGTGGGTATCTAAGGCAAATCAATGCACCGAGTGACACATTTCACCACGAGCATCGGGGAATTGAGGATGCATACACTATTTATTCGCGATCCAGGAGGAAACTACGGACCTTTCGGCCATCGTGCTTCGGACTAAATCACTGCCAATCATTACCCTGGAAGATACTCCGTCTTAACATTGACACATTGGAACACGAATTCCTAAAAATAAGCCATGACACACCAATAAAAGCAGCAAATGCGGGGATCGAACGTCCCCTGAATGCGCGCGCACCAAAAAGGAGAAAGAAGCTTGGACTTCGGTTTTGCGGGCCTCGGCCAAAGACTGCCAGTTCCAGATTTTCAGTCAGTTCCGCGGTTTCCATGCCTTCCGCGGTACCTGATCGGCGTCGAGTTTATGGAACGCTAGTGACGATGCACTACCCTTATCGGAGTGGATCACCCGTGCCAAGGTCAGCGAACCCTCGCTTACAAGATAAAACGCTCAAAAAGAGAGTCTTCTGCATTCAAAGACAGCTGATGTCAGGGGGATTGGCTTTTCAATCGCCGATCCCTGCCCGGCATACGGAGGTAATGGATACATATCCTTCCAAAAGCAAGACATCCTTGTTAGGTATCCATTTTCACGCATTCAACTACCGCGGTGACCGCTCCGCGTCGAATTCGTCAACAGATGGACCCGGTCTCAGGCCACCCTCGCTCGCGAGTCTTATGTGCCTTGAATGAGAGGCTGAGGATACGCGGTGGATCCCTGGGTGTCATGTCGCTGACAATCGCTAGTTCGCTACTAGTATATGCATGTTTTGAGAAAATAGGCTAGCGCGTTCTGATTCTGACTTATGACACTTAGAAACAGCATAATAGAACAATTGGGTCTGCGAGTCATCATGGCTCAAGAAATGCGCATGCTTTGTTTGGCATGATATTCGAGCATGGGTATTTCGTACGGAGTTCGTAAATTTTGTCCGAAAACACTTATGGGAAAAGGGGAGAATAATGCGCGATGCATCGATTGTGCCCTCTTCAAATGATGTTCACATGTCAGCTGCAAACCTTTTCTTTTTCCAGCCAGAAAACAACGGTTTGAAATCCGATAGTTCCTCCTGAATGCTCGTACCTCCACTTAACAATCCACCTGGTGGAGATCAGAACCACGATCTCCTGTCTCACCACCTTCGTGGATATCACCGGTTGTGTTCTCAATGTTTTAGATCCAATGACCACACATTTGGCAAGGTCCATAGCCCAAATATCCCAGTCTGCTGTGGAAGAGAAAGCCTTACTACCGGGCTGCCACGGCAGCAGCGATTCCAAGGAAAACCAGGAAACATCCTTGTCTTCGGAACTCGACCGATCCTTGGCGGTCTTTCCGGGAGTCCCGGACTAATGGCCATGCTTTGAACGTCAGCCTCGTATATCTTGAAGGTCACGGGGCTTTGTACTCACCGAGACCACAATTCCTTGTATATGGGAAGGTGCGCGAAAGTTGCAGGATCATATTAATTACTTTGAATCAAGTTTTCCAATTACAAAAGTCCAATTTCTATTTACCAGGAGAGAATATCAAAGTGAGTGAAAGGAAGAAAACGACTATGAGACCTAATGGATAGCCAGAAGAGATAATACATGCGGATTTGCTCTACTCAAACGATGATCATAGACACTTGCTTCATTGTGTTTGAAATAATAAAGAGTACATACATTGCGCACATCCTGATCTACCTTCCAATCACAAGAAATCCTCGACCATCTAGTAAGAATAGTCTACTAATTCCTCCGAATTCAGAAAGATATCTTCCAAGATCGACGAATTGCAAAAATCGATAAAAATTGCCCTCACGCAAGGGAGTCTTCAAAGTCCGAAGGATGCAGCAGCCGACCATCCACAATTTTACCCAGATGGGTCCTATCAATATGCTGACAGTCTTTCCGGATCTCCGACAAGAGGACTTTGAGGAACTTCAAGGGGCTTACGCGAAACGGCGTTTTGGATGGGTCGCCGCCCTCCAAGATGAAGCCATCAGGCGCAACCACGAGGCCTGTTCGGGTCTTCACAGAGGCCACGCCTAGGAATTCACACAGTCGCTGATACTCCGAGTATGACTCAAGGTAAAGCTGCCCTGCGAATAGGTTAAGCATGATTCGAAGAGTCTCGGGAACTTCGATCTCGCCGGGACTTTTGGAGACATTGTACAGATCCAGACGGTCCAAGGAGAGGAACTTTTGGTTCTGCCGCGGCGTGTAAAGATGGAGAGTACTCCAGTTCGATTGATTGACATGACCGATCACACTTTGAGCCTCGAATGGGCTAATAATTATCATGTTTGTCACGGCTCTTCTGCCGGTAGAAAGCTCGCGCTTGTCACTGGTTAGGATAAATCTTACCGGCCGTTGAAAAGCGTCGCCCGTGGAACGTGAGCCCGAAACTTGCTTTATTGTGGTAGCGAAGTCCTTTGTAACAAGCAAGCTGGTGGGAAATTGGGACAGATCCAGCAATGAGGCCGCAGAGGTATTGCTCAGCGTTTGAAATGCAGGCCCGTAGGCTTTGGAATTAGTCTTAATCCTGCCAGTGGCGACAAATGCATGCAAATCTGGGTGGACATTATGTTGCTCGGGGGTTGCTGGTGGCGGTCGTTGAACTTCGCGCTCTCGTTCAATTTCCGGGGAAAGCTCACGCTCTTGCTCCTCCTGGAGTCCGGAAAGCGCCGCAGTGTGGCTATCCAATTCGAACTCACGGCAGCGATTCTCTATCAACTGCAAAGTATCGCTGTCACCCGATGCATCGTGCATTATTTCATTCTCTTCATTACCAGGCCTATAACGATATTCGAGGCTCCGGCATTCGGGCTCTAGGAATTTTTGAGCATCACTTATGCGCATGTCACTCCAACTTCTTGCGTGAACGTCACGCCATATTCGGCTTTGTCGCTCGAATCGTCTTCCTTGAACTGCCCAGAGAGATATATCACGTTGGATTTCAATCCAAGTTTCAGAAGCTGCCCAGCAGAGGACATCTGAGACATTGATCTCTGCTGTGCTGGTCTTCCCGCAGAGTGCCATTATCTTAAGTCGTATGTCTCTAGGGACACAAAAGACAACGGACTGCCCATTTCCGAGCTTCCTCATTCTCATGCATGCTATGTCCATTGTTAGCAATTTTCATTTGGTTGAGAGTAAAAGAAGAAGAGCACCCACCTTGAACAAGCTTGTCCTTCGAAATTCCCGGGCCCAAGGTGACTGCCGCGCGATAGTCTGGAGGGAGCTTTAGGTCAATACCTCTTGTGTGAGCTTCGTCGAGGAAGACAAAGCATGCCTCCATTTGTCGCGAAAATGGCGAGATTTGCAAAGGTTCCACCCGATGATTACGGTCAAGAACAACTATCTCGTCGTTATCATTGACAAACACAATACCCTGTATCGGTCCATCTTTCGGGAGCCTTTCGAGCCAGTTCTTTGCCACTTCTAGGTTACTAAGCTCCAGGATCTGTGCACCCACATCCAGGATCACTTGAGTCGGTGGATTCAAGCTGGAAACGAGATCAAGCAGACTTTCCGCATCTGATTTTGACAGTTCATCGCGATCCGGGATAGATATCACCGAGTTTTCAGGGCGCAAAAGGTACTCCAGAACCAAGGCATTGGTGTGGTTTTGCTCCGGGAGGTCCAGCTGCTGAACACTCAAAGGCAACGTCTTTCGGGAGTCGTTTGTTCCACTGAAGCCCACGGTTGGGTTCGCTTTGACTTCTCCGATATCCCAGCCGGATGCAGACAGTTTGTCGGGAAACTCCTTGACCTCTTTGGGGAAGACTATCTGAGCAAGAAAATAGTCTATCGCCGGCTTGGAAAATCGGAGAGCCGGGAAGATACAATCCAAGCACTGCTGTCGATCCTCGAGATTTACCCCAACAAGTTGGCGGTAGGCATTTGAAAGCGCTGGTGCGTCGCTCACCCATGCCTGATATTCCACATTTGCCTGGTCTGATTTCACCAAGTGGTAGAATGCCAGGAACAAATCCGCATCATCAAGTCCAGCGTAGTAGTAATTTAGGGATGTCAATATCAAAACCACGTCGGGATGGCTAAATTCCGATCGAAGCGAGGGATTGTCCTTAGCTCGGTAGGGGACGCAAAGCTTTGTCGACGGGTCTCTATTCGGATCCAATCCATAATTGACCCTCCAGCGTTTGTGAGAGAAACAGAAGGGCAAAACTCCTCCAGCTAGTAGGCCACGAAGCAAAAGGAGTGGCCCCTTGGTGCTTTCTGTCCAAAATCCCGCCGAGCTATTATTCTCAACACCCGCAATCTCCTCGCTCGATAGCTCTGACTTTGTGATGTATGTGTACACTGCCTTTCGAACTGCAGGCGACTGTCTGAAGATTTGCAGAGAGTCGATGCCGTAATCACATATATGTGTTGCTATGCGAGAGATGAGCATCTTTTCGGCGTCGCGATAGAGTAAGCGTAATCTCGGGAAGCCGCCGGATTTCTGCTCATCTAATTGAATCGATCCAGGGAGCTCTTCTTTAACGTCAGAAGCATAAGTGCGCACTAGCCCCAGGAGCTGGTGAATTAGCATCCATCTCTGTGGACTGAGCTCGATAGCACTTTGAGTGCCCATGGTGTATATCAGCTCGAACTTGACGTTGAAATTCTCGTCACTCTCATCCACAACATCCCGAGATGACTTTTGGAAGAGCTGCAGGATCCGCATTAGGGACTGGCCTACTGTCACTTTTTCCGTTATAAAGCACTCAATACACATCAACTTCAAGGAAAGTATGTGTTCCGGCTGGACGAGTAAAACGCCGCCCTGCTTCATGCACTCTCGACACATTTTCTCGATCTCGTCGGCTTCGGCTTGGTCAAACTTGAGTGAACGCGATACAGGCATGTGGTACACACGCCGTCCCAGTAGGCCGCCCAGCTTCGAGGCGAGCATCTGAAACATTTGTCGGGATTGCGGCTTCGCTACAAGCACGCGAACCAAACACGACCCATTTGCAAGTGCGGCAGCGACAATAGGAACGATGACCGATGATTTTCCCTCGCCCATATTCAATTGCATGACAACATTCTCGCCTGTTTCTTGTCGCATCTGCTTCGCAATGTCTTCCTGGACATCCCGGATTAGGATACCATTCTCTATCTCTACCAGAAGAGACTCGGGGTAGTCTAATGGATCCCAATTAGTATGACCTGGATTTTTAAGTTCCTTCAATAACTCATCCGGCTTGTTGATGAGGCTGGTCAGTCGCTTTGCGCGTTGTAGAGTCGTAAGGGAGCATCCGTAGGTGATCAATGCCCTTTTCCAGCCAGTCGGCAATCGATGCCAGTGGTTGCGCGATAACTGCTGAAGCAAAAGGATTGGCGATACTCTTGGCCAGTAATCCACTGCAGCTAACAGAGCTAGAACTTTGGCTCTTGAGAACTCCTTCGGTCCTACTCCACGAGCTGTCATGCCGGGACAGGGTATCTGCGAAACAATCACCGCGTAGATTCTTTCGGCGTAGTCGTGACAGCGTGAAACGTACTCAGTGATATTTCCCTCCACGGTTTGGGTCACTAGTTCAACGTCCAATGTCCCTTTTGCTTTCTGCAAAGACGCCACACTGCTATTCAGCTGGTCGACGTACCACTTCTCATAACTTGATTTGGCTTGCAGTCTCAGTTTCTCGACCAAGTCAGCCATGTCGTGTGTCGGAGCTTGTTTCCGTGAGACCGATCGAGCAAAGGTTTGCAATTCTGGGTGTACCATGTCAAATTCTGGCGAAAACGCAAGTAGATCTTCAAATCGAACAAATCGGACTTTCCGCTGCACAGATCCAACATGGCGTGGACAAGGGTAGTGCGCCAGCTCTATCGACCGGGCCATGTCACCTTCAAATAAAGCCACAACATTCGAGAGATACTGCCGCAATTCTCTGTTCCCGCGCCATAGACCAAAACATTGCCCAACACTCACCAAGAGGCTTCGTACATCCACATAGTCATTTACTCTTGGATCTGTTCCGGGGACAGGGGCTGTAAGGGAGTTGGACCTCCACTGATCCTCCAAATGTCTTATCAGTCTGCCACAAACCAATTGTCTATTTGCGCTTAGCATATTTCTCTTGCGTGCTTCCAACTGTTTCCGGCTCTCGTACGCTTCGCGTTTGAGATACCACTCTGGTGTCCGCGAACAATACGCTGTCTGGATCAGAGATGTCAATTTCTCTCTGTCCAGTTCATAGCCCATTGGTGGTCGAAAGAATGTTCTAGGCGGTGGCGATACCGAAGCTGCCCCGGGGTTGAGGTAAATTAATGCGACTGTTTCCAAGACGACCAGGTTGGCCTTTTCTGAAAACCCCATGGTCGCCATCCAAATCATAAACTTGAATTTGTCCAGCTGCGGGCCGCGCGTGCAGAGAAGTTGATGCACACTGCACCAATTTCTGGCAATCCAGTCTTCTGGTTGCAGAATCAAGCTTGCATCATAAACCATCTTCTTGGCATCAATTCGGAAATTAGGCCCGTTCACATGGTCTGCCTGTGAAATGAATTTCCAAAGATGAGATAGCCGTGTCTCCGAATCAAGATTTTGCACACAGCAAATTTCATCGTAGATCATCTTGCACAAAGTAAAGACTCGGGACCCCTGGGCGGTCTTGCGGATACGGTCAAGGCCAGAATAGCGAGAGTCAAATTCATCTGTGTGATCATCCGCCCCAAACCCTGAAACACGGAATGAAGAAGTTCGGAGCTTAGAACGCGTCAACAAGGTTCCTTCTACGTGTGGAAGCGAAATCCGAGGAGGTTCTTTGCCTGGGTAAAACATGCTCATGCGGCGATCTTGATCAATTATCGCCTTCACTTCCTCATAAAACCCTTCGTGTTGAGATAGCGAGCCAAGATCAGGCTGCCAGCTCACTTGTTGCATGAGACGTTCATTTGCAGGATAATAGCTTCTTTCCGGAGTTATTGAAGCAATGTTTTCAAGAATTTTCACGTTCTCCGCTGCAAGCCGGGCGAACGACCTGATTGACGCGGAGCGAAGGATTTCAAGCGCTTGCTCAGTTCCGGTCTTCTTTAACAACGGGTCTGGAAGATAGGACGATGTGATAGCATGCAAGTAAGCCAGAAACAACTTGCTTTGTAAGCTCCCATTGTCACCCAGTCGACCTAGCTCTTTGTCGATCCAGTACGCATGTAGTCTGGTCTCATTTGCCCAACATATATTGACATCAACATGTTCACCATTTTTCCTCCACGTTACCCTCCCTTCAGGGATAAGGATCATACGATCCTGGCTGTCTGCCCGTACGAGGATGATCTTGTTGCGCAGGCCGACTAAAGTGTCGAGCGACTGGTTACCAACGTCGACTGACATCCCGGGGTGTATTGGCGGGATTGAATATTGAAACCTTTCGGCTGTAGAGTAAACCCCAATAGAAGGCGAGGAATGTGAATGTCGAGTCCTTTTGCTTTCCTGTGGAAGATGCAGTGTACTTTTGATTCCTTCTCAATCGGTTCGAAAATCTTGGATATGAGCTTCGCAGTTTCACTTTCCTGGCTGATCAAGTACGTCCCTTGTTTCTCGAGAAACCATTGGCCATGTGACGAAGATCTTCTCAAACGCCAGTTGAATTGAGATGAAATCCAAGGGTTCTTGACCGGTCGAAACTCAACACATCCGTGGTCCACAGCGTACCAATGGGTGTAGTTCTCAAAAAAAGCATCGGGGAAGCAACCGTCCAACAATCTGGGGGGAATGAACTCCCATACGTGATGTTCTTTCTCCGATCTAACCAGCAAGTCGGTATTGTTGAATCCCAAGTGAACAGTGTGCTCCATATAGGGGTTTCTACAGCAGAACTGCATCGCAGGTATGTCGCTCGGCATCACATCCAGCGGAGACCTCCCGAACAGGGTCTGGTATGTCTGATGCCGTTCATATTCCGAAGGCAAACGAGCTAGCGGAATACCGTTGACAAGTAACTCACCGCTCAACAGATTATAATGAATCAACATGCCAGTACCCTGAAAAGACTGCGGCTCGTTTCGAGTAGTGAGCCAATAATCAACTTCAGGCCAGACTCTGGACCAACTGGTTCGACGATCATAGGCCACCCAAACCTCCTTGAAAGCCATGTCTAGCCCTGGGTCTCCTTGATCAAGAACCTTAGCTGTCAGAATTGGGTGGCTGCGGTAGGACAGGCTTTGCCACCGATGGTACAGGATGGAAAGCAGTGAGCCAGATTCCATGGATGAGGCATTTTTCATGTCATGAATCATCATGCAACACTGGATGTAGATGGATATATCCGATGGCGTCGCAAAGACTTCAGGCAAACTCTCCACGTTGAATGTTTCCGCGCACACTAATGCAAGTTGAAAGCTTCTCCCTATCATGTTCATCTTTTGTGTGTCGTCAGCAGTCTGATTCATATCCTCTCTCACAAGAGTAGCCCAGCGAAAAACAATATGCCGAAGCTCTATCAGATGATGAGTACATAGTCTCCGAATATCGGAAGACGGGGATAGTGACAAGACCCTTGATACTAGGAATATGAGAGCGCACATCCCGTGAGTCAAAGCCCAGTTTTCTTTAATTTCTTCCTTTGCCTGATCAATTCGAGTGAGTATCGTAGCTGCAAATTTCTCGTCACTCAGAATAATGTGCCCTATTCTTGGTCCAGTATGCGATTGCGGCGGGCCAGCTTCGTTGATAACCTGAAGAATGAATATCACCGTTTCAACCTTTTTGAAATCTACCGCAGACGTCGATAATTCCAAAAGGACATTTTGCCACTGCACCTTCCACCCCAGCGGCATTGATGCGAGTGATTTGTACTCTCCAAGTGACATATTCTTCGGGGCGTTAAACTGACTTGATATGGCCGAATTAGGAGACGGGCCACTCAATCCTTCTGCAGGTCGGCGCAGGAACTGCTGCAGAGACGAACTTTGCTGGGGCAGTTGATAAGTGCACATGTTTGCAACCTTGGCTGTTCGTTGAAACCATGCAACAAAACATCCGAGTGCATTGTCGAAATATCTGAAGCTCAACCCATTAGGAAGACAAATGTCATCTATTGTGACATTGGTTAACAGTTTTATCTTCCGGTGTGTCGCTTCATGAGGCTTATCTTCTGAAAGAAGACCAATGCATTGGCTATGCTTGAAAGTAACGTAGAATGACGAAAGACCCCTGTATCTCTCCAGTGTATACCGAGCCCTCGGCGACTGCTTGCGCGAATACCCATAGCCTAAAATCTTTGAAAGGAAGACAACAGTGGCGTCTCTCCAGCAACCGAATGGTCGCGGTACGTTGAGTTCGAAAACGGTGGACTTAGCCTCTAACTCATTCGTCGGCAAGGGCCATTCATGGATACTGATTTCAATTCCATTGGCCTCGGCCTCGTATTTACAACGAAGGCAGGAGGAGCTATGGCGGGACTCTCCTATGTCAGATTGCAAGTCAGAAACGGCGTCATATTCACACTCTGTCCTATTGACCAAGTCTTTCAGCTCATTGTACTCTTGTTGTTTTCGCTTAAACTCTGACTCTTTCTCCGATCTCTTTCGGTTGGCGTGTTCTCGGATGGTCTGGAAAAGCTCTTGGTGACAAGGTGACTGGTCAAAATACCGAACAGAAAAGCATGATTCGGTGCCGAAGTCTCGAAAAAGAAAATTCCCTTTATATTCCAAGGCGGCTTCCCGTTGCTTGAGATATTCTTCGGCACGAGATAACCTGTCCATCTGGGATTGGAAAGGTAACAAAAGAGACTGAAAGATATCTCTTGGGACAAACGGATCATACTCCCTCAGAAGCGGGTGGAAATAGATGGCGGACTTGTCACATGCAATCCACAACTCCAGAAGCGTTAGGACTATGACAGACAAAGCTTCTGGGTTTTTTGAGTATTGCGACGACGCAGCTTTGTGATAAGCAGTCATCAGATCAGCAAGACGGCCGCACGTATTTTCTTCCGTTCGGTTACTTTCTAGCCAATACTCGAGGTTTACCGCGACCCAGTCCTCCATGGCAGCGAGGTTGTAGATCTGAAAGCCAGTGTCTCCAAACTCAAGATCCACCGGCAACACTGTGGATATATGCCTTTGAAGTTTCTTTGTGGGCTGGTAATTCTGGGAGACCGGGGAATGCTCATGGGTTCGTTGTTGGATCTTTCGAAGATATCCATCAAGAGCTGGGAGTGTACAGAAGATGTCCTCGCCAAAGTCCAAGTTTTCCAAAGGCCTTTTACTTGGCCGGTTGCTAGATTTCATGACCTCTTGCCACATATCTCGAACTCTATCATTCGCTTGTGTCACAATGACGTCGACGAATTTCAACCAGGGAGGCTCATCAGAAAGATCCAGCTTGATTAATCGCCTAGCAATCTTGAGAGTCATCAAGTACAGCATCTCGCTAGGCAAATCCGGCGGAGCTGTTTGAACGAGAGAAGCCATAAAGAAAACCATGAAGCCCTTGTACAGATCGTCTGAGCGTCTTTCACGTTGAAAGACCAATTGAAGGACAACCCGTGTCAGCAGCCACAAAGCTGATCTTCGCCATGGAGAGCGACAATCATTCCACAGAACTTCTTCGCGCGTATTCTTTTGGATTTGCAGCACGTCGACGTCGGTGCACCGCGGACGCAGGATGGCCATGATGAACTCTGTCACCATTTTGGGATGAGTAGTGTCTCTATCCTCGTCGTGCATTTGACCGGCCTTTTTCACTTTCAGCTTCGTACCTGCAACTGACTGGTTGCTCATCCGGGAGACAGTCTGGGATATGGCCTGTTGAAATCGTGGTTCACTGAAAGTGCTCTGGACCAATGCCAGAGTAGGGCCTGGGAATACACGTTGTAGACGGCCAACTGTAGCCATAACATCTCCGTTGCGAGGGGACAGCTCAAATGATTCCACGTTGATAGCATTGCCAGTTCGCGTCAACAAAATACCAGCATTCTGGTCCCGAACATAGATAGGAAGAATACCACCTGCGACATATTTAGAAAGGATTGCGGCAATCAGTGTACTTCGAAGACATACCTTCCACATCTAAATTCTGTAAGGCCTTTCTCAGCGCCTCCTCATTGACCTCTCCTTCACTCCCCAAAATAGCCCTCAAAACTCTCATCATCGATAAAGCTGTAGTAATGATAGCCACATCACGGCTCTGAGCATTAGAGCTAAAGTCACAAAGAGCATCTTTAACTCTGTCAAGAAGGAGAAGTTCATGTTGTGCGCTGTAGTCGTTGGATTGTGGGAGTTTCGGTGGCAGGAAAACATGATGAAACAAATACAAACTCGACTCCAGGGTCAGGGGTGGGGGTGAGGATGGCATGGCTGGGAAGAACTCAATAACAATGCTCTAATAAAACTTTTATTCAAGCTGGAAGGTCTCAAAATGGAGTCAGGGACGTCAACTCGATGGGCTTTCGAAACACAAACGCTAGGGTAGTACAGAGGGGTTTCGTATTTCTCTAGGGCCAAACAAGACGAAGTGAAAATCTCGGGGAAAGGAAATGATTTGATCGAATAGCGATGGGGTAAAGATAGGGATAAAGATAAAGATAATGAGATGGATGGAGAAAGATGAGAACAGACGGGGGTGGGGGGGGGAGAGAGAGAGAGATGAAGAGGGGAGAAGGCAGGGAGATGCAAACAAAAGCCACTCCAAATCTATTCACTGAACATGACCACGCGTTTGTCGCGAAGCTCCAGCCAATACCTGGGCAGGTTTCACTTCTCCCGTCAAGAAGGAAATTTTCTCCTTCTAGGCCAGATCAACTATGGAGCTTTCCCACTGCTATCTTTGACCCATCAGTGCCAGTACTTCCATATTACTACTTATTACTCAATATGGACTCCAAAGAAGTAACCCAACCACATCGATTCGACAAGAAGCTAGATTTTATAATCTGTCCTGATCTATCCAAAGCTTTAGTATTCATTTCGTTTGTACGTCCCCGTCTACCAAGCCCAGGTTAATCCTTCACTCTTCTCACCATCAACCAAGTAGGAATGATTTGAACCACCCACAGTCCAAGCCTAAATCAAATTAGCCACTCGAGGAAAGGTTCCAGCAGAAATTTCACTTACAGCAATGCCTCCGACCCCATCATGCTCCATTTCGTCTGGACAGCATATCCCAATGCTGCACCGCCAGTATTCACGGCCTTCATGAACCCCGTATACCGCGCCAGCTCATCGACATCTTCCGTCAGGGTCCCGATAAGTGCATACATCCATGTTTGGAAAGCATGGTCAACAAATCTGTCTCAGGTTAGCGTGCTACGGACTTTTTCTGTGAAGTTCTATCATGTCAAGACTTACCCTTTCACAAGAATCAAAAGAAAGCTTGCATAGAACTCGGACTGCGCCCAATCTAGTCCCACTGGATTAGTCTTTGAGTAATACCATTGCACAACTGTGTCCCACACCCAAGTCAGGGTGTACAAAATATAAATGGCAAAGTACGACCAGCGAAACTTGGTCGATCGAGACAGATTCTTCTTGTCTAGGAAGACTCCCGCCGCAAAGGTTCCTGCAACCCCTGCGAATGCACTCGTAAAGGAGGTAAGGGCTCTACCACGGACGGAATGATAAACCGCCGTGAATGTGCTGTTGTAGGAAAGAAACCATTGCGAGTAGATGAACAGAGGGAGAAGGAGGAGCATCTATATCCGCGGGTTAATTTGATTCCGACTGAATAATAGAACTTTACCAGTACCTCTTGTCTTTGGACAGCACTAAAGACTCTCTTCGCCTCTTGCCATGCATTTGGCTGTTTTCTAGACAGAACCTCCACGCCATCTCGACGGATAACTTGGTGGGGTCGAGATATCAAGAGAGCGATGAAAGGACCGCAAGCCGCAATCGCGATGAGAGGGATATATGTGACTAGGATAAATTGTGAGTTCAGCATCTTCAAGCCTTCATTTCTCGGTTTACCTGGAGTAACAGCGCCTGCCTCTTTATTCGAGACGTTAAATCCAAGAGCGAGAGCGCCTCCGACAGACTGGCCTAGTGCGATGGACGTGTACCAGATTGCGACTGTCTCGTTAGATATTCATACCCACAACCTTCAAGCCAAAACTTACTAAATCTTCCTTTAAAGTCCGGCTCCGGATACGCCAGCATAATCGCAGCTTGGACAACCCTGTCCGAAACAAACAAGTCAGCATACTTCAAACAAATCAATGGAAGACACATACCAAAGAAGGGCCGTGGTAAATCCCTGCAAAGCCGAGGAAAAATACATAAGCCAGGTATTGCCGAACATGTTGTTGCAATATAGCGAGGCACCATTGATACTGAATCCTATCACTCCGAGACTCAACACAATGCGCTCTCCCAAGACGTTCACGAAGACACCGGTTAGAAGTGCAAAGATCACATTGAGGCCATAAGACAATCCAGATGTGATGTTGACCAGCAGAGGACTCTTCAATCCTCCCGCGCCCAGAGCATTCAGCGCCCCGTACATCCCAGGGCCACAGAAGAACACTCCTGCAATAACCAGGGCTTGGAACAGCGTGGAGCGAAAGAATGGAATCTTGGAGGGAGGCAAAGGCGGGGAGTCAAGCTCAGAGGGCTCTAATACCTCTTCAGCGTCGTTCTGTGCATGTTTGGCATCCATTTTGTTGCGATCACCTTGATTGCACGCGACCAGGATGAAATGCTTTAATTCGGTCGAACTATTCCGAAACTTACGTCGACAGCACCCATGCTATATACAATTCAAGCTTCATGATACCATGAATCCTGCCGGTGGCTAAGATCACATCATACTCGGCTGTTGTAGTGTCATGCAGCAAATATCCAACGTCTGATAGAACAACGGCTTTGGAAATCACGCGATTATTAATATGTTACCCCAGGATCAAGCCAGGGCTTCGGAATATTCCTCTTTTTTCTCTTTAGTCGAGCGATAAGCAGCGGGATAGCAAATCAACGCGTAGAGCGACATGACTCGTTATGGTCGACTACCGACTAGCATCACGGACGGCTTCTTTTATGCAAACAGTCCATCCGATGGCGCCATCTATACTAACGAGCCCCGGAAATATTCCGTCCTCCCTATTATATATCGTTTTTAATCTCTATCATAGCAACAAGATTCAACTCTTCCAAAATAACCTACAACCAAAATGGCTCCAACTCTCACAGTCAATGGCCAGCCCGTCGAGGCATACAGCGACACCAAGCCGACGACCATCCAATACGAAGCTACTTCCGAATTACCTGCAATTCACCAGCGAGCCCTTCCTCCCCGACCATTAGGCGATCATATTCCTCCTCGTGGTATCCGAGAGCCTGTCAATGTTCCTCGAGACCGTGGTCTTTCAGCAGACCCCAATCTCCCGCACCTTCTCGCCAATGCCGAACGTATTGACCTGACGCCATCTTTGGGAACACTGATTAGCGGTATTCAGCTCTCAGCATTGACATATGAGCAGAAAGATGAGTTGGCGCTGTTGGTCGCTCATCGAGGCGTTGTTTTCTTCCGGGGTCAAGACATTACGGCTGGGCAACAGCGTGACTTATTTGACTACTATGGTAGGTTCTCTAAACCCTATCAGCTTTTCCTTGGTCTTCTTTAGCTGACAGAAAAGGAACCCCCGAGTTACTTCCGGACCCCGAAGACGAAAAGGCAGCAGGAAAGCCAATTGTCCATGGCATTCAAGAACAGGAGGAGTAGGTATACGCCAAATAATTCAAGTGGTCATGCTCATATGCGTAGGGACTACCGAGGGGTTTACGTTCATTTCAAATGGCCATTTGCCGACTTCCACGCGGACAGCAGTTTCCAGGCCAACCCACCTTCGTTCTCACTCTTGAGGATCGATGAACTGCCTCCCACCGGTGGCGACACTGCATGGTAAGCAGCATTACCTTCCATCACCATTCCATCCTCACCCGAAACAGGATCTCAGGATACGGCACCTACGAAACACTCTCCGAGCCACTTCAACGTTTCGCAGACGGATTGAAAGCATGGCATAGTTCTGAGGTAGACACCTTCCCATTTCTATTGACTGTAGTCGACTTAACGATATTATCAGCACGTCTACGACTCCGTCCTCAACCACTGGGGCAAATCGCCTCAAGAACGACCCGTCGAGACCCTCCACCCAGTCGTGACCACCCACCCGGTGACCGGATACAAGGTCCTGAACCTCAATTCCGGATTCGTCACTCGGATTGATGGCCTCAAGCGCTACGAATCCGATAAGATCCTCGAGCTACTCTTCGCGCACATCCACACGGCCCAAGACCATACGGTCCGGTTCCGCTGGGAGAAGAACTCTGTGGCGTTGTGGGATAATCGGTACGACCTTCTTCCATCCTCGATACCTTACATTAGTATATTCGATACAGATTGCTAACAGATTCTAGTGCTACAACTCACCGAGCCACGCATGATTATGCCCCTCTCCATCGTCACGGGGTGCGGGTTACCATCAAGGGCCAGGTTCCTCGTCATGTTCCGGAGAGCGAGAGTCGGAAAAAGGCGGTTGTGAAGGCGCTGAAAGAGGGAAAGGTGTATGCGGTACACGATGAGAACACAAGAACGGGGAATTATGCTGAACGGGGGTTTCCAAAAGTATAGACTGGGTTTATGGTAGTGTCTGCCATTGGATGATCGACGCGAGGTTTCAGTCTGCAGTATCGTAGATGGTTGACAATATGAACTCTCTTTTTTCCTTACTTTATGTCCAGTATTTTATGAAGTAAATCAAAAGCGGGTTTTTCTTCCGGATCTTCATTGGCCGCTGGTTGAACAATCTGGAGGGATGTGTCTTGCTACAATATATATTCATTGACGGTGTCGCAAGCACAGAATCCACCACGAGGACCAGGGACAGCGCTCGGTCCACGCTATTCTCCGCACTAGAGTTTTGGACAGACCCAGAAGCTACAACCTACTGCGTATATGTCCTCTGTACTACTATCTAGTACAACAAAATCCCTATAATGCCAAGCATGCACATGCGTAACATAGCGTCCGGGATGATTCCGAATGGCTCGAAAAACATGTGGTAGCATTTAATCTAGACGAATCATGAGCATCAGTTATCTAAATCAACCAAAACCAAAATTCAGGCCATGCACAATCCAGACCCCTATCGAGTGAGTCACCAGGGTTTTCCCCAGATGCGGTCACGGTGACTCTGCATCCGGCTCCGCTCCGAACTCCACATTCTGCGGTTCCACTTGATAACGCGTCTTCGACCGGTCCAGTCTGGCTCATCATATGCGATGCAGGGACAGTACTCCGTAGTGTACAAACTTGTAGGTAGTATATTGAGTGAACAGGAAACTGTCTGCAATTAGATATATGCTTTGAATTGGAAGAATTGAAATACTAATGTTACACGGGCATAAGAGGCGTTATTCTGCCTACACTGTACAAATAACTGGACCAGGCGAACACCTCAGATTGACAGACAATGACCGATGACAGTCATCGCAGATGACAACCTTATCGTTGACCATTGACCATGGACCATTACTATTGACCAAAAAAGAGAAAGCAGAAAGCAGAATAAGAGAGATCCACCGATTACCTAATGCCCCCGATGGCTGCCCGCTCAGCCAATCAGAGGCCGGCCAATCCGACATCGGCCGGGGAGCAGCAGCGCAACTCCGGGTCACGTGCCCTCCCTCTAACAAGCTCTCCGGACGGCAACGAAGCTTATAACCTCGCAACGTCCGTCCATTTTTGTTTTCTCTTTCTCCTCCCTCAATCCATCTCAATCTCCCCTCTCCCCTCTTTCCCCATCTTTCTCCTTCCTCAATTCCTTCCTCCTTTTTATCTCCTCTTTCTCTTCACACACATCCTTCACAATGGCTTCTCGTGGACTTCCCCGGGCTCTCCGCCTCACCCGCGTCGCTGCTCCTCGCTCCGTCATCACCGCCGCCCTCCCCCGGCCCGCTCTGGCTAAGGCTGCTGCCAATGCCATCCCCCGCGTCTCCCTCCCTACCACCGCCGTCCGTGGCGTCAAGAACATGTCTTTCGCCGGCCACAGCGAGACCGTCTACGAGCGTGAGGACTGGCCCCGCGAGAAGCTGCAGGAGTTCTTCAAGAACGACACCCTTGCCCTGATCGGCTACGGCTCCCAGGGTCACGGCCAGGGCCTGAACCTGCGTGACCAGGGTCTCAACGTCATCGTCGGTGTCCGCAAGGACGGTGCCTCGTGGAAGGAGGCCGTCCAGGACGGCTGGGTGCCCGGCAAGAACCTGTTCGACGTCAACACCGCCGTCGAGAAGGGTACCGTCATCATGAACCTGCTCTCCGACGCCGCCCAGAGCGAGACCTGGCCCACCCTGAAGCCCCTGATCACCAAGGGCAAGACCCTCTACTTCTCCCACGGTTTCTCCCCCGTCTTCAAGGACCTCACCAAGGTCGAGGTCCCCAAGGACGTCGACGTCATCCTCGTCGCCCCCAAGGGTTCCGGCCGTACCGTCCGCACTCTCTTCCGTGAGGGCCGTGGTATCAACTCCTCCATCGCCGTCTACCAGGACGTCACCGGCCAGGCCAAGGAGAAGGCCATCGCCATGGGTGTTGCCGTCGGCTCCGGCTACCTGTACGAGACCACCTTCGAGAAGGAGGTCTACTCCGACCTGTACGGCGAGCGTGGCTGCCTGATGGGCGGTATCCACGGTATGTTCCTCGCCCAGTACGAGGTTCTGCGTGAGCGCGGCCACACCCCCTCCGAGGCCTTCAACGAGACCGTCGAGGAGGCCACCCAGTCGCTGTACCCCCTGATCGGTGGCAACGGCATGGACTGGATGTACGCCGCCTGCTCGACCACCGCCCGCCGCGGTGCCATCGACTGGTCCAGCCGCTTCAAAGACAACCTGAAGCCCCTGTTCAACGAGCTCTACGACAGCGTGCGCGACGGCACCGAGACCAAGCGTTCGCTCGAATACAACTCGCAGAAGGACTACCGGGAGAAGTACGAGAAGGAGATGCAGGACATCCGCGATCTCGAGATCTGGCGTGCCGGCAAGGCCGTTCGGTAAGTTTCATCCTTTTGTTTATCACAAAAAAGCCAAAAACAATTGCTAACTCAATCAATAGCTCCCTCCGTCCCGAGAACCAGAAATAAATGTAATGCTATACCAAGGATGGGAAAAGTTATGACTGTACCATGAATCAATATAGGAGTTTAGTTAAATAATCATTTCTTCATTTCAATATCTTCATCTTCCACTCAAAATAACCATACCATGCCATAGATAACGCCATCTGACATGATGACTCACCTCGGTCCATTCCGTCCGGGGCTCCATTTCCCCTCTTCCCCTCCATCTCCAACTAACATCCCACGATAAACATCAAACACCCAACCCAACAACTCCATCCAACCCAGCACAAACAAAATGACCAAAACAATCCACACCCTCACCCCAACCGCCATCTCCTCCGCCTACAGCCTGATAAAACCATACATCCACACCACGCCGCTCCTCACAAACACCACGCTCAACAACCTCGCCTCGACCCCTCAATCCATTGACGCGCTACAAGGGACCGAATACGAAGGCCAGACCCCCGCAACCCCGAAGATTCGGTTCTTCTTCAAGTGCGAGAACTACCAGCGCGTGGGGGCGTTCAAGGCCCGCGGCGCATTCCATGCCTTGTTGCGGCTGATCGAAGAGGTCGGGGAGGAGGAGGTGAGGGGGAGGGGGGTGGTTACGCATTCATCTGGTGAGTATATCCACGGTAGTTACAACCTACATATGACGCTATTAGGAACTATAATACATAATACACAAGAAGCAATGATGCTAATATTCCCAGGAAACCACGCCCAAGCACTCGCCCTCGCCGCCCAAACGCTACACATCCCCGCCTACATCGTGATGCCTAGTATCAGCACTTCATCCAAGATCGCCGGCACGAAGGGGTACGGCGCCGAGGTGATATTCAGCGGCTCGACGAGCACGGAGCGCGAAGCCGTAGTCGCCGAAGTGCAGGCCAAGACCAACGCCATCTTAATCCCGCCGTACGATCACTTCGACATCATCTGCGGACAGGGGACCACGGGGCTGGAGCTGCATTCGCAGTACGCGGCGCTGGTGGCTGAGAAGCCGGAGTTGAGTGTTCATGGTTCCCAGACTGGGGAGTTGGATGCGGTGATCACGCCGGTGGGCGGGGGCGGGCTGAACGCCGGCGTGGCGACGTTTTACGCGGACAAGAGCACGAAGGTGTTTGGGGCTGAGCCGAGCTTTGAAGGAGGGGATGATTGTCGACGGGGGCTGGTGGCGGGGGAGAGGGTGACGAGTGTGAAGACTTTGACGGTGGCGGATGGGCTGCGGACGCCGGTGGGGGTGTTGAATTGGGAGGTGATTTCGGACGCGAACAAAGTGGCCGGGGTGTATGCTGTGACGGAGGCGCAGATCAAGGCGGCGATGAGGCTGGTGCTGGAGAGGATGAAGGTGGTGGTGGAGCCGAGTGCGGTGGTGGGTTTGGCGGTTTGTTTGTTCAACGAGGACTTTCGACGGAGGGTCGAGAAGGAGGCGCCGCAGGGGTGGGATGTCGGGGTTGTCTTTAGTGGTGGGAATACCACGGTCGAGGCGATTGGCAAGCTGTTTGCCTAGTGGCCTGGAAGCACAGTACATATACATACTCCGGTCGATAACCGAGTACATATCAAGTCAATATCAACATCACCCCCTCCAGTCAGCAGTACTCACAATCAAGTAAACCACACCCCATCCCCAGTGACCCGAAACCCAAACATGCCCTCATTCCTCCTCTCCAGACCCTCACGCACTCTCCTTGGCCAATCCTCCCTCCCCCAACCATTCACCCAGACCAGAAACCTCCCCTTCAGCACCACCTCCCTCCTCAACTCCGCCTGCTCCTGCGCCTGAACCGCCGACATCTCGACCGGAAACGGCCTCACCCGATCCCTCTGCACGACAAGCCTCAAGTGCGGAAAAACACCCCACGGCGGGGGCAGCGAGGCCCGGAATGCCGGTCCCCTGGGCCGAGACACCAGCTCCTCCATCGGGTTATACAGTTCAAAGGGCCCTGGTCTGTATCCATGCTGCTGCTCCCCTGCACCCCCGGGCATGGACCGTCCGCTCCACGTAGTAGTAGTGGTGGTGGTATAGACGACCGAGCAACTAAATAAGCTCTGCAGACGCTTCAACTGGACAACAAGCTCGGCGTAGAGGTCCGCGAGATAGAAGCTCTGGTTTTGGCTGCGTTCGTACTCGATCTCTGCATATGGACGGCCGATATCTTCCGTGCGAGCGACCTCGTCGTGGAGTTTATCCTGCCAGAAGAAGGCGCCGGCGCTGTCGATGAAGATAGTGCGGAGGGGCCGAGGGGCCGAGAAGTGACGGCGGAGGTCGTACAGATAGGTATCGAGATCATGAAGAGTGGCGAGGAGGGCGGAGGACGATTGAGGACGGAAGACGTGGACGTGTTGGAGGGATGAGGAGAGCATGGATTCAAGGTCCGGGTTAGACATGGACAGAGGATTGGGTGGGTCGTGTTCAGCAGTCTGTTGCACTCGATCCTGTACGATCCCTCGAGCTATCGTTCGGAGTCTGTCCGCTTCGAACCGGCCGTCGGTGTCGATGAATACAATAGCGGATTCAAATCCCCCGGTTTGCGTTCCAGCGAAAACACACGGCAGAACCGCGTTGGCGGCCAGATAGTACAGGATCTGCGACTTGCCGGCCGCGGACGAAGTGCTTGATACTTCGAGAACAGGGTCGCGGTGGACGCGAGTCGACGTGGGATTATCCTCCCAACGGGGCAGATTCACAGGAGTCTCGTCCAATTGCCGCTCGTCCTGACCATCCTCATCCTCATAATCATGGGCATATTCCCCATCTTCATCCCCAACCAGAGCAGGACCAGCCTCCTCCGAATGCGGATGCTCCTGAACCGGTCGCACAGAGAACCCCTGCATGAAGACATCGAGCAGGTCATCGATCTCCGTGACACCCAGGCGATGGTTCAGGGGACCAGTGTCCCCGACATTCTCATAGATGGTTTGCAGGTCATGCAGGAGCTAGGGACGTTAGCGTGAGAACATGCATGACGCCCAGGAACGACAGGCTGAAAGAATGGATGGGACGCAGTGAAATAATTAAAACGAAGCACCAAGAGTGACACTAGAGCCATACCTCGTCTAATCGTTCTTCGCGCACCTCGCCGAGCAGTCTCTCCCCGAGCTCGGCGGCCATGGCTGACTAGTCTGCGATCGGTGGCTCATGAAGAAGCCGACATAGTGGAATATTCCAATTGACTCAATTGCATAGAATCATCAAGAGGCCAAATGTAGTACCGAGTCCGACGTATTGAGCAAGGAGTATCAAGTGGTAAGAAAGTTGACGGAAGCCAAAGCCGAATATACCATCGCGCCAAGAGAACCGCATCGCATCGCATCAGGTCATCTCCAATTTATCATCCGCTCCCACCCAACCCATAATTCCTCTCTTCTCTTCTCAATCCCACTCTCATCCTAACATTCTCCATCCAACCCCTCCATCCTTCACTCTATCCACAACACCACCACCAACAACAACAAGAAAATCGAAGATGGCCCCCCTCGTCCCGATCTTCCACGCCGAAACCCTCCCCGACCATGTCAGCATCATCCGCAAAAACTTCCAAGAACGACGCCGCAAAGGCGGGCCCGTCGAGCTCGAGAAATGCAAGCTCCTCGAAATGGTCCAGTACTCGTGCAATCCGCCGCAGGACGGGGTTCCCAAGCCGGGTGTGGTGGTGTGCAAGCCCGTCGTGAGGCTGTTCAGACGGTATGATATTTTCATCTTTTCGAGCGGCTTTTGGGGGTTGAGTGGGTTTTATGATGAGGATTGAAGCTGATTGATATTTTGAATAGGTGTGCGAATGGGTTAACGGTCGAAACGACTTCTTGGGAGCCGATTAGACAGGCGCAGGAAGAGGCGAAGCGCGCAGCTGCGGATACGACGGACGGGGATTCGAAAACGAGCAGCACATAAGATATAAGGCATACGGCGAGCGGTTTATTGCATTGCATGGCTACGGAGTTGGGAAGCGGCGTTCTACATTCTGGCTTGGATACAACCTACACACACCTACAATCTTTTCAGCTCTAAGCATATTCAAATCAACTCCATGGGTATCTTGTCGAGTATGGCTACAATACAAAAGGTCCAAACGCCGTGACACCAGTACGATTCCTTGCGGCACATTGTCCTGATCATGTGCTCACCCAATTTTCCACTCGCGGATGGTTCGGATGATCCTTCGACGCCGGCGGCTTCTCCTCGGGTCTCCGATCCCGCGACACCGTGGACTTGCGCCAAAGGTCTCGTTCGCAGTTGATGATCGGCGGCAGCTCGATGCTCAGGGCCGTCTTGTTCCGGGCCGACTTGACATCTGCGTCGGCCGCCGCGCCGGAGTCGATCTCCATGGGCGCGGACGATCCCGGCGCAGGCAAGGCCTTGGGCGTCTTCTTCAACATGCCCTTGATCGTCTTCTCGAACATGCTGTCCATGCTCTCCGTCCTCTTGCCCCATGCTTTCTTGTCGCGGCCGGCCGCTCCCAGCTGGTTGTCCTTGAAGGCTGCGCGAGCCAGCTTGCGCAGGGCCTCCTCTCCGTGGCGGCCGTCCTCGGTCGCGCGTTCGCGAATCTTCCGCGCATCTTGCTCTCGTTCCGTGAAGACCGGAGTGTGCCGGTATGTGTGTTTGCTCGGGAATTCCGGGAAATGTTTAGGGATGTGTGCGCTTCGCACTCGGTCGTCTTCGCCGCTCAGCTGCGGACCGAGCGATGGTAGAGTCTTGAAGGAGTCGTCTTCCGGCGGAGGACTCGGTAGAAGGGTGGGGATGGGCTCAGAGGTCGGGGGAGGTTTGGCGAGCGGGATGAGGTCGTCGACGCGCAGGGATTGTCGTTTCAAGGCATGTTCGAAATCTTGGGGGATAGGCTGGATGCGACGGTTCGAGAGCATCGACTGACGGATATATGAGGCGAATCTCAGAAGATCTAAACGAGTCCTTCGTCAGTATCACCAGTCACCATAGCTTGGTTTGCTGCCCGTCGGTCGCAACATACACTCCTCTGTGGCGTTGCGAAATCCATCCAGCGCGGCCGGACGGGCCAGGTCGAATCCAGCTTGGTGTAGAGACTGGCTGATTGAGCGGTTCATCAAATGGTCGACGGAGGCGGCATCCGTGATCGCGGGCTCCGGGATGGCTGGGTTGACGGGATTTTGTAGACGGTGATGGTGATGGTAGGGGCGCTTGACGCGCTTGGCATCGGGGCCATTCTGCTGCGCCGACAGCGAGGAGGAGGAGCGTTTGATGGCAGGCTCCGAGGTGAGCATGGCGTCGTGGAGGTGAGTGACTGTAGACTGAAGGAGGAACAGACGAAGCCAAACAAGTCTTCGGGTGGTCACGTGTTGGTGCCTGAGGCGGACAGAATTCTCCAGAAGAAGTCGATGAATGAACAATCAATCGGTTCATTACTGAACTGTTGTTATTGTTATTTAAAATGTACAATAATCCAACAGTATAATAATAACATAGTCCATTCAATAAAGTAATAATAGTCGTCCAGTATACTCCCTCGACTGCGGTCATCCCGTCAGGCCATCAGGCCACTCACAGCGGTCGCTTACGTGCGCGGAAAGCTTCACCTCGACTTTGTCGAACATCATCACTTTCTCCCCTCCTGCTCTCCACCTCCACTCCCCACCACCACCAACGCAGCTCACTCTCTGCTGCAATCGCCTCGGATCCGTCTCTCGAGTCGCCCTCTCCCTTCCATCTTTCACAATGGCCGGTGTCGCCCCTATCACTGGCGTACGTTCCCACACCCGAATGTTTCCGCTCTTGGACGGGCGGATGGATTTTCGAGCTGGATCGGAATCCACACGCCAACCCACGTCAATTCCAACCATATAGCAGAGACATGAACTGACGTTCCTTAGATGCTCCGCCGCAGCCTGGTCCTTGACCTGAGCACTGCTTTCGGTGAGTCGTGATCCTGTTCCTCAGCCCGGGTCTTGTCGCGGCAGGTCCGGAATCAGGCAATCCAATCCAAGTCAATCCACCAGAAAGGATTCTCAGCTTCGACTCTCGCTCTGCCCTGACGACCCAACCCAACCCACTCGAATCTACTCCGCACATCAATCAAAATAGAAACTAACCCCATCCCTCCAGGCTTCGGTACCACTTTCGGCTACCTCTGGTGGTACGGTACGTATCTTCCCTCCTCCCTCCGTCCCTGTCCTCAACCCTCTCCGAAAACCTCTAACACCTCCAATAATAGGATACCACCTCCCCCGCGTCCGCGCCCGTGACGTCTACTACACCCGTCTCGAGCAGGAGCGCGCCTCCCAGGCCGCTTAGATTCGTTCCTACCAGCATGCATGATTCGCATCTACCTTCCCTGTCGGATACTCGGTTCGATACCGCATGATGCATTCTGTCCAACTCGATCCAAGACAATGATCTATCCCGCTGTGTCTCCGGATTTCAATACCATACATACATACCCTGTTCGGAGAAAGAGCGGTGGTTGTTGTCGGCAAAGTGAATACTGTTCTATATGTTTGTGTATATGTATATCGCGTTGGATCTGGATCTGGATCGAGGTCTGGGTCTGGGTTAGGTTCAATTTCAAGTTTGTTTTCTCTAGCTGAATCGAGTCGGTCAGTCGGTGGGTTTGGTAGGGTAGTGGGTGTGTTTCGATTATTTTTTTCGCTTAGGTTTAGTCCTGTGTTTTAAGATGTTGATTGGCTGTATATATAGCTGTTTTTCCTTCGCTATCACTGGTACTGTTGTTGTGTGTCTGAGTTCTCGTAGGTTTGTAGAAGTGGAGAGTGTATTGTGTGCGGATATATCTCTTGACGCAGAGCTGGGCATAAACCATGAATATATGCTGCAGCTCAGACACCGCAAAGACACAGGACAAGTACCTATAGACCGTTCCACCAACCAACTCCAGGGAAATATCTATGAATAAACCATGTATGAAAAAGAATCACCATACCATATATTCATTGCGTTCGTGAACAAATAATCTATCCAGTCGCTAATTAGTTCAGTTATAAAAATGCACCAGACCCTAGGATCTGCTCCTTTCCTCCCATTCCTTCTTCAGTTCAATCCAACTAGTCGTGATATCCGATATTCGCCACGGATTCAATTCTAATGCCATCAGGCCAGACCAGTCGGTTCGTTCAGTTCAGGCCGGACTGACTGACTGACTGACTTATCCACAGTACCGAGGGCTGGGGCTGGTACTGCCTGTCTCCATTGCCATGCCGTTGCGACATGCGGTATCGATTCAATCTCATTTCATGACACGCTCATACGGCACGCCCCTAACGGCTCCTCCACCCATGGACGTGCGCACGTTCCGCTTGAACGCATCCCGGTTCTGACGCAGATCATCGGCGGCTTCTTTATTCAGGGGATCAGAGGCGTTGGGCTCCAGGAAGAGGAACTATGAAACAGAAATCATCAGCACACGCACACAGCACCAACATGCAACAAAGTAAAAGGAAGATAGGGGAAAACCCACCTGCATCCCCACAATCACCGCATTCAAATTCAACACCGGCTTCCAGTCCTCGCGCAGAATATTCAAGCACACGTTCCCCTCGAGGTCGATATTCGGATGATAGATCTTCTGCGAACACTTGACCTTGGGCGGATCATGCGGGAAGTTCTGGTTGACGGCGAAACTGAAGTGGAAGGCACCGCCCTTGTACATGCCCTCGTCGGGCTCGATGGTGAGGGTGAAGTTGAGGATGTCGTCCGGGTTGGGGAAGGACATTTTCATCGTGCTGCCGAGGGTGAGTTCGTTGAGGTCTAGACGGTTCATGTCAATGTGCTTGCTTTCTCTACCGCATGAGAGTTGAATCTGCTTGGATTGGAACTCCTCTGCGATGTAATGCAGTAATGCAGGGGGGGGGGAGACGTACCTCGTTGCACGCGCAGCTGAGCAGCCGTGACCTTCTTCTTCTTCTTCCCAGCGGCGCCTTCGGCATTTTCAGCTTGTTGCTGTTTTTGTTTCTGGTGACGCGATCAGCTTCTGCCTCTACTCCCATATTCCATACCCCATGACCAGAAAAAGAGAAACAAACCATAGACCATATCTTCAACATGTTGCTTTTGAAAACGTCGCCACGCGACCCCGTTCTTTGACCTGAAGTGCCGACAAAAAAGTACCGAGCCAAGCTGACAGCCGCTAGGAGGTCTCTCCAGAAACCAACCTCAATATTAGAGACGATCAAGATCCTCACAGGTGATGTCAAGTAGGAAGAAGAGCAAAGCGCCGGCAGCGTCAGACCTGCGGGGTCCAAGAGCAGTGGAGCGGCAGTGAATGGGTTTTCTCCACTCCAAACGGTGGCAGAAAAAGGCAGTGGCGCGAGGTGAGAAGGGAGGATACAGGGAGCGATAGCGACAGAATTCCGGACGAAGAGCAGCAGCCAGATCAGGGGAAGAGACGGAGGCTCGAGGAGTCAAAGGCGTGTGCGCATGCAAAAAGGACGGGGCCAGTCAGCGACGAACACCTGAGAAGCAGAAGGCAGCCTGACGCCATGGGCTGCCCGTCACCGCCTCCCAAGGCGGCAACTCCGCCGGATGCCTGCTTTTGACCGGAGAATGAATTGAAGATGTCTACTGGGTACACGATAATTACGAAGATAATAGTTGACCATCGGTCCAAGAATTTGTTCCTTTCGCGGCCCTCTTGCGCCATGAATGCATCCTAGTTATTCTAACCGCTAAGACTCTACTAAACATCAAAGTGCCTGCGGCCCTGTCAACCGCGTAAATCCAACCATGTCAGTATGAGCAGATGAACAGGAAAGAAAAAAGAAAAGAGAAAGAAAAAGGGAAGAAAGAAGTGAAGGAAAAAGAGAAGGAAGAATAATGAAGATAGAATGGAACAAGAACAAAGAAACGGGCATCGTATGTAGAATACAAAATTGCAACAAAATGTGCCTACAACGTCTCGACCAGGCAGGCACCCTTTTTTTCTCATTACAAAAGAGGCTCCCTTTCGCCCTCTACCGCCGGGCAAAGCAGCACAGGATACCGGTCTTACCCAGGAACCAACAGGCTCCGATGAAACGGAAGAGCGCAACGGCGGCCGTGGACCACAGGAGAGCCTGGAAGAATCGCGATGTCCGGTCGGTAGCATCATTCTGCAAACGAGTTAGTCGGGGGTTTCCTGGCAAGTCTGATGAAGACCGGTGGGGATTGATGCACGTACCGTGAAACCAAACTTGTCAACACCGTCGCTGGTGATACAAACGGCCAACAAGGCATTGCTGAAGATCCAGAGCGTAACCAGCCGCGTACGGAAACTCTTGTACGAATCATCCAGAGACTTCTCCTCCTTCTCGACGGGGGCGATGTAAGGAGTCAGGGCGCGCTTCACGGTGGCCTCGAATTGACTGTCGATATCCGCTTGGGGCTTATCGATTTCTTCTATTACCGCGTCTTTACCTTCCTCTGTTGTCGTCTTGGCGGAAGGCAGCGCATCGGCCTTGTCGGAACCCTTGGTACCCCACGAGACATCGTGCCAGTTGCTGAACGCATAGACGTTAAGGATGTTGATGAAAGACGACTGCACGGCCATGTAGGCAGGGAACGAGGTGAACATGTGCCAGGGATCCAGGTACATGAACGAAGCGACGAAGTACAGACCGAAGGTGGCAGCAAGGGCAATGATGATGATACCGGCACCGGTAGATCCGAAGAAAGAACTCAGGAACGGTCCGATACCGTGGTCGGTGTCGAAATCCATACCGTCCTGTCCACTGAAGGCACGGACGACCAGGTACAGCGCATCGATGACGACGTAGATCTGGATGATACCGAACACGATAAAGGAGGCGAGATACGAGTACCTCGAACCCTTCGGACGGTTACCCAGCGCAAGAATGAACTGCAGCAGCAAGAATCCGAGGTAAACGTATTTCACGATCGTGTTAACAACGGGCGTAGCACTTTTGCCGAAGGGGAAACTCTTGTAGCCGTTGTTCTTGCTGGGAGTTCCGACCAAGTCCATGATAACGGTAGTAGTAAGCCAATAAGACGCTGTCAACCAGTTAGAACCTCGGTGTCCCCACAAAGTCGATGATTGAAAGAGAATACATACCCAAAGAAAACCAGGTGAGAATAGTCTGGAAAACGTTGTACAACATCTGAATGTGCAAAAAGAACATGCGGATGATGTTGTGTCCACTCTTATACATACGACCAAAGTGCATGAGCGAATAGATACCGGCGGCAAAGGAACCGTTCAGCCAACGACGACGCTGGGAGATGAATTCGGCAGCACCTTCGGGCACATCGGTCTCACCCTTGGAGGCCTTCACATAGGTCAAGTGCCACTTGGAGCCGGCCTTGGCGACCAGCTCGAAACAAAGAATACGATCTTCGGCCAAGAACATGTTCTTCTTGAAAATGTTCATGCCCTCAATACCCTTCTTACCCAGCTGTTTAGAAAGGGTGTGATCACCGTGGAAATATTGCTCCAGAGGGCGACCCATGATAGCCCGGAATCGGTAGGCAGAGAAAGCACCAGGCAACACACTGACGTATCCGAACGAACTTTCAAGGGGCTTGTCAAGGATATTACTGATCTTGTACTCGAAGTTCTGGGCCGCAACCAGGGGGTTGATCAGGTTCTTCCAACCCTTACCCAACATGGCGTGAATTTCACCACAGGCACCACCGAGATCCTTGTCGTTGTAGAAACCCTCCCACAGGGCCAGCAGAGACTTGTGGCCGGGCTTGGTACCGGCATCGAGAAGAATACACACTTCGGGGTTGAGAATACGGCCGAAACCGTTGAAGAGCCATCTGTGAGAGTTGATCTTCTTGGTGTTCTTCTGCTTCAAACAGAACATCATCTGCACGGGGGGAAGGGTAGTAGGACCGTCGTCGGTGGGCCTGATGAGCTGCTGGTTGGGAGTAACAGACAATTGCGTCGTGTATTCGAACTGGTACCTGTTAGCTCGTGGTCGCTCTTCGGGCCGCATGTATCACATACAATGTGGGCCACAGTTTCCTTGCCGTCGACATCACGCTTCATGACACCATCCTGGTAGATACCGATGGTAGCCAAGACATCCAGGGTATCCTTGTCGCAAGGATCGATACCGTCGAACACCAAGGCCACGACGATCTTCTGCCAAGCGGGACCACCCTTGTTCCAGAACTCAGACTTTTTCAAGTTCACAATATCACGGATGTTCTGCATAACACCGTGCAGGGTACGCGCGGTCAGCGTCTTATCTTCGTTATAGTATGTAATGGCGATGAGCAATTCCGTGTGACGGTTATACATCGCAGGTCGAAGGTTGTAACCATTGTGAAGAGTGAAATCATTGGGATCACACGTTGCGGCAGTGTCTGGTCGGCGAAAGATTCCATGTTAGCTGTTGTCGCAAGCTTATCACCATCCGCATCCCGCTCAGAGGGTCTTGCACTCACATCGCATGTGCGTAAATTCCTCGCTGCCACCTTCGAGATCGTTCCGGTACTTAGCCTGGATGGCGTTCTGAATGGCGCTGGGCACGGGGTAATCGACACTCAGCACGGAACCCTGGACCAGCTTAACCTTTCTGGTGGCATAACGTCGCAAACCGCCGCCACCTCCGCCGCCACCACCACCACCGGCAGCGTTACCGCCGGGAGCCTGGCGCTGTCTCCATGCCTCCGTGGACGAAGTTTCACTCCGAGCGTAGGGAGAAGCCACACGACCGGGAACACCGAAGGCAGCTGCTGCGTTCTCCCCCGAATGGCCCGAGTAAACCGAGCCGTTTCCGCTGTAGGGATCCTGGAAACCCGCGTCGGGAGCATAAGTTTCGGTCAGGCTGTAGCCCGAGGTGGGTCGCGGTCCCGGTGACAAGCCACGCTGGTGAGGGTCGTCGAAAGGACCGGAGAACGGGCCCTGCTGATGAGACAGCAAACCTCTCGAGGCTTCTTCTTCTTGGTTATCGCCGTACTAAATTGCGTTGAAAAAGTCGTCAGATTCCGGTCGCGAATGGGAGGGAAGCGAGCGAAAAAAGAAAATAACAACAAGCCTCGCCGATCAGCACGGGATCACCTACCGGAGAAGCACCATGGGGGGGATCCTGAAGTTGGTGACCATTTCCCTCGTACTTAGGCGACTGACTGCCAGTGCCTTGGTAGGCCATATTCACAGGGTTATTTCACAGGCGATGGCCTCAGCACGGTGAGGACAACACGAGCTCGAAAAGCAAGGGAAGAACGGAAAGGGGGTATCAGGAGAATAGGGAGCAAGGGCGACGACCGAGCAAAAAAAGTTGGATGGTCGGTCAACAATAAACGAGGCCGACTAGACCTCGAGAAATTGCGGGAAGCAAAAAGAGGGAGAGACAGAAGAGAATGGGGAAGAAAAAAGGAAGAGGCAGAAAAAAAAATAAAAAGGGACCCCAAATCAAAGGAGCCAGGAATAATGGAAAGGCGAAGCTGGAGGGGGGCGCGGGCACAGCAGGAACGTGGAAGAAGCCGCCAGGGCTAGCTAATATGGAAGCCCGCAAACTCAAAGAGAAAGACGACTCGACGGGCAACCCCGGTTCCAAAAATGAATGCTACTCCCAAAGGAACGGTTCTCTGTATAGCGACAGAGAAGTCGAGAAGAGGTTTCCCGGATTGAAGCTGGGAGGGGCAGAAGATGGAAAGGGGAAGGGAAAAAGGAAGGGTAAAAGGGTTCAAACAATACTGATCAAAAAAATATGAGCGAACGATACGGACAGATGTCTCAGTAAAAAAAAAAAAAAAGTAAGAAATTAAAAATGAAAATAAAAATAATAAAAATCCAAAATCCAAAATCCAAAATCCAAAAATTAAATCGAGAAAAAAAAAAACCAAAAATCAAATACGAATTATCCAATCCAATCCAATGGCCAAAGAAAGCAGCTTTCCCCCGTTGAGGATGGAGGAGCGACTAGACAGACTAGAGTCAGCTGGCAGACGGCGCCGGCATAGTGAGCGCGCCGGTGGAGATGCGAGGGAATCAGCCTCCTGCCGGTATTTTTGACGATGGGCGAGGGCTACGATGTCGACAGAGGATCTTCTGCTCATGAATCTGATATGCAACATTCAGGGTGCTCAGAGGAGGTTCGCAGTATACTCCTATACTCCGTGTGGTCCACGGCATGCCAATCCTGCCGAAGCTTCCCCAACGTCCCCCTCCCCCTTAACGATCTTCGCTGTACGTCCTACTGCGTATTGGAGGTCCTGGCAAGTAAGGACAATACGGTGTTACCCCCGAGAATACCTCGTCCCGTACCAGACGCGGTAAAACCAATACAAGGGGCCGATTACCGTCTGCCAGCCTTCCCTTTCTTCCCAGCTCTCCTCCAGTGGCAATCGCAGAACGATCGACAGTCGGCACCATTGGGTCATCGTGATGTCTGACCTCCAGCTGACCGCAGATACCGCTGAGGATGAGTCGCAGCAGGTCGGAATACTCCGTCTGTACGCCGAGGGCGGTGCGATGGGCCTGTCTCTCCGGGGTGGATAATGGGAGACCCTGGCGATGTCCTCGACTTCGACTTTCCTTGGAGTCTCCCATCGGTATCGTCGATGGTACGGTCATTACGCGACTCCATCCGGGGCCTGACTCGCGGCAAGGAAGCGCTCCTTCATACATGGAAGCAATCTCATTCTTTGTTCTCATTCCAACGCCCATACTACCTATCCCTGGCCAGCATGACTGCCCGGTTCTCCGCGCTTCCACCGGGTGGTTATTATGTTTATTGTGATTAAACTACCAATAGGCTGCGGGAGTGATGCAAGTCGTGCATGTTGATATCAGCATCACCTCATCCATATGCATCGTACTGTCCTATCCTCTCCTCGATACTCCGTACTCTGTCGATGGAACACGGTACGGTACGCGCTCTGTCCGACATCCAACGTGACAGCCACAATACCCATACGATAATTTCAGGGGGCGGGGGGGCCGCCCGATTGCTGGAAGGGCAAACCCCCACTAGCCAAATATAGCCTTGTGGGGAGGCCTTTTCCCCACTCTGCAAACCGTGTTTAACGGCCGTTGGTCAATTGCGGCGCCACCGCCAGCCGCTAGTCCCGAAAGTGCGATGGGAAAAAGTGTGCCAAACCGTCAAAAGGTTATTGCGGTGTCAAGCGGTCATGCTCACCGTTCAGGTCCGCCGTTTCAGCTTCGCCTGCCAATGAGGACGTCGAGGATCTCCTGTCTTTGTTTGAGATCTTGGGGTCACTTTTTTTGTTCTTTCCCTCTCGGACGCCTCGCTCGTCTTTTCCTGCCTCTCTCGACTCCCGTCGTGCCCAGCAAAGTCCCGAATTTCGAGGTCTCTCCAGTTCCAAATTTACGGAAGGTTTGGAACGGAGCTCAAGCTAAGCAGTAGTCGGGTCTAGTTTAAGGAGAGGCTGATGATCATCACTGCCACCGAAGACTAGCTAGTCTTTCTAGTTGTTTTCCATTGCTATTCTTAGCCCCGGGGGGAGGCCGCTATCCAAGACAGTCCGGGTAGTGTACCACGGTCACCACCTCGCGGGAAAAAACATCTGCACTGTGCGCCGAACACCTTTGGGGAGGACCAGTTTTGTCGTCAGACACAGAGATGCGTTAGGGAGGTGGCGAGCATACTCCGTCCAATCTCCTGCATGACATCATCCGGTCGCCTTCGCCAGAATAAGGATCAATTACCTACCTGCGTCCGTTTAGGATCATCCGTTGATCCTCGGGGATCGCAACGGCAACCAGATTCCATCGCCACAAAGAATGCAATACGGCAATAATCCCTGTCGCGTTTGGGATTATCGGAGCTGTCGATTCTGGAGGACGATCAGCCGTTGCATCTGCATCATTCACTTCTGCCTGGTGCCTAGAGAGTAGGACGCAAGAGTACAGACTACAGCAGTAATTCGTAGTATGTACTGGGAACATCCCCTAGTAAGAATCCGTACTACGAAGCGGGGACAGACCAGACGTAGTCCACGTTGACAGGCAGAACCGCAGTCTTGTCTCTGCACGCCGCCTCAGCATTCGCCATTGCCCCTTCCGAGTGGATTCCTCCGTCGCGTACCTGGCAGGATTAAATTTCCGACTCGCCGTTCCTACAGAATCGGTGCAGGGGAAACTTTCTCGATGCTTGGCTTGAGTCTAGCCTGGTCTGAGGTGGGATGTTCCACGTCATTTTATCCTCAATGACGATGGACTTGCAATGAAATGTGTATGTACTTCCAACAACACCAACACTACCTACGTAGTATCCCCTCCCACAAACTCGCAACCGTCCAGTCGCGCATGACAGTGTACACAGTCCAGTCCATGCCACGTCCGTCCACGTTTACCACGCATGTAACCCTCTACGTAGCCTGTTGCAGTCCGCAGTAGCATGGAGCGGGAAGTTACTCGATGCATCCGATCAATCTCCATACGCGAATGTGAATATATTGTTGACCAGGCGGCGAGGCAAGGGCTTCGGATCGGAATCCGGCCGCAACAAGGGTGGCGATGATGCAATCAATATGTGGGAAGCAACATGGACGTCATGATGATTGCTTAATATTCCATTGCCAATGTGGCGGTTTGTTTTGTTTGTGTGTTTGGATGATGCCTACAGCTATTCTGGGTAAGGGTGTGAATAAATATTCTTTTTAACGTATACAATTTGGGAAGGTGGAACAATGTCTGTCGAGGATATATCAGTACAATTCTTAAAGTCTGTGTGGTAAATTGGCGGTTGAATCCGATCGAATTCTTGGGGCAGAAATATATAATCGTTGGACGGTACTTCCACAACCACATCAAATAGCAGATGGTAGATATTTGTCGCCAAGAACAAATTAAATGAATTATCAAAGTAAAAATATCCACGGACAGTCCATCCTACTTGGCAGAGTAAAATCTAACAACATCCAACCGAGCCAACTAATGAGAAGAAGATCTAGACCGGCAATAACCAAACCAGTGCAACCTCAGGCAGCTGCGGGGCGGAAAAGCCCTGATCGACTGTTGAAACACGATCATTTCCAGGAACCGTGGACGACCCATGGGGTTGAGGCCCTTTCAAGTTTCAAATCTTAGGGTTCGGTTCTGTTTAGACTGCAGAGGTTCTTCAGCTTTACTGCGCAAGAATCTCGATTCTTCTCCATGCGGACGTGCTAGGCGTGTCAATACTCAATAATTGGGGACCAGGAAGAATAGCGCAGCGCAGTGCCCTGTGCACCGTGGACAGGAGGGGCGTGGTGCAGCCCACGGAGTAAAGACAGGCCATGCCACCTCTTTGTGCGCCGTCGGGGCCGTCGAAGTCTTTGTAAACGTCGATGAGATCGAGACTCGATGACGCGCGGCTGATTACAGCGACCAGAGGATCCACGGGACTGAGGTAATTCACGAAGGACTACATAGTAGGGATAGATTATCACGGGACTACAGCGTAGAGAAATGAGGTCGCACAGACACTGAGAATGAAGACTAATATTATTGTTATTATCGAAGAGATACCCTGCAGACAATCATCCAAATGACAAGAATAAACATAATCGAGACGGGAGAAAATATCCGTGCCGTGCCTGAGGCCAACGGGGAGGTGTGGCTGGCGCGCTGATTGGGCGGCGGGGGGCCGGCGTAATCTCCCGGAGGAACGTGGGCTGGTCTGGACCAGGGGCCGCTTACGCCCACGCCCGCCACGCACTTCGGTGCCTTACTGCGTTCTCTCTTACTCCGTCGTCCTCCTGTCCGGAGCAAGGAACTTCAACCATGTCAGGGGCGTCCTCAGGATGACGGGCAGAATGCACTGTACAAAGTATCTGCATCGGATCTCCTGTCCTCAAGTGCGGTCCTCAAGTGTTCGACACTCGAAGTCCGAGTATTGGTGTCATCCTTACTTGGTCGCACCGGTCCAGGTACCACGGACCGACTTACTATTTGTGGTAGCAGGACCGCTACCTTTTCCGGCGAGTGTTTGGGAAGTACCAAAAAAGGAGGAATGTTTACCACGGATGGCGAGGGGGTAGAGTAAATAAACGAGCAATTTCTTCGATGTCTTCCTGGATGTCTGACCATAATCACCAATCCTCTTCCTCCGTACTAAGTATACCTACTAATCCGAACTCCTTTGCTGACGCCCCCGTGCATGGCGTGGCGATAAGACATCCGCGGTGGGCATACGGACGTGGCTGCGAAGCGAAAGCCAAAAGGGCCGGACTCCAGAATCCGCACTCCACCGCAACCCACCATCATCTGCTCTCCATCCCGTCCCGTCCTGTTCCTCATTTCCTCATTCCTCATTCCTCCTTCCTTTCCTTTGACCTTCCTCCCTCATTCTCTTCTCTATCCCCCTCTTTTATACCTCCCTCCGTTGATATCCACTGTCTCTGGCGGACGATATCCTCTCCCGATATCCTTCCCCTGAGCCTCTTTGTCACGGCGGTGTACCTGGCAGCCGCAACGCGTGTACTCCCGACTGTCGACTTACCCGACGCCGTGAAGCAGCCTATCAATGTCCCGGGTTTGACTTGTCCATCGCGGTGACTCGCCAACACGCTTGACTGGAAGGATCCCTAGAGCGACTCTCGACTGCAGTATCTCGCCCTCTCGAACTATGACCATTGTCTGCGATTCCTTCGGCCACTTCAGCAACTCTTTCGTTCACTCGCTTCAATAAAGACCGTTGCTTTTGGATATCCCATTTTGTATGATCTAGCGATAACGCTCACGACTTGACGTCCGCTCGAGCATCCCACTCTCTTTTTTTGGAATCGTCTTCTTTCACGCTCTTTTCGCCGTTGACCGGCTCGTCGCTCTCTTTTATCGGCCCATCTTCCTCTTACGACCTCGATTTTTTCTTTCAACCTTCTTTGCATCCTCGACCTTATCCTTCATCCTTCTCATCATCCTCATCATCCTCATCATTCATCATGGCTTCCTCCTTTTCTCCTAACGGTATGCTTGTTCGTCCGAACCCATCCTTTATGTTTTGCTAACCGACCCCCCAAAGCCCTCTCCTCACGATCCATCTTCAAACGATGTGTCAAATGCTCCGAGTCAGCGCCGGCATGCCCCTCTTGCGAAGATGGCTACACTTGTACCATGGTCAGCCAGTCTTGTGATCAGTGTGCGACCACGAAATGTATTCCGACATCTGCGAACAGCTCGAACTCCGGGGGTGGCTCGTCAGGGGGAGGAACCAATGCGGGCGCCATCGCGGGTGGTGTCATCGGTGGTGTCGCCTTTGTTGCAATCGTTACGTTCTTGGTGTGGTGGTTCTTCATTCGCAAGAAGCGCAAGGAGTATGCCGAACAAGCGGCCGCCGACGGCGAAAAATCGTCCACGGCGCCATCGGGCTCTGCCAACCCCTCAAGAAAGTCGACCCATTCCATCGCTTCTACCGTCCTCACCCGCGCATCCAACGTCATCCAGATCGCCTACATCCCCGGCGTCACCAACCGATCACCTCCGGAGACCCCGCTCGTGCCTCCAGTGCCCCCACTCCCCGGTGCTGCCCCGGATCAGCATTTCTTTATGCCCGGGGACTTGCGCGACTCGTCTTGGTCCGACATGACGACGCAGGAACGCCAAAGCATTGCACCCAGCCTTCGCAGCAGCGTTGCCACGACAATCTACCGCAACAACGCCATTGTCAGCCCCATGCCTGCGCAACAAGTCATGCGTACTCGAGCTGCGGTCGTCAGCATTCATAACGGACCTAACGACCAGCCGCAGGCGGTCCAGGCGGCGCCCGACGCCCCCGCCGTTCCCGCCATCACGCAGGCTCAACTCGCCAAGGCCAATGCCAACAGCTCGATCGTGGCACGGACTATGATGGCCAAACCGGTCATGGTCAGGGGATCTTCGAAGAAGAAGAACGTCAAGAAGGACGACACCAAGCCACCCGCAGTCCAGACGATCTCCGAGCAATCAGAGCCGAGCGCCTCGACTTCTCAATCCTCTGCTTCTAATAAAGCAACCGACCAATCCGCCTCCGGGTTTGATGCCAGCTCGTCAGAAGACGAAGACGACAAATCCACCTCCGCCTCCAACACTGCCAAACCCAGCGAGTCAGCCCAACCTGAATCGCAGTCGCGAGCCCCGACCGTGATCGAGGATTCGCCCGCCACCAACCAAGGTCCTTTCACGGACCAACCTACAGAGGCCGATGCACGGACGTCACGAACGTCGTCTCACCTGGAGACCAACGATGGTACCAGGTCGAATCGCAGCAGCAGAGTCCCTCCCCCTCGCGTCGAGAGCCCATTCTCCGACGCGAACGAGGTTAAATAAATAAAGTGAACAAGCAATATACCACTCCTTCTCTTTTTTTACATTATTTATATCTTCATTCCTTCATTATAACCCCCCGGCCCGTTTTCTTTTATTTTTGTGATCGGCGCAAAAAGGAAGCTGGTTAGTCGGTTTTATCTCGACTGCCTTGATAGAAGCTATGTTTATCTTATTTTCTTTGGTTATTCGCTTCTTTGTATCTATGAACAACAGTGCTTCTTTTTGATCTATATAAGGAATAAGGAACGGTCTTTGGATCTCTTGAATATCTTGCGTATATTGCTTTGCTCCCTGCATGGTTGTATGTCATTGTACGTCAACATTGGATCCCTGTTCTCGATTCCACCGAGGGTAGGGGCTTGCTCAGTGAGTATTTGATTACGGTTGACTAGCCAGTGCGTACTTGATCCGCATTGAGTAAGTGGTTCCATAACGCTATCTACTCTAATCTACTTACGCCTTGTTCTATACAGGTGTCCCAGAAACCATCAACACATGCATGCTCCAAACCAGGCCCTCACACCTCAATCGGCACCACATACCGATTGAACTCCTCGTCCTCTTCTAGATACGGCATCTCATCCTCGAACAGATTCACACTGAGCTCAACGCCCCCGTGGTTCGGATTCCGTGGCAGAATATGCGCCAGCCTCACCGAGTCGGCGTACTGCGCGTGCAGCACTCGCAGCCTGTGCGCCACCCCGCCATTGCCAAAGTAGCGATCGCCAAAGTTCAAATCCTCCATCGAAAAAAACATCACGTTCGATACCAGCAGATCCGCCGAGTCCATCCGCTCCACGAACCGCCCTCGCACCCGCGACACATCCCCCACAGACCGCAGCAGCCCGTACGCCGCGTGCGCCGCCGTCTGGTCCAGGCTCCCCGCGCCGCTGCGCAGCGCCCGTGCGATACGACCCAGCCCGGTCGACGACGCGATCAGATCCGCTAGGGGCAGCCGTGCCGTGTTGAGCAGGAAGCAATTGCCCAGGTAGTGCGCGGGGAAGTCGGGCGCCCAGAGCCCGCGCACGTCGACGGGCGACTCGAACACCGAGAGCTCGTCGGCCAGCGCCGCCCCTCGCGCCTCTGCGGCGGCCGCGCGCGCCCGCAACAGCCCTCGCCACAGGAATGCGTTCACAGCGTCACTGGCCGAAAGGGCCCCTTCGCCGGGGGGAAGCGGCTCGGCGGCACATTCGGTCTGCAGCGCCGCCAGGTCCTGGCCGGACAGGAATAGAACCCGATTGAGCATGCGTCCGCGGCCGTCCTCGCGGCTCGCCGTTGCCGAGTGCCCCGGAGCAAACTCCCCGGGGAAATCGGAATCCAGACTGACCAGGGCGCGGAGCCAGGGGTCATCCCCGTCGTTGCGCCGCTGCACACCTTCCTTCTCTCCCTGGCTCCAGGGCCTCTCAGGAAGGCCGCGGTCCCTATCCCGCGCATCGAAGGGCGACGGCGCAACCACACCCCCTGCGTCGCGGCCATGCAGCTCGCGAAAATTCTCCGCCCACAACTTCACCAGATCCAGCATCCCCGCTGCATCAGTCGCCGCATGAGAAGTTGTCACCGCCAGGAACAGCCCCCCAGGTAAAAAGTTCGCCTGGGCCAGAAAAATATCCGCGCCTCCACCATCCACATCCCCTACGCGCGGCGCATCAAAAAGGAACTGCTCCTCATCGGGGAACGCATCCGTCGGGAACCCGCTCTCCTGCAACTCAGTATAGGACCAGTCCGTCTCGAGCTCGTGGTATCTTAGCTGGCGAGGCCCCTGATCAGCACCCTCTTCATGATAGACGGACAGAAACCGAATCTCAAGCTGACCGGGAACGTCGGGGTTCGTGCGCCGAAACACCTTCCCGCTGGCCCAGGGCTCCTGGACAAAGGTCTTGTGCAGGGCGAGTTGCAGATCGCGGAAGACAACGCCGTACTCGACTGCAGGCTTCAGGGCGAGTGGGAAGAGAAGGCGCACGTAGTTGCGAGGCGGGATGTAGTCCAGTAGGCTGACGGGGATGTGGATTTCCTCTGGTGAAGACATTGAGAATAATTGTGGAGGAATCAAGTAGGAAAATAGAGCTAGTGGAACTAGAACCAGGACCTGCGGGGGAGTCTATGCCTGGGTCTGGTTTATATGGAGGCCTTTTTCCTACCTCTTGCTACCCTTTTTTATGCAATTAAATGGAATTAAAAATCCAAGGAAAATCGACCCCAAGAGATAGACCAACAGATGAATGAACCAAGCAGAGTTCTGGGGGTTAATTCGGAGTTAATGATGCATGCATGCATTGCTGACTCTGGATCTGACGGTGGCTCAGCAGTTAACTCTGGAGGGCCGAGTTGTGTATGTGGTGTTCGGAGTATACAAGGGACTTCAAGTTCTAAGTTCTAAAGCACCATCTGAGTAAGCTAATAAGAGCTAATTCTGAAGGACGGGAGAGCTATGTGTCGCATTTATCTTAATCTAAAAAGAATAGCGAGAATAGAACGCAAGAAAAAGAATAGAAATTAAGTAGGTATTTTTAGCGCCAAGTAGTCAAATCCCACGAGCAGCAACAAAGCCACACATAGGAATAGGAAGAAACAGTCCAAAAGCCCATTTAGAAAGAGATCCTCATCTCATCCCCTATCTGTCTGCCTGGAAAACCAACCAAGCAGCCAGTTCCTCCAGGACACAGAAGCTAGGTATCTTATGCCTTATTCTGCACATTCTTACTCATGGCCCGGACTTTATGACCGTAAACATATAGCAAATACGGCACGGGGGCCATGACAGACGCGATGATGGCCACAATGGTCAATGACAGATGCGGGCCTAGGTTCTCGTACATCTTGATGGACGCCGGGCTGAGGGCCCCGGAGATGATGTACCGGGCGAAGGTCATGAAGCCGAGTGCGGAGGCGGCGAATTGAAGATACACGAAGATAATGTACATGTATGTTGTCGTGAAGATGCAGACTAGGGCGTAGCCGAAGACGCCGGAAGCCACGATGGGAGACCAGATGCTGATGTCGCTCTAGGGTGGGTTTCCGTTAGTGATGAGTTAAGAGGGTGAAAGGGAAAAGAGGGAGTGACTTACGTAGCATGTCCAGGCCATCCAGAACAGAGCCACGGGCATGAGGATCGAGGCTCCTGCCATCGCCCAGTAGAGCGAGACTTCCGGCTGCAAGGGCTTACCGGCGGCGATGGCCTTTCCGGCGGCTTTCTTGGTAAGGTGATAGATGTAGGGGACCATGGCGATGGCGACGAAGACGCCGGGCATCATGGCAACCCACAGGATAAAGGTCATGCTGGTGGAGATGTTGTACGTCTTCGTGAAGATGTAGGGGTAGCCGTTGAGGAAGGTGAAGAGCACAAAGTAGAGCAGGACGAGGTAGAAGCTGAAGATCAGGATGATGGGCTCCGTCCAGATCATCACGAACGGTCGATACATGTTGGTCAGCAGACGAGAGCCCAGGGAGCTGGCGGACGACGCGGTATGCTCTGTTTGGTAGCGGTCATCGCCCGTGAGATTGCGAAGGTGCTTTGCGCGCCACTCGAGGAGGGTGGGACTGTAGGTTTCGGGCTGGACGAAAAACACGAAGACCAGGATGGCGCCGATGATGATCATCGAGATCCAGTCGGCCCATTCGAAGCCGATCTCCGGCGTGTAAGCCCCAATGACGGGACCTAGGATAGGGCCGGCGTAGGCGCAGATCGTGACCAAGGGAAGGCCGAAGGGGATCTGCATGGGGGTCCAGATGTCACCAATGGTGCCGCCGGCCACGGTCATCGGGGTCGCCGCGAAAAGGGCACAGAGGAAGCGGAAGGCGAGCGCGGCGCCGTAGTTGGGTGCCAGTGCCTTGGCCATGATGAACAACATGACCACTATCATGGAGACCCCGTAGACAATGTTCCGACCAAAGGTTTCTGAGAAGGGACCGGAGAACAGCGAGCCCACACCGACTCCGATCAGGAAGATGCCTGCAAGTTGATGCCCAAAGTCAGCCAATTGGCAATCCAAATTCGAAGGAGGAAGGGAAGGGGGATTCGGGCATGTCCTTACCGGTTGACATTGATCCCGCCATGGGATTGACGCCAAAATGAGCATCGAAAGCCTCTTGTGTAGGACCCTCGACGGAGGTGGGAATGGTCAAAGCAATACCGATACAGCAGCAGGTAGCCATCGCCACCCATTTCCGAGGCAAACTCCATGCCAGGGGGTTACTCGGGTCGTTCTCTTTCCAGCCTACCACGTAGACGGGACTGCCATCATCGGAGTTCGACACGGTGACACCCGGCACAAGGGCTGGGTCAACTAGCTCAGGCTTCTCTGTCGCAACCTTCTTGCCATCGCTGTCGGAGGGCAGGCTCGCCCGTCGAGAGTAGGCGAGGTCCTCTTGCACCTGCTGCCGCAGGCGGCGATACTGACGGAAGGATTGCATGGTCTGAGTAGTTGAGAAACGAAATTGAGTCCAATCGATTTGACGACCAGTAGCGGAGCGAGTATGTATAGCATCGTAAAGAGCTGGCCAGCTAGCCAGCTAGCCAGCTAGCTAGGACATAAAATTATTAAGCCCTCGGATACATATGCGAGTCGGGGGGATTCATACTAAACCCGGACAGATTTGCAACTTCGGATACTTTTCACTGTAAGCGCGGGACAACTCATGACCGGCCGACTGCAGGGATGATACGGATGGTGCCACAAATAGCGGAAGTAAACCCCTGGGTCTGTGTTGTCTGCCCAGCGCAATGGGATTGGTTGATGACGTGATAGACAGAGCTGAAGCAGTTTAGCGGATCGACAAGGGGCATCTGCCAAGCTTCCGGAGTCAGATCCGGAGTCAACTAGCAGTCAGAGCGAATGACTGCAAAGGTGGCTATATCTTCGAGGAATTAAACATGGACGGAACCCATACAGGCTGGCGTGATTATCCTCACGTGAAACAATGTCAGCAATCACGGTTCCCGACGATGCGTGGTCGCAAGGCCTTCCTGCCCTCAAAGACTCGATCCAGATCCATCTGACTGAATCCGAGACCAAGTTCGAAGAGGCCATGGTCCATGCAGCCTTTCATTTTGTCGTGGACTCGGTTCAGCAGTTGAAGCATGATGACCGAGACGACTGGGAATGGCACCGCCGAGTGATGTACGATTGGATGCTCGAGACCATCGAGCTGGGTAACGGTGGTGCCATCGCCCCGGGAAGCGAAGCCTGGGCCAAAGAGAGCCCCCAGGTGCGAAGCGGGCTCGTGGAGTATCTGGAAGCCACGGAGAATGTGTCCGCACGCCTCACGGTGCGCGTGGGCCAGAACCTGGTGAAGATCTTCCGAGACGAGATGACCCCGTTGGAGCTGGTCATGGAAGACAACCTGTTGAACCGGTACTATATGGAGTATCCGAAATTGAAGGACCGCAGCTACAAACATCTGCGACGAGCCGTCGAGCTGTACGCGCGTGCCCGCCCGGACGCTAGAATCCTGGAAATCGGCGCAGGCACCGGCGGCGCCACGAAAATCGTGCTGCAGTCCTTCGACACAGTGATCGAAGAGCAGGACGAGGACCGGTACCCGGAATACACCTTTACCGACATCTCTGCGGGATTCTTCCTGGCAGCCAAGTCGAAGCTGGCGGCATGGGCTCCGGATATGGACTTCCAGAAACTCGACATCGAGAGCAACCCGCAGGACCAAGGGTTCGAGCCCGGCCAGTATGATCTCGTCGTCGCGTCGTTGGTACTGCATGCCACCAAGTCCCTGCACCGGACATTGACGCATGTCCGCCAGCTGCTGAAGCCGGGCGGAAAGTTGTTCCTTGTGGAGACCACGCGCGATGTGACCGACATGCAGCTAATCTTCGGTCTATTTGAGGGATGGTGGCTGAGTGAAGATAATCGAAAGTCCAGCCCGAATGCACCCACGCATGTCTGGGACAGGGTGATGCGCGAAACTGGCTTCACTGGCGTTGATTTTGAGATCGGGGACTGCGAAGAGGCCATCTATCAGTCCACCAGTCTTCTTGTCACGACTGCATCATTAGTCTAGTAGAATAGTTGGCACTAGTTAGTTGGCATGTCTAGAACCGTTACAAATCCCAAACACACTTATTGTGATCATGATCCAAACTCCAATATATATAAACACAACGGATAACAGTATTGACTTGCATGAAAAAAAGGAAACGTATCACGATAACCACCATTATCGAGGTCTAATCTATATCCCAAAATGGTTGCGACCTGCGGAATTCTAGGCATCATCATTACGAGGGCCAGTCGTCGACACCAGAGTGACTTTCTCCGGCACATTCGGCCACCATGCTTGCGTGTGCTTTCGATACCAGTGCATCGTCGTTCTCAAACCCTCGGGAAAAGGAATTCGCTGACGCCATCCCAGGGCCGCGAGTTTAGAGCCATCCACCCGGTAGTCGTGGTCGTTGAATGGCCGGTCGGCGATCCAGGCCAGACGGGACTTGAATTCTTCCGGACGGTAGCCATACAGCTCGAGCATGCGCACCGCAACCTCGATGTTGGTCACGCCCAAAGCAGAGTTTATATTGTACGCTTCACCCAACTGGCCTTTGTGCAGCAGTGTATCGAACCCATCGGCCGCATCGGCGCCGTATAGATACCGCCGTACATGCAGGCCGGAGCCCTGAATGGTGAGGGGCTGTTGCTTGCTTAGAAGAGTACAGAAGCGAGGAATAATCTCTAACAGGGTTCAAAAGCAATTAATTTAAGATCTTCGTTGGGCTTTCCGATGAGAGCCGGGGGAAGGGGGGTTTCTTTTCTATATTCACTCACTCTCTGGATACTGACAAGGCCCGTATACATTATTGCTGCGAACAACCAAAGCTGGAAGACCGAACGACTTGGCGTAGGCCCAAACGTACATCTCGGCGGCAGCTTTGGATGCTGCGTAGGGGTTTGTCGGCTGGAATTGGTGCTTCTCGTCGATAAACCCACCCACGGCCTCACCATAGACCTCGTCAGTGCTGACGTGGATGAAGCGACGGACGGAATGTACACCGTGGCGATGCCGGATGGCTTCCAAGAGCTGCTGCGTGCCGACCACATTATTGATTGTGAAGCTCGACGGATCTTCAAACGAGTTCTGGACGTGGGAACATGCCGCAAAGTGCAGCACGCAGTCAATATCGTATTCGGCGAGTACCGTGGACACGGCAGCTGCGTCGGTCAGATCACCCTCTACAAAGTGGAAGTTCGAGAACGCCTCGAGACAGCTAATGTTGGCTAAAGAGGAGACTCGGTCAATTTTGTCGAAACAGACGATGGTGTACTCGGGATACTGAACGGTTAAGTGTCGGGTAACCCAACCGCCTCTGGGTCCAGGTTAGTCTCCAAAGAGGTTTCCCGGTAGTTATCATGCACCAGGCCCACTTACATAAAACCAGCCCCTCCAGTGATTAGGATGTTTTTGATATCGCTCCGCGGCTCGAATTTTGTGGTGCCGATGAGCTGCAGGGATTCGAGAATGCTAGGATCATCGCCTTGCATAGAGGATGCACTCGAGTTCGAGTTTGCTGGTGTGACCTTGGAGACGCTCATTGTTCTTGCTGCAGTTGGATTCGTAGCACAGGCTGGCGATGCAGAAAGTGCGCCCCTAAGGATAGGAAATATCTCTTGACAATCCTCGTCCTTGCCCTATCGCGTGTCACGAATGATTCGTAACACAGTAAGATTGCCCGGGGTCAACTCTGGATTACTCCGGAATCTTGTACTTGTAACATATCAAACGGGGCCGGCCTAACCCGACTAAGGCCAGAGCAAGAGTCATCGAAAATCCTGTATGACGGAGTTAATCTCATCACTCGGCACAATCTATAAGACTTCATGAGTGCTGTTTTTTGTTCGGCTCATCTTCATCCCAAAAAAAGTTTCTCTGTGCGAAAGGCCGGGTCTCATCATGGTATCAGTTACTGCATCCCCTCCTGTCTTCCTAATGTTTGGTAAGTCTTCCTGCCACATGATGATGCTGATATGTTAACGTACCCTTGAAAAAGGTAATGGCTGGATTGCCAACCAACTCAAAGATGTCCTTGTATCTCAAGGAAAGACAATCATCATGTCCCAGGCCCGGACAGAAAGCCGGGAACAGGTGTTGAGTGAGCTCATCAAGCATAAGCCGAGTCGGGTCATCAACTGTGCCGGCACACGCGGCACCCCAAACGTTGACTGGTGCGAGGAGCATAAGGTTGAGACCGTCCGTTCCAATATTCTCGGCACGCTCAACGTAGTTGACGTCTGCCACGGGTTTGGTATCCATGTCACGCAAATCGGCTCGGCCTGCATCTACACCCTCTCGGAGGAAGAGATTGACAACCATCCGCCGTTCAAAGAGACCGACGAGCCTTTCTTCCAGGGTTCCTGGTACGCTCGGAGCCGTCTGCTGAGTGAACTATCCATTCGTCACTATCCTAACCTTCTGCTTCTGCGGATCCGACTTCCTATCGCGGCCGACATGCATCGCAATAATCATCTTAGCCGACTGCTGGGATTCGAGAAGATCGTTGACCGAACAGGAGTGAGTCACTAACTCCTATTTCCCTTTGTGGATCTTACTGACTCGTGTGTTCACCTTAAGTCTGGCACCGTCCTGCCAGACCTGCTGCCCGGCGCCGTTATCCTCTCCGAGAACGCAGAGACCGGCATCTACAATTTTGTACGTGACCCCATTTTTTTTTTTTTCTTTTTTCAGAAGTCAAGCCGGAAGAAGGAACCCATAGTAGATAAATGATAGTAAAAGGACCATGAGATGGCGTTCATTTGACTGACAAGAGAATAGGTGACACCTGGCGAGATCAGCAATGTCGAGCTCATGGAGCTTGCCAAAAAATACATCCGACCGAATCTGGCATGGAAGACGTTCGGGCTGGACGATATGCTTGCGATCCTGAAGGCCCCTCGGGCCAACTGCATCATGGACGCGACCAAGCTGCAGAATAAGCTGCGGGAATATGGCTTTGAGGTGAAGGAGCGCCGGGAGGCTCTAGAGGGGGTATTCCAAACACTAGCACAGAAGGGTTTGTAGATAGGTGCGATCTAAGGATCGCATTGGTTAGCTATCTCGTGTCATGAAACAAGTTTAGTTGAGATGGATGGTTTTTGATTCTGTAGTTCAAGAGAGATAGTGAAGATGTGGGAGTTGGAAGTTCCTCGGTGTTTTCTCGGCGCGAGGGCGATATGGCCCGATGTGGTCTAGCGCCTCTCGTGACCAAGTAGCGCTGACTAAGGGAGACCCGGCGGTGGAAACCGGCAGAAAATGGACTTGGAAGGATTGAAGGACTCCAGTGGTTTTCTTTCTTGTACAAAGTTGAACCGCCATACGGATTCCATCATTTCCATCTTCATTTTCATTCGTAATCATCTGAGTGCTTCTACAAGAGTAGCTGTTTTTGATCACCACCCACAGAGTCAACGTCTACTAACTCAACTTGACTACACCTACTTACTACTTGCGGCGGATCACCCACTGCGTGCCAATAATTGAGCTGTCAATCATCCAGATTCCATCATATTGGAGCGCTACAGCTTACAACTCACAATTTAAAATCTTTCCAGCTATTTCTTTTTGAGTCTCTGTGGCTTAATCTTGATCTACCCTGGTACTGCTCTGTATTCATGTACTGCACTCACTATTACACACCTGCAGCCTCCGTGCGGCCTACCAATTTGGACCGCGTTGCAACCTTTTCAGCCAATCCGTGCACTGTCTGATTTACCAAGATCTCCGAAGACTGCAGCGGTGCTTCGAACTGTCGCGTGATCCAGTTTCGCAACTCCACAGCAACCAGTGAATCTAGTCCCAATGCCATGATTGAGCCTTGCTGGGCGTCAATGCTGCTAGCATCTACTGAGATCAACCGAGCTAGTTGGTCCGTCATGGTGCGAGAAATAAAGTCCGTCACGGCCTCACTTCCCTCGGCAATCGCCTGTTCAAAGGTCTGTCCAGTCGACACACCTCCATCTGCCCCGTCCGCAGAGAGACTCTTGCCCTCGTCGTCACGGACTTGGCTAAAAAGCGCCGAATGGATGGTGCCATTTCCAGCCGTGGCGTCGGCCAGAGACTCGGCATCGAACCCGATGATGGCATGCGAAGGCGTGCGTACACCGGGGTCTACCGCAGCACCGAGGACATGGTCGATAAAGCGTATGAGCTCCTCGAGGCCAATGAGACGGAAACCGGCGCGACGAAGGGCGCCCTGACGAGTCTCATCATCCACTGTAAGGGTAGCACCCTCACTCCACCCCAGGTTGACCGTTATGAAACGCGTCTGGCTGGATGAGTTCGGATCCGGATGCGCAAGGGCATCCTGGACCGCATTGCCGGCATTGTAGCTGGCCTCTGCACTAGCACCGACGAGGCTAGAAATAGAGGACAGAGAGAGGAAGAATGCCAGGTCAGGAGATGCAAAGACGCGATGGAGAGCCAGCGTGCCGTCCACCTTGATCTTGGTAACGGTGGTAAAGTCTTCGTATGTGGTAAGCTCCAGAGGTCGATCCTAATAGGAAATACCCAGTTAGCAACATGCAATGAGGGAAATGCGGTGGACACAAGTCCCATACCTTCATAACTACTGCTCCCTGAATAACTCCCCGCACTTGAGGCGCACCCTGCCGATAAAGTGATGCTGCTGCTGCTTGGACACTGGATTCAGATGTCACATCGCCCTGAAGAGTATACAGCCGAATCCCCGGACGGATGGCTTCCAGCTTCGCTTCCAGCGATCGACGAGTGTCCGGGTCAACAGCGCGGCGGCTTATCGTCGCTACATGCTTGGCACCGCGCTGCGCAACCCGGAACAGGAATCGTTGTCCAATGTCACCCAAACCACCTGCAATTACATAAGTAGCATCCTCAAGGGCCCAGGGGTTGGGTTTGGCGGCCGGAATGACTGGTACTGTCGACTCGGGACCGATTTGAAGCACAACCTTTGTGTGAACGCCGGTATTAACCAGTCTGAGCGCTTCGGCGATTTCGGTGACATCGCGAACCGGGATATTAAAATGGGCGAGTGGAATGTGCTCTAACGCCACCGTGGCTGCGGCAAGGAGGCTGGCAGTCAGATCGGGACGAGCTTGTAGGAGGCCGGTGATGTCGATGGAATGTACTCCAACATTTGGCGGCATCTTCGGCGGCAAAGCAACGCGTGTGTCCGGATGGCTGACGACCACAACACTTCCGAAGGGCTTGATGAATGCCAACGCTTCGGCGGGAGCTGCATCGTCGGTGGTTTGTATGACAGCGTCGAGTCCCTCGGCAAAGATATCGCGTGGCAAGCGGCGGTGGAGCGAAGGACGGGCTACAAGCACATTGGCCTCGTCGATACCCACTTGCTCTTTCAGCAAGCGAGCCTCCACTGAGCTTGTAGCGGTTGCAATGACCCGAACACCGATCAATCGAGCGACGGCAATAGTAGCCCGGCCTGCGGCAGTGGAGGCACCATGGACTAGAACGGTGCCCCCACTTGAAAGCAGGCGAGCTATATCTCGGAGTGCAAACGATGCGGCCATTGTATCGAGCAGTATGGCGGATGCCAAGGTAGACGGCACGTTGGACGAAAGACGGCGAGCATGAGAAGCCAGGACGCGCAGTCTATTGGCACCAGCAACGGTAGCCAGAGCGACAACGCGATCTCCAGGAGACAAAGAGTTCACATTAGCGCCAACTGATGTCACCACGCCTACAAATGGACCGACCGCGGCTCTTGAATCGGGTCTGGATATGATAAAAGTCTGGGTCTCTACCTCGACGGCATCAGCTGCCAAGGGGGCCGCCTGCAATTCGTTGTGGACGACGAACAGTTCCGGATTATTGGGAGAGATTATTAGGTTCTGTTCGATATCTGCGAAGCGATGTTGCTGCGTCTCGGGACCAGCGTTGCTCTTGTCTGCGATAGCACCGTTAAGTGTTTCGCTGCGGCTTAGACGAGGGATGACCACGGCGCCGTTTGAATAGATTCGATACTCACGCTCAATGTGAGGAATGCGATCGTGGGATATATGACTCGCTGCGCGTACGACAACATCGATCAGTCGTTCGATCCCGAGTAGATCTGCAAGCCAAGTCGATGCAGCATGGACCGTGGTAAGACGGAGATCGTCGTTTTCGGCATGGGCGGTCCGGGCAACACCTTCGATCTGATGAAATGGTGTTGGGTCGTCGGGACTGACCCATACAACACGGGATGGCCGCCTCAGGAGAGTGCTAGTTGCATCAAAGGCGGCAGGATCATTCAAAATAGGTATGTCGGCATGGTCGTCGGCGACAATGACCGTCGCGTTGCTGGGGAGTGATTGGACTGTGTCCTGGCCGAGTCGGTCAAGCGATACTTCGACATTTCGAGCATGCAGTCCCTTTGTCAATGCAGAGACCCAGTTGGTAAGTGCAGCACTCGGTGTCGAGTGGGTCAATATGGATATGTTCGACGGAAGCTGTGTGATGGCTGGCTTTGCCACTGCAATTAATCTACCAGCATCATCACGGAAAGCCAGAAGCGCCTCCAGCGGGGTATCTCCTGTCTTTTCCAGCTTGTCACGCCACGTATCATCTTTGGAGTCCCGGGGATTAAACACCAGCAGGACAATACCTCCCGGACTCACCAACACCGCGGCTTGACTTAACCACTTAGCCGATGTAGCTAGAACAATGTCATACACACCTGGCTCAAACCCACGGGCAACGGGATTTGTACCGGGGCGAAGCGTTCGGAATTGAATAGGAACCTTTTTGATGCGCTCGGCGGCATCATCGAAACGGCCAGGAGTAGCATCGACAAAATCGTGCGCCACAATTTTATTGGGATTGGTGTTGGAGCCGTTAGACTGAATGGCATTGAGGAAACCTTCCGACAGGTCCACGCTAGCACCGAGCCCGATAGTTAAAACCCGATCCCGCTTCAAACTCAGAAGTTCGATGATGTCCGCTAAAGCAGGATCAACCGGGAGATCCTCAACCCGCGCGAAGTCGATATCGGATTTCCAATCGAGCTCGTAACAAATCTTGCGGTCCACAGTACCGTTGACCGTGTTAGCGGCATCCGTGCCCCCTCCGAGGCTGGAGGATAGACTCCTGAACTCCATGCCCGCAATCGAGAGCACTCGATGTCGACTGGCGAATACGGACATGTCTGACACGGCGGTGCGGAAATGACTGGAAGTGAGCAGCGTCGAGATGTCCAATTGTGACCCTGGACTTTCTAAGGAGGGAGTGGCCGAAATGAGAAGTTCGTCAATGTACACGGGCATGATCGATCCAGGGCCCAGCTGCCGGCCCACAAGTGGCAATGCCGTGTGGAATACAATGTCAAGGGTGGATGGGTGGATGACGTGTGCATGTTGGTGCTGGGCCGGCATCGAGGCTTGAATGTCAAGGATCTTAAACGAAGACAGCCCCTGCGACGCATCCCCTGACACCGTCAGGTAGTCAAGCCCGGCGAATGCAGGACCGTATGTATTTCCGACGGCATCCATGTCGGAATATAGGGCCTCCTTCGGCACTGTGGAACTGTCTGGTGGAAGCTGAGGAGACTCCTCGGGGCTTGCCTGGGTGATAGCATCGTTGTCTTCGTCGGCCAGCACAGCCTCCACTATGCCGGTGGCGTGCTCGTACCACACGTCGCCACCGTCAGGGAGCGCCATGATCGTGAAACGAAACGCCTGATCAAGACCGGCCTGCCGTTGTAGACTCAATTGTAACTCCACACGCCCTCTCTCTGGCACCACTAGCCCACGCTTGAACGCAATCTTCCGGAGAGCTACTGTCTCCAGCGAACGATGGGGCAGCTCTTGGCGGACCAGTTGGGCAACGGCTTCAATGGCCATGCAGACATACCCGGCCCCAGGAAAGATGGTCAAACCGTCGACCACATGGTCCTCCAGCCATGGCAAGGTCGCTCGGCTCAGGAAGTGTCGCCACCGGGGCTCGATGTCAGTTGCATCCGGTATGCGCACACCGAGAAGATCATGGTACGGCTCCTTCCGCTGACGATATGCGTGCGCAACCCGGGACTCGTACCAATGCTTCGTCGAGTGGTCCCAGGTGTAGGCAGGTAAATCGTGTCGCACCACCGCGGTATCGGCGCCAGGGGCCAGCGCTGACACGGCATCCCACGAGATGCCAACCCCGCGCTCAAAGAGCTTTCCTGCCAGAGTTTGGACACTCGCAGTGGCTCCCACCTTGCGCTGGAGGGTCGCGTGGTAATCGAAGGCTAATGTGGGCACCTCTGGGGCCTGGAGACTCTGGCGGACAGGGCCCGCCAGCGCTGGGTGCGGGCCAATCTCTACGAAAGAGACATGTTGTCCAGGTCGATGGCGCGCCTTTGCTAGGGCTTGAACGGCGTCCGTGAAGCGCACCGGGGACACCAGGTTCGCCGTCCAGTACTCCTCGTCAAACCCGGTTGTCTTGCGCTGACCGTTGACGGACGAATACATTGCGACGTCGTCCCCATCCCGACAGAAGGAGGTCGTCTCGACCTGTACATGGCCTAGGCGCGCCCGATAATTGTCAGCGACGGCTTGCATATGGTGTGAGTGATATGCCGTATCGACAAGGAGTTTCCGGTGGAATGTGCCGTTTTCCGCGGCAGCAATGCGCCGCTCCACCTCATCCACAGCATCTGCATCACCCGAAATAGTCACGCTACGAGGACTGTTGACACAAGCGACGATGGCCGTCCCCTTGGTCAAGCCATCTAGATATAGAGAGGCGTCGCGCTCTCCCAGCCCGACCGACAACATGGCACCGCGACCCAGACCCTGGGCCTTGACCGCGGCCGCCATGAAGCCACGGTGGTATGCAACTCGAATGGCTGTCTCGTGTGATATATGACCCGCCGTGTACGCGGCGGCGATTTCACCGCTCGAGTGACCTACAACAGCACGCGGCCGGACACCCTGTGCTCGAAGCAAGGCGACGAGGGCGATCTGGACCGCCGTTGTTGCCGGTTGTGCAAGCTCGGCTTCGCCGAGGCGGGACTCTGTCGAGTCTCGAAGAAGTTCTGCTTCCAGGTTCCAGGTAGCACCTAGCTGATGCAGAATGGCGCGCGAGGCGCGGATCGAGTCCCGGAAAATCGATGATGGGGTCGATTCTAGAAGCAACTCTCGGCCCATACCGGCCCACTGGGCACCCTGTCCGGTGAATACCGCGACCAAGTCCAGCTCGGAGGGAAACGGCTTTGTCGCAGAAAGCGAGACTCCCTGTCCAAGGGCTTCCGCCAGTGAGGCGTGATCGTCGGCTACGACGCTAAATCTATACGGCAAGGCGGAGCGACGGTGTAAGAGCGTATAGGAGACGTCGGCTAATGGCGTCCTTTCCGCACGCTGTCGGACCCAGTCGTGGTGCGCCGTGATCATGGCCTTCAATGACACTGAGCTATTGGCTGAGAGAGTAAAAAGGCGTGGTGTTGTAGTGAAGTTGGTCTCGTGGTCTCGACTGGTTCGTGGCCCGCGCTCTAGGATGGCATGCGCATTGGCACCGCCAAAGCCGAAGCTGTTGATAGATACACGAGGCGTGATCCCTGTCGTATGAGGCCAGGGGATCACGGCTGTCGGCACTTCGATTCGATCCAGCGGCAAGCCTGGCTTGGGATTGGCAAAGCCGGCGACGGGAGGGATCAGCTCGTGCTCAAGCATCGCGGTCGCTTTGAGCAAGCTGGCCAACCCGGCCGTACTTTCGGTGTGGCCGATGGCACCCTTGATGGAGCCCACAAGCAAAGGCCCTGATCGGCTCGACGCACTGGCGAAGACCTCCGCAATGCTTTCCAACTCCTCCTTGTCCCCTGCTTTGGTTCCTGTTCCGTGGGCTTCGATATACGCAACCTCCTCCGGGCGTAGTCCAGCGCCAGCATATGCCTTTCGAGCCAGGTCGGCCTGCGCCTGGCCATTAGGATATGTGATACCCTGCGGGGTATAACCATCCTGATTAATGGCTGTGCCCCGAATGATTGTGCGAATCGGGTTGCGATCGCGAATGGCCGTCTCCAGGCGTTTCAGAACCAGCACGACCACACCTTCGCCCCGACCATAGCCATCCCCGCGGTCATCGAATGGATAGCAACGTCCAGTGCTGCTGAGCATGTGCAGGTTGCTCAGACCGATAGCGTGATCCGGACCCAGTATCAGGTTTGAGGCCGCTACCAGCGCGGTGTCCGATTCACCCGCCCGCAGACTTTGGCACGCCAGATGTAAGGCGACAAGACCCCCGGAGCATGCCGTGTCCAGCGTCATCGAGGGGCCCCGCAGGTCTAGCACGTGCGAGATACGATTGGAGAGGATGGCCTTTTCCACGCCTGTCGTGTAGTAGGCAGGGAGGTCTAGGGGATCTTTGTAGAGCTGTCGATCATAGTCCGTTGGGAAAAGGGCCGCATAGACGGAGGTCGCGGATCCGGCCACGCTTTCGCGCGAGATGCCGCCACTCTCGAGTGCCTCGTAGGCAAGTTCCATCAGAAGTCGCTGTTGAGGATCGATCGCCGCCGCCTGGGGCTTGGAGAAGTGGAAGAATGTGTGGTCAAAGTCACGGATGTCGCCCGAGATGAAATGCCCTCCCGGGTGGTTGCTGGTGCCATTGGGGTCATCCGCACTGGGATGGTAGAAGGCCTGCAGTGTTGAAGGTCAGCCGAGCCTTTTCTTTCCATCCTTTTCCATCCTTCATTATTCTGTTGCCTACCTCTCCATTGTACCGATCTTCCGGCACCGGTGTCCAGGCTGGCTCGCCACTCTCCAGAAGCCTCCAAAGGCCGTCGAGATCGTTGGCATCACCGGGCAAACGCAATGACAGGCCGACAACAGCAATCGGCTCGGAGGGCGTTGCATCCGTCATGGCGTTATTTCTCTGGGTTATCGAACGGTTGCAATTACTGATTGTGTCACGAAGACAGGAATGTCCTGGCCACCTGGGCCGTGGTTGGAATTGACCTTTAAACCGATTGATTGACCCGAGGCTTCAACGATTGCCGAGACAAGGAAGGCTCTCTAGCAACCGGAGTTGCTAGACGGAGTCAGGCTAAGTTCTGACTCAGTAACTCCGTAAGGATGGGGCCGCTGCAGACTCAACAGGCGGAGTCAAGTTCCAATCATTACTCCGGTACTGCAATTGTCAGACAGGAGTCAGTTCGTTCTCGACATCGAATACAGAACTACGATCTAGGAGATTTTACAGCTAGCCTGGCTAGGTCTTACTCACGATAGGAAGTCATTATCATTACATCGTATTCGAGGTTGGCATGGCACAACCAAGCAGCGTCTATTGATCGTCGCCCCAGAACCGTGGATTACCTTCCCTTCAGCTCTTCAACTGCAATGTCAGCGTTACCTGATCCTCCTCCATTGCGCCGTCAGCACTCTCCGACATGGCGGCTTCCACCAAATAGTTGACCAGCGACTTTAGCTTCCCGCGCTGACAGCTAACCGAGTACTCAATGGCTGTGGCCTCACGCTCACCGTCTTGCTGGGATAACTGATCCGGAGGACTGCTGTCTGGGACCATGTTGGTTTGGTCCATCTCGTTCCCATTCCAATCGGGATCAGGAATAGCGGGCATTTCCTCCGGACTCATCCCCAAGAGGGCATCTGAGGGCCAGATTAGTTCGGGGGTGTTGGATTCTGTAGTCGCACGGGATAGGAAACCCTCTTCTGCCGATGGCCAACCATGGGATACGGGATTTGAGCTGGCTGCCAGTGATCCGACATCCGATGGTGGCGCCGAAAGGGTGGGAAATCCGTCATCAATACCGTCCAAGGTCAAATTGGGCTCTCCAGTGGGAGAGAACAGGCCGGCCAAGTCAACCGGGTTCGAAGGGATTGCGGACACGTTCGAGGAGATCGAATCTGGCGGCATCTGGACCGCACCGGGACTGGGCATGGGCACCTTGCTCATCAGCCCTTGACGCTTGAGGCGTCTCATAAGTAACGAATATCGATTCTTGAGGGCCAGAGGCGCCCGTGGTTCGAGGAACGAGTTGGCTAGGAACTTCCAGTTGTTGCCGTATGTAGCCACTAGACTCAGAAGCTGTTCTTCCTGTTGAACGCCTGCCATCAGCCTTTCCTTCCGGTGTGCGAGCCATCAGGTGGATATTCCTGGGCGTTACTAGACATATCCCAGGGATACTCACTTCTTCAGGCGTCCACGGACTGTGGTCCAGCTCCGGGTTCAGATTCTCATTCCACCGTTTGGCGCACTGGTCGCCATTCCGAGTTTCGACATCGTTCGCTACCAAAACCCATCGTGGACCATATTTAGCCACTGCTTCGCGGAGCCGGGCGTCTTCAACCGGCAACCAAGTACCTCTTTTGACGACTTTCTGCTGTGAGTGACGGCGTAGTTTTGTTGGCTCGGTGCGTTCCATTTTTCATAAGTGTCTATGAAGATAGCAGGATAGGACGGTGACAGTCATGACGGGCCTGTCTTCTTAGTTATCTCTCTATGATTGCTGACAACAGGAAGGGAATCGGAACCATGCTCAGTTTCTCAAGAGACGCGGCTTCGGTTTCATGTCGAGGCTCAGCTTACCCTCGAAGCTGTCCAATGAAGTCCTGCATCTTTCTGAGCGTTGAGATTCCATTCATACGTCAAGTCTACTAACCCCGTTGAAATCCGTGTCCATACGGCCCACTCTCCCCCGATGCCACCCTTCCTTATCTAGACCCCATCCTACTGGATAAAGCGAGTATGCAAGACGTAAACGAAGTGAGAAAAGACATCAGCAGGGATCGAATCACGCAATCCCCTCACAATACTGCATAACCGGGGTCTAAAAAAGCAACGAAAATCACGCATCAGGCAATCATGCTAGCGGCCGCCACCCCAAGATACAGGCTCGACGGGTTCACCGGCTTGGATTGAGTGGCTTGCACTTGATGGTGCAGATCCAGTAGTTTGACACATTCCGACGGTCCGGACCGACATCCAGTTCACCAAACTCGATCCATCGACTTGGCGATAATAATCATAAACGATGCATCGTGAAGCGGAGATGGCACGAGGGCTTCTTGGCTTAATTAATGCTTACATGTACCTGCTGTCTACCGGGCTTACCCTTTCTTCCCACATGTTTCTCGAACGTGGGGTCGTGCATACGGCCGGTCTAGTGTCGAGATACCTTGATGAGTAATAGACCCCGAATTCCGAAATGAGGCTATCGCAACTATAGCTACATGGGATTATTTATGAACTAGTAGCGCCCCTTTCCGCCCTCTCTCGTTTAGGTAAACTACCAGTTAAAGGTAAAGAATACGTACACCCATATCTACATGCGCACCGACGTGTACCAACTAAGGCTTAGACCTGAGTACAGGATTGGCTGGCCCAGCACCAAGGAGGCTCTAAGGACGCCACGACACATGGTCTGAGTCAGATTCACCGTGGATCAAGATCGTTGGTTGGCGGGGAGTTGATTTGCAATCCGGCCCCCATGTTGTCCCGTGCGGACAAGGTTTATCTGCGACGATCAGTTGAGACTTGGATTTGCACCTTTCGACTATGCCCAGAAGAGGCAGAGACCTTCATAATGGGGGATGTGGATTTAAGCCATGCGATATGTCACATGGCTTAAATGTGAAAATATTTCAATTAGACCGAGTAGAGCCGACAGGTGGGTCGATAGTTAAAGAAAGTACGTAAACGTATTCGGTAGATGGGTTATCACACATACCGAGATCAACCACTCGCTAAGGAGACCGTCGAAATGTCCCCTATAGACTGTTTATGCCATTTGATCGTCTGTGACGGAAATATGTGTCTGGCTAGCGAGATAGCGGTGATGACATACGTAGACAGACTTAACACGGAAAGATATTCTATATAACTGTAACTAATAACATAACACTCAAGAAGAAACCCCAAGACCCAAATGCCCTCATGAATGAGATCGTAGCACATGCAGAAACCTCTAGATCTAATTGCGAGGCTTACCTTCCCATCTCGAGGGTCCAACTAGTCTCCAAAGAGTCCCATTCGGCGAGAAACGAAAGCCAAGAGTTATTAGGCTACGATTATTCAGTCGTTCTAGTGATGCAGGAAGTGCCTACGCCAGAGTACAAAGGCGTGCCCTGTCTGCTATCCAGATACAGTCACAAAGCCCGAGAAATACGCCGGAATAGCCAAATATGGCTTCCCGGAATCCTGCCGGGAAAGCTTGGCTAGCTCTGTTCACGATCTCCGAGTTAGGCCCAGATGATGTCCGACTTTCTACCTCGTGCTTGGAAGTGAGACGGTTTATTGGTGCGGGCCACAATAACGGGACAGCCAGCATAAAATTAGCGGGACAGCCACTTCCTAATCGGTCTCTATCCGGACAGCCTTATTTTTAGCTAACGGGACAGCCAGTAAAGCTAAACTACTTTAGGAAAGCGGTTACTAGGGCCTAAGTAGTTAATTATCTTAAAACCCTTTGAAATAATTTAATAAAAAAATATGTAAAATAATGTGATATTTTTAATATAATTTAAAGATTTAATTAAGATTATAAAATATGTTATTTTTATTATATTGTAATATTTTATTAATAAAAATTATTTTTTTACTTTTTAATATATAAAAAAGACTTTTTTTATTTTTAAGATACTAAAATGGTTAAAATTATAAATCAAGAAAATATAGAAAAATATAAGGGATTTTACCTAATTTTTTCGAAATTTCTACTAAATTTTATAGTAGTTAAATTGCTTGAATATTAAAATATTACTAAAGTTTTATAAATTCTGCCAGGTTGAAAATAATGAATTTCTGCCGGGCTAACCGCTTTCCCGAATAGGCAATGGCTGTCGCGCTAATTTTATGCTGGCTGTCCCGTTATTGTGCCCCATTGGTGCGCTTGCTGCTGGCTTAGTTGATATATAAGGTGGTGAGTAAGACTGATGTTTATTTGGTCATAATGCTTCTTATGGCCTAGTCAAGTATTGTGACTGTATTGGGTGGGGTATTGTTGACCTGTTCGTGCAGTCTCTTGTACGTGTTAAGCCCCGTACCAACGGCAGATAACGTAGACCCTCTACAGTCTCAACGATACGCTTCCTGCCTAGCTCTAATCTCTCGACGAAGCCGGAGAATTCCTTCTCTAATGAAAGAGACACAGCCTCTTGAAGGTGTGTTCTGTCGATCTTGATGATATCTTGGAACTCCTGGGCTTTGCTTTTCAGAGCCTCCGTCAAGCTATCCAGCGCTGGCAGGAGAAGACCTTCGATCTCCATAGCCGCGGCAATATGCATCGCAGAACCGAAACCATCGCTGGACGAGCCAGACATGTTGATATGGTCATTGGGATGCATAGGGGTCTTCTTACCCAGTGCGGGGTAGGATTTGTTGCATTTGTCCGGATGCGAATACCGCGTCGATGTGGCAGCATGAGGCTGCGAGGACGCGAATGAGGAGTTCATAGCCGGTGGGAGGGTTGGGGAAGTAGATGAGGGAAGTACAAAGCCACGTGTCTTATGGCGGCCCGGATACCACTGGCTGACCACAGTAAAGTCGGGCTTTCAAATCAATTAATAGTTCATCTTTCTGAAAGAAGAGTGTACTGTCGTGTTGACCCTCGACTAGACCCCAGTACTCCAACTGTTCCATTGCGTCAAGGCATACATCATGCTTGGTGCGATTCGTATGTTGCTCAGCGTCTTCGAGGTCCACAATAAAACTGTGGAAATTAGTAGAAACAAGCAATAAATCAAGAAAGCCTACCATTGTCCCATTCTGGGGTCCCATATAATATTTTCTCTTCGTGGGTCCCTATGAGTAAAATAGCGGGAAACCAATTCCCTATAAGGCCGTTAGTAGAGCTCACACCCGAGAATTCAGAATCCCCTGTCCCAAGATTTACGGAAGATCCATACCATAGACTATCTATAAATGCAACTCGAATACGATTTTGCTCCGCTTTCGTAAGTGTGTCGAAGCCATGTAGATTCTCCCCGGGGACCTTCTGCATCACGATATATGCAATGTACCCGCCTGGTAGATGGTCGCTGGAGTCTTGCGTTCCGACAGCGTACCCAAGAAGCTTGGGCGTGCTTCGGCATTCTTCTAACTGCGATAGATTGTAGATTTCACGGTTAACCTCATCACTAGGCTCGGAATAACCGCGGTTACTCCAGAACACAATCCTATTGATGTTAGTCCAGTTCCTTCCCGTCCTTACAGCCCCGCGCCTAATCCCCAGTGGGTAGTAGAGACTTACTGCTTTTTGATCTTGATGACATCAGGCGTCTTCGAAGGTTGATCAATCCTTGTGGCTTCATAAACCTCGTGCCGTTCGCATGTAAAGCCACCATGTGGGTCTTCCTGTTGTCGGAATTTGCTTGAGAGATTTTTGCCGATCTTCCAGACCCCGAACTCGAAGTATAGTTCGGAGTCGGTTAGTGATTTTTGTCTATAGGTACTGGAAGCCATGGTTGGAGTTATCAGGGGGCAAATAGTGAAAACCGCGAGAACAAGGAGAGACCGCGTTGATCTTGGCATGTCCCCACCTGTTTATGATCACTACAAGTTTCGGGGGGAGATGATATGGTTCTTCAAGGATATCTTCAAGAATACCTTGAAACAGCTGAGTGGCTGACTGCCACGCCAGTTCGTAGTGAATATTATCCGGGGGAGTTATTTGGACTGCCAGCATGCTCATAGCATAGATTTAATTGAATCCTAAGATTGAAACGCAGTGAGATTCTTTTTTATTTTTTCTCCCTTTTTACACGATATTTGAGACAAAGGAAATTGATAAAGACACCTAAAAGCAAAAGCCTTGCTCGCAATGAGAGCAATCGCCGGTGTAACACTTTGGGCGCTAATGGTGGCGAGGATAGGATGGCATTGATCTGATCTTGTAGTGACATCCTTGGTCAGATCCCGCACACTTGGCTGGCCAGAATTTATGCATTTTCCAGCCATCTGGTTGCCAGGGCGTATTCCTTGAACTCCCTAAGTTCGAATTTCTATTAGGAAGTTAGAACAGAAAGCCGAAAAATGCACTGCGATGAGCGTACCTTTGCTGTAGGATGCAGGGATCATCTCCTGAGGGCCAAGGGTGATCTTCTGGTAAATCTCTTTCCACAAGGAAAATATGCGGCTTGTCTTGTAGACTGGCGCAAAACCTAGAGGGTCCAAAGTAGCTTTATTAGCTATCTCGACCGACAGACCAACGTGGCCCCGTTGTCGCATCATGTCCAGGACCTTTCTAGCCGCCCCCACCCACGCACTGTTGTCTTCACCGGTATGGAGCAGAGGTAGGGACCACCCGCCTTTTGATCCTCGTTCAAAAAGTTGTCCCATGCCGGTCCCGGTCCTGTACTTTCATCGCTGGAACTCTTGTTTCTGCGGGCTCTACCATCAGAAGACAGGGATCCTGGTGGCCTTGGGCTGGCTTTCAGCACGACTCGTGGAGATGCATAGCAATCTTCAAAGCGGGAAACAGTAGACAGTCTGGACCCTGATGAGGCTAGAAACTTTCACCCTGGAGCTTCTAGAAAAGATTAGTAAATCCTCATTCAGAAAAGCAATCATCAGATTACTGTTTAGCCATTAACACAGAGCCTAGCAAGGAGACTGTATTAGGAAATATAGTGGTGTGGAAGTGAGGAAGGGGGAGAAGAGGGGATTGTGGGTAGTAGTATATGAATGGAACAGAGCATTCCAGACAGCAGTCAAACCAGGGACAGTGAATGTAATAGTATCGCCTTGCATGATATTGAGGATCTTTCCATATTTTGGCGGCTTGAGCCCTCCGGGACTACTACCCGCTGCGGGTCCGCCGCTTTCCCCGGCCCCGGCAGGCCGTCCCACTCCAGGGCATCCTTCGGCCTTTGATTGATGCATCTTCTCTTCTTCCTTCATCATCTCATCTGCGCCTCTTCACCATGACCCAGACCCAGTCTCCTTACCAATCAGCCCCGCCCCTGTCTTTTCGATCAAGGCATCGAAGCCTGGAAATCAACCCGGCGTCTGAACTCGGCATGAACTGTTGGCTCGCAGCCATTGGACTCTACCCACCCCATGCTTCGCGTCGATTCCAGCCTGTGGCCAGTCATCTGGATGAGCTTAGCTTGTCCTCTTGGGTGCATCCATGGTGCATCTATAACACGATGATCATCTATAAAAGGGCTCCCTAGCACTTGCCATTACTCCTACTGCTGTTAAGGTCAGACTGTTCAAGATATTCTCTCCTGTCGTCAACCTTGCAACCATGGCTTGGAAATACCTGCTGTACTTGCTCTTCTTAACCCTCACGGTTGCTTTAGCGGCATCTCTGCCCCATACCGACTACGAGGTCATAGTCATCGGTGGGGGCCCGGCCGGGCTCAGCTCCTTGAGTAGTCTCTCGCGAGTCCGGCGTAGGGCAGTACTTTTTGATTCCGGGGAATACCGCAATGCTCCGACTCGGAATATGCACGATGTCCTCGGAAATGATGGTAAGCGCTCCAATATTATTATCTCCAGATCTTACTCGAACTTACTCAATCTTCCTCCCTCTTACTAACTCATTTATGCTAGGTACCGTCCCCAGCAACTTCCGTGCGATTGCCCATGAGCAAATTTTAAAATATAGTACGGCTACTGTCCTGAATAAGACAATTACTACCGTCACGCCTATTGCTGACGACGCTACTAATACTACCTATCTTAATGTTACCGACTCTAACGGCACTGTATACTCCGCCCACAAACTGATTCTTGGCACCGGTCTTATTGACGAACTCCCTGATACTCCGGGTTTTCAAGAAGCATGGGGCCGGAGTATACTCTGGTGTCCTTACTGTGATGGATATGAGCATCGCGACTAGCCTTTTGGTATTCTCGGCCCTTTCTCTGATATTATTCGCGGTGTTCTAGAATTCCATACCATCAACACAGATGTTATCGCGTTCCTAAACGGCACGCATACGCCTGCCGCCGAAGCTGAGCTGGCTGCTAAGCACCCTCACTGGAAAAAGCAGCTAGAGACTTATAATATACACCTCGAGAATGCTACTATCTCCTCGATCGAGCGCCTTCAGAACGGCGATAACCACCGCGATAACGAGCGCCGCCAGTTCGATATCTTCCGCGTCCACTTTACTAATGGTTCCTCGGTAATCCGCAATACTTTTAAGACGAATTACCCGATCAAACAGCGCTCTTCGATCCCGTCCGCCCTCAGCCCCGCTATGAAGGTTAGGCTCCATCGGATCATTAGGATTTTGATTGATTGATTGACTCGTTATGAAGGACGGCAAGATCGATACGAGCGACAACTCGGATATGCGCACTAGCTATCCGGGCGTGTATGCCGTCGGCGACTGCAATAGCGATAGCAGCAACAATATCCCGCATGCTATGTTCACTGGCAGGCGCGCGGTGGTTGCCCTTCACGGTATGTTCTTGACTGACTGCATCTCTCCCATGCAATATCCATGGCCTTTTCCTTTTCCTTCTTTTTTTTGTTTGTTTTTTTATCATGTCGGTTCCCCTTTGACAACAGAACGCCACTGACGACCGACAGTCAAATTGGCCGAGGAGGAATCTGCCGCCGCTATCCATAAGCGATCGCTGCCTTCCAAGCGTGCCATGATAAAGGCCGCCGAGCGCAGCATCGGCAACGAGTTAGAGGCGCTGTGGGAACGCACTCGAGCTCTGTAGTGGATTGGATTGGTGCAATACAGGGATTGAGAGCGGGCCTACTTATGAAAGTACATTTCACGCTCAACGCTGATTGCATGTGGCGTTTGCGGGATGGGAATGTCCGGGTGTCTGAGGTAGTCCGCCACTTGCTTTATTGGAATACTTACTAGGAAATCGACCGAGATTATCTACATGGAGCCGCTCATAAAAGGGGCTATACTCAGGGGAGACCAACCAGTTTATCTGTCGTACCAGACTGCTTTAATTGAAATCCGATGGAGCAATTCCTGCCCTCTCTTTCTTCATAGACGCAAGAATCGTTGAACCGAGCTCTTCCCAGCCCCATCCCTCTCACCCTCTCGCTGCTCTTCTACCTCCTGCGTCTCAAACTGCGCCCCAGGATTAAAAACCACATAGATCCCCATGGCCAAGACCATTGGCATCGCATCCAGCGCCAACACATACTTCTCCCGCGTGATCAAATACCCCCTCCAGCCCTCGGTCAGCTCAATCGCACGATAAACATTCCGCATGATCATCATCATCGTCGCAAACACCGTCGCGGTCGTCATATAGAAAAGCGGCCGATTTGCGCGCAGCTCCTTCCCACCCCGATACATGACAAACGCAACTAACAGCGAGAACAGCACCGCGGCTGATAATTGCGCAATGATACCGACGACCATGGTTGTCGTGCCGGGCTGTGTGGACGTTCCGCTGTTATAGGCGGCGCCTGCTAACCCGCCGCCGACGGCTTGCGTGGTTAGACAGGTCACGTCGATGCAGAAGCAGATGGTGAGGTATGTCTTCGGCGGGAAGGGTGAGGTGTGTCGACCGATTTTCTTGATCACGACCCATACAGTGAGGTAGATTCCTGCTTGAGCCCACCCCGGTCCTATGTGTGTTCAGTATGGATGATGAGAGAGGAAACTACACTCCGGGAGTGAAGGAGTCAGGCAGGAGACTAAATTCTCACCGGTGATTAGACTCGCTGTCTGCATGATGAAACAATCCCTGGAATACGGACACCAGTAACCAACTAAGCGACCGATCCAGCCGACAACTTCGAACAGGGCACCAAGAATGAAAAAGAAGGTCCAGAATGCGCGGGTCCGAAACATGTGGTACGTCTGGCCTAGTGCGATGGTCGCGAAGAGTATGGTGAAGACCAGGCCCCAGGCGAGGCTGGGCCGGTAGCCATAGCTGCCGGGGTTGACTGTTGGATCGTATGTTGCGCAAGCCGGGGTATCTTTCGGGAGGGTTTCTGACATGGTAGGTGGGTAGGTGAACGGGGGTTGTGGAGCAATGGTATTGTACATAACTATGTTTAGATACTGGAGGGGAAAGACGCATTTAAGCCAATTTCATTTGGTTTCTTGAGGACTAAATGTTGAGAAACAGATCCCTGGCGTTGGCCGTGGAGGCTGAGTGCATATACAAAACCAGGCTCTCTCAGCGGTACTACTTACCCAACGGACCCCGATCCTATCGCTCGGCAATCAGCACTATTTGCCCATTCGTATCGAGGATATGGACGTGTCCAATGGCTCTTTATCGATGTCCAAACGCCCAGAAACGCCAAGCAGGATTGTACGACGAATTCATCCATTTTGTACAAGGGTCTTCGCCGAAAGCTACGGACGGAATGTTTCTGCCTGGTAAAAGAGGCATTATGGGACCATTTAAGAGTTACAGACGGGATTCAGGATGGGGATGGGGACTCTCAGGCCTTTGTTGTGCGGTGGCTATCCGCCGGAGAAGAAGCCGTTAGGCTGTGACTTGCACCCTTCTGGTAGTAATTTCGAAGTTGTCTAGCCTGTGGCACAATTATGATTCAAGACAATCACTTCCAACTGCGACAGAAAGAAATAACCTAGCCCGAGTTTTGTGCCTCCGAAGCCCTGGCAACTTCCACCATTTTATCTACACCCCCACGGCGGTATGTAGCCGCGATCAACAGTCCCCCGACAATCACATTTGCTCCTGCAAAAGCAATCATTACTTGGTACCCGCTGTCATATCCTTTTCCATAGATCTCTCTTACAAGGGCCAAGTCACTAGCACTAAGTCCGTTACCTTCACGCAATGTATCCTTGGCAACGCTGACAAGTTCCGGGCTCAGAATAGAAGGCAGAGATGAATTGAGCTCAGCACTCAACATCGCAGCACAGATAGCCAGACCGATACAGCCGCCCATGGCACGTAGCATGTTCATCGCGCCAGTTCCGGTACCTGTAAAACGTAACGAGAGAAACTAATTAGCTTCCAGTCCATTAAATTGCTCGACGCGATAAAACATACCAAGATCACGCGGTCGAAAGCACATCTTCAGCCCGATATACTGCGTTGTAGAGATGACGCCGAGTCCTGCGCCCATGAGCACCTGGAATCCATACTGGGACTTGGACGTGGCTTTGTCGGTCGGCAAGTCGCTTAGACAGGCCGTAGATGTTAGAATCAGGACCGCACCGAAAGTAAGCAAGGAGAATGTCATCTCGGGCTTTTTGCTCAGAATAGCGCCTGCCACGAGTGAGAAAAAAGGGAGAACCAATGTCAGGGTGAGGAGGAGGACCCCAGCACGAGAGGCGCTGACGCCGTTGACGGCTTGGAATCGCTGCGGGAGAAGGATGATTGAGGTGTAAAATGCAAAGCCGGTGAATAGAACGTTCCTAGATGAACAAGAGCAGTTAGTGGGATGTCCCCGGTCGTATAGTGGGATAAGATGTGTCGGACATACAGAAGCAGCAATCCCTGCATGGGATCGCCTAAGAATCTGATGGGAAATATGGGCTCCCTAGCGCTATTCTGTCTTTGGAGCCAGGTTTCGTATGCGACAAAGACGATGAGGGCTACGATGCCCCCGACCAGGGAGCCGATGACTTCCTTGCTGCTCCAAGGGTAATGGGAACCACCTTCCTGAAGGGCAAAGAGAAGTGGAATCAACCAGCAGACCGACAGAAAAGATCCAATAACATCGAGTCTTCCCAGGGTTTCACGGTTGAACTTGAACTGGCCGGTTGCTGGCATGACGCAAAACAGAATCAGAAAGGAGATTGCCGACAGTGGGATACTAGAAGATGATAAGCTTTTGATCCTATGTTTGCTTGGTCACTCACTTGATATAGAAGATCCATCTCCAAGTTGTATGGTCAACGATCACACCTCCCAATATAGGGCCGAGAAGATTTGAGATGGCGAAGACAGAGCTGATGACGCCGGAGTAGAGTCCAGCTTTTTCAATCGATACCAATCGCAGAATTGCTATGAAGACTAGGCAGTAGAGACCCGACGCTCCAATCCCCTGAAATGCGCGAAAGACGATGCTATTCGGTGACAAATGTTAGGGATCTACTATCAAATCATTTGGCATTGATCTTACAGCTGGTTCATGGTCTGGGCCACGCCACAGGCAATAGAGAAAACGAGGAAGACGGCATTGGACACCAAGAGAAGGCTCTTAAGGCCCACGATGTCACTCAGTTTCGCAAGAAGCAGGACGAAGGCTATAGACCAATGTGCAAGCCGGTCAGGGAGGCTGGATCTGTAAAGTATAAATGGTGGTATGGTGCTTACCATTGTAGGTCAGCAAATACGCTGTCACAATCCAGGCAGACTGGCTGGTGCTGTCAAAACTGCTGGAGATCTTGAAGACTGCAGTGGATATGATTGTGCTGTCGAGGGCCGACAGAAAAAGCGAAATCCAAAGCCTGCGACCACTTAGTGACATCCAGATCAGAGGTCACATTGCAACCGAAGTGGTACACGTACCCTACAACAATAATATTGAGCCGCAGAGGGGTGATGGTCGCACCAGAGCGGGCAAACTCCAGGCTCTCCTCTGGTTCTTCCTTGGCAGAACTCATGGTTTCTGTCAACTGTCTCTCTCTTAGGTGCTAGAAATCCAGAGGGGGAAAGAAGACAGTACGCCCTAATTGAAAGGAGATATATCGACTAGGCATCAGCGCATCGTCGGGTCTGACCAGTTCGGATAAAACTCGGAGACAAATGCAACCCGACGCGACAGGTCTTAACCTGGTTGGGTTCGATTTGGCGAGAGACCCCTGGCAGTGTGACTAGTCAACCTATAGCGACAAGGCTCAAACGCCCCCGAAGCAGGGATTAGCAAGCCATCGGAATCTCCACTCGGTCCGTACCCCGGGGAGATCAGGTCATCCATGGAGCCTCGTGTATAGCATGATAGAAGTTCGGTGCTTAGGATACGAGAAAGGATTCAAACCAGCTCCCTCGCTCAAGTGACTCGACTCGTATCTCAAACATTAGCTCTTACAATGCCTGCGATGTTGCCGTGTTACCCGCTTATGGGAGAGTTAGCACCATGCCCAGGCCCGGTGGATAGATCGCATTTGCTTATGAGGCCAAGCTAACTTCTTGGGTAAATAAGCATCGGGAAAGAAAGCCCGCGGAGCCTTGGGGTTGCTTTTTCTGGCACGTTACATCGGAGATTATCTTCCCTGGGGATTGGTGGACCCGTTCACGCTAGGGCCGTTGATCCCTGTCGTCTTAGCATCACAATTGATGTGACACTCTAAACTATACCGACCTATAGATGAGGAAAGCCTTTGCCCATTGAGAACGTTGTTCAGGCGCACGCCTTTTAGAATTCATTTCTGCCGGAATGTATCCTTGACAATGGCTTTTGCTTATACTCCGAATATAAAATTGGAGCTTTGGCCAAGACATTCGGTCGGTGTCTACGAGAGAGCAACTGTCAAACGTCCCCAGCTATCGACCAACACAAGCCCTGTCATGTTTCAGAAACAGCATCTTTTGCGTCTTACGGCGAGAAATGTGAATTCCTTGAGATGGAAGTGGGGTAGTATACTAATGTGTCATGAACCTTGACGGAAAGAGATTGGGATCATGCAAGTCAGCAGTAGCATCACACGCGGACAACAGGGAGGATGGTATCAACCATGTGGAATGATCATGGATCCTGTAGCCGAAGGATCAGTTCGTATGATACACGAAAGCTTTCGGAGAGCCTCGTATCATTCTAGGCTAAGTGCTCGCCGACAGACATTGGGGGTGCTTTTGATGGTACGTGAGCCAGGATAGTAAGAGGTTTAAATATCACCACTTGGATAAACTCACAGATAGAGGTACATGCGATACTTTGCATTTCCTTCTTCTTTCAATCTAATTCTTTGAGAATCTTAATATTTATTATAATTGAGAACAAGCATGGACGAGCGCGGAAACGAGCCTATAGTCATCATTGGCAGCGGTTGCCGCTTTCCGGGCGGCGCAAGCTCTCCCTCTCTACTCTGGGAGCTTTTGCGAAAGCCCAGAGACTGTCTGACGGAGATCCCTAAAGACCGTTTTAACTGGGAAGGATATCACTTTCCCGACACGGCACGTCATGGCAGTACCATAACCAAGTATACCCATTTTCTGCAGGAGGATATCCGGAAATTCGATACCCAATTCTTTAACATGCAGCCAGCAGAGGCAGATGCAATTGATCCCCAACAGCGAATCCTGCTCGAGACCGTTTATGAAGGGTTAGAATTAGCTGGTCTAACAATTGAAGGACTTCAAGGCTCCTCAACGGCCGTCTATGTCGGTATGATGGGCTGCGATTATGCCGACGTGGTTCAAGGAGATATCGAGTGCACACCAAAGTATGCGGGTACGAGTACCTCGCGAAGTATTCACTCAAACCGTATTTCCTATTTCTTCGACTGGCATGGGCCGTCTATGACCATTGATACCGCCTGCTCTTCCAGCATGATGGCTATCCACCTTGCTGTACAGTTGCTGCGCAGCGGGGAGTCGAACGTGGCTGTTGCATGCGGAACGAATTTGATCATCACCCCTCGTAAGTCGTCTATTTATCAATCCTGTTCCATTGGAAGGTGTGAGCATCGCTGACTGATAACGTCTTATCATCCAGAGAATTTTGTTGTCCTAAGTAACCTAAACATGATTTCCCCCGACGGCCGCGCAAAAATGTGGGATGAAAGTGCAGACGGGTATGCACGAGGCGAAGGAGTCGGGGCTATAATATTGAAAACACTGAGTGCTGCCGAGGCAGACGGTGATACGATTGAATGCGTGATCCGCGAGACTGGCGTCAACCAGGACGGCCGTACCCGTGGTATCACCATGCCCAGCAGCGCCGCGCAGGCCGACCTAATCCGAAAGACATATGCCCGAGCCGGGCTAGATCTCACCAAACCTGAGGACCGACCTCAGTACTTCGAGGCTCACGGCACTGGGACGAAGGTCGGTGATCCACAAGAGGCAGAGGCAGTGTTTAATGCATTCTTCGGGGACGATTCGAATGCAAGCGAGGAAGACAATCTACATATCGGGTCTGTGAAGACGATCATCGGCCACACAGAAGGTGCGGCGGGTCTTGCAGGTGTCCTGAAAGCCTCGCTTGCTATCAAGAATGGCTATATCCCGCCTAATATGCTCTTCAACAGCCTGAACCCTGCGTTGGAGCCATTTGCAAAAAAGCTTCGTCTGGCAACCGAGCTGACGCCATGGCCTGTTCTGCCGACCGGTGCTCCCAGGCGGGCGAGCGTGAATAGCTTCGGTAAGTTTACTTCAGACATTACTCTTCTAGTGTCGGTTGCTAATGAATTCGCAGGTTTTGGTGGTAGCAATGGACACGCAATTCTGGAAGGCTACAATGCTAGGGCTACTGAGCAACGTGACCAGGAGAAGCCCGTGCTGGCAACTCCGTTTCTGTTCTCCGCACAATCCGAACGGGCGCTTTCCTCCACCCTCCGTCAATTCTCCGACTATCTTAACCCTCGCTTCGATGCTGACTTGCGTGATATTGCCTGGACTCTGCAATATAAACGGTCCACATTTGGCGTCCGAACAGCAATCACTGCCCTCAATCGCGACGACCTTCTATCTCAACTGAGCGAACGGTTGAACCCGACCGAAAATCAAATCGGCGTCAAGAACTCCCTCAAGCGAGATGCTAGAATCTTGGGCATTTTCACCGGGCAAGGAGCCCAGTGGGCAGGTATGGGTCAGGTGCTACTCCGAGTCTCACCTAAAGCTCGGGAGATCGTGCGTTCGCTTGATGATGCGCTAGCAACCCTGCCCCGAGAGAACGACCGTCCATCCTGGAAGCTAGAAGAGGAACTGATGAAGGACCGTGAGCACAGTCGCGTTGGAGTCGCAGCCATCTCACAGCCGCTATGCACCGTTGTCCAGATCCTACTCGTGGATATGCTACATAGTGCGGGTGTGCGATTCCATTCCGTGGCGGGACACTCATCCGGCGAGATCGGGGCAGCATATGCCGCCAATCTTATAACTGCCCAGGATGCTATCCGAATCGCATACTACCGAGGCTTGTATGCATACCTCGCTGCCGGACAGGAGGGCCAGAAAGGAGCAATGATGGCAGTTGGAATGTCGCTGGAGGAAGCACGTGAACTGTGCGATGACTCCAGATTCCGTCAACGTCTCTTTGTCGCAGCGTGCAACTCGGGTGCAAGCGTTACGTTGTCTGGAGATCATGATAGCGTTGCAGAAGCAAAGGTGCTTCTGGACGAGAGCAAAAAGTTCGCCAGAGTGCTGAAGGTGGACACAGCGTACCACTCACACCACATGCTGCCATGTGCTCAGCCGTACCTCGATGCACTGGCCTCATGTAACATCCGACTGGAATGCAGAAGTGAAGACTCGCCAGCTTGGCTGTCCAGTGTATATCCCGGGAAATCGATGTCAGATTCGCCAGAAATATCGGGCGCATACTGGGTTGCCAACATGACGCAGCCTGTTTTATTCGCAGGTGCGCTAGAAACCGCCTTTGAAACCCAGGGCCCTTTCGATATCGGATTAGAGGTGGGCCCTCATCCGGCGCTCCGATCGCCTGTACTCCAGACCATTCAGGATCTAGGCGCAGGAAATAAGCTCCCTTATGCTGGCACTATGATGCGGGAAAAGAACGATATTGAAGCTTTCTCCGAAGCCCTGGGACTGCTCTGGACATATAGCGATCGGACCATTGTCAATTCCTTTCGATATGGCCAGACGTTTTTTCCCAATCCTACCGAAATGCCCGTGTTTGTCAAAGATCTCCCCACCTATCCCTGGGACCATGAACGGTCCTATTGGTTCGATGCCCGCAGTTCAAGAGCTCTGCGCAATAGACCCGGCCCAGTCCATAGCTTACTTGGGACTACATATGGTGATTCTGCGGATGAGATTAAATGGCGAAACTTTCTCATCCCTAAAGAGGTCCCATGGCTGGGCGATCATCGGCTTCAGGGACGGGCGGTGCTTCCCGCTGCTGCGTACGTGATGATGGTATGCGAGGCTGTACTCCTACAGGCGCAAGGGCAGGACGTGCAGTTGATCGAGCTGTTTGATTTGTCAATCCATCGGGCCATTTCTTTTGACGACGAAACTTCTGCGGTTGAAGTTATTCTGACGTTGTCGAACGTTGATCGGACAAGCAAAAGCACGGACAAATTCACGGCAGACTGGACCATTCGTTCTCCCGCTAATAAGGAGGCAGACAAGGCAAGAGTTGTCAGCAGTGGATCTGTTTCGGTGCTTTTTGGACCATCGAATGCAAGCACGTTGCCCGGGCGTGGTGACCCACGACCCAACCAAGTGAACATCGACGTCCAGGAATTCTACAGTTCGCTCGCGGAGTTGGGTTACGGGTATACTGGAGCGTTCCTGTCAATGACCAGTCTCCAGCGAAAGTTGGATCATTCCTCGGGAACATTTGCGCCACCCTCTTGTGACCTGGTGATACATCCGGCGCTTTTGGACATGGCATTCCAGGCTTTGTTTGCGGCGGTTGGCTATCCTGGTGATGGAGGGCTATGGAGCTTACATGTACCGACTGGCATCGGGGCGATCCGAATCAATCCGCACCACTTCCTGGGTCGCACGGATGTTGCAGGTGATATGCCGTTTGATGCAACTCTGGCCAGGACAACAGAGAGGACTTATGTCGGTGATGTATCGATCTATAGCCCCAGTGGACATGGCTTCTTGCAAATTGAAAACGTGACATCCGTGCCCTTCACTGGCGCGACAATTGCTGATGACCGAAACATATTCTCGGAGGAGATCTGGGCGTTTTCAGGTCCTGATGGAAGCTCTGTGGTGACTCAAGAGCTGGCGACATCAGATGAGCAGCAGTACGCCCGTGACTGCGAAAGAGCAGTATTCTACTATTTCAAGAAACTGGTGGCCGAGATCTCAGCGTCCGAGGTACATGGCGCTGCTCCGCATCATCAGCGACTACTGGAGTTCGCTTCTCATTTTGTTTCGGAGGTAATCAGTGGAAAGCGACCGCAGTGCAAGCCGGAGTGGGCAAACGACGGAGAATCCGACATACTTGCAGTATTAAAACAGTATGTTTTCCATATCGCCATTTTTAATACAGCTAACCAAGCTCTGCTAGGTATCCGGACAATATTGACCTCAAACTCATCAACTCGGTTGGAGAGGCTTATCCCTCTATTATCCGTGGAGAAACCGACCAGCTCGAACACCTTATCAAGGATGATATGCTAGCCAGGCTCTGGGCGGAGGGACTTGGGATTGAGGAAGCTAACACATGGGCAGCTCGTTTGATCAAGCAGATATCTCATCGATATCCGCATATGAACATTATTGAAATTGGTTAGACTCACCATGGTAGTGGCCCAACATTCGAATAGATTGCTAACTTAGAAAATAGGAACTGGCACAAGTGGCGCTACCGAAGCAATCCTTGGATCCCTAGGATCGGCGTTCAAGTCCTACACATCGACTGATTCTTCAACATCTCTCTTTGAGAAAGCGAAAGAGAGATTTTCTACAGTCAGTCATAAGATGGTCTTCAGACCATTTGACATAGAGAAGGCATCAAGTGACCAGGGATTTGAACCACACACATACGACCTTGTCGTTGCGTCGAATGTCACCCACTCAACGAAAGACCCAGTCCAGGCGCTGCAAAATATTCGTTCTCTTCTGAGGCCTGGCGGCTACCTAGTTCTTGTTGAAATGACCGAGCAGGTTGCTAGTCGAATCGGGTTCATTCTGGGTGGCCTACCCGGTAGGTCGCAAGGCGAGGGAAACCACAAAAAGCTGCTTCCTGCCTTATCCACTGCCGAGTGGCACCGAATCCTCAAAGCGACAGGGTACTCTGGTATTGACACGATCGCTATGTCAAAGGAAAGTCTTGCGCATCCGTTCTCAGTCTCGGTAACGGAGGCAATGGACGACCACGTTGCCTTTCTTCGCAATCCCTTATTTGTGAAGCCCATTGGCTACGGAGGTCCAGATGACCTCCTCATTATTGGGACCTCTACGCTTGAGTCCGCAAGACTAGCTACGAATGTCAGCTCGATATTAAGCCAACATTTCACAGCCAATGTGATTGAAACACTCGAAGAAATACCAGATGAGTTGCCAACAACAGTCCTCGTCTTGACTGAGCTATGCAACCCAATGTTCCAGGACATGACACTCGCCAAGCTCCAGGCTGTGAAGCATTTGCTCAGAGACAACCGCAATGTAGTGTGGGTCACCCGTGGGTCCAAATGCGCAGAGCCGTATAGCAACATGGTTGTCGGACTGGGTCGATCTGCGAGCAACGAGCAAAAGGAACTTCGGCTACAGTTTCTGGACGTCGATGAGGGCTGCACGTTAGATGCGGGGCGTCTGTGTGAGATGCTGTTGACTTTGCGTACCACCCAGGTGTGGGAGCGAGAGGGCACCATGGAACAGATCCTATGGACCACGGAGCCTGAATACAGACTTGAAGCCGACCACTTGTTGATTCCACGCATGTATCAACATCAGGCCCAAAACGAACGGTACAATTCGAAGCAGCGTCATATAACACAAGAGCTGCCGACGGGAACAAACACGGTGTCGATCATCCATGATGTGTCTTCAAAGACGTATCGCCTTGTCAGTGATTCGAACATCAGAAATGTCTCCGTCCCTGAGAGTATCTCGATACGGGTTGTTTGCTCCTTGCTTTCATCGCTGAAGCTTGCAGGAGGGCTTTATCTGTTCCCGGTTGTTGGGAGAAGAATAGACAGTGACGAGGTCGTCGTTGCCCTTTCAACGTCAAATGCATCAATCGTGGACATTCCGAAACAATATGTTGTCCCATTCAAGATGAAGGCTGGCAATGAGAGGCATCTGCTTATCTGGGCGGTCTGGGAGTTGCTAGTCCAGAGCATTCTATCCAAGGCTCCTACAGATGGAGGTATCTTGGTCTTAGGGGTTAAGGAGCGACTACTGGAGCTTCTATGTACCCGCGCCTCCCAACAAGGCAAAACCGTGTTCAGGATAACGGATGATCCACTATCGAACGCTCCTTCGTCGATTTTCGTTCATCCCATGGAGTTTCAGAAGTCGCTGAAGGCCAAACTACCCTCCACTATCTCTGCATTCGTGGACCTTTCCGAAGACCTAGCACAGGGTAATCTGCATAAGCGGTTAGTTGCCAGCCTTCCAGCATTCTGCGAGGTGGTCACTACAGCGACGCTGTTTTCCTCCACCTCGTCTTCCGCTTACTCTGAGGTTCCACCAGAGGCTTCCCTTCAAGCTCTGATTTCAGGTGTCTCGGTGGACACAGAATCCGCCTTCGATGGCAACAAGCTTGATGCAGACAATTACTCTCTTCCTTTGCGACAGGTTCCAACGCTCAGTGCAGCAGATCCGTTTCTCATTGTCGACTGGGCTGCCGAGACACACGCACCAGTTGACATTCAACCCGTGGACTACGGGATCCAGTTCTCGAAAGACAAGACCTACCTACTGGTTGGACTGACCGGTGATCTCGGACAATCTCTATGCGAGTGGTTTGTTCAGCACGGCGCAAGACATCTGGTTCTGACCAGCCGTAAGCCCAAGATAAGCCAATCATGGCTTGATAGTATGAAGGCAGCGGGTGCAAACGTCACAATTTGCGCAATGTAAGCAATCCAAACTCTCTCTAATTATACCCTAACATTTCACAGGGATATCACAAGCAAGGCCTCGTTGGAGGCAGTTTACACTGATCTACGCCAGACGCTTCCCGCCAATTGCTGGTGTGGCTAACGCTGCGATGGTCATGCAAGATATCATGCTGTCGAACATGGAACTCGAAGATATGCTTCCCGTACTCAAGCCCAAGGTCGACGGCAGTCGGTACCTCGATGACGTCTTCCGCGATCATGAACTCGACTTTTTCATTCTCTTCTCATCGGTAGGCTTTGCTATTGGCAATAGCGGGCAGAGCAACTACGTTGCTGCGAACGCATTCATGGCATCATTGGCAGCCCAGAGAAGACAAAGAGGTCTCGCCGCCTCAGTCATGCACATCGGCGCCATTATTGGCGCTGGATATATCACCCGCGGTGGCCATATTACGTCTGCAGACTTGAACGCGTATGGAGCATACCCACTATCCACCTCCGATTTCCACCAGCTTTTTGGTGAGGCTGTTTTGGCCAGTCCTGCGAATTCAGGACGCAATCCTGATATCGTGAGTGGTCTCCGAACAATTGACCCGGTTGTGGACGATCGTGTGCTGTGGCGAGCGAACCCGAGGTTTTCTCACTTCTGGAGGGGCGATGAGGAGCTGAAAACGGCCAAAGACGCGAAACGGACTGTCGTGTCTGTCAAGGCTCAGCTAGCAGAGGCGACAAGTAAAGATCAAGCGCGAGATATTCTTCAAGGTTTGTGTTTTTTCTATCTGATCCCGTCCTGGAGTCTTCTGATTTGGCTCTCTTTTTCTGACTAAATATAGAATGCTTCTCTGCCCGCGTGGTCCTTTTGCTCCAACTTCATGCCGATGACATGGATGACAATGCCCCGCTTATCGAACTAGGGGTAGATTCACTTGTAGCTGTTGAGGCACGGTCCTGGTTCACAAAGCAGTTAAATGTTGACATTTCCGTTTTGCGCATTCTCGGGGGTGCCTGCGTTGTGGACCTAGTTGCCGATGCCTTGGAGCGTCTTTCACCGGACCTTCTGCCGAGATTGAAGTCTACTGAAGATGAAAAGCTGTCAAAATCCAGAGAGCGCATGGTTGGCAAGGGTAGTGAAAAGATCTTGGCTCCAGTCAAGAATGCGCCTTCCGGGAATTCCAGCGCGGAGTCAGTGGACGCAAGCTCTAGTGCAGGCAGTGTCGTTGAGACGCCTTCAACTGCTGGATCAGAAGTCGACGAAAGCGATGCGGACTTCAAACCCGTTCTTTTGAGAAGCGAACCGATGTCTTACGCTCAGTCACGCTTCTGGTTTCTCCGTCATTCGGTGGAAGACAAAACTGCGTTTAACATTACATTCTCGCATAGCCTCAAGGGAGACGCTCATCCAGTCGAGCTGGTAAAGGCCGTCCAGGAAGCGGTCAGGGTTCACGAGGGCCTGCGCACTTGCTTCTTTGAACAGGACAATGTTCCCATGCAGGGAATCCTGCAGGCCTCCCCTCTGTATCTGGAGCGAAGGGTCATTCAGTCCGAAGACGAGGCAAATGCCGAGTATGACCGGCTCGCTCAGCACGTATACAACCTCGAAGATGGCCAAACAATGCGCCTTGTTCTTCTGGAACAGTCCAGTCAACTTAGCTACCTAATCGTTGGATATCATCATATTGCGATGGATGGCGCTGGATTCACAGGGTTCCTAGAGGAGATCTTGCGCATCGGAGGGGGCGAGAAAGTCCCTAAACCCATCCAGTACGCGGACTATTCCCGGCAGCTGAGGAACGAAGTTCAAAGCGGAAGCCTGGATAGCCAACTGTCCTACTGGCGTGCACAACTGAGCGAAATCCCATCGGTACTTCCTTTGCTGCCATTCTCAAAAGTCCAAACCCGTGCTCCGCTGCGGTCCTACGCATCCAGCACGACCAGCGTGCGGCTAGACTCCACGCTGGTTGCCCGAATCAAGAGACGATCGCGAAACTTCCAGTCGACCGCATTTCACTTCTATCTGACTGTTTTCAAGACACTGCTGTTCCAACTGACCGATGCCGAAGATCTGTGCATCGGAATCGCAGACTCGAACCGAAGCGATGCGGAGCTCCAGAGGACAATGGGCATTCTCGTCAACATTCTACCATTGAAGTTCAAATCACAGATGTCTATGACCTTCGGCGATGCTGTCAAGGAAGCGCGTAAGACATCATACGGAGCCCTCGAGAATTCCCGGATTCCATTCAACGTGCTTTTGGATACCCTTCCAATTGAGAGATCGTCGTCGCATTTCCCCATATTCCAGGCCTTCCTCGACTATCGCCCAGGTATCCAGGAGCGTTGGACACTCCGCGACGTTGAGGTTCAGAGACTCAACTGGTCGTACGGAAGGAACCCATATGATATTAACCTCGATATCATGGAGAACACAAGTGGGACCGCCTTCATCACAATGAATGCACAAGAGTATCTGTACGGCCAGGCTGAAGTGGAAACGTTGATGAAAGCATTCATCAATTTGCTTGAAGCTTTCTCACGCAATCCTGCTCTGCATCTCAATGAACCGGCTGTTTTCAGCGAGCTGACGATTCAAACTGGGCTTGATTTGGGACGCGGTCCGGATCTGTCGTCAGACTGGCCACCTACGCTCTCTCAGCGCGTACAAGAAATTGCGAAGATTCGTGAAGACAATTTCGCTGTCAAAGATAGAAATGGAAACAAGCTCACATACCGGGAACTGATGCAAGAAATGCAAAACATTGCCAATGCGCTTGCTGAGGTCGGCATCACGCCTGGCGATCGAGTAGCCTTGTTCCAACGGCCAACGATAACAGCCATCCCCTCCATCTTGGCGATTATGCAAATCGGTGCAGTTTATGTTCCGTTGGATCTTCGAAGCCCAGCTCCTCGTTTGGCAGCAATAGTTCGCGACTGTCAGCCACGAGCCGTTCTTTACCATCCCGCAACCGAAGCCCAAGTCCGAGAGGTGGTTTCCGATGACGTGAAACTGGTCAATACGTCCACCATTCCTCGCACGGAGTCGATACTGGTTCCGAATGTCTCTCGCCCCGAGGCAGAGGCTGTGATTCTATATACCAGTGGCTCAACAGGAACCCCGAAAGGTGTCATCCTTCTACACTCGGCGATCAGAAACGCGGTTGAAGGGCTAACAAAGCGGTTCAATATCGGTGCTGAGGTTGTCCTCCAGCAAAGTGCACTGACTTTCGACCTCTCCCTCCATCAAACATTTACAGCTCTTGCAAATGGCGGAACCCTCCATATAATCGACCAGGCCAAGATGGACAACGCAGTTGATATTCCCAGGCTGATCCAGGAAGAGAACATCACTTATACGATGGCTACCCCGTCAGAGTATTCGTACTGGTGTCGTTTTGGGGCAGTCCATCTCGAAAGGGCCAACAATTGGAAGTTTGCGTTGAGCTTGGGTGAGGAGCTCAAGTCCAATCTCGTGCAGGAATTCAAATCCCTGAACATTCCTAACTTACGGCTGATTAACACCTACGGCCCAGCGGAAATCACTATCCACTCACACGCCGTTGAAATACCATATCAGGAAGCAACTAACGACAGCAGAGAAGTAATTCCTGTGGGCCACTCTTTGCCCAACTACTCGGTCTATGTCATGGACGAGTCTCTCAAGCCTGTTCCAGTCGGAATGCCAGGCCAGATATGCATCGGTGGTGCTGGTCTCAGTCAGGGCTACGTCAATTTACCAGGCCTAAGCCAGGAGCAATTCGTGCCGAACCCCTTCGCGACCGCTGACTGGGTTAAGAACGGCTGGGACCGAATGTATTTGACAGGAGACCGCGGCAGGCTCCGTGAGGACGGTGCCCTTCTGTTCGGAGGAAGGATGAGCGGAAGCACTCAAATCAAGCTTCGCGGCTTGCGAATCGAACTAGGAGAAGTAGAGCATGCCATCTTGAAAGCTGCCTCGCCTGCTCTGAACGAGGTCGTTGTCTCGGTCCGTGGCGATCCTGAGCTCCTGGTCGCCCATGTTGTTTTCTCTCGGGATCATGGTATTGAGGACGGTGCTGTATACCTGAACCAAGTTCTTGGTCGACTACCTCTTCCCGAATACATGGTTCCCGCAATGATCGTACCCCTTGACCGGATGCCATTAACAACCCACAACAAGGTAGATCGGAAAGCGATTGCCGCTATTCCTTTGCCAGCAAATCCTGGTTCGCTCGAACATGCATCTGAACTGACGTCCCTGGAGACCGAGCTGGTGCATATCTGGCAGGTGGTGCTCTCCAACGATTCGCTGCATTTGGATTCAATTCCTCCCGAAACGAGCTTCTTTCGTGTGGGAGGGAACTCGTTGCTCTTGATTCCGCTGCAGTACATGATCAAAGATACATTTTATTCATCGCTGAGCATGGTGGACTTTGCAGAGTCACATACCGTTCGGAAGATGGCTTCCCGAATCGAGCAAGCCATGTCGAAAACAGATATCAACTGGACGGCTGAAACCGCCCTTGTCGAGACCTCGCCAACTCTCCGGGATGAGGCCAATCCTGCTCGTCGAACTGGGACGGATCTCCGTGTTCTATACACCGGCGCTACGGGACACTCCGCTCGCTTTGTCCTCCAGAAACTGGTAGAGGATAGGCGCATTTCCAAGATCTACTGCGTCGCTGTGCGCTCAACGGAGAAGAACCCAGCTCCCAGACCACTGGCAATTACATCGGACAAGATCGTTCAGTTCCCAGGCAACCTCATCGACGATAGACTCGGGCTAAGCGAAGACCAGCTCCAGTTCCTCACTGAAGAAGTGGACGTGATCATCCACAGTGCTGCGAACCGGTCCTTCTGGGACAACTATCAGGTCATGAAGCAGGTCAACGTGCTACCCGTACACACGCTAATCCCCCTAGCAATTCCGCGCAAGGTCCCAATCCACTTCATGTCCTCGGCTGCGGTCCACCTATTCGACGGCCGCGACGACGAGAACTACCCCGAAACACGCGCCACGCATACTCCCCCAGCAGACGGCAAACACGGATACTTGGCCACCAAGTGGGCAGCAGAGAAGATCCTCGAGAACGCATCCAGCATGTACGGTCTTCCTGTATATATCCACCGACCTGCGCCCGTCGGTCAACAACCCGAGCGACTATCAAAAGCGGTCGTGTTCTCCGAGTTCATGAGATTTGCCCAGGCCCTGAGACTTAACATTCCTCGGAACAGTATCCGAGGAACCATCGATCTGCTTGATGTGGCGCGGTTGGCTGGTGCTCTGCTGGATTCTATGATCGGAAGCACAGAGGAGAGAGACGGGCCTGATCTCGTCCGGTATATTCATCACTACGCTGATATGAAACTGCATCTGGATGAGTGGCAGGCGTATGTGGACGAGCATGTGGAGGAGTTGGAGATTGACGAATCGGAGACGCATAACGCGACCGAGTGGATCGCCAAAGCCAAGGAAATCGGGTTTCCTTATTTGTTGGCTGCTCAGAATTTCGATTTGACGGGGGAGAGCGCGTTGCCGATTACGCAGAGAAGGTAGAGAGATGTACACTTGTTTTATGATGATTCTGAATGTGAAGATTATTCTCAATCCAAACCTGTTATTTTATATTCGTTAGCAATGGCCGACTTATATATACTCCGGACCCTATGACATGATTCTGGCCTGATCTAAATCATCATCCTGCTATAATCAATATTTATTTTCGCCCAAAGCCTAATAAACACCGGCTTTTTCCAAAACAATCCAACCACCCAACTATAACAACCTTAACACCACCAACACCCGAACATAGACTCAGAAACCCTCCTTATCCACCGTCGTCATACTATACAAAACCAAACTCTCCTTCGCAAAGCTACTCCTCGCCCTGATCCTCTCCCCAAAGGCCTTCAACAACGGCGGCACCGCACAAAACACCGTGGCAATGGCGGCCAGGACCGTAACCGCGACATTCGGCCCCAGATTCGCAAACATATCAGGCGAGAACAGTGGAAACGTCGCCGCCAGGAGAACCCGTACCAACGCCAGCGCCGCAAACGCACTCGACGAATACCCCCTATAACTATCGGACAAATACCCGGCTAGAACCGTCGGGAACTCTCCGCCCGCGTAACCGACGCAGACAAGCCCGATAGTCGGGACGATCCAGTGCACGCCGGGGACTAGGGGCGGGATCGTCCACGAGAAGAGCCACATGCCACCTGCGAGGACTGGGGCGGCGATGATGAGGCCGAGGAGTTGGTGTTCTGGGGTGATGGGACGGTTGAGACGGGTGTGTTTACTGACGCGGTAGTCATTGTACCATCTCGCTGGGAGGATGAAGAGGACGCCGACGCAGATTGCGAAGAGAGGCAGGTGTGCTTGGTTTGTTGTGAAGCCGAGGGATTCGTAGACGTCAGGGAGGGATTGGCTGAAGAGGTAGGTGATGGCGTAGGGGATGGGGCCGAGGATGGAGACGAGGAAGACGATGGGCTCAGTGGCGAGGAGCCGGAGAGGGCGCATGAGAAAGACGGCGACGAAGGTCGTGAGATCGGGGACTTGGTCGGGGTTGAAGCTCTGGAGGGCGTCTGTGCCTTCTCCGCGGATGGAGGGTGGGAGTTTTTGGATCTCGCGTTCGAGGACGAGAGGGGGGCGGGACTCGCGGATGGTGAGGAGCATGATGGTGAAGGCGCCGGAGATGATGGCTGCGACGTAGAAGATCCAGCGCCTGGTTCGTTAGCTGGAGATTTGTAAGGGGCTTCGTTGAAACATACCAGTCCAACGCCTCGATGATATAGTCGCTGTATATCGGGCCCAATGCGGAGCCAATATTCCAGGACACAGTCCACACCGCGATGACCCAGATCCTGTACCGGGAATTGAACATATCCTCAATGCTCCCAGCCACGACGGTTGTTGGAATTGCCCCCAGAATGCCGCTGAGCAGACGGCCGATGACTGCGCCTCCTGGCGAGGGAATCGCAACCATGGCGCAAGTTATGCCAAACAGCGCGGTGCTGATGACATAGAGATTCTTCCGACCACAGACCTCCGAGTATGGGGGGAAGACGATGCTTCCAAGTCCTTGTCCTATCAAATGTCTATTGATCCAGGGTCAGAGTATGATGGTGCCAGAGCAAGGGGTGTGCACTCACAACGACACAAAGATAAATATAGCCAACGTCTCACTGATTCCGTATTCATGTCGTGCTATTACAGCAGGGGGTGACTGCGATCTTTAACTGCTGTCCGGCACAATGGCTTGGGGCAACATACTCCTGCATTCGATATAACAGATCTATATGAACCAGCTATTAGTATCGAGATGTCCTTCTCAGAGTGAACGAGCAAACATACGCGAATAAATCCAAAAATATTACCCAAAAAGCATCATACACCTTGCGCGCAGTCGACCAGTTGCGCGGATGACGCGGGTTGTCCGATTTCCATATCACACTGCGCCCATTGTCTGCTAGCTTCAGGCCATACTGATCTAGCTTCTCGTCAATCAAACTGAGTTGACCTAGGGAAGACTTTCTATCCTCCATGATTGTTTCGCAGGCTTGGAGGCAGCAAGTAAGCGGGATATGAAGGAGTGAGGTGAGACAAAAGGTCAAAATCTAACGTCTGTGCATACTAGTTAAATGATTGGAATGCCACAGGGGCTGGTGAACATGTCATCGCTTGCATTAAATCATATTTACTCGGCTATAGGCTTGGTCCTGCAATAAATTTCGCATAGAAACAATTCTCCGAGCGCATGCAAGGGATAGGATCTACTCGTTTTTAGCTTTTCGCAATGATATTCGTCTTGAAGATCTCCCCTGAATGACGCAAGGGGTATAAGCCCTTTTGCTCTCTGCGGCCCCAGCATTGCAGTGTCCTGCGTCGGTAACTCATACTATACCAATCAATCGACACCTATATCCTAGCCGCAAAGCTGCCATGTGCGGCGAAGGACATCCAGCTTGACTCGATTTCCTCCTGAAATCCTCAGGTGTGTGCTTCTTCGAGTAAAGGGGAAAGGATGCAACTGGGGTGTCGATCATTCCAAGGTGAAGAATGTTTCCATTTTGTTAGGCGGTTAGGGTTACCTAAAATTGGTCTAGTCCTACGCGTACGATCAACGGTGTTTATAAACCAGTTAGATTTGTTGGTGATGTCAGCCTACGCCATGAGAATTGAGATCACACAACTTGTCGCTTTCTTTGCAATTCTCTACTCTGTGGTCATGCCAATATCAAAAAACATGCCATACGTTCCACGGGGGCACATGCTCCACGTCTTACACTGTCGATATGCTAAGCTTTATATCCTACATACCTTGATATTTTATCACACGTGTGTAAGGCAATGTGGAAAGTCTGGGCAAGGGTTGGCGAAGGTATTGGAAAAGGGTAGATATGACCAAATTTATCCTGTTTAATTACATATGACTTCCATTATGTGTTCTATTTACGTCGTTTGATCAGAACTGTCTATCTGGGAACCTCAAATGCAAAAAACTTAAAAATTGCGAATAAACAATTTAAATGATGAACTGCGTCAGTGGTTTCAATTATATAGTTTCAACATAATACTCAATGCACTCGAGAAGTATTGATGGTTCCTGACGCGCGTCGCTCCTCAGCGCAATGTATCGCAGCGTCGTCGAAAAGTCGTGACAATATAGCAAGCTTCGGACATCCAATGGCCGGGGCACGTTTCCATGTACGATATCCACAAATCGTTGCTAAGGGTGGATTTTGACATATTGGTTAAGGCTAGGTCGATCTGTCGGCATAGCCTTAGGGTCTCCGCGGGACTTTGAGCTGGGTCAGGCCATCAAACCCTTTTGAAAAGAACTGTCTTTTAGCGTCGTAGCTTGAATCTCCGATCTATGTAAGCATAATTCAGAAGTTCGTAGCTAGGCTTTGTGAACGCGTTGATTGAAACGCATTATTTTATGTTCCGGAAAAGCCCGTCCCAACCCATGAAGGCTGACGGAGGTATTACCGAAGAAAGTAAGACCTATAGCTTTCTAGTGAAGCTTATCGGTTCTAAGAACTAAGAAGAACGCTCTATGGAGCGGCACGGAAAGCTAGTCGAGACCTGCAAGGCAATCTGTTCGTTCCTAATGATTGCCGAGATCGACGCGCCAAGGGTCCGTTCATCCGGGAAGTGGATAATGATTTACGTCTGGCGCGGAATTAGCTGGATCAGAAGCGCTGATCCAGCCAGAGCTTCAAGTCGAGACCTTTGGATAACCTTGAATATACCGAGCTTAACACTCTGATTCTGCGCATTTTTTTCCCGGCTCGAGCAATATATCACCATACCGCTGCTTGAAGCACGGCCATCGTGCGACTGTATTATGTTCGAGGTTTAGGTAGATGCAAGCGAATTTATATCTCTTTCATGATGCCAGACACGGCCCTTCTCTATTGTGTTTTTCATGGCTAAAGTTTATACATCGTTCCGGTGGAGAAGCTTATGTTCATATGTTAAATAGCGCGAGTAGCGAGGTGATCCGCGTGGTCTATAAAATCCCTCGCATTTCCCTTCCCATCCTAAAGTGGCTTTTCAAATTAATGAGGCCGGGGCTTGCGCAACTCTGTGACATCGATCCCTAGGTCCTTCATTTCTTGACAATGGGCTCTTTAGGTTTCGAGCCGCGGCTTCTACCACACGCCCTCGATCAGGAAGCTATTCACAACCCCGACCGCCTCTTCTGTATACATTCTGTGTCCCTGAAATCCCTAGATAATGGCTGGCGACGGGTGACTATCGGAGAATTGGCCCACGCGGTGAACAGTTTCGCATGGTGGATTGAGAAGAATGTTGCTTCGAGGGCCTCGCCCCAACGGCTCGTGTACATCGGACCAGCCGATATTCGGTACTCGATATGTGTGCTAGCTTGCATGAAGCTAGGCCATTGCGTAGGTCCCCTGATAGCAACGATATTGACAACAGACCGACTAAACGATTCAAGCTTCTTCTCCTATCCCCCAATACATCTGACTCCGTGATCAACTGTCTTCTCAAATCTGGACGTTGCTCAAGGCTCCTGTTCGCACCTGAGTATGCCGAGAAAGTGCAACGTATTCGAAGCTCAAATAAGAGCCTCCAGGCGTGGCAGGTAATGGGCCTTTGGGAAATGTTTGATGTCTCGAGCGAGCCATTCCCGTACTGCCCGGAATATACCTTGGCCAAGGAAAGAGAGCCTACCGTTATCCTCTACAGCTCGGGCACGACTGGTAAAGGCCCTAGTCGAACCATGCCTCGCGACAATCGACTAATTTGAGCTTTTTTCTCGATCAGGCCTACCAAAGGAAATCCCTTTTCCTCATGGATACTTCACTGCGTTAGACTATTTCCAGCACATTCCCCTTCCCCCGGGAAGAAAGTCCACAGCCCCTTGGTTGAACCACGACGAGAACCCCCATCTGCTGAAGACCAGCCTATCTCACGGCAGTGGAATCGTGACATGGGGAGCTGCAATATTTCATCGGACTCTGTTTGTCATCGGCCCTGACATACCAATGACCGGAGAGTTGTTAGAGCAGATCGTGACCGAAACAGGAGCGAAGTCGGGTCTATTTCTGCCCGACACTCTCACAAATCTCAGCTCCTCTCCAGAAGGAATGAAAGCCATGGCGCGTCTAGACTGCGTCAGCTTCGTCGGCATGCCTTTACCAACTAGCGTTGGCGACAAAATATCCCGCATCACACGACTACAGTCCTCCATTGGCCTAACGGAGACTGCCTATTTCTGCACCATAAGGCCCGAAGATCCCAAACACTGGGAGTATTTCGAATGGAACCCTCACCACCCGGTGCAAATGCGCGACACCGCCGGCGGGTATTCCGAGATGATCATCACGCGCCCCGAAGGGCCCTATACACACTGCGTCTTTCTCGTTCTCCCTGATCGAGAGGAGTTCGCCACGGGGGATCTCTTTGTTCAAGACACTGAGAGTCCTGGTCTTTGGAAGCATGCAGGTCGCAGGAATGATGTGTCAAAGTTACAAAATCGAGTCCTTCTTCATCCAACGCCGATCGAGAACATGTTGGAAGGGCTTGAGTTGGTTTCTAAAGCTGTGGCGACAACAGACCATTCCCTTCGCCCGGTGTTGATTGTTGACCCGAACCGGAGAGTAGAAGGAAATGAGCTGTCATCTGAAGAGGTCGTGGAGAGGCTTTGGCCTTCGGTCAAGGAGATCAATGCTGGGCTTCCTCCTGAGGCTCAAATTGCACAAACCCATATTCTAGTTGCACCGGTCGATAAACCTCTGAGGACCACGGCGAAAGGAACGGTTCAGCGCCGTTTAGTGGTGGAAGACTTCGCAAAGGAGATAGAAGCTTGTTCGCGACGTTGAGTTTAGTATGAAGTGTAGGCTCAGATGCATAAAGACATAGCCAAACACCATTAGATTCCCACAATCGAAATACATTAAGAAAGGCCTATCCACTCAGTTTGACCATTCAAGAGAACTTCGTAACCGGTCGGTCCTTCTTCACTCCATCAACCGAGACATCCACTTTCTCATCGTAAAAAGCAACATGACCGCGGATATCTGCAGACTCAGCTGTTGGCAACTTATACCACCAGGCAAGCCCTTTTTTCTCCTCTCCACTCGGGAGTTTCACAATGTAATAACTAGCATCGCCCTATAGATAGTTCAGCATCAACCCTACTGCTCCAAAAGGATAGAACTTACCTTATAAGGGCAACTGGTAGTCAACTCCTTATCCGGTATCAGGCGGTCCAGCCTCACATCGGTGGTCGGGATATACGTTCTGACCGGCAACCCAGTCTCATATAGCAGCTTTGGATGATTTGTGTTTGCCAGTTCGACCCCGTCAACCTCGACGCGTACATGCTTGGATGATTGTAGGATCTGGATCCTTTTGTACGGGTCCTTGGGATGCGAGTAGACGCGCTCGTCCTCTTCGAACCAGGCATCTGCTTTATCCGTCCCGACTTTGACATAGCCCGTAAAAGACCCAGAATTCATGACAATAGCAGCATCGGATGATGTCTTGCCATCTACTACAAGGTCGTAGATCTTGTTACCGCTGGGGTCGCTGCGCTCGTTCGCGAGATACTGTTGTCGGATGTCGTTCGCGGGGAAATAGTAGACAGGGTAGTACGGGTGCTCCCATCTGGATACATGAATTAGTTTCTAGTGAAATAAAACCTCTCATCGTGCGATGTTGTCGGTTTATTCCTTTTCCTTCTTGACCGTATTATTGTGCATTTTGGATGGGAACACGTACACAAGCTTGGGCTCGGGCGAGTCGACGACATATTGCCCGTTGAATACGACACGGACTCGCCGGACGATGTCTTCTGAGTATCCTGGTGGTGGAAACGGTGGTGGCATTTTGACAGAGGTCCTGTCTTCCTAACCGTGATGATAGTAGTATGCGATCTTAAACCTGGGGACTTGGCAGGCGGGGAAAGATGATGGTTATGTCATAGCCTGGTTAGATAATCCCCTTTTATTAAGGACTATACGTTTTGACCTATACTCAGTCAGAGTAAGTGTCACATTCTATGTATATTGAAACAGCCTTAAAGCCATGCGCAATACTCTAGCAAACTCACAACCCAAATGTCCAGACGAGTTGTCAACTCAAAAGCTCAAACAAAGTTCCCACTTCCAGTGCAACGAGACAGAGGAAACTCCTTCTTCGAGCACATAGTAATAGCGCCCGACACCCACTTGACCCCAGCATAGGATCCCTCCTCATACGAATCGGCCTGGAAAGTACCAGTCTCAGTCTGGGAGCCAATACAGCCCTTCAGCGCACGACCCGTCTTCCTTGTCTTAATCGGCTTGGTGATCATGACACCAGAGTACCCATTAGCAACGGTTCCCTTGATGTTGACGACCGTCTGAGTCGTCCAGGTACGCGAGTAGTCCACGCCCGCGGAGACACCCAGCTTATCTTTGATCAGGGTCCAGTCGAGGCCGGCACTGGTGGTGATGCTGTTGCTGACGCTGTACCCCGAGCTGACGTACACGTCGATGCCGGCGCCGGTGCCGATGACGACGGGCGACATCTGCACGTCCCAGTCGATGAAGGTCTGGGTGTGGTCAGTCACCACGGCGGTGGTGAGATCGCAGGACTGGCGGGCGTGGAGATCAGAGTCGGTGGCGTTGGTGGGTTCAGTCTCGGTATTCAGCGGGACGAACGGCTCAGGTGCGTCGGTCAGACCTTGCGAGGCCAAGAAGGTGTGGTACACGCTTTCGTGGACCACTTCCACTGTAAGTTGGAGTGTTGTTAGTGGCTGTGTTGCGAGTTGCTGGTCCGGATGGAAATGACTTACTGCGGCCGTCGCCGTAGAGGATGACCTCGTCGGGCTGGAGGACATGCCCAGGGGTCCATTTGGTGCTGTTCAGCTCGTTGGAAGCGGCGAGTGGCACGGCGCTTCCAGCTGTAGCCAGCAAGAGAGTTACAAGGCTTGACGAAAGCATTGTGGATAGGTAGGGGATGTTTCTTTATTGAACGAATGTGATTTCTCTGGGGGATGGTGTTTCCAAAGTGCTGGCAAAGGCTTTATTTATACCAACACCTGTGTTAATCGGTTGCCTTTAACGGTTTTATTCAGATCATTCCTCTATGATAAACTTTCAGGAACAATCACAGTCGGGGTGGGTCTGTTTGTTCAAAGGGACCCCAGCCTTGGCTACCCCAGCGTGGATTCGCCGTTCTAGTGGAATTGATATCACCAGGGTGATACATGGGTCACATCCAAGAGCGTTAGCCAGCTGTAACCGGTATTCAGGTCGATAGACCACCGAACCTGCGCAAATACAACACGTTCCTTCTCAATCTTCGCCCATTTGCGAAGAAGAGTTGGGGTTATGGCAATCGAACGGTTTCAACTAGCCATGAAAACTATCTCCATACCAAATTCCCTCGGTCGTATGACCCTATGTCTCATCCTCAAGGATCTGAATGTCTTAACCGGCGACTCCACGAGGAGAAGCTCTGGAGAGGTATCTCATTGCCGACGATGATCATCTTCCTGGGGAAAGTAAGATAGATACGTTAATCTCATTCCACCACCAATAGGGAGGCATCGGACGGCCGATCTGCTACTTTTATGGCCCGTCCGATCCTTCCGGTCTCTTTTCCATGGACTGGGGTTATGTTCGCGAACACCCGTAGATTATACTGAAACAGAAGCTGAATAACATCGCCCGAAATTTACCCGGATTGTCGTTTATTCAGCCATTTCCGGCAACCCCAGAAACAGGCTTAAGGCTTATACAAGATTAAATCTCGCAACGATCGATGATTGAACAATCGGAAGCTCCCGTGTGGGGCGAAGGAACTGATCATCGCCACGCGAAATTCGTTGCAGAGAGTATGCGGAGAAAGAGTAGGTTGACTTCCCTTGTCCTGCTGACTGGTTATCGTCGAGACAGCTCTCTACGGCAATCCTATGTAAGTATACGCAGGCTAGATGGTGTTAATATGTCTCCCATTCGAGTATATATTCACGCGCTCTCCTAATTATAACCGCAACATTCTTTCAGACCTCTCCAAATCTTTCAAATTTTGACCCAAAACCCCATTCACAATGCAATACAACACAGTGTCCCTCTTCCTCCTACTTGCCGGAAGGTACTCTACATCCCACCTCCCAATCCTGCTCTACATACCCACGTACAAAGTCACTCACCATCTCTCAGCGCTGTAGCAAAGCTCCACAACGTCGCCGCCTGCGTCTCCGACAGGCAATACACTAATCTCGGCGGCACCGGCTTCAGCGTCAGCTACACCTGGGCCAAGAAGTACGAGATTCTGCCCGACGAGACCAAATGCGCATGCGACTTCTATAAGCAGCGCAACACTGGCGGTAACCAGTGGGATCAGTGCCCTGACTGTACCTTTGTATGTTATTCGTCACGTCTGTATTGTATCTCTGCTAACGCGCATAGGACGGGACTTACTGCAATTCTGCGGATTGGCATATTGGTGGTGACGAGGTAAGTCTTTCTCTTATTGATGTTGAATTACGACTTCTGGGCTGTGGCTAAGATGTTTTGGTAGATGACGTATTATTGTGAGAAGTTGTGTCATGCTCAGGGTGCGGAGGGAAATTAGTTGGGACTGAGATGGGGGTGTGTACTGATCATTGCGTTCATTTGTTAACACATTCATAGTAGTCACTTTTACCAACACTGCATATAATCATAAAATTTACTCAATATGCTAAGCGAATTGGAGGATATATTCTCCGTTCTCAATATCATTCAGCCATGTACCTTGGAATAAGCCACCATGTAGCTAGACATTCGAGCCGGCGTTTTGATACGCATCAGTGAGTTCCTCCATCTTGTGCGCCTGAAAGAACATCTTGAAAGTGACCGGCCTAACTTCTGGATATTTGGAGTTATCCAAGTCCTGTTTCAAATAGGTCTGTCCATTGGTACAGTAAAACTGATAGAACCTGGGAAGAACGAAGTCAATATAAGATACAATAGACCACGACGGATACAGTACGTACATAGCGATGTAGGCAAACATGTTGGAAGGATCCTTTTCGAAGGTTGCCCGCATTTTGCTGTAGAGATCATCAAGTGACCCAAGACGCTCTAGCTGAGGTTTCCTTCCATAGACGTCTGCAAAGTCCTGCGCAATTTCACGAATGGTTCGACGATCTCCGAGGACTAATGGTTGTGAGTTCCGGTCAGCATCCGTCTCATCTATTACCATTTCTAGGGTGGATAATTTATTCACTCACAGTGCTGCATGCCAACAGCATTCCGGTCCTTCGCTACCGCCGCTACATACTGAGCAGCCGTTTCGTACGTGGTAGACTCCCACAGTTCATCCCCACTGCCGTAATAATTCAACTTGCAGGCATCTGCATCCCAGACGCCGAAGTACCCACTCCAAAAAGTCTCCATAAAAGCCCCAATAAGCACGTGCACACCTTTCACATTCTGCTTCGTTTCCAAATACGCCTTGACGTGCTTCATGGGGTCTTTGGCCGGGTGCTGGCCGTACTCTAATTTCGTGAAGTCAAGACAATAGTCGCTGGCAATATAGCGGCTGACGTGCTCCAGATCGCACGCATCAATTAGGAGTTTTTGTCCGTTAGTCATCAGGTCATTGTCGCCGAGATAGCAGCAGATGACGACGTCGCAACCCCGGGCGAAATGGCGCAGCGTGTCGAGATCGGTGGATTCGCCTTGGACGATAGTCACTCGGGGAGATTCCCGGAAGTGCTGGGGGAGTTTTGATGCGTTGCGACAGAATCCTCTAATATCAATGTCTGGTGAATTGCACAGGTTCTTAACAACCAGCCGGGCGAACTTGCCCGTGATGCCTGCGATGCCGACGGTGATGGTCATACTGAGATGGAGGTTCGAGAACAAGAAATTTTTACGAGATCAAATGTATTGTGATGATACTAGTGACTTGGAAGGATCAAGACAAGAGCAACAGCACGGAGGGCTCAATATATACCTCGTGGTAGGGATGAGGCGATATACTTCTGATGGTGTCATGGCCTGCAGAAGGCAAATCGCGACGATTCCTGGTGTGGAGACAGCAGGGGTTTTGACCAACCACAGCACCGGTAGAGACTACTCCGGACCCGCTGCGATGTGGAGAATCTCGCGCTCGCGTCAAAATGAAGTCCCGATCTCCATTTATCTCCGTTGCTCGTTCATCCCAGTAGCACGACGTACAGAGAAGTCCTTCCCGACTTATGAATCAAATGTTTGAGACCGAAATTCATGTGGAGCCAAGATTATCAATCCAGGGGCAAATGACTTGCAAGATGGCCCATATAAGGGAAAGAAATTCTATTGTTCCATTCTCCTTCATCCCCAGAATCTTCAAACTGCTATCCACTACACGCAGGCCTCAAACATGTCGAAGCTATTCACGCCCCTTAAGATCGGAGGGAGGACTCTCAGCAATCGAATCGCCATGGCCCCCATGACTCGTCTTCGCGCGGATGCGTCACATCTTCCCCTGTCCTCTGTGAAAGAATACTACCAGCAACGCGCAAGCGTTCCCGGGTCCCTTCTGATCACCGAAGCCACTGTGATCAGTCCTCAACATGGCGGATATGCCAATGTTCCCGGAATCTACAACGACCGTCAAGTGACCGCTTGGAAAGAAGTCACAAACGCTGTTCATGACAAAGGGTCCAGCATCTATCTCCAGCTTTGGGCTTTGGGCCGGGCCGCGAATCCAGCCTTCCTGAATCAAGGAGGACACCCACTTCTCTCCGCTAGTGACGTTGCCATGAAAAGCGCATTCAGCGATGAGATCCACCAGCCTCGCGCGATGACCGAGGAAGAGATCCAGAACGCTATCATCGACTTTAGAATTGCAGCAAAGAACGCGATGGTCGCAGGATTCGACGGTGTGGAAATCCACGGAGCAAATGGCTATCTACTTGATCAATTTCTACAAGACGTATCAAACAAACGAACAGACCAGTGGGGTGGCACCGTTGCGAATCGATCGAGACTCGCTGTCGAGGTCACCCGCGCCGTGGTCGCTGAAATTGGCAACCAGCACACTGCGATTCGCCTCACTCCGTGGAGCAGATACCAAGGGATGCGCATGGCAGACCCGATCCCCCAATTCACGGACGTCGTTCAACAGTTGGCGCAGTTCCGATTGGCATATCTTCACGCTTGTGAGGGCGACGAGAAAGATCCTGCGGAAAGCCTCGGCTGGCTGATGGAGACATATGGCGACGCCAGCCCCGTTTTGGTGGCGGGGAATTATAATGCAGAATCGGCCAAGTCTGCAGTCGACACGAAATATGCCAATCATGATGTTGTTGTGGCTTTTGGTCGCCCATATATCTCTAATCCTGATCTACCGTTCCGGGTGAAGCATGGAATCCCATTCGCGCCGTTGGATCCAGGAAGTATGTACGGACAATCGTCCGAGGGCTATATCGATTATCCTTTCAGTAAAGAGTTTTCATCCAGCTCATGAGCCGGAAATCCTAAAGTAGTTGGGCCATTCTGTGTATACTACGATATATTTGACTTTGGATTCGGCGTTAAAAATAGAGCACATACTCCAAATGCAACAGGGAAGACTAAAGAACGAACTTGTGTACTCGCAAAATGTCTAATTTCCTAGAATGACCATCTCGTAGTTTATAGTTCTGGACTAAGACACTTACTAATCTCCCAAGTCGGGCACAGTCGGCTTTCGAAAGGGACTCCACTGTTCCGCATCTCCGCCTCTTCCGACGTCATCCTACATAGGACTACCTACTCCGTACTGCAGGCGAAGAACTTGGATCCCGTCATCATACCTCACTGGGCAATCCAAAGCTGCAGCAATCATGCAGAGCATGTCAGGTTACGGGCCAGGGGCTTTTGGTCGCAACTCCCACGTTCCAGCAGTAGGCGAACCCTCCATCAACATAGACCACCATTAATAACCTAGAAAGTGCCTCGAATGTCGGACGCGCAAAGCCAAGGTACGAACAAGCGCCATTCATTTCAACTATAAGAACGAATTTTAACCCGCGTAGTGTTCGAAAACACAACCTTGCGGGTCATGCACCCGGCACAACCGGAAATGCGTGTATGCGTCCAAAGTTCATCGGACACCTCTAACACGCGAGTAAGAAGCCATGCCACAGTATTGACTGTCTTGGAGATGCAATCCGAGTAGACTGACATTCATCAAGGCACCTCACAGCCGTTGAAAACCGACTACATCTTCTCGAAGCAGCGCTCGGTGGGCTATTCCCTGACGGAGAAATGCAGGAAATCAGCCGTGAATTGCTCCTCGAGGAGTCACCTGGGGACCGCATGTCGTCGAATGCAGACAACGAATGGATATCTGCTGACAATACACTATCCTATGATCCTCTTGTGTTCGATGATCTTCCTAACCCTACTCAGTTTATGGCACCGGAATTTGACTCCTCGCCAGTGGATGCCGACAATTGGTCAGCACCACAGGCTGATACGATAGCAGCCCCTGAAGAGGAAGCGAAATTCGTCGATATTTATTTTGCTCATTATAATACTGTCTATCCTATGCTGCATGAGGAGACATTTCGATTAGTGCAGGGAGGCCAGTCAGCACCACCGCATTGGCCGGTGCTTGCGAATATGGTTCTAGCTCTCGGGGCCTGGCTAAGCGTCGATGTACGCGAGGAACTGGATCTCACATATTTCGCTAGGGCAGAGCAACATTTCCAGAAAATATCCATGGGCAATCGGGGGAATCTCATCTTGGTGCAAGGGTTAGTTCTGCTGAGTGAATTTGCCCAAAAGCAAGGCAGTCCTGAGAAAAGCGGGCGGTATGTTGGATCTGCGGTCCACATTTCCATTGGTCTCAACCTACATGTTGAGACCCAAGACTCGAAGACCAGCGAGCTGGACAGAGAGATTCGCCGCCGGGTCTGGTGGAGTGTCTACTGTGCAGAAAGCTGCTCTGCGAAGATTTACGGGCGACCGCTTTTACTGCCGGAGGATACTCTGATCACTGTCAGGCCTGTTTCGAATATCCACGAGAACGTAAGTTCGTCCTTTCTTTACCCTTTTAATCCTCACTAATTAATTGCCATAGACTCTTACATCCTCCAGCACAACATTCCCTCCTCAGTCTGACGAATCGACCATCTACACCGGATTAATACAGCAGTCCAGCTATCATCGAATGGCCAACAAAATATACCGCCATCTTTTGTCCTCTCCTAACGTCACGGCACAAGATGTCCAAGAAGCGGATGAGATGATAGACACCTGGCACAAAGGATCCTCTCTTTGCCTCCAAGTAACCAACCCATCATCAGCTCCAGAATGGTACTTCATCGCGCGTCGACGCCAAGTTCTCTGCGACCGGAGCCTCCGTCTGCTCGTTCACAGACCGCTGCTTCTGAGATGGTTACGAAGAAAGTCCATTGACGGAGAAACGTCAACAGCTGACCATTCATCCGAACTCCACTGCCGAGCTCAGGGTCTCGCGATCGCTCGCACCACTATCGATATGATCTCCGATTTAATAGCGACTGGCCGATCCTCTAGGCTAACCCTCTCATTCACTCTGTCAGACTTCACTACAACATCTTAAAACTGCATCGCATCACCCGCTAATGTCTCATGCATAGATACGCGCTTTTCCACGCCCTCATCGTTCCTCTCGTCTATATCAAGGCGAACCCATCATCTCCAGAATCCATCTCCTGCGTACAGGACATCGAAAAGGCAGGCTCGGCATTGCAATATCTTCCTGAACATATGGATGCATTGTCCAATTATTTCATGGTGGCTTTACGCCGACTTGCCTGCGTGTCCTCCCAAGCAGCGAAGCAGCACGAAGGGACAACGGAGGGCAAAAGAGCAGTGAAGCCACATGACGTTCGATCTTCGGTCAGTGATATTTTCGGTAATCAGGAGTTGGAGCTCCTCAAGAGTGGAGATCTACGCTCGTCTCCGCGTCTTGATTTCTCGGAATGGGTGCACTCGTAGTTGGATGATTGGGGTGATTCTCAAATCTGTGTTCAGCAAAAGCGCGTGGCTTGCTTCGGTGACTGTTGAAGATTATCCACCTGTTCATGTAAATAGTGATGTTCTGGAATTAAACGCAAAGTGCGCTCAGCTCTTGGTTGCTCAATGAATTGACCAATACACAGCTCTTCAGCTATCAATATCCTGCCAGAGAAGTTCAACTATAGCTTCAAACCAAGGAACAAAAGCGAAAAAACAGGATTTCCAGCGTGCATGTCATTTTTGCTTTCCCGAGTTTTGCGCAGTGTTCAACCTGGTCCGTTGCATCTCGGAGACGTTTTCCTTTGAGTGTCACTGGCTTTCAACATGTCATCAACATAGCACCCTCAGCCATGAAAAAGTGGGATATCTATATCCATGCATCAAAAAACAGACATATCACATCGCCAAGCCTAAATCAAGCAGCAGGATAGTCAACACAAGCTGATAGGCAGCGGACTCTACCTTCGCTACGCGACAGATTAAGTTTGTCACTACAACCGTGTTTGTTCCCCACAGGGATTCAGCAGCAGAATGCGCCGGTTTCCCCACTTCGACTCTACTCGGTGGTGGTTGCTTCAATGACGCTTTGACAATGGATCAGGTTATCAATCTACGGGCTTTTGGCGCTCGGCGCGCTACCGTGGGGTTTTCGGCTGAAAATGACACCTAACCATGCTACTATCGCCACCCATCGAGATCCCACTACTCGCCGTCCCTCTGATTGCTGCGATCTGAGCATCTCAACCATCATCGGCTGGGAGATGACGGCGTAGACATGCATCTAGAGCGAACCTCGGCGGGGTAATACGACATGGACACGCGAAGTCGAAAAATGGATGATGAATTGGCTGATCCCGGAGCTCTTCTACTCGAATATAAATACCAAGCCAGGAACCGTGCAAATCCAGCTGACCATCCTCCTCTCCATACAGCTAATTACCTATCGTGAACCCTCAATAAAACCTCTCCAAAATGGGCGTTACAGCGATCACCTCGTCCGTGCCATCAATCATGTTCCCATCTTTCACCCGGACTATAAGTATCTTCCAGCGCTAACAGATCAACGATAACCCAATAGAGTGTCTGAATTTGAATCAGCCATCGGCACGAAAGAAAATATCATAATAACCTTTACCCTGAAAGACTCCCGGAACGCACAGAATGACTCCTGTGAGGCCATCTATCCGCTGCTTGAAGAGCTGTCCGGTAAAAGCGAGGGCCTGAAATTCTACAAAGTCTTCATCAATGAGACCCCGGATGTTGCGCAGAAAGCTGGCGTGGATATGATGGTGCTGCCAGCCTACAAGGTCTACAAGGATGGCAAAGGGCCCGTCAAAACCGCCCAGGGACCCGATCCCAAAGATCTGTTCGATCTGGTTTTCAGCGTCTGAGCTTGACGCACTGGAAAGGAAGGACGGTTTGGTGGCTGTTGGAAGACTGATTGTATCTTATTCTGAAGTCAATCTATTAGATACGATGTCGATGATTATGGAATGAAGAATGTAATTCCTGAACTCGGTTGAATCGCCCATGTCATAGCCAAGGACTTGTTCGTGCTACGAAGTCTGTAGTTTTAGATATATGATGAAAGCCAGAGCGGCAGGGAAGAACAAAATTAATGAGAAGGCCAACTGTAGATGGAGGAAATGGGGCAGGTATATACAAGTAAAGTAGCCAAACTACTCCGAGGACCAATGCCACGACCCGAGTTCTAGGAGACTTGACACACGGACAACCCGAAAACGACGCGCACAAGATACGATGCCATCTATAAGTGTGGATGTTCTTCGAGACCCATTCCCTTGCCGATTTTACGGATCAGGGCGCGTTTCAGGAATGCTTCGCGCGCAAGGCCACGAGTATGTCGCGACCAAGTTTCAACGCCGATGACTCCCTTGACCAGGGCAGACTGGAGAGCGTAAATGGCCTGTTGGATGCCACGCTCCTCGGCGACGAGATCGTAGAGTTGTTTGCCGACGACAGTAGGGGCGACAAGGACGTCGTCGATGGGAGGGAGTCCGGAGGGGACGGGGTCTGAGCTGGACTGCGCGGTGGATGACGAGATGCGGGTCTGCGCGTCCGCGATGACGCCGTCGGCACGATGAAGAGACTGTTGCAGGACAGAGCTGTTGGACTGCAGTGTTGCGTTAAAGTTGTTCAGTGACGAGATTTCGCCTTGCAGCGTGGCAACGGCGGCATGCAGGGACTGCGATTGCGAAATAAGGGAGTGAGCGGCCGTTTCAGACTGCGCAACGTTGGTCTGGAGGGTTTCGGCCAGAGTCTTTGACACGGCTTGCAGAAGAGCGTCTTTCTCGGGATTGGGAGGGATCGGGGGCGCCGGGCCGGTGGGTGCAATCGAGGGGAGTTCCAGCTCGAAGGGCGAAGTAAGGAGATCGGGGGTTTCTTTTTTCGGCTGTGCTGCGGGTTGCGCGACGGGGATAGTTTGATGGAACGCGCGAGGGGCAGGATGACCAGCAGCTGACTGAGGTAGTGGATGCTGATACTGTGCACCTGCTGGCTGATACATCGGACGTTGGGGTGGAGCTTGCTGCGGTGGGATGTATGGCGGTTGCTGTTGCTGTTGCGGCCTAGGAGGTACATTCTGGGGTAGAGGGTGGGCAGTGACACCATTACCAAGCGGAGGATGAGCCGGACCTTGCGTATGCGCCGGAATTGGCTGTGTTACGGGAGCCTGGTGCTGATGATGATAATATGGACTCGACGGTCCTTGTGGTGCACCACCTCGCTCGGGAACATATTGAGCTTGTCCACTCCCGGGACTGCTAATACCCGCATGCTGATGAAGAGATATTCTTCGGAGATCCTGCTCCTTTGGCGGAAGTGGAGGAATTGGAGGAGGGGTGTTGGGCTGCCGTACGGTGGTGCTTTGCTGAGGCTGCTCGGGAGATACTATTTGCCCCGGTTTCGGGGGAGGCGGTGGTGCCTGAGCTGCTGGCTGGGGAGAAGACACGCCAGGCGTCGTCGGAGACGAATGCGCTGGAGATCCAAGCTCTGGTGGGAGAGGAGGACGAGGTGGAGGTGCTTGTACTTGTTGTGGCTGCTGAGGTCGCAGAGGGACCTGTTGTTGCTGTTTATATTGGACGGGCGGCTCCTTGGCGAACACCTCTCGGAGTATCGAGACGAGGTCAGCTAGCGATGATCTCTGAGATGATGCGTCAGTGACCTCGACATATTCAACACGACACGGTCATGAACTTGTCACTCACTTCCCATGCCCCTGCCCAGTGTGCCAAATAATGATGATAGACCCTCCCTTCCAATGTGACATGCTGCCCAACTCGAACAGCCATATCCTTAGTCGGCGACACGTAAACGATCGGTGGTTCGCGAGGATAGGTATTGGGGACCCATATCACTACCGGGAATTTGTATACGGTGCCACGAAATGTCACTGGCAGGGTCCCCGAGAGTTGGAGTAAGAGGGCGGAGAAACCGGTCTCGTAGGCTAGAACTCGTCGACACGCGCAGTTAGTATCGGCTCATTTCTGCTTCTCCTGGGACCACGACACTTTGGAAACTCACTGTACACCTCTGTCCGCGGGAATAAAGATGGGTACTGGGCCAACACGTTGGCAACGTCGTAATAGGTTCGGTTGGGGTCTTGGTAGGTCTGCCTGGAATCGTAATGGTCCTGGCGACGTTAGCATGAATTCAGCGAACGGAAGCATTTTCGGGCGAGGGGTACCCTGATCAGGACGCTGTAGAGCCAGTTGAGCGTCCTCTGCGGCACCGCAGCCATGTTGACGGGGCAGATGCGAGGACAGGGAGCATGATTGATTGGGAGTTGGATGTGACGAGATCGCGAGGGTCATCGATCGGCTCCCCGCAGTGGTCTTGGCTTCGTCCGGTGGGCCAGGATTCGGTCGGCGGTCTGCGAACGTCCGTGGAGCAAAGGGAGAATGACGCGAAATTGACCGAGGCAATTCAACGGGCTCCCTTCTTGCAAGGAAGCATCCCCAGTCCGAAGCATGCGGTCTGGAAGGACGAATGGGCTTCGGATTGGCCGTGGGCGAGTGTTTGGCTGGTCACGCGGCGCTGACTCAGCCGATCTATATCTCCAATTTCCTTCCTTCCAGTCCACGTTCACTCCGACTTCATCTCTCCTCGAATACAATTGCAATGGATGAATCTTCTTGGCTTCTCGTGCTCATAGATGCTAAAGGAGAAAACGGGATAATAAATGTAGCCTGTCCGGGGAAGTTGGTGGTTTCCGATAGGCGCCTACAGCACATCGTCACCATGATAGGCCAGTTCCTCGCCCCCTATCACTGACCCCAGTCTTTTCCCTGCAAAAGGCAGACGTTAAGTTCTTTGGACTTGACAAAAGTTCCAGAAAAGTCTACACTAGCATGGTCAGAAGACCACTTCCCCCTGTGAGCACCAGACACAAAGCGTGGCACCCGGACGGAAACCGACAGACCGACAGACTCAATCGAGGAAACTGGGGTGATACTTGAATTTGCCTGTGTCCCCCACGATGACTTCTGCTCCTTGATGTCAGCCAGGATTTGGAATGAGTAGGGGCTGGTGTACCCCCAGGACTCCCGTGTCGACCTACACGAGACGACTAGCAGCACACGAAGCAAGAACGGACCATGATTCACCCGTGTCTAATTAATGACTCGGTCCCAGAGTGACACCTACACCTCAGGAGTATGAATTACTGGTCTTAGTGGATCCATGGAGTGTGAATTGACTTCATCTGCAGGCGCCATGTTCGGCCCCCACAGTCTTGATATTGTTCGTGCTGTTGCAGCTTCATATTGTTGGTCTCAACTAGCACACCCCAGTTCCACTTTCCCTTGTCACCCAGGTAGACAAAGTCTTGGTCATGGCTTTGTCTCAAGCCCCCTTCACTGTTAATATTGTTACATCCGGTTTTAAGCTCTCTGTATACATTGTTTGTTTCGGGCGTTGCACTGCATGAATCCCCTCAATCCGTCCCTGAGCGGCCAAATGGGGGCGACTATGTTGAGATTCGCATGGGATTTCGTCGCCTCGAATGTCTATCATAGTGGACATTTTCATGCAAACCCATCCTCTTCCTCATACTTCTATCTCGTTTCTTCTTTCGTGTTTCTCCGTCCAGAGCAATCGATTTCATCCCAGACTGCATCCGAAGCACGCGACTTGCTCCCACGTTGTACAGCATATCGCATACAATCCATCTCCTCTCGCTCATTTCGATAGTGAAATCTGATCCATCATGGCAAACATGGACTCGGATTTCGATCCGTTCAACCAGCCCTTGACCTTCCGCTACGCGGACGGAACTCCCTTCGTGGTCACCGTTGATGAAATCGACAGCAACCTCATCCAGTACAGCATCCGCTGCTGCATCAACTATGCCTCCCAGCTCGGTGCCTCCGTTGCTATTTTCATTATTCTTCTGCTGCTCACCAGACCCGAGAAGCGTGGCTCTGCTGTGTTTGCCCTGAATGCCTCCGCCCTGCTCTGCAACATCGGTCGTACCGTCTGTCAGGCCACCTTCTTTTCCGGGCCTTTTGTGCGCCTCTACCCGTACCTCTCAGGCGACTACTCCAGAGTGCCGACCTCCGCATACGCCGGCTCCGTCCTGGGCACCATCTTCCCTTCTCTCCAGCTGGTCTGCATCGAAGCGTCCCTACTACTCCAGATCGAGGTTGTGTGCGCGAACCTCCGTCGTCGCTATCGCCGCGCTCTGGTGGTAGCGCTGAGCGTGCTCGCCCTTCTAGCGGCAGGTTTCCGTTTCACGCTCATGGTCCTGAACTCGATGCTCATCATGAATCATGCCGTTCCCCACGAGATCAACTGGCTCGAGAGCGCAGCCAACATCACCCTGACGATCAGCATCTGCATCTTCTGCGCCGTCTTCGTCACCAAACTCGGCTTCGCCATCCATCTCCGCAAAAGACTCGGTGTGAGAGATTTCGGCCCCATGAAAGTCATTTTCATCATGGGATGTCAAACCTTGGTGATTCCAGGTACGTTTGTACCTCTCTCCCTCTCCCAACTCCCGAAACCAAATAGAAGATGAGAAACTAAAAGCATCTAGCCCTCTTCTCCATCCTCCAATACGTCGTCACCGTGCCCGAGCTCTCCTCCAACGTCCTTACCCTCGTCACACTTTCTCTCCCCCTCTCCAACATCTGGGCCAGCACGACGCTCTCGCAATCCAGTACCGGGGCGTCCACCTCGCGCGCCAACCTCTGGAACGGACTCACCTTCAACGGCAAACAAGTGACCTCGTCGACCTCGTCCAGCGGAAAACCAAGCACCACGATCTGCTACTCCGACCAGGCGTCGCCTAACGGAGCGAGCTCTGTGCAGCAGACGGTGACAAAGTCCGACAATGATGTAGAGCAGGGATACGGCATTGCTGTTGAGCATGATGTCTCGGTTCACAGCTATCGGAAGGAGAAGAAGGGCGGTGCTTAGACTGGTTTGGTTGTGTGCTAGTGCATCAGTGCGTTGATGGAAGGGGGATGGGATTGGGGAAAGGTTGGTTGGTTTATCGGTGATGGTGTGGTCGCCCTCTGTCTTCAACGGTCTCTGGGCTTTCCATTCCGGACTTCTGTCGTGCATACATCGCACCCTGCTTGCGCTCTACATTGCGTCATTCCTTTTCTTATTTTTTTCTTTGCGTGGTTGTTGACTTTCCTTGCTTCTCGTCTTCTCTTGATTCACTTGCACTTCATCCCTTTAATCGTTGCATAAGGAAAAAACGGATCCTGTCTCTGGGATAAGCGATGCAATACTGTACTGACCTTCCCCGAATAATTTACTTGGCGGCCTTTTTGTTCATAGTTTCATGGGAATTCTGCCTGGACTCAATTCTATTTACTTGGCTACCTTACCTGTATGACAATAAGTTTGTGAGGTTTGTAGGAAATATGCTCTTCCGTAGGCTCTTGCAGAGCGTTTAAATATGCTAATGAGGCAAGGCTAATTCGAGAATCCACTTCATTAATTATAAATCTGGACAAATTCTATTTTGCTTCATTCGTATGCGCAACCACGCAGAAAAAACAAAGAGATAAAAAAAAATCACTCCCTATCCTACCGACAGAGAAAAGAAGAAAAAATACATATCCACTAGCTCTCCCGTCCCAGCTTAGCCAAAGACTCTTCCAGGAACTCATTGGCGTTCATCAAGTCCGTACTGCCGTAAACAACTCTACGTCTCGGTCCGCTGGTCGGACCAGCTCCAGGACGGTTCCCAGCCGCGGCGCCCTCGCTGCCGGGTTGTCCGCTGGCCTGAGTGACCCAGTCCTGCAAGTTACCGTATTCGTCCATGCTGCCGCCGCCGACAGTGAAGACGATAGCTTCGTTGAAGGCTTGACGACGTTGTCCGAAGCTGGCGCCGGTGCCGGGGCCAGGGCCGCCCATGGGACCGGACGAGGGGGTGTTGCGGGATGAAGATGCAGGAGGCATGGCGCCTCGGGCGTTGGCGCTGCGGGGGTCGAAGTAGAGGTAGTTCTCGGTCTTGGCGATGGCGGAACTGGAGGCGGCGGCGGGGTCCATGATGGATTCGGTGATCTTGGTGAGGGTCAGGTCCTTGTTGGCGGGGAGGAAGTTCTTGACGCCGGAGATGAGGGAGTCGAAGTTGGCGCCTATGGCTCCGGAGGTGATGCGGTCGGTGAGTCGGTTGGACAGCGACGAGAATCCACGGAAGATGTCCGACGACTGTTGCTGGGGAGCGGCCGTTGTCATCATCGTCATGCGGGTGATCTCTCGCACTTGTTTGACATAGGCAAGGGAGCTGACGTCCTTGACTCCCGCGCGGGTGAGCGCTTCCTCTAATTGGCTCATGTCGCCACGAGACAGTTCGGTCTCGGTGCTCAGGAACCAGATGAGGAACAGCCGGAGCTTGTCGGACGGCTCGTTGCCCTTGGCGGTGTCGTTGATCAGTTCCAGGATCTGAGCCTTGGTCTGCTTGGTGATGTTTTCTTCCAGCTCGAAGAAGTTGTCGAGTTGGCGGTCCTTGATGCCCTTGAGAAGCGCGGTAGCGATGTTCATGTGCATGTCCAGAATGGCTTTGCGCTCTCGTAGCTCCGGCAAGAGGGTAATGGCAGCCTTGAGGTGCTGCGCGGAAGCGCTCGTGTCGTTTTGCAAATCCTCGATCGAAGAAGCACCGGTCTTCTTCGTAATCTCGTTCGCATCTTCCTTGTATCGTGTGAGTTCGGCATCAATGTCTTCCGCCACCTGAGGGAATGGAGCACCGGCGTTCCGTTTCCAGAAGAAGTCATTGCTGTTCAGGTCATAAGCTCTCTTTGTCACGCCTCGTGCTGGGTTCGATTCATCCGCCGCAGTTTCAACCGTGATCCGGTTCAGACGCATTTGAAGAACATCTTGAACCAAGGACTGATATGTCCACGAATGTGACAACATCGGGACCAAATCCACATTGCGGTCGACAATGATCAGGACAGGTCGAGACGAGGGGACGCCAGGGGTGGATTTCTTGTTGGTGGAGAAAAGATTGTCCTTTGAGTTTAGAATATGGTCTCGTAGTTTCCGGTCGAGTTTGGTTGCGATTAGTTCCGCCGCACCGCCTTTGGGACATCGAATGATCGGAATTGCGCCTGCGTGTTGCCTCAAGTCAGAATACCAGAATTCCCGCACGAGCCATAAAACATACCCATTGTAACGCTGACACTGAACAAGCCGCTGACAATCTTGTCCACAATGTTATCCAGGTCTTCATCGCTTGTTTGCGCACTGTTGATCTTCCAGTAGGCATCTTTGCCTAGACCGAGGCTGAACAGATCGGGCTCGGCGACAATGAAATTCAAGTATTGATCAAACACCTGCGCGATATGCTCCGACGCACCAGTCGATACGATCTCAGAGGCGAAATCTTCTAGAAGCGGCCGAGGCACGGAGGATAAGAAGTTCACGTAAGCGGGGGTGTACAGCCCGTGGGACAGGTCTCGTGTAATTGCCTGGATATTGGCCGGAGTAGGTTCGAGAAGGTAGACGACAGGGACATCGGGAATCGGGTATCGAGTGGAATTGATGTTTCTTTGAACAGACTCGTTAGTCGGCTCCTAGGTCGGGATTGGAAGAGGTCCATACAGATGGATTGTCACACCCCACGATCTCAGATCATTGACACGAAGCACGCTGCTGATGACATCTCGTCCCATATTGTCGAAAACCAACACCTTCCAGATCGGATCTCCATCCTCGTTCAAGATCGGGGTCGAGTGGGAGATAAGACCCTGAGCGGCGGCATCGTGGGAGCCGTCTTCCGCGGAACTCGCATCGTGATTCAGGTTGAGGATCTTTTGGATGGACGCTAGACAAATGTCAGTACTTGCGACTGTTCCGACGTGGCCTGGAAGAAGTGTAGGGAACCTACCGACCTGACGGTCTCGCAGCGACATAGGGTGCGATGCCATGGTTTAGTTAATTGAGCTTGCGCCCCAGAGTAGTGTTCACGATGATTGCCCGACTCGGACCAAATTCATGACATGTATCAGACTGTGATGCACCGGCGTGTCCTCAACGAAGGCGTGGCCCAAGGGGGAATAGAATTGCAGCGACCTTCAAGGATTCATCCGAGCCCGGGACCAGGCAATACGTAGGCTGTCTCGAGCACGATCCACCCGCCTTGCACACTCCACCTGGCATCCTGAGGAGCTCCCGCTTTAATGAGCGATGACTCAGCACGGATGCAAACCGCGCAAAGGGACGCATCACGTGCTCCGGCAAAGCCAAGGCAACGCAGGCGCCCAACCGAGCTTTTCTCAGTCTCACCACCTCCAACTACGCCCTTTCCCCCCATCCCTTCCAACCTCCTCGTAATGCGAATGACTATGCTGCTTAACTACAGCACCGTGTGGTTCTTTGTATGAGAACCTCGTTTTTTCCTCTTTCTTAAAAAAAGGCAGAGCTTAGGTGAAGAACAAAAAGAGACGAGACAGCTGCTCTGGCGAAAAGCGTGAACCCGGTGGATTTCTTAAGGCATCAAGAAGATTAAGAGGGTACAATCGGAAGAACAGACAAGCAGAAGTGAAGGCAAGATACGGTGAAGCAGAACCGGGGTTCCAAAAGGCAGAGGTGACCAGAATTATCTTACGGCTACTATACGGAGTACCTGGTGTATTCGAGGAGTTTGGCCAACTTGGTGCATCAAGCGCGGTTCTTTTTTAAAAAAGGGTGCGAATTGGGCCCGGCACAACGTGGACGTGACTCGCAGGGCCTTTCTCTGCCCCTAAGGTATTGGACTCCGGCAGCCCAAAAAGAAAAGAAAACAACGTTGCCAAACTTCCTCACGGCCTGCCTACCTAAGATCCTTCGAGAGGAGACGGGCGGTCCTCAGGTATCCCTCCGGGCATTCACTTCAGGTGTCAAGGTATCTATTTTGCCACCGTCCTCCAGTACGATCAACGGAACACACACCACCGTCACTCACATCCCGTCGCTTCTCCAACTCTCCCAACCCTCCCATTCCTCCTGTTGGTGCCTTCCGCCGGACAATCGCCTGACCGCTCGCCCTTTTCCGCGTATCAGCCGCGCCTTTCCACGGCTGACAAACCTCGCTGGCTGCGCTGATTCGCTGCTCAGGTGCGTGGAAGGATCTGCTCAATCAGAGGCTCTAATCGCGCCCCCACCCTTGGAACTCCGACTCCAAAAAGGGACGCCCGGCGCCTGATCTTTACTCTTTTGGGTGGCGCCGGCACGTGGGTGCATGTGACCCCCATACTGGGAGCTCCCGAAATACGTACTACTTCATATCTCTATTCCTTGTTCCCTCCAGGGTGAACCTCGCGTCGGAGGGGCAATCGCGGCATCATGGAGCAGACCACGCCGCAGAATCTGATGAGCGGCTTGCCCCGGGCCCCTGTAAACCCTGGCTCGGCTCCGGATTATTGGAACAATCTCGATGCTGCCTTATACAACCCCAACTCGGATCAACATGCACATCCCGCACCGCAACGGCTCCAACAGCCCCCGCCACAGCCACCACAACAGCCGCAGCAGCAGCCCATGGGCATCAGCTGGGATCACCCGGTTTTCGGTCAACAACATCCGCAGCAAACAACACCACTGCCCCCTCAACAAGAGCCTGCTCACGGCATGTACCCTGCTACGTCGGCCCAGTCGTGGCGTGCCAACTCCTTACATCACCCGTCCATTCTGCCATCAGCAAGCCCTCATGGGTATGGAGTTCCCGGTCAATATCGCCAGCTGCATCAATTTCCCCAGGGGCAAGTTCCTTTCGACTCGCGACCCTTGACCCCCTCGGAAAATTCCGCATTCCAGTCATACCAATTTCCTCGTAACTACTTTCCTCCGCAGCACCTGGCTGTCCCAGAGACATTTTCCCAATCGCCGACACCGCAGGCTACGCAGACACCACCTCAATCAGTCCCATATCAACCGATTGCACCTTCTAATCCCATCAATGGGTATCCCCTGCCGACACCTTTTTCGGACGAGAATGCGGTATGATAATCCAATCTTTCTGCCTTCCCTTTTCTAAAAGAATCATCAATTAATACGTGATAGCATCCGTTGGATCTTACGCAGGAGTTTACCGAACCTATGTCGAACGTGTCGAGCCATCAAACCATCAACCCTCAGTTTCTTGATACGCCGCAAGCTTCCGCTAACCAACATCCGTCTTTCTCCAACTTTCTTTACGTAAATCCAAATGAGTTCCAGGGCTCTCAGGATCCAAAGTACGTCTCTTGGTACAATCCTTTGATTCTAACGTGTTTCTGACCGTTTATTACCAGGGTGTTCGATTTTTATCGGAATGATATTCAACTACAGGCAGTGCCGCCCGCTGTTAGCAACCAAGGTGTTCCTATACGCCCTCATGGCATGGAGGCTTTGCTACCAGCAAATGGTATGTTTGAATTTCTATATTCTTTTTTTCCTTTTTTTTCGCGAAATTTTCTCTGGCCTGATGTTAATGCGATTCAGGTCAAAAACCAATGGCAGTCCCCATGCCGATCAAGGCGGCCGATGCACGCAGACAAGTACCGATCACCAAACTACTACCAAAAAGCGCTACCGGCAAAGTGAATGGTAAGAATGTTGGTGGGAAAACGGCCTCTTCCGGCTCTGACAGTGAATCTGATGACTCGGATCTCGAGATTGAGCAACCCCCCGAAGCATCTCCCCTTCCCCCTTCCCGTCCTACTGAGCCTGAAGCAGCTGCGAACTATGATACTCTACGAGCTGTGTGGTTTCCCCGTAATAGGCGACCTCACGCCGAGAAAGTCAAAAGTGCTTTAGTTGCATTTAAAGACGTCGTCAAGAAAGTAAGAGATGCTTGGAAAGACAAGACACAAGCCATGAAGATGGCGGGAAACAAGGGCGACAACGACAAAGCAGCCAAGTTCAAGAAGGAGACTGCCTTCCAGAGGCGTTTAATGGACGTGGTGGTCAAAACCACCCTGGAAAAAGCCCACCCGATGATCATCGAGAAGTATGTATTTTTCTCTCTCTCTATCCCCGTTCTTCTACCCCCCTACCAACCTGGCATATCGTTGTCATGGCCATAGAAGTCAGAAACGAATTGAAAGCCTCTGCCATGTAATTTCCATTAAAGGAATGCTTATAAGTAAGGGTGGCTTTGTTTTGGTTTGCGCCCAAGGACGACACAAGTCCAGCTGTGTCTTAAAAAGAAGAAAGAAAAAAGAAAAAAAGAAAGACGAAAAGTGAACAAGACTCGTGCGAAAGCCTTGATCATCCACGGAGATGCTCGTATGACCACATAATCGAATTAATTAGTGGGTTTACTGAGTTTCCGGCTCATAATGACTGGCTGCCGAGTGTTCTTGAATTACCACAATCAGTGCTCCAGAACTGCCCTCAATGTCGTGTTTGTTCAAATATTAAACTCTGCGGTGGCTAACGCAAACTATTATAGGTTGGGAGAACATCCAATTGCGGTGTCTGCCATGTATTCATTTCTCTTGGATCGCCATCAGGCTTCTGATATCGATGGGGCGCTTACTGTGAATCTTCTTGAGGTAAGTTTCTCGCATAATGTATGCGCAAACCAAACCGCTAATAATAATTACACAGTTGCTTTCGCGTTTTACCACTATGGATGACGAAGCCCTTCAAAAAACAAATGTTGCCAAGCTCTTGCCGAGATTTGTCAAGAAGGGTGGTCCAAAGGTTAGAGGTCTGGCGCAAAGGATCTTGGACAATGCCGCCGCATCCACCAAACGCAAGCAGGAAAATGGGAAACCAGGGTCAAAGGAGGGATCTCCTAACAAAAATGGCACCTCTGCTGATACAGCGGCTGCAGACGGCCTGCGCCCTGAGGCCACTGGGGCAAAAAGGGTACGTGAAGGTGATAACAATGGTTTGCCTGCCACCAAGAAAATGGTTGTTACATCCAATATCAAGAATTCCTCCAAGCCCAGCAATCCCACAACTGCAAATGGCGCCGTCAAGAAGCCCCAAGATCCGGCTGCGGCAATTGCTTCCCGCCCGAAAGCCAACATTATTGCACCCAAACCGACCAATTTATTCGGAAGTTTGAGTTCCGCCTCGAAGAGACCCGGTACCTCGAATGCGGAGAGAGCCGCGGCGGCCGCGGCGGCGCCGAAGCCCACCCCTTCGGAAAAGAAAGACTCCCAGCCGGCGCCTCCAAGGCCAACTTTCTCTTTTGGTGACTTAATGGCAGACCTCAATAAACAAAAGGAACCTGCCCCTGCTCAACCCACCGAGGACAAGACGCCCGAGACTGAAGAGGAGCGTACGAAGAGGCTCCGAAAAGAGGCCAGGCGAAAGCTGCGGGTTAGCTGGAAACCGGATAACCAGCTTGTCCAAGTTCGCACCTTTACGCATGACCCTGAGGAGGAACTTCATCTTGGCGATCATGCACAGCGTGAGGTGGGTGATGTGAAGGGCGAAGGGAGTGTGCTCAAGCTGCATAGAGACATGGATGAGATGGACGAAGATGATGACAACGGTCTCCGAGAGGAATCTCTGTTCGAATATTATGCACCGTCCGGTACGTTACTTCTCATCCTTGACTTGATACTCATTATACTGATAATTCTAGCAATCGATGATGAAAACGCTGCATCTCAAGACCGTTCTGGCAACTTTATTAAGCGCGGCGGTGTCCAGCAGCCTGTCAGCCCTGAGAAAGAGGCCCAGGACCACAGGGAAGCCACCACCCTCATGGTGTTTTACACTTCTCCAGCGGAAGTCCCGTCGACACCAAAGGAGCCTCCCGCGCCGACCGATGAGGAAATCGTCACAGATGTGGTTGATTTTGGGGAGCTCCCAGACAAGGTCAAGGTATGTTTTTCGAGCTCTTTTTTCACCTCTTTCATCATTCTGACTTCGTTGTTTTCACAGGCCCGACAAGAGCGTTATTTCGCCATAGTCAACCCCAAACCTGCGCCTCCGGCCCAGCCGAGCGCACAGAACAACCAATTTGACATCTCAAACTTGTTGAAGATCATCCAGAATGCACCTCACACACAGCAGTCGACTCCGCCACCGCCGCCTCCTCAGCCAGCGCCGCAGGCACCCATGTCTGATCTGGAGCGAACCGTCAACATGTTCCGTCAACAACAACAGGCTTCTCAACCCGCCCAAGCGCCAATGTTGCAGATGCCTCAATTCACTCCGGTTTCTCAGCCACCCGCAACAGCTGGCATTGACTTCCAAAAGATCTTGGCTGCCATCAATACTCCGAACTCGATTCAACAGCCCCCTGTGATGCCTCAACCCCCACTGCAGCCTCAACCTCAGCAATCGCAGGCTAGCATTCCGCCAAATCTTGCCGCCATCATTTCTCAAATTGCCAACCCCAATCAGCAAACAGCTCCAAACTTTCCCCAGCAAGGTAGTTATGAGGACCCTGATCGCAAGCGTATGCGCGAAGGCAACGGGTATGATGGACAGGATGATGATCGGTATGGTCACTCCAAAAGAGGCAGACCAAGCGCCCCTGGCAAAAAACATGTACGTTTGCAGCAGACCCTGAGGTTTTTGATTGATCCCGATGCTAATCTCTTTTCACAGCCCAAAGCAGGATTGGTTCCTTGCCGATACTGGCCCGAAGGGAAATGCATCAAAGGAGATGACTGTACCTTCCGCCACGATCCGCTCAACTAACACATTTTATTCTCTTTCACCTTGACCCCATTCTGATACCCCATGTTACTTTTTCATTTTTTATTCTCATAGGCGAGACTATGAAATCATGTACAACCATAATTTTGCATGTGCGAAGCCTTCTTCTCGAAATTGTCCCTTGATCATGCGTTTGAATGGCAGACTTTCTGGCGTTTGTTGTGCTGACGAGATTTCCATCCACACGGCATTGTTCACCTAGCGTTGTGCCTGACTTCTAAGCATTGTTGCATGGTCGACACGAGGAGTTTCGTGATTTTTGCAAAGCTGTGACTTCCTTTTTTTTCTTTTTCTTTGATCTTTCTATTGTTCTCCCTTATTTTATTTTCTTTTTCTTTTATGATGCGATTATGCGCGGTTGGGTCGGTTCATCAGTCCGGCCCAGGGACACTGAATTTTTTACCAGGCAAGCCAAATATGTATACTACATTAGAGTGGCGCCCAGCGATGGGCAATTGTCTATTTTATCTTGATATGCATGAAATAGCAGCTTTTCTTTTCAGGGTGCTTTCTATGAAATTATATTTAGTAGTATTGGAGCCGTCACATCACGTAGGGAATCCTTTCTTGCCAGTAGAACTATTGCATGATCAAACCGACTTATGCTCTCTCCTTTCAGTTATGCCAGTGCAATTAAACCATAGTTAACTAAATTTCGATATCGTACATTGTAAAGGTCGCACGGGATGGTGCAACAGAATATATCATTGGCGGGGATCGAATTGTGGGCCCCCTTTCCATGCCCAAACATTTGTCGTCCGTGGCTGCATCTACTTTTCAACTCTCATGATAGTTCTTTTTCAACATTTTTCTACTTTGGAATACATTGAAATTATCATATCTAGTATAAGACCCGGCGCTAGAATCCATCCTCTCCCTTCAAAATAATGTCCCCCTCCACCTTCGACCTCCAAAAATGCACCCACCTGATCATCGTCTGCTGCCATGCAATCTACATCGGGGGACCAACCAAGGGCATTTCAGAGGATGAATGGTAAGATAAATAAATGTAAATCTTCCCCTCATCATATTAGGCACCTACATACAAAACAACACGAAAATCAATCCCCTAGTGTATTCATAATCCATGATTGGGCTATCCAGAGCTAACAAATTCGGGAACAGGTTAATTGAGCCCTTCCAGAAGGGCGAAACGCCTACCTTCACGGCCCATGTTAAGGCAGGCATTCAGGCTGCAGCAGAAGATCTGCGCAGTGTGCTTGTGTTTTCCGGGTGAGTGGATATATACCTACTTTCGTTTATCCAATCTGTCCCGAGCATATGTTTTTAGATGAAGGGGCGTAGCTAACGAAAATATATAGGGGTGCAACTAAGAGGTCATTGACGAGTCTAGCCGAGGGGGAATCATACTTGGTAATTGAACTCCCTTCTCCTTATTACACGCATAACGAAGCGTTAAACGAGGGAAAGATAATAATAATAGTACTCAAAAAATACTACCTACTTGCTGACACAACGCCAGAACCTCGCAAAAGACAACGCCCTCTTCACATTTTCCGACAAACTCCACGCCTCCCAAATAACCACCGAAACCAACGCCACAGACTCATACCAAAACGTGCTTTTCTCGCTTCTAAAGTTCAAAACACACACGGGCAGATATCCCACGCGCGTAACCGTGGTGACGCATGAATTCAAACGGAAGAGATTCATGGAGTGCCATTTTCCTGCTGTGGGGCTGGGCCCGGTCTCGAGTCCCGCTGGTGCAGGGGACCAGGGAGGTGACAGGACATCTAGATGTAAATGCAAAGGGGACGTGATTGGAATTAACCCGCCGGAGGAAGTAACGTCTTCGGCGTCGTTGATTGCAGGCGAAGAGAAAAGAGGGATTGGGCTATGGAGGGAAGATAGGTATGGAGTTCAGGCGGAACTAGCAGGGAAGAGAGCACAAAGGGGATGGACAGCGGGGATGGAAAGGGATGTGTTTGGAGACATGGGACTTGAGGCTGTGGTGGAAGAGTTGGTTTGTTGGGATGGCGGAGAGGATGGGAATAAATGGTTTTCGAAGATGGAGCGTTTACCGTGGTACAGCGCGGACGAGTAGGAAGGAAAAGGAATGCATACTCATTAGTCGTTATGATAAATAACCGGGCACGGGTGCCTTTGAGGCCATGGCCATAGAAACTTGAAATTCATTGTACAGAAACCCAGAAATGAAAGAAAATGGAAGAACCCTCCGTCTTGTCCTTAACGCCTCCGTATGAAACACCCCTAGTCCATTGTAGGAGGCCGAACTCAGTCAGCAAGACGGTAGCTGACGAGGGTCTCCACCCTGTGGTTATTCGTGCTGAAGCTTCGGAGTTGCACCTTCTCGGCGTTTTTGATCTCCTTGGCGTCGCTGTCACCCCATTCGACGGGCACTTCCGAGTCTGCGTCCGCATACACGAGCACGTTGAATGTGCAATCTCCATCGAGAACGGGAAGGAAGGTCACGGAGGCGGTGATCTGTCGGAAAATGGCCTGGATTTCGTCCTGAATCTCTTTCTCGGTTTTCTCGACGGTTTCGGTAGCAGGGGCGGGCGCGTCTCTGCGGCAAGGAACAGTTAGTTTGCGTCAAATGGATTGCAAAGATGATGGTGATTACCCTGTGGCAGCATTTTCCTTATCACCAGCCTTACGGGCAGCCGAGGACTTGCTGCTTTTGGTATGTATTTGAACCTAGATCCTGATCAGTTTCCGCGAGCAGCTTCGGGGGTCGGGTTGCGTACGTCGAACTGCCATCTTTCCACATGCTCACCCGTCTCCTTGTCAGTGATGACCACGACAAGCTTTGAAATTTTGCCTCCCATCATCCACTTGTTCAACTGCGACATGATCTTTTTGATGTAGGCTTTGACCTGGTCGTCGGAGGTGACTGCGGATCGGTAAGTAGGAGGGATGTAGAAGGAATCGAAGGTGACCAACCAAGCATGTTGAGGCCATATTTCTTGACGCTGTGTAGTCGTTAGTCGTGATATTCTTGCGGAGGAGATTAGATTAGATAGAACGTACGTTGTAAAGTCTTCTGGGGGGTAGACTCCTCGTTGGAACCTAAGACAGGACGTATGAGTATTTTTCAACGTTGCCTGACATGCAAATGTGCTTACAGGATTGAGTTGATGGAGTACTCAAACTGTAACAATTAGCATCGCCTATAGAGTCATGCGTTGAAGGATCACTCACGAATTCAGACACAAGTTTCGACGACCCTGCGGGGGGGTTAGTTCCGCACTGACAATTGCCGACCTCGTTATGCCTTACCTTTGAGGGACAGCTTGTGGACCTTAGACTTGTCTTTTGTCGCTGACATGGTGGAAGAGCCTGAATAATTCCGAGATCGTTGGCGTTGAGAGTGTCGTTCTTCTGCACGAAGATTGTGTGGTGAAAAGAGTGAGCTTTGTTTACAGCGATAGTCGCCGCAGCAATCGACCGCCCGCCAATCCGTTTCCTCCGCAGAGCCGCACTTTTTTTTTGCCCGCCAAATCGGACTCCATCTGCTTGTCAGCGACACACGCGAGAGTACCACCTTGACTACACCCTCGTCCTTCTCATGCCACTGCAGCACTCCAGATGCGAGGATGCCTGCAGTTAGCCAGATGGCTGAGCGCGGTGCCCAAACGCCCGGCTGCAAGCCCTCTCACCGCGCCATCCGCCCGATTTAATTGCCTTCGCTCCTTTACCAGCTCTGCGGTCTACCAGTCGGCGCGATCAAGAGCTGCCGCTGCCAAACCCGTTTCCGACCTCGAACAGAGAATCGCTGCAATCCCGATCGACCGATACCGCAACTTTTGTATCGTTGCCCACGTCGACCATGGAAAGAGCACGCTGTCCGACCGAATGCTGGAACTCACGGGGACCATTCAACCTGGGACGAACAAGCAAGTGTTGGATAAGCTGGACGTTGAGCGAGAACGTGGAATTACCGTGAAGGCGCAGACATGCACCATGATCTACAACCACAATGGAGAGGACTACCTGTTGCACCTTGTCGATACACCGGGACACGTCGACTTCCGCGCGGAGGTTTCGCGGAGTTACGCAAGTTGTGGTGGGGCCTTGCTCCTGGTTGATGCAAGTCAGGGTATCCAGGCGCAGACCGTTGCGAACTTCTATCTTGCTTTTGCGCAGGGATTGGAGTTGATTCCCGTTATTAACAAGGTGGACTTGCCGTCTGCGGAACCGGAACGGGCGCTCGACCAAATGAGACAGTCCTTCGAAATTGACACGGATAAAGCCATTGGGGTTTCGGCCAAGACTGGTCTGAATGTTGAAAAGCTGCTTCCGACAGTGGTGGAGAAGATTCCAGCGTATGTTCTGATCCACTTGGGTTCACTACGTTACGCCGATGCTAACAAGACCTAGGCCGGTTGGTGACTTCAAGAAACCCCTACGAATGCTTCTGGTCGATTCCTGGTACGATTCCTACAAGGGTGTCATTTGTCTGGTCCGTGTGTTCGATGGCGAGATTCGAGCTGGAGATCAGCTGGTCTCTTTTGCAACTGGGATCAAATACTTTGTGGGCGAGGTGGGAATCATGTATCCGATCGAGACTGCGCAGACTGTTCTTCGTGCCGGCCAAGTGGGGTACATTTTCTTCAACCCCGGTATGAAACGCAGCAAAGAAGCCAAGATTGGAGACACGTACACCAAGGTCGGGTCCGAGAAGGCCGTGGAGCCGCTTCCTGGTTTCGAGGAACCGAAGGCGATGGTTTTCGTTGCCGCATACCCTATTGATGCGGATCATTTTGAGCATCTGGAGGACAGTATCAACCAGCTCATGCTCAATGACAGAAGTATCACGGTGGAAAAGGAGTCTTCCGAAGCCCTCGGAGCGGGTTTCCGACTGGGCTTCTTAGGAACCTTGCATTGCTCGGTGTTCGAGGATCGCCTTCGTCAGGAGCATGGTGCTAGCATCATCATCACCCCTCCATCTGTGCCCATGAGAGTGATCTGGAAGGACGGCAAGGAAGAGACCATCACCAGCCCGAATCGTTTCCCTGATGGGGAAGATGTGCGCCCCAAAATCGCTGAGATCCAAGAGCCATACGTCCTAGCAACTTTGACCTTCCCGGACGAATATCTTGGGAAGGTGATTGAGCTGTGCGAGGCCAACCGAGGCGTGCAGAAGAGTATCGAATACTTTACGGCCACCCAGGTCATTCTCAAGTACGACATTCCTTTGGCACAGCTGGTTGATGACTTCTTTGGAAAGTTGAAGGGTTCTACCAAGGGCTACGCCTCGCTCGACTACGAGGAGTCTGCTTGGCAACCCAGCAACATTGTCAAGCTCCAGCTTTTGGTCAACAAGGCCCCGGTCGATGCGGTTGCACGGATTGTTCACAGCAGTCAAGTGGAGCGGCTTGGAAGGCAATGGGTGACCAAGTTCAAGCAGCACGTTGACCGACAGCTGTTCGAGGTCATCATCCAAGCAGCCGTTGGGCGCAAGGTTGTGGCGCGTGAGACCGTCAAGCCGTACCGCAAAGACGTTCTTGCCAAGCTCCACGCGAGTGATGTTAGTCGACGAAGAAAACTGTTGGAAAAACAGAAAGAGGGCCGAAAGAGGCTGCGGGCTGTTGGAAATGTGGTGATTGAACATAAAGCATTCCAAGCTTTTCTGGCGAAATAGAGGCTGGAAAAGTTGTATACAGTATGTATTATATATCAGCGGGTATTTCTTGTGAAAATGTATTACTATTCTTAGGTTTACACAATTTTGGGACTGGAATGAATTATAGATACCAATGGCCTTAACACCTGAGGCTATCCATTGCCGTATGCGGAGCGAATGCATGGTTTGTCTCCGTCGCTGCATCTGATTGGATGGGGCGGCAGAGGGGCGGGAGCTGTTGACTCGCTGCCTCTGATTTGCCCGCAAAAAAGTTCGTCGCCGACCCCGCCGCCGTTGATGGTCTTGCAGTTTCTCCCTCTCTTCTTCCACAATCCCCGGTCGCTGTCCCTCTGCAGTATCGAAGCCTCTCTGTTTCCTGATCGCGAGTATCCGAACCGCGACAAGAGACTCATTCTGTTTATCTAGCCCGTTTGACCCTGCCATGTTCAAGCTTTGACGGCGGCGATGCAACCTCCGGAAGGTGTGCAGGTCGACCTGGGCAAGGCCCAGGTCATCGACCGTGTTCCGAAAGTGATTAAAGAACTCAAATTCGGTGTGCTGTAAGCGCTGGCCTCTATATCTCCGGAAAACATTTGTGATTGTGCGTGTTTGTGTGCTGGGATGGCCGGCTAACCGCGGGTGTGTCATACCCAGATCCAACGATGACATTGTCAGCCAAGGTGTGGTAGAAGTCTCCGACCGGAAGTTTTTCGACCTCGACCATGACCGATCGGTGATTCCTCATGGACCCCTCGACTCGCGCATGGGTATTTCCAGCAAGAGTGCAACATGTCAGACTTGCGGCGGTGCCCTCCAGGTCTGCAACGGACATTTCGGCCATGTCAGGCTCGTCTTGCCGGCCTTCCATGTCGGATACTTCAAGCGAGTGATTACGATTCTACAAGAGATTTGCAAAGAATGTTCGCACATTTTGCTGCCCGAAAGCGAGCGCCGTACCTTCCTCCGAGAAATGCGTCGGCCGAACCTTGATAATTTGCGACGATTGCAGATCGCGAAACGGGTGAACGAGCGCTGCCGCAAGACCCGAAACTGCGACTCCTGCGGCGCTGTCAACGGTGTCGTCAAAAAGGCGGGAAACAGCGCGCTGAAAATTTCGCACGACAAATTCCGAGCCTTCAATGCCTCCGCGTCGGTAAAGAAAATTCCACCTCCCAGCAAGATTGTGTTCGATCGGTCGTTCGAGGAAGCTAGGGGTCATAATGCCGAGGTTGAGAAGCACTACAAGAAGGCCCAGGACGATTTGAATGCGCTCCGTGTCTTGAACCTATTCAAGAAAATCTCGGACTCGGACTGTGAACTCCTGGGATTGAACCCGAAAGAAGCAAGGCCGGAAATGTTCCTTTGGCAGTTCATTCCCGCGCCTCCGGTGTGCATTCGCCCTTCCGTCGGTCAAGACGCCGCCTCCACGGAAGATGATTTGACTGCGAAGTTGGGTGATATCATTCAGAGCAACATCAACCTGAAGAACTCCTTGCTGAAGGGTGCACCGGTGCAGACTATAATGGAATGCTGGGACTACATGCAATTGCAGATCGCTGTTTACATTAACAGCGATGTTCCTGGTCTTAACAAGGCGGACTTGGGCAAGCCTATTCGAGGTTTTGTACAGCGACTCAAGGGAAAACAGGGACGATTCCGTGGTAACCTGTCTGGAAAGCGTGTCGACTTTTCGGGTCGTACTGTCATTTCGCCCGATCCCAACCTCCGAGTGGATGAAGTCGCCGTTCCCATCCTAGTGGCAAAGAACATGACCTATCCTGAGGTTGTCACTCGATACAACAAGGAGAAGCTGCAAAAGGTGGTACGAAACGGTACAAAGAAATGGCCTGGAGCAAACTATATCACGAAGAAGGGATCGACCTTCAAGCTCTTCCTGAAGTATGGTAATCTCAACATGATCGCCGATCAACTGCAGGAAGGAGACGTTATCGAACGTCATCTTGAGGATGGTGATATTGTCCTCTTCAATCGACAACCCTCTCTCCACAAACTGAGTATTCTCTCTCATTTTGCCAAAATCCGCCCGCATCGAACCTTCCGACTCAACGAGTGTGCCTGTAACCCGTACAACGCCGATTTCGATGGTGACGAAATGAATTTGCACGTTCCTCAGACGGAAGAAGCTAGAGCTGAGGCAATGGAACTGATGGGTGTGAAGAACAACCTGGCAACTCCGAAGAACGGAGAACCGATTATTTCTGCCATTCAGGATTTCATCAGTGCGGCCTTCCTCATGAGTAACAAGGACAACTTTTTCGATCGACGCTCCTTCACGCAGCTGTGTCTTTACATGCTTGGACCCGAAACTCGCTTTGATCTTCCTCCTCCTTCTGTGCTGAAACCCCAGATGCTCTGGACTGGAAAGCAAGTTTTCAACATCCTTATGCACCCCAATAAGGATGACCCCGTCTTGGTCAACCTGGACGCAGCATGCAAGCAGTTCAAGGTGCCCAAGGATGGCAGTCCTCGGGACTTGGACGAAAAAGACAGCTGGCTCGTTGTCCGTAACTCGGAAGTTATGTGCGGTGTGATGGATAAATCGACAGTTGGATCCGGAAAGAAGGACAACATCTTTTACGTCATGTTACGTGATTTCGGCCCTGCCGCAGCCGCCGAGGGTATGAACCGACTGTCGCGACTATCTGCACGCTGGTTCTCCAACATGGGTTTCTCGATTGGTATCACGGATGTTTACCCTAGCGAACAGCTTGTGCAGTCGAAGCAGGATCTGGTCGAAACTGCGTACGCGCAGTGTGATGAAGTCATTGCCAAGTACAAGGCAGGCACTTTGGAGAAGTATCCAGGTTGCGACGAATTGCAAACCATGGAGAACCAGCTTTCTGGTATTCTCAGTAAGGTTCGTCAGCAGGCAGGAGACGAATGTATTGCTCAACTGAGCAAGTACAATTCTCCCTTGATCATGGCTACGTCTGGATCCAAGGGTTCCAGTATCAACGTGTCACAGATGGTTGCTCTGGTCGGTCAGCAGATTATTGGTGGTCAGCGTGTGCAAGACGGTTTCCAGGACCGGACTCTGCCCCATTTCCCGAAGAATGCTCGCCAGCCCCCATCGAAGGGATTCGTCCGAAACAGTTTCTTCTCCGGACTCGAACCGACGGAATTCATTTTCCACGCCATGTCCGGTCGTGAAGGTCTGGTCGATACTGCTGTCAAGACTGCCGAAACCGGTTACATGTCGCGTCGTTTGATGAAGTCGTTGGAAGATCTTTCTACCATGTACGATGATACTGTCCGGAATTCGTCCGCGGCTATCGTCCAGTTCCAGTACGGAGATGATAAACTTGATCCTGTGGATATGGAAGGTAAAGCCAAGCCCGTCCACTTCGATCGGACTTTCACCCACTCTGAGTCTACGACATACGACAATGATGAGCGCAGTCTCCAGCCTGCCGAAATCATGGAAGTTTGCGAAGAAATGCTGTCCAAGGAGCGCGCCAAATTGGTCCGAAAAGACCTTATGGGTACTGAGCTTGGCTACATGGATCGGTCAGACCATGGAATCGACCAGTTTGAGAGTGCCCGTGACTTCCTTGACTCCATCCAGCATTATGTATCCACAAAGGTAGACAAGCTTGTCTCGCGCGGTGGAGACTTTGACCCTAATGATGTAAGGAGTCAAAAGGGACTGAACCATACTGGAAAATTGACCGAAACGACTCTCCGGGCTTTCATCTTGGCTTGTTTGACGAAGTATAAGAAGGCCCAAGTTGAGTCTGGCCATGCCGTTGGTGCAGTTGGTGCTCAGTCCATCGGTGAACCCGGAACTCAGATGACCCTGAAGACTTTCCATTTTGCTGGTGTCGCTGGTATGAGTATCACTCAGGGTGTTCCCCGTATTAAAGAAATTATCAACGCCTCCAAGGAGATCAGTACGCCTGTCGTTGCTTGCGAACTTGTCACCAACGACAATATCATCGCTGCACGAATTGTCAAGGGCCGTATCGAGAAGACCTATCTTCGGGATATCATTCATTATGTCCGAGAGACATGGACCGGAAAGGAGGCATACATTACCGTCAAAATCAACTGGAAGACCATTCAGGACTTGGCGCTGGAGCTTAACATCAGAACCATTTTTGGCGCCATCAAGAACCACAGGCGTTTCAAGGCTGATGACCTCAAATTCCGATGCTCGCGGTCGCATATCCACATCCACATGGACCTAGATCCCGCCAGCAAAGCGGGTCTCTCCAAGACGGAAATCGCTTCCACCAGCGCCGATCCCTTCCTTCGTCTCAAGCATCTCAAGCGCATGCTCCCTGAGATCCAGGTTCTCGGTCACCCGCAGGCTTTCCGTGCAATCATCCGAACCGATGAAACCTCCACCAAGAACACCCTCCTTGTGGAAGGTTACGGTCTCAGAGAATGCATGACCACCCTCGGTGTCGACGGCCTCCGCACCTCCACCAACAACGTCATGGAAGCCCGCGACGTGCTCGGTATCGAAGCCGCCCGATCCACCATCGTCCAAGAAATCAGCGAGGTCATGAAAGACATGGACATCGATCCTCGTCACATGCAGCTCCTCGCCGACGTCATGACCTACAAGGGTGAAGTCCTGGGTATCACCCGATTCGGTCTTGCCAAGATGCGTGACTCCGTCCTCCAGCTCGCCTCGTTCGAGAAAACCGCCGACCACCTCTTCGACGCCGGCGGTGCCGGCCGCACCGATCTCATCGAGGGTGTCTCCGAATGTATCATTATGGGCAAGACCATGTCCATCGGTACCGGAGCCATGGAAGTCGTCCGCAAGATGAACTTCTTCGAGGGTCAAATCGGCGCCAAGAAGACGACCTTCGAAGATGCCTGGGCCAGCACCGAGGCTCCCCTCGAGGCAACCAGGAAGAGAAAGGCTCGTGCTTGAACATAACTCACCATACCGTACCATATATCTTGGGAAACATGGATACATCCATCTTGGTGGCTATTTGATATTATATCTTCCCGCAGTGAAAAGTGACAAAAGTTCGCATAATCAGGCGTTGGAAACTGTTTGGGTCCGTTGACAAGTTTTTTTGTCTTCTTTTTTTCTTTGTACTACTTTTTGTCCCCATGAACTGCTTTTTGCGCGCATTAGCGATACTGAAGGTAGTGTGGATTGATATGGATAGAAAAACATATCATCCTTGTACTATTGATTATGTGTTAGTTTTAACAATGAATTCGACGATGATAGATGGTCATTATTAAAATTTTCCGGTTCCTTTTGCTAGTTATGCTATGTTTACTTGCTTTCTAAGAGCATATTATGTGTTTTAAGCTTGAGGTTTTTGCTTTTTGTTTGTGAAAATATCGAACAATATGCTGAAGTCTGGATCAACCTCATTGGCTACCAATTTCAGTTGAATTGCACATTATGATCACGCAATAATCAAAGCTACTCAAGTACCTATATATCATTGAAAACATCGAGATCGCAAACCGGACTGTAATCCCATACTCAATCTGCCAAATCATCAACTCCATATCTTCAAGCATTCTCGTCACCAATAGGAGGCTTCTCCTCGTCTTTCTTTTCACGCCGGAATCTGGACTCCACATTGTCCCATTTCGTCTGCACCCTTTTCAGTTCAATCTTGGGATCTTTCAAAGTCTCAGGCAACTGTTGATAGACCTTTCCTATGGCCTTTTTCCATAATTGTTTTACATTGTCCAGATAAAAGGCAAGGTACGCGAGAGGGAAGGTGATGGCAAGGGAGATGCAGACTATTTTCCAGTTACGCCTGTTAGAAAGAAAGTTTGTCTTTGGGATCAAAAGGGACAGGGGTCTTTACATAGCATTGGAAATATCCAGCTAGGTTTATAAGCTAGCTCTCCTTTACTATCATGCTGGAAGGATGTGACGTTCAATGCGAATAGTGACGATAGGAATGACATCGGAGTCTAGAGTGGAGTTGAGCTAGAGAATGTCGACAGTACTGATACAGGAAAGAAAGTTGGGGGAATTCTTACAAACACAATTGTGATGACCGTGAAGACCATCAGAGTTCTCCCTTGTTGAACAGACTCAAAGGCTTCTCTGAGACTGGTTCCGTTCTGCTCGAGGTTCAAGATCTCGTTTACCTAAATTGTAAGATATTAGTTTCAGAGTGAGTGAGCATATGTGACATAACACTGCTGACTGACCGAGCTCTTGATATTGTCTATTATCTCAATCATTTCGTTGATCTCAGTAAGCATGTAATGCGGCCTTCTTTCAGATTTCGGATTGTTAGGGGATTTGTGAACATCAGTCCAGATATTATCCTGCTGTGTCAGTATTGCTTTCAGTATGGTGAGCTCATCGCGGATGTCTTTGACCTCGTCCAGGAGGTCGGCAGCTTTGCTGATAGGCTCCCAGTCATCGTCGGTTTCAGTGTCATCCGACTTGATTACTTCCTCTGACTGCTTCTGCCTTTCATGATGTCCATCTTTTGGTTTGGACCCAGTCTTGCTCTCATCTTTCTTGCTCTCATCTTGCCTGATCTCATCTTGCCTGATCTCGTCTTTCTTGATCTTGCCTGTTTTGGTCTTGTCTCTCTTGGCCTCAAATGTCTTTCGCCCCCTATGCATCTTTTTCTTGAACGATACAAACAGGTCCTTTTCTTCGACAGCCTATTTCCATTAGCGATACGACCATATCAAGTCTCGTCCAGAACAAACCTTGTTGTTGACAGTTTCAGAAAATATCTCGCGCATAGACTTGCTAGATCTCTCACTACTTTGAGGGCTGGCGAGATCATCAGGAAGAGAGTCCTTCCAACTGACAGTGTCAATGAAATTGATGCAAAAGTTAACAATGAACTTGCTCATCTCATCCACAGAAGATGGCAACGGCCGACCCATCTGGTTGGATTTTGTCGCCCTGAGATGATCAAAAATGCGTTCGACCATAAGATCTTCACACCCATCTGGTCTGCGAGTAGAAGAGGTAATAATAGTCTCTGTGTTGTGGCCATGGTTAATAATATATTATAAAATATATGATTAGGTGCTAGAAACTTATCATTATCAATAACCCAGAGCCAAAGTTGGTCAACACCGAGGATTGGCCACCAGTCCCTGCTACTATGAACCCCTTCACCGTTCTTGCTGTCGATCAAATAGCGGGTTACGGCCTGGTTTTCGTCGCGTCTTTGAATATCATCTGCAGCCAAAGAGTGGTAGTAGAACTGGTCCAGGGATCTCGTTCTATGGTCAGGTTCAACCTTCGCTTGTTTTTCAGAATCGTCCTTGGTCGATTCCTTCCTGTGCCAGTCGTCATAATTAGTCCGATAGAAACATCTGGTGTATTCATTAAGCTCACTTCCTGGCACCCCGCTTGCCCTTTGTGAACACCAAGTAAGGCATCTTAAAAGTTAGCAGGTTTCCATGTCTGTCGTGTTCCATTCAGTCCTACATATAGTGCAATCCTTCCATATGTGACTGGTTCTGCATTATTTGATTTTCCGTCGCCGTCACGAGGATCGAGCGGCTTTTCGGTAGTCTTTTGTTGAGTAGAACTAGAACCTTTCTTGGCCTTTGGGGGTCTCTCTTTCTTATGTTCATTAGCTTTGTGCGCTTCGTATTCTGGTGGAACATTACCAAGCAAGCAGGTTTCATGAACTTAGGACCATAGGAACCAGTTGGCATTTCTGCCCAGCTGCGCCGCATAAAGTCTCGCATTGATAGATACTCTTTCTCCCCCTTGTTGTTGTCCTGGTATACTCGCAAAGCGAGATCCTAATTAAGTAGGTTGGTGAGACGGAAGATTCAAAGTGCTGGTACGGTCGTAAACAATACCTCCATCAATCTCAACTGGTAAAGTTAGTCCCATGTCGGGTCTTGATCAAAGATGGTTATCTCACATTATTCAGTGGCAGATGTATCCATCTCATGCGCAGACCCTCGCGTGAATATGGCTTTTCCTTCGCGGCCTCTTCGCTGATCTTTCCCAGAGTCTCCCTTGCTTGTTGCATGATCTGCTCCACGCCCCCGTCCTTTCCCTCGTTTGCTTCTTTGTAGACAACATCCCGGATTTTGCGTGAACGGCGAAGGAGATCCACCCGTCCATTTGAACTATAGAAATCAACAATCGTGGCATCATACTTCTCAATGTGTACTGTTGTGGATTGATCCGGTGTCAGTTTTCTATTCCATTCATGTGAATCCGATGCTTCTATCACGGGTGGGGGGTCCCTCAGCATGTCCAAAGTTTGAAAATATCGGTCGTCGGTTCCTGAATCAGGCTTGTCGATCTGAGCTCTAAGACCGTCATTTTCTGTCCTACCTCCATCTCTATCCTTGCCCTGTTTCTGGGCTTTCGGCTTCACTGATTTCATTTGCTCCGCTAATTCTTTTGCTTCCATTCGGTCTCTAGTTGCCTTGGTGCTCGGAGGAGTGGTCCTCAGAAGCCACCAGACAACAACATATCTTCCATGAAAAGCAGCTAGCTTTAGCGGGGTATCCGGATTAATGTTGAGTCTGGGGGGCGGGCCGTCGAGTTTGGGGTGCGGATCATCTTGAAGTTTATCGAGAACGATGTGGTGCTTTTTGTGTCTTGCAGCTGCCCAAATAAGGATGCTTTCTTTTGCCTCCGAGGCACTCATGCACATGGCCTTTGCAAGTTCTTCTAGGCAATTTTCACATTCAGCTTGTCTGAATATGGCTTGTTTCTCGGTTGGGTTTGTCTTTTTTGCCAATACCTGAACAGCCTTTTCGGCAGCCTTCAACTTGCTCTCTGCTGTTTCCGAATATCGGTAAGTGTAGAAATTCGCATAGAACTGAACTGCCATCGTCAATGCGTCTTGGCCAGTATCGCTCGTCTTCAAAGTATGATCTGCACCCTTATCCAATAGCAATTGTACCACATCGCCAAAGCCCTTGTAACATGCTTGATGGAGTGGAGTCCAATTATCACAGTCTGGTATATATGTCGACGGATCCTTCTCAAGCAATAGATCGACCATTTCCTTACATCCCCAGCTCGCTGCATAATGAAGAGGCGTGTGGTCAAGTGTTGCCTTTGCCCAGATATCTGCACTATGGTTCAGAAGCATCTTTGCGATTTGTCCCACCTCCTCTTTGTTATCATTCCGAGCGGCTAAATGCAACGCTGACTCTTTTGCGCTGTTGATATTTTTGACATCCCCATTTCGGTTGAGAAGCCTTTGGACAATATCTGCAGTCGAGTATTGGCAGGCCATCAGTAATGGAGTGTACCCATCGTCATCCTGGGTTTGAACGTTTGGATTCTGAGCAAGCAAAGTAGTGATAATTTCCTCATTGTTATACTTTAAAGCTCCAAGAAGCGGCGTCCGTTGATTTGATGTCTGCGCATTGGGGTCGGCACCATGGGCAAGTAGAAGCTCCACAATATGGGTGTGTCCTTCAATGGCAGCGCCATATAACGGGACCCACCCATCATTATCTCTGGCCTCAAGGTTGGCCCCTTCTTTTACCAGCAATTCCGCAATGTTATAATGGCCAGTCCTCGCCGCCAAGTGAAGTGCTGTCTCGCGGTGGAGAAATGACTTCACATTATTCATGTTTACTCCATCGGCAATCGCAGCTTCTGCCGCGGCAATATCGCCTTCTACAGCAGACTCAAGCAACTTTTGTTCCATTAAACGTTTCTTTTCCAGTTCCGCGTCCCTTTGGCTTTCAGAAGGAGCCATCCCAGAATCGTTGGCGGAAGTGTCTTTGATTCTTGAAGACGGTTCAGCGGAGTTGATCACATGGTCAATAGCTTGAGGTATTTCTGTTCTTTCTTCATCGCTTGTGGAAGAATCTTTGTTGTTTGAAGCCATCTCAGTGAGGTTTATGACATGGCCAATGGTTTGAGGCGCCTGTGTCCTTTCTTCATCGTTGGTTGTATTTGGATCGCTCATGCTGATAGCAACTCCCTCAACAACTAAGAAATGTAGTAAGAAACTGAATGAAAAAAGGATGTTTTGGTCTTCAATGATCAACTCGCGGGGAGTCGCTCATGAAAAAGGAGAGAGGAAAGACGTCAACTACATCTGTTCAAAGCAGCATGCCGCGCGACACGCTGAAATGGTCTCAGCTTATACGCATTCATGACTTGCAATGCCTATGTCCAGGGGGTCAGCTCCTACGCCGATATCCATGGCTGCAGATGAGCTGAAAAAATGGGATATCCAATTGGCTCATAGTGCATGGTTCTGTTCTTGAGCACGGGGACTAGGTCCCTGGAATTGTTCGCATCCTGTTATGCATCACAAATCATAGTCCGTCCCCTCATTCGCGAGCTTCGAGTCATTGGTTGACGTGGTCGAGACAAAGGAGGAAAGCAGCGGGGAAAAGAGGAAAAAGTACGTTGTGAAGGAGATGAAGAAGACGGAGAGATCGAGCACTAAACAGGGAGGTGCGTGCCCAAGGCGGGCGGGGCCGAATCTACTCTCAAATTCGACGACCTGTTCCTATCGCTTCTTTTTCCCATCCTCCTTCTCTCATTGTCCTCTTCATTCCTTACTTCTCTCTCCTGCATCGTATTCCATTTTTGGCTTAATTAGGTTTGTTCATTTCGATATAGCCATACCACCCTGGGGCCGTTGTGCTTCTCCTGATGACGAAAGGCGAGTAAATAGCTTCAAATCGCGGCCCACAATAATTTTGACGATGGAATTAGTTGTCGAAACCAAAAATAACATTGTCCTCTATGATGAAGGAGGGGTTAAGATCATTACGCATTCTCCACGCCAATCCTACTGCCAACAATATATCCACCAAGAAGGTGAAGCCGCTCCACAGCGTGGCTTTGAAGGATGAACCACAGCCCCAATGGCAGATCTGCCCTAAAATCTCACCAGTCCGCGGGGCCAAGGCTGAATCACAGCCTGATACCCAATGATTCACCACTCGCTATGAACATCTGCATATAACTGCATAGTTGGCTTTATCTACACAAACAAATCTATACAACCATCATCAACCAACCAGCAGCCCCCGCAATGACGCTCTGCCAGACCTGCGACTCGCTCCCCATGGGAGACTGCGACGAATCCAATCTTGGAGAGTACAACGAGCTTGTCTCAAGAGCAGAGGCTGGCTGCGAGGGTTGTCGATTTTTCACCACCATTCTCCAATCTAGTGATGGCTGGAAATCCCGCTTGGACAAATTACCCGGGAGGGTGATCGTCTTAGACCTCCTTCGCTTGCAGGCTAAGGACCCGACCGGGCTCAGTAGATCTACTTTCACCCTGGATGATTTGAATTTCGATATTTGTGTCCCGGAGGGGGAAGAACGTATGTTATCATGCCGACATACTCTACGTTAATTTGGTTTTATTAACGGATCATTAGATGAGGAACTTGACTCGGTTCGTGTGGTGCCTGTAAATCCATTGGATGAACGGTGCCTCCGTCAGATCCGATCCTGGGTTTCAGAATGCGCCGGACATACAAATTGCACTAAGCCAGAGCCCGTGTCCCTGCCCCGGGCGATCATTGAAATTCCCAGCGACGCGAAAGAACCGCCCAAAGTCTGTCTCTCCGAGGGGAAGACAGGCTCCTACGTTGTCTTGAGCTATTGCTCCGACAATACTCCTCCTCTGCCAGTTTCAGAGACCACCAACTTCCCCATTTCGCTAGATGTGCAGTCGCTTCCTAAAACCGTGACGGACGCTATAGAAGTCACGAGACGACTAGGATACCAGTATCTATGGGTCGACGCGCTCTGCATGACCGGCCATAACTGGGATAAAGAGCTATCGGCATTCATCTCCATTTACAACCAAGCCGAGTTGATGCTTTCGGCCACAAATGGAGAAGACGCAAACTCAGGAATGCTTCACGACAGACATGTTCTATATTCCCCGGGCCTGGGGCCCGATAAAAACAGATATTTGCGGCAAGAGCTGCTGCGCTGGGAATCAGACTTGGAAAAGTCCCCGCTGGAGAAGCGCGGATGGCCTTTTATAGAGCGCGCTCTGGCACCGCGTATTATCCATTTTGCCAAACACCAAATGTTGTGGGAGTGTGCGTCCGGAATCCAATACGAAGGATCCAAGCATAAAAACAGCATTATTGGATCTGGCCAAATCCGAGAGAGGTATAGAAAACAGATCGTGCAGCCGTACATCGACAAGACACTCAGTGGACACACGGAAAAGGACCAGGACACCAACACAGGCGGTGGTCTAGCTCGATACGAGACCTGGCACCAATGCGTCGATGAATTCTCAGGCCGAGAGCTCAAAAGACCAACCGACAAGCTCCCCGCCATGGCTCCGCTGGCTTCCATTCTCGACGACGGCTCCATGGGAACCTACCTGGCCGGAATATGGAGCAACGACATCGCCGCTGGACTATCCTGGGGCCGACCTTTCTATCTCCTCACTCCTTCATCAACATACCGAGCACCAAGCTGGAGCTGGGCCAGTGTCGACGGCAAAGTGAGCTCAATGGTTCTAGCATGGCCGGAGGACCTGATGGACGGGCATTCCAAGGACCCAGCCTGGATCAACAAGTACCAGCCCAAGCTCCTTTCCCACAACATCATCCTCGAGAACCCATCGCACCCATACGGCCGGGTCTTAGAAGGCTCCAGCATCACGCTTGAGGGCAGCTGTCTTGGACTCATGAGTCTTGCAAAAGCACTTGGACCCCGTCCCGAATTCTATATAATCCCAGTGCTGGATGAAGCGCAGGCGTTCGATTGCCCATGCTGCGCCGGCCGCTCTGACGAAGACCAAAAAGCGGAGATGGCGAAGATAGAAGGCGAGATTGAACATCATGTCTGCATGATATTGCAGGGGGATGCTTGGAGAGTGGAAGAAGACTGGAGCCGAGGCCGAGGTTTCTGCGATCTGCTTATTTTGAAAGCTTTGGGCGATTCGACCTTTAAACGGGTTGGGTCCATGAGGATCAATTCCGACAAGCCGGAGCCTGCTCATGCAGCGTTTGATGCGTTGGACTGGGAGAGGCGGGTGTTGAAATTGATCTGATCTGCTAGCCGGGAAGCGTGGTCGTCGTAGTTAGTATCAATTTAGATGACATCTTGAATGGCGTATTTGTAATAAGACCTATACAGTTCATGTCAGCTCAATACTACAATCTAGTACAACCAGATCTATACGCAGATGCTAGAGGTACGGCCAAACTTGTCTACAATCGCAGAGACCTGCTTCACATGGCGCCCATCTCATCAGCCAAAAGCCAACTGAGAGCTGCAAACCAGTCCACAGCCTTCATACGGACAATGGAGACCTGTATCCAAAGTGTGTCCCATCAAAAACACACCTCTAATCCACCCAATCTACCGAGAACCAAGAATCAAGACCAAAAATATCGAGAGACCGAGCAAAGTGATTGTATTCGCCCCTAAGAAAAAAAAGCCGATACCGAATATTTGAATCTCAAAAAAAGTTGCACCCATCTCTGCTTTGGCCCGAGGCTACGCTCACACGCAGCACCCGAACACAAAGACAAAGAGCCGTTTCATTGCCATCACAAGGACACCCCCCGCAGATAATATTCGTTACACAAATTGCTAGCCTCCCGTTGTTCGTTCCGCGCGCGGCAAACCAATGGGGGAATCAACGTCGCCGAGTCATCGAAAAGGTTTTGCAGATTTTTCGGAGGTTGCGTCACGTTTACGAGCTGGGGTTGGCGTTCATCTGTTGATAGAAAAGATCTCGTGTAAGCGTTTCCATTCCAGTCCAGAGTTCTGTCCGCCCGGGGTCTCCATTTTCGATGTTTCCGGTGGATGTGTTTTCGATGGAATCCTCATACCTTGCGCTTGCCACCGGTCATAGTGACGTTCACGAAACGGCGGGTGTACACGATTCTCTTCTTAGCGCGGCCCTTGGGGACCTTAGGCTTCTCCTGCTTCTCGACCTTGGGAGTGGCGCTCTTGACCTTACCGGCACGAGCGAGCTGTGGGAATATTCAGTTAGATATAACGAGTTCTTTCCATCTCGGGGGACCATCGTATCTCGACTCAGGCGATGGTGATGATGAGGCAGGTGGTGGTGGTGATGGCGAGCTTACCGATCCGTGGACCTAGAAACGAGCAAAAACGTTAGCATTTCATCTCCCCGATATCACAGATCGCATTTTTGCATCAAAAGATGGCTCGCGAGGACTCAGGTTCAACATACTTTACCCATATTGACGGAGAAATCTGGCCTTCAGATGCAACGGGGGAGGCTGTATGGGGGAAGGTTCCTTCGATGGCGTTGTCGTTCTCGGGAGGGTTTTGGACGAATTTTCGCTGTGCGAGGGTGGTCACGGGTTTGTGCGGAGACCCACTTTGGGTTGGCCCGGAACAAAGTATTGCCTCCACTGAGCGCGCGAGGCCGGAAGGCGGTGAGTCCGTCAGCCTCGTTTAGCCCTGCCGTTCTTGTGAGTCATTTGGACTGTTGGATATTGAGGGGGAATGTTGGATTCCAGTTGGTTCTGGTTGATCATGACGATTGAGTCACATTGGATCAGCTCTCATCTCAGCGCTCGGACTCAGTCTATGAATAGCCTTTTCCCTGTACTTGTGCATTTCTGTCATAATTCCGGTATAGTTATTCATCGTTCATTATATAGGTCTTGTACGGAGTATGCGCAAAGGAAGTTGATTAGAAGTCCAATATATGAAATTAAAATTCAATAGATATACACAATTGTAAACAAATGATTAACTACTAGAAAATAATACCCCAATATTCAACACTCCTTAAAATTAAAGAAATAAACCCTTATCGCAACCTCCCGCCGCCATACAACCACTGCCCCGCCATACCTCTCTCTCTACCCGGATAACAATTTTCTCCTCCGCAACAACAACCATCACCACAACCACCACATCAATCGCAGTCCACAACACCTTATTGCACCTCAATCCTACTCCACAGCACCAACCTCCACACCAACCAACCTCTATCACCACCACCACATCTGAAACCACGATGACGGACTACAAACCTCCCGACCTCCCCGCGCCCTTCACACACACCACCCCACCCCCAACGCTCCTCACGCAAGGCGCCGAAGGCCACCTCTACAAGACAACCTACCTAACGCCGACCAGCCACGCCGCACTCAAAGTCCGCCCCTCGAAACCCTACCGCCACCCGATCCTCGACCGGCGCCTAACCCGCCAACGCATCCTGCAGGAGGCGCGATGTCTATCGAAGCTGGTGCGCGAGGGCGCCAGCGTGCCGGCGCTGCTGGCTCTGGACTGGGAAGGGAACGGGAACGGCGGCGGGGCGTGGCTCATGATGGAGTGGGTCGAGGGGCTGGTGATGCGGGTGGTGTTTGAGAAATGGGAGGCGTGGATGAAGAAGCACGAGGCGGGGTTGTCGGCGGAGCGGATACAGGAAGAGACCGGCCGGGTTGGGGATCTGATGCGGCGGATTGGGCGCGCGGTGGGGGGATTGCACAAGGCGGCGGTGAACCATGGAGATTTGACGACGAGTAATTTGATGCTGAGGCCGAGGGGAGATGCGACGGCGGAGGGCCAGGTCAGTGAGGACGGGTATCCGTGTATGGATGGGGAGGTGGTGATTATTGATTTTGGGCTGGCGAGTCAGACGGTGCAGCCGGAGGATCGCGCGGTGGATCTGTATGTGTTGGAGAGGGCGTTTGCGAGCACGCATCCGCGAACGGAGCCGTTCTTCGAGGAGGTGCTGGTGGGATATGCGGAGAGCTACAAGGGGGCGGGGGCGACGTTGAAGAGGTTGGAGGAGGTGCGGTTGAGAGGACGCAAGAGGACTATGATCGGATGAGAGCTTTCTATTATGATGATGTCTCCAATATCTAGTGCGTACTTGTTGAATCGGGGACACCAACTCATGCATTCATCATTCATCAGAAGACAAGAAACGCCACGCTTTTTCAAATGCAAAGGGGAAGATATGTTCCAGAGATATACTGGGGTGTGAGCCATGGAAGATAAAAGAAGCAGACGAAGAGAGAAGGAAGAGGGGAAAGATATCCCAAGAGACGATCATGAACGTTCTTCCACACAGCTTCCAACATCCGCAAGTGCAAAATATCCCTTGTTTTCAACCACTCCACGGTCCTTGACTACGGCCGTGTACTTGACCACCCATTGCGGTTCAACATCACCCTGGATGCCATCTCCAGCCTTCGGAGCGGACGCAAGGATCCCGGCTCCCTTTTCGCCAGGACCGAGGAGCTCACGAGTGGTACCGATTGGCAGAATATCCATACAATCATTGTGGGTGAGGAGTTGGATATTCTCCTGCTTAGCGTAGAGGATCAACGACTTCGGCACGACACAGCAATCCTTCAGATTGATCTGATCGACCGAGGGCTTGACCTTAGTATGGAGGAGGAAGCGTGCCAGTCTCTCGCTTCCGAACTCCGCGACTCCCAGCTGAGAAATCAAGCCCTTCTCCTGCAGCCCTTCCAGCGTCCTCCAGGTCTGAATCATGCTGTCGAAATCGTCCGGCTCCTCGCTGCCGTTGTCGGAAGACACCTCATCGTCACTGTCGTCTTCGGCATCGAACAGGATCCCGGGGAACGATACGATCAACAAGTCGATGGAATCCGCGTGTAGTTCCTTCAGCACCAGATCGATCGCCTCCCTGGTGTGTGCGCATCGTCGGGACGCCGGAATCCCCGGCAGGTAGAAAAGCTTCACCGTAATATCATACTGCGAACGTTCCTCTGCCAGACCGCGTTGCGAGAAGTCGACGGCGGGGATATATAGTGCGTTATTGTCTTCTTGCGTCCAGGAACGGTACTGCTGAGCCTTGGGTACCCCGCCCGTCGCGGCTTGGTCGGTCGATGAAAGGTGTTGCGCCGTCTGGAAATTCGATCGCAGGGAGTTGATCAGTTCGACATTGGATTTGGCAGTGGCTGGCTGTCGAACAACGGACGAGCCGCTTGTCATAAGATTCCTGAAGCGAAAACAGCCTGTTAGTTTGGTAGTCAATCGACGGGATTCGGGCGATCGCTGAAAAAGAGGGGTTGTTTCATTGGCCGTCGCAGAGACACGCGATGACTTACGAGGTGGAGAGAATCAACTTCATGGCCGCTCTGAGAATGTGTCAATAGTGAGAAATAGCAGGATTGGATTTCCGCGAAGGAGTCGCCGGGGGTTGACAAAAGAATGTTGGATGGATAGTTGGCCTGGAGAGAATTGCTAAGCAGCCCCGCGGCCGTTTCGACTGCTTTCGGCCACCAATTTCTCTCCCGCATCGCCGCCGAAAACGAGCGAGGGGGGCTACTGCGATCGGTAGTATCCAATGTCTCAATTCTTTATCGAGTCTAAAGTATGGCTATGTACCAAGCTACACTATGCATCTAACGCTTAATCATAATCAACCGTGGGATCCCAGTCCGTGGGGTCATACTCGCCCGTGTTGAGCGATTTCATATCCTCCTCGGACAATTCGAAGTCAAACACTTCGGCATTCTCCTGGATGCGACTGGGAGTGGCAGATTTGGGTAGGGGGACGAAGCCCTATCGATCTATTAGCATAATTTTCCATACCAATATGTCCAGAAACGGATGAGCTCACCTTCTGCAAACTCCACCGGATCATGACCTGAGCCGGAGACTTGTTATACTTCCTCCCGATCGTCTTCAGCACGGCTTCGGTGATGCGGTATCCATGCGCCAGAGGCGAGTACGCCTCGACAACGATATTGCGCTTCTTCAACCACTCCGTAATCTCGGTGCGATCGAGCCACGGGTGCAGCTCATACTGCCCGACATCGATAGCGCTACCGCCGCCTTCTTTGATATACTGCTCCAGCTCCTCGAGATGATGGACGCCGTAGTTCGAAACCCCGATCGACTTGGTCTTTCCGGCCTGTTGGGCCTCAACTAACGCACGCCACGAGCCAAGACGGGCTTGTTTTCCGCCGTACGGAGCGTGGATTAGAATTCTAGGAGTGGCATTAGTACAACGCATACATCGAGACGAGAGGGGTCGCCGTGCGGGGTCGGATGGCCGCCACGTACAGGTCGAAATACTCCTCCTGGGCCTCCTTCAAGCTGCTGTCGATTGCTCGTCGGGTGCGCTCGTAGCCCATCGATTCGGGCGGGATTTTGGTCGTAAAGAAGAGCTGGGAGCGGTCGATTCCGGAGTTCTGGATGGCGCGACCGCAGGCGCGCTCGTTGCCGTACATGATGGCGGAGTCCACCTGTAGGATTAGGATCTCAGCACGAATGTGTAGATAGAAGACAACGTACATGACGATAGCCGATTCCGAAAGCTTCAAGCGTGCTCTTTTCGGTTTTGGAAGAAGGACTGAGGATAGTCAGTATGAAATGCATCGATTTTCAGGATAGATGCACGAACATCATATAGACCTGTTGGATTGTCAGCGTGGTTGCCGCTCGAGGAACCAGATTGACTTACTCCGTATCCAAGGATCGGGATTTCATGACCCGAGTTCATGCGGTACGTGGACCGTAGACCTTGAAGGGCTGCCATTTTGAGTTACTTGATGCGTAGATACTGAACGGATCGTTGAAGAGGGGAAAATAGAGGAGATAAAAACGCGAGATGTCGGATTGTGAGGGCGATGAGATCATAGGCGGGTCCAGCTACAGTGATCTCATATTAGCTTTCAACACCACCAATGTCAAAGGGGCTACATTCAAAGGTCAGGCGACTTAATTAATAGCATAAAATTGATTTGAGGAATATATCTGGGTGTTCCTTCAATTTCATTTCTTTACAAGCTTGTGCCGTACTAGATTTTACTTCCCGAAAATATATATCAAGTACCCACTATATAATCACCAGGCACATACACTATCAAGTTCTAGAGGATTGGATTGTCAACAAAAGTTATTCGATATGATGGAATAGCTTTTCATTAATATGTTCTTTCTCTGTTCATTATATTTTGAATTAATTTTCTTTCTCTCTTAATTTTATGTTGGATTATCATATTGAATTTAGTAGATATAATATAATAGACACCTACAACTAACAAGCTCTTAAGCCAACCGAGAAGCATTGGGTGATGGGAGTCTTATTGACTAAACTGTAAGTCACCGGTGATTAGAGTAGACATGACTTGATACCCCCAAAAGGATAGATCAGCTTCTTTATCGGGAATATCCTCAATATCAGATAACTTGAATGGAATACTCCGTTCTCCGTTGTGCATTTATAGCCTCTTCTAACCGTTCGTTCCGTCTCTCTCAACCCAAGTTCTTTCATTAAGACTTCTAGCCCTCCTCGAACTCATCGTCTTTCTTTGTCTGTCCTCTTTCCAAAATCGCTAATCCATTCAGCTACATTCGATCAAAATGTCCGAGAAGAGCAAGAAGTCCGGCAACCAACCTAAGCCACTGGACCCGAACGGAGATGTTATCCTGGTTGTCGGGATCGAAAGCCTGGAAAAATTAGGCAAGTTCCTCGTCTCCTCAAAAGCCCTAAGTCTCGCATCTCCAGTGTTCAAGAAGCTGTTCTCAAAGTCTTGCCTCGAAGGAAGCAAACTCGAGGAAACCAAATGCTTCGAGGTGCCCCTCCCGGAAGATGACCCCGAAGTTATGGAGATAATCCTTCGAGCCATGCACTTCCTGGATCCAATAGTTGACGAGGACGTGTATCTGGATTCGGGGCTGCTGGCTGACATTACCATCCATGCCAATAAGTACGACTGCGTGAAGCCTCTCAGCTCGTGGGTGTCGAAATGGTTGAACAAACCGCGGCTGAGATCGAGTGAGGAGATGAAGGCACTTGACTACGGGCATATGATCCTAGCTTCTTATGTTTTTCGCGAAGAGGATAGTTTTGCTTTCTTCTCATCTCAAGCCATAAGGTCAATGATCCCGAAAGATTTCGCTATATGGGAGGACACCGACCTGCTCCCACTGCTCCTGCTACCAGCAAAAATCAGAGGTAAGTCGTCTAAGATATTTCCCCACTCGTGATGAACCCTAACTAACATTCAGCAGATTCCCTGAAATCAGGAATAGAAGAATTGATGGACCAAATGTTCGAACGGCTACAAACCGCAGAAACTCAGCTCCGGATGCACAAAGGCGGCCATTTAATGGACGTTGGGTATTGCGGTAAGTGCGAAAAGACCTACTTGGACAACCCTAAGAAATGCCCCTCTTGCAGAAAGATGCGATTAGGGACCAAGTACTGCAGTAACGACTCGAGAGTGTCGTTATATTCTGCAGAACTCAAACGAGCCGGCCTACGACCGACCTCACCAAAACAGATGCGAGCTCGCTCAGCGACAGCTCTTTACGAGCGGATCAGCTCGCTGCACTCATCTGTTAATCACTACTGCCAGGCGGGGATGGGTTGTCCGTTAGCGACGGAGCTGAGACTTTGCTCAAAAGATTGCAAAGAGCTTTTGATGAAGGTTCCGAGCTTAGAACTGGCTGACTTTCGTTGACCACCTGGAATCAACCGAACCATTCAATGAATGTGTGTACAATGCGAAGATCATTTCTAGGCCGATATGTTGCAAACGCTCCACCGCTGTATGGCCTTATTTTGAAGTATGAGATGCCATTTTTATTCTTGGATCGTGTCAAATTTTAGTATTTTTCTCTTGTTTAGTTTCTTTGTTCAGTATTTTCAGAATGTTCATATCTTTCAGTGTTATTCAGATGATGTTATTCCTTTACGCAGCAGTCTGTTCTCACAGCAAAACCCGAAAGAAAAAAAAAGCTAAAAACAGAACCAAAAATGAAAAAAAAAAGAGCTAAACTGCATCACGATCTTCCAGACTCAAAAGTCCACTCATTGATTCACAGATAGACATCCAACTACAGCCCAGATACTAACTACGTATATCAAGATAGGATAGCCTATGCATCTAAAAAAACAACCAACAAACCCACACAGGGCTACTGATCGGGCACCAAAAATAGAAAAGCTCCAGAGTCCAGTCGATCTTCGAATCCAGACAAATCCTTCGTAGCCCCAACTCTCCAACCACCATCAAACAAAAGCACCTCAAAACAGCCATCCGGCCAACCAGACCGTCAACGCCAAACCAAAACAAGCGACTCACGTCTGCTATAGACACCGTCCCTGCCGATCGTCTCCAAGATCAAGCTCTGTTTCGCCACTTGTCAACGCCAACCAACAGCTGGCCCCTGTCTATATCGGGACCGAGGATGTCCGACACTACGACTTAGACTCGATTCGGCCGCAAGCAAAGGAATTGGGGCCTGTAGCCTTGTCTTAAAAGATGCAGTATGAACAAGGTTAGCGGACCGAAGCAAAGCTAAGGCTTAAGCTAAACCAGGCCCTAGGCATAGCCCTGTGGACTGTGGAGCTTGGGGTCGCTGGTGCCTATGGCGTAGTTTGGGGTCTATTACTCTGTATTGAGGCGATGTATTCTATATCTAAATAGAGAAAACTATTTTATAGTTTGTTTTATCTCAAAGTAGAGGTATGCATTATGATTGTCGTAAAAATGGGAGGGAATAAATACTAACAACAGAGGGAGAGAGAGAGAGATTCCCCACGGGAGAACCCAAAGCGGAAGGAGCAACGGACGGCCAATTGCTAAACTGCCAGCCCGATTGCACTATCGAACAAATCAGCGAAGGATTTCAGCCCGTGAGTCATGAGGCTCTGTTCGCGAGGCTGAGGCGGATGCATTTGTTCTCCATACCACTTGGCGAGGTAACCGTCTGTGGTGGGTCAATCCTGCAGATCCACCGCCCATCTCCCATTTGCTCCTTCGTATTGCTCATTCGCCAGTAACGTCTCGCAGTCACTGATCCTGTTGACTACTATGACTAGGCCGACATGTGAAATCATAGGATGTCATGCAGGCAGAGTATGCGTGCAGGACTGATGCCTGGGAGATGGAGGAGATATAAGTGGCGATGGTTTCGCTGCTTGGGATGGATTGTCACTTACAAGTTTTTCTATTCATCTTTCCCACGTGAGTTCTGCGAATTTGACCATTCGCAGATAGTTTCATCGTTTCAAAATTTTTCAATTTATCAAGAGCTCAGTGTTTCCCGGATCTGCAACTATGACGCAGATCACTCAGGACGTCTCCAAGAAAGAGGAGGGCGTGAACCCTCCTCAGAACGAGACGCAGAAGGACGAGAATACCGGTGAGTACACCACGATTCTCCAACATACAAACCATCCTAACATCCGAGAATCAGAAGAGGAAAAGAAGTTCGCCCCCGTCGGCACCATCTGCGACGTGCAAAACCTCTACCAGACCAAACCCGACGAGCACGATGGCAAATCATGGTCGAAGGAAATGCCAAAAGATCTGCCCCTCGCCGTCGAGGACGCTGAATCCTCCCAGTTTGCGCTCATTCTGCGAAATATCAAATGCTACGACGGATCGAGGAGCCTCGCGATCCACTCGGTCGTGGTGCAGAGCGAGCCCCTGAAGAAGTTCCTGGGTAAGGTGTTGGACGGATACCCTGGTGTGACGATGACGCTTGACCGGGTTGAGTTCACCAAGCCCTTCGCGCCTCTAATCCACCGATGGGATGACTTTACCAAGCTCCTGGATGAGGAAGAGGATGCCACGACCAAGGAACACGCCAATTTGTTCTACAATATTCTGGAGGAGGAGCTGCGGGACCAGGTTGCGCGGAAGAGGGACCACGTCCAGCAGGGAGTAATCACGCACAAGCTCCTTTGGACTCTCTTCGAGCCCGATGATCTGCTGATCAGCTCGATTGGTGGTCGGCAGAGTGGATTCCGATTTGTCAGTGCAGACGTGGATTGCGACTCGGGAGATTACCAACTGACCACGAAACACATCGACTTTGACGGCGACGATTTCGGATTCAAAGAGAAGGAGTTCGGAATCCCTCACTTTGACGGGACGACATCCATCACTTCCTTGAAGGTGTTCCCTCTGCGATACCACCCCGACAAGGCGGCAATTCGGGAGGCGTTGCTGGCCCGTGGAAAGATATGGGAGCAGCACAGGGGATACCACTACAAGAACTACGATGAGACTGCAATTTCGTGCGGCCAAGACGAGGACGATGAGACCAAGTATCACGTCAAGAGCCGCATCATCATCGATGCCGAAGGATTCAACATATTCCACCCCACCCAGTCAGTCCGCATTGATGATACGATCCGTGGTGGATTGACAGATGAGCATCGCCTCATCACAGTACCCACGGTACACGGATACTCCTTGAAGGAAAAAGAGTGGCTCCGATTTTACATTGATGCGGTAAGCGACATCACATGGGACTCAGACGCCTTTAAATCCCTAGTCCTCCCCACGGAGCAGGAGAACCTCAAAGACCTGATCCTCGCGTTCGCCAAAGCCCAGTCCAAACAGCTCGGCAATTTCGACGACGTAATACAGGGCAAAGGCCGCGGGATCGTGATGCAGCTCAGCGGGCCCCCGGGAGTCGGAAAGACGCTGACAGCCGAGAGCGTTGCGGAAGTGATGCAAGTGCCTCTGTACATCATGAGCGCCGGGGACCTCGGAAGCAGTGCCGACGACGTCGAGAAACGACTCAAGAACATCCTCCGCATGATCCCCAAATGGGGCGCCGTGCTGCTCCTCGACGAGGCGGACGTGTTCATGGAGGAACGAAGCGCCACCGATCTGGAGCGGAACGAGCTGGTTTCGATTTTCCTGCGTATGCTCGAATACTACGAGGGCATTCTGTTCCTGACCACGAACCGTGCCGAGCGCATCGACCCGGCCTTCGAGTCCCGCATCCACGTCTCGCTCCACTACAACGAACTGGATTGGACCTCGAGACGGCACATCTGGGAGCAGTTCCTGGGTCGCAGCACCTCGGTGTTCACGACCGAGCAGTTGGACAGCGTGGCAGAAGTGGAGCTCAACGGTCGGCAGATCAAGAATGCGCTCAAGACGGCGAACCTTCTGGCTTGGGCGCAGGGATTGGAGATGAAGTTCGAGCACGTCAAGACGGTGCTTGATCTTCGGTCGATCGCCAAGCCTAAGGCAACCTAAGCGTTCATACAGACCGATATGAGATGATGTAATGTTTGTTCCTTAGCTAGATAATAGAGATCATTTGAGCGTCAGCCGAACTTTTTCGTAGACTGTTTCTTCCAAACTCTCTTCCAAATTGACTTGATTAGCTAGGCATACCAGGATCGACTCCAGCCGGTAACTAAGCACGAAACGGTCGAAACTAAACGAACAGAAAAACCCAACCAAAGCAAAGCCACGAAGCCAACACGAAGACAGTAAAAAGGTAAAATGCTGCTTTCAACCTGTGGATTGGATCTGAAAGGAATCGAACAAAAATATATACAGGTGAATAAGGGAACAGAGAATCAACAGGCCAAAAAAAGAGCTCTATGACACCAGAAAGATGCGAATAGCACAGCAAGCAAAAAAAAAAAAAAAAAAAAAAAAAAAAGGAAAAAAGGGAAGTTGACATGGGACTCGTGGGAGTAAGAGTGACGTCAATGTAGATAGATAGAAGGAAGAAGCAAGAGAAGAGCCTGTGGTATTTCCACAACTCCCGACAAAACAGAAAGCATCCGCGTGAACGACATTAAGAATGATATATAGGTTGAACCAAACCAACTGAGAAACTAATTGAGTTGAACGTAGTTTGCTAGATGGATATATTAGTATAAAATAGACGTAATTGAAGGGGGGGGGGCTTACCTGGAAATTGACCCTCGCGGCCGTCAACACGGCCACTCCACCATTCGTTTTGGTTATCCGTCCGTTGGACGATTTCAATGACATCGCCCGCGGAGAAGCTAAGGTCGCCATGCGCCTGAGCTTCGTAGTCGTACAGGGCCGTGACGGTCTCGACTTGCGCGGCGAAACGGGCAGGCTTGGGCTTGGGCGGGGGAGGCGCGGGCTTTGACTTGGCGGCCGCAATGAAGCTGCTGCCGGAGCTGGCGGCAGAGGTGTAAGGCGGCGGGGGGTTGTCGACGCCGGCCTCGGGGTCCTTCTGTCGCGGAGCAAAGCGCTCCTTGCCCTCGTTGGCCATTTTATCCTTGGGGCCGAATTTCGAGTTCTGGCGACCCAAGCCCTTAGTCTTGAAATGCACGATGGTGAGCTCCTCCGCGCGCTCCTTCACGTCGCCTCGCTTCTTCTCGAACGCCTCTTCCACGTCCAGCGTCAGATCGAAGTACCCGATATTTATCCCTTGCATTCTCTCATGCAGCGTGTAGAAGACGTTGAGTTGCATGTAGTAGAAGGACTGGAACAGCGGACGAATGAACTCGGCCTCGAGGGCAAACAGCTTCGGCAGCTCGTCCTTCATGAGGTCATTGTAGTAGTTGAATTCCTGGGTGGCCTGCTCGACGTCGTTTTCGGCCTTGTAGAGCGCCTTCTCGTCCTTGAGCGACTTGTCCTTCTTGTCCTGCAGCTTCTTCAGCGAGTTGCGATGTCGGTCGTAGTCCAGCTTCTTGTGATCTCGCTTCACCGCGACCTTCCGGATCACCTTGATCACCTCGAGCAGCTGATCGGCCGGGCTGATGATCCGGCTCTCGATCATTTCCAATTCGGGCGCTAGCGACTCCTGCAGGTCGCGAACGATGGCCTCGTATTCCTCGCACGCCTGGATTCCTTCCGGGTTGCCTTCGATCGTGTAGGAGCTGGGGTCGGAGGCACGGCCGGAAATGGGCTTGTATAATTCGGTCATGGCTTTGGAGAATTCGATCTGGTGGCTGAGCATGCCTAGGAAGGGAGGGGTAAGGTTAGCCAACACCTGGGAATCAACACACGACCGGAGCGGGATCATACCATTAATAGCGTCAAAATATTTCTTGGACTCGTCGTGGAGTTTTTTGGTCTCCTTCTCGAGTTCCTGGAAGCGGCGCTCGGCGTCACTGTAGACGACATCCTTGGTGTTTTCGCCAATGTTGAACCGGGACTTGAAGGTCTGGGGCGCCCGAACCAGGGTCTTCTGAAAGCCCTTCAAACTCATCGCGAAGTCGTTGCGGAAGCCCGGGAGTGTAGCGGGACCAGTGGGGGTGGCAACGACTCGACAGGAAGTGCACGGAAAGGCGATCTAGAGGGAATGGAGAGGGGGAAAGAAGGTCAGGAGGGAAATTGGCAGCAGAGCGAAGAAACAGACGCCAGCGGAGGTGGGGGAAAGCGCTCTTTTGTTCGCAGCGACGGTGATTCGATCGGGGCCTGCCCAAGGGCTTTTGAAGGACCAACCGGTGACGGTTAGACTGTTTAGACTGCGGTTCGTCGTGCTGGGCGTGGCTGAGCTATGACATAAGAGTGGCTGAGCGTTGCCAGGACTGCAGGCGGGAATAATAACTGGGGAGTGTCCGTAGTGAAGGAAATATGTAAACACGAGGATAGTCAGGGGGAATGAAGAATGCAGCGCAATACAAGTAATGAAATGCAGACCTACTTCCCCCCTTCCGACCCAGAGGCACCCGTTCAAAGACCGTCATTGCTGTGGCGTAAGGCAGGGCCGTCTCGGAAATCTCCCATGGACCGTCGTTAGGCACCAGAGTATCCAGCACTAGACTCGTTAGTTAGAACTAGTCGCTGACCATTTCCGTCGCTTCCCTGATTTTCCTTTCCTTTCCTTTCAGCTGGACTATGCTCGATTGGGCCAGTCTGACGGGATGCAGAACCGGAGACACAGCCTATTTCCCCGTATTCACTGGGTTAGGTATATTCAGCGGGAAGATCTGATTGTTCCAGCCGGTCGGAGATATATACTCTGGAGGCTCCGTACTCCTAGAGCGTCGGATAAATTAACCAGATTGCCACTTGACATTAATGGAACGGTAGCTATAGTATATTAATTGTCCATACTGCACATCTCAACCGTATCCTGCGATAATTCCTCTTCAGAATGAGTTCAAAGTATACGAGGAGAGAAATCCGAGTCCGATAAGTCCGATCGGGCTTAGCGGCTCGGCAATGATGATATAACCGGATCCAAACTTTTTTCCCACTCGCCCCGTCTTACCTCCCTTCACGGCCATCACTTATCAACTGTCCTTCATCTTGCATGGTTCAGTTGCAGTGCCATCTTCATCATGTCTAGTGTGACCCCCGCTGCCTTGAGACAGGCATCCCGAGCCTACGCTCGTCGACTCTCCGTGACCCAGCATGGTGCCCTTTCGACTTTCCCGCGGCGAGCGCTCGCCACTCCGTCCCGCCGCACCTACGTCTCCGAAACCAAGGCTGGAAATGCCCAGGTATCGGTCGATACCGCCATCAAGCAGGAGCAGAAGGAGTTTATGAAGAAGACCGGCGTGGCGCCCCAGAAGGTTGAGCTGCCCGGCTCTGGTGTCTCCGGCGATGCGTCGATGAGCCCGACGGCCGGCATCCTGAAGCAGGCCACCGTCATGGACCAAGGAACGCGACCCATCTACCTCGATATGCAGGCCACGACGCCCACGGACCCGCGTGTCCTGGATGCCATGCTTCCCTACCTCACCGGCATCTACGGCAACCCCCACTCGAGAACGCATGCGTACGGCTGGGAGTCGGAGAAGGCGGTCGAGCAGGCGCGTGAGAACATCGCCAAGCTGATCGGAGCCGACCCCAAGGAGATAATCTTCACCAGTGGCGCGACCGAGAGTAACAACATGAGCATCAAGGGTGTGGCCCGATTCTTCGGTCGCTCCGGCAAGAAGAAGCACATCATCACCACCCAGACGGAGCACAAGTGTGTGCTGGACAGCTGCCGACACCTTCAGGACGAGGGATTCGACGTCACATATCTGCCTGTGCAGAACAACGGTTTGATTCGCATGGAGGACCTCGAGGCGGCCATTCGCCCCGACACGGCCCTGGTTAGTATCATGGCCGTCAACAACGAGATCGGTGTCATCCAGCCCATGGCCGAGATCGGAAAGCTCTGCCGCTCCAAGAAGGTCTTCTTCCACACCGATGGTGCTCAGGCCGTCGGCAAGATCCCCTTGGACGTCAACAAGTTGAATGTGGACTTGATGTCGATCTCCAGCCACAAGATCTACGGCCCCAAGGGAATTGGTGCCTGCTACGTGCGCCGCAGACCTAGGGTCCGTCTCGAGCCCATCATCTCTGGAGGTGGCCAGGAGCGTGGTCTGCGCAGTGGCACCATCGCCCCTCATCTCGTCGTCGGCTTCGGTGAGGCTTGTCGTCTCGCCATTCAGGATATGGCGGTGAGTTCCCCCCCTTTCCCCTTGTTCTGCATTCCCGGCGATGATTAAACGCTTTATTACTTCTCAATTTATCTGAGGGTGTCTGGGGGTAGCTGCACGCTTGACGTGTTCCCAGCACTTCTGATGTACGTAGCAGGGGTAATGAGTCGAGGTTCTGTGGGACATTGTTTTATTAGTTGAGGGAGAAAGCATTTTACTGACGATTGAAACTAGTATGACAACAAGCACATCGAGCGCCTGTCGAAGCGCCTGTCGGACGGTCTTTTGTCGATGGAACACACCGCTCTTAACGGCGACCCCAAGCACCACTACCCCGGCTGCGTCAACATCTCCTTTGCCTACATCGAGGGAGAGTCCCTCCTCATGGCTCTGAAGGATATTGCTCTGTCGTCCGGCAGTGCCTGCACGTCCGCCTCCCTGGAGCCGAGTTACGTTCTCCGTGCGCTGGGCAGCAGCGACGAGAGTGCTCACAGCAGTATCCGATTCGGAATCGGTCGATTCACCACGGACGAGGAAATCGACTACGTCCTCAAGGCTGTGCAAGCCCGTGTGCATTTCCTGCGCGAGCTGAGTCCCTTGTGGGAGTTGGTGCAGGATGGTATTGACCTCAACACGATCGAGTGGAGCCAGCACTAATTTTTTGATTTGGTATTTTTTACGGTTATATTTGTAATTCAGCCAGACTGCCAAAAGCAAGGGAGTCGATCGTTTGAGGGCGCAGTCAGTCTCATTGCGTTTTTATTTCGAGATATCTACGGGATGGCGTTGGACGTGTAACAATAAGCGGACGAATCGTTAGTCTGTACAGAATGATAGGAATAGATTTCTCCATTATTCATATATACAGTATACCTAGTGATTGACCGAGTGTGATCACTGTGATGGTAAATGTAATGTAGAATCCGGAGTACCCCATCCGTTCGCCACCATGGCTATGATAAGATCACCAGATTGATAGGTCGAAATAAGGCCGACGCCGACGGAATCTCCACGGCCCTTGCAATTCACCGCAGACCCGAACGGGGTGGCGTGGGTGCGAGCGAGAAGACCCTTTAGCTCGGCTTGGCCTCGCTTAAACCCCCGAAATCGCACCCACGGCTCAGTCTGACGGACTCCCGGTTCATTCTCTAGCACTCACGCTAGTTTGCCTCCCTGACCACCCCTTTCGCCTGCACCCAATGTTGCCGTTGGTGCAGTTGTCAAGATCAGGCTTGGGATCGAAGTATGTAACGCCTCTGGAGCCTCCATCCATGGATTTGGATATCTGGTCGCCATAGTTCTTCTGAAATGGTCCTGCCATCCCACCCACCCTGTCATTGCCTCGCCATTGCCCATCCGTCTGCCTGGCCCAATGACCGTCTTCGCCGCTGTCCCCAAAATGAGGCCTTTGCCATCTATTCCGTGCTCTATAGTCACCTCTGGCTGGCCCACCGGTCCTTAGTCAACGGCCTCCTGCTGCGGTGATTGACCCCGACGATAACGGAGAAGTCTGCCCCTGGTCAAAAAATCCCGGTTCCAGCATTGTCGGATGACACCAGGATGCCAGAACCGTCTCCCTGGCTGATTAATTCTCGCTTTCACCCGGTTATTCTCCGTGGTTGTGCCGCCTTCTGGGAGGACTGGCCCTGATGCTCGTGCCGGACAAACCGATTGTCGGTTTGTCGGGTGAATGGTTTTCGCTCCCTCTCTTCCCTCTTTCTTTCTTTCCTGTCCTCGTCTCCGGTCTCTTTCTCCTTTCGTTTCTACGCATCATATTTGAGTTCTGTCATCCTCAACTGTCGACAGGAACTTTCTTTCTTTAATTCCTGCATAGACTTGCATTTCACGTCATCTTAACTCTGAGCTTCTTTCCCCTGAATTCGGTGTCTTGATTTGAGCGTCAGCGTCAGCGACCCTGACTGATCATATCCCGAAACAACCACAACGAAGTTGCTCACAAACTTTCCTTACCTGTCGTGCGCATGTCCTTGGGCATCTGATCTGATAGGTGCCCTTTGTCTGCTGTCACACGACCATTGACCAAGGGATTCCCTTCGAGCACGCAGGGACTGAGACATCGTCTTGTTTTGTCCCTGTTGAATACACCCCAGGGCCAGGTGTCAATCCCGTTTAGACTCAGAGTCGTCCATGACATCGTCCTGCGTGACGTACGGATTGAACGACATCATATTGTGCACGTGAGCTGCTGGGCTTTATTTACAGCACCGTTTCGTCGTCGGTTCGACGTATTGGAGGACATAAACATCGTATTGAGATATCCTGTCATCATTCACAATGCTTCCCCCAGTCCCAGCCCTGGCCGACTATGGCATTTCGCCAAGTCATGGCTTTCTTCCTTCTGAAGCCCCTCTGGATATCTTGCCAGACCCCTACTACACCAAATGGGAATGGACAGTGTTGAACATGCAATCCCTACTGCTGAGTAGGAGAATCCGTGAGGTGGTGGACCGCATGCCGATGCTGTCTACTGTTTACCTCGCCTCAGAAGGCGAATGGAGGCGAGCATATGTTGTGTTGGGCTTTATTCTCCATGGATATGTCTGGGGTGGCAACAAGCCGGCTGAGGTATGTGATTGGCCAACCATTCCATGGATCACCCGACTAATAATTCTTAGAAAATCCCACCCCAGCTTACAGTTCCCCTCTTCGAAGTATGCGAACATCTTGAACTCCCTCCCGTGGCTACATATGCCGGGGTATGTCTGTGGAACTACAAGCCTATCTTCCCAGACGAGCCACTCGACGACCTTCACAACCTGGCCTGTGTTAATTCATTTACGGGTTCTTTGGATGAGCAATGGTTCTACTTGATCTCCGTCGCCATCGAGGCTCGCGGTGGTCCAGCCATCCCCGTGATGCTGCAAGCAATCACCGCCGCCCGCCTTGGAAACACTGTGGTTGTGACGGAATGCTTGCAACACCTTGCCGAGATCATTGACGAGGTCGGCACCCTGCTGGAGCGGATGTACGAGCACTGCGATCCTTACGTGTTCTACCATCGCATCCGGCCCTATCTCGCAGGGAGCAAGAACATGGCCGATGCCGGTCTTCCCAACGGTCTCCTGTATGACAATGGAACCGGAAAGGCCGATTATCGCCAGTACGGTGGCGGGAGCAACGCACAGAGCTCTCTCATCCAATTCTTTGATATTGTCCTTGGAATTGAGCACCGTCCCACAGGGGAAGGTCGTCCAAAAAAGACGGACGACGAGAAAGACGGAGTCCCCGGCGCTCCTCGGCACGGGTTCATCCAGGAGATGCGCTCATACATGCCTGGACCCCATCGTCGATTCTTGGAGCATGTGAACGCCGTGGCCAACATCAGAGAATACGTGGAAGATCGAAACTCCGACAAGGCCCTGTGCATCGCGTACGACGGCTGTCTCTCCATGCTGCGAGTCCTCCGCGACAAGCACATCCAGATGGTCTCGCGATACATCATCATCCCCTCGCGCGACTCGAAACCACGAGCCCCACGAGCATCCAGCCCGCGGCGACACGCGCCGGCCATGAATCTGGCCAACGCGCGGAACGCCGACGGCAAGATTGACAACAAAAAGCTCCGCGGCACGGGAGGCACGGCGCTCATACCATTTTTGAAACAAGCTCGCGACGAAACCGGCGAGCCAGCCATTGACGCATGGGCGCGGCGCCTTCTCAGCGACCGCCCAGCCGAGTCCTTCGCTTCGCTCAGCAAAGTCGGCGAGAACCACGACGGCAATCTAGAAGTGGTCGGACTGTCGGGGACGTGGACAGCCGCCGACAGCGAAGGAGGAATCTGCCACTGGTGATAGACCTGATGATTTGATTGACTGATTGATTGATTTAATTGCTTTGCGTTGATTGATTGGTTCGCCCATTCTTTGTTTCCAGCGATGACTAGCATGCTATCTATGATTTGAGACCCAGAGAGAGAGAGAAGAGGGCTTTAGCGCCCAACTACAATGGAAGATCCCACACTCACTTCTGATTGAGTTCGAAGAATTGCACTGTCCCAGTAAACCAGGAATAATGTAGCCATGACGTACAGGGGCGGCCTCCCGCGTCATGCAAATGCGTCATGGCTCAGGGGGCATCACATGTATGACGTCATACAATTGTCACCATCACCAGGCACGAAGTAGATATAAACCTCCAGGCACTGGACTGGAACTTGCATTTGACAACTATCAACAACCATCTAATCCATCTACAAGAAACTACACTCTATCCACTCCAGTACACTTACTCCATACATTCCAATCCACAAACACACAAACACCAAAATGTCCTCCGAAAACTCCTCTGAAAACCCCTCCACTCTCAAGTCCTACGTCGACTCTGCCACTGGCCTCGCTCAGCGCGCCATGGGCACCGTGACTGGCGACTCTTCCACCAAGGTAAGCACACACATCGGGAGTCCACCATTTTCCTCCACCCCCACCCCCAACCCAAACTAACAAAAGAAACCACCAGACCGAAGGCGAAACCACGCAATCGACCGCCTCCGCCGAAAACACCGCCAGCCACGAAACTGCCAAACTCGGCCCCGTGACCGCCGACCCTCACACCGGCGCAACAGCAACCGACCACCCGCAACGCAACACCGGAAACTGGGACCAAACGATCGGGTCGGCAAAGGAGTCCCTGGGCAATTTGACCGGCTACGAGGGTCTGCGCCGGGAAGGCGTGGAGCAGAACTCGCGCGGCAAGGCCGCTGAGGCGGAGGGCCAGTTGCGGGACTTCGGGTCCGGGCTGAAGGACAGGGCGCAGGGGGGACTGGGGAAGGTAGCGGCGGCGGCGAAGGGCGATCGCGAGGAGGAGGCGGAGTGGGAGAGGATGCATGATCAGGGGAAGGTGCAGCAGCGGGGAGCGGAGGTTGATATGCAGAAGAGGGCTTGATCTTTTGGCCAGCTGATTGAGGTTGAGATTGATGAGCTGCTTGGAGTGAGACTGACCTACATACTAGTTGGCTCTGGGTATGATTTATGATTTGTGATTTGTTTCAATATGTCTATGGCGTTGTACTATATCGATATCCGAATCGCCAATTGAGATTGAGATTGCTTCTTATGGAACTGTTGTTCACGAACGGTATTTGTAGATTGGCTTTTCAATAGTCAGAGCCAGTCTACTGTATAACCATGTCAACCCTTAGTTCCATGGTGATCGTTGAACAGGGAGTACTCGAAGTCTAGTGAACTAGTCCCTTACTAACGACCATACCTTATAAGCCCCTTAACGATGCGGTAGTTGTGTGTCACTTCGACCAGAGAGCAGCTTTCTTGGGTTCTGATTATCAATAGCAAAGACACAGTAAGTCAGCTTGCTAGTCAGAAAAAAGAGACGAAAGACAATCTGCTCTAGGAGAAAGCATCTGTGCTTTAACGGATCCAAGAACCTCTGAAGTAGCAGATACTGCATAGATCTGTCTACCTCCCCATGAATTTATCGAAGAAAGAAGCATTCGCGGATATTAATTTCACGGGGCTGCGCGCTGGATAATTAACTGAGGAAAGAGGAAAAGAGCCACTTCATTCAATTTCTATTCAGTAAATCTATACCGAATCGCAGTATTGAGTTTTCGGACACGCGGGGGACGTAGACAGGCGAGAGAATCTAGATAAAGCTTTGAGAAGCGATGAACTGCCAGAAACAAGAGGAGTGGAACTTGAGAAATGCAGACTGAGACTATAGACATAGTGTCTTGTCTGGCATAGTGGACGAATATTCCCAGAACGAGAACCTAACGTTGCACTAGGTCCTTCGATTGGGGATATTGGCTTCATTTAGACCGGAATGCAGCTGTTGGTAAATCCACATAACGACCATATTTCTTCATGAAAGCTTGATCCAGAATGAGTTTGGAGAAGTAGGAACACTTCGAGTAAGACACCAAGCCAAAAGTTGCAAAAAGCCTAGGTCGAGTGGTTAAGACGTAAGACTTGAATCCTCATTGGATGTTTCTTATCCCTTCGGGGGCGCTCAACCCGCGTCCTTGTCATAGTTTTTGCATTTGATCTTTTTTGGCCTCTTATGGTGAATTAGGATCACTGAAATAAGCATGCTTTTTTGGGTTATCTTGTCGAAGAAGAGGGATGGGGTCGTTGGTTTGTATGTTGAAGTTGCAATCCATAGAGAATCCGAGTCAAGAACAGAAGTAGTAAGTACCAGTTAGTAGTAGGAGGCAGGCTATTCTAGGGATAGTTTTATTATGATGGAAGGAAATGGATCATTCATGCGAGACAAACAAGACATTTGGGAGAATCCAGTAGAAACAATAAACCAGAAGAAATAAACCCGAAGTAAAGACAGTCAACCACCAGCCCTAAGCAAAGACAACATTGCACCAACCAGCCGACATAATCATAAATCTCATAATTCCAGACCCTAACAATAAGCACATGAAACCAATCCGGTCCAGAATTTGGCCAGCCGGGATGACGATCAGCAGTCTGTTCTCTCCACACGGATCTCGGGACGAGCATGAGGGAGTCTACTTAGTGCCGTCTTGACTGGTCCAAACTCACCCCTTAAGATAATATTACTTCCTTCTCCTCCTGCCCTCTCCTCCATCCATCTATCCAACTCCCTCAGCGTCTTTCTCGCCCACCATGAAATTCGCCTGGATTCTCGCCGCCCTCTCCACCACGGCCTGGGCCGCGGCCGTCGAGAACGAGCCAGCCCACGAGAAACGAGCCAACCCAACCGGCGACGAAATTAACTGGTCTTCTCTAGGAAATGCCATGTACTACACCTCCAACCCTCTCTCATCTCCTTCTCCCCTCACCCATCCATAAACAAAAACTAACCATCAACAGCCACTCCCTCCACCTCCAAATCCCCACCCAAACCGCCCACCTCGAGAACATCGAACCGCCTCCACGCTCTCTCATCCCGCAGATCGTCTCCGCGCTGCCCCCCACAGCCCTCGCGGCCCTGGTGATGCCGGCCCAGCGCGCCTCGCTCGCCAGCGACTTCAAGGCGGGCAAGACGCCCGACTGGTACGGCAGCCTGCCGACGGACGTGAAGAGCTACCTGTCTGTCGTGAAGAGCCAGATCGCAGACGGGGCGCTGACGGCGGCGCCGAAGAAGGCGGCCGCGCAGACGGAGCCGGCCAGTGCGGATGCGTCGAGCACGGGCACGGGCGGCGCTGCGTCGTCGACTTCCTCGGGGGCGGCGGCCGGAGGGGCGAAGCCGACGGGCCTGGTGATGGGGGGTATGGGGGCGTTGGGGGTGCTGGGGGTTGCGTTGGCGTTGTAGAGGGCTTACGGATTGGGGATCGGCATAGTGCGGCTGGAGGGAGGGGATTGATGGAGTGAGTGAGTGGGGGAGGGATTATGGGATCATGTCTGTCTACGTCTATGTTTGGTCATGTCGAATGTCGGAGTTATTGTTTCTGTCTGTCTGTCTGTCTGTTTAATGAGGGGAAGCCGGGATCTGGAGGACTACCATCCCAGTCGAACTACGTATGACTGCATATCGGGCAGATATGGCCACGGCAGACAAGCTTTGGTGGAGCTGTCTCAATGAGACATTAATATAATTTAATCAAGTTGGACAGGACTACTGCAGAGTGACATGGTTTGCAATCATATGAAAACCAACAAGCAGCATACTATGCGTGAATGCAGGCGAGAGAAGCAGATTGACACATTACCCGATGCGGTATGCAGTGCGTGCCCTGTTTTGGGTCACCACGATTGGCCAATGCCAGCCTCTATACTCGCAGTGGAGAGGCCAGGAACCAATGCCAGGGCGGCCAGGAACGACGCAAAAACAAGCTCGGGAGGCGATTCACATGTTGCGGTCGGTCCGAGGTGCAAAGACGTGCACTGGGGCCTTGATTGGGCGAGAATGAGGGTCTCGCGATGATCGACACCCGCCGTCCCTGAAAGTGAGCCCTAGTTTATGCGGGGTCTTCCTTCTTAATCCATGGGATCCAGATTAACAATACGAGGTCATATTCACATGGTCATCCTTATCTCTGGCTTACTCTTTCTTACCCCGGACGGAATCCTTCTCCCCCGCTTCGCTTGTCGTTTTCATGGGGAACGAAGACGGAGGCACCCGCAGGCCTCGGGTGAGCTGCTCAAGTCGTCGCTAGCGTTGGAGAACGGCAGCGGGTGGGCAAATGACGGAATCGCGCAATCAAATCAAGGGAGGATCGAAGATCTCGGAGGCCAGACCGTAATTGAGGCAGTCTAACACCTGTCGAATGAGAGGACGGTCAGCTTTGGCTGGAATGTGGCCTTGCGGGATCCTGCGTGAGGGTCATCTTCTAGGCTGGGCGAAAAAGTAAAAGTAAAATGGCCACAGATAGATGAATCAGTCATTCAGAGACAAGGCGGGGTCATCCTGAATACGACCTTTAATTAGTCTCGCGACTCACTTCCTCCCTACCTACTTATAAGACCAACTCAGCTGTCAGTGTTGCCTGTCTCCGTTTCAAGCCATCCGAATCAACCAGCGTCTCAGTCGTCTTCAAAATGCGTCTCTTCAAGTACCTCATTTTTGCTGCCCCCTTGGCCATCGCCAACCCCAACCCCGTGGCCGCACCAGCTCCTCAGCCCACCGGTGGTCTTCTCTCTGAGCTGCCGCAGCTGATCGACGGCCTGAAGGAGCTCCTCAGCCAGGACACGCTGGAAGATCTGCAGACTATCGTCAAAGGCGGCGCGGTGCTCTTGGGCGGCGACACGCCCAAGAATCTTCAGAAGCTGCTGTCGAGCAAGAATATCGACAAGCTGCAGGGCTTGGTCGATAATGCCGATACGCTGCTGACGCCTAATTTCGTGAATGATACGACGACGTTGATTGAAGATGCGACTCCGGTGAGTTCTCGTCTCTGGTGGTTGAACTTTGACTAATTGGTTAGCTTGTCTCGAATATCTCGAAACTTCTGGGTGGGTTGTTGGGCTCGTTGATGTGATTTTGTTCTTCTTTCTTTCTATGGATTCAATCGAGGCGAATAACAGATGTGATGAGATGAAATGTATACGAATGAACATGACATTGAACCAAACCGCTAGCTAGACAAACAAAGACAAATCAAATCCTAACCCTAAACAACATTCAAATGCTTCCTCAAATCCTCCAAATAATACTGCAACGCATACGACCTCGTCGACTTGGGAAGGGCCGGATAAATCGCCACCGAGAACCCCATCGCCGTCCGATACAAGCCCCTCGTCGACGCCGTCGACTTCAGTCCATACGCCTCTCGAATCCTCGGCGGCAGCATCTCAATCGTAGCCACCCGCATCAGCGGCTTCAACATAACCACCCACCTCGGCAGATCCGTGCGGTCGAACAGATCCTTCGCGAAGCGGTGCGCATCCGCCGTGACACTCAGCTGCTCGATCTGGTCGTCCCAGTACTTCCAGAACGCCTGGCGGGTTGCGGGCCACGTCCCCGTCGGCATGCCCAGGGCGTGCATGAGCAGCGTGAACTCGGCATACGCCTTCTCCGCCGTGCGGTAGTTCACGCGCCCGTAGATCCGCTGGTAGAAGTCCGTGGCGGTCGCGTAGAGCGTCGCAGACACCCAGAGCTGCGTGGGCGGGTGCGACGTGTAGGTCTCGCTGGCGCGGATGGGGTGCTGGCCGCGCTGCAGCAGATCGAGGAGCGTCTTTTTCTCCTTCTCCGTGCCGAGCACCAGGCAGGCGATGTAGCTGAGGGTGGCTTGGAGGGCGTCGCTGAGTTCTTTGGCCAGCGCGCTGCTGCTGTCCTGCTGGGCGTTTTGGCTGTCGCTGATGCGGTTCTTGATGCCGGGGTAGGCGGCTTGGAGGAGGAGGGCGGATCCGGATCCCGCGAAGAGAATGCCCTCTTGGAGAATGTGTGGCAGGATTTCGAGCTTCTCCAGCTTTTCGAAGTCGCCGGTGCTGAGGGATTTGGCGGACGTGTTGGTGGGGGTTTGGGTGATTTCGTCGGGCTCTTTTTTGTCGTCGAAGAAGGAAGACATGGTGGATAGGTATTCGATTGATTTGCTTTTATTCAGGTGACGTATTATTGAAAGGAAGATAGACTAGACTATTGATAATGGTAGATGGTAGAAGTAGGAGAAAGTAGGGTTAGGATGAATCACTCCCTTGCAGCACCTTTCCCATATCAAGTTTTCAACCTCACTGCAACAACCTCCCAAACCAAGATCAACGAAGCACAAAGACAGAAAAAAAATCCAGACAACCCCAATGGTCCTCCATCATTTACCATCCCCGCATCTCAATGAGGCAATGATTCCGTGCCCCAAGTTGAAGTAAGTGGACCCGTTTCTCCTGGCCCGAAGCTTAAGTGCAACCGCGGTTCCTCAATAGTCGCTGTCGATCGTCATCCTATTCCCTCCGCATGTGAACTCCTGCGAGTGGCAGTAATCGCCGCCATTGGCCACGTCCACCCCCTCGCTGGGGATCGACGCCGGTGCGACGTCGATCTATGCGGAGTGTCGGGCGACGGGCTCGAGGGTTGCTGAGCGAGCGATCGTCCAACCCAAAAGGGTGGGAACCCCGAGGCCCGGAAAATGGTGATGCACCTGCAACGTGTGTCTTGTGCGGGTTCGCTTATCTGTAAAATGATGGGATGATGCTAATTAATCAATTGTTTCATGCATCGCAATATTGATCGGTTGAGCCATCGTTGGAAGATTTTTATCGACCCTCTTATCAATTCTCCTGGCTGCACTGACTGCATATGCAGCTGCGCTCACGCCTATACTCGCCTTAATCTTTAATACTAATATTTTATTATCCGCTGGGTCGCTGCCCGTCTGAGAGGGTGGATTGCACAACCTCAACCTCGTCAAAGACAGGCACTACATAAGCCATGGACGAGAAGAAGTCCTATCTCGACTCCAAGGACGCCAAAAATGCGGTGGGAATCCATCGTGGGCCTCTGCCTGAGAACGGCGAGGGGTATGATCTCGAGCATATCGAGACGGCCGATACGATCACCCTAGAGAAGGTGAAGAGGACGCCGACACAGAATCTCCGACGGCATTGGGCTCGGTTTTGGTGCTGCTATACTCTCTTCAGTATTATTTTTCTCATCATATTCCTACCGATCTTGTAAGGCACCTTCATATTGCCGTGGAGTGAGAATAGACTAACAAAACAGCTTTCTCCTCATCATCCCCGCCATCGCGCAGCGAGTCGTGGACAACTCGACCCTGCTCCTGGTCAAGGCCGATATCATGCAGCCACGGCCTGAATCGGTGCAGATGACGATCGTGTCAGCGTTGAAGCTTCCGCTGGGAGTTCCAGTGCGCATTGATCCCATGACTTTGGATCTCTTCAACCGTGCCTCGCCTAGCGATAATGGCACATGGGGGCAGATGCATCTGAAGGACTATGTGATCAGCGGGAACACTACTCTGGGGGTCGACAAGCAGTTCACTCCGTTGAATGTCACCGAGTGGACGCAGTACGTGCACAACACTGTGTTCATGAAGCATGCGCCGCTATCAGCGCGGGGGAAGACCACTGCGTATCTGGGTCAAATCAAGAACCACGTCACGATGAACAAGGATATCCCACAGACCAGTACGTCCCCCTCCCCCTGGCAGTACATACTGAATATAATATTAACGCAACTGCAGCCCTGAACTCCTTCGAAGGCTTCGCCATCAAAGACACCCAGCTCCTGCTCCCTGCTCGCGACGACGGGACTAACCTCCTCGCCAACGCAACCCTACCCAACCCGTCCGTCCTCACCCTAGAAATCGTAAGTCTTCCCCCCCCTGCACCAACCAGCCTACTCTAACACCCACAGGGAACCACCACCCTCGACGTCAAATCCGGCGATCTCGTCATCGGCAACGCCACCCTCGACAACCTCATCCTTCGACCAGGGAACCACTCGACCCCAGTGCACGGAATGCTCGACCTCCGCATCCTGATCAAGAACCTCCGCAGCGTCCTTGCCACGCAACTCGAGTCCATCCGAGACGGCTACCTAACGCTCGACACGGTCGGGAAGACGGTATTCTACGACGGCACCGAAGTGCCCTACTACACGAACGTGATGAAGAAACTCACCATGACAGCGCAAGTGCCGCTCGGCGGTCTCATCACCAACACCCTCCGCGGCGTGCTCCACCCAGGCGGGGGAGACAACATCTTCTCCGACGCCGCCGATAGCATGAACATGACCGAGGGGGGTCAGAACCTGCTCGACCATATAGCGGGTAAGGCACGGGATGAGAGCAGCGCGGAGTCGTCGATCCAGGCACGCGACTTCGAGGACCAGATCTGGGATGATCTGGTGAATGATCCCGCGAAGAGGGACGCGATATTAGACGTGATCGAGGGGTTGAATCTATAGCGAATTCAACCCAGTTTGTGGGTTGGGTCGATGTGTTTTACGATGTTTATATTTTCCTTTCCTTTTTTGTTTTTTGTCTGTCCCTGGCTAGGGTCTAAGTACTGCTTCTATATACCAGATGTCGAGGACATCGAGCGGCGTTATTCACTGATCTACTACGCAACTACCTATCTCAAGATATCCAACACTATCTGATCAAATAAAATCAGTCCATTAACGACGATACACCTAAAATCAACCATATCTCTCTACCCAAACCAAAAAAGAAAGAACAACCCCTAAAACAAAATCCCTACATAAAAGGACTAGGAGCCGAATCCAAAAATGAGTCCGACCCATCTCGACCGACTCCACACGCGAAGTCGATCACCCATCCCCAAACTCCCGCCGTTTTACCCTGATGGGTGAGTTTGTTGGGATTAGACAATTTTCGTTCGACGTTTTCTTCATTTTTCTTCCACGAGCTTAGAACCAGATATTGTTTATTCTATAAATATCTATAACTCAATTAACGCCCCTGTCTTTCTGCGGAATGGGTTTTGCGCGTGCGCGCGGGTTCACCCTAACTTTAACTCAATTTTTGATCCTCAGGCTCAACATTTACCCCTGAACTTTAACATCTATCTACTTGTGGATTTGTCGCGTGGATGTGTCGCAGCACTGGAATGTACAGTTTCTTAGGCTTATAAACGAGATTTCAAGATCTAGTTGTTTCGAGATGATTAGCTGGACCCTATGGATCCAGGATTCTACTGAGAAGGTTTTCCAAAAGCTCTGCTTCGCCCAGGACAGGTAGAACATGATCCCTTCGGTGCTAGTGTTTTCCTAACAAGCCCTTCATTCGAAAAGAAAGTCTTCATCCACCGACCCAGCCAACCAGACTTGTAGATCCTTGAAGGCGTCAAGGTCATTTTTCTCGCGCGAGATATCAACAGTAGGATCGTGCCAGTGGTGAGTTCTTTTCGTTCCAGTGCTGCGCAAAGACTCCCCGATATATCGACAGCTATCGAAATCGATGAGAACCAGCGTCCCGTCTTCGTCAAGCATTATGTTCGCGGGGTTGATATCGTTATGGACGATCCCAAGCGCGTGGAGATGTTCAATGGCGGCCAAGATCCCCTCCAAACCACTTTTCATGTTCTCGTTCACTAGATCGCGCGCACTCGAACGGAACACAACCTTGCCCACGCGTTGAGGATTGACCGCCTCAAGTAGCGTGGTTGTATATCGCTTGAAGCAGAGCCCAGAGACTCGACCATGAGTCTCCGTGTAGCCATAATAGGGCGCGATGTTTGGGTGGGGATTCCTGCGAAGGGTCTCGCATGTTTCAACTTCGCGGGTGATTTGTTTTTCGAGATTCTCATCGACATACGCCAGGAGACTTGGTGTTTTCACGTACACCGCGGACCAAGTGGGATTCACCTCTGGGCCCCTGTCCTCGGTTGGGATTTGCTGGACGGCCTGGAGATCATCCAGCGTCTTGGGCGAATCTAGTCGATTCCTCCATTTTCCAGAATATAATTTGCCATCTTGCCGAACAAACATCTGGACGTAGGAAAATTTCATTTTGCCATCGATTTTTTTGAAGGCCTCGTTTCTTTGGACAATTTCCATGTTGATGCGGGGTAGCAGTTCTGGGGAAGTGTCAGAAACAACCGGAAGTTGGCGAAGGAAAGGCGGCCGTTTCTAGCCTCAAGGCGGTCAATTTCGGCGTCAATTTCACTGGTCTTGGATTCTACTTGTAGGCTTTCAGTTGAAAGAACATTCCAGAGATTGCATAGCTCATCCCATAAAACGCTTCTATCGCTTAACATCATGATACTTACATACCAAATACGTTAAAATGAGTCCTTTTAGACCTATAAAAAGGTATATATGTACATTCAAGGATTAGGGACGCTATATATTAACAAAGAAAACGTAAAATGCTTATACATCTCTGGATAACCATCCTAGTTGGTAACCCGCGCATCATCGCACTCAACCTCGCCGTTCCACATATGATAGCAGCTCCCGTCGTAACCACCGTCTTCGACATCACAGTGGGTGTGTCCGTTGATATTCGAGATATGCTCGTCTAATACAAGTCAGCTTAAGCCACGGAGATAAAAGAGAAAAGGGAGCACTAACTCAGATCGACCTGGACTGTCCTGGCAAACCCTTCCGCTTGCTCGCAGGTGCACATCAAGATACCCTTGAGGGTAACAGCGCAGCTTTTGCAGCGGCCGTAGAAACCACCACTTTTCATTTAATCGTGGTCAGTAATTCTACTCTATCTCTGGTCTCTGCGACTGGAGCTACTGGTTTTGAAACTCACTCTTTACGAGGCACAATGGACCCGTCTTCGATTGTGGCATAGCACTTGTTCAGGTCGAGGAAAGATCTCTCCTTAAACCCATCACCGTAGCAAAGAGCGTTCAGAGTGTGGCCGCTAATCAGGTCAATGTCTGTACAGGAGGCCGCGAAGTCGCCGCCAGCGGCCGCGAGGGCCGACAGAGAGAGGACGGAGAGGAGGGCCTCGATTTGCATTTTGAATCGGAGAGGTGATCATTTTGATAGATACTGAGGTTGAGTGGCTTGGTGGTGGATTCGAAGATTTTAGGGGAAGATGCTGGTATTTATCTTCCTCAGCCTCGTGTATAGGAGTTTAATTGCTATTGTGACAGGAGGTTACATTTTCTGCATATGGTATAGCTACTCCGTTAGTTCTCGTTGATTCGGGGCAAAGTAACCATGCTCTAGTAAGCCAACAGAGCTAGCATTTAGATGGGGGTTAGTGTGTCTCCTGTCAATATCGGAGTTCGGCTGGCTGAGCCTAATGCGTAGATCGAATTCAGACTCTGGCCTGCTGTCAGGAATGCAAGGGCTTATTCTGCTGCTCTCCGCCCTATCAGTAGTGATACTCAGAAGATTGCTATTGCCTTGCTTAACATATTCACGAGACATAATAGCAGTACACTTCGCATGTCTGTTATCATCAATACTCGTCTCCTTAACAGGCAGAATGATCAATGGATCAGGTTCTTGAAAACTTCATCTAATTAAGTCATCTAGCCGTACGGGAGATCCAGACTACGACCTCCTGACAATTTAGCCCCTAAACATGACACTCAGCCCCGCAGGATTTGCTTCTCGAAATAGCCCCTCTACGCAGTGAACTCACTTGGCCCAGTCAAATTATCACAGAATACGCATCCAATACGCAAGCTGTCAACCAATCATAGCAACTGTATCCCATAAACTCGTTGGATTCTGTTTAAAATGGGTTCAAATTCGGGCACCACAAATTATTCAGGGGAATCATCGTTGCAAGCTCAGTTAGTGGCAGCTCTAATGTAGTGTCATTGATCCTTTGGGGGCCAAACTACAGGGCTTAGATGTTAAAAAGATGACTTATATCCCAAAATAATCCTCTACATGAGACAACCTAATTGAAATAGACGTGTTTGAGAAAAGTCACTCCCATGATGGGCGAGAGCAGCGGAACCACCTAATATTTCATTTGACAAAAATGGAACGAGGCTACAGTTTCGAGCACTAATTCAGAATATATGAGATTAGCTGCCATAGGGTAATGTGAAAGACTCCTAGCTCATTGCTAAGTATTCAAATTCTTCCATACCACTGAGAACTTGTAGTAGCGACCCATTTTCGAGGCTGAGAAATGATCAAGGCGCAGCGCCATTTGGAAAAAAAGACCGCAGTGTTTCCGCCCTACTCCGGAGTAAATCTGCTAGAAAGTAAATCATAGATGGGGCTCATCGGGCACAGTCCATTACTCCATACATTGTGTTGTCTCATTTCGGGCAATGGCCGCGATGTAAACTCATTCGGAGCTATATGGATCATTCAAATTAACCTGGAAGGTCCTCTAACTGTTGCCATCCTTTTCTCTGGAATTATAACTGCGATTTTGCCCTTCAAGCATGTATATAGTTTAGATTTTATGCTGCTTTGGGTAGTAAGTGATCTACGTTGCTATAGCGATAACGTGGTTGTGCTTGCCTTACTATCTAAGAGCTTGATTCTTCCCAAAAAAAACAACAATCTCACCGCGAATCGAATTTTTGAAATTTCTCAACCACCACAACGCCGAAAGACTCCAGAATCTGCCAGTTTACTATTAACTCTAGCTGCTATTAATTAATTCTAATTTTAGGGGTTTATTAAGATAATTAAAATAAAAATAATATAGCCCCTCTTTTTAGGGGCTGCCAACCAGATAAACCTATATATAAAAAACTTTTTTAACAGTATTAGGAATCTTAAAAATAATATAATTACCTACTTTAATTATAATAATAAGTATAAAAAGCTACTTCCTAAGCCTATTATTAAGTTTATATAACAGGTACTCTTTATTTATAATCTTTAAATTAATTAAACCCGTGATATTATTTAAAGAGCTTTTTAGCTTAACCAGAAATTTTCTATAATTAAGTAGACCTTAAATAATATTTATTAAAATATCTATATTACTAAATTAATAATAAGGACCTAAAAATACTAGATCTAAACTTTTATTATTTATAAAATACCTTTTTTAGCTTATATAGTTTTCTCTTATAGCTTCTCTAATATTATATCTGTGATCTTGTCCGAGCTCAGCAGAAACTATAAGATAATTATTAAGTTATAAAATTTAAAGATAGTTAAGTTTTATTAATATTTAAAATTTACTAAAATTAAAAAAAAGATTAAAAAAATAAAAATTTATATTATATAAGTAGCTTCTACTCTAACTCTAATATTTATATAGTTTATTATTATATAATAGCTCTGGTTAGGTAACTTAAGCCTTGTTTTACAGATTATTATAAAAATAAAAATTATTTATATTTATAATTAGTAGGTACATACTATAGCCTCTGGGGCTATCTTATGGTATTTTATTTAAGATATTATAATATATAAAATCCCGGTTAAGTTATTTAAGGACCTAACAAACCCTAAGGAATATAAATAAGTAGTTATAATATTATTTAATAAAAATACTAAGATATAGAGGCTACTTAGCCTAAAAATTAATTATATTATATAACTTACTTATTTCTTTACAAGATAAAATTATAAATTATTAGTTTTAATTATTAAGTTTACGGATCTCTAGCACGTTAATAAGATAATTAAGAAGAGAATTATTTAGAATAATAATATCTAGATTATAGTATTATATAATTAATTTATATATATTTATTATTACTTTAACTGCTAGTAATACAGCTATATAAGAATTATTTATTTAAATAAGCTTATATACAGCCTCTGCTCTGAGAATTATAAAATTTATAACTATTTAAAGTAGGCTAATTATAGCCAGAAATATAAATATATAGACTATAAAAATATATATGCCGCCTGATATTAAGGATATCTAAAATATATAATAAAGATAGAGCGGGTATAAGCTATAATAATTTATTAATAATCTTTTTATTATATTCCCCCCTATTTATAGGACTTTAAGTCTATTATAAGTAATAATATAATAATCTTTAGCTTGTCTAATAGCAGAAAATTAAATATTATATATTTTTAATTTATAGAGGCCTTTAAGGCCCCTAATAATTAAAAAGATTAGTCTACTAATAAACCTATTATATATAATTACTTTATAATAAGATTCTAGAAGGGCTTTATATTATTTTATTAAAGTTTTTAAACCTTAATATCTATTAATAGCTTTATAGATAAAAATATAAATACTAGCTTAAATATTAGTAATTTTATCTTTAAATAAGGTCCTCCTGTCTTTAAACAGGAATTAAAGAAACTAATCTTTATTTTAAAGACCCCTGCTTTAAGAGGCTGGTTAATAGAACCTAAGTAATCTTAATTAGCTATTTTATTTAAAATTACTTATAAGAGTGCCCGGTAATAGTTATTATTAACTAAATAAATATTTATAATATTTATTATAGGGGATACCCCCCCTGCGAAATACTCTTAGAGCCGAGCCTTTAATTACTGTAAATAATTAACTTTTAAAATTATTAATAAGATAATTATATCTAATATTCCTAAACTAACCCCTTTAGTAATAACTTTTATACTAGTAAATAATAATAATTAGTAGATAGTATTCTTAAAAACCTGCTCTTATTTATAATCCCGGAAATATATTAGGGACTAATTATTAAAATAATAAAACTCTTATAGATCTTTTAATATAATATAAATTACTTAAAAAATATAATTATAATATACTTCTTACAGGATCCTGAGGTCTTAAAAGCAGACTTAATCTGTATATAAAAATTTTAGAAGAACTTTTATTAAGATATTATATATTATCTAGCTAAATAAATATATTAATTCTTTTATTTTAATTTAACTAAGTTTAGGGGCTAAAGGGCCTGTATTTATATATTTATATTCTAAAAAATTAACCTAAATACTTAAAAATATATTATTTATTCTTAAGATATTTAAGAACTTATTTTTATTAATATAAATAGCTGACTAGTCCGTATTTTTAATATATATAATTATTTTATTAAGATCGGAATTATTACGCTTAACTTTTTTAATATTATTATTAACCCTAATATTTTTATTAATCTCTATAATATTTTTACTAATTTTCTGAGCTTATATTTTCTTTTACTTAGGAATTTTAATTTTTATTATCTGGTCTAGGGTGGTAAGAAGGCTTCTTAGGATTTTAAAGTAGATTATTTTTTTTAATTTATTAATTCTTATTACCTGGATCTCTGGCTCGAGCTAAAGACTATTATATAGTAATAGGATAATAGTAGTATTATTATTAATCTTACTCTTAGCACGCAGGACCTTACCTCCTGTCTTATTTTTTATTTAATTAATAAGAAAGTACATATTAATTTTAATTATTTTTTAATATATATTTTATTTAATATCTTAATAGTCTCCCCAGAGGCCTAAAAATGCTATAATTAAAAAAATATAATATTAAGAAATTATAAGCTTTTATAAATTTAAATCTAAACTCTAAAAATTTTATACTAGAAATAAAGTAGTAAATTAAACTTATTATAGATTTTTTTACCAAGATAGTTTACTAGGGAATTATAGTATTTATTCTATAGGCTAAACTTAATTAATAAGCGAACCCTTCCTTTACCCTATAGTACTAGAAAATAGTTAAACTAATTTATAAATTCTATTATAAATACTTTAAACTCGCCTAATAGGGCCTTATAACCCTTATAATAAGGACCGCCTGATTTAATTATACTAAAGTCAGGAACCATAAAAAAAAATATTAGTATAAGTCTTTTAATAAGGCTACTAGTCCTAGATCTATAAAGCTACTAGCTTGGGCTCCTAAAGTATATAATAAATAGCTAAATAAATAAGGGACTAGGAGGCCCATAGAAGTTTAATATTAATCCTGAATATCCTAGAGGGCTTTATAAAGATTATAAAAACTATAAAATAAAAAATAAAGACCTTTTAAAAGGTTTTCTTCTTTATATTACTCCTAGTAAACCTCTTTAATATTAATATAATCCCCCTGTCCCCCTAGCTTAAATTCCTTAATCTCTAGT